GTATCCCCTGGTATTCGTTCTCGCTGCACGTCGCGCCCCGCACCGTCACCGCCGTGCCCTCGTCGTACGCAGCCACGCCTGACTTTTGGTTGCGGCAGCACTCCCCGCCCTCCACCTCCACCTGCGCACCATGGCTTCCCTGTATCCCGTGGTGTTCGTTGTCGCTGCACGTCGCGCCCCGCACCGTCACCGCCGTGCCCTCGTCCATCGCAACCACGCCGCACTTGTTGTTGCGGCAGCACTCCCCGCCCTCCACCTCCACCCTCGCACCTCCACCAACCTGTATCCCGCTGCCGGTGTTCTCGCTGCACGTCGCGTCCCGCACCGTCACCGCCGTGCCCTCGTCATACGCAGCCACGCCTGACTTGTGGTTGCGGCAGCACTCCCCGCCCTCCACCTCCACCCTCGCACCACCCAACACCTTCATCCCGTGGCCTTCGTTATCGCTGCACGTCGCGCCCCGCACCGTCACCGCCGTGCCCTCGCCCTTCGCAGTCACGCCAGACCCACCGTTGCGGCGGCACTCCCCGCCCTCCACCTCCACCATTGCGGCACGACTCCCGATTATCCCCTGGTATTTGTTCTCGCTGCACGTCGCGCCCCGCACCGTCACCGCCGTGCCCTCGTCGTACGCTTCCATGCCGCGCTTACTGTTGCGGCAGCACTCCCCGCCCTCCACCTCCACCTGCGCATGCGCGTCCGGACACGCCATCGGACGTGCCACGACAGCGGACGATCATACCCTTGCGACGTACCTGGCGAGCTGCGGTGCGCGTGTTGGCGGCACGACTCACACCTTGGCACTTTTTTCCACCCGCAGCCCGGACGTGCCGGCATGGGACTCGTTGAGCTTGCAGCTGCGCAGCACGACGTCGCATGCGCCGGATATCTGCACCATGCCCTGTCGACCTGCACGTGCCGTGGGAGCGAGCGGGCGAGTATGAGCATTCGTGCACATGTGCGTCCTGCTGCAGCTGTGCAGCACCGTGACGTCTCCGCGGAGGTGCAGGGTGCTCGACGCGCGCTCACCGCCCCCGCGCCTCGGAGCTGTGTACTTCTGGACCGTCAGGCTGTCCAGCAGCAGGCCATGTGCGTCCACAGTCGCGTGCAGGCGAATGCCCTCCAGCGTCCCGTTGCGCAGCGCCAGGCCGGCACGCGCGATGGTGAGCGAGACGGGGGCGTCGGACGTGATCGTGCCGCCTCCAAGATCGATGTCCTGCACGTGCACCCCCGCGATGCCGCGCACCATGGTCGTCAGCACAGGCAGGTACTCCACAGCGCAGATGGTGCTGCACGGCTGGGCGGGCGCAGGACGCGCACGCAGCGTCGGTATGTGGGCGCGGCGTCGCGGCCCCACGTGCGCGCTGTACGCGACGCGTCACGCCAAGCGCGACCACAGTTTGTGTGCGCAATTATGAGGGCGCGGGATACGACGCCAGCTGGCGCGACGAGCGGCGCAAACAGTGCGGCACTGCGGTGTATGTCCTCGACTCTCCGTCATCGCGTGGCAAACAGCGCTTAGCAGCCCACCAACGCCGCCCCCGTGCGCCGTGCCCGTCCGGCTTCCGAGCACAAGAGCGACCTGCGGGGCGCACCAGGACCGCGGGGTCCGCCAGAGCTGCTCGGAGCTTGTCCAGCGTCTCGCAGTGTGCCCTGTCCGCGGTGCCGCTCTGGTGCGCCGCCCCCGCCTGCGCCGCACGTGCCTGTTCGGCTTCCTGCTCCACGCTCTGGACGGCAGCGATGATAGCGCGGGGCACCGACGGCGGCACGGCCCGGCCCGCGTCCCTCCAGTAGTCCTTGAAGTCGCTCTCACTCGCGGCGAGCGCAGCACGGTGGTTCGCTACGCCCAGTGCGCGGCACGCCCGCTCCACCTCGTCGCGGTAGGTGCCCGCGCCCGCGCGCTCAACGAGCTCCTGGATGTACCTGCGCCCGGTGAGGTCCGCCATGATCGCAAGCCTCGCGAGCAGGGACGTCAACGGCGCCGTCAAGAGCACCGGGGCCCTCTTATCACCCCCTGCAGCGCGCCATGGCCCCCAGGGACGTCACCTCCAGGGAGTCAGTGTCGCGTCAGGGTAGCGCGCGGGGCTCGGACGCCGCGCCGCTCCCTGTGGACGCGCGTCGCTGTCCGTCAGAACCGTTCAAGACACAGTCGACGGCGAACCAGTCACGATCACGACACAAGAGCGCAAGAAACTTTCGCAAGGTCCAGGCACGTCGCTGCTGCGCGTACTCCCAGCAGCGGTCGTACACGAGGCAGCGAGCGAGGCGCAGGCCTGTGCGGCCACCTACACGTCACGGGCCTCGGTCCAGCACGCGGCACAGGCCAGGAGGCAACGGCGGTGCTTGCACAGCCGACCCAGGGACGGACCGGTCGCCGCGCCGGTCGACTGCGAGCGCGCCAGCACGTCACACGTCCGCGCGTCACGGACACCGCCGGTGCACCACGCGCGGCCCGATGTCGTGGTAGTCTTGCCGCGTGATGAAGCGCGGCTCCTGAAACACCATTTTCGCGAGCACCGCGCCGCCCGCCCACACCGCGTGCTGCTGCGCCGACTTCGGCATGTACTCCGGCATGTCCACGACCTGCACCGCGCCGCCACCCGCACACGACAGCGTCAGCACTCCCGCGCGGAACACAACGACGATCACGCGACGCACGGCGCGGCGCCGGCCGCACCTCCGCGAGCCACGACTTGGGCGCGAGCGCCTGGATCTCCCTGTTCAGCCGCCCGACGAGCCCCGGCACCAGCGCGCCGCCCCCGCACACCATCACTGTCTCCACGATCATTTTCCGCTCAATGGCGCCGACCGACAGCATCCCGCTGTTGTGCACGCGCTCGCCGAGGCCCGGACCGGACAGGCCGACCATCTGCGGCACGAACAGCGCCTCCACGGCCTCCGCCCCGAGCGCCTTGGGGATTCGAACCACGGTGCCGTCGGTCAGAGTGTACTCCGCGAAGTCTGACGCGACCTCCTCCTTCTTGGAGGCGCCCCCCTGCGCCGCAGCGTGCGAGCAAGGCGCCGCGACGTCACGCACGTGCACGCGGGGGCCGGAAAGACCCAGCAAATGTGTGACATTGCCACTCGACATTAGAGATAGAAAGTGAGGTGCGATTCGCGCATCCGCGCGAGCACAGGACGTGTCGCCCGGCGGCCAGTGAGCTGTGGCTGCGCACCTCCTTCTCCGCCTTCCCGGGGCTCCCCTTCTTCTCCTCGTCCTGTTTGTCGCCCTGGTCAGCGGCACCGTTCTCCGCCGCGTCGCCCTTCTTCCCGTCCTCCCCGCCCGCCCCGTTCTCCTTCTCCTTCTCCCTCTCCCTCTCCCTCTCCTCCGCGGCCTTCTTCTCCCGCCCCTCGCGCTCGGCCTTGTCTGCCAGGCTTTCCTTCTTCAACACCCCCTTCGAGGGGGGCAGCTCCCCCCGCTTGACGCCCTGGAAGTACTCGTGCGACTCCATGCAGCACAGCGCGCGCTCCAGCAAGGACGTCAGCTGGGACCGCGGCACGCGCTCCCAGTTCGGCACCTGCAACACGTACACTCGACCGCAATCGATCAGTTGCCGCGCCGGCCGCAGGATGACACAGAGACGGTCCAGCGACGCAAGCCGTAGATGCGCTGTCTCTCAAGCAGCCGTGGCACGGGCCATGCGAGACGCGAGCCCCGCGCGGGTTTCCAGCGAAGCGCGTGCCAGCATGCAAAAGCCCACAGCAGCTCCAGGCCGAGGGAGGCGCGCGCACCTGGTGCTCCTTGAGGAGCTCCACGAGGCGCGCGAGCACGTCCTGCATCCCGTGCCCCTCGAGCGTCACGCACCCCGCGCCCTGCAGCCGCCCGTCGTGCACCGCGCCAATCTTCACCGCGCCGTACCCAATGTCCACCACCGTGCCGCTCAGCTTCCCCATCGCGTACAGCGCCAGCACCGGCGCGTCCACCACGTACAGCCCCTGCGTCAACGCCCCCGGCACCGCGCGTCAGCCCCAAAAAAAACACCCCCCACCAACTCCCCCCGCGCCGCGCGCGGCCGCCCGGCCCGGCCGCCCAGCACGCCCCACGCAGCACGGCACTCGTCCGGGGGCGGCGCGGGGTCCTCACCGTCACGCCGAAGCTCTCGAAGAACATCTGCACGAGGCGCTCCTTGTCGTCCTTCGTGGCGCTCAGCGGGTGGGCCAGGAGCATGTTCCCGCCGAGGCCGCGCGGCCAGCGCAGGCCGTGGAAGATCGCGAAGTCCAGCAGCGCCTCGAGCTGGTCCCAGTGGCAGATCTTGCCGCGCTGCGGTGAGGGGAGGGAGGCGGCCGGGCGGGGCGGTTCGAAGGATGCGTGGCGCGGCGCGGCGGGACAGCGGGTTGATGCGTGGATTCTGCGAGCAGGGGGGCTCGTTGGGGAGCCGGCGGGAGCCCGGTGGGCCGGTGCTGGGCGGCGAAGGGGGGCCACCTGGATGGGGCGCGCAGCCGGGAGAGCTTCGAGGGCCTTGCGCGATGCCATCGTGACTGTGCGGTCCTCGGCGTTCTCCAGGATGCGAACCTCGTTCTTCAGTCGCTGCGGACGCGAGCGGAGCACACAGAGCCTCCTGAGCGGGCCATGCAGGCCGGATACGCGCCGATGCGCATCCACTCTCTCGCTGGAGCAGGAACGGGCCGACGCCATCCCGCCGGAAGCGCGAGGAGCTTCTCGGAGCGCGCGAGCGATGTGCGGGACAGCTGAACGCTGCGCACACTCACCAGCTGCGGCTCCTGTTCGCAGGGATAGTTCGCGCACAGGCCTGCTTTGATCTCGAAGGATCCAACGTCAATGACCACCGCGTTGTCCATCCTCCCCGCCCCGCAGCTGGTGTGGGGAGCGGCCCGGCTCGCCCGCTAGCGCAGGGCTGCCCCGCACGTCCTGGCGCTGACTACCGATGCCTGGGCGTGGAATTCAGCGCTCCGTGGACGCACGCTACGCGGAACAAGCCGGATACGCGTCACTGACCCCAGGCTCTCAGCGGTACGCGGAGAAGCAGCCACTCCAGCGTTCGCGGTGGGCGTCACGGCGCGTGGTTCGCGGGTCCTGGGCGATATTTGGCACGAATGGCTTGGAGATGCCGTCCGCATGCAAGCTACCAACTGTGCTGGCGCCACGAGCCCTCGATGCGGGCGCAGCCTCGCCCCGCTTCATGTTTTCTGCCCCCCACGTCAGCCCTCCTCCGCGCCGCGCGGCGCGTGGCATTTTGCCGGCCGCCGCGACGGGCGCGCACACGACATCGAGGAGCGCTCGCACTAGTCCGCCCAGCGCAAGCCGAGGCCGCATTGCATTCGCGCGCCCTCCCCAAAAGTTGCGCACTTTGGAAGCGCGTCCTCGCGTCGTGAGTCCGGCACAGCAAATACATGCGCCTGTCCGTAGCGCTCTGACCACTGGCCGATCCGAGACGCGTGACGAGCGTCGCTGAGTCGGGCTCCATGCCGCGCAAGAGGCCAGTGACAGATGCCAGCCCAGTTGCAGCGAGTGCGGAGGCAGTCGCGCGGGCGCTGGGCGCGGCGCTCGGCGTGCACGTGGACGCCGGCGACATCGTCCGCCCGACGCGCAGGGCGCTGGACGCGCTCCTGCGGCGGCTCGCGCAGAGCGTGGCGAGCGACCGGTGCGCAGCTCCTGCAGGGTGCCTCGCCCCACCGCGGATACCGCCGATGCCGCGGGCCTGGCCGCCCGGACGCGACGATTCCGCGGCGATCATTGACTGAACGGCCACTGCGCGCGGCGGATCTCGCTGAAAGGCCATGACGCCGCGCCGCGCGCGTGCCCGGTCTTTCGGCGCTGCTGCTCCGCAAGCGCCGCAGCGCGCGCCCGCGGCAATGCCCGGATGCTCCTCGCCTGCGTCTATTTCGAATTCCAGTTCACCCGTGACGCGCCGCGCCCCGCCTCGCAGGGAGAATGGAGTTCGCGCCGTGGTAGCTGTCTCGGGACTCCAGTTCCCCGCGCCCGCGGACAAGGAGCCCGGCAACGACCTGGACGTCGCGCTCATGCTGGCCGCCGCCGGCGCCGAGCACTGCGCCTCCCACGTACGCCCACGCCGCGCCCACGCCGCGCCACGTCGCCGAGCGCCCGCCACCACCACCCCACCGCCATCCCACCCCGCCCACACGCAGGAAATGATCCACCCGACGCCCGCGCTCGCGGCCTCGCTCCTCGGCAGCGTCTCGGGCTTCGCGGAGCACCGCACGCGCCGCATGACGGACCTGGCGCGCGCCCTGTCGGGCAGAAAGGGTGCCGCGGCGTTCAAGAGCAGCGTGTCGGCGTGGCTGATCCCCGTCGGTGCGCTGCGGCGCGCCGTCGCGGACGACGGCGCGCCGGAGCCGTCTGGCTCGGCGGAGCATGACTCGGGGCTGACGTGTCGCGAGGAGCTGTCTGCGCTGGACGTCGTGTCGACGCGCCCGGCCGCCCGCGCCGGAGTGCTGGTGCCGCTCGCCGCGCACGTGCCCGCGCGGCTCGCGGCGCCGCTGTCGCACGCCGCGGCGGCCGCGGCGCGCGCGCACGCGGAGCCCCCGGAGAGCCACGCGCGGCACTCCCCCCCTGAGCTGGCGGGGGGGCCCAGCCCGGACGAGCTCGCCTTCTCGCCGAGCCCGCCGGAGCAGCGGTCGCTGCTCGACGTGCTCGTCGAGGGCGCCGCGGCCGTCCAGGGCGGCGCCGGCAGCCCGTGGGACCCTGGAGAGGTGGTGTCTCCGGCACTCCCCCCGGCGCCGGAGCGGTCTGCGCCGGCCGTGCGGTACCAGCCGAAGGCTCGCAGCAAGCAGCAGCGCGCCCGCAGGGGCCTCCCGGGCCAGGGGGACGACTGGCGGGAGGGCCCCGAGGTGCCGGGGTGGGGAGTGAAGCGGATGCGCACCAACAGTCCCCCCCCGCCCGTACGTATGGACGAGCGCGCCGACGGCACGGTCCTGAACGTCGCGGGCGGGCAGATCCGCGTCGTGCGGCTACCGGGACGCCCGCTCGAGCGCCCCGTCGAGCTGTCGCCCGCGGCCCTGCACACGCCCGGGCCCGCGGTGGCGCGCAACAGCGGCGCGGACGTCGCGGCCGTGGTGCCCGCGTTCGCGGCGCTCCCTGAGAGCTGCCACGGGTCCCCGCTGCACCGGTGGCTCGAGGTGATGGTCGGCGCGCAGGTGACGGAGCTGGCGGAGGTCGCGCAGCTGTTGCGTTGTGTGGACGGGGAGGTGCGCGCGGTGGAGGCGGCCGGCGAGGGCGGCGCGGGCGTGGTCGTGCAGCAGATGTACGCCGCGACGCGGCAGGGGCTCGTGCGGCGCCGCGCCGAGGCGCTGCGCGTCGCAAAGGCGCTGGACGCTATGGCGCTGAACGTCGCCGACATCATCGGTGCCGCGCCGGGGGACGGTGCGGGGGACAGCGACGTCGAGGACGCGGACGTGCGGGCGCAGACGGCGCTGCGGGAGCTTCTGCTGCGTCTCCCGGAGGCGAGCGGCACGGCGGGGGGCGGAACGGCGACGCCGGGGACGGGGCCCGTGGCGGCGGCGCAGGAGGCGACGCCGGGGACGGCGGAGGCGGAGGCTGCGACGGGACCTCGTGCGAAGCGGCTTGCGTTCCTGACGCCCCCCGGGGGGTTGTTGGGCACCGCGGTGGGGGCGGCGACGCCGCGGCTGGGAGCCGACGCGGCCGGGGCGCAGGCGCGCGACGCGTGAGCGTGTTGGAGGGGCGAGCTGCGGCTGCGGGCTGTGCGGGGCGCGTCCGCGCGGCTGTCGCAGGGAGTGCGTGCCATTGTATAGTGGAAAGGATTGTCAAGGATTGTACCGAGTCGAGGTTTCACGTTTTTGTGTGTTGACTGTCAGCAATACCTGCCGCGACGAGTGGTGAGGGGGTTCACACTCGCGCTGTCTCGGCCCACTTGGTCATCACCGCGCGGGCAGCGCTGACAGCTCCAGGGGTGTGCGGAGACACCCCCCACCGAAGGCGGTGTTGGGCAGTCGTATCGAGGCGTCGACGCTGGTGTCGTCATGCGTCAGTCAGGGCGTGGACCGCGCGCGCGCAGCGCAGGCGGCCTACTCGGCGTTTTTGAGGGTTCCAACACATAGTCAAATATGGTTGTCGTTTCCTCGTCAAGGCGGCGCTGGGGCGCTCACGACGTGTCGTGGTACCTGCGCGCCTGCTGCTTGACGAGCGCCTCGTACCGGTTGCGGTCCTCCCGGTAGATGTAGAAGGCGCGCTCCTGCGCGGGGTCTGCGTCGTTGGGGTCGTTGAGGAGGTCCTGGATGCCCGTGAGGATCTGCTTCACGGTGATCGACGGCCGCCAGCCAGCCTCCTCGTTCAGGATCGACAGACACACCTTCCCGGACGGGTACACGTTGGGGTGGAAAAAGTCCTGGGGGGGTGTGGGGAAAAATGACGTGCGCTCAGTCAGACGGCCACGGGCGGGCCAGGGGGCACCGGACGAGAGCGCAGGATTGACAGGGCCCCGGGGCGCGGCTGGGCGGGCCGCCGGCACGGGGGTATTGATTCTGGGTACCTTGTCGAACTTGGCGATGGGGGGCTTCCCGGGGTAGTCCTCGGTGAACTGGAGCGTGAGGGTGTACAGGCCGCCCTCCCCCGGCGTGCCCCGCGTGCCGGGGATCTTGCAGTCCCAGTTCATCATGTCGGTGCTGCCTGCACGCACCGCGCACCACGCGCACCGCAACCACGTGTTCTCGACGTCCAGCGCCCCGGCACCCCTCGACAGCAGCGCGGCATGCACGGGCCGGCACAGGGCGCAGGTGTCCGAGGCGGTCGGGCGTCGACGCACCGTCGGGCTTCGTCTGCGGGCGCGCTACGAAACCAAAGGGCCGGTCCTTCCGCCAGTTCTTCCGCTCGGCCATCAGCCGCTTCCTCGCGACGCCCTCGCTCATCTCGCCGGCTCGCTCCCTCGCGCCACGAACGGGCCGCTGTCCGCGTGGGCCCGCGCCGCGAAACTCAGTGCCTGCGCTACGGGTCACCCGAGGCGGGGTGCGCTGGGCGCGCACACGGACGCGCAGGCGGCGTGGGACGCCGCGGCAGCAGTTCTGGCAACGGCAGAGCCGCCGCGTCGTCAAGACGGGGCGGCAAAGCGCTCCGCGGGGGCTCCGCGCCCGTGCAAGCCTGCGGCGAAAACCTAGAGGGCGAGCGGCCGGTGCAGCGCATGAGTCCGGGACGCGGTCCGGGCGTCCGGGCCGTCGCGGTTGTACGACAGGTCGGTGCTGCTGGGGCCAGACCGGCGCTGCGTGGCGAACGGGGTGCGTTGCGGGCGCAGGCGGGTGCGGTGTGGGTTCCCGCCGATCGATACGCGACCGCAGGGCGCCAGGATGGCCTCCCGGCGGCCTGTCTGAGCGTCCTCGCCGCTCGCGGAGGCGGCTGCCGCGGACTTTCTGACAATCAGCCGCTCGGCAACTGTCGCGGAGCGTGCTGGGCATGATTTGAGCAGCAATGTGGTGTGCGTGGGCCTCGCGCGCGGCATTCCTCACCTCTTCGGCACGCGGAAGGCTAGCAGCAGCGCCGCGTGCAGTCCGCCGTATCGCTGCCTGCGCGCGCCGAACGCTCCGGGATCGGTGCTCTCTCGCCACAGCCCTCAGCAACGCACGCAGCGTGTTCGAAGGTGTTTCGCAGTCTGCCGGGCTGGCCAAGCGAGTGCGCGTCAATAGCGACCGCGGGCCCGTTCAGCCGCGCGAGTCCCGCGTCGCGCTGACACCGAGTCGGACTGGATGCCTCAGCGCGCAGCCGACGCCCCGTGCCCTCCGCGCGGCCCGCGACGCCATGCCCGCGCGCGGGGCCACCAGACGCGCACTTGACACTCCTCGAACAGCCCTGCGTGGACCAGCAAAGCCGTGTGGGCGCGCTGAGAGCTGAGCTTGTGGCGCTGTCCCCAGGTGCGAGTCCTCACGACGTGGGGGCTGACCGCCGGATTTTGCGACGTGCGGCATGGACGTACCTCCAACGTTCTCCGGCCTCGCGCCCGACCCCCCTCGCCGCCCGGCACGCGCGCGCCGGGCACGAGCACACTTGCATCGAGCCACCTCCCGGCGCGCGACCAGCCCTGCGCCGTGCGCCGACGCGACTCCACGGATATTCACCGCAGCACGGCCCCGCGCCGACCCTCGCACCTGAACGCCCCGCGTGCGCGCAGCACGGCCTCCCTAATGCCCTCCATCACCCGCTAGCTCGCTCCGGGAGCCCGCTCACCGCCCCTTTCGAGCATCCGCGCACCCCCGCAGTACATCATCGAGCCCAGGACCCGGGAACGACCTCCCTCCGCGCAACCTCCCTCCGGACCGCGCCGCTTCGAGCGCAGGCATAGCACCATGGACAAGGCTGCCGCTATCCGGAAATACCACGAGCTGGAGCGCAAGCTCATGAAGGTCCTCGGCAAGGTCCAGCCGTTCGTGCACTACGGCCTCGTCCCCTCGATCCTCGTCCTCGGCATGCTCTCGGAGCCCAGGCCGTCGGTCGCCGCCCTTGTCACGCCCTTCTGAGGCGCCGCCCGGGGCAGGCGAGCGGGCGGAGCGCTGCGCGTGGGCGCGAGAGCACGCCGGCGGCACTGCGCGCGCTGCCGGCGGTCTGTGGCGCTGTGACACGGGCAGAGAGGAAGTCTTATGTGCTGGTGCTTTTGGGCGCTTCGGGCGTCGCCGCAGTCGCGCAGCCGGGCGCCACGGCCCCAGCGCAGCGCCGAGCGGGCAGCGGAGCAGGGCGCCGGCGCGCCGGCTGCCGGCGACGCCTGCTGCTCGCACCGCCACTGCTTGTGCCTGAGATCGACCGGGGTACGCCACAGCGGTGCAATCTGATGCGGCCCCTGCGCGCGCCCACCTCGGTCGCGCGTCTGTGCTCCTCCTCCACGCCGCCGAGTCCCCGTCGCTGGTGCGAACGCAGCGACAGCAAAACACACGCCGGGCGGTGATGCATGGCGTCATGACGCCAACGCGATACGCGGCGCGGCGTCGCGCGCTGGGAACACAGGCCGGCGTCACATCCACGCACCCTCGCCCCCGGCTCCGCCCTGTGGTGGCGCGGCGCCGTGCTGCGGCTGTCGGTCACCTCGCGCATGCGGGTCCTCCGCGCTCCCGTCCACCTCCATGCCCTGCGAGGGCGCGCATCCAGCACGGGAGAGTCAGGCCGCGCGGCGGCGTGTGCGTGCAGCGCGTGTGCTGCGCGCGCGCACCGCCTCCGTGGACCACGCAGCATGAGCGACGCAGCGCGCGACTTGCCTGCGGCTCTATTGGCGCGTCCGCGCCCTTCGCCTTGCGTATCTGCTCCTCAATGGCCGCGAGGGCCGCCTTCTGCTTCGCGATCAGCACGATGTTCTCCCCCACCGCCTCCTTGTACTCGACGCATGGCCCCTCCTCTGCTATCGCCTGCTTGATCTCCCTGATCGACCGCTGCAACGAAACTCAGCCCGCGCTGCGCTCCTGGCTGCTGTCCCCGCTCGCACAGCGCTCGCGAGGGCGCGGAACGGCGCGAGCGCGCGCCGAGAGCAGCGAGACGTGGTGCAACTCTACGGGCCGCGTGCGCACCTCGAGGTGGCTGATAGAATTGCTGAGGCGCCCCGCTTCGGCCTCCAGCACGCTGGGGTCGCTTGGCGCCGTCATCGCGCCCACACACCCCCCCTATTCCGCCCGCGCCCTGCGATGGTTCCTCGGAGACACAACGGCTCCGTCGGCGTGCCACGTGGCGCCGCGAAACACGCACGCGCACTCCCGCCTGAGCGACCTCGCTCGCAAGGAGCGGCTTGTGCGCCCGGCGACGCGATTCTCCGCGCCTCGTCTCCGCGGGACCGACGCGAGGGGCGCCAACCAGACAGACCAGCGCCGCTCGCACGCCCGACCGGGCTCGACGAGGGCCCGCGGCGCCGCCCGAGGGTCGCATTCCCGGCGAAGCAGCCCTGCGCGCACCGCAGAGACGTGATTCGGCGTGTACGCGGCGGACGTTCAAATGGAGCGGCGTCCCCTGCGCGGGTAGCTCCTCCGCCGAGCGCACGCCGCCATGGAGTCGTTCCAGGTGCTGAGGCGGATAGGGACGGGAACGTACGGGTCTGCATTCCTCGTGTGCCTCAAAGAAGATGAGTCGAGGAGGTGCGCGTCGCGTGCCCCTGTGCGGCAGCTCAACGTCTCGAGCGGGTCCCGGCCCCACGGCCCCTTCCGCGGCCTCGCAGCGGCGCGTACCGCCCATGTGTCACACCCTGATCCCTGGAACGCCGCCGCACGGCGCGTTCGACCTCGCCACGATCGCAGCCGTGTCCAGATGCCACCTTCGGCAAATTCAACCGGCTTGCAACGCGCAACCTCCGCCGTTCCGGCGCCACGAACGCCTTTCCTGCCCTCTCCACACGGCGACCTCGCCGCACGCGGGCCGTCGCGCCCCACGACGCCCGCCTCGGCCCGCACCTCCTCCGCTTAGCAGCAACGCACAAGCCGTGCGAGCCACACGCCGCCCGCGCGCTCGAAATCCCTCCTCCCATCGCGTTCCGCGTCGTCTGCGTTCCCAGGCCGCGCACGCCGCAACATCGGGCCCTACCGCGCGCTGTCGGCCCCGTCCCGACGCCTCGTACACCTGCTGCCAGCATTGGACCTCGGACGCGCGCGCGGCGCGGACAGCGCGCACCTTATCGCCCGCGCCGCCAGCCTGGCGTACTTCGGCACTGGCGCGTCCCGCGCACCCCTCACCGCGCACTCTACGCCCCCCGGCGCGCCGTATCGCGCCCCGTGGCGAGCAGATAGCATCCAGGCTCTGATCGCGCGCTCAGGTCACAGGACAACCACGGCCGTGGCCCCGGGCATCCCCGCGCGCCCGCGGCCCCGACCCGCCCAGCACCGCCCCCGCCCGGCCCGCAGGTTCGTCCTCAAGAAGATCAACATGTCGCAGATGTCGGAGCGCGAGCGCGCGGCGGCGCACCAGGAGGTCCGCTTGCTGGCGCAGCTCGACCACCCATTCGTCCTGGGCTACCACGACTCGTTCCAGCACCGCGGGCACATGTGCATCGTGACGGAGTACTGCGAGGCCGGCGACCTGTACCGCCTGCTCAAGCGGCAGAACGAGCCGCTGCCGGAGGAGCAGGCAAGTGCACACACCAACATACGAGACACATGAATCGCGTGTGTGTGTGTGTCTCCGCGCCCACGTGGCTGTCCGACTCAGCGCGCGCGCACCACGGCGGCCGCGAACTGGCGCGGCCTGCCTCGCCGGCCGCACCGGCGAAGGCGGGCCCGCAACGCAGCCTGCGTTCCGGGGGCGTCGTGGCGCCGCACCACGCCCACCGCGCCCGCCCCGCGCCCGTCCGCGCAGATCAAGGAGTGGCTCGCGCAGGTCACGCTCGCGCTGCACTACATCCACGAGCGCAAGGTCGTGCACCGTGACTTGAAGAGCCAAAACATCTTCTTGACGCGCGACGGCAGCGCGAAGCTGGGGGACTTCGGCATCGCGCGCGTGCTGTCGTCGCCGCAGGAGCTCGCGCGGACGGTCATCGGCACGCCGTACTACATGTCGCCCGAGATCGTGCGCAACCAGCCGTACAGCTACCAGTCGGACGTGTGGTCGCTCGGGTGCGTGGTCTTCGAGATGGCCACGGGGAAGCACGCGTTCGACGCCGCGGACATGAACGCGCTCGTGATGAAGATCCTCCGCGGCAAGGTCGACCGCCTCGGCCCGCAGTACTCCCCCGACCTGCAGCAGCTGCTCGACCTGATGCTGGCGCGGGACCCGGCGCGCCGGCCGACGACGGAGCAGATCCTGCACTGCCCGTTCCTGCGCGAGCACGTCGTCGAGGCCAAGCACGAGGCCGCGGTCTGGCGGGCCGGCCGCGGGAAGAAGGGAGGCACGCCGGCGCGCGACACGCCGCCGCCGCCGCCCGCGTCCGCCGGGGCCCGCGCGCCGGTCCTCCGGCAGCGGTCGCAGAGCATGCACGACCACGCCGCGGCCTCGAGCGCGCACGGCGAGCCCCGGACCTCCGGAAAGCTCCCCGCGAAACAACACACCCCCGCGGGGTCCGCCTCGCACCGGCACCACCACCGCCACCACCACCACCACCACCACCACAGCCACCACCACAGCCAGTCCTACCACGACCCAGCGCACCGGCGGTCCCGGAGCGACGTGCGCACGTCGGAGCCGGCCGCGAGCCTCGCGCCCGCGCCGCCGCTGCCTCCCGGGCCGCAGCAGCGGCACCTGCGCGCGGACCCGCGGCTGGCGGGCGTGCGGTCGCGGTCCGTCGCGCAGATCCAGGTCACGCGGGAGGCGGACGCGGCGCCGGAGTGGCTGCGGAGGGAGGGGCCGCCTGCGCAGGGGGGGGTGCGGGGCACGCGCAGCTGGAGCGGGCGTTCTCGGAGCGCGGGGGCGCGCGAGAGGGCGGCGGACGGTCGTCGGCGTCGGAGATCAGCCTTCTCGAGCACCGCAACCGGCGGCGGGAGCGCCTGGCGGCGCTCAAGGCCGGGAACGTCGGGGGGGGGAGCGAGCCATTACCCCCCCCTCTGCCGGGGTCGCGGCACGCGAGCAGCTTGCACGACGTGCGCGGGTCGGTCGAGATCGGCGCCCTGCAGCACGTCCGCGACGCCGAGGAGGTCCCCGTCGGCTTCGGCGTCCGCCGCGCCCCGCGCGCCCAGAAGATGGCGTCGCGCAGCCAACGCGGCCTGAACCCGGCGACGCGCGACGGCTCGCCGGGCGCCGGGCCGTCCTCGCACGCGCGGGACCGCGCGCGGGTCCTGCGGTCGCACGGCCCCGGGGGGGGGTTCCAGTCAGCCCGCACCACGGGGGAGTTGCCGCCCGACGAGTACGGCAGCTCGCCGGACGTGCCCCCGCGGCGGCCGCCCGCAGCGGGCCCGGACGGCCCCGCGCACGGGCGCCGCGCCGGCGCAGCGCGCGCCCCGCGCGCGACGGCGACGACGCTCGCCGCAGCTTTGGCGCGCAAGACATGGCGGCGCTGCTCGGGCCGGCGGCGGCGCCGAGCTCCCGGGCGCCGCTGCAGCGAGCCGCCGCGTCGTCGTCAGCGCTGGACCCGCACGTGGGCGCGCAGGCCGCGAGCTACCCGCCGCGCCCGCCGCCGGCCAGCGGGGGGTCTCCGCTGCGCCACACGGGGGGGCGTGGCGCGCGGAGCGCGGCGGCGCCGTCGCGCGACCCGTCGCCGCCGCCGCGGCGCTCCTCGAACATCGTCGCAGACAGCGCGGCGTACTTCGAGCTGTCGGAGTCGGACTCGGAGGCCGAGGCGCGCGCGGTCGCGGCGGTGCAGGGGCGGCCCGGCGGCAACAGCCGCGTGTCGACGGGCCCGGTCGCGCCCGCGGGGTCCGTGGGCGGGAACACGGGCAGCACGGCGGACGCGACGGACCGGCTGCGCGCGCTCGAGCTCAAGGAGTCGCTCTTGAGTCAGGCTATTGAGGAGCTCGAACAGGAGGCGCACAGCGTGACAGGTGCGCGCACACGCGCGGACGTGCTCCTCTGCGATAGCCTGATGGTTATGGCACTCGACGGCCACGCCGGGGCTTGGCGTGCGGGCGCTCTGTGCGACGTTGCAGCTGGGTGCCGGCTGCTTCGCGGCGCCGCGTGCGGTTGTTTGGATCGCGTGCTGAGCGCGTTGTTGCGCTGTTCGTGTGCGCTGCAGAGCCGCTGGAGGCGATCGAGGAGGAGGATCCGGCGCTGTTGTCGGGCCGCGGGCTCAACACAACGGTGGACCCGAAGAGCGCGCCGTGCCTGACGGACCAGGCGCAGCTGCTGCGGCAGGCCGTGACCGAGGCCATCGGGGACGACGGGTTCCGACGGCTGTACGGGTCGGTGCGCGACGCGGTGTCGGGGCGCGTCCCCGGCGACACGCAGGCTTTCGCGCAGCAGCTGCCGCCGCAGCAGCGCCCGCTGCTGGCGCTCGTGGACAAACTCGTGTACATTGAAGACGTCATGAGCGGCCGCGCGGCGTGACACGCCCGGGCTCGCACGCGGTGTGATGCTCAGCCAGCAACACAGAAAGAGGGCAAGAGTCGGCACACCCGCGCAGGGGCCTCGGGCAGCGCAGCGAGGCCCCGGGGGGGCGCAGCTAGGCCTAGGACGCTCGTCCAGGCGGCTAGGCAGCCCCGTGTCCCCCACCTGTTGAGCTCCAGTTGTTCAGTCCTCTGACTCAAGAGGGAGTCAGCACCCCCCCCCGCGCCCCACACGACGGGCGGCACGTGACGACAGTGTCAATTACACTCTGCGCGGCGGCCCGCGCGTCCGCGGCCCCGCGTTGCTGCCCCGTGCGCGTGTTGCTATTATAGGTATTGCGAGAGCCACCTGAACCCGTCACCGTACCCCATGCGCCGCACGACGGAGCACATGAACACCTCGATCGGGCGGATGTTCGTCCCCGCCAGGTTGACCTTGCCCTTGCCCGTCGTGTAGTTGCTCAGCCCCAGCACGTGGCGCAGTTCGTCCTCCGAGGCCGCGGTCGGGATGTCGATCTTGTTCCCGAGGATCAGGAACGGCACGCCCTGCAGCGAGTCCTCGCCCAACAGCCCGTCCAGCTCCTGCGCGCAGGCCACGCGGTCACCACGACGCAGGCGGGTCAGCGCAGGCGGGTGCGGGTGGCTTCGCGCGGCGGGGCGGGGTCGCCGCGGGCGCAGCTGACCTTCTTAGACTCGAAGAAGCGCTCCTTGTCGTTCGCGTCCACCAGGAAGACCACCGCGTTCACTTTCGCGAAGTAGTCCTTCCACACCCGGCGGGCGATCTCGTGGCCGCCCAGGTCGAACGCCTGCGCGCAACGGCACCGGAACCGGCGTGTCTCGGTGCGCGGAGGCCATGGGGTGGGTGGATCGGCGCGCTCGTGGCGCTCACGCCGCGAGCCGGGGCGCGGTGCAGTGCAGCAGCTGCGGGAGGGTGCAGGCGGGCCGCTGCGCGCGCTTGGCGAGGCGGCGCGCCGCTGGGTGCGTCGTGGGGGGGACTACAGTGAGGGAGGACCCCGCGGGGATGGCGAGCGGCTGCGGGCGCGATGGCGCCGGTGCTCTGGTGCGGTCTGCCTAGCCCCGGGGTCGTCCTGGGGCGGCGAGGCAGCGCGGCGTGCGTGCGAGAATCGGCTCGGCGTTATGGAATTAATTCATGTCGCCGGAAGGCCGCGAGGTGAGCGCGGACGCCGCTCAACCGCCGCGAGGGAACCGCTCGAGGCCACCAAACCCTGAGGGCGCACGGCGCCCGAAACCCAGCGCCCGCGCAACCATCCCCTCGCTCTATGCAACGCTGGCAGCGACGCCACCGCTCAATTGCGATCGGAAAGCGCGCTGTCCCGGAGCCAGCGCGAGGGCCCCGGTGGGAGCGAGCAAGCAGTGAGGAGCAGCGAGATGAGCGCGTCCGAAAAGGAGAGGCGCCGATGCGGCTCGCAGGAGCGAAGAGTCATGCATGGGCTGGCGCGGTGTGGATCGCGGCCGCGGATGGCGGGCGGTCCAGCGGCCACGGAGGAGCGACCCGCGGCCTGGTGCTGTGCGGGCTGGTGCAGCGCGTGTAGGCGCCCGCCGGGGCCCTCGCGCGTGGGGAAAGGGCTAGCGGTGGGCGTGTGCGGTCTGGACGAGGCCGTTGTGCGCGCTGCAGGGCGGGAGCGGCCCACCACAGGCCGCCGAGCGGGCAGGTCGCTGGCGGGTGTGGACCAGGCGCGGCGCACCTTGAAGTTGATTCCGCCCATCTGGAGCTCTTCCGAGGTCGGGTACTGGGTGGGCTGGTGCTGGGCCAGGCGCTCGTCCTTGAGCATATGCATCAGGGTGGTCTTGCCCGCATTGTCTAGACCCAGGAACAAGATTTTCGCCTGCTTGTTCGCCAGGCCGAGGTAGTTCAGCACCGACGTGAACCACGACCACAGAAACATGGCTCCTCTCGATTCGCGCGGCGTCCTGCCCGCGCCGACCGTGCCAAACGCGGCTGCCCACCGACGAGCTCAGCCAGGACGCAGCACCCGTCCCTCCGTCTCCCTACAGCGGCGTGCGACAGCGCGGACCGCTCTACTGACCTCGCCACACGACGCCCCGCGCACAGTCTGCCGCGCCGGCGACCCGCGCCGCCCCTGGAAGGCGGGAACGCCCCGTCGGGCGCCCAGGCGAGCGCGTCTCCACGGGTTGTACCCGGGTGAGGGCCCCCCCAGGCGGCCCGGGCGCGTGTGGGATCGCCCGCCTCGCCGCCGGACACTCCGCATCAGCGACGTCTGGGAAGTATTGGCCACAGGGTCCGCGGCGATCGCGTTTCAGAGTCCGCTGGCTGCCCCCAGGCTGGCAGCAGCGAGCGTCCGGGGCCCGCATCGCGCGCAGCCCGGCGCGTCGCTCCCTAGCTTGTCCTGCGCACACCTTCGGCGGACGCTCGCCTCGGGGCCCGGCGCTGGCGCTGCGGGGAAGGTCAACCGCAGCAGCGGGGCTTCTTCGGGGCGTGCGGAATGCCGTGGGCGAAGAAGACCGCGGCCGCGGCGGCCCTGGCGCTCCTAGTCGGGCCTGCGAGCGCCGCGTCGGTCCCGGCGCTGCGCGGCGTCCCGCCGGAGCGCGCCCAGGCCTTCGACCCAGCGGTGGGCGACTTCGAGTGCTTCGACAAGTCCATGAAGATCGCGCGGAGCCGCGTGCAGGACAACTACTGCGACTGCCCTGACGGGTCTGACGAGCCCGGGACCGCCGCGTGCCCCAACGGCACCTTCTACTGCCGCAACCTCGGCCACGGTGTGCGCCGCGCCCTCGTCCCGGACCCGCGCCGACGCGCCCGCCCCGCGCCGCGCCCGATCCCGCGCCGCCTCCTCCCGCCAAACGCATGCCGAGCGTGCGCCGCCTGCACCGTTGTGTCCCGGCCTTGGCGCGCCGCCTCAGCGCCCCTGCGTGCCTCTGCACGCAGGCCCGAGGAGGCTGGCGTCCGCGATGGTGGACGACGGCGTGTGCGACTGCTGCGACGGCACGGACGAGCCCCGCGGCGCGTGCCGCCCGACCTGCCTCGAGAAGGGCGAGCAGGCCTACCAGGCGATCAAAGCGAAGGTCGACATCGGGCGCCAGGGCGTCGCGATGCGCGCCAGCCGCATCGCCAAGGCGGCCGGCGCGCGGAAGCACATGCTGGCGGAGCGGGACCGCCTCGTGCGGACCCTCGCGGACCTCGAGAAGAAGGTGCATGCGCGGCAAGCGCAGCTGAAGGAAGCCGAGCGCGCGTTCGAGGCGTGGAAGGCCGCGGGGGGGGTCCCGGTGGCGGAGCAGGAGCGCGCGGAGGGCGCCGCGGGGGACGAGACGCCCGAGGCGCCGGACGCCGACATCAAGGAGGTGCGCGCAGGGCGCTCGCTGTTGTTGTCGCGTGCGCGAAGGTGTGCGTGGTCGGGGGCTGGGGGCGCCGACGCGTGGAGGCGCGGTCCCAGCTGCTCGGCGTGCGCGCTGGGCTGCGCCGCGAACAAGACAGGCGTTCCGTTCCATCGGAAGACCTTGTTTCTCGACTTGCCGTGCTCCGTCACTCCTTGAGTCGCCCGCATCGCGCCGTGCTCCGCGCAGGAGGACCTGGACCCCGACGAGATCGGGCGGCGCATCGCTGCGCGGTGGACCCACGACGAGGAGTCCCTGAAGCACCACGACACCCCCCCCGCGGCCACGGACGACGCAGCCGGGGACGCCGAGGCCCCGGACGGCACCGGCGTCGACGAGCCGAGCCTGAAGGACAAGATTTTCGCGAGCGTGCGTCGCGGCCTGGGCCTCAAGGCCGCGGAGCCCGTCGCGGAGGGCGAGCACGCCGCGGGGCCGCCCGGGGCGGGCGCGGAGGAGGCGGCGGTCGCGAGCGCGCGCGAGACGCTCGCGCACGTGGAGGCCGAGGCGCAGGAGGTGCGTGGCCGCCTGGAGGAGCTGCGCGGCAACGTGGACCGGCGGTTCGGCCCCGACGACGAGTACATCGCGCTGGTGGACGGGGAGTGCCCGAGCGCGCAGGCGGACAAGTACACGTACCGCGTGTGTCCGTTCGGGGAGGCGCGGCAGCACGAGGGCGCCGCGCACGCCTCCCCCGGGGTGTTGCTGGGGACGTTTTCCGGGTGGGAGGGGAGTGTGCCGGAGGAGGGCCCGCGCGGGGAAGCGACGATGCTGTTCCGGGGCGGCGAGCAGTGCTGGGGCGGGCCGCAGCGGTCGATGACGGTCCGTATCGAGTGCGCGCTGGAGGATGCACTGCAGGCCGTGGACGAGCCGTCGCGCTGCGAGTACACCGCGGTGCTGAAGACGCCGTCGGCGTGCGTGCCGTGGGCGATCGCGGAGATGGAGGCCGAGCTGCACGACCTGGAGCAGCAGCGCGAGATGGCGCTCGCGCACGAGCGGGAACACACGGAGCTGTAGGGGGGGGGTGTCGGGTGATGGGAGGGCCGCGGGGCCCACGTTGGAGCTGCCTGCGCTGCGGACACGACGGCGGGAAAGCGGGCGGCGTGGCTCGCTTCGGTTTGGGGGCGCTGTGGCTGCCGCGGCCGTGTAATGATAATGATTACAAGTCGGGCACAGTCGAGTGCTATATTGCTGCGTGGCTATGTGTGTAGGCTACGACCGTGCGGTCCGCCGGTACCCCGTGAAGCGCTCTTCGGACCCCGGCGAGTGGTTGAGCCTGTGTGCTGTCGTAGAGGCAGTGAGGCCGTGGCGCGCGGCCTCGGCATCGAGCCGCGCTATCTCCGCCTCCCGCTGCTTCTTCTCCGCCTCTTCCTTTTCCTGCGGCAGGGCGCGCATGGTTCCGGTTTCTCGCGGAGCCAGGGCAGCAACTAGGCTGCAGAGAAGTTCGCGGGCCGGTTCGTCGCCCGGAAGGGCGCGATACGCACCTTCTGAACCGCCAATTCCAACTCCTTCTGTTTCTTCTGCAGACGCTCGTACGAGAGGTACCGCTCGCGCTCACGGTCGACTGTGACCTGCCCACGAGCCACCCTGGCTTCTCGCTCCTTGTCCCTGAACCACAGCAGCCCCCGGTAGTACGCCTCCGAAGCTCTGCAAACACATTCGACAGGCATCTCAAAATACGGTGCGGAGATGGGCCGGCAGGCCGGGCTCAGCGCGCAGGAGACGTTGGATCGCTGCTCCTGCACTTGCAGCTCGCGACGCACATGTACTTGAGCGCCCACAGCCCGATCAACCCCGCAACGATCAGTTGCAGCGTGGCGAACGCTTCCGCGCCGATGCCCATGGCGCCAGCCCCCACCCGTTGCCAAGTACAGCAAGCAAACCGGCAGGAAGTGATGCACGGTCCCCGCTACTACGCCGCGTTGCGTAACACGCCACAGCACCCTTCAGACCACACTGCGACATCCACGGCACGTTGCCCCCCGATGCTGTGCCAGCCCACGCACCGTCCGACTGACACAACAACAAGAAGAACACTAGTCAGGCTGTCTCAGTAGACACCCCCCAGGCGAGGACCGGCACTTCAAGCTTCGACGCGCCCCGGCCGCAACGACCGCGCCCGCCACGCACGCGAGCGACGCCGCAGGAAACATCACACGCCGCGCGGCGCCCGTCATGCGCCGCCCATGAGCGACAGCAGGGGGTTGGCGTACTGCATGGGCCGCACGGCGGGGTGCGGGACCGCGTCGAACTGCGTGAACTTGGGCACCATGTCCGGCGCGGTGAACCGGATGAAGGCGCCCTTGTTGCCCATCTGGTCGCAGTAGTTGGGGGCGGAGAACACCGTCACGCAGTACCCGTCGTGCGCGATCTCGTAGCCGTCCTCCTTCACCTCGTGGCTCCGCACGAGCAGCTTGAGCCCGTTGCGCTCCAGGAACGCCTTGGTCACGTCGGGGCCGAACTGCGTGCCCGTGCCGCGCTTGGACTCCGAGCGGCCGTTCTGCGGCTGCGGGTCCGACCAGAGGCACTCGCACATGATGCTGCCCTCGGGGGGCTCGCGCACGCGGTCGATCGCGCGGATGTCGTCGAGCGTGACGTCGTCTCGCCCGAAGAGGCCTCCGTGGGTGATGAAGACCTTCTTGTCGAGGACGTACGCGAGCGGCATCCAGTCGAACGCGTCGTTGAACACGTCCGACATGATCTTGGAGTACTTCGCGGACACCTCGCCGACGAAGCCGTAGATCCGGTTCATCGCGCGCGTCTCGTGGTTGCCGCGCACCAGGTGCATGCACGTGGGGTCCAGCGCGCGGAAGGCCATGAGCGTGAGGATGACCTCCGCGGAGAAGGACCCGCGGTCCACGAAGTCCCCGTTGAACAGGTACGGGTTCTCCGCGGACGGCCACCCGTTGAGCGCGAAGATGTTGAGCAGGTCGTAAAACTGCCCGTGCGTGTCGCCGCACACCGTGATGTCCGTCCCGGGCGCGACGGCCACGTCCACGAGCGACGGGAGCTCCTTGAACTGCCGCAGGCACTCGAAGATGATCTCGTACGCGAACCGCGGGTGCACCGTCTTCTGCGCGCGGAAGGCCTCCACCATCGCCAGCACAAACTCTCGCGAGATCCTGTACCCGCCCTGCCCGTCCGCCTCCATCCGCGGGCCCTGGTAGCTGTCCGGGACGACGATGTCCCCGACGACGACCTGCTCGGACGCGGGCTTGTCGTCCGCGTGCTCGGACCGCAGCGCCTCCTCGAACCGCATGCGCTTGACCTCCTTCTCGCACTCGTTGAGCTTGCGCCGGAGGTCCGGGTCGCCCGGGGCCACGCGCGCGGCGAGCTTGAAGTCCTTGAGCGCCTCCTTGAACTGCAGCATCCGCATGTGCCCGTCCGCGCGGCGGTAGTACGCCTTGACGTAGGTGTTGTCGATCTTGATGGCCGCCGAGGCGTCTGCGGCGCGGGGCGGGCGCGGCGCGGCTCGGAGGACGCCGCGGGAAGGGGGTGCGCGGGGCGGGGGCGACACGCACAGAGCGGGGCGGTGCGCACCGGAGACGGCCGCTCCGTAGTTTTCCAGCTTCAGGTGCGCGAAGGCGCGGTTGCCGTAGTAGACGGCATTGGAGGGGTTCAGGTCGATGGCCTGCGAGTAGAGGTCGAGGGCCTTGGCGAAGTGCTTCTCCTTGAACAGGTCGTTCGCCTGCTGCTTGAGCTCATCGGCCCGCTTGGCGTCCTCCTCGCTCACCGGCTTCGTATCCGTCGCCGCCATGCTGCCCTGCGGCCGCCAACTGCGACCTCTCGAGCTGCTGGTGTACGGGCCTGCGGTGGGGGCCGGGGGGAGGCGGCGTGTCGCGAGGGCTGGATGCGCTGCTCGTGGGGCGGCCCAGCGACAGCGGCCCGGGGGCGGCGTGTGGGTACGCGGCGCCGCGGCCGAGGAACCGCAACGCCAACCAAGTATCCAATGACACGAGCCCGCGTGCGCCGCGGGACAGACCCAGGCGGCCTCCTGGAGCTCTAGGGCGCGGCCGCTGCCGCCCGCTGATGGGAGACGCCCTGGATCGCGGCTGTGGGCAACAGCGCATGCGAGGCTCGCAGCGGGCGAGGAGGGAGCGTCGCGCCGCGCGCGCGCGCTGGAACGGCGCGGCCGCGCGTTGCCCTGCTGCTGCGCCCCCGACACGACGAGTGCGGCCGCACCTGGGAACGCAAACCAGCGCGATGCGCCGGGCCGGGAAGATCTGGCCTCAGGTGGCGCGAGAGGCCGACGAAACCGGCACGCGCCGCCTGCGCGCGGGGCGGCTAGTCCCGGGTGACCTAGCGAAGCTGCTCGGCAGGACCACGGGCGATCTCCCGGCACAGAAGCCTAGCACAGCCTCCCTGGATCACGTGCTGAAGAGGTCGGCGCTAGTGGGAACGAGCGCCGCGCGCGCTGCCTTGCAAGGCCGCTCGATGACGAGACCGCGCGGGGTGACGCGGGCTCAAGAGGTCCGACTGGCAAAAGCGGGCGTCACGTCACGTGCCGCGGTCTGCCGCGCCGCCTTGTGGGCGCGGCGCGGCGGGGGCGAGGCAGAGAGGTGGCTCGGGGTAGGCTCGCGTGCACAGGAGTGTTTCACGCAGAGACTCGGGCTCTAGAAGCTGCCCAGAACGCGGATTGGGGGCGTCCCAGCGCTCGCACGCAGCGGCAGGGCGACGCTCCCCGCTCTGTATCGATCTGGAGGCGGCTGGCGCGAGGGGAGGAGTCAGAGGTTCGGTCAGCGACGGAAGCCGGCGCCTTCCTGGCGCAGTGAGGAGAGCAGCGCGGTTGTGGGGGCGGCAGCGTGAAGGAGGGAACGAGGACCTGGGAGCGATGGTGCGTCTCGTGTGTACGCGTCTGGCATGCACGAACGCGCCCCACGTCGCTCCTGCGTCGCCTCGGCACGTCCCGAGCACGAACATGTCCCTCGTCAAGCCCCCGCTGAACACGCGGACGTGGCGCTGATAAATCGCCGTCTGGCCGCCCTGGCGCGCCACGATTGCATCAGCGACACGGTGCTGTCGCCGAATCCCTCGTTCCGGTGCTCGCGCGTCGCTGCGGGGTACCCGGGAAGGCTCTCGTTCACCTGTGCACGGCTCCCGCCGCCGCGCCGCTGCCCCCTGAGATCCGCCGCACCGCGCACGCCACTACTCATGATGACGGCCTCCTGTTCCGCGCGTTTCCGCTCTCGTTGCGCCCAGCACCGCAACGACGTCGCTCGATCATGCACTGCACTTGCAGCCCGGCTCCCCACGCCACACCCACACCCACGGGGCCAAGTCTCCGAGCCTGCGGGACACAATCCGCACCAAGGTCGTCGAGGTCTCCATCGCGAAGGTCCAGGACGGCAACGCGGACCGCAAGACGCTGTGCATGGAAATGCTCACCTCGGGCAACCCCGCCGGTGAGCCCCCGCGCTGCCCGCTCCGCCCGCACCTCGCGAACACCGCCCGGCGCTCGGGGGAGGCCGACAGCTCCACGGCGGCGCCACCCACCGGTCGCAACACCGCCCTCCCCGCCACCGTGCAGCGTTCGTCGACTTCTTCTACCTGTCGCACGCGGACCTCGCGGAGCAGCCTCCCGCGGAGGTGCTCGCGGAGATGGACCCGGCCGAGGCGAACGTGCACGCCCAGCGCGCCAAGCCGATGAACACGGACGCGCTCAACCTGCTGGCGTCGCTCCTGGTCGAGGCCGAGGCGTTCCAGCGCAAGGGCGACACCGAGGGCGTGTACGCGTCGTACTCGAAGATCGCGCGGTACTTCGCGGGCCTCGGGGACTACGAGACGGGCTCGTACTTCTACCACAAGTGTCTGCTCGTGGCGTCGACGGCGGGGTGGGCGGCGGGCGAGATCGACGCGAACCTCAACCTGGGCCTCACGAGCGAGCGCCTGCACCGCGCGGACGACGCGATGATGTTCCACAAGCGCCACCAGGAGCTCGCGCGCGCGCACGGCTCGGACGAGGACCGGCGCGAGGCCGACCGCAACCTCATGAAGAGCTATTCGGGGCTCGCGGACGACGCGCTGGCGCACGGGGACCTCGCGGGGGCCGAGGAGTGCCTCGAGAAGATGATGCAGGCCGCGAGGGACGCGGGGATGCGGGAGGCGGAGGCCGATGGGCATCTGCGCCTGGGCAAGGTGCACCTCAAGGCCGGGCGGTTCAAGCCGGCGCTCAAGGCGCTCAAGGCGTACCTGACGCTGGAGCGGACGCTGAACGACCTGTACGGGCAGGGGCAGGCGCAGTTCATGCTCGCGGTGTGTCTGGAGAAGGCGGGGAAGCGGAACGAGGCGGCGATTTGTCTGCAGGAGTACCGCCGGCTGGCGCTGGAGGCCGCGGAGAAGCAGGAGAGCGGGAGGAGTCCGCAGCGGGCGTCGACGATGGGGTCGGCGATCGAGTCGGACGTGAGTTCGCAGGCTGGGGACGAGGACGTCCAGGTCGCGATGGACCAGGGGGGCTTCGCGGTGGCGTCGTGCAAGCTGGGCGAGATGGCGTTCGAGCAGGGGGAGTACAGCAAGGCGGTGGGGTACTTCAAGGAGTTCTTCGACGCGGCGCGGCGGGTCGGAGACATGCGGATGCTTAACGCAGCGCGCGTCAACCTCGGGCAGGCGCGCGCGCTGCTGCTGCGGGGGAAGTTCCTGGAGGTCGTCCGCGACGATATGCCCAAGTTGCTGAGCTACAAGCTCTCGCGAGAGCCCCTGCAGCCCGCGCAGAAGGCCTGAGGGGCTGTAAGATGATGATGTTGGTCCGACCTGACGCAGTCTGCCGCGATTCTTGCCGCCGGAAGTGTCGCGTGCGGGACGACCGTGTGTACGTGCGAGTCGTGACGCTGCGATCGTTCCGCTGCAACAACTGGGTGCGGAGAAGCGAACAGAGACGAAGGTTAACGTCAGGGCGACGCAATGCAGCGAAAGAAAGCTCACAGCACTCGCTCACTTAGCGCAGCAGTACTGCTATACCAAGGTCTGGCCGCGCGGCTGCAACGCCAGGCTGACTTTCGCGGCAAACATCGGAGCACTGCGATGTGTGCTTCTTCGTCTTCATCTTCGCGTAGCATGGGTCTCGGGGGTCGGAGTGCCCCCCCCGGCACAGTCTCCTCGCACAGAGGCTCTAGCCATTGTGAAAGGGACATTAAGGCAGCATCGTACCCATGCAGAATGCATGTCATGTCATGTTAGTAGTTCGCCTGGTCAATTCACCGCGACACGGCGGTGAATGAAGACCTCGGGGTGGTCGACGTCGTGCAGCGCCTGGACCTGCTGCGAAGCGCGCTCGGGGCAGTCCGCGGACGCCGCGGTCGCGCAGGACGCGCGGCCCCCCACCACGTGCACCACGCCCTGCAGCGCCGCAGCCTGCCCGCGGTACACTGCGAACGGCAGCGACGCCTTCGGGGTCCAGGCGTCGGCCTCGTGATGGTACTCGAGCACGTCGTGCGCGGCCTGCACGGGACAGACGGATTCCTTAGTCAGGCGACCAACTTGAAGGGGGGGGTGTGAAGTTGAACGTAAATGGCTTTGACGCATCGAGCGCACCTTGGCTCGCCTCGTGCCAAGCGTCTCCTCTCCGCCCGCGACGACCAGCCGGTGTCCGCTCGTGGCGGCCGCCGCGCTGTCCGCCCGCGGCGTCGGCAGCGGCGCCTGCACACTCCACTGGTCCGTCGCGGGGTTGTACGCCTCGTTCGCGTCGACGATCTCGCCCGTCACGCCCGCAGACGCAGTGGCGTTCCCCGGCCGCGTCGCCCCCCCGATGACGTGGAAGCGGTCGCCCACCACCCCGCACGCAGCATCGCCGCGCGCCGTGGGCATGGACGGGAGCCGCTCGAAGCCCGCGGTGAACGTGGCCTCCACAGCGCGGGACACGGACACGCGGTACACGTCGGCCTGTGCGGTCCAAACGCCACCGACGCGCACGTGCCCGCCCGCGATCAAGATGTCTGCAGTGCCCGGAACAGCCGCGGCGCAGGCGTCCACGAGCGGCCGGAAGCCAGGCGGCACCTTGGCCTGGCGCGTGAACCACGTCCGCGTGTTCACGTCGAACACGTCGACGTCGATCCGCGGAGTGACGCCGTCAGCCTCCACGCCGCCAAACACAAACACGTGGCTGCCGACTGCGGCGACGGCGGCGCGCGCGCGCGGCGTGGGCATGTCCGGCACGGGCGCGACCTGCCGCAGGGTGACGTCGTAGATCACGGCGGTCCCGATCACGGTGCCGGCGGCAGAGACTCCCCCCGCGATCAGGATCTCCGTGTCCGACACGGGCGCGGCGACGTGGTCGGAGCGCGCGAGCGCGGGCTCGGACCAGTGGGCCCAGTAGCCGCGGCCGACAAAGACGGAGGAGAGCAGCTCGTAGTTGACGGGCGAGGTGGGGTACTCGAGCAGTATGAGGTCCTCAGTCAAGTCATACCGGGGGAGTGTGTTGCTTACGAGGACGCTGCGGGCGGGCACGGGCGCGGCGACGGAGCGGTCAGTGGCAGGCCGCAGCAGGCGCGCAAGCGAGCGGCTGAGGCTGTGGAGACGCAGGGCACTTGTCGGGTCTGTCCCCACAGAAAGCAAAAGCTGGGTGGGGACTCGCCTGAGGTCTTCTGCCTCGGCCTCCTGGAACGCATCGACCGTGGGCGATGCGGTTGCGGGGCACGTGCCGGTGGACAGCCACGGCCCGCACGCCGGCGTGCCCCCCACCGCGAGCACCCCCGCTCCCGTCAGGACGGCCGCAAACCCGAACCGCGCAGCCGGCAGCGGGGCGCGCTCGACCCACTCGTTGCGCGCCACCTCGAACTCCTCGACCGAGAGCAGCGAGACGCGCGTCCGCGCCGCGCCCCAGTGCGACGCACCGCCCACGGCGAGCAGGTTCCCCGACGGAAGCACAGCCAGGTGGAAGCCCGCGCGGCCCCGCCGCATGCTCGCCGCGCTGGTCCAGCGCCCCGCTGCACAGCAATAGTGGACATACCGCAGGTGAGCGACCGAGGGGTGCACGCGAAGCTGTGCAGGGACGGGGCGTGTGCGCGCCAGACGGACGGGAGCGCGGAACGTGCTGCGCTGGGGGCGTACTTGCAGGGTCGAGCACGTCGACGGTCTTGAGGAAGCTGGCGGGATCGTAAGAGTCGATGCCTTGGCCCTGCAGCCCCTCGGCGGTCACGAGTCCCCCCGCCACGTAGACCAACCCCCCCACCGCTGCAGCAGCACACGCCCCGCGCGGCACGGACAGCCCCTGCGTCAGGCGCAGCCACACGCCCCCTGCGGGATCGAACTCGTCGACGTGCGCCTCGGGGACCAGGACGGGGAAGCCGCGGGCGTTGCTTGCGTCGCTGTCGATCGTGAACCCCCCCGCGTAAAACACCACCCCCCCAGTAGCGGCCGCGCACCCGTGCGTCGACCAGCCGGCGCGCGCAGCGGGGGCCGTCTGTGTCGCGGAGACGTTCCCTGCGGATCCGGCGGCGGCGAGGTCCACCACGACGGTCTCTGTTGCGGGGGTGTGGAGCCGCGCGTCAGTCGACAGCGCAGAAAACCCCCCCACGAGGAACACCTTCGAACCGATCTGCGCGGACGCATGCCACGTGCGTGCTGCGCCCGCGGGGAGTCCCGCGCCGTCCGCCGTCCAGCGATCCAGTCCGACCGTGTACTTGAGTCCCCCCGTCGCCACCCCCCCCGCCACGTCAGTCCCGCCCAGGACGTGCACCGCCCCGTCGTGCAGGTGCGTGGAGTGCCCCGAACGGCCGCTCGGCGCAGGGTTCTTCGTCACCCAGTACCCGGACCCTGCCTGCAGGAACCCCACGTGCTCGTACGGCGCGCGTTCCGGGACCACGGCGGCGGGGAGGAGGCTCAGGCGCACATCGTCGGACACGATGCCAGCGGCCATGTCGTTCGCCTCGTCCTCGGCCGTCTCGGGCGAGCGCGAGACGTACACGAAAACGTTGGGGTGCGCGGGCAGAAACAGAGAGTGGATGCCCTCCACGGCGGTCGACGGGCAGCTGCTCAAGAACGGAGGGTCTGCGGAGGCGGGGCGGGGGCGTGTGCTCAGTCGTGGCGCAACGCGGGCTGCGGGGCGGGGCACGCGATCCGCGTTGTGATAGCACATGTGCTTCGGTGGCGCGTGCGCGCTCACCGAAGGAAGACTCGCAGGTCTGGTGACCGCCGAACACGTGCACGGCGCCGTCCGCGTACGCCGCGAGGGCCCGGAAGCGCGACTGCGTCATCGGGGCCAGCTGGATCCACGAGTCTGACGCGAAGTCATACTCCTCCACCGCGTGCAGCGACACCTCCGTGCGCCGGCCCTCGAAGTGCGTTTCGCCGCCCAGTGCCACGAGGCGGTCCCCGGGGACGCGCACGAGCGCGTGGTCCCCGCGGGCGTATCGCATCGGCGCCCGCACCTGCGACACAACAACATCAACTCGAACACGAAGCACGGTCAGCAAACAACCGCGCGAACTCGTCTCGGCCTGCCCGGTGCCAGCCACGACCCGCACCTGCCAGCGGCTTCCATCGAACGACTCGGTGGCGGTCACGAATGAGTCAGGGGTGAAGTCCTCCAAGGTGACGTCATTCCACCCCCCCACCGCCACCAGCTCCCCTCCGGCCTCGGCGCACTGCAGGTCCCCGCGCGGCGTCGGCATGTCCGCCACGCGCTCCCATCGCTCCCCGTCCTCGCTCAGCCGCTCGACCGAAGCCAGCGGAGTAAAGCTTGCATCGAAGCCCCCCACCACGTACAGCCTGCCCCGGACCACAGCCGCGCAGCTGTCGCCCCGCGTGCCCAGACTCAGCGGCGGCTGCACAGCAGAGGTGGCGGGGACGGGCGACTCGGCCGGGAAGAGGGCGCAACCAGGGGACAACGTGGTTGCTGGGCGCGGCAACAGCGCGCCGTCGGCGAGGCGGGCGCACCCCGGCCGTCCACGTGTTCGCCGCGATGTCGTAGACATACGTCGTGTCCTTCTGCGTCTCGGTCGCATCGTACCCGCCAATGACGTACACCTTGCCGTCGAACAGCGCCGCCGCGTAGCGCATCCTGCGCACCGCGAGGGCACACGACGAGTCAAAACGCGGCAGCAGAAACGAAGCAGACGCGGGCGCCAAGGCGCCACCTTGCACCCGCACGTGACGTGGCGACGTTTCGCATGCCACAGGGTTGCTGGCCAAGTGCAGCAGGGACGTGCGGAGCGCGGCGGACGCGCGCGCGGCGGGCCTGCTGTCGCGGTGCGCTCGCTGTGCGCTCGGGCGCGTCCGCTACGGAGCGCAGCGCGTGGAGCGGGCGCGACTTTCGGACGCGTGGCCGCGCACCTGGGCTCGGGCATCGACGCGAGCGGGGCGCCGGAGTCAGTTGTGTCGGTCCACAGGCCCGTGACGGCGTCCCAGATGTGCGTGTCCGCCGAGGCCCCCGCGGTCGAGTTGGCCACACTGATGACCCGCTTGCCCCCCGGGAAGAGCACGCGGTCGCCGCCGATGGCCAACGCGACGGCGTCCGACACCAGGACGTCCGAGGGCAGCGTGCCGCGCAGGAGCGACCAGGATCCGGCCCCCTCGAAGAGGGATCCCGCGCTCTGCGGTCTCGGGGGGGGGGCGGCCGGTGAGGAGGAGAGGCGAGGGAGGCGACGTGCTGGGCGCTGCGGACGGGCGGTTTGGAGGCGATGCTCGCATCCTGATTGATCGCCGGTGATCGAGCGGCCGGCCGTGGGCGTAGACTGGGCAAAATGGCTCGTGACCGCGCCCCTGGCCGGGGAAAAAACGTGATGGGCGGTTGGCGCGCACCTCGTATCCGTCGAGGGAGCCCACGGACGCTTGTGCGACCTTGACAGTCTTCGTGCCCCGGTCGAAGCCTGTGCCGGCGCTGCGATCCTTGTTGGCCTCGACTCCGAGGCCTATGGCCAGCCCGAGAATCACCAGCAGGAGCAGCACTGCACGCAGCGCGGGGGCGAGCTCAGCGGTGCATCTCGCGCGTCTGTGCACTTAACGGACCCTGCGAGACCGCGCCGGTCGCGGGACGGAATGCGAGCGCACCGATGATCGCCCAGACCTTCCACCCAAGGCCAGGAGCGCCAGTCTTCGTCGCCCGCGAGGCACGGCCGCTCGCATTGGACGCGTACAGGTCCGGAGCGTCCTGATCGTAGAGCGGGTTCCCCCTCATCGACGTGGCGACCGGCATATTGGCCTCTCTCTGGGATGCAGACGGCCCGAGCTCCATGTCCGTGACGTCTGCAAGGCGCGATTCTTGACACGATCAACGACTGGTGACGTCCTCCGGACATAGAGGACGCGCCGGGTGCCCCGCGCGTGGCTTCGCGGCCCTTCACGGCGAGGTGAAGCAGCAGTGGTAGTGCAGGTTGAGGGTCGAGAATCTCGCCTTGAAACGTTCCGTCATGCCCGTTGGCGTCGAACGTGGGCGGCCGCGTATCTCGGCCGTCCTGAGGCCGCCCCCACGGAGACGGGGACGCCATCTTCCCGACCCAACCAGGGTGCTCTCTGTGTTTGGCAGCCCGCCCGCCCTTGTAGAGCCGCTCCGAGGCGCAGCCACGGTCGCCAGAGCACGTGCTCCTCGCACACGGCCCTGGCTCCTCGCGACGCGGCGAATCAAAGTCGGCAACCTGTGGCCTCGGCAGCCCTGCAAACGTGCTCCCAACACAGATGCTGGCAGTGTCGACATGCAGCGGCCATCGCGCGCGCAACACAACGCAAGTGGCCCGCGGCGATGCGCTTCCTCGGACAAGGGCAGCGCCGCATCACCGCCCCGGGCTCGCGCCACACGCTCGCGCCGCAGACGTACCCGCCAAGGATGGCCCCGCCACCGACTCGCCCCGCGATAGTGAACCAGCCAAGGGGCAGACACACGTGCGGTCTGGCGCCCCGCCATGCTCCCGCCCTGCCATTTCCGCGGCCGCCTCCGTCGCGCGCGGCGCCCACGTGGCCGCCCGTCGGACCCCGGGTGCCCCCCCAGCCGTGTAATGCTAGGTTGCCCGGCGGTCGGTCAGCGCGGGCCTGGGCCCGGCCTTGAGGGGCGGCGCCGTCGCGCCCACCGGCAACTTGCGACCGCCGGCGCCGAAGCGGACCTGTACGGGCCGCGCGCAGCGGTATCGTTCGCCTTGGTAAGCAGATGCAAGCGCTCGTGGCGCTCCTCCTGGGCGCCTCCTTCCTGATCCGAGGTGCGAGATACACGCGCCCGCGAGCACTGTGGCGGCTCCGCGGCGCTCGCGTCCCACAGATCGAACCGAGACGCCGCGATGCCCCCGTACACAGCTCGCCCTGGCCCACTGCTGTTCCTGCGCCAGCTTGCCTGCGGGCGGCGACGCTTTCGTACTTGATCGCTCGGCACGGTTCCCTGATCTCTTGCGACCAGTTCGGCGGACGACAGAGCAATTTGCGGCCCTGCATCCACGCAACGCGGCACCTGTGTGAAAAAAACAGGGCTTGCAATCCTGCCGCCATGCGGGCGCACCACGCGAGCCTCGCGATCGCGACGGAAGCTTTGGAGCTCGTTGTATCCAAAAAGGCGCGACTGATCCCCGACAACTGCAGGTGCTGCGAGCGAGCATGCTATTGGAAGGGCACTGCTCGCCCATGACGCGGACTCCTGTCAGGTGCGAATCACGCCCGATGCTTCGTCGCACGAGGGTCTCATGACACCAGACGCTCCTGAATTTGCCCCGTCGGGCCGGGAATCCCCCCGTAGCGGTCGGCAGCAGCTCCGTGACCCCTGTCGGTTGGTGGGTGGCACGGCCGAGTATTGGCGGCCAGCAGCACGATTACGCGGACGGCAAACCGCGAATTCGGTGCTAGGAGGCAGTCTAGGGTGTGCGGGGCGCACCGGGCGGGCTCCCAGCCATTTCCTGGGACGTCTGTCGTGGTGGTTGCAGGCGCTCTTGGAGTCGTCGGGAATACGGGCACTCTCGCTCCAGGACACTGGATCCGACCTCCAGTGGGGCGCGAAAGAGATCACGGAGTCGTGGTTCCGGAGCAACGCGCAGGTGGCCCTCACATTGCCCGCGCATGGCCGCGCCCTCGACCCAGTGCTGGCGGCGCTCCCTCCGGGCCTCGGCACAGCGAGCGCGGCCTCATCCTCCCGCTCCGCCGCGCCGTCCCGCCGCAGGGCGTCACCTGGGTCCCGGACTCGGTCCTGAGCGACACGCCGAACTCACGCTCCCCTGACGAGGCGGGGGTGTTGCTCGGGCGCCTGGACGCGTCGCTGAGCGCTGCGGCGCCCGCGTGCGGCGGCGCGTGCCAGGCTCGGCAGCGCGCCGCGCTCGAGCGACTGTCTCCGTTCCTGGAGCATCACGACGCAGACCATGGCGCCCTGCACCACTGCTGCTGGGAGGGAGTCACGTGCTGCTCGGCGGCGCAGACGCTGCTGCCCGACACTAAGGACGGTGAGGGAGGCACTTGGCTCTCATCTCATTTCCGCTGCGTCCTCGGGATCGGCTGCGACCGACGGCCGTGAGTGCACCCGAGATGCCTCTCATGTTGAACGATCGCACAACGCCGTTCGTTTGTTCGATGCTGCGCAGGCCACGTTGGAAGTGTGCATGCGCCGTCGGGCAGGCGCTGCGTCCAGCCCGGCGGGGTCGCGATGGTGGTCGCACCCTCGTCGCACGACCACGACCATGCCGCCCGCGGCACCATCCCAGAGGGGGTGTTCGCGGACCTGGCGTCGAGTCTGGAGGTGTTCACCGCGCGCGCGGCGGGCGTCGGCGGCGCGCTGCCGAGCGACGTCCTGGACGCGCACCTGCTGCGTGTGCTGGACTTGGCCCACAACGCAATGGCAGGGACGCTGCCGGGGAGCGGCGTCGCGGGGGCGTGGACGCTACACCAGCGGCTGCAGTACGTGGATCTGTCGCACAACCACTTGAGCGGCGACCTGCCCGAGGGGATGCAGGTGCGCCACGAACACAGCGCCATGTGCTGCGGGGCGGTCTGACCAAGTCTGGCAGGCTGCCTGGGGCGGTCTTGCGTGCATCGACCACTCACTGTCATCGACTGCCCCACATGTCGGGCTGCGCCCGTGCCATGCTCGCAGGAAATCGTCGGCCTCACCAGCCTGCTCCTGCCCGAAAACCACATGCGCATTCCAGACATCCACGCGTTCGCCACCCTGCCGCGGCTGCACCAGTTCGACGCATTGAACAACACCGTCGCGTGGTCTCCGCACCCGCACAACTCGCCTCAGAACATCCCGTACCTCGTCCGCCCCCGGGGAGAGCTGTCTCTCGCAGACAGTGGCATGCGGGGCGTGTTGGTTCCTGGCATGTTTGTCAGCGGCTTCTCCTCCGTCGACCTGAGCGGCAATGACATCGGCGGCGAGATCCCTGCCATCCTGGCCTCGTCGCCGCACCTCGTCAGCGTCCGGCTGGGCAACAACAAGCTCACCGGCACCCTGCCCGACCCCATCTCCACCCAGCGCCTGGCGGAGCTGCGCGTCGGCGGGAACTTTGGCCTCACGGGGACGATGCCGTCGGACTTCAGCGCCAGCGAGACGCTGCGGGAGGTCGACGTGACCTTCACGAACGTCTTCGGTGCTATCCCAGAGACGCTGAGCGTGCTGAAGGACCTGCGGGTGCTGTCGAACTTCGGCAGCCTGATGACGCACCCGCTGTCGAGGCGGAACTCCCGCGGCGAGCTGCTGCCGGAGTTTCTGAGGTTCGCGACCATGTACACGGCCGTCCCCATGGGTCCATCTACAATGGGAACGACCTTCTCTGGCGATCGCACCCAGGGGCTCCTGCTGTGCCCAATGGTCGTGGCGGTGGCGCAAACGACGCTGTTTGCGCTCCTGTCGCCGGACTACTACAACTTCGAGGGCTGCATGTGCGACGGCGGCGGCATGGCCGCGTGGGTCGATGCGCAGGCGTCCTACGGGCCGCGGTGGGCCGCGGTGATGAACGACACCGCCTCAGGCTTCCCCGTGGACGACGAGGCGTATGTGGCGGACCACGTGCGCACGCGCATGATGATCTGCGTGCAGGAGGACAGCGGCATCGCGCAGTGGCACGTGAGCCTGATTGTGGTGTGCGGGGGCGTGGCGGTGCTGTTCGTCTGCCTGGGTGAGTGCCGCGACCGTCACCCGCGTGTGCACTGGCCTGTCGACCTGCCGACGTGGCGCTGACTCGCCTGTGTGCCCCGCCGATCGACTGCAGGGCTGGCGGCGTTCCTGCTGCGGCACCGCATCGCCAAGGCCGTCGCGGAGCACCGCCGCCGCGCGGGGCCGCCCACGGGCGGTCGCGAGATCACGATGGTGCAGACCGACATCGAGGGCTCGACGGACACGTGGGAGAACCACCCCCTCACCATGCAGAAGGCCATCTCCGTGCACGACGCGATCATGCGGCGGTACCTGCCGGCGTTCCACGGCTACGAGGTCAACACGGAGGGGGACTCGTACCTGATCGCGTTCCACACTGCAAGCGACGCAGTGGCGTACTGCGCGACGGTGCAGCTCGCCCTGTACGCGGCGCCGTGGCCGGAGGAGGACGAGGGGGTGTTTGCGCGCCCGCCGGTCGGGCAGCGGGGCAGCGGTCGGGACAGCCGCCCAGCTTCAGACGAGCAACTGCCAGGTGCTGCATGTCTGTCCAGGCCCACGCCGACACAATCGTTCGAGCCGGGACCGCTCTCAACGGCCGGCACGATGGCGTCGGGCGGCGAGCTCGCCGCCGCTCTCGCGCCGTCGCTGTACCGCGGGCTCTGCGTGCGCATGGCCGTCGCCACGGGGCACTGCAAGGGGGTGCGGACCAGCCGCGTCACGCGGCGCAACCAGTACGTCGGCGAGGTGATGGACTACGTGACGGCGATGCTGGACATGGCGCACGGGGGGCAGGTGCTGGTGTGCGAGCGGACGTTTGCGCGGGTGCAGAGCAGCATGGCCGGCACGTGGGGCGCGATCGCGTCGAAGGCTCCGTACCGGCAGGTCGAGCGCCTGATGCGCGGCCTGGTGCGATCTTTCAGCGAGCGCTCGCGGGGCTTGTCCGCGAGCTCTGGGCTCCGGAGGCGCAAGTCCCATGCACTGCTTGCCTGCAAGAGCGTTGCCGAGGGCGACATGGCGTCGCAGAGGCTGCAGCTATCATTTTCAGGGCCAGGACGGGGCGCAAGCAATCGTTCTCGCGGGTCCAGGGGCTTTCCAAACCCGGGCGACCAGAGACCGAACATTCAGGAGCTGTCCACAGGGACGGCAGCGGCGGCCGCGGAGATCCAACGATGCCCATCGCTCTGCGTACCGCCCCGCATCGTCGCGGCCGCCACGTCCGGCGGGCAGGACACAACCACGTCCCTGGGCGGTGCACTCACATCTCAGTCACAGGCCACGGCCGACGCCCTCACGGCAGCGGCCTCTCGCGACGCCAGGGCCACCGTCACATTCACCGCGGGGTCCCAGAACGACATGCGCTTCGTCGCCGTCAAGAGCCCCTCCAGCGTCCCGTTGTTCCTCTCCCCGAAGCCCAGCGCACCGTCCGCGCACTTCCCGCTGGCCCGCGACGCGCCCGCCCGCGAGGACCTGCGCTTCCTCGACCTCGGGCACTACGCCGTCGTCAAGGGCGACGCGCCCGTGCAGCTGTACCAGGCGCTGGTGCCGTTCCTGGAGGAGCGCGCTGGGCGGGAGCCCCCGCCGGTGTCGAGCGAGCTGCGGCAGGGCGGGTACTGGCACGCGCCGGCGACGGCGGGGAGCTCCGTGGCGCCGCAGCTGAAGCAGTGCCCGCACGCGGCGGCGCGCGTGGACAAGCTGAGCGCGGCGACGGTGTCGTCGTGCCCGACGTGCTGCGCGGCGACGGCTGCGGCGCTGGCGCAGACGCCCGTGGCGATTGTGTTTTGCGCGGCGTGGAAGCTGGACGACATCGCGAGCCTGGACGCGCGCACCGCGGACCGCGCGGTGGAGGTGTTTGCGGCTGCGGTGCGGCTGACGCTGCCGCGCTTCAACGGGTACGAGTGTCAGGAGATGGTGGGGTCGTTTATGTTGGCGTTCCACAGCGTGGGCGACGCGCTGCTGTGGGGCCTGTGCCTGAACGAGGTGCTGCCGGAGATGCCGTGGCCGTCGCGGCTGGCGAGCCTGGCGCCGAAGCGCGGCGACCGCGTGCCGTACGCGCCGCACGGCCTGCAGGCGCGCGTGGGCATCTGCTCGGGCCCCGTGACGTCGGTGATGCCGCACGGGACGTCGGGGCGCGCGGACTACTTCGGGCCGGTGGTGAACCGCGCGGCGCGCATCTGCTACGGCGTGTGTCCGCCGGGGCACGTGGTGGCGCCGGCCGGCCAGCTCGCGGACGGGCTGGCGGAGCTGGGCGGGCGCACGGCGGTGGACCCGGGCTTCTTCGCGTGCGTGGGGGCCGCGCGCGCTGACGGCAGCCGCGAGCCGACGCTGCTGGGCGACGAGGGCGGGGTGAGGCCGCTGGAGGTGGCGTGGGTTACGGAGGCGAGCGACGCGCGGCAGGCGCTGGGCCCTGCGAGCGCCCAGCTGGCGGCGCGCGTCGTTGTCGCTCCCCCTGCGGGTTCCAACTGTCACCGTGAGGCCCGGAGCAGCGGAGGGCCTGGCGCGTCCGACGCCCAGTGCGAGCACCTGAGCAGCGGGGACGCAAGTGTCCACAAGACGACGCAACGTGGGAGCTTCGAGCTGCCTTCGGGGCTCCAAACAGCCTCGTCTGCAGCGGCGGCGGAGATGAGGCAAGTCAGGCCCGACAACCGCTTCAAGCACCGCGCGCCGCCCGGCGCGAGGCTGCAGGCGCGCGTCACATTCCGCAGCAGCATCGATGCGGGCCGCGCCGCGTCCCACAAACCGTCAGTCAGAGAAGGATCCGTTCTCAGCAGACTGTCGATCGCAGCACGCCCCCCCGCGGACCTCCGCGGCCGCCCGGCCTCGGCATCCGGTTCCCAGCACCTGGACATCCCCGACTGGATCATGGCCAGGACGACGGTCGTTGCGCACCACCTCGGTCAGTTCAAGTTGAAGGGCATCGCGGGGGAGTTTGCCCTGGCCTCGCTGGTGTCGACGCGCAGCCGGAGCGCCGCGGCGCCGCCCGGCGTCGCCGGGAAGAAGGCTACGCGCACCGCGGACGGCCTCGGGGAGGCGGTGCGCGCGGCCGTAGCCCTTCCGCTGCCCACGGACCTCCCGCGCACTCTGGCGACGGCCACCACGCGCTCGCGGGCCACAGGCACCACGCACGCCGACGCGCGGAGGCGCGGGTCCGTGGCGGGCACGGCGCGCAGCCCCGGGCTGTCGCACGCGACTAGATCGTCGCTCTCCATCCTCGAACACTGACATGCACCCCGCAACCCCCTTCCTCCTCCCCGCTTTCCCCCGGCCTTGCCGCAGTCGTGACACACGCATGCATCTTGCTCAGAGAATCAAATGCCGAAGGACTCATCCCGGCTCCCTCTTCGCTCGTTGCTTCCACAGACACTCTTCGCAGTGCACTCCGTGCCTTGCTTGAATCCAATCCCCTTCCCCGCCTGGGCGCTCCCCAGGTCGGGATATGCATGCCCGTTCGCTGCAGTCCCCAACGCTCCACCCTCTCGCCGCCTGTGCGGGGAAATCGCCAGCTGCAGCAGTGCAGTCCCAGCCGCCCGCCCGGTCGCAGCCCATCCGCAGGACATGTTCGCCGTCTCCCGTGGCGCACACGCACCGTCGCCTCCGCACGGTGGGCTCTGCGTCAATCGTGGTCGTCCGTCCACTCGCCGCTCAATGCAGTGCGCACCCGCCCCTCCCATCAGCCACGACCGCCAAGATCCGCAGAGAAGCCCGCGTACGACTTGGCCGCTGATCCAGCAAGCTTCGGCAGCCCGCCCCAAGATGCGCCCAGGCACCAGGCTGCCCCGCAGTTGCACGACCCCGCACGGAGAAGGATCCACCGCCGCAGACTCGAGTTTGTCCGTCAGTCCAAGATGCACACCTCCTCCTCCACCTCTCCCTACAATGGTAGGGCGAGGTGCTGTGACGGCGCAAAGAAGTCAGGCCGTGTGCGGCGGGCACGACGTGCAGACGCAGCGACACGGTGAGAGGACGTCCAACTGCACACCGGCGTGCTCGCAGTCGTCCGCGCAGCCACCTGCCAGCCCAGCCAGCAGCCGGACAAGGGCGGCGTCGCCCCGCACTCCACGCGCAGTCGCGGGCCAACACGAGCGAGCGCGGACTGCGCAGGCCTGCGAACCTAGGTTCTACTTCTTCCGTCTAGTGGAGCGGCTCACACGTCACCCGTGCTCCCCGCACCCCGGCAGCCGACGGGCTATATTTACCCGGTCTTCGCCGGCACGATCTCCAGCACGTTGCCGGCCTTGCCCGGCACGCTGCCCTTGACCACCATTGCGCCCAGCTCCGTGTCCACCGCGAGCACCTGGAGCTTCTTCACCTTGACGCGCGTGTTGCCCATCTGCCCCGCCATCTTCAGGCCCGGCATCACGCGGCCGCCCTCGCCCGCGTGCCCGCCGCCGATGGACCCGTGCTGCCGGTGCGACTTGGAGCCGTGCGTCATCAGACCGCGGGCCATGCCGTGGCGCTTGATCGAACCCTGGAAACCCTTACCTGCGGAACCAGGCGCACGGGGACGCGGCCTGAGCGCCACAAGGGCCGCGGCGGGCTGCACGCGAGGCCGCAGAGGTGTGCGCGGGCGCAGGAGGGGGGCGCGCAGCGTCGGTAGGGGAGCGCACCGATGCTCGTGCCCGCGATGTCCACCAGGTCGCCCTCCTTGAACATCTCCGCCACCTCCAGCTTCTGGCCGAGCTCGAACTCCTCGACGCCGTCGAACTGCAGTGTCGCCGCGGGTGGTGGCCGCGTCTTGAGGGGCAGGGCGGGGCGCAGGCGGGGACAGGCGCGCCAGGGGCGGGCTTGGACTACAGGGAGGCGTTTGGTTGCTACGAACTCCCGGGGGAAGGGCCCGTGGGCAGCCACGCGGGGTGGTGGCCAGGCCGGCCGCGGCCCCTTGGGCGGTCCCGCGGGCGCTCTGAGGGAAGAGCAGAGGGACGGAACTGCCCGCAAGGCGATCGTGAGAGAGTGTTTAAGCGACGTGAGTGGAGGAAAGCGGCACGCGGTGCGCGCAGGGGGCGGGGTCGGGACGGCTGGTGGCGCCGTGGCACTGATGCGGCCTGCACGGCTCCGTCGCGGCCTCTGGACGCATGATGACGCATGCAGGGCGCCTGAGAGGGACTCGGTATGCGTCTGGATTGGCGTTTGTGGCCGAAACGGCCGCGCGAGGTGCCGCGGAGGCAGATAAACTCGGCTGAAGCGAGGCGGCCTCGCGAGCTCCGCGCCGCGAGGGCGTCGATCGGGACTTGCGCACGCCCCGCGATCTCGAGGATTGTGATTATGGCGACGGCGGCGCGCGCAGGCCCACTTCGCGCGAGTTGCGCGCCCCACGCAGGCGAGCCACCAGGCTCCAGACGCCGTCGCGCTCCCGCGAGGGGCTTCGCGGGCCCGCGGCGGTCGGCGGAACCCGCTCAGGAAAACCAATGCCTCACCTTGAACTCGCAGGCCCGGCGCAGCGGCGGCGCGCCGGCCTTCTTCAGGTGGCCCAGGTTGGGCTTCTTTACGTTCTTCTCCTTGATCGGCTGGTACGACACCTGCACCGCGGCGTATCCGTCCGTCTCCTCCGTCTTCACCTGCGTGACCACGTTGCCCTCCTCAATGGCGATCACCGTCGCCGGGAGCGCCAGGCCGTCCGGGGTGAACCAGGTGGTCATGCCAGCCTTGGTGCCCATGATGCCGCAGCCCAGCTCCTTGGCGCGCGCCACGACGGTCATGCCGCGGGCGGGCGTGGCCCGCGCGGGCCTGCTCTGCGCCCGCAGCGGGGCCGCGGCGCCCGCGAACGTCGAAGCGGACGCGATCATTGCTGCTGGGTTCGTCCACTCCTCGAGCCCGAGCGTCCGGCGGATTCGCGGGAGGTCCTGGCCGCGTGTCAGTGCCCTCGTGATTAAGGGAGGCCGATGAAGGGCGCGGGGGCGGGCGAGGAGCGCCGCAGGCGTGGCAACGTGTGGGTGGTAGAAGTGACGTATGCAGGCCGGAAACGCCGGCGATACGCGCGCACAGGGCGCGTCGGCGCGACGGGGCCACCGCATTCGTACCGAGCTTGCGCAGCGGGGCCACCGGAGCGCGCGCCGCGTCGTACGCGCGGTGCTGGACCCGGTCACGTTCCTCCCGACGGCCAGAGCATGCTGCCAAGGCCCGACGCCGCGCCCGGAGCCTTCCCACACCGTAGACACTGAGACGGGGCACCCGCGCGACGCACGATCCGCCTCCCGCGATCCCTCCCGGCCCGGGTTGTCGCCTCCCCCGCCAAGATTGTTGCGCCACGAGGGCGCCCGCACCGTCCCGCAGGGGCCGAGTAGCCCTCTCTAGCCGCGCGTTCGGTCGCCTGCGCACGCGACAGGGCCGGGCGGTGAAAAACCCCGCTGGCCGCGCGTGGGCGCCGCGCCGGCAGAACGATGGCCCTCCCCTTTGACGACCTATTAGAGGGCCTGACGAACGAGGCCAAGGAGGCCGAGACCCGCGCCAAGCCGCAGGAGGAGGTCGAGGCACTGCTGGTGCGCACGCGCCCCGCGCGCCGGCGCAATATCTTCCGCGCCGCCGCCGTGGGAGCGCCCCCGCTGCGAGCTCCTCGCGTTCGTCTTGGTGGTCGGCGCGGCGCCCCCAGGCCGCTTGCGGCCTGTCGCGCGGACGTTCTTGGGATCCCCGTGCATAAAGGCTTCCTGCGTGCGGCGCCGTCCCGTCCCCGCCCGCCAGCGGGGCTCCATCGGCCTCGCATGCGCCTGGCGACGCCGCCAGCGACTTGATGTCTGCGCGGCGCCGCGCGTGCGCGCCACGGCGGTTGCGCCGCGCGAGCGCGCGCGAGAGGTGCATGAGCACGCAGCGCAGTGCCTGACGCAGGAGTGCGCCCTCCAGAGACGGCCGGCTGTCGACGTTTCACATCAGAGGGGCCCTCACCGAGCTCCTCGCGCGCTCGGCCCCGTATCGTGCAGGTGGACGAGAGCCTCGATGATCTCGAGAAGGCCAAGATGTTTCTGGAGAGGGGCGTCTCTGTGCAGCAACAGTTCGCGCTGGGAAGGCTGCCCGTCCTGGCAAGGGAATTCAACGCCAAGGCGCTCTCGGAGCTCCTGCCCATAATCTCCGAAAAGCTGACGTCTTACGAGAAGGAAGACCAGATAGCCGTCGCACACGTACGTCGCGCAGCCCCACGGACACTCCCCCCTCGCGCACGGCGAGCGGGCTAGCTGCTCCCTCCTCGCACCGCTACCCCTCCCGCCGGCGCCCTGCGGCGCCGGGAACCAGCCCGACACGCCCTTCGCCCCGTGTGCACGACGTTCCGCGCTTCTTCGCCGTCCGCCCCGCCCACCCCCGTTCGCGGCACGCCCCCCCCTTGGCATGCAGGGCCTGCGCGACCTCATCACGGAGGGCTACGTCAACGAGGTCGCAGTGCGCGACCACGTCCTCCCGATCGTCCTGAAGAACTTCACCGACCCCGAAGAAGGCTTCGACGAGGTCCGCCGCCCCGCCGGGCCCCACACCTCCCGGCCATCACTGCCGCCTGCCGGCCCCGCGACCCCACACAGCAGCGCCCCACCGCACCCCGCAGACCGTCGACGAGTGGGCCGAGGCCCTGCACGCCTGCGCGAAGGCCCTGCCGCAGGCCTCGATCGAGGCGGTGTACAAGAAGGCCTGCAAGATGGGGGACGACATCGCGACGGTCGAGGACCGCGAGAACTCGTGCTTCCTCACGGGCGCGGTGTGCGGGCGCCTGGGCCGCGCGGAGGTCGAGGGCTCGCTCCTGGGCCCCGCGCTGCGCATGTGCCAGGACTCGGACAAGGTCGTGCGGCGCTCCATGTGCAAGCAGCTGTCGTACCTGTCGCGGGCGCTCGGGCCGGCGCTGACGGAGGAGCGCGTGATCGCGGAGGTGCTCGAGCTGCTGTACGACGAGGAGGAGCTCGTGAAGGAGCAGGCCTTCCACGCCCTGGTGGACATTCTGGACCTGGTGTCGCCGGCGTGCAAGAGGGAGCGCATCCTGCCGCGGCTGTGCACGTTCTGGCAGGACCTGATGATGCAGCCGACGCTGCCGATCGGGGAGCTCTTCAGCAAGCTCAACGGCGCGATCGTGCTCAAGCTCGCGCCGGGGATGGAGGAGGAGGAGCGCCGGATGCTGGTGTCGTGCATGCGGTCCATGGCCAGCCCGCGGAGCCCGCTCGAGGTGCGGCAGAACACGGCGTACAACCTCTTCGGGGTCATGCAGGCCCTGGGGAGGGACTTCGCGGAGTCCGGCGGCCTCCTGGGCGTCCTGTCGACGCTGGCGCAGGACCCCGAGGTGGGGGTGCGCAAGACGGTGGCCGCGCTCTTCCACGAGGTGTGCGCGTTCCTGGGCCACCCCGCCGCGCACCGCCTGGGCCTGCTGGACACGTTCAAGGACCTGATGAGCGACGACGACCAGCGCGTGCCGGAGATCGTGCTGAAGAACCTGATGACCACCCTGCCGGCGCTGGAGCCGGAGAGCGCGAGCATGAAGGGCGACGTGTACCGGCGGGTGCTGGACGCGATGGTCGCCGCGCGGGAGGGGTCCGGGAACAACTGGCGGCTCCAGAAGGGCCTCGCGGAGGCGTTCCCGTCGACGATCAAGTTTTTGCCGCCCGAGGTGGTGCACGAGCGCGTGGTGCCGCAGCTGTCGGCGCTGCTGAGCCCGACGGTGGCGGCGGCGGTGCACGGGTCCGCGGGGCGCGCGCTCGTCGAGGTGCTGCGCATGCCGAAGCTCAAGAGCGCGTGGCGCACGGAGGTCTACATGAAGATGGTCAAGGACTTTGGGCGCGGGCGGGCGTGCTGGCAGCGGCAGGTGTTCGTGGAGATGTGCCGCGCGCTGCTCGCGTCGATGAGCACCAAGTTCTTCCGGGACTACTTCTTCGACTGGTGCGTGGACATCATGAACGACTCGGTGGCCAACGTGAGGTTGTCGGTGGCCAGCCTGCTCCCGGACCTGAAGCAGACGATCCGGCTGCCCGAGGACGTCGAGTACCTCGACCGCCTCAACACCGCGATCTCGTCCCTGATGACGGACAACGACCGCGACGTGTCGATGTTTGCGCGGGCCATGAACGAAAAGTTCAAGGCCCGCCCCTTCCGCATGGCGCGCGCCGCCAGCTCGTCCGCGGCGAGCTCGTTCGAGGCCGAGGACCGCAAGCGGGAGGTCGCGGAGCAGGAGATCGTGCTCTTGAAGGACGAGGTGGACAAGGCCCGCTACGCGCTGATGTGCGACCGCACGCGGAACAGTCGAACGCGCATGGCCGGGGACTCGAGCGTTGGCGGGCGCGGGGCCGGGCGGGCGGGGGGTCGCGGGACGACGGGGGCCGCGGGGCGGTCGCGGGCGTCGGCGTCTGGGGGCCGAACAAGCAGCGCGGCGTCATCAGCGGCTCGGGGGGCGACGGCGGCGCGGTCAGGGTCGGGGTCGATACCGTCGCCCAAGGCCGGGGCGGGGCGCACGGGGGCGGCGAAGACGGCGGGGCGGACAGCGGGTCGGACAGCTGCGCGAGGCCGCAAGTGACGGACAAGTTGTCGAGTGTGATCATTCAGTGAGAGCGCCCCAGAGCGTCCGGCGTCGCTCCGACGGCCGCTAGGGCTGTTCGGAATGTAGGTGCGTCTGCGCGCGCGTGTGTGTGCGTCATACGTGCCGTGGACTCCTCTGGACAGCTTCTGCTCCCGACCCTGCCCAGTGCTGACGCGTCCCTGCCGGCCAAGGCAAGTGTTGGCCAGCGCCGCCGCTCCCGCCGGCTGCGCCTACGCTTCAAGGGCCTGCATGGCGCCGCAGCCCTCGACTCGGACTCTCAAGTGCAGTGTTGTGCGCTATCTTTTGAAACTGCCGTATCAGCGAGGCGTGGCGCTCTTCGCTCGAGGCATCGAGGAACTGCGGGAAGCTGACTCTGTCACAGCTGCCGAACCTGTCACTTCAACTACGCTGGGGGTTTACGTCGCCCGCCACCTAGCCCTATATTTCAGGTCCTGATGCCTCACGGCAGAGGTTGTGTGGGGGACTCGGGAGGTGATGAGCTCGGGAACGTGTGAGGGATGATGCGGGAGTGCCTGGGCTGCAGGGCCGCAGGTCTTGCATGGAAACATAGAAACTGCATGCGGCATTTCGTCCATCCAGCTAAGCCGAGTGTGAAGGGTTTGCGGGAGGACTCGGCCCAGCTGGAACTGATCGCGAAAGCCACGCGGCTCTGATTTCGAGCTTGAGCGGAAAGCTGGATTGCGTGTTGACTGACATCTCCGATGACAAAAGCTACCAGGCAACACACTCCAGTGCCGGGCAGGCCGACGGCCTCGATGCTCCGATATCGGGCCAGGGATGCAACGAGGAGAGCGAGGGCGGGGGGGGGGGCAGGGCAGGGGGGTTTCTCGCGGCAGGGGGTGAAACGCTGTGTGCGGTGAGTTGTGTGGATCTGCATCGAATCTCTGCCGCAAAGCGTCAGATGTAGGCACTGATGCACTTGGATGGATCAAGATGGGCCTCCGCGGCGCCAGTCGACGGGGCACCGGGCGCAACGGAAGCCACGGGCGGGTAGAAAGCTCGCATGTGTGTCGGCTGAGTACACCGACTGTTGCGTGCCCGTGCATGGGACGCGGGGCGCGTCTTGCGCGCGGCGTCGTGTCCGCTGCGCTCGACCGAGCATGTCCTCGGTCGGTGACGTCGGGCCTGGTGTCTGCCCACAGCCATAGCCCAGGCCCGTGTCGCGGGAACCTTGAACAGGGAACCTTGAATGTGTCCAGTTACCTGGACAGCCTGGAGGTGTCGGCGCTTGCTTCGTCGGCGCAGGGCGGGCCGAATGCCGTGCACACGCGGGTCAGCTCGAGTCCTCAGGCACGGAGGGAGTGGTGCTGTTGAAGCGCTGTCGAGCTGCGGTCCGGGCCGGCACTGCCTGGTTCTGCCAATGACTCATTCTGTCGATCGAGAACCGCTTGGACGGGCCCGGAGTCTTCCTCAGGAGCTCGAGCGACTGCCTGTTGGGCCCGCGGGACCCGGTCCTCTTCGCGCTCAGGAGGTGCAGCATCGACGTGCCTGCAGCCAGCTTTCTGGCCGCGGCCGCGCTGTCGTCCGCGCCGTGCTCGGTGATCCCTGGAGTGAACATGTACGTGTCCATCCTGCCCTTGCCCTTCGCCTCGATGTGCTCGTGGACGAAGAACTCTTGCAGCGCCTCGGGGAGGCCATGGAACGTCGCGTCCGAGACACGGATGCATCCCGGGCGGCTGTGCTGCTCCATGCGCGCCGCAGTGTTCATCGTATCGCCCACGAGGGTAACGAGCTTGCGTTTCTGACCCACGACGCCCGTGGTCAGGGCGCCGGTGTGAATGCCCACGCGAATGCGAAGGCCCTCGCCTCCCTCGCCCGCCGGGATCGTCGCCGCCACGCGCAGCATCGCCTCGGCCATGAGCACCGCGGACACCTGGTGGAACTCGTCCGGCTCGAAGAGGTTGCACGCCACCACGTACGCGTCGCCCACCGTCTCGACCTGCACAGCGGGCGTCGGCACGCACTGCTCGGGCTGCGGCCGTCGCAACGCGGGGGCGCGGGGCGCTCGCACGCGCTGCACAGCGGCCCGCGGCCGCAGGAGAGCCTCACCTTGTACACGCCGATCTGGTCCGTCATTTTGTCCAGTCTTCCAAAGTACTCGTTCAACATGTCGAGCACCTCCGACCCAGGCCGGGTGCTGCTCATCTTCGTGTAGCCGACGATGTCGCTGAACACCACCGTGACCTCCGCGTGGTCGCGCTTGCACAGCGCGGGGCGCATGGTCCCCGGCGTGAGCTGCTGCCCCGCCCGCGTGAAGCCCTCGAGCGTGACCATCAGGCTGTCCACCGTGCGCTTCCACCACTTGCGGATGTCGACGCTGTTCGGCTCGCCGGGCTCGTGCTCCGTCAGCCACGGCAGGATGCGCAAGAGCCCGTGCTTGCCCTCCTCGGCGCTGCGCCGTGTCAGCTTCTGGATCCGACTGCCCTGGCTGACGTGCACCTTGGCCCGCCCGCCGCCCCGGAAGAGGCCTCGACGTGGGTTCGGCGGATTGCGACCGGGCTCGACGGCGTCCTCCGAAACGACGGGGCCAGGCCTGCCAGGCGAGTTCCGGTTGTTTTTCGAAAAACGAGTGCGGGCGAAACCCGACGCCTTCTTCGCAGCCTGGCCGGCGAACAACGGGCCGTTGCGCTCGAACTTGAAGCGTGCGCCGGCGTCCCGTCCCACGGCGCCGTTGAGGTGCCCGGGGAAGGCGCTCTGCGTGACTTCAAGCGGTGGGCCATCCGAGTCGCTGCGGAGTTCCTCGAGCGTGGCACTCATGTACTTGCCGGCCTGGCCCGCGAGCGGGCTCGCAGAAAGCATCGTCTGCTCTTCCAGCGCCCCTGCAAGCAACGTGCAAAATTCGGCTTGCGTCAGCGCCCACCCCCGCCCAGCAGCAAAGACAACGACAAAGCACGCAAAGAGAGCTGTACCGTCAGCGAGCGCGTCGCACATCAAGGCAGCCTACAAGCGTGTGCGTGCCGTTCAGACCTGGCTTTGCGCGGGCGCCCCCCGCGTGCACCTTGCCCGTGCTCCCGCGGCAGTCCTCCTCGGAATCCTTTCTCTTGTACTCGTGGGTTTGCTCGGCCCACCGCACCACGGTGCTCGCGGTCCTGCGGCCGGGCCCCTCGGCGGCAGCGGCCCATCCGTTGTCGGACTGGACCTGTTTGTGCGAGTCTGTCCCACTCCAGTCCGTCGGGTTGCCGTCCTTCCCCCGCCCCCTCACTGCCTCGAGCATGGAGGACCCGAACATCCGGCGCTTCACGCGCGGTGTTCCGGACCCCTCGTCGCTGAGGGGGTGTCCCACGCTGTTGTTGCGGCTCGTGTCGGGCTGGACGGACGCCAGGCCGTCCTGGTCCCGGATCGCCGAGGCAAGCAGCGCAGCCGACGCCTGGGGCGGCAGGATGTCCGCGACGACGTGGTTCTGCAGCAAGCACGCGATGTAGAGCAGCCGCATCGCGCCCCCCGCCATCATTAAGATCCCCCCCGATATCAGCGCGGGGTACAAGTCCACCACCACGCGGAAATAGGTCAGCACCACGCTCCCACCGATGCCAGCTATAATTGGCAGACCTGCAGGAGCGGACCGCGCCAGTGCCAGGTGAGGATGCGGGCGACACGGTCGACTGTTTGTTCGGGGGGGTGTGCAAGACGCAGCAACGTCGTCGGCGCGCGCGGCGGTTGTTCTTCTCACCGAGGAAAATCGCGGCAGCGAGGGCTGCGCGCGGGATGTTGTCCACCTCGGCCGACTGCAGACGCCTCTGCTGCTGCTGCCCCCAGGCCTTGCACTGGTAGCGCTCGAGCCACGACAGCCCCCGCGCGGGCAGGACGGGCACGCCGGGGAACAGCATCCACGAGCTCGCGACGAAGGCAATGTAGGGCGCCACGAAGGCCCCAAGCGCCGCGAACAGTGGCCGGGCCGCGGGCATGTCGTCGTGCGCAATCTTCTCCCACGCCTGGACGCCCGCGATGACGCCCACGCTGACGCTCACCAGCCCGATCGGAATCCACCTCAGGAGGAACGGCGCCGACGACGGCGTCATGAACGCCGCGTTCGCCAGGGCGAGCAGCACTCCGAACGACGCCGGCACTCCCAATTCGACGTTGATCCACGCCCCGCTGGTCCCCTCGAGCACGAGGGGCACGCACCAGAGGCTCACGAGGACCGCGCCGATCTCGCCGAGCCACGTGCGCTCGAACCGCCTCCCGGCCTCGCACAAGTTGAGCAGCGAGCCAGTCGTACACAGCAGGACCAGGACGAGGGCAGTGATCGTCGCGGGGGAGACGAAGATGGACGTGTAGGCCTCTTTGATCGTATCGTAGCACTCCCGGCGGTGGAACGTCGCGTGGTGGTCATCGACGACGCGAAAGTCGAGGAAGCAGGCCGGCGAGTGCACGTGGCACGTGTGCTCCCCCGGCGCGGGGGGCGCGTCCAGGTTGGAGCAGACCGCGCCGGCGTTCCACGCGAACCTGAGGCTGTGCAAGATGTAGAGGACGCCGCCGAACGTCTGGAGGAGGAAGACGAGGCACACGTAGGGGCCGAAGGACACTGGGATGAACTTGACCCCCTGCTGCAGGAGCTGCGAGAGGACGTCCGCCGCGTCTCGTTTCCTGCGGCGACGGGAGGCACGAGCGGAGTGTGTCGATGCGAGGGCGACGTCGCGCAGGTCCAGCGGCGGGGCGGATGCTACAGGCGAGCACTGCTGTGCCGGCGGCGCGGGGGGTACGCGCGGAGGCAGAGCTCGAGTGACGCAGTCGCATGTCATAATGCGGAGTCTAAGTTGCGGCACAATTGACCGGCTGTTCGGGTCGGATTTGTGCGCGCAGCGACCATTGACTCTGCCGGCAGCAGCGACGCGCCTCCGTGCGCGCATACGTACGTCGAATCGATGCGCCAGCTGATGACATTCGTTAGAACTATGCATTCTACTCGAAAACGTAGCCCGTAGCGCTGGCGCGCGCCGTCGGGGGCAGTGTGTATTGAGGGAGCACTTGCCTGGGCCGCTCAACGGCGTGGGACGAGAGCCCTCCAGCCGAGCTTGGTCGAGACCCCACGACGGACCTCATGCTGGCCTTCGCGCCGAGGGTCTGGTACGGTTCCCGGGCTTCCTCCGCGTGAGAGGCCATGGCAACACGACCGGCGCGGGCGCGCCGACGTGACCCTCAAACGACACGTCCGCGGTCGATGCGCCTCCCTCTCTACGTAAGTGTCATGTGCGCGCACTTCTCATCCTTCCAGACACTTCCTCCTGGGATCCTCACGCAGAAAGCACAAGTCGCAGGGATGTGCGTCGGGCGACGCTGGGTTCACCGTCGCGCTCCGAGCTTCAAGCCCATGGACGACTCTTGCACGACGCGCCCCCCGCGCGGCCCAACGAGGGCCGCGGGTCCCCAGCCTGCCCCCGCCGCTCGAACAGTCCAAGACCCTCAAGTGACTACATCTGTTGACCGACATCCGCCGTGTGCGGAAAACCTCGCCTTTTGGTTCTAGAACTACGTACCCGAGATGTTCAATCGGTACCGAGTCGCTTCGGTGTGGGTGCGCTCCAGCGGCCTCACACGCGCGCGCATGGTGATGCGAGCCCCGCAGGAATCCCCCCCTCCAGCCCGTTGTGGTTCGAGACTGAATCGCAGGAACAGCGGCGGGACTCTCACGGATCTTGAAGACAGAGGCGGCGGCGACGGACTGCGTGTGCGGCGCGCGCCCCCACGTTGCGGATTCCTGACCACGGCGCAAGCACCACGCGTCGCGCGGCGCTGGTGTCTGTTCCAGCCACCTCGATCGCAAGCACGCCTCGCCCAGGCAGCTCCGCATGCGCGCCATGCGGCAGGCAAGCCACGTAGCGCGCGCGCGCCGATGTCGGCGTCACAACGCCCCGTGCCTGCGCCGCGAGGGTCTACCACGCCCGCCCGGCGCGCGCGTAGGTCCCCCGGCTGCGGCGGTCGCGGTCCCGGCGCTCGTCCCGCCGCTGGCTGTTCCGGAGCATCACGACGATGATCCGCTGCAGGATGGCCGCCAGGTCCAGGAAGAGCTTCAGGGAGTCCCGGACGACGTCGGCGGAGGCCGGGGAGGTCTCGGAGCGCTCGATGATGACCTGGGTGTCGAGGATGACGTACCCGAGGAAGCACGCGAGCGAAAAATAGAGGTGCATGGCGTACATGTCGACGGAGCGGGAGGGGAAGAACCAGAGGGCGACGGAGAGGCCGAGGAAGACGGTGGTGGCGGAGGAGATGAGGCCGGCGAGGTAGAAGTAGGACCGGCGCGGGGAGGACAGCGCGGCGTACGACAGGCAGCCAAAGATGGCGGCGGTGGACCCGACCGCCGCGACGACGATGGCCGGGTCGACCGCGAGCGCGATCTCGACGAGGGAGCCCGTCGTGATGCCCGAGAGCGCCGCGACGCCCGCGAACATCATCTGGCGGTCCTTCTCGGGCCTGCAGCGCCGGTGCGAGGGGGTGGGGTGAGCGGGCGGGCGTCGGCGCGCTGTGGGGTCGCGGGCGGGGCACGCGCGCGCGGAAGGCGTCGCGACGCACCTTGTGCTGACGGAGAGCCAGACGGTGAGGCCGAGGAGGCCGAAGCGAACCAGGAGGCCATCCAGGTCGTAGTTGAGCTGCGCGATGGCGCCCAGCGTGGCGAAGAGGGAGGCGTAGAAGAGGTTTCGGTACACCGCTGCGAGGTGGCGCTGGGTGCGCCGGGATCTGCGGGGCGGGGGCGTCGCGCGGGGCGGAAGGTGGGTCTAGGCAAGTGGGTTGCTCAGCGTGCGCTCGTCATGGGACGTGTCGTCGCGGCGAGGAGCGCTCGTCGCGCAGACTCGAGCGGCGCGCCGGTCCTTGCGAAGCGCGGCGCCACGGTGGAGGCGCGGAGGCCCCGTGAGGTGGCCGGAAGTTGAGAGCGCGCACCGCGCGGGCGGGTGGGGCGGTGCAATCGTCTGGAAACGGCGCGCGGAGCGACGTACATGTCGTTGTTCTTCATTATGGTCTCTAGGCTAAAGCCCCCCATCGCCTGGGAGAACATGGCGCCGACGTCCATGCTGAAGCCTTCCAGAACCTCGCGTCTACCGCGCCTCAACGCTCTCTGCTGCTGCTCGAGATACGGGACTCTGATCGCTGATATCCAAGGAGAATGAGTGTGCCAGCACGTGCGCCCTGGCGCCGCATCGAGGCCGCGACGGACGCAGAATGGTGCCAACCGTGACTCCCCCCCCGCACCGAACCGGACGCGCACGACGGCGGCCGCACAGCACCCGAAGGCCACGCCGCCCGCTCCGCCAGGTCCGGCCGCGCGCGGCACTCCCACCTCGCCGCACCGACCCACGCCAGCAGACCCCAAGACAGAATCCCAACACAGCGCCCATGCCTCCCCCCAGCGCGGACGCACTCCCCCAGCAGCACCCGAGGCGCCTCCACGCGCAGCACGGCGCCCCCGGCCCCCCCCAACGCCGCACTCCGTCCAACCACGTTCGCAACCTCACTGCATCGTCTTGATGTTCACACAGTCCTACCTCCCATATGCCGCTCGCAGCGCGGCGCGCCGCCCGGCCCGCGCCGCGACGCCGTCCGCGCGCGCGAGTCCCGCCGTCGCAACACACCCGCTTACTTGGTCAGGCGCGCGTACCAGATGCCCGAGATCTTCACGTCCTTGGGCACCTTGGAGCCCAGGTCCGTGTCCGAGGGCTGCACCGACTCGAACACGCCGGCGATCTCGCCCGTCTCCGGGTCGTACTTGGCGGTCGAGAAGACGGCCTTGCCCGACGACGGCGCGACCGACTTGATGTTCTCCTTAGCCAGCTCCTCCTCGTCGCCCGCGCCCGTGGGGAGCGCGACGGCCGTGTCGTAGCCCTGCGAGGCACCGCGGCCCTTGGGGTCGAGGAAGGACGCGCCGCGGTACGACGGCACGACGAACTCGCCGCCGAAGTTCTCGAGCGTGCCCGAGGCGTTGAGCTGCTTCATGGTGTTCATGAAGGGCACCATCTCGCCACCGGGGAGCTTCACGGTCGTGGGCGCGAAGTCGATGCCCTCCTCCTCGTTGAACTGCACCGCGCCGTTGCCGCCGATCGTCATCTTGCCCTGCATGCCCGTCAGCGTGTAGGTCAGGCGCGTCAGCAGGCGCGTCGACACGAACTCAGCCGGCTGGCCCTTGAAGCCCGACTCCTCCTTGACCTGCGGAGCAGCCGTTCCGGGCGCGCGGGGCGCGTCAGAGCGAGCGGGGGACGCGGGGGCGCCGCGATACGCTGGCGGCGTGGCTCCACGGCTCGGCCCCGGAAGCGCCGCGTGGAGCGCCGCGTCGCGGCCGAACACGTCGGAGAACGCGAGGCGGGGACCGCAGCGAGCGGCGCGCGCGCGGGAGCGGGCCGGAGCGGCCCTGGAGCCGCGGGGGGCGCGCAGGCGGGGCATGATCCAGCCGAGATAGGAGGCGGGGCCCACCTTGATCGAGGTGGGCTCGAGGCAGAACTCCTCGAAGCGGTAGCTGCCGGCCGGGATGGCCTTGAGGTCCGAGGTGCCCTCCTCGATGACGGGGCAGGTGTTGGCGATGCCGGTGCCCTTGACCTGCTTGTAGGTCAGCGAGTTGATGTCGTCAAAGGTCAGGGCCTGGGCCGAGCCGGCGACGACCGAGGCGGCCATGAACGCGGCGGCGGCGGCCGAGGCCTTGTTGTCGAAGGCGCGGGCCTGGACGCTGCGGGGGGCGGGGCGGGGCGGGCGCGGAGTGAGTGGCTCTGGCGCCGGGTGGATCGAGCGCGTGCACGCGGGCGTGGGGGCGCGGGGCGGCGAGCGCGCGCGGTGGGGGGCGCTGGGGGGCCGTGAGAGGGGCTGGGCGCGCGCGGGGGGGCGGGCGTGGGCGGAGCGCGGCGGGGGCGGGCGGAGGAGGTGGGTGTGAGGGAAGGGCTTGCGTGGAGCGCGCGGTGCGGGGCGTGATTGTGCGCGGCGCGGAGACGGCCGATGGGATAAACGGGGAGCGAAATCGCCGGGGTCTGGGGCCATCGTGCCGCGGGAAGCAGCAGTTTAGACGGGACTCGGCCCTGGAGGATTCCGTCGGTTCGTTCGACCTCGTACGCGCGCGTTTCAGCCCGAAAGCAATCCCCGGCGACGCATGAGGAGTAGAGAAGTCGAGAAATGGCGACCAAGCGCCGCGGTGGTCCGCGTCGCGGGCGGGATCGGGGCTCTGCGTACCTGCGGGTCTTGGCCGGCGCAGCGGCCGGGGCCGTGGCGTTGAAACGGAGAGCCTGCATGATGGTGAACTGACTTACAAACAAGACGTCGCGAGTGCGCACGAAGCCGCTGCGGGCTCGCCCAAGTCGCGGGAGCGATCCGACGAGAGAGTATCCCGGATGCCCCCCCCCCGGATCCCTCGGCAGTGACCCGCTATCTAGGGCGAACGCCGCGCGAGCACGGAGCCTATATTCTGGAGCACCGTTTGCGCTCTCCTGCGAGACCGTGGCACGTCGCGCGAACGCGGCTCGGGAGGCCCGGGCTGCAGCTGACAAAAGCCCTCGTGCGGGCCGGCGCGCGCAGACGAACCTGCCCCGGACAGTCGACGCATTCTCTAGTGCCTACCCGAGCGTCTGTGATGTCGACCTTCGAGTATCTCGGCCCCGCTGGAGCGCATGCACCTCCCTTGCCCGGCGTCCTCGCCGCTGCACCGCGCACGCCTCCGCTGCCCCTTCCCGCCGCGGCGGACCAGACAGAGTAGTAATTGACCACCCAGACCCCCTTGGCCCCGCACCGTGCCAGACTCCATCACACCCCCCTGCGCGACAACCCGCGCCACTAGCCCCCCAGCAGGCCAGCAGACCCATCACCTGCACTGGCCCCGCTACAGGCTGTCGTCCGAGTCCTCCGCCATCATGTTCATCCGGCCGCCCTCGGGCTGCGGCGGCCGCGCCTCCGCCCGCGCGAAGATATTGCTCCCCTTTTTCCGCAACGTGGGGGCGGGCCGCAGCGGCCCTGCAGCCTGCGGCTTCTGCGCCAGCCTGCGGAACGAGCGACGCACGGGCGCAGCGAAGCAGTCAATGCCGTGCACGCACACGCAGGCGGTCGCGCGCCCCGCGGCGCGATCGCGTGCCGCCCGGGCGGCCGACTGCGGCCCGCGCGCATGGCACATGCGGGGGTGTCGGGGGACTCACGGTGCGGGCCGCGGGTTCGCGGGCATGTTCGTCTGCTCCTCGTCGCTCTCCGCGCCCTCGGACATCCCCATGAGCTTCGACATGTCCCCCCCGGCGATTCCCCCGACCGTCTCGGCGTGGGTGTTGACGCGCACCACGAACGACGGCGTCACGCGCGACGGCTTCTGCCCGACCTTCCGCTCGCCCGCGTCCGTCACCTCCAGCACGCCGTGCTCCAGCAGCCGCACCAGCTCCAGCAGCGCGTCCATCCCCACGCTGCCCTGCTGGAAGAGCAGCTCCAGGCCGCGCAGCTCGCCCGCGCCGCCGTCGAGGAGCGCGTCCTCGGGGACGGTGATGCCGAGGTGCCGCAGGCCCGACGCGTTGCGGAAGAGCCCGCTGCCGACGTTGCGCGCGGACGGCGCGCGCGAGAGGGCGGGCGTGCGCGCCGCCGACGCCGACCCGGGGCGGCCCGACGGCGGGCGCTCGCGGACGCCCTCCTCGGTCTGCTCCTCGAACGCTGCGGAGACGGCGCGCGCGGGGGGCGGGGCTCGTGAGCGAGGGCAAGCGCGCACGTGAGGCCCGCGATTGCAGCGGGGGGAGTCTCGAGTCGCGTGGGGGGGCACGCGCCTTCCAGGGTGCGCTCGAGCTTCGGCGTGAGGTACGTGTGCTTGCGCGACCGCGGGACCATCCCGCTGTCCTGTCGGCGCAGCGTCGTCTGCGCTGGCGCGGGGTGCACCGGCACGGGCGGCTGCATGCCCTCCTGGCTCCCGTTGGTCGACAGCAGCATGCCCCTGCTGCTCGACGCCGCCTTGAGGTGCCCCGAGCGCGTCTGCGTCAGCGGCGGCGGCCCGCTCGCGCCGCCGTCGAGGGAGCCGTCCACGTTCAGCTTCTTGCTCGAGCTGCCGTTGCCCAGCCCCACGCTCTTCAGCCGACTCATGATCTTGGGGATCGAGCTCGACTTCCCCAGCTGCGCCTTCGTCGGCGCGCCCGTCTTGAAGATGTTGGCGAGCACGTTCCCGAGCGCCTCGCCGAGGACCCCGATGGCCATGGTGGCGCTGGCCAGCTTGGTCCCGCGCTCGTGCACCTGCGCGGCCAGGCGGTCGCGCCGCTTCTCGACCTTGGCCATCTGCGTCCGGATCGCCTGCATGCGCTCCGCGACCTCCCTGTCCTCGTGCAGCGCGCGGCTCGCGTCCAGGATGGCCTGCTCGCGCCCGGCGCGCACGTCCTTGAGGCGCTCCTGGAGCTCCTCGGTGCGCCGCAGCGCGCGCGCGACCTCGACCTGGGCCTCCTCGTGCCGCCGCTTGTGGTCCTCGTACAGCTGCAGCACGCCGTCGATGCTGTTCTCCCCCGTCGCGCGGAACATGTGCTCGATCTGGTCCTGCAGCGGCGTGCCCGCCTCCTTGGTCTCGCGGATGTGCGTGGCCTGCGCGGCGACGGCGCCCGCGACGCCCGTCTTCTGGATGACGCGCTTGAGCGCCGCGTCGCGCTTGTTGCGCCGCCGGCGGTCCGCGGCGCGGTTGTTCAGCTCCAGGATCTCGGCGCGCAGCGTGTTGAGCTCCTCGTCGCGCTCCACGAGCGCCGTCATCAGGCGGTCCGTGTTCAGACTGCACTCCTCGTACGCCTCGTGCAGCTGCTTCGCCGTGTTCGACGCCTCCAGCCGCGCCTCCGACACCTCCACGCGCGCGCGGCCGATGACCTTCTCCACGCTCTCGATGTCCGCGCGCTTCTCCTGAATGCTGTGCTGCACCTCCCGGCACTGCTTCGACGTCCGCTGCAGCAGGTAGTGCAGCGTGCGGCTCTGCAGCTCGGCGTCCTTGTGCCGCCGCCCTATGTTCTCCAGGCGCGCCTCCACCGCCTCGAGCTCCTCGCGCGCGTTCGACTCGTTCGCCTGCACCAGCTCCATCGCGCGCAGCTCGCCCACGAGCTCGTTCAGCTGCGCCTCGCGCTGCCGCATGTCGAAGCCCACCGAGTTGAGGTCCCGCTTCTTGCGCATGATCGCGGCGCGCAGCTGGCCCGCGGAGGGGCGCGCGAGAATGTCCTCGGGGACCTCGTCCGGGCGCGGGATCCGCGGGGCGTCGCGCGCGGCCGCCGAAATGTTGTTGGGTTCCACCAGCCGCAACATCCCCCCGCCGCCGTTCGGGCGGCGGCGCAGCGGGGCGTCGACCTTGCCGCCCGCGCGCCCCGCGGCGTCCCAGGGGCGCTTGATCGCGTCCTGCGTGCCGATGTCGCCGAAGACGGCGCCGGGGTTCCCGCGCCGAATGCGGATGGGCCCCGTGCGGGTGTGGGCGTGCGTGGCGGCGGGCGCGCGCCGGGGCTGCGTCGCTGCGAGCGCGGGGAGCGGCGTCGGCGGGTCGTCGTCGCCGGAGTCGTCGTCCATCACCATCTGCTCGGCGGTGCGCGGCTTCGAGGAGTCGCTCGCGCGGACAGACCGCACCCTGCGTCACGGGGAGTGGGGGGGTTATTGCGGGGGCTGGGGCTCCGGAGGGAGAAGGGTGGGAGAGAGAGTGCCGTTCGGGGAGACGGCGATCGCAGCGCGGGACGATCTGTCGGACAGCAGGGGCCAAGGTGCACGCAAGAACGACAAGCGTGCTGCTGGTGCCGGGGACGCGGCGATGGGCGCAGCTAGGGTGGCGATGGCGCGACAGAGCCAGCTGCGGAGGTTGCCGGCCGTGGGAGCGCCGGCTGCGCGCGTGCGGCAGTGCAATGAGAGCGTGAGCGCACGAGTGCAGTGCAGTGCAGGTGCGCACCCGGCGACGGACATGGGGCGGACGTACGACGAGGGTCCGCTGGGTCGAGAGACGGGCCGGGTTTGCTGCGCGGAGCTGCCGGGGCGGCCGTCGGCGTCGCCGCGCTGCGCCAGCGACGCCGATCGGTTCTCGCGGAAGACCTCGCGCGAGTTGGGCCGCGTGGCGCTGTTGCCCGCGGTCCCCGCGCGCCCATCCTTGGTCGTGCCGGACCTGCGGCCGGGCGCGATGGGAACGGGGGCGAGTCGATACAGTTCGCAGGTTGTGCAGCAGGCGCGAGGGGCGAGGGGCGCGGGCGCGGTTTTCAGCGCCGTTGAGGGCGGAAACCCGCTGCTGCTGTCGCAAGCAACGCCATCAAGGCAGGTTGCGCGTGCATGCACGGCCGCATGCGGCGGCGCGCGCGGTGCGGTGGTGCTCGACACCATCTGCGGGCGCCTGTCGCGACGCGGCGGCCGCAAGCAGGCGCTGTCCGGTGCGCTGTCTCTGTCGTTCGCACCTAGAGCCGGGCGCGAGCGAGCTTGGTTTGGTGACGCCGTGTCCGAACGCAGGCACTCCCGCCTCGTCCAAGCTGAAGGTGTGCGGTTGCCCGGCCATGGCCCCTGCTCGCCCCCGCGCGCTCGCGGAGCGTCACGGAGACTCCAGTCGCCGGGCAACCAGCAGCGTCCCGGGCCGCGCAGGAGCTCGACGCGACGGGGTTTCCTCCCTTCGTGATCAGTTGAGCGATTCCTGCGGACCTCGCGGGAACGACGGGCGCTCGTGTGGGCGGATCGAGGATGTAGTGCACGCTCATCCCTGTGTCGGGTGGCGGGCGCGGTAACACGGGGTTCCGGGGGCAAAGAGATCAAGGAGGAGAGCAGGTGCTCAGGAAGCGCGCGCCCGCGGCGCTGCAGGCATCCTGGGAGCCGCTGGTGCAGCGAATCTTCCGTATCAGGGTCGCAGGAAGCGAAAATTCGTCGAAAGCGCGACGTGTGGGTGCGGTAGGCGGCAGGGCGAGCGACACTGGCGCTGCTAACATGCTCCCCGGCACCAAAGCGGGCCGCCCGTCGCTCGGCGCGGCCGGACCCGAGCGCGACCACGCGGGACGCAGCACTCGCCGGTATTTCTGTGCGATCGCGGAGTTTCAGAGCGCGTCGGGCCGCGCGGCCGCGGTCCGGGGCGCCAGCACAGGCCGCGAGCACCAAGCCGGCCCGGTGCGCTCAGCCCCCGGCCCTCAGTCGCATTTCTTTGCCTCCGCGGCCAGGACACATCTAGTCCTATCGCCGGGCGGGCGCGCGCGGCGAGGGGCACGGAAACACGGCCCTGGAGCGCAGCACGGCTCGGACGATCACCGCAGGGACATGCACGGCGGGTCGCGGGGTCCGCGCGGGCGGCGCGGTGGGGGCGCCGGGGGCGGCAGCGCGGCGCACCTGAAGCTCGCGGAGCCGCCGGGGCGCGTGCGACGGTCCCGCGTGCGCGCGGCGGGCCGTCGGGGGACGGCAGGGATGTTGCCTGGCAAGAGAGGCTCGAGTGGTGGCAGCGCGCGGCTCCGTGCGCAGCGGCGCCTCGATCTCCGCAGATATCGTCGAGATTCGCTGCCAAGTGCCGCTGAGCGCCGCTGCCCCGAGCCGTCGTCGCGCCACGACGCCGCAGCGCCGCGGAGAGGGCCCTCGTGACGAACGGTCGCGTCCGACGGCCCCGCGCCGCGGCACCCCTGCGCCCTGAAGACGCGGCCCGCCCGCACGAGCCGCGCACTCCCACGCTGGCATCCACGACGTCCGGACGCCAACAGCGCACAGCCCGCGCCACGCCACGAACGCGAAGGAGTTGCGCTGCGGACACAAGCTGGCTGCGGTCCACAGCTGGTCAGACCACCAGCGCGCCCTGCCGCGGCGTGCCTGCGACGTCTGCTGCGACGTAGCGCTCGGCCGACGCTGCGCGGGGCCGGCGAGGGGTTGACGGCGCGTGGCTGGCCCGAGTTGGGTGTGGAGGTTTGAGTGCGGGAGCGGGGGGTCGAGGGACGATGGTGGTGACGCAGCAGATCCAGGAGGGGAAGTACACCGAGACGGTGTACAGGTGGATCGCGGACGGGCGATACCAGGAGGCTATTGAGCTGCTGGGCATCCAGCTGCAGGTGCGCCAGCACACGGGCTGCGAGGGCCGGTTGCCGCGTCCCAGCGCCCGGAGGCACTCATGCGAGAGACTGGGGGCGCTCCAGCTGGCTGTTGCGACCCAAACGTCGCAGAAACGCGACGGTTCGCCCCGCGGGGCCCCCCCGGCGCGCGCCCGCGCACCGCGTGCGTGCTTCGCCGCTCGCGCACGCCAGCGACGCGCGCCTCGCGGCGAGATCTCGCTCGCAGCTGCGCCGTCGCGGACGGAACGTCGCAGCGGCGGCGCGCGTCGTGGCGGGCCGCGCCTGTTGTGGGCGCTTGGAGCGGGCCGCGCGTGCTCGACTTCAATGCGAGGGCCCCGAGCGACGCCCGCGCGGCACCCCGCAGCCTGCTTTCCGGCAGACTGGCACGCAGCTCACCGCATGAGCACGCGGCCGCCTTCCATCCCGCAAGCGCGCCGCCCCCGGCGACGCTACGGGCTCGTTCAGCATGTGCTGCATGGGGGCAACGTTCCCGCGTGCGACGCCTCCCGCGGCGCATCCGGCGCGCTCCCCGGCGCTGCGCGGCATGGGACCGCTCTGAGCTACGCGCGAGCCGTTCTGGTTCGCCCGCAGATGTCCCCGGGCAGCCAGGCGGCCCTCTCCCTGCTGGGCTACTGCTTCTTCCAGGTAGAGGACTACGAGAACGCGACGGCGATGTACGAGCAGCTCGCGGAGAAGTTCCCGCACCAGGCCAAGTACAAGATGTACCACGCGCTCTCCCTCGCCAAGACGGGCCACCAGAACGAGGCCCTGCGCGGCTCGAAAGAGGTGCGCCGCGGTCGCGCGCCTGGACGGCCGGCCCCGCAGGGACGCCCGCTCCGCACCCGAGCGCGTCGTCCGCGCCCCGTTACGCCGCGCAGGTAGAAGGTATGGAGTCGGACAAGGCCCTGTTGGGTTTCTACGTGGCGTACAACCAGGACGACTTCAAGGCCGCGCGCAAGATGCTCACGGAGTTCTCCGAGGACGATGCTGCGCGCCTCATCAACGAGGGCTGCATCCTGTACAAGGAGGAGAAGGTGCGCGCACACGCACCCGCCACGGACCCGCGCCGCCCCGGCCGCCCGCAGCGGACGTCGCGCGGCCCTGCTGACGCACAGTCGGCCGCCGGGTCGACCGCCGGGTCAACCGCCGTGCCTGCGTCCTGCACCTCGATTCCCTCCCCCCCGCCCCCGCCTGAAGACACGGTGAGTACAACACAATGGACCCCCCCCCGCACCCCGCCCCCGCCCGCAGTATGAGGACGCGAAGGCGAAGTTCGCGGCGGCGATGCAGGCGGTGGGCGAGAGGCCCTTTTTGCTGCACAACATCGCGCTGTGCCACTACAAGACGGGCGCGTACGGCCCCGCGCTGCAGTTCGTGGCGGAGATCATCGAGCGCGGCGTGCGCGAGCACCCGGAGCTCGGCGTGGGCTCGCACGTCGACGAGGCCGGCGCGATGTCCGTGGGCAACTCGCAGGCGCTGCGCGAGACGGCGCTCGTCGAGGCGTTCAACCTGAAGGCCGCCATCGAGTACGACAACAAGCAGAACGAGAACGCGGTCGAGGCGCTGCAGGACATGCCGCCGCGGGACGAGTCGGAGCTGGACCCGGTGACGCTGCACAACCACGCGCTGATCCACTTCGACGACAACCCCGCGGAGAGCTTCCGCAAGCTCAACCACCTGCTGCAGAACCCGCCGTACCCGCCCGAGGCGTTCGCGAACCTGCTGCTGCTGTACTGCAACCCGCGCATGGAGATGTACGAGTGGGCCGCGGACGTCCTGGCCGGGAACGAGGACCTCGTTCAGAGCAACCTCGCCAAGACCCCCGACCTGTACGACTTCCTGAACGCGCTGATCGCGCGGCAGAGCTCGCCCGAGGAGGGCTACGACAAGCTCGATGCGCTGCGGGACAAGTACGTCAAGGAGCTGCGCGGCCTGATCAAAACGATCCAGGACAGCCGGCAGCGGGGGGACCAGGCGGCAATCAAGAGGGGCATCTCGCGGTACGACCACGTGCTGGAACAGTACATCCCCGTGCTCATGGGGATGGCGCACGTGTACTGGGACATCGGGAACTACGCCGAGGTGGACAAGTGCCTGCAGCAGGTGCGTTGGCGCGCGGCGGTATCGGTGCTGCCGAGCGGGTCCGCAGCGGCAATGGCGCCCCCTCGTCGCCCCCCGCTGCGTGATCGCTGTGTGCGCGTGTTGCGCGTGCGTGGACGCGGCTCCAGACCAACACCCCCCCTCACATCAACCCCCCCCCCCCTTCCATGTGTGCTGCGCAGTCCGCGGAGTTCTGTTCGGAGCACGAGGTGTGGAAGCTGAACGCGGCGCACGTGTGTTTCATGAAGGAGGAGTGGAAGGAGGCGATCAAGTTCTACGAGCCCATCGTGCGGCGCGAGGAGGACACTTTGCGCGTGCCGGCCATCGTGCTGGGCAACCTGTGCGTGGCCTACATCATGACGTCGCAGAACGAGCACGCCGAGGAGCTCATGAAGCGCATCGAGCGCGACGAGGAGCGCATCGCCTTCGCCGAGCCCAAGAAGCGCACCTTCCACCACTGCATCGTCAACATGGTCATCGGCACGCTCTACTGCGCGAAGGGCAACTTCGAGTTCGGCATCGCGCGCGTGATCAAGTCGCTCGACCCGCTCGAGAAGCGCCTGAGCACCGACACGTGGATGTACGCCAAGCAGTGCCTCGTGGCCATGGCGGACAACTTGGCGAAGCACATGATCGTGCTCAAGGACGAGGTGGTCGAGGAGACGATGCGGTTCCTCGACGAGGCGGAGAAGGCCGGGCGCGGGATCGCGACGGACTTCGGGACGGACCCCGACGAGCAGCGGTCCGTGGCCACCGAGGCGCGCATTCTCAAACACGTGCTGTTGAAGCTCCAGGACTGACGCGCGCGGCGGTGTGAGCGTACGTACGTGCATCTGGACGAGCGCGTGTCACTGCGGGTCGCATCGACCGAGAATTGGGGCGGCCGAGAGCAGAGCAGCGATGATGGAGGAGTGCGCAGTGAAAGAGAGGGGGTCTGCAGGTGTGGGAGTGATGCGCCCGGGATGAGGTGAGGTGAGGTGTCACATTCTTCGCGTCGTCAGCCATAAGGCTTTGGGACCTGAAAATGTGGGCCGCCACATGCGGTGCGTGTTCCCGCGGGGCGTGCTCTCGCTGGCGCACGAGGGTTGCGGCGCGTGGTCCAAACGCAGGTAGAAGCCTGCCCGCTGATGGACCTCACAGGCACCCTCACCGCGATTACGTGCGGGCAGCCGGCCGCCGAGCCGTTCCAGGGCAGGCGACGTCGAGTCGCGTCGTTCGGTAGGTAGTCTCCGTGTTACACACGGGCCGCGACGCTGAATCGGGCTCAACGCCGCGCAGTGCACACATCGTGGCGAACGGGCTCCCGCGGGGCCACGCCTGCGCGGGCCGCCGTCTGCGCCCGCCTCCACGACCTCCGCCAGTCATACCGCCAAACAACACTCCCCCCTACTCCAGCTCCTCGTCCCCGTCCTCGAACAAGGCGAGCTTCGCCGCCACGTCGTTGCTGAGGCCGTCCGCGCGCGGCGCCTTCGAGATGTCGAAGTCGTCCCCGTCGAAGCTCTGCATGTCCAGATCGCGGTCCGTGCTCTCCGCCGTCGGCATGGCATGCGTCGGCACCGCGCCGCCGTCGCCGTCCTCGCTCTCCACGCCATCCAGGTCAAGCGGCTGCGGCTTCTCGTCCCCGCCCATCAACGTCCCGGGCTTCGCGAGCTCCCCCTCGCCCCAGCCCCCGCCCTTGCGGCGCGAGCTGCGCCCCGCGCCCGCACCCGCCCGCGGCCCCCGCTGCGTCTTCGCATCCGCCGTCCGCCGCGGCCCCGCGGCCTCCAGATCCATCTCGAGCTGCTCCGGCTTCGATCGCCGCGACGCCGCCGCCTCGGGGTCGGGCTGCACCGGCGCCGCACACTCCTGGTGCAGCGCCGACCACGGGTCGTTTGGGTCGTCCGACACGAGGCTCTTCGCCTGGATGCTCGAGTAGTGCTGCACGGGCTTCTGCGGCGTCGCGCCGCCGGGCGACGAGCCCCCATGCGCCGCGCCGTGCACGCTGTTGACCGGGCGTGGCGACGCGGCCGAGTTGGCGCCCGAACGCGGCGAGAACGCGTCGACGTCGTCGAGGCCGTTCGAGGACACCCCGGAGCCCCCCTTGGTCGGCCGGAGCGACTTGGCGGTCGCGAAGTTGCTCTCGCTCTTCGGCGTGGGAGACGTGAAGTTGTGCACGGCGCCCGTGGTGCTCGCGTACGCCGCGGGGGCGCCCGGGTTCTTGCTCGAGGGCATGCGCATCGCCGGCTGCGGCGACTTCGACAGCACGAGCGCCGGGCCGTTCTCCTCCGCGCCCTTGCTGTTGCTGTTGGCCTCGCTCGCCACCTTGGTCAGCTGCGGGGGGGGGACTCGGGGCTCTGTTCGGGCTCTGAGGCGGCGAGGTGGCGGGGCGGACCGAGGTCGTTCCGCGCGCACAGAGCAACGGCGCGGGGCGGCCGCGGGCCCGCACCGACGGCAGGCGGTTGGGTCCGCGCGACGGGGTCTTCGCGGGGGGCTTGTGGCCGCTCCGGAGCGTGGCCTGCTGCGCGTCCTTGTCGAAGCGGTGGTCGAGCCCCTGCTCCTTCGTGCCGAGCGAGGACTTGACGATGCCGGTCACCTTCTTGCCGGCCGCGCCGGCCCCGGCCCGCGGCGGTGTGGCCATGGTGACCGGCGTGATCTCCGCTTGCTTGTCCATCAGGTTCGACAGAGGGTCCTTGTCCTCGGGCTCGGCGCCGAAGGTCTCCATCCCCTGCGGCGAAGCGGGGCGGGGCTGCGCGGTCGCACGGCGCGCTGGCCGAGTGCTGAAAGTGTCAACGCGTGCCGTGGCAGCGCGCTGGAGGCCCTTGGGACGGCCGTCGCGGCGTGCGGGTGCCTGCGTACTGCTCGTGCAGCCGGGGCGCGCGGCGAACGGCGCAGCAGCGCCGCGAACGCGCCGCTGGGCCGCAGGCAGCCAGCGCCCCGTGCAGCGCGAACCCCGGGAGCCGCGGGGGCGCGCCAAACGATCCGAGCGCGCGGATGCAGTTGCTGTGTGCGGGGATGCAGGCGGCCGGGCGCTTCGCGCTGCAGACAGCGCGTGCCGCGTCCCGGGAAGGAACGTGACATATTCTGAGCATGAGGCGCCTCCGCGCGCAGCGTCAGCGACGGCTTTGCGCGGTCCGGCGGCCGCGCCGTCTTTCGTCGACGCTAGGCCTCGCAGCCAGCCACCGTGGCCGCCAAACGAGGACGTGTTCGGCCGGGCCGCGGCCCCTGAAGACATCGCGGAAGAGCATGGCACAGGGTGCGCGGTGGTGGCCCCGGCGAGGCGCGTCGGGGGCGCGGCCCGGGATGCGGCGTGGCACGTACCATCGTGTCGGCGAGCTTCTTGTCATGGTTGGTGAGCTTGTCGAGCGCCTGGTGGTTGGGCTTGTGGCCAACACCGACGACAAGGCTCCCGTCCGGGTGCGAATCATCCACCCCCGAGATCTGCCGCGCTCCCGGGCCTTCCTTAGAATTCGAACAGCCCATTGCGCGGCCACCTGCGAGCGACCGGCCCTGTCGGCGCCGAGCGGGCTGCAGCAGATGATGGCTCGCTCCAGCGCCCTGCCAGCGAAGCGTTCGCGCAAGCGAACTCGGACGCCTCCCAGAGCCGATGCAGGGCCAGAGTGGCGTACAATGCGCTGGCAGGCGCGGACGAAAGCTGGCCAGCTTCGGCCAAAACGGGCACCTTGGCACAGACTAGCCAGTGCGCAGCGTCGCCCCGGCGATGCGCGATAGCAATGACACCCGACCGCCAGTCGATGCACGGCCCATGCACGGCGTCCCGGGGCGGCAATCGCGCCCGCGCGCGCCCGCACCGGTCGACAGCCGCCCAGGGGACCCCACGGTGTCGGGGCCCTCTGGACGACCGAATTTCGGCGAAAACTCCGCGGCCGGCCCGCGTTGCCGCCGCCCCGCGCCGCGGCGGCACACTCTGCATCGAACGAGCATCCTCGCGGAAGTACAGCTCGCTCGCGCACGTTTGGGATGCAGGCCACTCTCTTCTCGAACCCCCAGGTGGCTCCGGCCCGCGCCGCAGTTCCGGCCAGGACTCGCGTCCAGGTACGCGCGTGCCCCTCACGCCAGCGGCGCTCTGGTCCGGCGGTGGTCGCTCTGCGGCACCTGCGCGGTGCCCAACGACATGGCGCGGCGCCTGGCATACCGGCCAGCGCCGCCACAGGCGCCGCTGCAGACACCCGCCGCGATATCGTCACATTGCGGTCTGCCATTACGTCGCGTTCTGGGCGCGGACGTGCGCCAGGCACGGCGCCGGTTGGCATAGATCCCTCCACCTGTTTCTCCTGCGCCGCTGATCGCGTGGGCGGTGCTCTGCCACGCGAGACCGAGCGTCCCGTATGTACCTTCCTTTTCCTAGCCGGCGATATCGTCACCTGCCGCCCTGGTGGCTTGTGCGCGCCTGTCCGGGGCTCCAGCGCAGCGCCGCCCTCACGGTCGTCGTCGCGGTCGCACGGGGCGGACGCGGCGCCGGCGTAGACGACACGATACGAGAACAGCGGCATCGTCGCTGTGCCGTTCGCGCTGGACGCTCACGTCGGCGTGTGCCCGCCTCCCTGGCTGCAGCGGGCTGCCCCCAAGGTGCGCCACGCGTCCGTGATCGCCAGCTACGCCAAGACCGACGACATGAAGATCGCCGCGGACGTCTCGGGCCTCATCGGCAAGTGAGTGTCGCGCCTCCCAACCACCTGCGCCATCAAGCACACCTGGCCCCCCTCCACGCGCACCTGCCGCACGCCACGCGCCGGAGCGCGATCCCCCGCAGCCGCTTCTCGCATTTGCATCCTCGTCCGCCCCCTTTCCCCGCACCTCAGCCCCCCGCCCGCCCCCACCCCCACCCCCGCCCAACCTACCACCAGCGCCACGCCCGCCACGCGGCGGCTCGCGCCCCAGGCCCCCCTGGATCCCGCCGACCCCGCCCGCATCTCCGCCGCCCCGCAGCACCCCGATGGTGTACCTCAAGAAGGTGGTCCCTGAGGGGGGCGCCAAGGTGGCCGCGAAGCTGGAGCTCATGGAGCCGTGCTGCTCCGTGAAGGACCGCATCGGCTACTCCATGGTCGTCGACGCCGAGCAGAAGGGCGCCATCTCCCCCGGCAAGACCACGCTCGTGGTGCGTTCCCGCCCGCGACGCATGCGCGCCTCCCCGCGGCCCCGCGCCGACCGCCCCGCGTCACCGCCGCCCCCGCCGCCGCGCCCGCGCCGCAGGAGCCCACGTCGGGCAACACGGGCATCGCGCTGGCGTTCATCGCGGCCGCCCGCGGCTACAAGCTCATCCTGACCATGCCGGCGTCCATGTCGATGGAGCGCCGCGTGCTGCTCCGCGCGTTCGGCGCCGAGCTCGTCCTGACGGACCCCGCGAAGGGCATGAAGGGCGCGGTCGCCAAGGCGCAGGAGATCGCGGGCTCGATCCCGGACTCGTACATCCTGCAGCAGTTTGACAACCCGGCCAACCCGAAGATCCACTACGAGACGACGGGCCCGGAGATCTGGGACGCGACGGACGGGCAGGTCGACATCCTCGTCGCCGGCGTCGGCACGGGCGGCACGGTGTCCGGCACCGGGCGCTACCTGAAGGAGAAGAAGCCTGGCGTGCAGGTGGTGGCCGTGGAGCCGACGGAGTCCGCGGTGATCTCCGGGGGCGCGCCCGGGCCGCACAAGATCCAGGGCATCGGCGCCGGCTTCATCCCGGGCAACCTGGACACGTCGCTCATCGACGAGACCGTGCAGGTGTCGTCGGACCAGGCCATCGAGATGGCGCGCAAGCTGGCCGTGGACGAGGGCCTGCTGTGCGGGATCTCGTCCGGCGCGGCGGTGGCGGCGGCCGCGGAGATCGCCGCGCGCCCGGAGAACGCGGACAAGCTGATCGCGGTGGTGATCCCCTCGTTCGGCGAGCGCTACCTGTCGTCGGCGCTGTTCTCGAAGATCCGCGAGGAGTGCGAGTCGATGACGTTCGAGGCGTGAGCGGCGCGCAGGGAGGGGTCGCGCGCGGGTCGCCTGGAGGCAGTGGGCACTGCCCCGCCACCCGCGGTGTGTTGAGCGGAGCGCGAAGCTAGCCAGTGATCGAGTCGCAGCGTCCGGCGCACGTATGGCCGATCCGTAGCTGGGCCCTATTGCGTGCATTCACCGGGGCGTCACGAGGTGTCCGACACCCCCCGCCCCCCCACGATGCCATGGACGGGGGAGTGTGTCGCTACTGCACGCGGTCCGCAGCTCGCGCCCAGAGGCGCGCGACGCGCTCGCATGCCACCTGTGCGCCGCTCACAGCGCCGCCTGACGCCTCACCGGCGAGCCGAGGCGATCGCCTGTCCGCTCGTGGGAACCACCACAGCATGCACACCCTGTCGACAGCCCGGGTCTTTGCTGCGCTACCGTCGCCGCGTGGCTGCCTGCGACAGCGGGGGCGCGTGGACCAGCGGCAGGAGCTCGTGTCGCGCCGGCGCGCCGTGTGGGACGTCGTCGATCCATGCCGCGTAGCTCTCTGCGTCCTCAGCGTGCCCGCGGTCGCCACGGAAGGCCGGGTGGTCGCGCGCAAGCGTCGGGGCGCCGTCGCAGAAATAGCTGACCGCGAGCGCGGCGCGCACGGGCGAGCGCGGCGGCTGCGGCGGCGCGGCGTGCAGCACCCAGCCGTCGTGCCACGAGACGTCGCCGACCGCCATGCGCCCGACGCTGCCGAGGGGGTACCCGCGGGAGGCGAGATCGAACGGCTCGGCGGAGAGGTCGTACCAGAACGGCAACGCGAAGTCGCGATGGGAGCCCTGTGCGAAGATCAGACCTGAATCGCCTTCTCCCGACACGTCGCGGAGCGGTATCCAGGCCGTGACGAGCTTGTGCGTGTCGAGCGGGGCCATGCGGAGGTCCGAGTGCCAGTTCGTGGCCCCGAACCCCGGCTTCTTCAGGAACAGGCAGTCCTGGTACACCCGGAGCTTGCTGACTCCCCCCAGTATTTGCGACGCGGTGGCCACGAGCCGCGGCGACGTCACGATCGCCCGAACGGCCTCGCTGTGTCGGTGGAGGTTGAAGAACTGCGGACGGCAGCAACGCAGCAACGGCCTGGTGAGGTTCCCGCGCGGCGCCACAGCAAGAATAGAGTGCAATGGTGCGGACACGGACACGCGACGGGCGTCCCGAGGCTGCGCACCTGCAGGAAGCCAACCTCGTCGTCTCCGTGGTCTGCGAGGATCTGGAACGCCGCCTCGGCTGACTTGATGCCCTGAGGGTCAACGCTGGGACACAGGACGCGCACGCGCTGCCGCAGCGCCTCCAGCTCCCGCGTGTCGACCGCCTGCGCTCGCATGATGAACGAAGTGCCGCTGAGGTGCTGAGATAGCAGGGACAAGAAAACGCTCGGGTCCCAGAGCCACATTCCGTGTTGGCAAAGTTAGTTGAGAAAACACGAATCTCGCGCGACAGTAAGGCTGACCTTGTTCGCTTCGATGCGGAGCGTGTCCACGGCCTTTCCCGGCAGCAGCTGGCGCGTCGTGACGTGGCCGCGGCGCTCGTATTTGAGCAGTAGTGCGTCAGGTACAACTGAGAAGTTGTCGAGGCCCCCCATTGCCCCTCCCGACGGACCTGCAGCCCGTGCTCGCGAGACGCCGTGCGGACGGGCGGTTGCTAGGCAGTGCATTGATGCGGTAAGGCGGGACGGAGGTGTGGGCAGGTAGTTGGACGGCCAGGACTTCTGTGAGGGTTGCAGGGCACCTGGTGCCTGTTCCGCCGTCTTACTGCCCACCATCTTGGCGAACTTCTTCAGGTCCTTCTGCTTCGACGGTGCTCGTCCCCTTTTCGCCGCGCCGCACCGCACGCGACGCGCACGAGCATCCTGGCAAGCGCAGCGTGGTGGCAGGCTGAACGTGCGCGCCAGACGCGGCGGCCGCGCACAATGCCGGACGACGACCGGGCTATCGCACATGGTCCGCCGTCTGAAAGCAGTACCTTTGTCTGCCAGCGGGCACGTCGTTGAGATGCAGCCTCTCGGCGCTCTCAGCGACCTCAGGACGCACGGAGTGAGGAAGGCGCACGGCTTGGAGTGATCAGGGGCTACAGCGGAGTGGCTCGGGCCCATCCGGCGCACGTCCAAACGGCCGCTCTGCCGCTCCTGGCGCAGCACCGCGCTGAGCGTTCATTTCACTCCCCGAGTCCCCCCGCACGTCAACCAGGGCCCTTCCCGCCATCCCTGCGCGCGCCAGACGCGTCCTGACACTAGACTGCTCCTAGACCGTCATCCGTCTCGTCAGTCAGGCGACGCTACGCGACGGCAAGAGCAGCTGAACGCCCGCCCCTGGAGGCGAGCACCCAGAGCGCAGGATGGAGGCCCGCATGGAGTGCGCGCTCAAGGAGGACGATGTCCCCATAGTTCAGCGGGCCGTTACAGCGCTGGCCCTGGAGGATCCCACAGATATCATGATCGAAGAGGTCACTTTAGCACAAGAGACTGGGGGGATGCATCCGGACAGCCGCATGGTCCTGACGAGGCGAGTTCCGCGCCAGAACCTCCACCATTTACTAAACATGCCTGTGACGGCATCGAACGGGCCAAGTCATTGCTGCTGTTCCCGTTGCGACGACTATGCACCTCGGCGCCCAGTGTTCAACCGCGCCTCTGCCCCCCCCCGCAGGGAGTGCGCGGACGACGGCTCGATCGCGGGCCCGCAGTCCACCGCGACGCAGCCGTGGCTGGCGTCGCTGAACCACTCCGCCGCGTCCGCGTTCCCTCGAGTGCGGCAGATGCTGCCGCAGGTCCGCAGGACCGACGTCTGCGAGATGTACGGACCGAACTGCCTGGACACGTGGTGCCGCATGGGGTTCCGGGTCATCCAGGTGCGGGCCGGACGCAGCCCTGCTCTCACGCGTAGCGGCCGATGTTTTTGTACTGCGATGGTCTTGAACGGCCTCTCTCCACGCCGGCGCGTGCGGGCGCAGAGGGTGCGGAAGGAGGGGCAGGAATTCTTCGTGTGGGGCGCGGACTCGCCCGTGCGGCTGCTCCTGGCGGAGCGAGAGGTGCTGGAGAGTGCAGGGACAGGGGCGGGATGGGGCTGGCACCTGGAGGCGACGCTGGTCGGGCCCCTGAACGACGCGTCGCTGGAGCGGGCGGAGACGGCGATGCGCAGCATCTGTAGCGCGCTCGGTAGCGTCGTCGACCTCAAACAGCCCGCGAAAATATGATTCTTCGTATTCCAACTCCCAATTCACAATTTCCAGTCGTCGCGCGCGGCGTGGGAGCCGTCCGGAGCCGGCGGGCACCGGGCGCACACGAACCACGCGTCCTCAGCTCAGTTTCAGCGCGTAGATGCCGCCCAGGGACGTTCCGGCGACAATGACGTCGCTCCCGGGCGCCCAGGAGACAGCCGACACGAACGCCCCGGTGGTCCCGCCCGCCGCGCGGTTCTCCCCCGTCGACACCGCCGCCCGCGCCACGCTCGCCGGCAGCTCCTTGTGATACACCGACACCTCCATGTTCTCCCCGCCCGTGACCACCCAGTCCTGCTCCACCGCCAGCCCCACGAAGTGCCTGGTGTTCGCGTGGCCCTGCATGCGCACGCGCGGCTGCGACGCGCCCCCGCCCTTCGCGTCAAGGCTCCACAGCGCGATGGTGGAGTCGGTGGAAGAAGACACCAGCTCCGAGGCGGACAAGAAGCTGACGTAGGACACGGCCTTCTTGTGGCCCGTGAGGACGCGCAGCGGCGCCGCGGGGCTGCGGATGTCGAAGATGCACACGGTGCGGTTCGAGCACCCCGCCGCGACGATGTTGGACTCGACGGGGTTCCAGCGGACGCTGCACACGTTGGTGCCCGCGTTCATCGACACGATCGGCATCGCGTCGCGCACCGACGACATACGGACCTGCACGGCGGGGTCGGACGGCACAGAGAGGCGCGTGTTGCGAGCCGCACGTACCTACTAGGCCCTTCCTTGCTCCAAACAAACAAACAAAAAAGGCAGACAAACAAAACAAACAAATAAAAAAAGTTTGCCCGCAGTCGCCACAGGCCGGCGCGCGATTCCGGCAAGAGCCGGAGCCGCACCTTGCCGTCGTCGGACCCGGAGAGCACCAGGCGTGCGTCATGGGGGTTGCAGTGTACCGACCACGCGCGGCGCTCGTGCGCCTCCACGCGCCACGCCGGCGGCCCCTCCCCCGTGCCAAGGTCCCACGCCATGACGGACCCGGAGTGGTCGCTCGCCACCACCAGCGAGCCGTCGAGCGGGCTCCACGACAGCCCGCAGAGCTTCGAGTGCCACGGGTACACCAGCAGCGGCAGGGGGTTCGCGCTGAGCCGCGATTCGCCGTCCTCAGGAAACATGTCCTGCAGCCGGCGGATCTCCAGGAAGCGCGCGGCCCCTGCGATCGCGAAGTGCGCGCCTGCAGGGTCAAACGCCACCCCCGACACTACAGGCGGACCCACCTCCGCTGGCGGACCCTGAGCCTGCAGACAAGCGTGAGGCGAAGTTCGCGCGTCATTTCAGCCGCGGGCGGTCCGCCCCCGAGCGTCACTGCGCTGCAACAGGGCTGTAGTTGTGTCAGGGGGGGGAGTGCCTACCCGGCCGACGACGCGTAGAGACGTGTAGCGGCAGAACCCGTCCAGGACGTCCGCGAACTGCTTGAGCGTGCCGCGCGGGGGGCGGCCGCTGCCGCCTGCACCGAGCACTGGGCTGGCGCCCGCTGGCGCTGACGGCGACGCAGCACCGTCGCCCTCGCGCTCTCCGAGCCGCAGCTGCGCGTAAACCTTGGACAGGAGCGGAAGATTCTCCTCGATCCGTCTCTGCGCGACCCCCGCCGGGTTCGGCCTCCCCTTGCTCCCGGGCAGCGTCGCCTGCTGCGCCTGCGTCCCCGGCGCAGTCGACAGCAGGGTCTGCTGGAGCGCATCGTATCTCCGACCTGCGCACGCAAGCCGAGGACGCTGATCATCACTGGGCGATGAGGCCACAGCGCCACGCTGCTCCTTAAACGAAGGTCTCGCGCATCGCCGCGGGGTGCGTTGGCACGGCGTTTCGTTCACGCACGGCAGGCCGGTCGTCATTGTGGCGCTGCACGCGCACAGAGGCAGGGATCGCACGTGTGACGTCGCTGTCGCTGTCGAGCTCGGCGATGTCGCGCTCGATGTCCGCGATTTGCGTCCGTTTCGACACCAGGAGGGCCTGCAGGGTGGCCAGCACCAGCCGCAGCGCGATCGCCTCGTGCCGCGCCTCCGATCGGTGCTGGTGGCGCGACAGCAGACGAATGGCGTCCTGCGGAGAGACGAGGCGCGCGCGGGGCTGCGTGAGATGAGACGCCGCGCGGCGAGAGTGCGTGCGAGCAGTGCGTGTCCTGGCGCGCTTGCCGTGCGTGGGCGGCGGTTGGGCGGCGGGCGTGTACGAGGTGGCGGGTGCGGGAGGCGGTGGGCGCGGACCTCGATGTCGGTCGCGGAGAACTTGGCCCTAGGTTCGCGTAGCAGAGCGCGCAGGCGCTCGGCGGGCGGCTGCGACGTGGCGCCGGGATCCGACACCGTCGCCATCTTCAAGAGGTTCTGCGGAGACGCGCGGCGGTGCGGGCGGGCCTGAAGGCAGCGCGCTCAAGGGGAGCCGCTGGACGCGCGTTGTCGACGAGCGTCCGCTGCAGGCCTCCGGTCGCACTCACCTCGACCATGAAGTTCGGGTACACGGAGAGCGCGTCGATCGGCGACCGGCACGTCGGGCAGTTGCTCGCCGTGGACAGGTGCCGTGACAGACACCCGTGGCAGAAGCAGTGGCCGCAGGGCGTGCTGAAGGGCTCCTGGACGACGGACATGCAGATGGGACACCGAAGCGTCGACTCCTCGACAGTGTAAGCCCGCGGGGGAGGTGGCTGCGGAACAGCACACGAGGGCACGTGCTGTTTGAGTCGTGAGGTGTTGTTTGAAAAAGGGCTCGCTGCCGAAGAGCAGGCAGGCGCGACCCGCGCGGCCTCGCGTCTCCAGGCCCCAGGCTGCGCGGGGAGGTTCGGCGCGAGCGAGAGCGACTGTGGCGCTGCACCCAGGTCGGCTGCGTTACCTGCGCCGTGCCGCCCTCCGCTTCCTGGTCGAGCAGCGCAAGGTTCGTGAAGCTCCTATGCACCTCCGTCCTCCCGAACAGCACCTCCTCCCCTGCGCGCATCCCGGAGAACCCGCCTGGATGAGTGGTGCCGTTGCATTGCACGCGGTGACCCGCCACGGCGATACTCGCGGCGGAACCTCCGCGCATCGAGAAGCAGAGTACATGAAAAGGTGTGTGACGGTGATCCGAGTAGCTCACCTGACGCCAGGGCGCTGCGGGCGCTGGCCCCACGGTCCGTAGGCATCTGGCCAGCAACTTCACGCCCGCGCCTGACTCATGTCCGTGCCCTGAGGCCTCGTCTCTCAAGCCGTCACGGTCCACACGATGTTTATCTATCTATTCGCAGGATCCCTCACTCTAGTCCGACCTCGAACCGCGAGAAAGCGCGCTAAGTGTTGTGCAAGGCCCAAGCGTGAGGATATTGCAGTCCCTGATCGGTGAGATTGGAGTTTCTCCCTTCCGCTGACAACTACGTCATCTCGTCTTGCTCGGCTCCCCATGTAGCGGTGCACTTCCGCGGTTCCGGAGTCAGGGCGGCGGGTGCTGCTTGTGGGGTCCCGGAGTAATCCCCAGGCGCATTTTGGGCGCGGACGCGGCCGCCTCGGCTGTGTGCGCGCAGCGCCGTGCGGTCCCCGGACGCGCCCGTGCTGCGCTCATCGTGCTCGAGGCACGACAGCGAGCGTGCGGTCCCCTGCTGTGCAATTTCACCGCACGGACAGCTCTGAGCCAACAGAGCTCCATCGGGGCACGTTCGGATTGAGACGTTTGCGAAGAGACAGTAGCTGCAAGGATAGGGCGCAGCCGGATTCCTTCGTCGAGCGATCCAGAATCAGCGCGGGGCAAGCCGTGCGCGGCCTGGTGGTTTCTGTGGTCGCGTCGGGGCGAGGGCGGGCAGGGAACGGTGTTTCCGTCGCTCCCCGTCTTCGTAGCGTAGGGGAGGCCATGGCGTCCGAGGATGACGCCGTGGGAGAGTTCGGAGGCGATATCTTCGCGGCGAGCCCAGTGAAGAACAAAAGCACCGGTGAGCGATCATGGCTGGATGATGGGAGCGTTGCCGATGCGTCATTGATAGAAACTGTCCTTTCGAGTGCTATCAAATTCCGAGATCTGCATCTCCGCGCGTGAAATCGCGACCGGCGCGTCCATGGTCAACTGCACCTCACAGGCCGCGACGCCAGCGCCGAGGAAGTGGCTGACGGCGACGACGAGCCTCCTCAGGAGGATGATGATCTCTATGGCGGTCTGGACGAGGGGGCAGCGGACGGTCAGGGCGCGGCGACGCTGCGGGCGGCTGTCCGAGAGCTGCAGGCAAGTGACAAGCAGCTCCGCGCACGCGTCGCGGAGCTCGAGAAGGAGAACACCAGCCTGCGAGAAGAGGTGCGAGGCACCCGCCTTCCCCTCGGCGCTGCGACCCGGCAGCCGCTCTCCCGGAATTGATTCGCGCGGCGTGCTAGTTACCAAACAGAGTTGTGGAAACTCATCAACGCGAAAGACCCTGTCTTGCGGCGGTTCCCGGGCCGGCCGATCCCCCGGCGTCTCTCCCTCCGCGCAGAACGAGCGGCTGAGCTCGGAGCGCGCGACGCTGGTCACAAACATCTCCACTCTCTTCAACACCGCACGGGAGGAGATCCGCAGAAAGGACACCGCCATCGCGGACCTGCGGCGACAGCAGGTGCCCGCCCCGCCCCGCGCGCGCAGCCGCCACCGCAGCGCACGCCGAGGCGACGCGGCATGCGACCAATACCGCACTCCTCACAGCCCCTCCCCCTCCCTCCTCCCCCGGGGTCGCAGGAGGATGCCCGGGGCAGAGGCGGAGGCAGACAGGGCGGTGGGCGCGGCGGCCGCGGGCAGGGTCCGCCACGGCAGCCGTGGTGACTTGCAGCACCCCGCACACGCACACACGCAACAGGTCGACCGTCGCGGCTCACAGTGCGCGGGCGGGCGCGTCAGTGCTTCCAGGACAGCACGCCGAGGGAGCCCATGACGAGGAGGTATATGCACTGCTTCGCCTCGCACGTGACTTCGTAGGAGTAGCTCTGGCCCACCACCACGTGCCACGACGTGCCGAACTTCTTGTCGAGGTTCTCCTTGATCAGCGACGCCGCCTTCTCGTAGTCCTTCGGGTGCTTCTCCGTGTGCCCGACGATGATGTCCACCGCCTCCTGCGGCGGCCGTGCAGGGGAGCGTGACGTAGCGGTGAGAGGCGGGGCGGGGCGTGGCGGGGGGCGGACGGGCCGGAGCGGCGGCGAGGAAGAGGCTGTGATGTCAGGCGAGTTCGGCGGCGGTGCGTGCGGGGCGCGAGGGCGCGGTGGGAGCCGCTGGCGGGCCGTGGGAGGCATTAGGGGCACGGCGGCCACGGGGGGTGTCGCGGGGCGCGGGCTGGCAGCTGGCGGGGTCTCTGCGTTGGAATGGTGCTTCGGGCTCGGTTCGAGCAGCTGCAAAGCCGACGCGGCCGCTCCAGGCGGCGGCGGGCGCACACTCGCTGCCGCACATGCCCCGCGTCTCCCGGAGCGAGGCTGGCCACGAATGCAGCGACGCGCGGACACGGAGCTCGCGCTAGCAACGGTGAAGGCGCGGGGTGCGGAGATTCGCGGGGAAAGGGCCCGGCTACGTCGCCGCGTCCTCGCCAGCTGGGGCTGTGGCTTCGCGGCACTGCGCGGCGCGTCCGGCGGAGCGAAACGCGCCACGTCACGCGGCGGCGGAGAAAGAACGTACCTCGCGCATCTCCTGCGTCATGTTGCTGTACCGCACGAGGGGGTCCTTGGCGATCTTGAAGTAGGCATCCATGTCCTTGGGCATCTCAAAGCCCGCCTCCGCAGCCGTCATCTTGCTCCTCCTATTTCAACGATACAATGCCAGCCACGTGCCTATGTGTGTCGAGTGGTGCCCCAAGACGGGCCTGCGTGCCACCCGGGGACGCGCTGGAGCCCGCAAGGCACCTGCACGCAGCACAAGTCGCCGATACGACCAGCCCGTCCGCAGCAGGGAGTCGTTCGATTCGGTCGCGGGTCCCGTGAGCAGCAATCTCACACGCACGCACAAAGCGGGCCCGAAAACACCCTCCAGTCGGCCAGGCCCCCGGCAAGCAAACAACCCCCCTCGCACTCAGCACCGGGCTGGCAGCCCACGACCCCCCCACCCCTCCGCCCCTCAACACACAAGCACGCGACACCCGCAGCGCAGAACACGTACACGGCAGGCTTCCGCTGACACGCCGCCGCAGCCAACCGCGCCCCATGGCGTCACGCGGCGCCACTCCGGCGCGAACAGCCAGCCGCGTGCCATGCGCCGTCAGGGCCAGCCACGCCCGTCCGCGAAGCAACAGGAGCGCGTGTGCCACCCGCGGCGCCACCCCAGCGGCCGTCCGGCGCGGCAACGGTCACATGTGGCAACGACTCCTCCGCTGCCGTCGTTCCGCTGGTAGCGTCACAATATGCGCAGACACCAGCGGCGCGCTTCACACCCAGTACGAGCCGGGCCCGGGCGTGGTTTCGTCCGTCGTCCCCGCGGCCTTGAAGCGCTGTTGTTGCGAGAACCTGAATTGAGGGTACGTGCGCTTGTCCGACCGCAGCTGCGACCCCAGCGACTCCGGCACTGCACGTCCACCGCGCACACAAGGCGCACGCACCGTGGGACCGAGCGGCATCGCGTTCGCGCGTCCGACAACGCGACGGACGCCACACGTGGCCCGCGCGGGCCAGGCAACGCACCTTTCAGCTTCGTCGCCCCCTGCCCGGCCTCCATCTCCGCCTTCGCGGCCGCCAGGCTCCCTGGCCGGCTCCCGCGCGCCGCCTTCGAGAAGGAGAACGCCGGCTTGTTCGTCCCGATCGGCTCCAGCTTGAAGTAGTCCCCAGGGCCCGGGACGTCCATCGCCTTGGCCTTCGCGCGGCTCCCGCCCTTGTTCATCGCCCGCTCTTCGCGCGAGAACGACACGGTCGCCGCGCTCGTGCGCCCCGCGAGCGTCTGCTCGCCCAAAGCACGGTCAGGGACATAGGTGCCCGGACCAGGCGTGCCACGCGCATAGAACTGCTCCTCCTGGCCCTTGTAGCAGACCTGGTTGCTGCGCTGCGACGTCGGAAAGCCCACGCGCCCCGCGGAGGCCTTCACGGACAGCGTCTGGTCGCCCAGCGACGTGGGGTGTGGGTACGCGCCGGGGCCGGGCACCTTCCCAGCCACCTGGCGCTCGCGCACGGACGGCCCGAACCTGAAACGGGCAGAGGAGGTTCGTGCACGATGTCATCTCGTCGTTCCGGTGCGCTGGAGGCCGGGCGGGCCGCCGGGCGGGCGCGTGCGGGCCTCGCAGGCGCTGCGGCGCCGACGTGCAATGTTGCGGGGTCCGGGCGGCACGTGCGGCGCGGAGGCGGCGAGGGCGCCGGGCGCCGTCGTCCCTCACCTGTTGTCGGAGCAGAAGGAGAACTCCCCCTTGCTGATGCGTTCCGAGTACGCCTGCTTCCCCAGCGCGCCCTCGCGCTTGTATGTGCCCGGGCCAGGGGTCCAGACGGGCAGGAGGGCGTGCGAGTGCCCCTTCGAGATGAAGCGCTTCTGCTTGGAGTCGAACCGCGGCGCGCTGCCGAACCCCACTTGAGGAGACGAGCGTTTGTGGGACTCGGATTGCAGGCCAAACTGTGAGCGCGTGCCCGACCGCGGGCCCATCAGCTTCGGCCCGCGGAACGACAGCGCCGACGAGTGGATCCTCGGCAGCTCCGGCAGCCCGTCCCCCTCCTCCTCCTCCATGGCTGCGAGGCACCGAGGACGAGAGGGCTTGTGTGCTGCCAGTCGCGGCACTACGACTCCGCATCCACTGGGCTTCCGGTGGTCGGAGGTCGCGGGTCTGTCGTGCGCAGCGGCGCGATTGCCGGCGGGAACGCCGAGGTCGCGACAAGAGGAAGTGCGCACGAGCACAGGCAGGCTGGGACATGCGACCTACTCCCGCGGCGCCGCAAGGCCTTGTTACGCGCGGCGCGGGGCACGAGCTGTAGGGCTGTATCGGTGAGGGGACTGAGGGGCCGGAGGTGTGAGCAGCAGCTGCTCACTGGCGCTCTTGCCGGCCCCGGAGTGTACCAGCTGGCACTTGCTGCCGCTCGCGTCGCACCTGCAAGCATCCGCTCGTGCTCCGCCGTCTTATCCGTCGTCATTATCGCCTATTCTATCTCTATCCGGGCGCAGCAACGTCGCACGGCGCGCGACGACGCCTGGGCTCCCCCCTGCGCACCACCTCCTCAACAATCCCCGTCGAATCCTACGAACTCCGCCTGCCGCACCCTCGCACAACCTCAGCGCTGCTCTCCGCGCTCACTCCGGCGCGTGCGCAGCTCGGCGCCCCAAAGAGACCGTCGGGCGAGGAACCTTGAAATTCAATGACTATAAGAAATCATTCTACCTGACACAGGGGTCAGCGACCGGTGCTGGGCGCCGGCGCGCCCCACGCATCGCTGGGCAGGGGAAGGCGGCACGCATGGCTGGCCGAACGAGGCCCCGGAGCCTGGCAGTGGACCCTGAGTGCTGGGCACACATGATCTGCGGTCGTGGCGCCGTCTGTGGACTCCGGGCCGTCTGAGTTCTGAGGGTTGGGCAGCGCGAGGGACGGCACGTGTGCGGGGGCCGGCGTTCGCGGGTGACGGGGGGGCAGGCATTACACAGACTGCGGATTCGGATGCACCGAAGTTGGAAAACAGAGTTTGGCGTTGCGAAGATAATTGAAGTCTTCGCTGACGGCCCGGGTCGCCGTAGCGCTGCTTGCGCAGCCGCACGTGCGTGAGTCACGCTACCTTCCCGTGGCCGGTCCCGTCCGCGGCGTGTGCGGCCGCCTGCTGCGCGGCCACTGCCGCGCGGTGGCGCGCGGCCAACACCTCCCCCACGACGGCCGCCAGCGTCCCCGCGCCCGCGGCAGCGAGGCCGCCGTACTCCGCCACCTCGAGCAGGAGGTGCGGCACGTGCGGCCCGATCCCCATGTGCTGGTGCAGCAGCGCGGCAACGACCACGACGTGCGCCACTGCGTCCGCGCAGTCCAGGGTGAACGCGGCCAGGAAGGCCCTTGCGACGTGGGGCTCGCCCGCCTTCTCCTCTGCACGCCGCGTGGAAGGCCGCCGCGGGGTCGACGGCGAGAGGTTCGTAGAAGAACAATCGCAAATCCTCGACTTCGCATTCGACGCCGTTCGCGCGTCTTGCCGGCGCGAGCGCGTCCGGCGCGGCAAGCGCACGTGGCAGGGGCTCGCTGCACGTACCTGTGCGCCAGCGGAGGTAGTCCTGCCGCGCGAGGTGCGCGACGAAGAGGGCACCAATGGCGGGGATGGCGACAGTGAGGCCACGCGCGGCGCGGGCCAGGATGCGCGCGCTGCTGGGCCCGAGGACGCGCTGGAAGGCGTTGAGTCCGCGCTCGGACACGTGCGTGACCGCCGCGGCGCCGCCCGCGCGGACCGTCGACGGCACCTTGAGCCTGCAGCGTGTGACGTCAGGCAGTCGTGTGACCGCTCGGCGTGCCACGAGAGCGATGCGCGGCTGCGCAACGAACGAGTGGGGAGGGGAGAGTGATGCGATGGGAAACACGGCGGCTCGCTCTCATTCGGCGCCAGAGGCACAACGCGGGAGTCAGTCAGGGTGGATGCTTGCGGGGGCCTGCGGAGGAATCGTTTCGCCACTGCGCGCCTTACTCGCCCGTGCGCGCCTCACCTGGCCAGCGCCGCCTCGACTGCCTTTTGTCCGCCCGGGGACCCAAGCGCCTTGGCCCCGGCCGACGCGCCCTCGCGCCCCGCCGCGCGCCGCGCCGCCGCGAGGCTCCGCTGCAGCTGCTGCGACCACCACATCGAGCGCCCCGCGCCGTCCGCCGCGCGCCCGCTCGCGCGCGCCGCCACACGCGCGGCACTCTTCGCCGCCGCGCGCATCCCTGCACGCTCCGCCACACCCTCCGCCGCCCGCTCCCCGACCCGCTCCGCCACGCGCTCCCCCACGCGCTCCGCCGCCCGCTCACCGGCCCGCTCCAGCGCCCGCTCCGCCCCACGCTCAGCGACGCGCTCCCCTACACGCTCTGCTGCACGCTCGCCAGCGCGCTCCGCGATGCGCTCGCCCGCCCGCTCCGCAGCGCGCTCCGCGATGCGCTCGCCCGCCCGCTCCGCAGCGCGCTCCGCCGCACGCTCGCCAGCGCGCTCCGCGATGCGTTCCCCTGCGCGCTCGGCCGCCCGCTCGCCAGCCCGTTCGAGCACCCTCTCAGCGCCGCGCTCCGCCAGCCTCTCGGCGGTGCGCTCCGCCGCCCTCTCCGCCGCGCGCTCGCCCGCGCGCTCGGCGACGCGCTCCGCAGCCCGCTCCGCGGTGCGTTCGGCGGCGCTCAACGGCACGCTCGCCCGCACGCTCCGCGATGCGCTCGCCCGCGCGCTCGGCGACGCGCTCGGCGGCGCGCTCGGCGGCGCGCTCCCCCGCGCGCTCGAGCGAGCGCTCGGCTGCCCGCGAGCCGGCGCGGGCCGCAGCGCGCTCAGCCAGGCGCTCCGTGACACGCTCGGCGCCGCGCTCAGCGCCGCGTTCCGCCGCGCGCTCGATTCCGACCTGAGCAAGGCGTTCGGCGCGCCCGAGGCCCGCCTCGGCGGCGCGCTCCAGCGCCTTGAAGCTCAGCTTTTCGGCCGACCGGTGCTGGATCTGATGAGCGGCGCCGTGGTGGTGGCCGTGGCCGTGGCCGTGCCTGCCGTGCTGCGCCGGCGGCTTCGGAAGGTCTTCTCCGTCCTTCTTCGGCTTCTCAGGCTCCTTGGAGGAGTACGCGGCGCGCTGGAGGACCCCAGGGTGGAGGAAAGGGCGGGGCGCGACGGGCCGCCGCAACCCCCGTTCCGGCCCTGGTCTCCACAGCGCAGCCGCCCCCTGGTCCCATGCCCGCGACAGGCCCGGGCGCGCCGCCGCCCGGGTGGCCAGCCGCGACAGCATTCGCCGCTCGCGCCCCCAACCGCCCGCAAAGTCGCTGCGACACGCGTGCACCTCCCAGGACCTCACGCGGCTCTGGCTGCAGGTCGGTGTGCCCACCGGGAGCCGTCCGGGCGCCCGACCAGCCCCGACACGCCGCAACGTTGCCCCGCGGGGTGTGGGCGCTTGTCCCCCGCCACCTGCTCGCCCACGACCACGCACGAAGTCAGATGTTTAGCGATCCGCTGTGGCTCCAGCTCGCCTCGCACACAGCAGTCGAGGCGAGCGCGGCGTCCGTGACGTCCCGAGGGGGGTGTTCCGGCGGGTTTCGGCGGTTGAGGCTCCACAGGCGGAGATGAAGTGCCCACCGCCCCGGGGCGCAATTAAGGGTCGATTCGAGCGATTCGCGCGATTTTCGCGGACAGTAGCGGCACAAGGACCTGAGTGTCATGGAGTTTCGCTTTCATTCGGAGATACTCGAATCAAGTTCGCACACTGCTGTATCACAGTCTCAGTCGGCCGCTGTGAGCAGGCCGGAACGGTTCGGGGCGCCCCGGGTGGACGAAGACGTTCCATGAGACTGTATGCCCTGCGTCATGCGCGCGTCGTGCGGGTAAGGGCGCGCCCGACCGCACACGGGGGTCGCGCCGGATGCAGCGATGCTCGGTTGCTCGCGCTGCGGGTCGACTTCGATGTTTCGAGCCGGGCGGCGTTCGCATGTCTCATGTTCGACCCGCGTGAGGTTATGCGGGAGCCCGCCCGCGCCCACGGCGTGGCATGCGCTCCGCGTGTCGTCAGGTGGTGAATTGGGGGGCCCGCCCATGGGGGAAGGGCCCGTGGGGCCCGCAGGACAAGGGGGCGCGCGAGCCCACCGACCCAGCAGATCGTCGGTCACTTACGACTGACGTAGCCGTGGGGCGCGAAGCTCGTGTGCCACACAGCCGGAAAGCGCACGGCCCGTGCCCCCCGAAAAGCTGCCTCGTCGCCCCTGCCCGCGCAGAGGCGAGTTGGTCGCTACCGCTGCGCACGCATCGCGGCCCACAATTGGTGCTATTCGCACCAATCCTCTTGCGGCCCTTGAGGGGCGACAGAGAGCCCTCACGGCGCCTTGCCCTCCCTGGCTCGTTGTCGAGGCAACGCGGGCGATATGTCGCGGCCCTCGATGGATGGGTCCAGCATGGACCGGTCGTCATTGAGGGGCGACGAAATGGCGCCGGGAGAGAGCGTCGCAAAGCGTCTCGGGGGCAAGGAGCGCAAGAGCGTCAAGGTAGGCCAACCGAATCCCCCCGTCGCCCCGTGGCGTCCGCTGCAGCGTTCGCTTCACGAAAACGAATACATTCCATCTGATAATACCAGAGTCGCGCGGCCACGCCGGGATCCAGCCCCGTCGAGCGCCCCACGCTCCTCACAGTGCCGAGCCTGCCCTCGATCGTGACGTTGGCCAGCACCCCCCGCCGCCCGCAGGAGGCCGTGTTCGGCGTCCTCTTCACCCTCTCCAAGGAGAAGTACAACACCAGCTGGAAGTTCGCCCTCGCCGACGTGTTCCTGAACTGGATCCAGCTGATGCTCCTCGTGCTATCAGGCAGGCCCCCGACGCCCCTCCGCCCGACCCTGACCCTATTCTCGCCACCCCTGCCTCCTCCACATCACGACGCGTCCCGGCCCGCGCGGTCCGCCCGACAACCCGCGCGGACGCGCCCGCGGCGTGGGTAACCAAACGCCCTTGCGGCCCCCCTGCACGCACGGCTGCGCGCCGCCGCCCGCGCACCAGCGCGCCCGCACCGCCGCGCAGACCGCTACCCACGAACTGCCCAGCCCGCCCGGTGCGTCACATCCACGCTGCCACCTGTCCGGGCGACGTTCGCGGCTGACCCTAGCTGCGCCGCACCGCGCCCCGCACCGCCGCGCAGGGGTCTTCCCGTGGGACCTGGGCGGCTTCGGGAAGGTCGCGAACGACCTCGGCGTGCCTGAGCTGCTCAGGAGCGGCGGGTACGACGTCTTCTGCGCGGTGTTTTACATCCTCTTCGCCGTCCTGGCCTTCTCCCTCTCCCTGTGCATCTACGTCGCACAGAACTTCCTGACGGACAGGTTCCCGTACGTGTGGCCGATCAAGGTCCTGCGCTTCGTCGTCTCGATCTTCTTCCGCACGTTCTACATCACGGTGCTCAACGTGTTCGCGGTCGGGCCCGACTGCCGCTCGGTCGACGGCAAGCTCGTGTCCGACCTGTTCCCGGACAAGGAGTGCATCGGGTTCCCGCACGGCCTCGCGGCGGTGCTCGCGGTGCTCGCGGGCGTCGCGGGCGGCGTCATCTCGTTCCTCATGTCCGTCGCGGAGTCGAGCCTGGACCCCATGTCGGAGGAGCTCATCGGGTCGCCCGACTCGGTGGCCGACGTCAGGTTCTTCTCCATCATCACCGTCATCACCGTGCTCTCCGTCTTCCTCGACCACAACATCAAGGCCTTCTCCATCGTCATGCTCATCGGTGCGCCCCCACGCAACATGGCGTCAACAACGCACCCGCGCGCACCACGCGAACTGGCGCACGCGCGGCGCTCGGCCCAGCCCGCCCCGCCGCCACCGGCCAGCTCCGACCGGACACCCCCCCTCCCCCGCCCCCGCTGCGCAGCGTCGCTCGCCTTCATGTACTTGCTGTACCGCAAGGTGCCGTACTACAACAAGTGGATCAACGCGCTGCAGGCGGGCCTGTACGGCACGCTGCTGTGGACCTCGGTCTGCCTCGTGCTCGTCGTGTTCCTGCCGGAGAACAACACGCCGCTCACGCAGACCATGTACGGCGGCTTCGTCCCTGCGTTCTTCTTCTTCGCGGGAATGATGGTGCTGCGCATCCGCATGTTCGAGAAGGTCTCGCGGCTCTACCACGAGCAGGGCGAGGCTGCGAGCCACGCGTTCGTGGACGAGTGGTCCGTGGAGATGGCGTCGCGGTGCATGCGCTGGCGCGACCAGTACGGCAACGTGCAGGACGAGTGGGTGGACGCCTCGGACACCATCATCCGCGCCGGCATGGAGCAGTTCCCGAACAACTCGTACCTCACCCTGCTCTACTCGAACTTCCTCGCCAACGCGCGCAAGTCCCCCGGGGCGTCCCTGGCGCAGCTGGCCAACGCCAAGCGGCTGGCGAGCACCATGCCGATGGGCGAGCAGTTCCAGCTGTTCGTGCGCGACCGCGAGACGAAGCAGCGCGACAAGGGCGGCGGCGCGGGCGCGACGATGGACCTCGTGTCGTACGTGGAGTTCCAGAACAACTTCACCAACCTCCTCGCCTGGCACACGGGCGCGCTGCAGTCGGTCCGGAACTTCTGGCGCAACCTCCTGCGCACGGACCTGACGTTCCGGACGCTCTCGCGCTCCTTCGAGAGCCTCGCGATGTCCGCGGACCGCGCCGAGAAGGCGTACAAGAGCATGCTCGAGCGGTACCCCAAGAACGTCAAGCTGCTGCGGTCGTACGGCAAGTTCTGCGAGGACCTCAAGAACGACCCGTGGCGCGCCGCGCGGTACTACGGCGAGGCCGACAAGATCGAGGACATCCAGGCGGAGGCGCAGCGCGACGCGGTGTTCGGTGCCGGCATGGACGAGGGCGACGCAGCCAACTCGCGCGTGGACGACACGCAGGACGCGGTCGTGGTGATCAGCGACACGGGCATCATCCAGATGGCCAACCGCATCATGAACAAGATGTTCGGCTACAAGGTCGGCGAGCTCGAGGGCATGAACGTCAGCGCGCTGATGCCGCAGCCCTTCTCCGGGCAGCACAACTCCTTCCTGCGCAACTACAAGCTCACCGGCCGCTCGAAGGTCATCGGGAAGGTCCGGGAGGTCATCGGCCTGCACAGCGACGGCAGCGTGATGCCCCTGCGCCTCGCGGTGTCCAAGGCACCCCAAGCCGACGCGGCCGACTCGTTCATGGGCGTGCTGCGGCCCGTGGAGGACGACCTGTCGTGCGGCACGGCGTGGATTATGGCGAACGGCACGATCCTGGCCACGAACCGCGGCTTCGCGGACAACTTCGGGTACGGCCCGCGGGAGACGGTGGGCAAGTCGATCTACGTCTTTTCCGACGCCAACTCAGACTGGGACTCGGAGCTCTCGCGCATCGCGGACGCCGCGGCGGGCATCGGCGACGACGACGACGCTGCGCTGAATGCCGCGCGCTTCGAGTTCACCGCGGGGATTCAGCACAAGTACGCCGGGCTGGATGTGCCGGCCAAGGTCGTGGTCACGCTGGCCGGGACGCGCGCGCAGCGCATCCTCGTGGTGCACCTGTACCCGCAGCAGACGAAGGACGGCATCCTCGTGTTCAACCAGCTCGGCGAGTGCGTGTATGCCAACGCCAGCGCGGAGGCCATCATCGAGTACAAGCCCGGGACGCTCGTGCGGAACGAGGCGAAGATCTCGAAGATCCTCCCCGAGCCGTACGGGCAGATCCACATGCGCTGCCTGCGCCGGCTCGGGCAGCTGAGCGCCACCACGGCGCCGTGCTTCAGCGGCCGCCCAACGGTGCTCAAGGGCAAGAACAGCAAGAACGTCCCGGTGACTCTGAAGTGGAAGCCGATGCGCGACGGAGAGCACAGCGTGCTCGTCGCGGTCGTGTCCAAGCTCCCCGCGCTCCCCACGGGGCTCTGGACCTCGGGCAGCTGGGACGAGCCGATCAACCGCCCCATGCGCCTGCGCCTGCTGGTCACCGAGGAGGGCGAGATCGCGGCGGGCTTCGGCGGCCAGGGGTACCAGTTCAAGGTGCCCGGCGCCGTGCTCGGCGTCAACGAGGCCGACTTGCGCGGCGAGTCCCTGCACAACTACATCGATGTCGTGGCGGCGGCGGTCAAGAACGCGCAGCTCTACGGCGACATCGACCCCAAGTCGGTCGTCGGGCCCTTCCTGCGCAACCTCCTGCGCAAGTCGCAGGAGCTCGGCCTGCTCGCGTGGAGGATGACGTTCCTGCCGGAGGGTTCCCTCGAGCCCACAGCGCTGGGCGTCCTGGGCATCAACGTCTGCATGACGGTGAAGCGCGTGGGCGAGAGCAGCGTCGCCGTGAACCAACTCGAGGACCTGTCGCCAGACCACGCGACCGAGCTGTCGGCCGGCCGCGGTTACTGCATCGACCTGTGGCGTACGGACCTGCTCGAGGGGGTCATCCAGGCGGATAAGGGCTTCGTCATTCGCGGCGCGAACCTGCACGCGCAGCTGCTCTTCGGGTGGCACTCGAGTGCGATGTTCGGGAAGCCGGTGGACCACCTCCTGCCGCAGGGCGCGTCGAGCGCGGGGCCCATCCGCGCCGCAGCGACCGGGCAGCGCGTGGCCAACGCGGAGCTCGCGCACGCGGACGGCGGCAGGCTCACGTGCTCCGTCGACGGAGCGCCCAAATCGGCCAGCAAGCGCAAGTTCGGCGTCCTCGTCCGCGCCGGGCCGCAGCCTGGCGACACCATGGACGCCGCGGTGTGTCTGCGCCGCATCGAGGCGCTCTTCGCGAAGGAGGGCGCCGCGCGCATGACCGACGCGGGCAACGCCGGCGCGCCGCGCGCTGGCGGCGGCGTGCGCTTCGCGGAAAACCTGGAGGAGAGGTTCTCCATTGCCGCGAGCAGCATGGCCGAGGACGCCGGCGAACCCGCCGACGACGACGACGCGGAGCTCGCCGAGGAGGAGGACGACCGCGACAACGCGTTGGTCGAGGTCGACAACGCGAGCGAGGGCGGGGAATCGTCTGCGGCGTCGTCGGCGGAGGAGGAGGAGGCGGAGGCGGCGCTCGCGGCGGACTTCCGGCGCGCGAAGCGCTTCCAGCGCCTGAACCGCCTCCTGCGCAACTCCCGCGTCAAGTACCTGTCGATGTTGCTGCGCCGGCGGGCCAAGCAGCTGCTCCTGGGGCTGCTGGTGGTCACCGTTGCGCTCTTCGCGACGACGATGGCGGTCGCGGAGAGCTACAAGGGGTCGTTCCTGCTCGTCCTCGACGCCGTCAAGATCGGCGAGCAGATCGAGTTCATGGTCACGTACTCCAAGGCGCTGCAGGCCAATGCTGACGGCGAGGGGTACGTCGGGCAGGACGATGTCCGCGACCAGTACAGAGGCCGCCTGGCCGACGCGATCGACGCATTTAACAGCCGCGCCCGGGCCGCGTACGTCGAGCCCCGCCTGCGCAAAGAGCTCATTCAGGACGTCAAGGACGTGTTCGAGGTGCCGTCGCTCCCGGTGGTCTTCTACACCGACGAGAACGTGGACCCGCAGGGCGACCCGTACGACCCCAACCTGCCGCTGCTGACGAACACGACGCGCACGCTCGGGTACCTCGGTCTGTACCAGCTCTACCTCTCGTCGGCGGCACAGGTGCTGTACCCTGGGCCGCGAATCGCGTCGACGTCGGGCGGCTCGGGAGGTGCGGTTCCGATGTCGAAGAGCATTTACTTCAATTTCGTGCAAGAGAACGTCCACAAAGGCATGGAAAGCGGCTTCTTCGAGTTCGAGGATGCGCAGAAACAGGACCTCAATGCACGCAAGCAGATCGTCCAGACGGTGCTGCTGGTCTCCGCGGTCGTGATCGGGGTCGCCCTGGTGCCGTTCGTCGCCATCTCGCTGCTCGTGCTCACCCTCAAGCTCTCCGGGTCGCGTGGGAAGCTCCTGGGCATCTTCCTGGCCGTTCCGCGGCCCGTGCTGATCGGGCTCGCGGCGCGCGACCTGGATCTCGAGGACGTTGAGGAGGGCGAGGACAAGGACGCGTGGCAGCGCAGCACGCTCACGGACGTCGAGAAGCGCCAGATGGCCCAGCAGCGCAGCAAGCAGAAGAAGAAGCGCCGCGCGTCGGGCCCGATGGGCGTGGCCCTCAACTTCTTGCGGACGTCTCGCGAGCTCAAGGTCAGCAACTGGCGCAACATCCTGAAGGTCTGTCTGCCGATGGTCGGGCTCGGCGCCCTCCACCTCGGGCTGCACCTCGGGGCGCGGGACATGCTCGACACGATTGACAGCAACACGTCCGGCATGATTTTCGCGGAGGACATGCTCAAGTCGGCCGCGCGCGTGATCCACGAGGCCCAGGAGCTCGTTCTGCTGGACCCCACGGAGCCCGGCACCGACCTCCCCGGCGGCCCCCGCTTCGAGGAGCGCAAGGGAATGAACGCGTCCATCCTGGCGTTCGAGGCCAGCTTCGACGACATCGTCTTCGGGAACAGCGCGAGGGGCCTCGACGGCAACATCGTGGGCAGCGCGGAGTTCCACGACCTGCTCTTCGGGACGGACACGTGCCTGCGCTCAAACGAGACGGCGTGCCTGACCAAGGACCACCCGTACTACGACCAGCTCAACAACGGCCTCGACGTGGCCGTGCGCGAGTTCGTCCAGGCGGCCAAGCTGCTCGACACCTCCCCTCTCTTGGAGACGGACCCCAACGAGCGGCTGGCGAACCCCCTCTTTGCATTCTTGATCGAAGCCGAGTACTTCGACATCCGCGGGGGGCTCGACAAGCTCTCGGTGACCTTCGAGAAGCGCGCCGAGGACCAGGTCCTTCTCGTCGAGGTCCTCGAGGGCCTCCTGGTCGCGATCACGATCGTGTGGGTGCTGGCGTACCACCGCCTGCTCGCGCCGTACACGCAGCTGGCGGACGAGGAGCTCATCTACGCGTCCGAGCTGTTCTCGCAGCTGCCGGAGGAGATGAACGTGGTCGAGCACATCGTGACCATCGCGGAGATGGAGACAACGGGCGGCGTCGGCGTGCAGGAGCCGTTGCGTGCGCGCATTGTGCGTCGGGTGAAATACGCGGCCGTGCGCGCGGCGCTCGGGACCGAGCTCTACGCCGAGGTAGTCGAGGACATCCGTGCGAAGGAGGTGGAGATGGCGGAAGCCGAGGCCAACGAGCTGCTCGGGCTGGGTGCGCGCTGGGCGCCCTCGTCCGCTGCGCCCACTGGCAAGTACGGCCGCAAGCCCGCCAAGGTCACCGTCAAGTGAGGCGACCAAGCACCCCCATCGCAAGGGGGGGACGCGAACATAACTGCAGCATGTGGTCAAGTTCGTGACGCTTCCCTGCTGCCCTCACCCGTTTCGGAAACCCCCCTCCCCAACTTGTGTCCACCCCACCCCACCATCTTTCCCCCCTTTTCCTTCCCCGACCCCAACGTCCCCCCCCTCGCATTCCCTTGAATCCGGCAAGTCTTGCCTAAGGAGTGTCGAGATGAAACGACCTTGGTGCATCGTCAACCTTGTCCGCGCGCCCCACCCTTGCATTTGTCGGAGCCCCAATCGCCCCGTGTCCCCCACCACCGCACCACCCCCGCCTCCGCCAGTTTTCTCCCACTGAGGCCTTGCGTTGGGGCCTCAGAGGCCTCGTGAAGGCAGACTGCCCCTGCCAGCTGCACCGGGGACCCCCGCTCCCCGTGCGTTGGCGCGTTCCGGTCCTACACGCGCCCTGCGTCGCGTCATGGGGAGCTGTGCGCGCGGACCTTGGGACCGTGCCAGCACCGCTGACGCCCGCCACATCATCATCCGATCGCACCGACACAATCTGCGCCTGCCGTCGTCATGCCCCGCGCGTCGACGGCGGCACGAGTTCGTCCCGTGTTAGCGATTCAGACCAGCGAACATTTCCAGACTTGAAATAAAACGTAGAAGAAGCAGGTGCGCCAGCGGCGCCCGGTCTACCAACGCGGCACGCAGGTGACGCGCGTAGACCGGACGCGGGCGAAGCAGCGCCTGGCGGCACTGGCGGCCAGGTGGCTGCGTCCGCTCGGCTGCCAAAGCACACTGGCGCTGCCACGTTTTGTCTTCGGATCCGAACCACCCCCCCAGCCACATCACGATGAACCACCTGTGATCCGGCCTGCGCAGCTCCTTCCGCACCGTGAGTTGACATGTCGCGACATGTCCCGTCCCGCGTCGGGGTCGACTCAGTCTGACGCTGCAGCGCGGGCTGGGCCGCGGGCTTCTGTGCCCTCACGCCGGCCCGCCGATCCGCAGAAGGCCATGCCGGCCAGACCGGGCCCCGATGTACTCATCGTGGCAAGGCCAAGCGTTGGCCGACGCTGCCTTTGCCGGCGTTGATGCGCAGGCTGGGGATGGCACGGGCGCGAGCGCGCCTTGCAACGAAGCGGCGGAACATCAGGAGGCCGTCATCCTGACGGGTCTCGATTCGGCACCAACCGGCGGATGGAGAGGCCACCAGGCCATCATCTCCTTCACAGGTAGTCCCGACCGCCTCTCTCGAGGCAGCGCAACTTGCAGCACGCACTTGCGAGCAGCTGCTCATCACATTCGTTCATCTCAGTCACACAAACACTTCCCAAATTGTACGTCCCGGTCGTCTCACGCGCTGTCCGTGAGCGGAATCACGGCGCTTGCAGGTGGAAAGGACTGCCATCTGGCCCTGCTCCAGGCGCGGAATGCCGGCCTCAACGTCGTGGGCCTCGTGACGTTCACGCCTGCAAGCGTTGACTCTCGCTTTCGCGCCCATCCCCTTCCCTGGATCGCCCAGCAAGCGGCCGCGCTCGGGCTGCCCCACTGCACGGTCCCCATCGAAGCCGAGCCGTCCTACGTCGAGAGCTACCGAAGAGCGATCCGCCGGCTCGGCTCTAGCGAGGGCCCATTCGCAGGGACCGTCCTGGTGACTGGTGATATCCTGGACGTGTGCAATGGATTCATGGACCGGGCCGTGCAAGGTAAGCACTTGGCAATCCGAAAGTTGGCGGCTTTGGTCGCCACGTGCGGGGCCCCGAGGGCCGCCGTGCACGGCACGCGCATGGTGTCGCTGCCCCGTCATCAGGTGCCGCGCCACGAGCCGGGGTACCAAACACTGCGCGCCGCACCACAGCATGTCTCGGGCGTATTGCGAGAAACTTCGCACGCGCGCCCCTTTCCGCGCACAGGTACAGGCATGGTGCTGTGGAAGCCTCTATGGCAGCAGCCTCGCGAAGACTTGCTGCGCCGTCTCGAGACGTGCGGCGGGGAGTGCGTGGTCTCCTGCGCGGACGTACGCGCCGTCGGCATCGATGCAGCGCGGAAGCTCGTGGGCGAGCCGCTGAGCCTCACGAGCCTCCGCGCACTCGACGAGAGCGTCGACAGGTGCGGCGAGGCGGGGGAGTATCACACCATGGTGACATTTATACCTGGGGCGTACAAGGGGCGCGTGCGGGCACGCGGGAGGCAGGTCCAGGAGGACGGGTCGGCGTATCTGTGCTGGGAGGTCGAGGCCGTCACAATCGAAACAGAAAGGGGAGCATCAGGTGTCCAAGTGCAAAGGCACCCCCCATGACTCGACACGTCTACCTCCGCCGCTGTAAGTCCTGCGAGCGCCGGTGTTACACCTGGGCCAGGCAGCGTCCGGGCTCTCACTGCGGTGCCCGGCTCTGGAGCGTGCCCTGCTCTGCGTGGAGGGTTGTGCTCCTTATCCTTATGCAAGCGTCGCTAGATACGCCTCCCATCCCTCTTTCTGGTACTTCTGCGCCTCGCTCGCTGGGCTCTTCGCCTTGACGATGCCGCGCCCGACGATGATCACGTCGGTCCCGCACTCCCCCACCACGCGCTTGGGGGTGTTGTACTGCTGACCAAGGTCGTCCCCCCCCTCGACCATCTTCACCCCGGGCGTCATGCACACCAGCCCAGGCGATACCGGCGTCTTCCACTTCGCTGGCTCCTGGCAGATGAAGCCCATCACGAAGTCCTGGTTCTCCCCCGCCACCCGCGCCACAGTCTCCGTGTACTCCCCTGCAGCGGCGCGCGCAGCCAGAACGCAGCACGGTCAGGTCCCCGCCACGCGCACAGCTGCCGCGCCGAGCGCGGCGCGCCCGTGAACGCACTCGTGGACGTGGTCGTGGTCTAAGGCAGCACGAAAAGGAAACGGTATCTATGTTGGAAGCTGCGTGCGTGTGTGAGCGGCGACGGGCGTCGGCAGGGCGGCGTGTGTCCCGCGGCCCCGTCCGCGGCGACTCTCGTGCGACTGCCGTGGGGCGGGCGCGACGCGAGGGCGCGGGAGGCGCGCGGGCGTGGGCGCCAGCGCTGCGCGCGTGGACGCTCCGATGCGCCGCAGGTACGATATTGGAGGCCTGTAGAGGCACGGTGGCACCGCGATGTCCTCCGCCGCGCCTGCTGAAGCCTCCGTGGCGGCAGGAACAAGGACGCTGAGCGCGGGCTGCGCACCTGTTGCCAGGGCGCCCTTCGACGACATTTCCGCGAGCAGCAGGAGCCCGCGTCCCTTGGGCTGGCCGACGCTCTTCAAGCCGTCGATGATGCCCGGCCCGGGCACCAGGTGCGCGTTCGTCATGTGCGACCAGTCGGCGATGTGGTGGACGCCGCTGCTGTACTGCGACACGACGGTGTTGCCGATGTCCGCGAACTTGCGGTCCTCGAAGATGAGGAAGTCGTGCTTCCGCGCGAGGTCCGCGAGCTTCTGCTGCACCGCGGCGCTCCAGTCGGGCAGGGCGTCGCAGTGCGTCTTCAGCACGCAGATGTAGGGGCCGACCTGCGTCAGGACCGGGGAGACGGTGAGGGGGGCGGTATTGGTAGGCCGAGGGCTGCGGAGATGGGCGCCAGAGCGGCGCAGCTCGGTTGGCTGAAAGAGCGGGAGACAAAGCGGCGGGGGGGTGTGTGAGGTGCTTGTGTGCTGCGCGGCGCGGCGCTCAGTGGAAAGAGAAGTCGTATTTTGTTTTGTGGTGTAATCAGGTCCATGCGGACTCAGAAACAGCCTCATGTTCGTCGTCATCGCGCCCGCCGCACACCACGCAAGCACCAACACCCCCCCCCCCGCCACGCGCCACGTCCGCAGCGACAGGGCCCGCGGCGCACCTCGTCCGCGATCCGCAGCATCTCCTTCGCCGTCGGCACGTCCGCAGCGACGCACAGGTTGCTCTCCTTGCGCACCATCAACTCGAACAGCTCCTTCCCGCACTTGTTCTGCGCCAGCGCCGCGCGCTCCGCGAACGGCGCCTTCTTCGGCTTCGGCGGCGGCGCGCTCGCCGCGGGCTTCGCCCCCGGGCCCGTCTGGTTGTCGCGCAGGAACGCCCGCACGCGCTCCGCGGTGTCGCCGCTGACCTTCTTGTGCTTCACGAGGACGTCGAGGATGAAGGAGAGCGTGAACGCCGAGTGGAGGCGCAGGTTGTTGGCCGCGAGGTTGCCCTCGCCGCCCTGCTGCCGGTCGATCAGCACCACCACGTCGCTCACCGCGAGCCCGACGTTCGTCAGGGGCTCGACGGTCTCCAGGACCGACATGCCGGACGTGACGAGGTCCTCGACGATCAGACACTTCTGGCCCCGCTGGAACACCTGCGCGCCGGCGGCCGGGCACCGCAAGGGCCGTGGGCTCTCCTGCTCAGCGCGCATGCCCACTCAAACACAAACCGGGCGCCTGCGTGCACGCAGCGGCGCTGGACCGGCGCCGCGCGCGCCGTGCCTGCGGCTGCGAGCACGCGGAGCGCGCGGGGCGCGCGGGGCGGTCGGGGCGGTCGGGGGCGCGGGGCACTCACTCCCTCGATAGCCTTCTTCGTGCCGTAGTCCTTCACCTCCTTCCGCCGCATGAGCATCGGGGTTTGGTGGAAGAGCGTCATGGCCGTGGCGATCGGGAGCGCGGTGTACGGCACGCCGCACATGACGTCGAACTGCGCGCCGTTCTCCTCGAGGCGCATCCACATCACCTCGGCAACATCCGAGAGGAGTTTCGGGTAGGAGACGATCACGCGGAGGTCGATGTAGACCGGGGACGTCAGGCCGGACTTGAGCTTGAACTCGCCGAACTTGACGGCCTGCGACCCGACGGGCGCGGGGCGGAGGCGGTTGGGAGGCGCCGTGCGGCGGTGGTGCCATCGCGAGCGCGCCGGGGCGCGAGGACGCTCACCTCGACTTCCGCGAGGCGCAGGACGAGGTCCTCATACAGCGCCTGCCGCGCTGGCGACCCCTCAGGGTACTTGGAGGCCTCCAGACGGGCTGCAAGGGCACCGCAAGAGAGCACGAGATTGAGCCCGGAAGGGACGCTACCGGCGAACACGTCGCCGAATCCTGGGCCCCGGAGGAGTACGAGGACCAGGAAGCGTACAATTCCAGGAGCGTTGTGCGAGTTGACGTGCGCGCGAGGCCGCGGGAGCGCACACGAGCCCTCGGCAGCCACGAGGCGGCGGGTCGCGGCAAAACGCGTCTGACGAGGGGTCAGAAGCGCGAACCATGCGACGCGCGAGGTGGCTGGAGATCGGGCATGCGCGGGAACGTCCGCATTCGGCGCCTGGTCGCGCGCCGCTGCCCGCGCGCGCTGCAGCTGCAACAGCCGTCCGCACTCACCGACTGCGCCGCCACGGCCCCGCCGAGCACCACCGCCGGCCACGTGCGCGACCGCGCGGATGGGCGCGGCCACGAAGTTCCCAATGTGTCCTAGAATGTGGGCCATGTTTCCGCCGGACCTCCCACGCGCAGTGCTGCCCAGCACGCGCGCCCGCACAGGCGGGTTCGCAGGGAGGACGTGTACGATCTTGCAGGGCTCTGGTTCGACGCCGTGGGCCTCGCAAGTCGTGCTGGTCCTCAGCCGCGATCTGTGGCCGCGCAACGCGCGGCGGGAGCGTGAAATACCGGGCGGCTGCGTCGATGGTGGGGGGGTCGCCTGACAGCTTGAAGCGCGACTATATGCGTCGCACGCCGCGTGAGCGTCAGCATAAGCGGAGTCTCCTGGCGGCAGTGTGACGATATCGACGCGTCGGCGTTTTGCGACGGCGGGCACGGAGTTGAGCACTTCTGTGTGTGCAGGTGAGCTTTTGCGCGGCATGCAGCCCTTGGATGCGCGAGAGCGACGTCCTCATCGCTGATCAGCGTATTGGTGGTGCACGTGCGACACATGGATGGCACGAAACGGCGACTTGCAACCATGGTCGATCGAAACAGAAGGTGGCGCTTGATGCGCCCGCGTGCGTTCAGTCAAGCAACGTCACGCATCAACAAAGCAATCGCCCTCCATATTCGTCATCAATCTCCAGAGCCATGAAGATATCGCCGCACACCACGCGTGAATCGCGCCATACAAGGCACACTGATGCCCCCCAGTCATGTGGCCATCTCGATCGGCGCCCCGCGGCCTCAACACCGGCTCCACCGCCCCTGACGAGCTCGCCTAAGGCGCCACTGTCCTGCAGGTCCGCGTCCCGACGGAGCCGGACATCCCGTCACGCGCGGCCACATGCGTCCTAGCATCGCCTTCACAGCAGCGGTCAGGAAGTTGCACGTCAGCGCACGGAGCCCCACCTCTCTCACGCCGCTATTCGGGACCCCACGCCCCTGCGTCGCGCTCGCGGGCGCCGCCCCGACCAACAACAGTTGTACGCCACAGGGCAGACGGCTCGCGATGGCCTCGGCGGGCCTGCGGGACGACTTCTCTCAGGCCGTCGTCGTGCAGACCGCGGACGTGCCGTGGGCGCCCTCGCCCTCGCCGTCCGTCGAGCGGAAGCGTCTCGAGCTGTGGGGGCCTGCGGAGGCGGGGCGCGTGAGCTCCATCGTACGGTACCTGCCGGACGCGGCGTTCCACGAGCACCCGCATCCTGATGGAGAGGAGATCCTCGTGTTGGAGGGAACTTTCACCGACCACACCGGTGACTACCCCCCCGGCACTTGGCTCCTGAACCCTGAGGGCTTCGTGCACGCCCCGTCGTCGAGGGAGGGATGCCTCATCTTCGTCAAGCTGCGGCAGGCGCCGGGAGGGGACCGCAGCCACGTCGCTGCGCGGATCGACGCGCCAGAGCGTTGGCAGCCCCTGGCACAAGGCAACGCGGCGTACCTGACGCTGTACGACGACGCGCGGTTTCCGGAGACGGTCACGATGCTGCGGCCGGCCGACGGCGGCGATGTGCCCTGCGTGCCGCAGCGCCTGGCGCGTGCCGGCGGCGGGCGCGCGCTCGCGGAGGTGTTTGTCCTCCAGGGGTGTGTGGAGTTGGTCGGACCGGCTTGGGGCGAGCTGCGCGGCGAGAAGCTGGAGCGTCACGCGTGGGCGCGGGCGCCCGTCACAGGCGGGCTGGACGGCCTGTTCGTGCGCGGTGTAGGTGGGGAGGCGTTGGTGTACCTCAAGGCCGGACACCCCCCCCCAGAGTAGGCACACATGTAAGCACGCACGGCGTCACAGCAGAAAGTCTGCCGCTTCTGCGTGGACGTGGCGGCATCGCCCGCCCCGGAGGACCTCCGCCACCTGCTGCTGGACTGCTGTGCCCCGGCGGTACGCTCTCTCCGGGAGCGAGCGGGCCTGGCCATGGATTCGTCTGGGCAGCTCACGCTACCACCTCCGCCAGCTGCCGATGCGCCCCTGTCGTCCACGGCAACTGTTGGACAGCGCCGCCGCTTCGTTCTCAACCGCCGTCTACGCCAGCACCTCGAGGACCTGCACGGCGCTGCAACACTCGACTCGGAAGCCGCTGCCAACGCTGCAGTGCGTTATCTTCTGAACCTGCCGAATCAGCGAGGCATGGCGATCTTCGCTCGTGGCATCGAGGATCTGCTCCAGGCTGACTCTGTCACAGCTGCCGAACCTGTTCCTACCATAACGGTGGGGGGTTAGCATGACTCGCCACCTAGTCGAATGATCTTTTCAGGTCCCAAAGCCTTATGGCTGACGACGCGAAGAATGTGACACCTCACCTCACCTCAGCGCTCCGCCCCCGCAAGCCGACCTCACGACCGCTTGCTGCGTGGCCTGCCCTTCGCGCCGGCGCCGACCGCCACCGGCTTCCCGCCGCGCAGCACCTGGTGTGTGCTCTTCAGCCCCTCGATGCCGCCGGCCCTCTGCAGCGTCTCCGCCGCGGCCGCCCGCGCCGCCCCTTCTCCGGCGCCCTTCGCCGAGACTGCCCCGGTCCTCAGCTCCTCGCTGGACACGCCCAGCTGGTGGGGCAGCAGAGGCAGGCCCACGGCGCGGCGCACGAACGCCGGCTTCAGGGCCAGGGACTGGGTGAGCTGGAAGACGCCGTTCGTCAGCAGCGTGAGGAGGACGCCCGCGGGGAAGTCGGAGATCCAGAAGGCGGACATACCGATCGCGCCGCGCGCAATCCATAGCATGGCTTCGGGGGGGAAGGACGACGGCTGCGGCGACAGGGCCTGGAGCTTGGCCTGGTCCCTGCAAGCGAGCGGAGGGGTAGGGCGCGGGTCCTGTCGAGCACGTTGATCGCGTTGGCACCAGAACGGAACGAGGGGGTCGGTTGTGTTGTGTCTGAGGGGGTGGCGTCGCCGCGGACCTGAGCATGAGTTCGATGGCGATCCAGTTGAGGACGACGGTGCTGCCGGTGAGCACGCCGGTGGGGTCTATCGAGGTCAGGTCCTGCGCGCTGACGGGCCAGATCTCGACCCCCCCCTCCACGATGTCGGGATGCTCCGAGGAGCACAGGCGCCGGGTCGCGCTGAAGAAGCTCGCGAAGCCGAGGATGTTGAGCCCGGCGACGCCGAACTGGACCTGCATGCGCACAGAGAGACCAGGCAATGCACAGCGTCACGTGCAGGCGCGCAGCAGCAGGAGCGCTCGTTGTCCGGGCTGCTGCGCGGAGGCGTCGCAGGCGCTGGGCGGCACAGGAGCGGGCGTACCGAGGGCGGCGGCAGCCCGTGTTTCTTGAAGATGGCCTTTTGTTCTTCGCGGAGTTTGTTCACCAAGTTTGTTGTGTCCTCATTTACCCTCTGGCCTTTCTGCGCCATCTCCTGGAGCTTGTTCCGCAGCGCCTCGAGCTCGGGCTGCGCCTTCTGCATCTTCGCCTGATTCGCCATCTGCCGCACCGTGACGGGCGCGAGCACGAATCGCAGCGCCAGCGTGCCGGCCACAAACGCCCCCCACCAGGGCAGCCCCGCCGAGGAGTGGAGCGTGTCGAAGAACCACATAGCCGCCTCCGTGGTGTACCATGCGCCGTCTCGCGCCGCCTCCCACGCGTACTCGCACAGCAGCGCGCGGTTCTCCGGGTCTATCGTTCCAGCAGCAGCTGGGGCGGCCGCACCGGCCGTCACGGCAGCGGAACCTGCGCGTACAGCGGGCGGGCTGCCTTCTTGAGATCACAAGGAAACGCGTTCTGGTCTCCTAGCGGAAAAGGGCGACCGCACCGCCGCGGAGGGGCGCACGCGAGCCACGGCGTAGGGTGCGGGGGACCTGAGGCCGCTCGCGGGTCGAACGGCGACGGAACGCAGCGTCGACGGCTCTTACGAAGACGGACCTGCTGCAGCGGCGCCGAAGTCCTGCAAGGAGGAGCCGTCGCTCGCGGAAAGGCCCTGCTCGAGGGGAACTCCACTCGTGCCCTCCGCGCCCACAGCACCCGGCGGCGGGACCTGGAACCCATCGTCAAGGCTGGTCTCCACTGCGACCTTCTCATCGGGCCGGGAATCCTCCAGCGCCTTCTTCGCGGCCGAGCCCGAGCCGAACCCCCACAGCGTCCTGTGCTGCAACACCGCCGCTGGCCCCGGTCCCTGGCGCGCGAGGTCGTTCCACGCAGGATTCCGCGTGCTCAAGCTACGGACATCCCCGACGGATCCCGTCCCGGGCGACGCAGGCGCTGCGACGCTCACGGCAGCGAGGCAGGGGCACAGCCGCGCCGCGCCCAGACCAGCGGCCGCCCTGCGCAGCCCGGACTGCATCGCTACCGGTCGCCGGATCGACCCCCGCTGTCCCACGAAATCCACGCACGCAGAGGCCAACGCAACCGCTTCGGATCCCTCGATTGCCCTGGAGCGCGAGCTGTAATGCCTTGGCTTGGCTGCTAGCTGAGAGATGGGCTCGAAGCTACGCAAGAGCACGGCCGCGGTGTCGAGGGCTCGCGTGCGCCTCCGCAGGTCTGCGCGGCGACGTCGTCGGCCTCTGCCTTGGAAGCCGCGTCCGGCGCGACGGCAACCAGTCTGACGCAACATGAGTCAGCGCCAACGCGTTGCCAACAGTGGTTCCCGCGCCTGCGACGCCGGTCGGCTGCCTCGGCGCGCGGGCCGCGGGCGCGGGGTACTGGGGGGCAACCTTCGTCGCGACCCCCGGCAGCACTGCGGCGAAAAACGTGGCAGTCCTGGTGCAGAGAGAGAGAGGCACAAGCACAGCGCAAAACACGACGCGGCTCCACGCTCGGGCGAGGATTACATCAAGCGACAGCGGAGTCAACGCGAACGATCGCGCGGGAGGCGACTCGGCGTGCCGCGCAAGAGCTAGAGGGGGGTGTGGCGCTGAGGCGCCGGCGGGGCGTCAGCCGGCTTTGACCGGCGGAGAGCTGTGCCGTTGTATCGACGGCTGCGTCGGAGGCGAGAGCGGCACGATCTCTGCGGACAGCGATGCCCGTCTGACTGACTCAGGGTGGTGTTTGTTGTGCAGGTACTGGTATTCGGGAACAAAGGGCGCGGGGTTGCCCTTGAAGCCAGGGGTGCTCAGGACCTCCGCCTCGACGTCTGCGACGAGCCGTCCCAGCTGGCTCACCGCGATCGCTGCGAGCAGCGGCGCAGGGGGGGGGTTTAGTGAGACGCCGTTCACGCAGCCAGCGCAGGACGTGTTTCGCTGTCGAGACCGAGCAGCGCAGCGTTGTTCCGGCGGGGACGAGATCGCACCTGAGCAGATGTGCCACACGCCGTGCACGTACTTCGTCTCGGGCTTGTACGACTCGTAGCTGAAGCAAGCCATCCCCGCCACCGTCGTTGCGAGGTGCAGCGCCTGCGACGCCCGCAACTTGGGGTTCTGCACAGCACACGCACCCAGGGAACGCTCACGAAAAGATCCACGCGAGGACGCTGCAACGTCACGGCGTTTCGGGCCCGTTCGACGCACCTTGGCGGCCCGGCGCGCAAACTCCAGCTCCATTGCCGTGGCGTGCACGAACGACGTCTTGAAGGGCTCGAAGGGCGTGGCGAGGTACGACGCGGTGCGGATCTGCCGCGGCAGCGACGGGAAGAGCGCGAAGCTCATCGCGGTCGCCCCCGCCGAGATGGACCAGTAGTCCAGCTTGCGCGCTATGGTACGCGCCTTGCCCCACGAGGCGTGGTACGCCACGGCCGACGCGCCCGCGAAGATCAGGCTCGCGCCGAAGAACCTGCGGGGACGCCGATCGGACCGAGCCCGGCGGTCGCCACGCGCACAGAGCACGCACTGGCAGATGCGACGCTGTGTGCGCTGCGCGCGTCGCGTGGCCAGGCAGACCGCGCAGGATCGTAGCACGACTGCCGGGGGTTCCGCAGCGTGCGTCTGAAACGAGAAACAAAGCGAGGGGGTGTTGAAAGACAGAGGAGCATTCGAAGTTGCGTTCTCACCGGCCCGCGCTCGTCTCGCGATTCCGCAGCATCTCCCATCCCGACATGACGTACGGGACGGCCGTGGCGATGTTGAAGGCGCGGTCCAGCGGGCTGTGGTCGCATCCGCACACGCCCTGCAACCGCACGCCACCGGAACACCACTCATAATCAAACAGTCGAGCGCAAGGCACGCCTCGCGAAGACTATTGGCCCGAACCGCGCCCCCAGGCGGCCCCACCCGTGCGCAACGCGCCGTACGAGCCATTTCAGTTACCCTCGGCCCGACCGAGCCCTTCCCCTCGCATCAGCGCCGCCGGGCAGCGCGAAAGCGCGCAGCACGCCCGCCCCGGGGCCGCGCCCGGGGGCTTGTGGCGTCCGCAGAGACAGCACAGCCCTCCCGCTTCGCCGCAACTTGCAAGGCGGCGTACCTTAGGCTTGAACGAGCCCGTGACGACATCGAGAAATGGAGACAGGTCCTGCAGGAGCGGCGGAGCGCCGGCGACGCGCAGGCCTGCGCGCGCTACGTCGCCAGCGACCGATGCCCTCTTGCACGAAGTAATGCTGGCGCCGACGAGCGCGCGGTTCATCTTCTGCGCCGGCGACTCCTTCCTGTCGATCCACGGCCACATGGCGAGAAACTCGGCCCACGCGGACCGCGCGCGCGCCTTGGTGACGCCCCCGCGCGCGCCCTGGAGACAGGCTTGGCCAAGCTGCCCGCGGGGTGCCGGTTCGGGGGCTCGATAGTCGTCGATGCGGCGCGAGGACGCTCCCAGTCGCAGCTCTAGAGCACGCAACCGCTGTCGGGCCGCTCGGGGTCCGTTTCTGCGCCCTCCCGCGAGGAAACGTCCCGGTTTGCCCCGCCAAAACGAGGTGGCGACAAATCGCGCGTCTAGACCGACGCGATTCCCTCGCTCACCGCCGCGAAATCACCACGCACAGCGCGCTCTGCGCAATGCCGACGCGCCGCGCGCGGCCCCGCCCTCGTGCGCCCGTGTAGCGACCCCCCGGACACACCCCGCGCCCCTCGTCTGTTGGCCGGGGCGCCGGGCCTCTCGCGGGTGCGCTCGCCGAGCGGCGCGTCAACCAGCGCGATCGGCCGGCCGCCGGCGTCGCCCGTGCGGCATCGCGCGCGTCGCGCCACCCGCCACACCGCCGCGACCTTGCTGGTGGCGCGCAACTTGAATGGCGGGGATTGGTCCGGCGGGACGATTGACGAGCCGCGCGCCGATCCCCCGCTGGATAGCTGGCTGACAGCGAGCCCCGGCTTTCGCGCGGGGAACGCCCGCGCGTCGAAGGCACTCGCAGTCCCCCCCCTGAGGTCGGCGACAGCAACCGGGCCGCTTGCGCGCGGGTTGGTGGGCCGCTCGCGTCGTGCGTGGCGCGCAGAACACGGGGGCGCCTGCCGTAGGTCCCTCGCACGTCTGATTGCGGTGTTTCGCGCGAGGTTTCGTATTGCGGGGCGGTGACAGCTCGGTGCACGCGCGAGGGGAACGGTCGCACGGATGGCGCCGCTGGGGGCGCTGCTGCACAGCCGGACGTGCCGCGTGCTGGTGCCGCGATGTACGTTGACGCAGGGGCGGGCGCGGGCGCTGGTGCGGCACGCGCAGCGGCCGCGGGTGGAGCAGCCGAGGGAGGTGGTGGTGCAGGAGCAGGTGCGACGCACGCGCTGGCGGCGGGCCGGTTCGCGGTCCCGAACGCTTGTGGAGCGAATATTGTGGGGGTGTCGTGGCCGATTCGGCCGGCGAACGCCGCGACGGGTCCTGCGGGACGGATGCGAGCCGATCCTTTTCGCTCCCGTGGCGCTGAGGGCCGTGGAGAGTGGGGCAAGCCCACCCGGTCGATTGATACGTATATCACGGTCGCGTGCGCGCCGCCGAACTCCGCGCCGGACCCGTGCGCCCGCGTCACCGCAGGAGCCTCTCTCGAGCACAAACCAGCACAGCGGGATTCCGACGCCGGGGCCCGGTCCCAGGCGCCGCACCGATGCCCCAGCCAACGACAGCGATAGCGACGCCGACGAGGCACCGGAAGCAGCGGGGTTCGAGGACGCACCGGGCGAGCCGGACACGGCAGAGCTGAACGACGACGCCGCAAGCGCCATGGCCCAGGCCGTGCAGGCAAGCTCGCCGCCGCGCCGCGCCGCCGCCTCGGCAACACCCTCCGCACGCGCCCGTGGGGCGCGCCGGCCCGCCATGGCCCCCGCCCGCGTGGGGCGCGCAACCTGTAGCCTCATACGTCAAGCTCGTCCTCCCGCCGCGGCCGTTCCCGGACACTCGCGGGGCCGCCCCCCGAGCCACCACCTCCTCTCGCGTTCGCAGGAGTTCCGGGAAGAGCACCGCGAGAAGAAGACCGCGGCACGCGACGCGCTGGACGTGCTCCACCGGCTCGAGGCGTCGGTGGAGGCAGCCGTGTCGGAGGGCCCTGGCATGGGCGAGGAGTCCCTCCCGTCCGCGCAGGCCGCCGCGACGGCCCTCGCGGACCTGTGCTGCGCGAGCGTGCCCGCGTGGGCGCCGCGGGACGTCGCGGAGGCGGTGTGCGCGATGGGGCGCCTGGGCGCCTTCCACGGCGGCTTGCTGCGGGCCGCCGAGGACATCTTCGCCGGCGCGTTCGATGACGTGCCGCTCGAGACGCACGTGGACGTCGCGCACGCCATGGCGCAGCTCGGGTTCCACCCGCGCAGGCTGCTGCCGCTCGTGACGGCCCGCTGGGCGGATGATGGCCTGCCCCCCGCGGCGTTCCAGCGGCTCCTCTGGACCGGCGCCAAGCTCTCCGGGTCGCTCGGCAACGGCGCCCTCGCCGCGGCGCGCGAACACGTCCTCCCCGCGGCCCGCGAGCTCCACGGGCGCGAGCTCGCTGGCTTGGTGTGGGCCGCGAGTCGGCTCTACGCGCAGGACGCGGAGCTGATGGGCGGCATGACCACGCTGATCCGCAAGCGCCTCGCCACCCTCGCGCCCGCGGAGCTCGCGGACGTCGCGCAGGCGTACGGGCGCCTCGGGAGCGGCGCCGCGCTGGGCGCCGCCACAGCCGAGCTCTTCGACAGCCTGGCGGGCGTGGTGCGCGAGCGGCTCCCGGAGTTCACGCTCCAGGACGTCCTCCGGACCCTGTACGGCTTCCTCGACCTCGGGCTCCAGCCGAAGGAGCTCCTCGAGGACATCTCGTCGTGGGTGCAGCAGCGCATGGCGGACATCACCCCGCACGGCCTCTCCATGACCATGTGGGCGTACGCGCGGATCGGGTACTGCCCGACGGCGCTCCTGAGCGTCTGCGCCGAGGTCGCGGAGCGCCTCATGCCGTCCTTCACGCCCCTGCAGGTCTCCCGGCTGCTCTGGGCGCTCGCCACGCTGCGCTGTCGCCACGCCGGGATCCTGCAGGCCGCCGCGCGGCAGGCGGTCGGAACGATCGACCGCTTCGACGGCAAGGCCCTCGCGAACCTCCTCTGGGCGTTCGCGACGCTCGAGTTCCGCGAAGAGCTCGCGCTGCGCGCCGCGGCCAACCGGTGCGCCACCGTCGCGTGCAGCATGACGCCGCAGGGCCTCGCGACGGTCCTGTGGGCGTTCGGGCGGCTCGAGTTCCCCGCGAGCGACGTGGTCCTCGAGGCCGTCGCGGAGGAGGCGGCGGGGAGGCTCGAAACGTTCGAGCCGCAGGGAATCTCGATGCTGCTCTGGGGGTACGCGAAGATGGGCGGGCGGGGCGCGGGGCGCGTGCCGACGGCGGCGGCGCAGGTCGCGCGGGAGCGCGTGCGGGACTTCGACGCGCGGCACCTCGCCACGCTCATGTGGGCGTACGCCAAGCTGGGGCAGTACCAGCCTGGGCGACTGCTGCGGGCCGTGGGCGACGACGCGTCGCGGCGGCTGTCGGAGTTCAAGGCGCAGGTGCGAGGGAAATTCGGGAATTTTCGACGCGCCATGCCGGCCGTGCGCGCCGCGGGGGGTGACGAGAACGGACTGTTTCGCGACTGACTGTCTTCGGGCAGCATGACGCCTACTTCGTCCTACGCTGCGTTCTTTCCGACCCCGCCGACGAATCCGCTGCACAGGAAACAAAACTGCCAGGCCGCATGCGCGCACCGCGTCTCGCCCCGACGCGCGCGCGCGCGATCGGAGTTTTCGTCTCCTCACGGCCCATGCCCCGTGTGTCCCCGCAGGAGCTCTTCCTGCTGGTCTGGGCGTTCGCGAAGCTCAAATACGTGGACGACACGCTGTTCGCCGCCGTCGCAGCCCAGGCGTCCCAGCGCCTCGAGCAGTTCGGCCCGAAGGAGGTCGTATCCCTCATCTACGCCTACGCGCGCGTCAACGTCCGCCCGCAGCCCACGCTGCTCCTGCGCGCCGCGGACCGCGCCGCGAGCGCCGCGCCGTCGATGTCGCCGCACGAGCTCTCCATCGCCGTCTGGGCCTGGGCGCGCTGCGGGTACTACTCGGCACCCCTCCTGGACGCCGTCTGCGACCAAATCGAGGCGAAGATCGGCATCATCGCGCCGCGCCAGCTCGCGATGGTCGCGTGGGGGCTCGGCGTGCTGCGGCACCACCCCGGGAAGCGCGTGCTGCGCGCGATCGACGCGCAGGCAGCGGCGCGGCGCATCAACCTGAAGCCGTACGAGCTGACTCAGGTGCTCTGGGGCTTCGCTGCGCTGGGGGAGTCCGCGGAGGAGCTGCTCGCGGCGGTTGCGCGGGACCGGGAGGTGCTCGACGAGTTCCACGGGAGGGACGTGAGGCTTTCCCCGCCTAGCATGGTGCAGGGGGTGTGGGCGCTGGCGGCAACGGGCGACACGCAGCACCCGCTGTTCGCGGCGCTCGTGCGGCGCGGGCGCCGCGTGCCGCCGCGCTGGAAGTTCGAGAACGACGCCCTCGCGGACCTGGCGCAGGCCTGCGCCGTCGACAAGCTGGACGGCGGCGGCGGGGCGATCGTGCCCGGGAAGCTGCGGCGGCTCGCGCTGTTCCTGGGGACGAAGGAGCTCCAGGACGCCGGCGGCGGGGCGGCGGAGGCGGCGAACGGCAACGGCGCGGAACGGAACGGCGCGGGTGGGAGAGCAGGGGTGTCGAGGGAGGTGGTCAGAGAGGTCGCTTCGGCGCTGGCCGACGCGGGCGTCGACGAGGTGGTGGCGTTCCCGGAGGTCAGGAAGCTGCCAGCGATGGTGCACGTCACGGGCCGGTTGCGGAACGGCGAGAAGGTCCGTCGCGCCATCCTGCCGCCGCGCCGCTGCCATGCACGCCGCGCTGAGCAGCGAGCCCTGCGCTGCGTCCTGCACAGTCGATCTACGGGGCCGCGGATGCTTGCCTGCTCTGCGCCTGCGGGCTCGCTGCGCGCCGGGCGCGAACTGGCTCACTGGCGACCGTCGCATGCAGAGTTGGTCGTTGACGCGTTGTTCCTGATTGGACGTTTCCTGACCGCAGGTGGCGGTGGTGGTCGAGGACCCGGACAGCGATTACACCGCGGGCGTGGTCGTGCAGCGCACAGGGCGCTGCCAGACGGCGCTGCGCATCCTCGGGCGATCAGGGTATCATGCCGTCGTAATAGACCCCTGGGGGTGGCAGGACGAGGTCGGCGAGGCCGGGGGGGTCGGACCCGCGATCGCGGCGCGCGTGGACGCTCTGGCGCGCGGCGCGCCCAGCAAAGTGCGCGTGCAGTCGGCAGCGCCGTGATTGACGGGCACCTTCCATGTTGATATTTCGGTGTGACTGTGAACGAGACGGCGCGGAACGGGGTGCTCAATCGGATGCCGCGGTGCTTGCCGGGCCGTCCAGGGCGCGGGGGTGTGCGTGAGTGCGGGTGGGGAGGGGGTTGTGTGCTGCGGCAGACGGTCTCAGACGGTCTGGGCGTTGCCGCGCCTCGGGGATGGTGTTCCGGGCCTGCCGCCGCGCCCCCGCATTCTGGAGTCGCTGAGCGTGCTTTCGGCGCATAGAAAGTAGGACAGGTCGGAGTATAGGAGCCAGCCGACGCGACAGCTCGGCTGGTCGGGTTTGGGCGACCGGTTCGCTGCTGTCGCGCGGACCGGATCGTGGAGGTCGCGCCGGTAGATCAGTCAGGGATTTCACGATGTCGTCGGGCAACGAGTATGACGCCTTCATGGGCGCCGAGATCACCGGGGCAGCTCCCCAGCAGAACGCACAGCGCTCGTTCTTTTCCTTCGGGGGACCAGAAGGCGAGTGACTCCCTGAAGCATACCTCCAGTACACCAGCCCGCTTTCCACGGCGACGAGGAATCGCGAAAGCCCCCTTGCGCCGTGTCTACGAGGCAAACACTGCTGGCAGCGCGGCGCCTCCGAACGCCGCGCACGCTGTGGCGCCGCAGTTCGCTAGCCGCCGCCCATCGCAGCTCAGTCTCGCTCCTTTTGGGGTCGACCAGCGAGATTGTGCCAAGACCCACGCTGGCCGCGCACCACGGCCGCGGCCGCATGGTTTTGCCTCTGCGCATAGTAATGCCCTCCCGCGACGCCCGGCGCCCGCCACCTGACCCCTCGCGCCGCTGCCTCGATGACAAGCTCCTCGCCACAACGCTTACTCATTCAACGCACGCATCACGGCGCTCGCAACGTCGTGACGCCCGCGTTGCTGCACCGAGGGCTCTGGTGGCCTCCACCGTCGCGCCACGGGCGCAGAAGCGCTTGTTGATGTCGAAAATGGCATCTTCGCGTCCTTGCGAATGCGGTTGCTCACTATCAGCTGCGCAACCGTGCACATGCGTGCCGTTCGCTCTGTTGTGCAGAGGAGGCGACGCAGGGCACGCCGGCGGACCATGCGCAGACCACGCCCGGCGAGAGCGATTTCCTCGGCAGCTTCAGCGGGCCCGGAGACGACATCTCCTTCGCTGGCCTCCTGTCAGGTCAGACATCACACCCCCCTCGAAACAAAACACATCACCCCCAGCTCGACCCCTCACCGCCCGACCGTATCTTGACAGCCGTGCACGACGTGGCCGCGTGCCCCGGGCCCAGCAAGCGCAGCGAAGCACCCCCCTCCAACCAGCGCTCGCACTCCCCCCGTCGACCCCCCCCCTGCAGAGAAGCTCTCGCTTGGAGGCGCGCCGTCGCCGCAGCACCCGCCGCCGGGCGCCGGGCCCAGCTTCAGCGACCGCGCCGAGATGACGAGCTCCATTCTGCACATGTCGGGCATCGACGACAGTGGGGACGGCAACAACGCTGCCGCGAGCCAGGGGCGGCCCTCCGCGGGGCCCTTCGCGTTCTCCTCGCCCTTCTCGCCGCACCCGCAGCCCATGGGCGTGCACCCTGGCTTCAGCGGCCCCCCGCCGGCGCAGATACAAGACATGATGTCGCTGGAAGACATCGAAGCTCGAATGGCCGCGGATTTGGCGCCGCCGAACGCCCCCGGCCCCGGCGGCCTGCCGAACCTGCCGCTCCCCACGGGCCTCCTCGCGGCGGAGGACGAGGACCACGCGGGGCGGCCATCGGGGGGTGTCCCGCTCGTCCCGACGCAGCTCCGCGGGCAACCCCCCCCGCCCGGACCTGCCGTCGTCGCCGTGCAGCCGCCGCCGCCGCCAGGCCCGCCGCCGAAGCGCGGCTGGGACACCACGCTGCTCGAGCAGACAGAGCGCGCGCAGCGCGTCGTGCAGGCCGTCAGCGCCGCCGAGCGCTCCGGCCGCGGTCCCGGGTTCATGCAGCCGAACAAGCGCCCCGCGCCGCCCACACTCGGCCCGCGCGGGGGCCGCGGGACGCGCTTCGGCCGGCCGATCATCTCCGGCAAGCTCATGCGCGCGCACGAGGTCGACCAGCTGCTCCGGATCATGTGGACGGCGGTGAACGCCAACAGCGTGCCCTACGCCGACGACTACTACTACCAGGCGTGGGCGGAGCGGCGCGGGGTCCGGACGGGGAAGTTCGTGCCGCCGGCCATCCGCGAGCTGCCGTCGTCGGAGCGCGCCGGCGGCGGGGACGTGGTGTTCGTTGACTTGCACGGTCTGGGCAAGATGCCGTTCACCAACATCCGGAGGCCCAGGCCGCTGATGGACCTGTCGCCGGAGGAGTTCGGGGACGCGGGGCGGGACGCGGAGACCGCGGCGAAGGACGCCGGGAGCCGCGAGTCGGTGCGTGACACCCCGGGGGGACTCTATGCTTGCACGCACTCCGCTGGCCACGTACTCGTGCAGTTCGGGCTCTCAGGGGCTTCTCACTGCTGCACGGGAGGCGCTCGATGTCGCCATGAAGCGCCTCGCTGGGCCTCCGACAAAACGATTTGACGATCGGTGCTGACGACCGCATCGTTTGTCAGGAGGTGGCGAAGCGTTTTCATGGCGACATCGGGCAACTCCCCTGGAGCAGTGAGAAGCCAGCCAGCGCCCAGCAATCGAGGTCGAGCTCAGCAACGCCCGTCAACGACCGTCACGTCCGCTCCGCGCCGGCCCACGGTGCCCCTCCGACTTCGCACCCCTGCCACACCCACGGATTCACGCCCACACAACCCCCCCCTCCCCGCCTCACCGCTCCGCAGGCCGCGCGCAACCTCAAGGCCCTCGACCGGGACCCCCTCATGGCTGCGCGCGTCATGATCGAGGACTGCATGCATCTCCTACTGGACGTTGACGACGTGGACCGCGCCCTGGCTGCGCCGCAGCTGCCTGGCGGCGCCACGCGCGAGACGCTCCTCCAGCAGCGCGTGCTCCTCATGCGCGGCCTCGCGGCCTCGCTGTCGCTCGCGGACACCCCCGCCGTCCCGCCCGAGGCCAAGGGCAGCGGCGACGCACTGCTGCAGCGGTTGGCGGCGATGCGCAAGGGCCGCACGCTCTTCGCGACGGCGATCGCGAAGCTCTTCCCCGCGGGCGAGGTCGAGGGCCCGCCGGAGCAGGCGCCCGGCGGCGACGCGTCGCTGCGCGTGCTGTGGGGCGTGCTGCGCAACGCGCGCGCGATCTTCCGACACACGAACCTGCTGCCGCTGCAGGGCGACGAGGTGCTCCAGCAGCAGCTCGCGCGCGAGGGCGACCTAGCGGGCGTCACCGCCGCGGTCGCCGGCGCCATCGTGGGGTGTGTTTACCGCCTGTCTGACGCTGGCGCCGTCGTCGACACCCTCGAGGCGCTGCTGTCAGGCGACCTGCCCCCCGCGCCCGGCTGCTCCGTCGTCGACCTCCTGCTGCCGCTCCGCCCCGAAGGCAACGACGAGCAGGCTCCGTGGCTCGGCGCCATCCTCGCCGCGACTCTCGAGCAGGTCAACCACACGGGCGCGGCGGAAAGCCACAAGGAGCGCTTCGACGCGCTGTTCCAGCGGTTCTACTCGCTCCTGCGGCAGCACCTCGCGACGATCCTGCAGGTGTACCGCGCGGCGGAGGCGCAGGGCAGCGAGGAGGCGGTGCTGCGCGCGCGCAGCGAGGTGCCCCTGAACGTGATGCTGCCGCTGGCGCAGGCCATGAAGGGGCACCTGCGCGAGGAGGACTCCACGTTCCTCGCCGAGGCGGTCACGGAGCTGTTCGCGTCGGACTGACGTGTCTGGCCGCGAGGAGTGCGCAAGTCCGTCACAATGCGGGGGTGCTTGTGTGCGGAGGCGGGTCGGTGCGGTGCCGGTGCAAGGACGCGTTTTTAAAGTCCTGGCGCTGCGCGCGGCCTGCCGCGCAGGGGCGGCCAGGGGCCGTCGGTGGTGCAAGAGCTGGAGCGCGACGTAGTTGGGCACCCACACAATGTGACAGCGCAAGTGCCCGAAATCGTCCGCCGTGCGCTACCACACACGTTCCTCAACAGCCGCACAGGGCCACTTCTCCCACACCAGTCATGCTGCCTGGCTGGCTGCTTTGACACGTGTCACACGTCGCACGTCCGGTTCGAACGGGCTCGGTGCGTCGGCGACCGCGAGGTTGCGGCACTCAGCCGCGTGGGGGGACCGCGCGTTCCATGGCCCGGCGCACCGCGCGGATGGCCCCCACGAAGGGGTTGCCGTGCGGCTTGGCATGCGTGCTTGTGTAATCGTCGTCCAGCCGCCCGAGCTTCCTGCGATCGATGCGCGTCTATGTCGTGCAGCGTCAGGGCCCTGTGTGCTGACCGCGCGCGAGGCCGCGAGGAGCGCGTGGATCGTTTGCGCATCGGTGAAGCGATTGGAGGTGAGCTGGTGGGAGCGAGTCCTCGAAGGCAGTCTGAGATTGAACGCTCGGAACCATGGACTTGCCTGCGCATGACGCCCCCGGCCGCCCCGCTCTCGACCCTAGCACCGAGTTCAGCTCCCGAGCGCGCCGCTTGCGCGTGAGAAATGGACGCGGGGGATCCCCTGAGAGCCGTCGGTGCATGATGCTTGCCTCCTAGCTGCATCTTCCTGGCCATGGCCGCGGCAATGTCCGCCTCAGCCGCCGCCTCCCTGCACATCCGGAAACTGTCCGCGGTTTGCGACCTGCCGATGCGCACAGATCGCGGCACATCGCGCTCCCGCGCTCCCCTCTCACAAGCAGTCATCGAACGCCGCCACCCGTCATAATCCGCTCTCGTTCCGAAAATTACGGATTGCAATCATAATTTGACATCATATTCACCAATGAGCGTTCCTCCGGAACGCCAGGAAAGCTCGGAGGGGGGACATCGGAGTGCTTACCTGGCAGCTCGCACCGAGCAGCCCCAGAGTTCGCCGACATGGTCGCCGTTGTGGAAGTACCCTTCCTCCACATCGAACCCTCCCCCGTGGCCCTTCGAGATTCTCACGCCGCAGCCCCGCATCTCGCCCAGCGCCCACTGCCCTCGGTAGACCTGCAGCAAGCCTCCTCAACAGTGGGCGCCCTTCAGCACGCGGCGCCGACCTGATTGTCACCGTCAACGCATCGCTCCGCGCTATTCAGGGGCCGAACAAGCGATCCCGCGCGACTCGTGCTCGCGAAACTCAACCCGCGGGCCTCAATTGGAAGATTCCCATCTGCTAGGGAACGCCACAGCATATTCAGGCACCGGGCCGAGAATCCGCCGCCGAGCACGCCCGCGGGCCCGCCACGCCGGGCCAGGCGCTTCCGCCCACGCACCGTGCCATCCTTCCACACGTACGCGCCGAACCCGTGCTGGTAGTTGCTCGCAAATTGTCCCTCGTACTTGTCGCCGTTGGCGTAGCGCAGGGTGCCGCGGCCCTGCGCCTTGCCGTCGACCGCCGTGCCCTCGTACACGCTGCCGTCGCGCCACCGCACGCTCTCCCACGCGAGGCCCATGCTCGCCGCGCGATGCGAGGCCCAGGGTCCGCGTACTCCGCACGCGCTGGCGACGCTGACTGACGAATCGGGTGGAGAAACAACGCTCGCTGGACTGCAAGAGCCGCTCCGACCGCCGCGCGAGGTGGTAGTGGGCGCTCGGTGCGTGCTGCGCGGCTCTCGAGCCGCGCCGAGGCCTTGGGGTCCTGAGTTAGGTTGATAGTTATACTGCGCGGTATGAGGTAAAGCTGAAGGGCACTGGCCGCGAATTCGTCGCAGCTGCGCTCCGCAGGGCACGCACAAGCTCCGCGTGTGATTCGTCTCAGCTGGGTGACGGCCGACATGATGCGGTGTAGAGGCGACTCGGCAACAGCTTGAGAAACACCGTGGCATCGGCGTGGAGTGCGGGCAGGGCGGGGAAGTCAGAGCCCAGGGTCACTAGTGAGAGATATGGACGTGGCGGTGTCCGGGTGGGAGGCCGCGAGGATGTTCGCGGCGGGCGGTGTCGCTGGAGTGTGTGCCCGCACAGCGTCCGCTCCGCTCGACCGCATCAAGCTTCTATTCCAGGTTCAGGCGGTCGGAGGCGCTGGTTCAGGGCTCGGAAAAGGTATGGCACCGCGGATCAGGCAGAAGTGCCGTGCAGGAGTGCTCCGCTGGGCGCCAACGCACCCGCAACAGCCCCTTGCCTCGCCCTACCCGGCTTTGCGGTCCGCAGCTAGAATGACCATGATGCAGACGAGCAGAGTTCTTCTAGGGAGCCAGCCAGGCTGAAGAAAGATCGTGACACGTCGTTTCCGCGCGTGGAGACACCATTTCATTGATCCCAAGGTTTCGCCCCGAGACGCTCCGGTTCCGACGCCCGAAGTCCTCATCCGCCGCACGCCGGTCTGCAGGGTCGTACACGGGCATCTGGCAGGCGGTGTCGAAGATTTACGCGGAGGAAGGCCTGCTGGCGTTCTGGCGCGGCAACGCGACAAACGCAGTGCGCGTGTTTCCATACTCCGCCGCGCAGATGATGTCCAACGACTACTACAAACGCATGCTTGCCGCCGCGTCCTCCTCCGGCGCGGACGCCCGCGACTCCCGGGCCGGAACACCCCCCCCTGACAGTACCCCCCGCAACCCGTTGTCGGTTCCGCAGCGCCTCGTCGCGGGCGCGTTGGCCGGGATGACCGCCACCGCCCTCACGCACCCCCTCGACACCCTGCGCCTGCGCATGGCGCTCCCGGGGTCCCCAAAACTCGGCGTGGTGTCCTCCGCAGCGGGCATCATGGCCGCTGAGTCATCCCTGGCATTATACCGCGGCCTCGTGCCGGCACTCATCGGCATCGCGCCGTTCGCGGCGCTGCAGTTCGCCAGCCACGACATCCTGCGGCAGCTCGCGTACGGGCCCGCGGGCCCCGCTCCTGGGAACCGCAGCCTGCCGTTGGATCTGTCGATTGGTGCGGCGGCGGGGAGCGTGGCGGGGACGGTGTGCTACCCGCTGGACACGATCCGCCGCAGAATGCAGGTACGATGGCGCATTCAATTGCGCCGCGTCGAGGTTCGCCGATCCTCGAATGCGGAAACGGCGTGGTGTTGTTGTACTTGCAAGACGATGCTGGTTTGAAAAGCTGGCTCGGGCCGCTGCGCCCTGGGACCCTCCCGCTCGCTTCGATCGCTCGCTGCCTCTGCTGGACTGTGCGCAGATGAAGGACTGTTCGTACAGCGGGCAGGCGGACGCGTTCGTCACGATTTGGCGGCAGGAGGGCCTGCGGGGGTTCTTTCGGGGGTGGGTGGCCAACACGCTCAAGGTGGTGCCGCAGACGGCGATCCGCTTCGTCGCGTACGAGAAGCTCAAGCTGCTGTTCAGGGTGCGGAAACGGAAGACGGACACGTGAGCGGCGCCTCGGACCCGGCTTTTAAACATATGGGTTGGTTGGCCGCAGCGTGCGCGTTTGCCAAGACTGTGACCTCTTCTGGGCGGGCGAATCTTCGCGAGCAAGCGCTCCCGCCTCGCCCCCTTCCGTCAGCCACGCAGCAGAACACAACCCCCCGCGCTGCACGGTCGCCACCAGTGGCAGAGTCGAGCAGGAGCCGGCCGCAGCACGTCTGGAAGGGGACATTCCCGAGCAACGGCGCGCCACGCACGCGTCCTCGCGCCTGGACTGCGCACAACGCACGTCGCGCGGCTCACACTGCACGCCGGCCGCCCTAGCGCGTCGACACAGTCGACAGCACATCGAAGTAGTCCGGGAACGTCTTCTTCGTGCACTTCGGGTCCAGAATCGTCACGGGCTTGCCCGTGCACGCCGCCAGCGCGAACGCCATCGCCATCCGGTGGTCGTCGTACGTCTCGATCTCGACGTTGGCCTTCACGCCCGAGGGCCCGCCCGCAGGCGGCTTGATCACGCAGTAGTCGTGCCCCTCCTCCACGTCCGCGCCCAGCTTCGTCAGCTCCGCGACGATCGCCTTCATCCGCTCCGTCTCCTTCACGCGCCAGTTGTACACGTCGCGGATCGCCGTGGTTCCGTCCGCGAACAGCGCCGCGACCGCGAGCGTCATCGCCGCGTCCGGAATGTCGTTGCAGTTGTGGTCCACCGCCTTGAGCGGCTCCCCGAACGCGCCGGGCCCCGTGATCGTGATCGAGTAGGGCGCCCACTCCACGCGCGCCCCCATCAGGCCCATCACCTCCGCGAACCGGACGTCGCCCTGGAGCGAGTCCGAGCCGCAGCCCTCGACGACCATCTTCCCGCCCGTGATCGTCGCGCCGGCGAGGAAGTACGACGCCGACGACGCGTCCCCCTCCACGTACGCCGTCCCCGGCGACTTGTACGACTGCTGGCCCGGGATGCGCAGATGCTGGAGGCCGTCGAGCTGCTCCACCTTGACGCCGAACCTCTGCGGAGCGCGTCGGGGGCGGGGGACCGCGCGTGGGCGCGCAACCGCCGCACTCCGCCCAGAAAACCACACATGACAACTTCCGTCCCGCTGACGCGTCGGCGTCGCGAGCACGGGCCACGGCGATCGCGAGCGCGCAGCGGGCGACCGCTGGGAGGCCAGCGCGGGCGGCGGTCGGGCGGGGCAGGGGCGCGGCGGACCTCCATGAGCTTGATCGTCATGTCGACGTAGGGCTGCGAGACGAGCGTGTCGCTGATCTTGATCTCGATCCCCTCGGCGCCCGTGCACAGCGGCGCGGACATGAGGAGTGCCGTGAGGTACTGCGACGACACCGAGCCCTTGAGGGACACGGTCCCGGCCGACAGACCGGCGGCCTTGACCAGCACGGGAGGGCAGCCCGTCCCGAGGGTGCACGTAGCGTCCACGCCTAGCTGGTTGAGCCCGTCCACGAGGTCCTGCGCGTAGCGGAGGAACGGGGAATCGCGTCTGAGCCGCGCCCGGAGGACAGGAGCGGCCGTCGACGCCCGGCAACGATCAGCAGCCCCCTGGATGCCTTCATCGGCTTCTGGGGCCTCGCGTTCGGCTCTTAGAGCCGAATGGTCGCTTCTCCGGCAAACTGCGAGTTACCAGCTACGCAAAAATTGCGACTTCCGGGGCTCTCCGGGCTCGCAGCGCTCCTGGGCGCGGTCTGGCCCCTCCAGCTGCGGCTAGCACGGAGGCGGCGGGGCGCTGCGCGCGCGCTCGGGCCCGCGGGGGCGACCGGGGCGTGCGGCTTACCTGGATGGGACGCTCGCGCATGCGCTCGATGCCGTCCAGCACGAACTCGCCGCGCCCAGCCGCCGCGACAGCTGCACACAGAGGCCGCATCGCGGTGCCGGCGTTGCCCAGGAACAGCTCGGCGCCCTCCACGGGGAACCTGCGCGACGCAGACCGCGTACCAGCCCCTCAGCGGCAGGCCAACAATCCAGAGAACGCGCACAAGCACCGCTCCGGCCCCAGCAGCCGACGTTCGCGCGGCCGCGCGCGATCATGGGCTGCTGGAGCCACGATGGTTTCCCCGCGAACGTGGCATCGCGAGGCCTCGAACGCCCCCGGCTCAAACGCCCCCGGCATGTCGCGGCGCTCGCTCGCGTCTGCGCCGGGGCACGCCCGCGAACACACGTCGCGGCGCCGCGCAATCCGCACCTGCCGTTGCATCCGTGCACCGTCATGCGACGGTTCTCCCAGTCCTCCTCGAGTTTGACGCCGAGGTCGCGGAGCGCGCCGACCATGTAGCGGATATCGTCGCTGTCGAGCAGGTTCTCCACGACGGTCACGCCCTCGGACAGCGCCGCGAGCAGCAGGATGCGGTTCGAGAGGCTTTTGGAGCCCGGGAGGCGAACATGGCCCTCAATCTTCTTGATAGGCTCCAGTGTGAGCTTCTCGACGGACCCCGCGGGCGCTGCCGCGGCGCTCACGACTGGGAGGGTGCGTGTGCGGGCGGCGCGGGTCAGGCGCGTCGGGGCGACGGGCCGCGGGGCGGTGACGAGCATGCGCGCCGGCGCCCGCCGCGGGGCCGGCTGCGCGGCGCCTGCCGCGGCTTGATGGGCGAGGAGCGCGCGCAAGTTCAGCGACATGTTGGGGCGGTTCCGGAGAGGGCGGACCAGGGCCTGGCGCGGCCTGTTGACGCCTCGGCGGGGGGGGGGGGCGTGCAGCAGCAATGACCGACTGAGTCGGTCGGGGATGTGAGAGCTTGGCGACGAGGCGCGGCGCGTGCGTGCGGCGCGGGCACTTGCGAAGAAAGTCGGTAGTAGCTAGACATGAGTGTACGACTCGACGAGGTTTACTAGGCGCGTAGCACTGCATCGAGGCGGCGCGATGCTGAGGGGGGATCAAGGCCCGCGATAATGATGCTGAGGACTAATTCTGGATAGCTATCACTCGCTGGCGCGGAGATTCCGGAGCACAGCCCTGCATTAGGCCGCTGTGGGGTGCTAGAGCGACCGCGGCACGCGTGTGCAGGTCGGGCGCGTGCAGGGCGCGGGAGAGACATGGGGCGGCGGTTCCCGGCGCGCTTCTGGGTGTCGCTGACATGGGCGATCCTCGGGGCGTTCCAGTTCGGATATCACCTCGGTGCGCCCGGCGAACTCCCTCACTGTCACCGCACATCTCTTTCCGGCCGCGACGGCCGCATGCGACGCTTGGTCCGCCCGAACTTGTCCTCACTCGACACCACACTCTAGCTGCCGCGAGGCCCACCGCCTGAGCTGGCGGCAGAGCCGACGATGGCCCCCTGGACGAGCGATTCGCCCCTCGGCTGCTTTCGCAGGGGTGCCGAACATCCCCATGGTGGACCTGTCGGAGCAGTTCGACTTCTCGCTCTCCGGCGGCGCGTCGATCCTCGTCGGGTCCATGCTAGTCGGCGCCTTCCTCAGCGCCCTGACCGCAGGCGCGTGGTCACACACGTCTCAGCCCGCGCCTGCGTCGCAGCTAGCGCGTGCCATGCAGCGCCCGCCCCCGCACGCAGATGCGCATGGCAACTGTCTGTGGTCATGCCCCATTCGCCGCTGGGACTCCCGCAGGTTCCGCCGTGGAGCGTTATGGCATTCGCGGCGCCCTGGCACTGTTCAACTTGCCGGTCTTCGCGTCCACGCTGGTGTCGGGGCTGATCCCGCGGTCGGCGGGCTTCTGGGCGCTGTGCGCGCTGCGCTTCGGCGTCGGGCTCGGCGTGGGGCCGTTCGTCGGCATTTCTCCCCAATACCTGGCGGAGGTGTCGCCCGCGCAGCTGCGGGGGCGCATCGGGGTGCTGAACGCGGTGGGCGTGGCGTCGGGCATTCTGACGAGCTACGTGCTGGGCGTGCCGTACGGCGTGGGGGCGTCGCGCGTGGGCGGCGTGGCGTGGTGGCGGGTGATGTTTTCGGGGGCGGCGGCGTTTAGCGCGGTGATGGGGGGCCTGACGCTGGTGGCGCCGGAGAGCCCGACGTGGCTGCGCGACCACGGGCGGGCGGAGGAGGCGGACGCGGCGATATCGAAGCTGTACGGCCTGCCACCACCAAAGCCGGGGGCACAGTACAACGACATCGATCAGGCTTTGGGCGCCGTCGCGGAGGACGTGCGGTGGGATGCGGAGAAGGGCGAGAAGCAGGGCAGCAGCGGGGACGCGGGGTCGGGCGAGACGGCGGATGTGGGGGGGGCGCGTCAGGCTTCAGAGACAGCGGGTGCTTCGGGGTCGTGTTCTGTGTCGGAGCCGATCGAGCCCGCGGCGGTGGAGGCGAAGGTCGAGGCGTCTGAAGCGATGGAGGGGTCGGACGGTGTTGAGGTGGAGGAGGACGCGGTGTCGCCGTGGGAGGCGATGACGCGGCCGGGGTACCGCAAGGCGACGTTGTTGGCAATGGGGGCGCCGGCGCTGCTGCAGCTGTCGGGGATCGACGCGATGATTACGTTCTCGTCGGCGGTGTTCGCGGACGCCGGGCTGGACAATGCAGGTGCGGGCGCAGCGATGAGCGGGCTTTCCTCTCTTTTTGCATCTATTGTCACCGCCGAGCGCGTTGCGCTGAGAGACGAGTGCGATCGCGGCTGTGTTGCGGTGCCTTGGTGTTCCTCGGCCATCCAGGGTCCGTGCGAGCGCGCGCGAGTACAGAGATGTGCAGAGGTGCCCTCTGCCTGTGTGTTGCAGTTGTGGGCGCCGTGATCGTTGGCGTGGCGAATCTTGTCGGTCCGGCGCCTGCTTTCTTCCTCATCGAGCGCTCCGGCCGCCGGAGCCTGATCTTCGCGGGCCACCTCGTCATGGGCACGTGCCTGGCGCTGGTGTCTGTGTTCTACTTCTCGGGGATGGACGCCACGGTGCGCGGGTGGCTGACGGTGGCGTGCTTCGTGGTGTACATGGTATTCTTCAACATCGGATCCGGAAGCGTGGCGTTCGTGTACGCCCCGGAGATCCTGCCCGACGAGATCCGCAGTCAGGGTATCACACTGGCCAACGCAGCGCACTGGCTGCTCAACATCGCGGTCGTGACGTCGTGGCCGTTTTTGTCGGACTGGATCGGCGTCGGGGCGGCGTTCCTGATCTACGTGGCGCTCAACGCGTGCGGGGTGTGCTACGCACAGTTCCTGATGGTGGAGACAATCAAGAGGACGTTCCGGCAGATATCGGCGCGTGTGGGAATCAAGCAGAGCCTGACGATCCGGAGGAACGTGTCGTCGGCGGTGCGGGCGCGGCGGTAGCGGCTCGCGGCGTCCTGAGAGGGGGTGTCGTAGACGGTGCGCTATCTCAGCTGCTGAGTGCAGCACAGCGTGCTCGTGGCTGTGAGGCGGACGAGCGTGCGAAGGCCGAGTTGGCCTCGTCCGTCAGTGCGCTTCTTTGTATTGCGTCCGGGAATTTGTACACGTGCGTGATGCCGTGATCTTCGAGCTTGGAGTCCGACAGGAATCCTGGGAAATGTGGAGCTTGTGTGCCAGCCCGTCAAGGCCGACTACCTTCGTCCGCACGGGCCGGGGAGGACGAGGACCGAGTACCTCCCCTCCGCGGCCCGTGAGGTAGTCGGCTTCGACGGGCACGCCTGAGCGCAGCAGAACAAGTCATGTGCGTCGCAGGTGAACGGGCGAGGAGCGCGCGCAAGTTCAGCGACATGTTGAGGCGGTTCCAGAGAGGGCGGGCCGGGGCCTGGCGCGGCCTGTTGACGCCTCGACGGCGGGTGGGGGTGTCAAACCGTGTGCTGACAGACTGAGTCGGGCGGGATGTTCGAGCCTGGCGATGAGGCGCGGAGCGTGCGTGCGGCGCGGACATGTTTGCGGCGATAGATGGCGGCACAGCAGTAGCTTGACGCTGGGTGTTCGACCCCAATTTGTTTACGGTGCACATAGCAGCGCTGCATCGAGGCGGCGCGGCGCCGGAGGGGGCTCTAGGCCCGCGCGAAGCACCCGAGGGACTGTGCTGAAGATAGCTCTCACTCGCCGGCGCTGAGAGTCTGGGCCGCACGCCCGAATTAGGCCGCTGTAGGGCATCGCTGGAACAGCCGCGGCACGCGTGTGCAGGTCGGGCGCGTGCAGGGCGCGGGAGAGACATGGGGCGGCGGTTCCCGGCGCGCTTCTGGGTGTCGCTGACATGGGCGATCCTCGGGGCGTTCCAGTTCGGATATCACCTCGGTGCGCCCGGCATGCGACCCGCGGACAGCCATCCCAGTCAGCGCCAGTCGCTCATCGGCCGCGACGGCCGCATGCGACCCTTGGTCCGCCCGGACATGCCCTCACTCGACACGACACTCTAGCTGCTGCGAGGCGCACCGCCTGAGCTGGCGGCAGAGCCGACGATGGCCCCCCCTGGACGAGCGATTCGTCCCTCGGCCATTGCACGCCTGAACTGAAGCCGCCTCACGCCCGCGCGCGCAGGGGTGCCGAACGTCCCCATGGTCGACCTGTCGGAGCAGTTCGACTTCTCCCTCTCCGGCGGCGCGTCGATCCTCGTCGGGTCCATGCTAGTCGGCGCCTTCCTGACCGCTCTGATCGCAGGTGCGTAGTCACGGCCGCGCCTGCGTCCCCCCTTGCGCGTACCACGCAGCTCCCGCCCCCTCACTCGACTCCTCACGCCAATGGCGTGCGATGACGCTCCATGAGGCATCCCGAACGCCTGCAGGTTCCGCCGTGGAGCGTTATGGCATTCGCGGCGCCCTGGCGCTGTTCAACTTGCCGGTCTTCGCGTCCACGCTGGTGTCGGGGCTGATCCCGCGGTCGGCGGGCTTCTGGGCGCTGTGCGCGCTGCGCTTCGGCGTCGGGCTCGGCGTGGGGCCGTTCGTCGGCATTTCTCCCCAATACCTGGCGGAGGTGTCGCCCGCGCAGCTGCGGGGGCGCATCGGGGTGCTGAACGCGGTGGGCGTGGCGTCGGGCATTCTGACGAGCTACGTGCTGGGCGTGCCGTACGGCGTGGGGGCGTCGCGCGTGGGCGGCGTGGCGTGGTGGCGGGTGATGTTTTCGGGGGCGGCGGCGTTTAGCGCGGTGATGTGGGGCCTGACGCTGGTGGCGCCGGAGAGCCCGACGTGGCTGCGCGACCACGGGCGGGCGGAGGAGGCGGACGCGGCGATATCGAAGCTGTACGGCCTGCCACCACCAAAGCCGGGGGCGCGGTATAGCGACGTGGAGAGCGCGCTGGGCTCCGTCGCGGAGGACGAGGACGGCGACGGGGAGGACGTGCGGGGAGCTGCGGAGAAGGGCGGCAGGAAGGGCGGCAGCGGGGACGCGGGGTCGGGCGAGACGGCGGATGTCGGGGGGGTGCGCTTTGGGTCGGAGACGGTGGCGCCGGCGGCGGTGGAGGCGACGGTCGAGGCGGCCGGCGGGAAGAAGGGCGCAGAGAGGGAGGACGAGGAGGAGGCCGCGGTGTCGCCGTGGGAGGCGATGATGCGGCCGGGGTACCGCAAGGCGACGTTGTTGGCGATGGGGGCGCCGTCGCTGCTGCAGCTGTCGGGGGTGAACACGGTGATCATATTCTCGTCGGCGGTGTTCGCGGACGCCGGGCTGGACAACGCAGGTGCGGGCGCGCGCCGCCACTCGGAACACGGCGCGCCTTGCCGTGCTTTCTGTCGATCTTGCAGTCGCCGTTGAGCGCGCTGCGCTGAGAGATAAGAGCGATCGCAGCCGTGTTGCGTTGCTTGGACTCCCCTCGTCGAATGATGCCTGTCCGTGCGGAACAGGCGTGCGCGAACAACAAGGTGCCTGTGTGTTGCAGTGGTTGGCGCCGTGATCGTGGGCGCGGCGAACCTCATCGGCGCGGCGCCTGCTTTCTTCCTCATCGAGCGCTCCGGCCGCCGGAGCCTGATCTTCGCGGGCCACCTCGTCATGGGCACGTGCCTGGCGCTGGTGTCTGTGTTCTACTTCTCGGGGATGGACGCCACGGTGCGCGGGTGGCTGACGGTGGCGTGCTTCGTGGTGTACATGGTATTCTTCAACATCGGGCCGGGCAGCACGGCGTTCGTGTACGCCCCGGAGATCCTGCCCGACGAGATCCGCAGTCAGGGTATGACGCTTGCCAACGCGGCGCACTGGCTGCTCAACATCGCGGTCGGGACGTCGTGGCCGTTTTTGTCGGACTGGATCGGCGTCGGGGCGGCGTTCCTGATCTACGTGGCGCTCAACGCGTGTGGGGTGTGCTACGCACAGTTCCTGATGGTGGAGACAATCAAGAGGACGTTCCGGCAGATATCGGCGCGTGTGGGAATCAAGCAGAGCCTGACGATCCGGAGGAACGTGTCGTCGGCGGTGCGGGCGCGGCGGTAGCGGCTCGCGGCGTCCTGAGAGGGGGTGTCATAGACGGTGCGTTGATGCGCCGTGTGCTCTCGTGGCTGTGAGGCGGATGAGCTGCACGGTGTAGTTGCCGGGAGTGCAGCCTGATGCAAGATCGGGGCGGTCAGTGGCGCCCTGGTCCTGGGCATAGGTCAGCGAAGAACTATGACGGGCTACTGCTACGGGGGACGAAACTGAGTAAAGGGGGGGGTGTTGTTTTCGACGGTTGCTCGGCGCCATGGCTCGCCTCATTGGTGAGATTGCGCGCACCAAGATTGAACAAGACAACCTATGCGGCGAAGCCGTGCCCTCTCGCGGCCGCCCACCACGACGAGCGCCGTGCCTTCATTTCTTGATTAAAGATGTCATCTCTACTAACAGTCTCTCAAAGCCCGTTTCCGTAGAAACCTGCCGCTTGGCGCGCGCCGCGTTCGCTCCCCGGCTAGGTGCGAGATGCAAGCGGGAAAGTTTGACGGCCAGGCGGCGCCCTACACGCCGGAATTCGCGGCGTTGCTGGACAGCAGTGACGCTCTGACGACAGTCAACACGCCGGACCTTCAAGACCAGCTGCGGCGCCTCCGCGACATCACAGACTCCCTCGACTACCACAGCTCGCTGGCGAACACTCGCTTGCGGGCCATGATACAGGTCCGGGCCGGAACGACGCCGCTCTTTGCGTGGAGCCCGCACCGGTTCGTTTCACGCACGGCGCGGTGGCGTTGCCCCCTGCAGGCGTTGGTGGTGCAGCGCCGCGTACAGGAGACGAACGATCACCTTCTTTGCCTGTCCGCGCGGCGCCTGAACGCCCTCGAGCTCGAAGGGATCGGCGAGCTGCGTGCGATTGGAGAAACCATCGCTCATATCTCGGAGCTGGCGGCCGATGACTGCACAGCGGAGATTCTGAGCCTGAGTGAAGATCTCCGTACCTTCGCGGGGCAGCTCAGCGAGCGCGCGGAAGAGGAAGGCGAGCACGAGGGGTCCAATGTGCACTCTGTTTTGAAGGATGCTGGTGAGTCCGACGCCCAACTCGACGCGCACGTCCCTGCCGACGCCGTTCGGTAGATCTGACCCATTTTGAGCAACTCCACGTGCGATTCTGCGCAGGAGAAGTGGCGGAAGTGGCGCTGGAGGCTCTGCGTAGCACCGCCTTCGAGATCTCGCGTCTGAGGGACACCGTCAACCGGTGCCTCGCCTCGCCCGGCTCCCCGCGTTCGTCCCCCCTGAGCGGCACCGGCGCCCGCGTGCTGTCTCTGGCGAGCCGGGGCGCCGTGCAGGCCGTGCTCTGCCCGTCCTCAGCGGCTGCCAGAGCCCCGCTGCTGCTGATCGACGCCCTCCTGACGCTCGCCGGGTCGTGCATGTGCCAGGGAGCCGTGAACTCGGACCATCTCTTCGAGGTACAGCGCGCGGTCTGCAGGTGCGGTGCAACCCTTCAGCCGGACTTGCACGTATGATGATTGAAAAATGAAATTCAATTCACGATCGGCGCGGAACGCCGACAAGCTCCGCTGATTGGCTCCTCTCTCTCGCAGGGTCAAAGCAGCTGGACTCGAAGCGCACTGGGCGTTCCAGAGCGACCTCGCGGCCTGCGCGCACGCCCTTGGCAGCGTCGCACTCGCGGCGGCCAACCGCCCCGGCGCCCTGGGTCCGCAGATCCCGCGCTTCCTGCTCTACATCCTCCTCTTCGACACGATCCCGGCCGTGTTCGGGACCGGCGTCAAGGACGAGATCAGCCTCGCTGCGCAGCAGCAGCAGGCGTACGCGGCCGCCACGCACCCGCCGGCGCTGCTGTTCAACCCCGACCCGTCCGAGCTGTTCGCGGCCGGACGCGTCCTTCTGGTGCGGCCGGCGGCTGCGTCGCTCGGGGACTTGACGCGGACGGCGTCGCACGCCGCGTCGCATGCGCTGTCGTACCTGACTTGCGGCGGCCTGACTCAGTGCGCATGCCGCCGGTCAGACGCACCAGTTCCCGAGCACGAGCGCGGCGGAATGATGGGCCGCATCGAACGAGGGGTCGCCGCGGCCTCGAACGAGCCTGACGTGGAAGGGGGGAGTGATCCATGGGCGTCAGGAATCAGGGGGGTGTCCTGCTGGGGCTCGCGGGCGGACGTGATCGTCCTGGTGCTAGAACGCTGCGTCGATCTCTCGGACGCCGCGCGGCCTGACGCCGCCGAGGAGTTCTACCTGGCGGCGGGACTCTCCACAACAGCGCTGGAGCTTGCAGCAGCCGCTTGCGCGTTTGCCGAGAGCGTGCTGCGCGACGTCATGGCGCAGATCGTCGCGCTCAGGGTCGCCGCTTTCGGAGACGGGCACCATCCTCCGACCCGTGCGCCGCGGGCTGCCGCCTGGACACATCTGGGCACAGGCGTGTCTTCCGACCCCGCGCCTGACTCAAGTCGCGGAGTTCTGCCCGAGTTGGCATCCTCGTCCGACTCGGACCTGTCGTTCGAGCTGCCCCGCGACGACAGCGCGGTGCCGATCGAGCTGTGGATGAGCGCTGGCTGTGCTGCAACTGCGCTGACGGCTCTCAGCGCGGTGTGCCGGGCGTGCGGTGCGCTCCTGGACGAATACCCCCCCAGGGACCTCATCAGGTACGAGCACCGCCGCGTGCCGACCGCCGCAGCAACTGCGAGCCACGTAGAAACGAACGACAAGTCATGAAACAACAAATCGAAATGCGCGCTTCCAGCAAGAGTCGAGATGCGCTCACTCGAGCTGCGACCATCCCTGTCTCGCAGGGACCGGCCAGTCCTGCGCCTCATGCAGCGTCTCGGCGCAGTCTCGGGCGAGGCGTCGTACCTTCAGCGCGCAGCACGGTGCCTGGAAGCCTCCGCAGCGTCACGCCCTCCAACCCTCGCCCGCAGTCCGTGGCTGGCAAGCGGCAGCGGTCCGGACGATCGCCGCGCCGTGACGTGGCAGGCGACGTCTCCGCCGCGTCAGGAGGGGGTGTCTTGCCACGAGGACGACATGCGCGCCATGACGCGGCTGGTGGCCAGGACGGCCGAGTCGATCCTGCGCAGCCACCCGGACGAGGTGGCGAGCCCGGGCGGCGGGAGGGGCGCCGAGGCGGGGGCGCAGGCGGGCGCTTCGTGCGACCTCACCGTCAGCAGCGCCGTGGACACCTCGCTGTCCTTCGAGTCCATGCCGGGCTCGCTGTGCCGTTCAAACGTGAGCAGCCTCGCAGGTCGCACGCGCCTACGCCGAGCTGCGTGCTAGCCGTCGGTGACGAATCGTGCGAAGCGCCCGTAACCGACGTCTCTCGTTTTCTTTTTCTTGTTACGTCTGCCGCGTCGACCATGCCCACGTGCCGGGTAGCATTGTTGCAATCGCGACACACACATCTCCGGGCTCTTCGCGCAGGTCGTCGCGGCGGCGCGGAGCATCCTCGACATCCGCCCGCTTCGCGCCGCGCAGGCGCAATCCAGCTGCGCTCCTCTCGAGCAAGCCGTCCGCGACCACACCCGCCGCCCGACGTTCTCCTTCCCCAGCGCCCCCTCTGCGACAAAAATGACGTCAGTGGACCTCTTCGGCGACGGGCGAGCGCCCAGCCAAGCACCGGCAGCATCCCCATCGCCACGCACGGAGGCCCCGTCCGGAACCACGTCGCCCTCCGAGCTGTCCGTGGACAGCGCAGCTTTGCCGCGGCGCCTGTTCCCCTCGGAGGACTCCTCCCCTGCTCCCGACAGCGGGCCGGCAAGCCCCGTGCTGCCCGCAGGGCCACCCGCGAGCGCGCGGCCGCTCCGTGCCGGGTGCGCGAGCCAGTCCCGGGGGTCGTCCGGCCGCGGCTCGGCGCCGCAGTCGCGTGGCCGCTCCGAGTGTTCGCCGGGCAACGCAGCTACGAGCGCAATGCGTCTTCTGGGCGAGGACGCGAGCGACGACGGCGACGTCGCGAGCTCCGCGGCGACCCCCGAGTCGAGCGCTCTGACGCCCGCGGCGCAGCTTGCGGACCTGCAAGCGGGCGGGCAGCAGCTCGGAACTGACGCCATTTGCGACTTGTACAACATGCAGCTTATGACGGGGGAGGCGCAAGAGTAAGACCCCCCCTCCTGGCCCCAGTCGACCCGCGTTGAACCCCTCTCACGGTGTCCGCCGGTCCTGCTGCTGCTGATTCCGGCAGCTCAGTGTGCTTGCCAACGACAAAGATAGCACCTGTTGTCGGGCGCTGTGCAGGGCGCTGAAGACGCCGCACAAGACGGCGCGGAGGACGCCGCTGTCCCCGAAGCGCGTGAAACCGGCTCGGCCTGGCACGGCGCGGCGCACGCCCCTGCGTCCGGTGCAGAGTCCCCCGCTGCTGCAGAGCCGGGCGCCGGACGCCGAGTCCAGCACGAAGCCCGCGGACGGACCTCGCCGCGCTGGTGCGCCGCGCCGCGGGCGCGAGCGTGGCCGCAGCCGCGAGAGGTCGTGATGTGGGAGACACCTGAGGTCTACCCTGAGTAAGTAATGAAAATGAAAAGTAAATGGGAACGAGAAATACGGAATGAAGACTGCAGAATCACGGGGTGTGGAGACAGGGTCGTCGCCAACGCTACGGCTGCGCCGTGGACGACCACAGTCTTCCGGAGCGACGGCCACTCGCCACGGTGGGGGGGGGGTGGAAAATAAGGAGCAGGCTGGGGGGGGATGAAATAGCAGTCCGAAGGTCCTGGAAGCGACCGCTGTGAGTCAGGCGACCGCCGCCCCTCCAGGCCACGCCGCGCCTGCCCGCGTGCGCCGTCACAGGCGCTCCAACAGCTGCAGGGCGAGCGAGCTCCCGCCGACACGGTGCGTGGGGTCGAGCCGGCGCTATTTCCTCGCGGCAGGCTGCTCGGCGACGACGCGATTGTTGCTCGTGAAGGACAGGTACGCCGACCACACGATGCCGCACGTGGACATGTACAGGACCTGACTCTTCAGCGGTATGAGCCAAAAGTTCACGCACGCTGCAGGGACCCAGAACTTCCACCCGTTGATCGCCGACGGCAGCAGGTCCCGCCGAATCTTGCCTGCGAGGCGGCGCGAGCGAGATGTGAACCGTGAGGCCGGAAACAGCTGCGAGGCAGGAAACAACAACAACCGGTGCGTTCGGCACTTGGGACTCCACGAGGATGATGTGAGCGGCGCCGCCGGCCGAGAACGACCCGCCGCGAGCCCGCTGTCCTCCTGTGCGCACCTGGGATGTCCTCCGCCTTGCCCTGGCACGTCAGCGTCCACGCAAACACGGACGAGAGGACCACAGGGCCCAGGATGAGCTGGTTCAGCGTGACCTGCACGCAGCGCGAAAGGATCTGCAGTCGGCCGTCGAGGCGCACAGCCGCGGCGCGGACGTGCGAGGACCGCGGCTGTGCGACAGCACGGCGACTGCGACGCAGGAGGGGGATCGCTCACGGCCGTTGCGCGCGGTGTCAGACGTTCGCACCTTCGAGAGGAAGTTGCCGGTGCTCTTCCCCGGGAACCCGCGGTCCAGGAGCCGGTACCAGAAGTGCTGCAGCGGCCCGTAAAACAGGAGCCCCCAGACGCCCAGACGAGCACCGCGCACCGCGTCAGGCTTGTGCACCTCCCCGCGCGACTGCTTCCACTTGTACTCTAGCGTCTGTGCCACCGCGTCGCCCACGATCGCCAGGCTGCCTGACGTCACCGCGGAGTTCCCGATGCCCGCCCACTGCGGGGAGGAGGTTGGCCGCGCGGGGGGGGGTTCGCGCGGATTTCACGCCGTTCGGGCCCCGACTGGCATGGTTGCGAGCAGGGGACCGCAGCGGCGGCAGGTGGGAGTGAAGGATGAGGGGAGCGAGCGGGGATGCGCAGGTTGCTGCATGGAGGAGGCACCTGGCTGGGCTTGGCTGCAGAGCCACCTGAGGCGGACGACGCGCGAGCGCGCGCGGAGCCTCGATGGAGGCCATGCCCGGGCCTAGGTCCCCATCGCAGCAGCGGGCCCAGGCCTCGCCCGAACATGCCGGCTCCACGCAGAGTCTCAGACGCGTCGGACGCCGCCGCCGGTCGCGCAACAAGCCCCTGTCAACGTCGGGAGGATGGTGCTGGTGCGAGAGTGCACGAAGCGGTGCGTGTGTGCCGCAGAGACCGACGCGGCGCTGCTTGATCCCATAGGAAAGCCAGCGATAGAAGCTGGACCTCCCCCGCTGACGTGCCGAGCTTGCAAAGGACCCGCGCCGACCTTGTCGGGCCTCGCTGCGCTGAGCGGTGGTCAGACAATCCCTTCAGCCAGTTGAAGGTGGAGGGACGGCGCGGAGCAGTGTCGAACGCGACGTCCGGTTTTGTATCCGCAGTTTGGCGCCCCGCCCTCTGACGCACCGGCTCGGGGGCCAGCACTCTGTTTGGCTGTCTCATAGCGCGCAGCTAAGACGAGAGCGCGCTGTGGCTCGGGGATTCCAACGGATCTGGCGCAGCTGAGCGAGCTGCGGCCCGTTGAGATGGAGCAGCTTCCTCAGCACCTGAACTCTCTCCTGGTGCGTCCTCGCTGCACGATTCCGCGACACCGTGCGTATTCCAGCACGACGTATACGCCAGCAACATGTGGCGCGATGAGCTGCGGAAGAAACGGCTCATTCACGGCACACTCGGGGAGACGTCTCGGCAAGCTGGGCGCCCCGAACTCTGCGGCGCCTGCTGCACTCTTGCGCCCGCCTGGCGCTCATCGAGCGGACTTTGGCACCCCGTTCCACCGATGCGCACGAGCGGTGGCGTCGGGCGTCACATGAGCCGAAGTCGTACGCCCTGTTGCTCCCTGCAGGGCTGGCTCGGGATCCACGCCACGGCGGCGACGCCGAAGCAGGCGTTGGGCATCTGCCAGCACACCGAGGTGCTGGTCGCGGCCGCACAGCAACTCGCTGGAGGTACGCGCGGCCCTTGAGAGGCATTCCTCTCGCACCCCCGCGCGTTCGCCCCTTGCGGGTGCCGCGCACGTGTCAGACGCGCGCCCCGAGCGTCGCGCAGCTCCCTCAGCACCGGCCTGGCTGCGCGGGCAACGCAGCAGCGCGCCCACGCGTCGCTCGGTCAATCAAGAACACCAAGTACAACAACAGACTGTGTTTGATATCTCATGTTCGCCCGCAGGTCCGGTGCCCGGGCTCCGCACGGACACCCGCTCCGCCGAGGACCGCGCGCACAACCTGCTCCTCCTCTCCCGCCGCGTCCCCTGCCTCGTGCCGCTCGGGCCCGACGGCATCAGCAGCGCCGCGCGTGGCACCGAAGACGGCGTGGCTGCGCTCGTGGAGGCCCTCGCGGAGGCCGCCGCGGCCGCGGCTCCGCCGCAGAGGTCCGAATATGCGCCCGGGGGCGAAGCTGCGCCGTCGCAGGGCGCTCCGGAGCCGCAGTCGGCGTCTGAGATGTTCGCAAGCGGGCGTCAGGACAAGCGTCGTGCGCCGAGTGCGGAAGCGCCGTCGCGGGAGGGTGCGGCGGGGTCGCAGGAGGACGGGGGCTCGCCCGAGGACGTTGCGCTCGCGGACTACGCGGATGTCGCGCGCGGGGACGGGGCGGGCCGAGACGAGGAAGGCGTGCGGCCAGAGATCGGGGAATCTCGATCTTCGTTCGATTCGGAGGCCGAAGAGGTTCCCGACGAGGCTGCTCCTGTTGCGTTCGTCGACCGCGACAACTACCCTGACGCGAGCGCGGAGGTGGTGGAGGAGGCGATGCAGGAGCGCAGCGAAGCGTGGGCGCGGTCCCCCGACTCCCCGCACCGCCCGGAGAGTCCCCCGGAGGTGTCGGAGGGCGAAGCCCCCCGCCCGCGCGGGCCCCGCGCGCGCCCGCACCGCCGCAAGCAGCCCGCGACGTCCGCACCGGGCCCGGCCTGGCGCCCCGTCGGCGTCGTGCCCGAGGGTCGCGTCCGGCGGCCGGACGACGGCAAAAACATGAGTCTGGGCGGGGGGGGGGTCTCCGCGGAGCAGTCCTTCGTCCGCAGCCTCCGCTCGGGCTCCTCCGGCGGCCTGCGCACCGAGCAGTCCTGGCGCCCCGCGGGCGGCCGCCTCACCCCCTCCCCGCAGCGATCCCTCGCCCCGTCTCCAGCGCCGTCCTCGCCGCGCGCCGCTGGACGCAAGCGCGCCGCGAAGCCGAAGCCCGCGCAGCCCGCGGTGCGCCGCAGCCTCGCGCCGGAGCTCCGGGGGGCGTCGGAGTCGCGCCGGCGGTCCCGGCAGGCGGACCGCCTCGACACGTCGTACTCCCCCGGGGCGCGAGCGGTGCCGTCGACGGCGGCGGGGTTCGTCGAGGCCGTGGCGCAGGGGGCGTCGCGGCTGGGCGCGAAGGGGCTAAGGGCGATGCGGAGCGCGTGGGTGGCGAGCGCGGCGGCGCCGCTGCCGCGCGTGGGCGAGGAGGTCGAGGGGGGGGGTGTGGAGGAGGAGTCTCTGGGTGGGGAGGAGGTGGGGCCGTCGTTCGGCGCGCTGGTGGCGGACATGGCGAGCCTGGTGTCGTTCGTGCGCGGGCAGGTCGCAGCGCACGCGCAGGGCGGCGGCGGGGGAATGTCTGACAGGGACGCTGACGAGCTGCGCCGGCTCGGATTCGCGCCGAAGCCTGCGGTGCCCGGCGCGGGCCTCCGCACAGTCAGCGATGCGCGCCGGACCTACGAGCGGCACATGCACTGCGACCTGTCGCGGCCTCCGCGCGACTTCCCGCTCCCGCAGGAGCTGCAGGGGGGGAGTCAACCAACACACCCCCCCCGGGAGGCGCGGATCTCCGAGCCCTCCGGCGACTCGCTCCCGTCCTCTTCGCTCCCGTCGTCGTCCGCGCCGTCGACGCCCGACGCAGAGCCGCAGCACGGCGGCGCGCCCGGGGCGGCCTGGCAGCCGCGCCCGACGTCGCAGCCGCGCCGCGCAGCCTCCGAGTCGCGCGCCCGCGTCGACCCGCTCGTGATGCAGCGCCTCCACGGCGTGCAGCGCATGGCCGCGGCGGTCTCCGGGAACAACGCGACTCGGCGACGCGAGCGCGCACAGCACGCCGCATGGATGGCCGTTGCCGGACGCGCCCAGGCGGCCCTGGCGCGGCAGCGCCGCGCGCAGGAGCGGCGCGAGGCCCTCCGTGCCGAGCAGCGCATGATCCGCGAGGAGCAGCGCGCGACGTACGACGCCAGGCTGCGGCGGCAGCGCGCCCGCGAGCACGAGGCTCACCGGCAGCGCGTGGTGGCGTCTCGCCGCAAGGAGCTGGCTCAGGAGGAGGAGGAGACGGTGCGGCGGGCGTTCCTTGATGCCATCGACCAGCGGCGGCAGGTCTTGATCGACAAGCGCAAGACAGTGCTGGCGGACCGCGTGGCGGAGGACATGGCGTTGGCGACGGCGGCGCGCCCTGTGCGGGCGGAGGGCCCGAGCGGGCGCGAGAAGGAGGAGCGGCGGCGCGTGGCGGTGATGCTGGCGCTGATGGCGGCGCTGGAGGAGCGGGCGACGCGGGCAGCGGGGGAGAAGCGTGCCGCGGAGGTGGCGCGGGCGCGGGAGATGGAGCAGCTGGCGCGCGAGGCGGTCTTGCGGGAGCGCGGGGAGGCGATCATGGGGGCGCTGCACGAGGCGAGCAAGGCGGAGTGGGCGTACTGGCAGATGCGCGCGCGGTCGGACGGGGCGCTCGCGCAGGACGCGCTGCACCTGATGGGGGGGGCCGAGGACTGAGGGAGGAGTGGAGAGTCGCGGGGAGGGGGGGTTCGGCGCGGGAGGACGCGTGCTAGTAATTCGCTGACCTACAAGCACCCTCACTGCGAGGACGCTTGAGCGACCGAAATAGTACGGCAGGCGAGACCATGTTTGTAAAGACGGACGTGCAAGCATGCGGCAGGTTCGCGGTTTCCGGTTTACAGGATTCTTGCTCGAGGATCGCTGCGGCGGGGGCTGCGCGTGGCGTCAGGGCCAGCGTCGAAAACTCCCCCCCCGAGGTCCTGCTTTTCTTCGAAAGCTGAGTTCAGTGACGCGCCGCTATGAAAATCGGCGCCGAGAAAGGTCACGTACGCGACGTGTATCAGGCCGGTGGGACAGGTACTCGGGGCGGACGGGAGAGCGGGGGCGGGGTGGAGGGTTACGTGCAGTCGGCTGGGTAAGGACAACACAGAGCGCTTGCATTCGTGGTCGATGTCCAGGCAGACAGTTTCATGCAGTGCCGTATATTCCGAGCGGTGCAGATGCTCCGAGCTGTTTGGCGGTGCTGGCGGAGCTCTTCCGCGACGTGGGAAGGAGGCAGATGGGGCCAAAACGGGCAGAGTGGGCATATGGCGGCGGTGCAGGATTTGTGAGGTCGTGCGCGGCCTGATTTGGCGTTGGAGTGCCCTTGCAAGGTGGGGCGAATCAAAAAGTGCAGTGCCCTCCTGCCTCGCTCTCAGTGGTTGATCTTTTCGAGCCGGAGGCGGACAGTGGAGCGTCGTATTGCTCTCCGCAATGCGACGCAAAACGCGGACATTGGCCGCTGCGAGTGCGGACGCCGCGAAACGCCGCGGCCGTTGCCGCCTGGCACATGGCGTCTGTTGTGGCACAAACAGACGTGTGCGGCACGTGGCGTCCCGGGGCTGGGATTTTACGAGCAAGATATCGGCGGCGAAGGGGACGGAGGGGGAGGGGCGTCGGAGACGTGTCGAGGTGCCTCTCGTTGAGGACACCACCGTCACGTTCTCATTTCTTGGCCGCGCTGTGCGCGACGTTGGAACCCCCGCACTTCTACGACGTCGGGGGTCGTCTCGCGCGGGCGGCGGCGACATCGGGCCGCCGTCCGCGGGACGGAGGTGCGGGGGGTGCGGTGGCGTGCTGCCGCTTGCGGCAACACGCGTGGTGGCGAGAAACTGCGGTACGAGCTCGAAACCAGCTGAAGGAGGTTCAGAGCGTTTCACCAAAGGTGAAAGTGAGGGGGTCGGGGGAGGGGGTGTCAGTTTTGAGGGGGGGTAGTCTTGGGGGCGGGTAGAGAGGGGTTGAAGAAGAAGCATCGTCGGTAAGGTGGTGTACGGGGGGAATGGCCCGATGGCCGATTCGGCGTGCTCTGGGACATCTCTCCTCTCTCGGCGCCCGGGGTGGTGGCCACGGCATTGGTCATTGGTCCAGCAGCGAGAGCGCTGCGCTTGCAGCAATGGCTCTCGCTGTCTGTGCACAGCGCTGAGTTCCCCGGGTCTGACCACGGGGCGTGTGCTGCCGGCTCGCGAGGGCGCAGCGCGGTGCGCGCGCTTTTCTGCCGCGCCCAGCGATGGCGGCTGCAAAGGGTTCTCATTGTTGGCCACATGGGTGTTCTTGGCCTCGTGGATGTGCATTGTCATACGCAGGGGCGTGTGCGGAGACGGGGGTAGGGGAGAGCGGGGAGGTTGGGGAGCGGGGGGACGGGGGGACGGGGGCAGCGGGACGGGCAGGAATGTTGCCCTGGTCAGGTCTTCGCGGAGGAGCGAGCATGGCCTGAGCGGCGGGCGGAGGGCTGTGGCGGTGGCCGCTCGCAGGGCCGCCCGCTCTGCCAGCTCGGTCGCCGAGCCGTCGGTCGAGAGCTCGCTGTTGAACAGCCCGCGATCTTGTCTTCGCAATTGTTGTCCTTCCTTTCTTCACTCCTCGTACTTGAGGAACGGGTTGACCGCCTGCGGCACGATCGCCGTGCGGTGGCGGACCTTGGACGAGAGCTTCATCTCCAGCGCGATCGCGGACTCGTTCACGCCCTCCACCAGGCTGCCCTGCCCCGGAGTGCTCCTGGCGGGCATCAGCGCGCCAGACGACACCGCGAGCGTGCTCCGCGACGCCACGCCGACCGTCGACGCCACGTCCCGGCCCAGCTGCCGCCGCGGGCACGCCACCGACGCGTTCTCCGACTTGGCGGGCGTCTCCGCCCCCAGGACCACGTGCCCCGGCGGCAGCGCCGCGAGCGGGGGGCGCACGCTCACGCTCACGCCCACGCCCACGCTGTCGGTGTCGCCCTTGTCGCTCGGGTCCCCGGCGTTGCGCGTCGTCGACGGGGTCGCCTCGCGCAGGCTGCGCGGGCCCGTGGCGCGCGACTGCCGCGGCGTCTCTGCGCGCCGGCTGCCGCGGTGCAGCATCGACCGCTCGAACGGGTCGAGGTTCGCCAGGTGGCGGAAGTCGTCCGGCACGACGGTCCAGTCCTTCTTCGCGGGCGGCACGTCGAGCATCTGCGCGGGCGCGGGTGCGGCGAGGGGCAGTTGCTTACTAACCCCCGTCTGGTTGGTCACGCAAGGGCTGCCCTGTGAGGTCATCTGCGGCGCGGCGCCGGTGCGCGGCGCGGGAGGCTCACCCGTTGGCTCGGCGGCTTCCCGGAGCAGGAGAAGCGGTGCGCGCGGGACTGCGGGCCGGCGGCGCCGGAGGGCCGCGCGCGGCACGGCGGGGAGGGCTCGCCCCCCGTGGAGGCGCGCACGACGGCCTTGCGCTCCGGCTGGTTCTCGACGTAGGCACAGATGCTGCTGCGCAGGGTGTGGGGCGGCGGCGGCGGCGGTGAGGTTCTTGCGGCGTCGCGGGGCCGGGTGCGCGGGTGGTTGCGAAGGGGCGAGTCAGAGCGCTCAGCACCTGCATTGCGGCGTCTCTCTGAAGGTGGTGGCGCGGTACGGGTCGTCGGTCCGGCGACATGCTTCGGTGAGGGAGTTGCCCGGGGAGGTGTCCGTGACTTTGGACGGCCTGACGCGCCGGTGGCTGTCCCTGCTGGCAGTTTGCCTGCAGTGGCTCGCGCTCGGACCCAGCGCGTCGTCTGACCCGCTTCGTTCCGGGACCGCGACGACGATATCCTGCTTGAAAGAGGTTCAGAGCCGCTTGGTTGGCAACTCGACGCACGGTCGGCCGCAGGAGACCGAGCTATGACCTCGGTCATTGATACGACGGTGCGCGAACGTGGCCGCCGTTCAGGGCTCGATCGACGTCGCGAAATCAAGCCACAGTACTGAAGACGCGGCGGAGCTGACGGAACGTGCGCTTCGCCGGCGGCGTGAGCGCGGACGGGGCTAGGCCGAAAGGGCTCGCCGCCCACGGTCGCGGGCCTCTCAGGGCGTCGAGGGCGCTCGCGGGCGGCCGACGCCGGGCGCCTTGCGCGGAGTGGGAGCAGTCATGGCCGTCCACATCGCGAGCCGAGCAAGTCTCACCTCCTTGGCCGGCCGCTCGCCGATCGACAAGCAGATGCCCATCGCGCGAGGCGGTGGCGGCTCCTCGCGGCGCCCTGGACGCCTGGAGGGCCGAGGATAATCTAAGAAATCCCAACTATGGCCGCGACCGAGGATGCGGCCGCGCACGCTTCTCCGCAAGCAGCGGTTAGTGCCTCTTGCACTGGGCTGCCTATGGGGCCCCTGTGCGCCGCAGGACCGTGATTTTGCGTCCTCCGTGGGGTCGAGTAAGTGGCCCGACCCAGCAGCTCGCGGCCCCTTGCGCGCCGGCGCCCCGGGAGATCGCGCGCCAACAGCACTGGTCCAGCGGCGGTACAACGAGCCTGAGGCAGGCGCCCTGGACACCTCGCACGGCCCCGCGCGGCGCGCGCCCGGGTGCGCCGCGCGACCGCGCGCCCGGCGCCTGGTGGACCACGGCTGTTGTGTTCGGCATGCTGCACGGCGCCGCGCGCCCGTTTTGACCCGCGGCGGGCGCAGGAAAACAGGGTGTCTTTTGCCGCCCCGTGCGGGGTCGAAGGGCGCCCTCCAGGCTGGAAGTTCCGCGTACACAGCCGTACATGACATGTGTGAGGGCGTGGGGCTCGGGAAAACGCGTCCTATTCGCGGGGAGACGCACACATGGGCGGTAAGCAATGGCGCTAGCCATGGATGGGCGAAGGCGCTGCGCGCGACCTGGCGCCTCCGAACCACCGCACGACGCCCCCAGTCCGGCCTCTCATGTATGTATCTCGCGTAAACGACCGTTGCAACGGTGCTCTGATTCCCCTCCGCCGTATGCCGCTCTGTTACTCAATCGGTGACTATCGCCACCCACGGGGGCCTCGGACAAAGACCGCCGGCCGCACAGCGCCCGCCGCGGACCCCGGCGGCCTCTGGCACGTGCGCACATGCCGTTGGCGGCCCGCCCGGCGCGCAGGGCGCTCTGCGCGGCGCACGGGGTGCTTCTTCTTTGCAGCGGCATGTCGACAGGTAGCGCACCGCCTCGAAAGCGCCGGAACTCACATCGCGGCGCGGGAGGCCCGCTGGTGCCCACCGCGACCCTCGAGAGTGGACCTCAGCGGGTGCACGAGCCGCCCTCCGCCGCAGGCCTCGCTGGATCGAACCAAAACACGTCAGCGTTGATCGAAGCAACTGAAGCTCTGCGACGTGGCGGCGTTTCCTGCCGCCGACGTTGCCGATGGGACGCGCCAGCGGGGCGCGCGCCGGAGAGCCGCGCGGCATCCAGCCGCGGCCCTCGCTGGCTGCGGCGAGCACGTGCTGCTTGGGGCGCGTGGCGCCGCGTCTCGTGACGCGCGCCGACGCGGGCGGGCGCGCGGCTGCGCGCTAGTTGTTCTGGCTCCACTTGTGCTTGCACTTCGGGCACTCGTAGAACACCGTCTGCCCCTCGTCTGCCGAGCGCAGTTGCATGGTGTAAAACTCCAGCCCCCGGTGGCCGCAGTTGACGCAGTCCTCGTCCGTCGTCTGCCGCCCGCGCTTGACCTCCCCCGTGTCCGCGCCCGCGTCCGCGAGGCACTTGATGCCGTACCGCCGCCGGAAGTCGTCCATGTCAGTCTCACTGGTCACCTTGATCCCCTCGAACTCTGCGGGTCAGACTGACGCGCTGGCTCAGCCAGAACGGAGCGCAGCACGCATGGTGTGCTGTCGCGGGCCACGGGCGTCGGTTTCGGCGCGGTTCGGGCGCGTGGCGCGCACCTGAGAGGTCCTTCATGAAGCTACACATCGGGCACCGCGCGACGCCGTTCGCGGAGTCGAACTCGAGGAGGTCCCCCGAGAGGGGGCAGAAGAGGTAGTCGCGCGACGACGACATCGTCCGGGCGGCTGTGCAGGGCCGCCTGGCGAAGGGGAGGCGGCCAGCGCACTCCCGGATGCGCTTCAGGGCCCGGTTCTGCGCCTCCACGCGCCGAAAGCGGGATATATTCGCCTCACCGGAACAGAACTATACACAAACCTGATACGTCTCTACACACAGGCTCCCCGAGCGCCGCAAGAGCCGTCCATGCGCCCGGAAAAGAGTGCGTACTACAAACCAAGCAGCGCAGCGTGCAAGAGAACGGCAACTCGACCTCGCACCGCACCAGAGGCGTCGGCAGTGTCTCGGGCCGCGGCGCGCGGCGCTCACCAGCGCGCGCTTTGCCCGGCCGGCCATCCCCTGCCTGACACACGTCGGTGAGACAGGCACATCTCCGGCAGCTCCAGGGGCCTGCCGCGCGCCGCGCCGCGGCAGTGTCGCGTGCGAGGCGGTCGCGGTGCACCTGAGGGCGCTTGCGTGGATTTGCGGCTTCTGCGCTGGCACGGCGGAGCCTGCCCTGGGCTTGCGGTGGGTGCGTGGGCGGGGATGGAGCCGGCGGCGCGGGCCGCGGCGGCGGGATGGCGGTGGTTCTCCAAGAGGTCTACGCCTCGGATCCAGATGTTCGGGCACGTGCAGCGGTGGCACATGCCGGAGCCTGAGAACGAGGATGCGCGCGGGTGGAGCAAGCGGGAGGACGTCGTGGTTGGGAAGGCAAGCGCCTGATCGACGCCCGCACGGTCTTGCAGAGCCTGTTCCGCTTCCAACACGTGCCGGCCGCGTGGGGGAGTTGGACGGCGCTGCGCGCGCTGGCCCTGCGGGGAGGCTGCGTGGACGTGCTTGGGCCGCGACACGCGGCCGACGCCGCGCCGGTTCGCGCCGTTCCGCCTCGTCGCGAACCTGGACGCGCTCAACGCACGTCCGCTGGCGCCTTACGGGCCTCCTCGGCGCGCACACACGGCTCTGGGTGCGTTGCACCGACCCAATGCCCCACCCCCCGCCGCCGCTCGGCCGCAGGTGACGTCTGACAGGATGGACAAGACGGTCGTGGTGTCCAAGAGGCGGCAGTACACGCACAAGTGGTACGGGTCGTGGGCGAGGTTCACCAAGTACTATGCCCACGACGAGGACAACTCCTGCAGGATCGGGGACACCGTGCTGCTGACGCCGGAGAAGGAGGCGCGCAGGCGCTCCAAGCTCAAGTGCTGGAAGGTCTCGCACATCCTCAAGGTGCGCTCCAACCCCCCCCTCCAACAACCCTCGGCACAGCACGGCGCAGCGGTGCCGCCTCCCACCGTGCTGCGCCGCCGCCTCGATTCGTTCGTTCCGCGGCCGTGCGTGCAGAGGGACGATGCGCACGAGTTCGCGGTCAAGGCGAACGCGATCGACCGAGCGCTGCGGGGCGTCGGCGTCGCCCTGCCCGACGAGCTCCCCGCGCAGTGTGCCAGCCCCCTGCCGCGGGACGCCGTGTCGCTGCTGCAGCGCGACAAGCGCCAGGTCGATGCGGCGAAGCAGCGGGTCGCCCGCAAGGGCGCCGAGGCGGACCCGCAGTGACGCAACCGCCCACGCTGTGACTTGCATGACACACAAGTCCCTTCACCCGCTCCGCCCGCGCCGTCCTGCGGCTCTGCGTCCGCCGAGACGACATGCCGCGGTGTTCGGCGCGTCTCAGCGCGCGCGCGGCGTCGTCGCCGGCGGCCATGCGCACAGCGGGGGGATCTGAGACTGCACGCGGCGCACGCGATTTCGCGCCCGCAGCGGCCCCGGAGCGGCAGCGCGGGTGGCGTGCGTGTCCCGCGGACAGTCACAGCGGTCCTGGCGACGTGTGCGCGGGGTCGGCGTGCGCGCGCTGTTGAAGGCAGTCACATGTGGGGGGCTGTCACCTGACATGCGTGATGTCTTGCGTAGGTCTTGCCTGGGCAGGGTCGCCGGCCGACGACATCGGGACGCGTGGTGGGGCTTGCCGACGAGTACCCGCACGCCCGCGGGGGTCGTCACTCATCGAAGACTTCACTCGAGCTGCGTGCGCAGGTGCTGGGACCCCGACACCTGTTGCTGCAGCTTGCTCATCCTGCGTGCGGGTTCGCCACCGCGTCGTTGCTCTCGGCCACCCCTTTCCTGGTTAACGTGACCTCCGGTGTGGCGCGTTTGTCACACTGCATGTTCAATACAATTGTGGGGTCAGTGTGTGTGTCATAGGGGTTGCGGCGGCGCGGGGGAGGGGTGCGCGGATGGACGCGTGCGCGGATCGCGCGCATAGTCCTGCCGGATCGAGGCCGGGGCCGGGAGGGGCGGCCGCAGGGGTCGAGCGGGCGCTGCGGGCGACGTGAGGGTGTGTTTCGCCCGCGGTGAATTCGCTGGGGAAGCGCCGCGTTTGACGCACTTGGAGGCGTGTTGCGGGTCGTATCGACGGTTCTGCGCGGTGCTGTGATGTGGACGTGTCCGGACTGCGCCGGAACGTGTGCGGTGCTCCCGCCCAGGTGAGCGCACGGGGAGCGCCAAGTGAGGTGGTGAGAGCCGGCGTCTGTTCGTCGAATCGAGCAGACACGCCTCCCGCCGCGCATGCAGGCGACGGCTCAGCGATGTCGCTCCCAGGTGCGATGGAAACGAGGCAACCCGCGCGAACCCAGCGTCGTGGCCTACTGGGGAAATACCAGGTATTACCACCCTCGTGGGGGTCGCACGCTCCACGGGCGCGCTCGAATCGTCGTCCTGGCGCAGCGCAATCGCAAATTGTGGCAGCCCAGATTTCGCGCATCCACGTTCGCCCGGCGAAGTCGCCCAACGCTCGCTTCGGGCCCCTTCTCGCTGCCCACGTCTCGCTAGCCCCGCGTCCGGCGTCGCAGCGATCCGTGGCAATACTCGACCCATTACTCGGAGTCGACGGCTCGACCGACCCGTCGTTCGGCGCGGGGATCGAGCGCAGGGCGGGGGTGCCACTAGTGGCTGCAAGCCGCGGCAGTGCGCTGCACCAGGCGCGCCACCGATTGATTGCGGCGTCGAATAGGACCCTACACGTAGCAGGGATCGCACGTGATGGCAGTCGCGGGCGCGGAGATGCGGCTGAGCGTGCCTCAGACCGATGCGCATGAGATGTCTGGTGGGGCCGACGACGCCTCCACGCTCGCGCTCCTTCCGAAGCACACCAAGGTGCGCACAGCCCTGGCCCCGGAGGCATCGAAACGCCGCGAATCTGCCCTGGAATGCGCGCCTCGGCGACGGAACAGGCCGTTCTTGCAAGCCATGCCACCCGCAACTTTCGAACGGCAGACGGATGTCTGGAGCGATGACGGACCGCAGGTGCGGGTGAGCGGGAACTCGAGAACGAAATGCAGCCTCATCAATTTGGAGGTACGTCACGCGCGTGCCCGACGCGGCGCAACGGGCCCCTCTCTCCAGCGCTGCTTCGAACGCGCGGGCCGGGCGGTGGGAGCCCGTCGGGGCCCGCATATCGAAATTTCTGCGACGAATTCGGGACGAGAGCCATTCGCGACGCTTCGTTCCCGCTCTCGCCCCCCCGCGAGTGCGCGCCAGCCCAACGGGTCGCCCGCGATTGCCCCTCGCCCGTGTGCCGTCGCCGACGGCCCCGCACGCGCCGCCCCGTGCACCACGAATCGCCTATTAGTCCTCGTCGAACCCGCCGATCGGCCCGCCGGCCCCCGACACGCAACCTCGCCGCGCCCTCGCCGGCCTGCAGGGCGTTGTGAAGAAGGCCGTGGGCTTGGGCGGCTGGCACTGGCTCGTCCTGTCGTCCGGGGAGGAAGTCAAGCTCCAGCGGAACGCCCTGCAAGTCCTCGAACTTCCCACCGGGAACGAACCCGACTTCACCGACGACGACGAGGAGACCACGACGCGGCAACCCACCACGCCTGAAGTGCTGCCCGCCGAGGTGCGTCCCGCGCGCGCCCCGGCCCGCAAACCCCCACGGGCGCCCCGCGACGCCCCCTCGCCGAGCCAGCCGCGCCCGCCAAGCCCGCAGCGGCGTCGGGCCGCCCAGCGCTGCCCAGCGGCGCCGGGCGCCGGTGCCCGCCTGCCTGCCCGCCCGGGCGCGGGCGCTGCAGCGATGCGACCGTCCCCGGACGTCCGCGGCGCTTGCGCGCAGGAGCTGCCACGGATCCGGGCGCGCCGACCAGGGCGCGCGTACGGGGGCACTGCGGTGCGCTCCCCCGGGGGTCTGGCCGTCGCGGAGCCGACCCCGACGCTCGGCGCGATCATCGGCAAGGACGGGCGGCCGAGCATGAAGGTCAACTTCCTCAAGCTCGACTGCGGCGCGCTCCGGCGGTACCACAAGCACTTCAACCTGACGCATGTGCCCGAGGACTGTCCGAAACAGGAGCTCGCGCAGGCGGTCGGGGAGCACTTCAACAAGACCAGCGTCGACGAGGCGCAAGTCATCGACATGTTCTTCCGGGCGGCGAAGCGCGTTCGAGCCTGAGAGCGCCGGAACCCCCCCCCCCCTTGTTGGCTCGCGCTGCGGCCCCGGCAGGCGTTGCTGCCGGGGCGCCGTCGTTGCTCTGTGCGTGCACGCGCTGCCGGTGGCCGCTGCGGCGCTGCTGCGGCGCTGCTGGCCGCCGGGCCGAGCGTGGGCTCCTATTGTACATTCCCCTTCCCCACAGACCTGGTTTCCTATCTGCGAGCCGGCTGAGAGATCCACGAACCCCCAGTTGCCCTCCTCCTCCGTGGCCGTGCAAACAGCGCCGGCGTCCAGGGTGGCGCGCCGCCCGCCCGAGCCGCGGCGACGCGCCGTGTGAGACGCCACGCCGGTAGGTAGAATTCACCGCCACGCGTCAGGTCCAGGGTCGCCCTGGACGCCCCGCGCGGCGGTATAGGGGCACGCCGCCGCCCGCGCCGCGCCACTCAGCCTCCAGCTTCCACACACGACGGCGTTCCCACTTCCTCGCACTCCGTGAACGAGGCACAGCACTTGACCTCACTCCCGCGCCGCTGCCGACCCGCCGCGCGACCGCACGCGAGCAGCCGCATCTCGGTAAGCGATCCCACCGGGATCTCCGGCACCCACCATGCCCGAATTGCGCCATCAAGCCCGCGGAACCTGCCAGCAACGCGCAAATTTCCCACGCCGCGCCTTCAGTTGAGACCAGGACCCTCACGCGCCGCTCGGTCCAGGCCCTGCGCGCTGCGGGCTCCGCGCGCAGCAGCGCCGCGTCGCTCCCCGCCGCCCCAGCGCGCCAGGGCGCCCGCCGGAGTCGCGGAACACCCCCCCTGTGCGGAGTTCCCCGCGACGAAGGCCCTGTACACCTGTCCAGTGGAGCGTGGCGTCGCCGCGCCTCCGCCGCGCGCTTTCCTGCGGTTTCCTCGATCGCCGACGCGTACCCCCGATGTGCTGACCCCCGCCCATGGCCTCGTACGCGAGGCCGAGGGCGCTGCCTCACGCCCCGCGCGCCACCCCCCGCCCGTAGGCGTCGTTGAGTACACCTGCTCCGAGGCGCGCGTGACCACCGGCGCATCGCACGCTGGGCCGCGAGTCTGCCCGGCCCTCGACACGAACATCCACGCCCGCGCGGACCAAGGCCCGGAACCGGACCCCCAGGTGCGGAGCCGCGCCGTGGCGCCCCGCTGCACGCTTTGACCGTAGCGCGCGCGCACGTAGAGCCGCGCACGCGACCTCGCTCGCTCCTTCCGGCCCCTCGCGGCCCTCCCACGCCGCCACCGCTCCGAACGCGCCCCCTCTGCGAGCGTCGCGGGCAGCAGCTGCCTGGCCTCCGAGGCGCCACGCGTGGGCCGAGGCCTCCGACCGCTCCCGCACGCGCGGCCGCGCGCAGCTCACCCGCCCTCCCCGCGCGCACTGTCGCCCGCAGGCTCGCGGATAGAGGGCGCGTCATGTCCCAGAAGGAGCTCCCGATCAACGGCGTCGACGAGCCGACGGAGGTGGACCCGGACCGGCGTACGACCAACAGCAGCAGGCAGCTGTCCTCGCTGACGTCGCAGGTGTTCTCGCAGGGCACCCGCAACCGGAACACGCAGATCGTCTCCGGCATGTCCCGCAAGGCCATGAACGCCGGCAAGCTCCACTCGATTCCGGACGTCGCGCACCAGCACTCCAACCACATGCACGCCGCCGTCGTGTCCTCCGTCTACCACCCGCCGTCGGGTACGCCGCCCGCGCGACCGCCGCGCCCCGGCGACCCCGGCCGCGCGTCCGCAGCCGTCTCGCGTCCGCGGTGGAGACACCCCCCTGCTCATTTGCCCGCGTGTCGCGCCCGCCGTGCAGTCGTCGTCGACATGAGCGGCAGGGCGGAGCCGGTGGACGCGGAGAAGCTTGCGTCGAAGCACGAGCCGACGTCGCCCGGGCCGGTGACGATCACGCACGAGGCCACGCACTCGCACCACCACGCGCCGAAGCTCGCCAACCCCGGCCCGCTCGGCCTCTTCGCCTTCGGCATGACCACCATCATGCTCATGTTCGCCGACACGGCCTGGTCGGACGCCCGCATCGTGCACAAGGTCCTGGGGTACGGATTCATGTACGGCGGCCTGACTCAGTGGGTGGCCGGCATCCTCGAGGTGCGCCGCCCGACCCCAGCGCCGGCCCGCGCGCCCCACAGCCGGCAAGGCTCGGCGCGAGCCCAGCGCTCCGTGCGCCGCTTGGCCAGCGCATGGGGGTGGCGCAGTGCGGCGCCCCCGACGGGGGATCGAAGAGCGCAACGCCCACCCCCGCCCATCCGCGGCGACACTGTCCCTGCAGTTCTTCAAGGGCAACACGTTCGCCGCGACCGCGTTCTGCTCGTACGGCGCGTTCTGGATCGGCTGGGCGTTCTTCGGCACGATGGTCCTCGACGACACCACGGGCTTCGCGTCGACCGCGGAGTTCAAGACCGGCGAGGCGCTGTACCTCGCTCAGTGGGGCCTCTTCACATTCCTGCTCTTCATCGTCACCATCAAGAAGAACCGCTGCCTCCAGGTGACTGCCGACCCCGCAGCCGCCCTCGTGCCCCCCGCGCTCGCCTCGCGCCCCGCGCGTCGCACCCCAGCCCGCCGCCCCCGCCGCACCTTATCCGCTCCGCGCGACCGCGCTCGCCTCTCCGCAGGCCATCTTCTTGACGCTCACTTTGACGTTCTGGCTCCTGGCGGGCGGCGTGTTCTCCGAGGGCTGCAAGAAGGCCGCGGGCTACATGGGGCTGCTGTGCGGCTCCTGCGCGTGCTACACCGCGTTCGGCGAGGTGCTGCTGGAAGAGTGGGACACGCTCCTGCCCGGGCTGTAGCGCGCCCGCGCGCGCGCTCCCCCGCCCCGCTCCCGCGCCCGACGCGGCGCCGGCGACGCTGGCGACGCGGCGCCTCCGTCGGGACGACGCGGGAGGATCCCGTCGTCGCGGCACGGCTCGGCCGCGGCACCGGGGCCATTTCCAGGACCTGCGTACTGCACTGCATGTTTTGACTTTGTGTGACAACGCCCACGTGCTCGGCGCCCTCAAACGTGATCGATCGTGTCGGCCAACGAACCGCTCATGGGCGGGACGCGCGGCTGCGCGGCGCGGGAGCCGCTCGAAGTGCCTCTCCGCCCCTCCGCCCGCGCGTGACTGACCATGGCATGCTCGTCGACGCGTGCGCGCGCTTGCTGGACGTGCCCGGCTGTCTTCGCGCGCGGCCGCTGCGAAATCGTTGGGACGGTCGCGTCGACAGCGTGTCGGCCGCCCCACGTCGAGCAGCTCGCGCAGCCTGGGAATCGTCTCGCCGCAGCAGCAGCGGACCTGGATCGCTCTCCGGCGGCCGATCTCGCTCATTTCGTGGATGCGGCGAGAGGACACCTCGCTCGTGACGCGCGATCCAAGGGACGGGCGCTGGGGGGGCTGCGTGGCCCCGAGAAATCGACTTGCCGCCAAATCGACCACCTCGACTGTGGTTCCGCTCCGGGACGGGCGCGGCGCGACACGGCGACCGGCGATAGCTCGAGGCGCTCCCCAGCAGCGCCAGCGTGACGCGGCGGCACGTTTCGGGCGTGCGACGCCGCGAAACCGCGGTTTTAGGTGCATTACTCAGGCCCGGCGGGGCAGTCTCTCTGGCACACGCCACCGCCTCTGCGGGCGCACGAGGCTGCGGCGCCGGCGGCAGGATGCACTCGGCAGTGACAGTCAGTGGGAAACCACAGGTGAGCGGATAGCGCAAAGATTCGCGCGCATCATGCGCACCAACCAAGTGCAAGTCGGTTGCCAAACATTGCCCGCGCGCGCGTAGAACGCGCAGCATCGAGCGTTTCTGCGCAGACCTGACAATTGATATAACTTGAGTAATCGCTCAGATGCGTCAAAACGTATTTCTGCGCACCCTGCGCGCGGCACGGGGAGCGTGACCTCGGCAAGGGGCACGCACGCCGCCGACGCCTGTTGCGCGCACCTCCGGGCCCGACTCAACGCGTGAAGTGATGCTCAAATGATGGTTGATCTATTTCTATGATTCAATCTTGCATTTGAGCCGTCTGTACGCGGCCAGGGAGCGTTTTCTGTTCACGACTGAGGGTCGGCCCACGGCAAACCAGCCCGTTTCGGCGGCAGATCGGGGGCGTAATTCTTTCTTGTTGAACTGAACGATCGTGCGGTGCCAGGACAAGCGCGACATAGCGCACTGCGGGGCCTGGCGCCGTCGGTTGGTTGGCACGCACGCCACTCGCGCTCGCGCTTTTCGCCGCGCGCCCGGCGACCCGTATCCCCATGCGGATGGCCATCATCCCACAATAAGGCTTTCACGCGCGCCGATCCTTGCACCACATTCGGCGCCGGGCCCGCCAGCGAGAGACCGGGCTTGCGCCATCGTGGTGGCCGCCCCGGCGCAGCGCGGTGCCTGCGCGCACTGCGCCGCCATGCCGCGCCCGGTCCTCTCTCATTCCGCTTTCCGCGCAGACAGGCCCGCCAAGCGCCGCTCCACGCCTCCAACGCGCTCCCGCGCAGCCCCCAACGTCCCCCAACGTCTCGACCCGACACCCACCGCCAGCGCCCCGCCGGCAACGCCCGCCCTCGCTCGACATTCTCTCAATTTTGAGACGCCTTCCGCCCGCCCCCGCGCCGGATCCTCACCGCCGCCACCCCCACGCTGCTCGCAGGTTGAGCTGCACCTGCACCATGAGGGGTCTCGCCCTTCGCCTTCTCGCCGTCATCGCCACCGCGGCGCTCTTCGCGACCGTCCACGGTGAGATCCCCCCCGCCGCGATCGCCGCCCGCGGCGCCCTCAACTTGCGTCGCGTGTTGCTGCAGATCTGTGCCACCAGCGCGACAGCTCGCGCGCCTCTGTCGGGAGCCTCGCTGACCCGTCCGCGCCCACGCCTTGCGCGCAGGTCGTACGCTGCGTGACCTGGGCACGTCGCCGAAGCGGTCGCTGCTGCAGACCATCAGCTACATCGGCCCGAATGCCGCGCTGACTGACGTCAGGAACGACGCCACGCACTCGACGACCCTCGAGGGACCCCTGCGCGGGATCGCCAACAAGTCCCCGCAGGGCTCGTTCGAGATCGTCAAGACGGCCGCGACGGACGAGTGGTCGCTCGGGGCCACCATCCAGAACCTGGAAAGGATGGAGGCCGCTGCAATCAGTGGCGACTGGGCCTGCGTGGGCCGCGTGGACTACAACCTGCCGGGCTCGGGCCCTGGGGTACCGGGCCAGGGGTCTGGCTCGCGGAACGAGTACAACAACGGCATCATCGACTTCTACAAGAAGGTGGGCGGCGCGTGGGTGTTCAAGAAGCGGTTCCGCCCGGGCTCCGACGGCGTTCCGACCGTCTACAATGCGGACTTCGGGCGCCAGATTGCCATGGATGGCGGGATCGCCGTCGTGGGCGTGCCGGCGTGGCAGGACAACCAGGGGCGCGCGTACGTGTTTGAGCTCAACAGCGGGACGGACACCTGGTCGTTCGTGACGGAGCTGGACCCCGGAACGAACTCCGTCCTGCAGGCCGGCTCGTTCGCGTTCGCGCAGCAGTTCAAGCGCTTCGGCCAAGACGTGGCGGTCCTCGGCGACGAGGTGTTTGTGGGGTCGCCCGAGTTCCTCGAGGGCAACAACGGGCAAGCGCAGGGCACCCTCGGTCCCGGTGCGGTGTATGTCTTCAAGCGCGGGAGCAGCTGGAACCGCGTCAACTTCGCGGGCAAGAACGGCGCGACTTGGCAGTCGGCGAGCCACACGACGCACCTGAAACAGATCCTGCGCCCCAACGTCCCCGTGAGCAACCCGCTGCCCAGGGAGAGCAAGAGGATCGGGTTCGGCAAGGCGCTGGACATCAGTCCGGACGGCAACACGCTGGTCGTTGGCGCGCCGTACTGGGGCCGCGAACTCTACTTTGACCAGCGCCCCAACCCGGACGACGTCTGGATGGGCGACGGCGCGGCGTTCTTCTACACTCGCGTTCCCGGCACGAGCACGTTCGGGTCGGAGGCTATGGTGCAGTCCACGACGGGGTCGCTGCAGCGCTTTGGGCACAACGTCGCCACGGACGGGAGCTGCGCACTGGTCTCGCAGCTGCAGGGCGGCGACGGTGACGGCACGCGTCGCCTCCTTGGCTGGATTGGCGGCTACTACGGCAACCTGCCAACCTGGTCCGTCATTGACTATTATGGCGGGGTGCAGAAGTTCTGCCTAGTTGGCGGCACCTGGACGGCGCAGACGCTGACCAAGACGGCCGTCCCTACTAGCTCTGCCGGCCCGCAGGCGGCCAGGTACGGGATCACTCTCGGTCTTCGCGGGGACTCGATGTTCGCATCTTCCGTAGTCGTTCCCTTCGGGAACGTGGCACCTCCTCCTGGTGCGCCCACTTCGGCACCGACAACCTCGCCTCCCGACCTGTGCCCGAGCGATCCGGCGAAGACCGCGCCGGGCGTGTGCGGCTGCGGCGTGGCGGACACGGACTCGGACGGCGACGGGGCGGAGGACTGCAACGACCAGTGCCCCACGGACGCCGGCAAGACCGCGCCGGGCGCGTGCGGCTGCGGCGTGGCGGACACGGACTCGGACGGCGACGGGACGGAGGACTGCAACGACCAGTGCCCCACGGACGCCGGCAAGACCGCGCCGGGCGCGTGCGGCTGCGGCGTGGCGGACACGGACTCGGACGGCGACGGGACGGCGGACTGCAACGCCCAGTGCCCCACGGACGCCGGCAAGACCGCGCCGGGCGCGTGCGGCTGCGGCGTGGCGGACACGGACTCGGACGGCGACGGGACGGAGGACTGCAACGACCAGTGCCCCACGGACGCCGGCAAGACCGCGCCGGGCGCGTGCGGCTGCGGCGTGGCGGACACGGACTCGGACGGCGACGGGACGGAGGACTGCAACGACCAGTGCCCCACGGACGCCGGCAAGACCGCGCCGGGCGCGTGCGGCTGCGGCGTGGCGGACACGGACTCGGACGGCGACGGGACGGAGGACTGCAACGACCAGTGCCCCACGGACGCCGGCAAGACCGCGCCGGGCGCGTGCGGCTGCGGCGTGGCGGACACGGACTCGGACGGCGACGGGGCGGAGGACTGCAACGACCAGTGCCCCACGGACGCCGGCAAGACCGCGCCGGGCGCGTGCGGCTGCGGCGTGGCGGACACGGACTCGGACGGCGACGGGACGGAGGACTGCAACGACCAGTGCCCCACGGACGCCGGCAAGACCGCGCCGGGCGAGTGCGGCTGCGGCGTGGCGGACACGGACTCGGACGGCGACGGCATCGCAGACTGTATCGATCTGTGTCCCAACGACCCCGATGACGACGCTGACGGCGACGGCGTGTGTGGCGACGTCGACAACTGCCCGTCTGTAGACAACGCCGGCCAGCAGGACGCCGACGGCGACGGGCTGGGCGACGCGTGCGACCCGGACATCGACGGCGACGGCGTGCTCAACGGCGTCGACAACTGCCCCCTGGTGGCCAACCCCGACCAGGCCAACCAGGATGGCGACGGTCTCGGCGACGACTGCGACGGCGACATCGACGGCGATGGCGTGCCGAACGGCATCGACTACTGCCCCGACACTCCGCAGTCTGACGAGGCGGCGGGCGTCTACGCAGTCGTGTTCCCGCCTGGCGGCGCCAACGCTGGCTGCAGCGCGTACGACTTGTGCCCCTGCGACAACAACTGGCGCAACCACGGCAAGTACGTGCGCTGCGTCGCCCACACGGTCAACGAACTCACCGACCTCGACGTCCTCGACGAGGGCGAGGGCGACGAGATTGTGTCGGGAGCAGCCAGGTCGGACTGCGGCAAGAAAAACTGAATTCAGTAACGCAACACCCCTCAAGACCTGCAGCAGGACACAGCTACACGTGCAACTCTGCGCGTGCGCCTCCGCGAGCAATGTCGCCGACGACGGCGGAGCGAGCATGTTCGCGATTGTAACACAGACTACCCGCCGCGCCTGCGGCCAAGCATCCCACCCCCCCCCTGCCTGGACGACACAGAAACAGCACAGAGCTCTGCCGTACCATTTCGGTCGCTCAAGCATCCTCGCGGTGAGGGTCGTTTCGTGCGCGGGTGGTCAATTACTACTCTGTGCCAGAAGGTCAGCGAAGTATTACTAACGGCACAGAGCTGCACGTGCATCGCCCACCGCTACATGCTGATGCCGAAGGGCGAGTACGGCATGTCCGCGTCCTCCACGTTCGACACGTCCTCCATGTTGACGCGGCGCCACGCCAGATCCACCGGGCGGTCGATGCTGCTGTAGTGCATGCGTCGGTGTTGGTAGAACGGCCGGTGCCGCCTGTCGTCCCAGACCTCGACCCAAGCATACCGCTGGCCTAGACTGTCGACGTTCTGCCTGATCGTGCCGTGCTTGTCCAGGGCGATCTCCCACCACGTCTGCAGTGCTCGCAGGAAGGTTGTGCGGCTGTGCGCGCTCGCAGCGGGCCGCGCGGCTGCCGCGTGGAGGACATGGTGCCGGACATGGACACGTACCTCCCCGTGGTCGCCGAGACAGGGCGCGGAGCCCGGGTCCGTGTCTTGCCACGCCCCTGTGTTGTCGTTCCAGAAGATGTGCTCCTTCGCTCGTCCCTCCGGCTTCCTGCGCGCGCAGAACGCATGAGATCGTTGCTCGCCGACGGATGCGCAGAGACGTGCTCGTCCAGCGACCCGACGCGAACGAGCCCGGGTGCAAGTGCGCGCTGTGGGCGCACCCCGTCAGCCACTTCGCGCGCGCTTGGACCCTCGCGTGGCCCCCGATGGCCTCCTGAAGGGTGCGCTCCATGCGCTGGAGCAGGTCGGCCTGCGCCCCGTCCATGAACATGTGCATGCTCCCATCGCCCGCTGGAGCTGTGCGAGCAGATCCCTGCGCGAGGCGCGTCGAACGACGAGCGATGCCGATCGCGACGTACAACATCTAACAGCTGCAGCGCACGGCGCCATGGTTTCCCACCACGGGCGTTCCTCAGCGCCTGGCCCGCACCTGATCCCCTTCTGGCCCTTCTCGCGCGCTAGCAGCTTCCTTTTCCGCGTCCTCGAGCTCCTGATTCCGCCACCTGGAGTGAGTATGCCGTCTGGGTCGACCCGACGCGAGCTGAACGGTCGCAAGCAGGATGCACAACAGGACCCACACCGCTGTCCCACACGCACCGCGCATCGCGCGGCGCCTCCCGGCCTCTGCAGGCCGACCAACGTCCGCGATCCAGCTCTGCCCTCCGCTGCGTGCGACTTCGCGCCCTCGCGATCGGCTGCCGGTGCTCGACCGTGCCACGAATTAGGCGCCCGGCGCAGCGTCCGCGTGGACGGAATGGCGGGCTGCGTTGTGTGTCGGTCGGTCTGCGCGGCCTCTGCGGTTGCGCGAGCCCACGGGCCCGCCTGGATCGCGTCAGCGTCGGGCGGGGACCCCCCCTGGGCGTCTGGGGCACTCCGCTGGGGGGTTCGTGTCGCGCAGGCGGTGTGCGCGGGGGCCAAGAGCTGCGCGCCGTGCGGACGAGGGGGACGCACTCGAGATGTCGGAGAACGGCGCGGGGTACGACCGGGCGGAGAGCCCCGACAGGCGGGATGCTCCCCCGCGCGGCGACCGCGGTGGCAGCCGCGGCGCGAGCCCGTCCCGGGAGAACGCCGGCGACGCGGAACCCAAGCGCGAGTTCGAGGACGAGAAGGTCCGCCCCCCGCAGCCTGCGCGCCGCGGCTCAGGGACTGTCCCGCGCCAAATGTTCACACTGGCGGAGGTGCGGCGTTGCGCGCAGGAGCTGAACCTCAAGGCCTTCGTTGGGGGCATCCCGCATGCGTTCACGGACGAAGACCTGAACGCGGAGTTCGCGGATTTCAACAGCACGCGTGCGGAGGTGATGTGCGACAAGTACACTGGCAAGAGCCGCGGTTTTGGCTTCGTGTTCTTCTCCTCGGAAGAGGACCGCGCGGCCGCGATCGAGGCCAAGAACAAGACCTTCATGCAGGTGTGCTCCTCACGGGCCCGCGGGCTGCCAGCCGCGCCCGCGCGCACGTCCGCGGGGACCAAAAGCGCTCAGCAACCGCAGGCGCCGTTTCCTCGGCCACGGAGCCTCGCGGCCCCCACGCGCGTGATCTCGCAGCGCACCGCGTCGTCCACGAAGTGAACGCCGCCCGGGGCCTACGATTGTGGCGCCTCGTGCTGACTGCGAGTCGCGGGCGGCCGCCCACATACTCTCAGCCCAGTAGCCCCTGCTCGCATCAAGTGCCCGAACAGGGGCTGTCCAGCTTCTGCACACAGCCCACTGCGTCTTAGGCACTCCACGCCCGCTCGCACGTGGACCCAGTCCGCTCCACGGCACGCGCCCCCAACCTGCAAGACGCGCAAGGCAACGCCCGCGGGCGCTGTCGCCGCTGCCGACCTGCCCGAACCGTCGAACTGTCCACATGAGCCGCCTCTGACTTCAAGTCTGGCAGAGAAAGCCTGGGCACCGAGATGGGCACCCAACACTCGTTGGCAAGGCTTTCTTTGTCTCTGGCTGGCAGTCGGGCGACCGTCTGGAAAGTCGGTGCCGGGCAGTCTGCGACAGCACACCCGCGGGGCCTGCAGTGCGCTGCTTGCTGGTCAAGGGGGCTCGTGCGGTGGTCCGAACTGGGCCCACTGGTGCAGTGGGGGGAGGGTTGGAGGCGCGAGTGAGACACAGTGGGTTCGCGCGCGCTGTGCGCCCTTCCACAGGCGTGCTCAAAGTGCGTGCCGTGCTGGCGTGCGGCGCAGGACCGCGAGGTCACCGTGTCGGCCGCGAAGAGCCGCAACGACGTGGCACCGTCGCGCCGCGGGCCGCGCGGGGGCGGTCGTGGCGGGCGCGGAGGCTACGACCGCGGCGGCTACGGCGGCGGGTACGGTGGCGGCGGATACGACCGCGGAGGCTACGGCGGCGGCGGCTACGGCGGCGGCTACGACCGCGGCGGCTATGGCGGGTATGACCGGGGAGGGTACGGCGGCGGCGGCGGCTACGACAGGTGCGCAAGCCTCTGACTACGACGCGTGCGTCCGTCTTCGCGGCGGAACGATGCGTTGCCGAGCGATTCGCCGAGAGTGCGCAGCAGACCTCTCGGCCACTGCTGAGCCTCGGTCCTTCGCAGGGGCTACGGTGGCGGCGGCGGATACGGCGGCGGCGGCGGGTACGGCGGCGGCGGGTACGGCGGCGGCGGGTACGGCGGCGGAGGCTACGGCGGCGGAGGCTACGGTGGCGGCGGGTATGGTGGCGGCGGGTACGGTGGCGGCCGCGGCGACTACAACGACCGTGGCGGCGGCTACGACCGCCCGCCGCGCCGCGGTTACGACTAACGAGCAGCTGCGCGGCGCTCCGCCGCCGCACAGCCTCGTCCTGTGTTATGCAACTCTCACACACCCGCCAACACACACACACACGATTGCCGGGCCGGAAACGCTCCGTCAGCGGCGCGCAGAGCGCTCCTCGCATCAGCCGCTGGCGTGCATGCCGTCCAGGCGCTCCGCGAAGGCCGCGCGGCGGTTGTCGACGATCTTGGGGTTGGGCTTGACGTACTTGAGCATGCCGTCCCACGGGACGATCTGCAGGCCGGCCTTCTTGGCGATCATGCGCTGCACGCGCTGCGCGAACTCGATGTCCGTCTCGCCCGCGCGCTGGCTCTGCGGCTCCAGGAAGTACACGTCGCACACCACGGCCCAGGAGGTCATCAGCGCGTACAGGTGGTTGGTGAACGACTGCCTCCTGCTGTTCCAGAACGCGTCGACGAAGATCTGCGGCGCAGCGCGGGCGGGGCGCGGGGGTCGGGCGTAGCGGGTGCACGATGGCGGGGGGGAGTGAACAAGAGGCACTGCGATCGAGCCCGGTGTGGCGCGTTGCCGGGACGAAAGACGCGCCGCAAGCACGAGGAGAAGGCGCGGCGCCACGCATTCGGGAGCGGCGGGCCGGCAGGTGCACATTCGGGCCCCCGCTGGCAAAGAACACCCCTCCCCCTGACGAGACGCAGGCACGGCCGCAACCGCGCTCCTGTGTGGCCGAGAAGGCAGCGAGGGCGTGCGGCAGCGCAGCTGCGCCATCGCGGCGCGCCCTCCTGGCAATACCCCCCCTCACCTTGTTGTACTTGATGGCGATGGGGCACACTTTCGAGTCGAGGACGAAGGCGCCGCGCGCGAAGCGCACGCAGTACTCGTTGTTCACGCACGTGCCCTCCGGGAACACCAGCAGCGGCGTGTCGTTCTCCGGGTCGTGCACGTGCTCCTTCATGCGGCGCGAGACCAGGGCGCGGTCCTTGGAGTCGGTCCGCGAGAAGTACAGGGCGTTGAGCGCGGAGACGACCTCGGTCTGGATGAACCCGACCCAGCCCTTGTGGAGCTGCATGATGACCGAGAACGGCCGGTACGCCGTCAGCACGATCCAGTCGATCATACTGGTGTGGTTGGCGACCCACACGTGGCCGGGGCGGTTCACGGGCGCGGGGCCGTGGTAGCGGACGACGCCGGTCCAGGACGCGATGAAGACGTTGCACTGGAAGCGGATCAGGCCGGACTGCAGCCGGCGCCGCAGCTTCTTGTTGCGGACGAGGACGTGGACGGTGAAGAAGGAGACGAGGAAGCCCGTGAAGCAGGTGAGCAGGCCGAGGAGGCGGAGCGGGAAGAGCACGAAGTACCTGCGGGCGGGGAGCGGCGGCGGAGGGCGCGTGGGCACAGCGCTGGCTGTTGCGTGCGTGCGAGCTGCCGATGGGCCGCCGATGGCCGAAACGGGCGCAAGAACGGCGTGGCGTGAGACTGCGCGGGGCTCGGGACGGATCCGCTGCGTGGGAAAACACACGCCGTGTGCGTGCGTGCGCTTTTGTTTGCCGTCGGATGGTTGATGGCACCCTGTCGCGAGCTGACAGTCGCACGGCCTCGCCAGGGCACGCGCGAGGCTCGCGCGGATCTACGCGGGTTCTGCCGCGGCGGCGGCGGCGCTCGGCGGGGCGGTGCGGCGCGTGCGCGCACCGCAGGATGACGCCGCAGCACCACAGCGGGAAGAGGTAGACGTTCCAGTTCCACGAGTCCGCGTGGTTGTGCTCGAAGCAGCGCCAGAAGGAGTCGTCGATGAGCGCGTCGGCCCCGTCGGCCAGCAGCCCCGAGGCATCAAGCACCAGCTCGGGCAGGGTGGTCTTTGCCTTCAAGCGGTGGGCCTCGCGGACGCGGTACACCTGCTCGATGGACTTCTGGAGCTCCGAGGCCTCCACAGTCGACTCCTTGGCCTTGTCGCGTGCGATCTGCGCGGGGCGACGAGGAGGATGGGGGTTCGATCACCTAGACACGGGGGCGTAATGCACGGTGAAGGTGCACTTGCGGGGTGACATCTGGATGAGGCAGCGATGGAGGGGGCGACGCGATGGTTGTCGAACGACGGCGTGGTGCGACCCGGCGTCAGAGAGCGCCAAGTTGAGCTGGAGCGATTCAACGGCGACGCCCGCAGCGTGTGGGGCGACATTCGGGCCGTACCTGCAGGACCTCGTCCGCAGGGAGCATCTTCTCCATCTGCGCCTGGACAGCGGCACCGGTCGGGCTGCCAGAGTCGCCGTTGGCGTTTCCTGCAGCCTCGGACAACAGTGCCGCGCACCGGTCGTCGTCCGGGGTTCCGTGGAAGGATGGATGCTCGAGGGCGACAGAACAAGCGGTGCGAGCGAATCGCGCGGAGAATTTCGAGCAATGAGGTGCAGCATCGTCCCCGCACAGCCGTGCACCGCGGATGGCAACACACACCTTGTCCGGGGAGCCTCATGTCCGAACCGGAGCGCCCGGCGCGATTCTTCAGGTTGTCCTGGGAGACATGGACCTTCGGCGCCATCGTGGATCAGGAATCACCGAGGAGGGACGCGCGCACGCTCTTGCTCGACGAATTTGCACTGACAGGGAGGTGCCAGGGGCCTCTGGGCAGCCGCTGGCGCAAGTTACGTGCGGTGAGGCGAATGACACGTCCTCGTGTGCCGGAGCGCAAGAGAAAGTGCGCTTTTGTTGCCGCAGATGACAACGCGAGGGCCTGCAATCCCAGCGGTGATGAACGCCAGCGGCAGGTCGGGGGAGTCGCGTGAGAGTTTCCTGCGTCTGCGCGGATGTGTGTTTGCTCGCGTGGAACTGCGGGCCATGCGCGTCGATGCGGCACGCCGTGCCTGACGTCATCTGGGCGACAGCACTTGCGTCGGGTAGGGTCTGTCCGCTCGCTGCGATGCGTGCGCGCGCTGAGGCCTCACTGGCATCGCCGCGGGCTCGCTCCTCTGCATAGCTGGGGTCCGTTACAGCAGACACGTGGCGCGACAGGCCACGTGTCGTTGCCACAGTCACCCTCTCTTGGTGCTCCTGGGCATCCTGGAGACAAGGTGTGCGGAGATTTCATGGAATCTTGCGCACTGAATACATCATGAATGCAGCGTGTTGCCCCTGGGCCGCGTCGCGAGCCCTGAGCGCGGCGGCAGGCAGCGTCCAGCCCCGCTCACCGTTCACCGTCCCGAAAGCCGCGCGGGACGGGGCGGAAGGCGGTCGGGGCGTTCCGTCCCCGAGAGAACATCCGTGGGCGATCGGGACGTACTACTCGAAGAAGCAGAACCGCAAGACGAAGGACGCGCTTGGAAACCTGGACAGCAGCATCGAGAACCTGAGGGTGCCGGCGGCGTGGGCGGGCATGGACGGCGGGGCCAGGATGTTGCTTGCGCTCGGCGCCGTGTCCCGGCAAGCAGCCCCGACCCCTTGCCCGGCCGCGACGCGACTGCCGCCGACATTACACAGCGCCGCGCCGACCGCGGACCTCGCCCCCGGGACACGCGTCGCCGCGCAGGGAGCTCGGCGTGTCGGAAGCGCGGCTACTGGAGGGCCTGGACAAGCTGGTGGCGCTGATCCCGGAGGTCAGGAACGCCGGAGTACCCGAGGGGAGTGTTTTCCGGATGGCCGCCGACGTGGAGCACATCGCCGAGCGCCTGGTGCGCCCCCGCGACGCTGACACCCCCTTCGCATCCACCGCCGCGAGCAGCGGGGGCGGCGAAGCATTCCCCGCTTTTCAGCGACGCCCACGCCCGCCTGACCTGCAGGTGCACCTCAAAGCGATCATGCCGGGCGCCAACGCGGGGCTGGTCGCGGCGCGGTTCCCTGCCGTGCTCAAGGAGCCCCTCGCCGACGTGCAGCGCCGCGTCGACGTCGCGAGGGGCGTTCTCCTGCCGCGGGCAGGCCGTGACGCGGCGCGGTCGGACGACGCGCGGTTCTGGGAGGCGGTGGAGCGATGCCCGGGAATCCTGGACGTGGACGTGCTGCCCGGGGCGGTGCAGGAGCTCGCGCGGCTCATGCCGCACGAGCGCGACGTGCTGAAGCTGCTCTCGGGCAGCCCGCAGATGTTTGTCGCCGCGCAGGGGCTCGCGGCGCAGAGCCGGGGGGACCGCGACCCCGAGTACCTGGACTCCACGCTCCGGGGGTCGTGAGTGGAGCGGGGGGCAGCGCGCGGCGGCGTCCTGCGCGCTGCGGGGATTGTGACGCGGATGGCGTCGCCAGTCCGTCGACGGACTGGGTGCTGACCAGTGTTGCGCCCTGCGTCTCGCGCTGCTTTGCCGCGTGGCGTGGCGCGTGCCCGAGCACAGCGTTCGACAAGCAGAGCCGAGTTTGTGGTCTGACGATTAGCGCATTCGAGCAGTGGAAAGCCCGTGTCCTGCGACGCGCAGAGAGAGTGCGTGGGATGAGTAGCAACCCGCCGCGACAGGGCGGCGCAACGAATGAAGCGGTCTCGAGCCTCGAGGAGCAGATGCAGAAGGCGAAGCTCAACGGCCTGAACGTCTTCGCGACCGAGTTCGTCCCCGGCCAGCCCGCCCCGTCGCCCCCGGCCCCGCCGCAGCCTCAGGCAAACGGACACGCCAAGGTGCGCGCGGGAACGACCCCGAGAGGCTCCCTTGCGGCGAACACTGGTGTGGACTGCGCGTTCTGCGACCCGCGCCCCCGCCCGCGCCGGCAGATCCCCAGGCGCGCGGGCCGCGGGTGCTGGCTCCCATTCGATGCCAACTTGGACCAGGACCGCGAGTCCCTGCAGGATGCGCAGCAGAACGGGGAGATCAGCGACGAGGTGATGGCGCAGATGAACCGCGCAGCGCAGGCGGAGTACTACGGGGGTGAGCGGCCCTCCCCGGCGAGCGAACCGTGGCAAGGATGTCGTGCGCACTCTTCGCCGCGCCTCGGTCTGTGCAGCGCTTCCTTTCGCACCCGTCTTCGCGGACCGCCTGACGACGCTCATGCCTTCGAACCTGGCCGCGCTGCATCACGCTGGCGCGGCTGCGCAGCCGTGCAGCGGCCCAAACCAACCGCATTGCAATTTGGTGGCGCTGCACGCGGCGCAGCGGTCGCAGAGGCCGCGCTCGCTGCGCGGCTGCGTAGAATCCGCGCTGTTCGCCCAGTTCGGAAGCTCATGCGTCCACCCGGGCGCCCACCTGCGCGTGCACGCATCCGTTTGTGGCGGGCCGGCCTCCGCCGCGCCACGCCTTCGCCCGCGCATGCACCGTCCGCCGGCCCGCACCGCCCAGCTCGTCTGCATCCATGCGTGCACGCCTCGCGTCTGCGACAGGCCGCCGCCCGCGGTGCTCGTCGCTTGCGACGCACTGCAGCCTCCCTGAGCTGTCACGCAGCGCCCCCGCGCCCCTGCGCGCGTATTCCGCCAAGTCCGGGCGCCTACATGCATCCTCCCTCTATTCTCCCTCGTACCAGCCACACCGCCGCCACCATCAGCAGCGCGGCGCGACGGCAGCACCCCCAGCTCACACATGCACCCAACCCCGCCGCTCGGCGCCGCAGACTTCGAGGAGGAGGAGGACCCGTACGGCGGCGTGTACTACAGCGAGATGCCCCAGCTCCCGGAGGACCAGGCCGTGGTCTACCTGATGCAGGCCTGCCCGAACTTCAGCCGCGCGTCAGTGCTGGAGGTGCTGCGCATGTGCAGCGGCGACATGTACGCGGCGTGGGAGTTCCTCGGCGGCATGGACATGGAAGGCGGGCAGGGGCCGTAGGGTGGCGCGGCCCGCTCGGCGTTGCGTTGCGCGAGCGTTACTGCTCCGCGACGGCCCCCCACCTCGAACCCCCCCCCCCCTGTCCCCGCCGCGTGGCTGCGCCAGCCGTCGCGACCCCGCACCCTTATGTACGTTTACCCCTGGTCTGGCGGGCTCCCTGCCACGACTTCTCACATTCAAGCGGGCATGACATCCTACCTGACATCAGTGTACACCTCCGGAGTACTTGCCGTCGTTTTCAGCGCCGCGCCACGCGCGTGGCGCGGCTCGGAGGCCTCGCGGCTCCGGTGCATTCTGTCCACGCACCGCCGTTTGCAGATCCCAGATCTCAAAACAACACCCCCCCCTCCCCCGCAACCACTGCGGGGTCGGCGCGCTGGCGCTCGCGCATGCTCGCTCCTCGCGGCGGCGCCGCGGGACCGCTGCGCATTCCGTCACGCCAGTTTTGCCTGTACTGAACTCCAGCGCCCGCGCAGCCCCGCGTTGTTTTGTCTGGCGCGCCGCGCTCCTCGCTGCCTGCCCGGTCGACCCGGCCGGACCCGACGCGCTGTGACGCCCAGCTGCGGCCGCTGCTGTCTCACATCGTGTCTGTCGCGCCCGCTGCCGATCGACGCAGGCCCCGCATAGAAAGCTTGTCTCGCCCCCGCGCCATCCAATCGTGCACGTGCCAGTTGGCCGTCTAACGCCCGCGACGCGTGTGGCTGGCCGGGGCGAGGCGGCGTTGTGCAGGATAGCTCCTGCTAGGCCGCTGCGTGGTCTGTGGAGGTGAGCGCGGACGGAGCGGCCTTGGCACCGCAGCATGCCGGGGGCGAGCTCACATGGATCCCTGCTCACTCTACGTTCTTCGCTAGCGCAAGCCCATATTCGTGCAGCTCCAGCTCGAGCTCCGCCTGCACGGGGCCAGGAACGCACAGGGAACACCACCTCAGTAAAACAGCGACGACAGCACGCATGGCAAGAGGCCGTTTCCTGGCCCGGCGCGCCTGGATCGGCCCGGACATCGGCTGCGCGCGCGGCGGACGGACGCGTGCCGGCGCACGGCGGCGCCACCCGACGGGGTGTTGCCGCCCGCACCTGTTCCTCCGCGAACTTGTTCCGCAGCCGCTCCCTCCGCGACTCCAGGGCCGCCAGCGCGTCTTCCTGCTCCTGAGCCAGCTTGTCCGGGTTCTGCGAACGACGTTCGCGACAGCGGGAGACGGCGTTGAGCGCACCGACCGCCGCGCGCAGCCCCTCCTGCGCCGCTGCGGGCGCGAAACCGGGCCAACCTGCCCCTCGGCGCAGAGAGAGGCCAGACCGATCGCGCAGGCTGGGCCGCGAGCGCGCTGGGCGGATGTCAGGGCGCCTGGCGCCCCCGAAAGGCGTTGAGGACGCAGAGGCATGTGTCCTGCCCCGGCGGAGCTCCCACGGCGGCAAACGGCCGCGTCTCGGCACGCGCCGCGGTGACAGCATGCTAACCGCGCTGCCCGTGAGTCGGAGAGCTCCTGGGGCGCCCGGCGGCTGCGTCGGGGCGGCTCGCACCTGCATGTGTGGAAGCAGCTTCCCCGTGGGGGGGTTCTCGAGCAGCCTCCCGGTCTTCTCGTGCCACGTGGCCACCTTCTCCGCCGTCTGGATGCTCCGCGCGTGCGACATGGCGTCCGCGTGCGCGTTGTTTTGCTGCACGAGCCGCTCGATGTTCCGCGGCATCTTCTTCGACCGTACCTCCGCCATCCTGACACTACCACCTACCGCTCGCTGCGCACGATGACGACCTACCACAGCGGAACACCGCCTGAGAGCCGCCGGCGCAGGCGACCTAGGGGCCTTCGAGGACCACGCCTGCTGCACGCGCGACAGTTGGCTGCGAACGGAGGCAGAGACGCGCGATGAATGCTCCGGCGCGAGGTGCTCGAATGGTCAAGGAGTGTCGTTGGAGGCGCCGGAGGCGGCCCGGTGGCCCCGCGAGCGGCCCTGCGGCTCAGCGGTAGCTGCAGGGGGGAGTGGGGGGTGATCTGAGTCAGTGTTTGAAGCTGCGGCCACAGCGCGGGTCGCCTTAGTGCGGCGCGTGGGGCGCAGCGGGTGCACTTGCTCCAAGCTGGAGAGTCTCGTCGAACCTCTGTGCCATAGCTTTCGCGAGAAAGCGCGTGACTGGCAGTTCACAAGTTCAAGTAGGCCAGCTGCGACCGTCCCGGCGAACGTCGTGATTTGACCGCGGTACAGCAAGGAAATTAATCGGGTCTCGTGATTCGTGATTCTGCTGCCCCTCGACTCCTGTCCACGAAGCCGCAAACACGCCATGATCAACTCGCCGCTCGACGCGGGTCCCGCGTCGCCCGTCGCGGCCACGGGTGACGTGGAAGTGGAAGAGGCCATGAACAAAATCATGAACCTCATCTCCAACACCGACCAGGTGCGCGCGGCCCCGTCGCGCCTTCGTTACGGGACGCTCCACAATCCTCACTGTCAGATGCCATTTCCGGGCATCTGCGTCCTCCGCTCACCCTCTCTGGCCCGGACTCGCTTCTGTGTAGGACCTCGAGCAAGGCGAGAACGATGACGGGTTCCACTCGCCCGCTGCGCACCCCGACGCCAGCGATGAGCCCGCGGCAAACGACAAGACCCCGGCGGTCGCTGCTGCGGTCGCGCCCTCCGATGAGCCCCCCACGGCGACCACCAAGCCCGCCGTTCCCGTGCTCGGAGGCCGCCCGCGCCCCCTCGCGCCCGTCAGGAAGCTCGCGGTGCCGGTGGCCGCAGCTGGCACTGCGCTCACTGCGGTCACACCGACCGCGGCCCCGAGCAAGACGGACGGTGCCCCGGCGCCCAAGCCCGCCAAGCCGCTGGCTGCGAAGCCGAAGATCAAGTCGGTGCTCCCCAGCGGCGGCGCGGGCCTCGCCAACAAGGTGAACCACAAGCTGCAGTTGGGCGTGCAAGGGCCCCAGATGACCCCGTTTCCTGTTTTCATCGATGCCCGACAGCGCCTTACAGCCATGCAATCGTAGCTGCGCCCGTCGCTCGTCGCGACTACCGACGCGTGTGTCGCCGGGTCTAGATGACGCTGGCGGTTGGAAGTGAACGTGGTGGCTCCGCTCCGCTCTGCCGCGCAGCTCACGGCGCCGAAGGGCCCCACCAAGGCAAAGAGCGCGTACATGTTCTTCTCGGCGGACATTCGGGCGAAGCTGAAGGAGGAGGGCGTGTCGAACGGCGACATCATGCGCATCACTGCGGAGCGCTGGAAGGCGCTCGCCGCGTCCGACAAGGAGCCCTTCGAGAGCCAGGCCGCCAAGGATAAGACGAGGCGCGTAGCTGCGGGGCAACGACGCCAGATCGGATCGCGGCGCGCGGCATGCAGTTGACATGGCATCTTGGCTACGTTCTGTCGTCACGCGCGCATCATCGGCGCCCGTGCGGCCTGCAGGTACGCCGCTGAGGTGGCGAAGTACGAGCAGGAGCACGGGGAGAAGCCGCCGACCGGGAGGGCGACCAAGGCTGGCAAGGGCGGCACTGCGGCCAAGGAGGGCGCAGCTGGCAAGAAGAAGCCCGCGGCACCGCGCACCAAGTCCGCGTACATGCTCTTCTGCGACGCGAAGCGCGCACAGGCCAAGCAGGAGAACCCCGACGCGGACTTCGGCGCAGTGGTAAGGCTCTCTTTGGAAAGGCACTCTTTGTTGCAGTTGCCCGACAACGCCGCCCTACATGCAGCCCGCGGCCGCAGCTTCGCGATGCCAGACCCTACCTTGACCGTGTCGGCCTGCAGACGAAGATTGTCAGTCAGTGGTGGAGGGAGCTCGGCGACAGCGAGAAGGCTGCCTTCCAAGTGCAAGCCGCGGTAACGACCCTCCCCACCGCCACCCGCCGGCGCACTCCTCGCATCCACCCTCGACGCGCAGCCCTCCAACATCGAGGCCAGCTGCGCCCTGTCCTGTTGTTGCCTTGCCGCACCGCCGCCGCCAACCAATCGATGCCGCCCGATCCGCTCTGCTTCCGAGCAGGACGCCAAGCTCCAGGCTGCGGGTCCCGGCCTGCCGGCCCCGGCTGCGGACGCAGCGCCCAAGGTGGCCGCCGCGCCGAGGAAGAGGAAGGTCGAGAAGCGCAAGAAGGACGCGGTGGAGGACTACGACTCCGACGACCTCTGCGACGACACCGAGGACGAGGAGCGCCCGCCGAAGAAGCGCCCCGGTGCGAGCACTGCGCCCCTCTCCGTTGCCTCTTCGACCCCGCAGCGCTGCTACTTGACAACTGCCAACACCCCCCCTCTTCTCCCCGCGTTTAGCTTCACCGCAAGCGCATTGGGCCCCACCGTGCTCCTTCGCTCGACCGAACTACGCTGTGCAGCTCGCGCCGCGACGAAGGCTGCCCCGGGCGCCGACGCGGACGCCGGTGACGGTGAGGGCCCCGCTCCCGCCATCGACGAGGAGCGCGACGACGACGAGCCCGAGTTCCCCGAAGTCGAGGACTGGTCCGCGGAGGTCCCCGAGGGCATCCTCTTCCACGTCCCGGAGCGCCGCGACAGGAGCGGCAAGGTCGTGCGCCGCACGCAGTTCGCTGTCAAGCTGCAGGGCAAGGGCTGCCAGGCGCTCGGCATGTGGGACCCCGCGGAGCACGCCGGCACCCCGCACGCCGACGCGGTGCCCCGCAGCATGATCGAGGAGTACTACGCCCGGAGGTGCGACTCCCCCCCTTCATTTTCAAACTCCCCCCCCCTCCGCCGCGACCACGCGCGCAACGCCTGCTCAGACCAGGCTTCTACGATGTCGACGCTCCGTGCAGGGAGGCGTACGACGCCGCGATCGCCAAGTGCAACCGGGGCAACTACCTGGATTTGGAGGACGTCGGCAGCGACCCCGCGCTGGACGCGCTGGAGATGTCGTCCTTCCTGGGGCACCTGCAGGCCGCGCAGTTCCCGCTGCACGTCGCGAACAAGGCGCACGCGCGCGTCGTGGTGTCGCCGTCGTCGCTGTTCCCGGGGGACTCGGCCGCGCGCCTGCCCATCATGGGCACGTCGTTCGTGGCGCAGAGGGTGCTGGACATCGAGCGGCGCCGCAGGGAGGCGCTGGAGGCGGAGCTCGCGGCGCTGAGGAAGCAGGTGGCGTGCGTGCAGGGCGAGGTGGCCGCGGCGGCGGCTGAGAGGGGCGCGGCCGCGCAGGGCATGGAGTGCGACGGGGCGTGAGGGGCGCGGCGCGGTGGGTGCGCGGAGGTGTGCAGGGAGCTGGAGGAGAGAGCGGTAGGAGAGTCAGTCAGGAAGGGGGAAGTATATACTGGAAAGTAGGAAACGTGCTGAAAGAAGTGGAGCGATAGTGTGGTACTGTGATCCGAACGGGCGACTTGGATTCACGTGCTCGGGTCGGTCAGCCCGTTACACGATCGATACGCGGGGGGGGACCTGCCAGGTGGACATCGTCAATCTATTTTGAGCCCTGCAAAGCGCTGCGCGAGCTCCAGGTTCTCCGAGCTGCTCTGCAGCTGGCCGATGTACCTCTTCACTGCTTTGAAATGCCGCTGCAGCCCCTCGTTCGCCTGCGCCATAAACAGCGGCAACCGCACAAGCATGAACACCGACCGTTGCGTTTGTTGCTATTCAACTGTCAGCGCACCGCGTCGCTCGGATTCTCACGCGCCAGTGCGCGCACATCCTTGTGCTTTGCAGTGCGGTGTGGCTGGGCATGCGTCTTCATTACGATGACTACTGATGCGGTGTCGTACCTGGGCACCAGGGGTGCTGCATGCCTTGCGGCACTCCTCGAGCACGCCCGCGACGTCCGCGTGGGCTTCGTCCCCGCAGCCGTTCTCCTCCCACTCGACTGCAGCGTCGAGGATGTCGACCCAGAGCTGCGCGGGGGTCGCGTCGTCCGTCCGGCCAGCCAAGTCCAACTGCCGCCGCGCCGCCCGGGCCAACTGCGGTCACGATCAGACGCAGCGAAACGATGTTCGAGACGGACCGTGGAGCCGAGCGTCTTGCAGGACAGGGCGCGCATGCGCTCGCTCTTCAAAGTCGGCAGACAGGGGCGCAGTTCAAACGGGATGAAAAATCAAAAACAAACACATAGTCAGGCTCTGCATCTTCGACACACGGGACGCAGGGGGTCGTTGGGACACTCCGCGAGCGTGCTCACCTCCTTCGCCCGGTCCAGACACTCCGCTACTCCTTTGGCGTCCCTGACTCCGCCACCTGCAGACGCCCCCCCTGTGCACCAGAACATGTGCGCGCAAGCCAGCAGCGCCCGGCACCGGTCCTCCCACGGCAGTATCAGCGCCGCGTGCGCCCGCACCGCCTCCACCAGCGGCGCCCGGAGCGCGTGCGGCATCCCCGCGCAGGCCGCGAGGACCTCCGCCGTCTCCGTCACGCAGCGCAGCCGCCCGGCCGACGACCCGACCGACGTCTCGTACAGCCGCAGCGCGCGCCGCAGCGCCTCGTCGCACACCGCCCACGACGTCTCGTCCGTCGGCACCCCCAGCCGAGCACCGTCGCCGATCGCTGCCACCATGTCTACTAGCACGCGCCGCGCCTGGTGCGGCCCCGCGACGTCCGCCGCAGTCGCCGCGACCTCCATCGCGAGCCGCAGCGCCGCGGGAACGTCAAGCTCCCCGCCCGACGACCGCGTGCGCACCACCTTGAGCACCGCATGAGTCAGGGGCTCCAGCGTGTGCTTCATCCTCTGACCCCCCCCCCTCCGCAGGTGCCCGTACGCCGTCCGCAGCATCGCCAGCTGCGCACCCGACTCCGGGGCGTCCAGCAGCCCGATCAGCTGCGCGATCGTCCCCTGCTCCTCCTCGAAGCCCATGGTCCCGTCGCGCGCTGCCGCCGACACGGCCCCGTCCGTGCCCTCCGGCGCGTCGACGAGCACGGGCGCGACAAACTCGAACAGCTCTTGCAGCTCGCGGTCCGACGTGATCCGCGCTTTCTTCGCCACGATGTCCTTGCACGTGGCCAGCGCTAGCTCGTGCCGCCGGGGGTAGCTCAGGAGGGCCTGCAGGTGGCCGAAGTGCGGCAGCGAGAGCGCGCCGGCGAGGCCGAAGGTCGCGACGCCGTGCGTGAGGAGCTCGCGGACCGCGGCTTCGGCCTCCGAGGAGAGCGTCCTGCCGCGGAGCGCGTCCGAGACAGACGCAAAGATCGCGTCAGTCCGACCCGAGTCGCCCGGCTTGACGGCGGCGACGAGCTGCGCGAGCGCGAGGTTGAGCGCCGCGAGGTCGCGCGGGGCGAGTTGCGCGGGTGCGGGCGGCGTGGCCTTGGAGGGGGAGGACTCGCTGCCTTGTGCTGAGTCAGCGGGCTTGACGTGGGTGGCCTTGGAGACCGCGTCCTCGAGCGTCTCGAGCGCGCCGGCGCGCTGGAGCGCCGACAGTGCTGCGGGGCTCGTCTGCGCGTAGGTCGCCAGCCTCTGCAAGGTGCACCAACACACAAACATTGTTGATAGCGATTCGTCGTCCGCAATGAGTTCGGACCGATTGAGCCACACCGGCGGACCAGGGTCATGCGCAACAGGGCCCTCAAGTCGTGAAATCAGGCCCGGAGAGCTAGAATCCCGGCAGTGAGGCGCCGCCCAACACCACAGCAGTGCACGGCGCCGCTGCTGGGTCCCGAGCCACAGGCGCGCAGCAGAATGCCGTCGCGAGCGTGCAGCCGAACGCAGTGGCGCGGGCCCGCGCGTCGCACCTTGAGCAGCGACCCCGTGGTTCTGTGCAGCGCCACCCCCGGCTGCAGCTTCCCCATGGCGTCCAGCAGCTGCCCGAGCGTCTGCAGGTGGTGCTCGTCCGGGAACGCCTGCACGATGCCCTCCATGAGGTACGCCTGCGCGAGCGCGTCCTGGCACGCCACGACCTGGTGCAGGAGCCGCGGCAGCACGTCGTCGCAGTAGCGCTGCAGTCCCATGGACTCGACCTGGGCGAGCATGCCGAGGTTGCGGCCGACGAGGTCCTGGAGGTGCAGGCGGTCGCGCGCGCACGCCTCGGCCGCGCCGGGCGTGGTGCTCGCGTACTGGTGCTGCATGCGCACCCACAGCTTGTTCATCTCGACGAAGGAACCGAGGATGAGCTCGATCGCGTCGGTCGTCTCCTCGTCCGAGGCGCCGGCCTGCGCGCCCGGCAGGCGGCCCTTGACCATCTGCGAGCGCGGGCGCGGGGGGGTGTGTTGCTTCGTGCGTCGTGCGTCCGAGGCGCGGGAACGACGCCACGTGCCGCCTCGTTGCACCTCCGGCGCTAAGCTGATACGCGAACACGGCGGTGGCGCCACAGAGCCAAGCACGGAGCGCGCCGGGCGGCGGGCAGCCACGTCGCCGTTGCGTCAGCGGGAATGCGTTCGAAGCATCGCGGGCGCGCTCGGTCGACGAATGCCAGCGCCGCTGGCGCACCAGCGTCGCGGGGACGTACCTGGCAGAGGTAGTTGCGGAGGAATAGGCCCCTCATGGGGTGTTGAACGCCCTTGCACATCTCGATCAGATCCTGGGCGACGTCGCGCGCGCGGACCTCCCCGGACGTGATGTACACGGCGCCGACGGTGCACATGAGGTAGAGCCGCGGGAGGACGTTGCCGGCGTACTGGACCATCTCGAAGAGGGAGGCGTGGCTGTGGCCGCGGCCCACGCAGTCGCGGAAGAAGCGCTCGAGCTCGCGCAGCTCGTCGAAGACGCTCATGTAGAGCTCGAAGTACCGCTGTGGTCCGAGCGCCTGCGGAACGCGCGGCGGGGCGTGCAGGGCCGGCTTCAGTTGCTCGGGTGGGAGTTCCTGGCCCCTTGTGGCGCGGGGACGGACGACGAGGCGCGCGAGGTGGGCTGGAATGATCGCTGAGAGTAGACATGGTCGTGTGAGCCGCAGAGGAGGGGGAGATCGCGCCGCGTTGCGCGGGCCGGGGCGGTTGAGGGGCTTTCAGAGTGCGTTGGGGGAATACCTGAGTCCTGAGCTCCCCGAGCATCGCTGCTGCGTATCTCAGCGCCTCTCTGATGTTGTTCTCGTCCTGCAAGGGCGTTTTACGCCGGGTAGCAAAGCTTGGAGGCGGCGAAATGGACCACCATCAGGTGACGGATGGCACTGACGCGTCCATTCGCGATCACCCGAGGCCCGAGGGCCCGGCGCACACGTCACGAACAAAGAACGCGCCATAAACGCACAAAATCCTGCAATTCCTCCAGCGGATTCGCTCCCAGCGGTCCGTGGGGCGCAAATCGTCTCTCACGCACCATCGCCTTCCGCATGAAGAACGCATGGCGCCGGACGTTCGCGGTCGCGTCCGATAGGTACGCCTGCTCCTCCGGGGTCCCGTTTTCCGCCAGCGTCGCCGCCATTCCGCCTCGCCCTCTTCCCACGCTCCGAATCACAGCCTAGCCTGACGCAAGCCTCCACGTGCGTCCACGCACTGCAGCCGCCGTTCCCGCGACGCGCCTCCGCTCTCCACACGCCGCGCGCCCCGCCACAGCCCGCACGGCCCCCGATCGCGCCCCCTCGACCCCACCGCACAGTTTGCCCCACGACAACCACCCCCCTGTTATACTGCGCGCCCCTGAGTCAAGTCCGCCCTCGGCGGGCCCGGCAGCCCCCGCAGCGTGCGGCAGCCACACACCCCGCGCGCGCCCTCCGCCCAGGCCCTCGCGTGGCTCACACGGGAAGAAACGAACACCACGAACACAGCAGGCAGTCAGACAGCGCCTGACGTCAGGCCCGGGACCTATTTGACCAGATCCTTCATGAAGGAGCTCGAGAACGGGTTCATCCGCGCCCGCGCCTCCTGCGCGCGCGCCCGCACCGCCCCGAGGCGCTCGTTGTTCTCCGCGACGCTGCGGCTGAAACGGTCCCGGGCCGCAGCGAGGAGCTTGCGCTGCTGGCTGGCGTCCACGAGCTTGGCCTCCGCGTCCTGCACGCGCTTCTCGGCCTCCGCGATCTCCCGCTGCATCTGCGCCACGCGCTTGTGCGCCTCCTCCTGCAGCGATGACGCGCAGCGCAGCGCAGCAACGGTCAGGACAGCCCGGCCGAGACGCCGCTGGGAATCGGGAGCGAAGCAGGGCAGCAGGCGGAACCGGAACTGCAGTCGGGGCGTGCAGGAACGGTTGGCGGCGGAGCTGCCTGCCGTTGGACAACAGGGGTGCGTGGCGACACAAACGCGGTCGAGGATGGTCCGCGTCGGGCGCAGCTGGGCCGTGCGGGTGTGGCACGAGGCTGCGGAAGCCTAGCTGCGGGCGGGCGGGCGGGCGGTCGCACCAGTGCGGACGCTGCAGTGCTGGCGGCAGTTTGGTTCGACTCGACCTCCCGCAGGAGCGCGTCGATCTCCTTTTCCCGCACGCCGAGCTCCGCGGTGACCTCGGTGATCCGCGCCGTCTCCTCTCGCACCGCGGACTCGAGTTTGTACGTCTCTGTCTCCGCACGGTACACGTCACCCAGTTCCTGCAGCGAGCAGACGCAGGAGCGGCTGGGTGAGGTGCGCCGCGGCCGACGTGGGTGGTGGAGAGGGCGTTGGCGCGGGGCGGGGGGAAGGCGTGGCGACGAGGTGAGGTGCGCGGCGGTGAGCGTGTGTCGGTGGTTGAGGTGGGCGGGCTGACTCGTCGAGCTACGAGGGGAGCGCGTGCGGGCGGGAGGGGCTTCTGTGCGTGGTGAAGTGCTGCGGGTGGCGAGGAGAGGCGGCGAACGGCACCGAGGGACGAAAGGCGGGACCTCAACCGCCACAGCAGCGCTCCGCAGCGGTGGCGGAGGCTGCAGCGCGGCCCTGCGCTGCTTTCGGGCCGCGCTAACGAGGCAGGTGTATCAGCGTCTGAGCGATTCCGCGGCGGAGCGGAGCAGCGTGCCCGGGATACGGCCTGGCGAGGGCGTGCAGGCTGGGCAGGGAAGCGGGCTCACCCGGTGGAACCTCGCCGCGACGACCGCCGCCGCGATGCTGCCGCCGATGCCGACGATCTTCAGCGCGCCCATGCTGCCTGCTCCGCTCGCGCGCTCGGCGTTCCAACGGGCGCAACGCGCGCTGACTTCCTGCAACGACGCACCGCCTGCCCGCACGCCCCGTCACGCGAATAATTCAACCACCACGGTTCCCGGGATCGCCTGCGCGTGCTCCCGCAACCCCCGCTGACGCCCGGAAGACGCCGGCAGCTGACGGAGCTCGCGTTCGGTCCCCCCGGGTCGTGGTGTCTTCGCCGCTCGTCAGACTTCAGGCTACGGCCTGGCTCGATGCCCAGAGCCACGGCCGGGGCGAGCGCAGAGAGGCCGTACGTGCTCCTTCGTGTTCCAGCGATTCGAGGACACCATCGGCCTGCGTCAGGGCTCGTGCGGAGCGAGAAGGGATCAGGCCGGGGTGGAGCAGGGCGAGCGGGTGCGGCACGGGGCGTTGCGGGATGGCCGTGCGGCGGGGGGCTGTTTGGCTGGGGTCGCAGCTTGCGGGAGGGCTGGCAGCGGGGTGCACCCCTGCGTCGGGGGGGGCAGCGTTGCGGGCAGCGAGCACCAAGGCTGATGGCGCTCTGCGCGCGGCGTGCGTGCTCACACGGCTACCGGTCGTGACGCCCGAGCCTTCTGAATTCGAGACGGATTACATGGAGTGGCGGTGAGTCGTCTGCGTCCGCGCTCCGCGCGCCCCTGCTCTTCCTGCTTTCAGCCCACCACGTCCACGCGGTTTGGCGCAGTGCGCGGGCGCGGCCCGCTGGAACGATTGCGGCTCCCCGCATATCCCGCCCAGCGCACATCAGGCGTTCTGCTGGCACCGTCGATCGGCGCGGGCCTGACGCACGCGGCCGTGGTGCACCTCTCGTGTTGCGCGCAGGCAAACACATGCCGAGAGGACGAACCGGAAGTTGCCGACGGAGCTGGAGAACCCACGATACATCCTCGACGAGCAGGAGCAGCAGCGTATCGCCGACTGGCAGCCGCAGCCGCGCAGCACCAGCGCCGGCGAGGGCGGCAGAACTCCGCCGCTGTCGTCGCCCTACCGGCGACTCGACAAGCACCTGTACCTCCTCACGCGCCCCAAGGGCGGCGAGTGGAGCTTCCCGTCCGCGGCGTACGTCCCCGACGAGGACCCGAGCACGCGCGCGGTTGCGGAGCGCGCGCTCAGGGGAGCCGTGCGCGTCGCCGACGACGGCGGCCAGCGCGCGGGGCTGCGCGTGTTCTTCGTCGGGAACGCGCCGATCGCGCACTGGGAGGGGGGGGAGTCCGGTGCGGGGCCGGTGTTCTTCCACAAGGCGCAGGTTGTGGCGGGAGCCGTGCGGGGGTGCGACGGGGGCACCGAGCTGGCGTGGGTCGGGCGCGACGAGGTGCGCGAGATGCTCGGGGGCGCGGGGCTCGGGGACGTCATCGAGCGCGCGCTCGTGGACTGAGTACGTCTGTGACCCGCCTGCGTCTGACGGGGAGGCTCACGGCGCAGGACGCGAGAGAAAGTGCGGGGCCGGACGTGTCCCGCGCGCGCCGCAGTCGTCGTTCGCGCGACGCGACGGTCTGCGCCGGTGCTGCCGCGTCTAGCAGGTTCGGCCGGCTGCAACGCCCATCCAGTTAGGGCGCGCACGAGGGCAGGTTAGGTCGACGGACTCTGGGATCGCGCGAGGCTCTCACAAGCGTGCCGTTTCGTCACGATCTTGCTGCGATGATTCTAATTCATTTCTTGTCTTGGGATTCATGCTTGCTACTAGTACCGGTGGTGCGACTCAACAGTCGCGCGTCCGCAGCATCCTGGTGCGCGATCGCGGCTGCGCGGCTCCAAGCGAGCACGTCGCCGCGAGGGGCCGCCGCCGCTGCGCCCCGGAACCACACGTCCTCCGACGACGCGTGCTGCGCGTCCCGCAACAGCCGCCGTCGATTCGCGGCACCGTCCGTTGCGAAACGGCCCGGCACCGCACGTCCGGGACGACGTGTGCGCGCGTGGCGGCGGCGCCGCGGAGAGCGTGCGGGAGGCCGCCCCGGGGCGGTCTAGGTCGCAGTGCTACAACGGGGGGGGGCACCAGCCACACTTGTGGTCGTGGAATGAGGGGGCACGAGGGCGGGCTGCTCGCTGGTGCGTAGTTTCGGGCCCGGTTTAGAGTGGTGTGGAAGCAGAGGTGGGGCTGAGGGGTGGTTGCGTGGGGCAGGGGCGGTTCGAGGAGACAGCGGGTACTCGAGAGCAAGGGAAGGGGAAGAGGAAGGGAACTAGGGTTTCCCGGCGCGGCAGTTGCGCCCTTCTCCATCAACCTAGCAGAGCCGAGAACTGCTGGTAGGTGAGCCCGGCCCCGTCGGCCTTGGGCAGCGCGTCGTCCAGGTTGATCCTCAGCTCGAAGAGCTCCACGACGCTCTTGATGTTGTCGAGCGGTACGCACCCGCTCAGGTCAGGGGCGCCCCCCATCGCGCACCAGGCCAGGGGCAGCTCCGGGTTCGGCTCATGGATCTGGGACACAGGTTGGGGGAGCGCGTCCGACCTTGTGTGAGACAAAGAGCGCCTTGGCGCATCGGGAGCGGCGGAACAGGCCGCTGGGAGGACGGGGGCGCGCGATCAGTCAGGGGCCTGGCAGGAGCCAGCATGTCCTCACCTGGGTGCCCTTGATCGCTTCCATGGCGTCGATGACGTCGTGGAGATCGAAGTGGTCCGCGAAAACGGCGTTGCGCTCCTGCGAGGGCGTCGGGGCGCGGAGCCGGCTGGTTGGTTGAGAGACGTGTGGGTCACCTCCGGCCCGCGTCATCAGCGCACGAACGACCCGCCAGGCAATCTCCAGACGCGAGGAGCCACGGAAACAACGCGGGAACGAGGCGCTGCCGAGCAGGCGGCCCCGGGGGCCGCCGCTCGCCCCACGATGGCCTCTCAGCCCACATGACGGCGCGGGCTCGGCCTGCCGGTTTCGCGCCCTCGTCAATCGCTCAAACGGACACCTCCGATACGCTGGAGGCCCCTTCGGGGCTTTCGGAGCAAATGTCCCCCGGGAACGCGCGCACCGCGCAGGCGGTGCCCCCGGGCAATCGTGGCCACCCACGCGCAGGCCCGCGCCCGCTCGGGCCCGCCCTCGGCTCACCCGCATGACGGCCTCGAACGCCGTCTCATCCGGTATGCTCCAGCCCGCGCCCTCGAATGCCTCCTTGACGGTTGCAGGCACCAGCTTCAGCCCCTGCTTCTTCCGCCGACACATCGTGTCGTACGCGATGCGCGCCACCGTGAGCTCCCAGCTGCTCAGCTCGCAGGGGTGCAGGTGCTCCGCTGCTTCGAGGACGGCCGAGGAGTTGGCGGAGTCGGCCCGGTTGACGATGGTGGCATTGCCAGTAGAGGATGCGAACATCGCGGCGCCGGCGTTTCCCGCCATGCCGTTGGCGCGAAGTCGATGGGGACCAGCCAGGGGTGGCCGGCGGGGCCGCCTAGCGGCGGGGAAAGAAGCCCCGGGGGCTGGGCGTCGGGTGGTGTACTGACCGATGCTATGGCGCACTGGCCGGCCCCCGGCTGACGTGGGCGGTTGGGTTCGGCGCGGCGCCGAGGGGCTCTCGAGGGCCGGGGCTCGCCCTCTTTCCGGGGGTCGTAGGCGTGTCAACAGGTGAGGAGCCAGCGCGACAGGAGCGCGTAAGCAGAGCAGAGGTCGCTGAACGCGCTGCAGCGGCGCCCCTGATGCTGAACTGTCGGCCGTTTCTCGGAGGTTCGGCAGCTGTCGATCCGACCTGATTGAAACCTGAAGCGCAGCGCCGCAGCGCGAACCAGGGCGGCGAAAGGCCGCCCTGCGAGCGGCCTGCCCGCCGACGCCGGCGTTTGCCGGAGTGCCGCGCTGCACGTCCTGCCGTTTCCTTGTATATCACACCGGTTTCGCGCGCACGAGCGCTCCAGTTCCTCGCGCACTGGCCGTAAGTCCAGGGGGCAGGGGGCAGGGGGCCGCAATGGCGTAACCTGCGGAACCTGCGGAACCTGGCCGGCCCACCGTTTCTTCCTTGCGTTGTGCTCGGCGCAACCGCGTGCTTGCAGTCAAGATGTCGGCCGTTGCGAAGAAGGGAGGCAAGAAGGCCAAGGCCACGGTCTTCCAGATCGACTGCTCCACGCCCGTGGAGGACGGCGTTCTGAAGATCTCGGCCCTGCAGGACTTCCTCAAGTCCAAGATCAAGGTGGACGGCAAGGCTGGTGCGAAGCCCCCCCCGGCGCCCCGCTCTCGGCCAATCAAGCCCTCTATCGCGCAGCCGCCACCCTCCCGCCGCGCCCCCGCGCCCTCACACGGCAGCCCGGCTGCCGGATCCGCACCCACGCACCTCCTCCTCGCCGCGAGCCTCACGCCGCGCACGCGAGCGCCCCCTGCTTCGCCCCCGCAGGCATGCTTGGGTCGAACATTGCGGTCACGACCAGCAAGGCCAAGGTCGTCATCACCTCGGACATCCCGCTGTCGAAGAAGTACCTCAAGTACCTCACGAAGAAGTTCCTCAAGAAGTTCGGCGCCAGGTGCGACCCGCGCCACGCCGCGCCCACGCACGCGCCCGTGCCCCCTCGCCGCTGCCCGCGGGCGCGCACCGCCGCCCCCGCCCGCCCACCGCGCCCCGCCGCCCGCGCACGCTCGCAGGGACTGGGTGCGCGTGATCGCGTCGGGCAACGACTCGTACGAGCTCCGCTACTACAACATCCAGAACCAGGAGGAGGAGGGCGACGAGGGCGACGACTAAATGCGCCCGCGCCCGCTGTAAATTACCCCCCACGTGCCGCCCGGGCGCGCTGCCGACGTGTCACACCGCCCCGCGCTGCGTGGCCCGAGGTCCCCAGGACGTGGCGCGCGCTCGTCCGCCTACTCGTCCGCCATGGCCCGGGATCGCGCCGCGGCGGTCCGCACGGCCTCGATGAACGCGGACCGCACGCCGTTGCGCTCGAGGCTCGCCACCGCCTCGATCGTCGTGCCCGCTGGCGACGTCACCGCGTCCTTCAGGACCCCGGGGTGTCCCACGGACCCCCCCGGGCCCCCCTCGAGCATCATCTTGCCCGCGCCCAGCATCGTCTGCGCCGCCATGCGCTGCGCGAGGTCCCGGGGGAGTCCCGCCTGGACCCCCCCGTCGGCCAGCGCGTCAAGCACCACGAAAAGGTACGCCGGGCACGACCCGGCGACGCCGATGACGCCGTGAATCATGCGCTCCTCGACCTCCGCCGCGAAGCCCACGGACTCGAGCAGGCGCCTGCGCGGCCGGAGCAGCCGGGCTCGGTGAGTTGCGAGCGGTTTTGGCTTGGAGCGTGTCGGGAGCGCAGGCGAGCGCGTGCGCGAGCAGCGGCTTTGCGGGGCGCGCGCGCGCGTACTTCATGAGCTCGCCGTCCTCCTTGGTCGCGTTCGTCCCCAGCGTGTAGGAACACACCCCCTCCCTGACTAGGCAGGGGGTGTTTGGCATGACCCGCACGAACCGCGTGCCCTCGGGCAGCGCGTCCTCGTAGTCCGCAATCTCGATCCCTGCACCGCACGCCCGCCGCCCGCGCCGATCACGCCCAACACGCAAACCCCCCCTCGAAAACACCCCCAACGAACGGGGGGTGTCCCGGGTCGCCGCGCCCGCTGCGCTCTACCGCAGGGGCGCCCCGGGTGCACCTGCGCGCGGTGCAGTGCGCACCTGCGGCGACCGTCACGACCAGGTGGCGGTCGGTGTCGATGTGCGGCGCCAGGGCCTCCAAGACCGGGGCCATATAAAACGGCTTCACGGCCAGAAAGATGACGTCGCACTGCTCCGCAATCGCCTGCGCGCCGCCCTCCTGCGCCGCCGGCACCGTCGCGATGCCCTCGGCCTGCGAACCGCCAGTTAAGAAACCTCAACTCGCTTTCGCTTGTTGCGCCTCGACTGCGCGGGGAGGCTCGCACGCGCACGCGGCCAGCAGCGCGGGGCAGCTCATGCGGGCCCGACCTCCAGGTTCTGCCGCGATTCCTCGCTGCGCACGCTCGCCACCACGTTGTCCTTTGTCAGAGTTCCTGAGGCGTGGAATCCACCGATCATGGCCCCGGCCATCTTCCCCGCGCCGATGAACCCGACCTTCTTGTCAATGGAATCCCCCCCGGAGCATACCACCACCGCCCCACGCGCCGCCCGCCCCCTGCGCGGCGCGAGACCATGTTGTATGTGTCTCCGCGCGCGTGCTCCACACTTGGGTCCGCCAGAGCCGCAACAGCGTACACATGCTCATGAACCGAGCATATCTGTGCGAGGGCGGGCATTTTCGTCTCGAATCAACGCGTGGAGGTGTCGAGCGGGCGCTGCGAGCCACCTGCGCTGCACAGCGGGAGGACATCGCTGCCTACCTGCGCCGGGACGCTCCCGACATCGCCGAGTGCATGCAACGCGTAGACACACGTCGCGAGGCCGCGTTCGCAGACGCCGCGCAGGGCCTAGAGCCCGCAGTGGACCTGCAGCGCGCACTGCGCGAAGCCACACCGGATGCGGCGCGCGGCGTCGCCGCGCTGCGCGTGCTATGAGACTGCATGGCTTCCGGGCAAGTGTTCTCAAGCAGAGAATCTGTCTGCGTCGCGTCGCAGCGCGGAGACCTTGTACATACTCCGTGACCGACGACGGGGGGTGAGCTGAGTGCAGGGCGGTGACGCGTCCCTCGGGACATGATAGCGCTGCGCGATGCGCGCTCACTGCAGAAGCCTCGGCGATACGACGATGCAAGCCCAAGTCACAGCCGGCCGAGGCCCGCCACTGCGCGCCGCGTGTGCCGGTGCAGTGCGTCAGGGCCCATCGAATTGTAGGGGCGCCCTGACGGCCGGCGCGCCGCCGCGAGGGGCACCGAGTTGGCGGTTCGTGGGGGGCGTGCGGGCCAGCGAAGGGCGGAGGTGCGCAGCGGCGGAGGGATGGCGGGAGGTGTGTGCGGGCCCGGCGAACACGGCGAATCGGGCGCCGATCGGGTTGGTGCGGAGGTGAGACGCGATGCTGGCCTCTGTCTTGGCAGCGAGGCTATCTTGGGGATGCGCCTGAGTGCCTTGTGGGCCACTACAAGCGCAACTTGACCATTGTGCAAAAGCTACCATATCGTCCGGTCCCCCGGAGCTGGATACGAACGCGGCGCCGGAGAACCAGCGTGGAATGAAGAACACGCCTTCTTGCTTCCGGTCAGCTCGCGCGGGCTGCCGTGCTCGCACAAATTGCCCCGCTCTCCCGTGGCTGTGCCGCGAGACGCCTCGCGCGCCCAGCGCCCCGCCGTCGTCCCGTGCTACACCAGCGACCGCGTGCGGGACCCTCGGCATCGAAGTTGCCGTTTGCAGGACCAACGATCCATCTCGCGCGCGCGTGAGCGTGCATCCACACCCCCATCGTTTCGCTGCCAACTGGACTCGCTCCCTCGACCCCCCCCTGCGCGACCGCAGGCATCCCCTCCCCGCGATGCGTCCATGTGGATCTAGAGCGCAACTTCGCGGCGCCACAGCGCCGCATGCGGCCGCTGGGGCCGCCGGCGACGCCGCCCCTGTCAACGGGGCGCGCAAAACGCGCCCGTCCAACGCCGCACAGGTCTTCGGCCGGCGCCAGATCCTCGCGGCCGTCATGCCGCAGGCCCCGCGCATCGCCCTCGGCCTCCTGTGCGCGGCGGTCTGCGTGGCCTGCAACCTCTCCGCGCCGGTCCTTACTGGCATCCTCTTCGAGTCGCTGAGTCAGGGCGGCGGGCCCGAGGGCTACCGCCGGGCGCTCGCCATGCTCGTGGGCGTGTACACCGTCGAGCCGATCCTCACGCAGGTCTACATCCGCACCATGGTCGCGGCCGGCGAGAACGCCATCGCCACGCTGCGCCGCAAACTCTTCCGCGCGGTCCTGCACCAGGAGGTGGCGTTCTTCGACCTCGGGTCGTCCTCGGAGCTCACGGGCCTCCTCTCGACGCAGCTCGGGACCGTGCGCGACGTGATCGTCGGAAACGTGTCGCGCGACCGCGGCATTCGCGCGCTCCTGGAGACGATCGGGTCCTGCGCGGTGCTCGTGTGGCTGTCCGCGAAGCTCGCGCCCGTGCAGAGCGCCGCGGTGCTGTCGCTCTCCGTCTTCGCCGCGCTCTACTCCCGCTGGACGAAGGCTCTCTTTGCCAAGGACGCCCTGGCAGTGCGCCGCATGAACGACGTCGCGGGGGAGGCGTTCGACAACATCAAGTGCGTCGCTGCAGCCGCTCTCCGCGCCCGCGTGTCGCCCGTGGCCCGCCCCCCGCACCGTTGTCCCGAACGCGACATTGCGGTGCGCCGATGACGCTTCCCCCCCGCCGCTCGCGCGCAGGACGGTCCGGTCGTTCGCGGGGGAGTCCCAGGAGGAGAAGCGCTTCGGGGACCTCGTGGACTCCTCCCTTGAGTCAGGCCTCGGCATCGGGCGCGCCAAGTCCTTCCTGGAGGCTCTCAACCGCACCGCGATTCACGCGTCCCTCATCCTGCTCTTCGGCTACGGCGGCTTCCTCGTCGCGGACGGCCAGATCTCCCTCCGCGTCCTCCTGTCCGGGATCGGCTTCACGTTTTCACTGGTGTTTGCCACGCAAGGCTTGGTGAACACGCTCGCCGACGCGCGGCGCGCGGTGTCCGCGATCGCGTCGATCCACAAGACGCTCGAGAACGCCGACCCGGAGGCGGCGCGGCAGGGCGAGGACTACGCGCCCGACTTCGACGCGGGCGTGCCTGCGATTGTCGCCAAGCCCAGCGGCGGGGTCGAGGCGGTGCCGTCGGCGACGGCGCGGGAGGAGGACCGCACGTCGGCGCGCGAGCTCGCGACGAGCAGCGACCTCGTGCTGTCCGGGGTGTCGTTCGCGTACCCGGCGCGACCGTCGGTGCGGGTGCTGAAGCACATCGATCTGCGGCTGAGGGCCGGGACGGTGACGGCGCTGGTCGGGCGGAGCGGGAGCGGGAAGAGCACGGTGGCGTCGATGATTGCGCGGTTCTACGAGCCCACGTCGGGCGAGGTGACCCTGGGGGGGGTGTCTGCCGGACAGTTCCCCCGGGAGGACTGGGCGAACGCCGTGTCGCTCGTGTCACAGGAGCCCGTGCTCTTTTCCGGCACCGTGCGCGAGAACATCGCGTACGGCGGCGGCAGAGACGGCCAGGGCGGCGCCGCGGCGTCGGACGAGGACGTCGAGGCTGCGGCGTGGGCCGCCAACGCCGCGGAGTTCATCTCTGAGCTGCCCGACGGGTTCGACACGCAGGTCGGGCCGCGGGGCGCGCAGCTGAGCGGCGGACAGCGGCAGCGGATAGCGATTGCGCGAGCGCTGGTGAAGGATGCCCCGATCCTGGTGCTGGACGAGGCGACGTCGGCACTTGACTCAGTTTCGGAGCGGCTGGTGCAGGAGGCGTTGGAGCGGCTGATGGCGGGACGGACGGTGGTGGTGATTGCGCACCGGCTGTCGACGGTGCAGCGGGCGGACTCGATCGCGGTGATGAGCGGCGGGCGGGTGATTGAGCAGGGGACGCACGCGGAGCTGATTGCGCAGCGCGGGGCGTACGCGGACCTGGTGGACACGCAGCGGCTGGCGTTCAACGACTAGCGGCGCAGCGCGAGTCCGTTGCTGCCGGGTGCCACGTGAGAACATGACTGCTGCAGGCCTCGGTGCGAGGCAGCGCGCCAGTGGACGCGATGCTGAAGTTGTCGTGTCACACTGCGTCCGTGTGTCCGCCGCGATCTTCCGCCTCCGCCGACAGATGATGGCGCGAAGCAACAAGCGAGCTCACGTCCTCTCGAGATGATACATGTGCTATAGCAGCACGTTCGTTACGCTCGCTGTCTGCGCGGCCGTCGGCGTTGGCGCGCCGCTCTCGCCCTTGGACACCTCCGACTCGTTGCCGGAGAACGTGGGATGCCGCGACAGCCCGCACGTCACCCACTCGGAAGCATGCAGGCTCGCAGTGTTGCACGCATACGTGCACCCGCCCCGCTCCTCGACGCACGCCGGCACGAATCTCGCACGCCCCGGAACCGTCGGCATCGCCCGTACCCGGTGCACCGCCGCGCATCCCGCCCCCAGAGTCAGCACCGCACCCGACACCCCCCCCCCAAACAACCACCCACCGTCGCCCCCGTCCGTCCCAGCAGCGCCCAGCTCGCCGCCGTCGAGATCGACGTGAACGCCCACGGCTACGCGTCGCCTGTGCGGCGAATGGTTCCAAACCAGCACAAATACGTCGCATGTTTCCATCTGCCCCATTTCACTTCGCTCGCACACTGCCCAGGCCTCGACGTCTCGTGCCCCGAGGCCCACCCCCTGCGCACACGCTGCTCGGTCGCCGTCCGCGCCGCCCTCGTCCTCCCGCGCCTGCCGTGCGAACATCGGCACGCTGCCCACCACCGGCTGGCTGTTGCTGCTGTCCTGCGTCAGCTCCCAGTCCACCGACACCTCGGGGAGAAGATCGACTAAGCTCGCAAACGTCGCGAGGACCCCGTCCGGAACCTCCAGCTCCGCACACCCATAACCCCCCCCGTTTGACAGTCGCACTTTGGGGGGGACAATTCCTCCCTTTGCAAACCGCGCACGCACCGACACGGAGATCTCGGCGTCGACGCAGGCCCGCAGCGGAACCACGAGCACCGTCGCAGCCGCGGGCGCCGCCGCCCACGCCTGCATGCTCGCTGACGTGGCACAGCCCCCCTCGAACGTCACCGCTGGCCGACGCTGCAGGAAAGGTGCCGCGGCGGCCGTGATCGCAGGCGCAAGTTCCCCGCAGAGGACGTGGCGCTCGCGGTGCGCGAATGGCGACCCGCCGCCGGACGATGCCTCCACGTCCACCTTGACCGTCAGCGCCACCTTGGCTGGACGCGCAGCTGGCGTCACGTCGCTGCCATTCTGCAGCAGAGCGCCGTTCCCCGCCGCTTCGAGCCGGAGCGTGCAGAGTGCGGACGATCCGGGATCGAGCGGCGTCTCCGGCGCAGAGCACGACGCGCGCGCCTGCGATCCCGCGGCAACACTGCACTGCATGACGACGTCTGCGGCCTTTGCGTCCGTCGCGTGGTTGAGCACGCACAACGCGACCTCTGCGCGCTGCCCTACCAAGAGCCTGGTCGACCCGAGCTCGACCGGCCTGGCCACGGTGCTCCGTTCGCTGCCCGTCGCTCGCCGGCTCGCTGGCGCCTGCTGCAGCTGTGGCGAGGCCGCCAGCGCGTTGGCGCTCTTGTCCCAGGCAACCGTGGCGCGGCACGTGGGCACGGGCGGCTGCACGCGCACTGTCGGCGCGGTCGCGCCGGCAGGCCAGGTCAGACGGACCGGCAACACACCCCCCACCATGAGGCCCTGACAGCCGCACATCCGGAACCCCGCGTCAGTTTCCGGTACGCCGGAGAGCTCGACGTCGACGAACCCCCCCGCGGGAATCGTGATCGACACCGGGTCCCAGGTCACGGTGGGGCCTGCGCAGAAACACCTCGCCGCGGGGCCACCAGCGGCGTCGCTGTGGGGGCACTCCAGGGGCTCTGTTTGCGGCGTGATGTCTTCGAAGTCAAGTGGCTCGCTCGCGTGGCTCTGGATGCGGACGACGATGCGTCCGGGGCGGCCCTGGACCCACGAGACTTCCGGGTCGGAGCCCCCCTCGTCCCTGGAAGTCCCCCCGTCTTCGCGGGCATCGAAGGGGGAGTAAAGGAAGCACGTCTCCTCGGCAACGGACCTCGACGCCGCGCGGCGTCGCCGCACGAGCCCGACGCCCTCTCCCGCCCCGCCCCCCGACGGCGTCTGAAACACCCCCACTTCTACCAAGGATGCTGACAGCAGTCCCATCCTCGCGTCAGCGATGCACGCCCCGACCTCCCCGAGTCGCTCGTTCTCCACAGAGGCCACCGCCGCCGCGAGCCGCTGCGTCCCCGCACCCACCCCGACGCCCTCCCCGTCGTCACCAGGCGCCTCGTGCACGCCTGCGTTTCGCAGCAACAGCGCGGCGGCACACGCCGTCGCGCACGTGTCGTCGTCCAGCGGCAGCTCGCAGAGATCCCGCAGGATCGCCGCGCGCAGCGCCGCGCACGCTGGGTCCACCATCGCGCTCAGCGCCCCGGAACCCCCCCCATCACCCCCATCTCATCGACGTGGCCGTGGACCCGCCGCGAAATCGAACGGCACGCCTCCGGATTCGTGCCCGGCAGCGCCACGAGCCGCATCCACGGCGACGCCACGGGCGTACCCATGGCGAGGTGCCGCCGCAGCGCCAGGTGCAAGGGACCGCCCGCCGGCGCCACCCCAGCGGCCATGCTCACCGCGAGCCGGGCCTTCCGCACGAGCCCGCACCGCGCGAGCGCGCCCGCGCATTCCATGAGCAGGATCGCGCGGTCCAGGGGGGTCAGGAAGGTCGTCTCGGCGGCCACCTCCTCCATGCCTAGCGTCAGGTCCTTGCCCACCATTTCCGAGTGTCCCCCGGGGGGTGTCTCGGCGGCGGCGACGAAGTTCGCGAGCATCACGTCGAGCTCCGTCGAGCGCCACCACGCGCCCTTGCGCCGGAAGTTCACCTTGGCCTGCGGGAGCAGCACCATCAGGTCGGTCCTGACTCCGCGGAACACCTCCGGGGGGAGTGCCAGCGGCCAGCGCGCCGCGCCGGGCGCGCCGGCGCCGCGCGAGATCGCGTCGTGCACGACGGGTTCGAGCGCGACCGCGACCTTCGCGGCAGCGGTGCCCTCGAGCACCCCGGCCACCCACGCGCCGTCCCCAGTCGAGCGCGCAAGATCAATGGCACTCGAGTAATGCTCGAGTGCGTTCCTCGGCGCCCCCGCGAGCAGGCAGCAGTCGCCGATGTGCTTCCGCATGCGGCCGAGCCTCCTGCGCGTCTCGAAGTCCCCCTCGGCCCGCGACCGCGCGCTGGGGGTGTCGTCCTGAGTCAGTCTGTGGTCGAGCGAACACGGCAGCGGAAACATCGCGGGCGAGAGCGTGAGGACCCAGGCCTCGAGCTCCATCACGACGCGCGCCGTGAGGTCCCACATCATCGTCGCCAGGTGGTGCTGCAGCCCACCGTCGCGCCGCACCTGCAGCGGCGGGAACCGAAAACATCACCCTTTGCGTGTGGGCACCTGGTGTGCAGTTTGGAGGGAGGGCACCTGGTGTGCAGTTTGGAGGGAGGTGCGAAGCGAGCGGGGCGACAAGGGACAGGAGCGTGCCTGGATCGGGCTGGGCGGGACGCTGTCGCCGCTGCGCGCGGACACGGGGGTGTCGGCGAGCTGCCCCGGGGGGAACACGATGAGGGTGTCGGTGTTATACTTGGCGTCAAGTTCCGACTCCCCCGGCTCGAAGGCGTACAGGCGGCTGACGCAGGAGCCGCCGAAGGTCCCGACGATGGCCTCGAAGCGCTCCAGCGCGGCCTCGAGCCCGCCTGGGCAGGACGGACAGTGCACGATTCCCAGGACGGCCCACACGCGCTGGTGCGCGTGCAGGTCGCGCCAGATGGATGTTTCGCGGGCGATAGGCCCGCGGAGGAAGCGGTACCGCACGTGGCCGACGTCCCAGCGGAGCGCGGTGAACGGGGACTTGGACTCCTCGTGGTAGAACGACCGGCAAGATGACTGCATGGAGCTGGTCAGGTTGGTTCTGAGCGACGGAGCGCGTACGCGCGTTCGTGCCGTGAAATTCCACGAAAGGCAGGATACGATCAATGCGGGTCTCTGCGTCCACAGGCGCTGGTACGGGACGGCGGTTAGCGCCCCCTCTCGTGCGAATGTTGGGGCGGGAGACGAGGTCAGTTGGTTGCGTACCAGCGGGACGATGCCGTGCTGGCTGATGAGTTTGAAGTACTTGGCGAATTCCTCGTCGGTTGTTCCCCCGATGGGAATCACGGCGACGCAAGTCTCGCAGTGCATGGAGAGATCCAGGCCCGGCGAGACGATGCGCAGAGAAGGCGGGGACGGCGTGGGGCTGTCATGCGGCCCCTGCGCCGTCCGGCGCCGCCACTCTGACGACATGGCTCAGAAGAATGGAGACGCGCTGGAATGAAGCATCGTGGGCGTCGAAGCGGAGCCCGGCACCCGGCGAGGATGCAACGAAGAGTGCCGCGCTCGTTCGCACTGAGTTCCGCCAGAACCCGCGCTGGTCCAGGTGGGCGAGATAGCGATGAGTGTGGCGCTGCCCCTCAGCTGCGGGACAGCGCGAATGTACCGGCGAGCTTCTCCCAAGCCGGTGCAACTACGCACGCGTGCCGTAGCAGGAACGCGAGAACCACGGAACGCTTCCCTAGATGTGTCGGTCCAGCGCGAGCGTTGCCGGCTGGCAGATCTGTGGGCGCCCTCCCGGCCAACGGACCAATCACATGCTGCGGCGGAGGCCCCCAGCCTGAGTCAAGGCCCCTGTCAACACGGCTCAGAGGCGAGGTCGACGTGCCGCACCCCCTCCTCCGAGGCACGCACTGCACGGACAGCGCACGGTCGCTGCGGAGCGATTTCCCACCGAAAGCAGCATGTCGGGCTCGACTGTCATCATCATCGCATCCAATGGCGCTCGCGCCGCATCGACGCCTGCTTCCTTCAACGAGGCCGCAATCACACCGCCTCACGACGACCGCCATCGACATCGCCGTCGCCGCAGGCCCTCAGGTGAGCGACGAGTCTGCCTGCGCGGCGCTGGAGCCGCCCTCCGCGTCCTCCATCAGGCACGCCCAGCACGCGCACCGGAACCCGTACCCGCGCATCAGCGCGTCCCGGCGCACAGCCGCAGGGGCCCTCGAGTCGATGTACGTGATGGTCAACTCCTCCCCCGGCTCCACGCTGCGCCGCGTGACCAGGCGGATCGGCGCGCCGCCCTCGGGGAACTGGACGTCCACGTTCGGCTCGCACTCGTGGTTGAAGAACGACGGCAGAAAGAACACCGCGCTGCCGGCCTTCCCGAGCGACCCCCTGAAGGCCGAGCCCACCGCTGCTGACGCCAGCGCTGCGAGGTCGTCCATCGAGAGGCCCCCGGACGCCAGCGGGGAGTCGCCGGCGCGCACGGGCGGCGCTCGGTCGACGCGGAAGGCGTTTGGGTGGATCCGTGACATAGTCTGCAGCCACCAATCTCTACTCAAGAGCTCCTCGACTACCGTCTCGTCGTCCGAGGACGCGCCGCTCGGCAGGAGGGCCGGCACGTGCGGAGCGACGGCGTCGCGGAAGCGCTCGTGGGCCTCGAGCCAGTCCTGTGGGGCGTTGTCCGCGTCGTAGGACATCCTGCAGTCGAAAGAGACAACACGTTTTCGTTCGTTTGTGTCGAGGAGTCTTGCGAGGATGAATCAAGGCGAAAAACAGCACGCAGAATGCGACCAACAAGCTCTCGCGGCCAAAGGAACCAAGGGGGGGGGGGGTATTGAGTCTTTCCTGCAAAGATGATCCAGGACGCCAATGGACCGCGCCACCGCCTGACGCGCCGACCCCGCGGGCGCGTCTGCCGCTGCCGCGAGGCCGCGCATCGCGATCCGGGCCGCGACGAGCGGGAAGGTTTGGTCGCGCGCGCGACAGGACGCCCGCAGAGGTCCCAGGCCCCGCCCGACTCGGTGTTCTACCTTCCAGTACCCCTCGGCGTCCGCCTTCGCGGCGCACCCCGCGGAGCAGAACCGCGGGGCCGCGAAGTCCCACAGGACTGCGTTCGCGCGCCCTGCGTCGTCCTCGTGGGCGGCAGCCAGGCCATCCGCGTACAGCCGCTCCGCCAGCTGGGCCGCGGCACCGTCGTCGGCGCTGGCGCTCGACGGGGCCCAGGAGCTTTGGACGGTGGCTTCGGTGTCCATGTGAGAGATGTCCGCGAGACAGTGATGGCAGACGGTCGCGGGGTCGGCGCAAGGGTCCCTGTGTGCTGCCATGGGCGAAGCGTCGTAGAGAACATGGCCCGCCGGGACGGCCTCTGTGGCGACGACGCCGCGGCCGCGCCCAGGTAGCTCCGCGACTCGGACCGGTGCGTCCTTCAGGAGTGCAGAGACGATCGCGAGCAGCGCTTGGTTTGCTACCGGGGCGGGCTCAGCCCCGCTCGAGCTGCTAGCGCGGACCGCGGGCGACTTTCGTGGATCCCGATGCCTTGAGGGAAGTGACGAGCTACATCGCGCCGCTTGCCGCTGCGTTGCCGCGCGGGGGGCACCGGCAGCGGCACTCAGGGCCGCACCAGGGCGGCGCACGCACGACGCCAGGCAGAGCGCGACGCAAGGGCGCAACAAGAGAGCCCTGCTCATAGCTGCACAGTCCGGTCACGTTCCATGCGCCTCCGCCCGGCGCGACGTTCGAATGCGCCCGGCAAGCGCTTCGCACGGGCAACAGCGAAATAGCAGGGCAAGGTTTTTCTTGTACCTACGAGTCCGACAGACGAGCGAACGAGACCACGCTTGTGGAACGCGGCGCTAGCCCGCACACCGCGGTGGCGGATCAGCCTGGCCGCTGGCGACAGGCGCCGCTCTCGGATTCCGCTAGCCGTTCGGGCCTGAGCCGTCGCGGGCAGTTGGTAGTTGCCGACCTAAGAGTGATGCGAGGCGCCCCCCAGCTGCATTGTGTTTTGGGGGCAGGAGGGTTGAAGAGGCTTCGATCGCGGTCGAGACGTGAGCCGACGGCGCCGGTGGTCGGATGTGGTTACACAAGCAGCGAGCGACGCTCGGTCGCAGCGGCGGTAGGCTAGTTCGACGAAGAGAAAGCGCCGTTCCCAGGTGACGCGTCCCCTCACGCTAGGCTGCGGCAGAGCCGTTGACAGCTGGAAGGGATCGGACATGGTGGTCGGCGAAGCAGCCCTACGAGCAGCAGTAGCTGCGACTACCCTGGCTAGGGAGACATGTGCAAGTTTCGACTTCAGGAGGAGAGAGATCGGGCGAAGAAGCCGGCGGCGGGGACAGCAGCGGTCGCGGCCGCACGGGACGTCGATGTCTGACAACCCCCGAGGGCACAGGGGGGGTTGTCAGCAGAATCGGGGCTCCGTGGGCGGACCAGGGGCCGCGGAAAGAGGAGCGCGGGGGATTTCGCGCGCGGGGGGGCGGTGCGGTGTTGTCCAGTGTCGACAGGGCTTGGGGAGTCCTGCCTGTTGGCCAGGTGGGGGGTCATGGTGTCAAGGTGGGGGGTTGGGAGGGTAGGCACGGTGCGGGGTTGCGGGCGGGGCTGTGTGGAGGCTAGTGGCGTGGTGCGAAATGTCCCACGAGGCCGCAATACGCGTGGGTGTAAGGCGGTGACAAGCAGCGGGACGGTGCCGCACTTGACTGCGCGTGAGGCAGAGATCAGTTGCGTTGTGCGTGGGAATCGGTCGTGCGCTTGCATGGGGGCCAGCGCGGCGCTCCCGTTCTTGGGCCTGTCGCTCGAGGGGGGCGTTTCACGAGGCCGGGAAGAAGCACGAGGAGGGGCAGGGCCCACGGGGTTGTGGGCCCTGACGCGTCGAGGTTGAGGTTGCTGGGGGTGCTTGGGGAATGGGTGGGTGTCCATTCGGGGCAGGCACGGGTCGGGATCGGATGGCACCTGTGGGGGCTGTGCACTGTTGGGGCCAACGCATGCAAGCATCAAAAGTGGTCAAGTCGGCATGATATGTGTGCGCAAGTCGTGCAAAGGTGCAGGGTGCCTTTGCATGCGATGGGTGTAGCGCGCCGATTAGGGGTTGAAGGGGGGAGTCCGAGGTCAGGGACCCCCGAGCGCTCACTGATGAACGCTGCGAACGTCCTTCGTGCGGTGCAGACAGACGCGCGCGGCGGGCCGGGCTTCCGGGTGTAACGAGGTCTCGCCGCGCCTTGACTGGTCCGGGGTCAAGCCCTGGCGCCCGAGGCCAGGCGAGCCCTGTGGCGGTGGTGGGCCGTAGCGCCGGCGCTACTCCTGTGTGCTCGAGAGCAGCCTGCGGCGCTTGCTGCCGCGCTCGTCGGGCAGCCCGGACGAGCTCTGGCCCTGCATGGACTCGGAGCGGCACGACAGCGCGCCCGCGGCGCCGCCCGACCGCGCGGGCCGCTCGGCGGACGCCGCAGCGCCGGCAACGCTCGCGGGCAGCCAGCTCCCCGCCCACGCCCCCGCAGGGATGCGGGGCGACGGCGACGGGTCGCCGGAGCCGTTCTCGCCGCCGTTGTCGTCGTCCCCGGCCGAGCCCGCGTCCACCGGGACGGGCACCCCCACGCCCGCCGCACTGCTCCCGCTAGGCTTCGGCAGCGGCGGCGACACAGGGCCCTCGCCGCTCGCGCGCAGGTTCGACCGCGCGGGCGTGCGGCCGCGCGACGCCGCCAGGTGGCTCGACACCTGCCGCGCGAGCTCCCCGAGCACGCCCACCTGGTTCTGCTCGCCCCCAGAGTGCAGCTGATATGACACCGCCTCCGCGAGCGAGTACGCCAGGAGCAGCCCGCCCCCGCTGGCCGCGCCGGAGTGGTTCGCGCCGGACGCCGCCGGCCCGGCGCCCGCCCGCTGCGCGAAGAGCGTGTTCAGCGCCTCGAGGCCGCCGCTCACGCCAGCGGGCGTGTTGCCGCCGGGCTGCTGGTAGTAGCCGCTGCGCGAGCGGCCCGCGGCGGTGCCGGACAGGCCCTGCCCGGACGCGGACGCGCCCTGCAGGGCGTTGCGGACGATGTGCGGAGCGCCGCCGAGGATGCCCCCCGAGATGCCGGTTGGGGCGGGCTCGGGGCAGTTCTGGCCGATGCCGCCCTGCATTGCCGAGCCGGTCGCCGCGGACGCGCGCGAGGTCGTGGCCGCGGGCTGCTGCCGCGCCGGCGCGGCGCCGTGCATGCCGTGCGCGCCAGCGCCAGTCGCGCCCGCCTGGCTGTTGCCCGGGCGCCACGGCGGCGGAGGCGGCACGATGCCGGGGACGTGCACGCCCTGCTGGATCGCGGCCGCGACGAGCGGGCCGCCGAGCGTCGCCCAGAACGAGTGCATTGCAGGGGGGAACCCGCCATGCGCAACGGCATGATTCGACTCCCAGCGCAGGCGCTCGTTGTCCGGCTCGCCCGCGCGGTCCGCGTCGCCGTTCGCGGCCGCAGGGCCGACCGCGCCGTCGAGCGGCGCGTCGCCGGCGACGACCGCGTCCGTCGAGGCCGGAGGGCGCGGGACGGGGCCCGACGCCCGTCGCGCCGCCACCGCGTCGCCGGCGCCGCCCGTGCCCGTCCGCGCGCCGACCATGCGGCCCAGCGCAGACGCCGTCGGCTGCCGCGGGCCGTCGCCGCCCTCCGCGACGTCTGTCATGCGCCCGACGCCGAGCCCGTCCGCGACCTCCGCACACTGCGGGTGGATGGCGCGGCCCATGTCGCCGCCGTCGCGGCCCTCGCCGTCGCCGTCGCCGTCCGCGTCGCCACGGGCGCCGCCGTGCGGCGTGCCCTCGTCGTGCACCGGCCCCGCCACGCGCGCCGCGCGCGCAGCACCGCCGACGGGGTCCGCGCCGTCCAGGCACGCCGTCGTCGACCCCGCGCGCCCGGCGCCCGTCGAAGGCGCGGCGTACGGCGGGGGCTCGTCGTCCTGATCGCCGCGGATGTCGCCCATGCGCGAGTCGGCGCCCGGGCGCGGCGCCACCGCCACACGGCGGCTGCCGTTGTTGCCGCGCGACCAGTCGATGATGAGCGGGCCTGCCGCCTCGCCGGCGCGCGCAGGACGCTGCTCCCAGGCCTCCACGCGGACCTGCTGGCCAGGCGAGCTGTGCAGGAGGTTCGCGAGGCCCGTCGCGTGGCGCTCCGCAGCGTGAGCCAGCATGCCTGCCATCGTCAGCGGCTGCAGCCCTCTGCCGTCCCCGGGCGTGGTCATCGGCGGGCGCACGGCGTCGCCGTGCCGCGAGGCGCCGTCGAAGGGCTGCGCGCCCACGTCCGCGGGCGTCCCGCCCGCGACCACAGCGTTCTGCGGGGCGTCCGACCGGCGGCGCCCGTTGCCGTCGCCGCGGCCCCCCGCGTCGCCGTCGCGCGCGAGGTCCGCGACCGCCGCCGGCGCAGCGTGCGACTTGATCAGCAGGCCGGGGTGCACGACGATGCGCCCGCCGCGCGTGCCGCTGTTGCTCGCCGCCACGAGGTGCGAGTTCAGCGACGCGCTGCGGCCCCGCGCGCGCTCCCGCGGCTCGCCGTCGCTGCCGCCCGCGGCGTCCTCGTCGACAGCGACGTCGTCGCCGCCCTCGCCGACGCGCCCGTCCCCGCCGCCGCCCACCTCGACCGCGTCGTCGTCACGCACAGCACGCGCCTCCCTGGAGTCGTCCTTCGACGATTCCGGCGCCGCAGCGCCGCCTCCGACGCCGCCCACGCCGCCGCCGACGCCGGGCACGCGCATGACGGCCTTGCCGATGTCGCGGCTGCCGCCCACGCCGCCAACGCTGCGGCGCATGAGCGCCGCCGCAGTGGCCGCGTGCCCGGCGCCGCCGCCCACGCCGCCGCCGTTCTCGATCGCGCCGGCCATGTCCTCGCCGCCGGACTGCATCCCCTCGCCGTCCGCGCCGCGCTTGCTCCCCCCGCTCTCAGCCGCCGCGCCTTGCGACGCCCCAGGCAGGTGGTTCGTCTGGGGCTGCGCGCCGGCCTCCAGCGCCGCGCGGGCCGGGCCCATCGAGGTCGTGCTGCCACCGTGCGCCGAAGCCCGCGCCCACGCCGGGTGCGCCTGCGGATCCGGGACGTGCGAGGGACCGTGGCTCGCGGCCGCGGGGGCCGCCACGGGCGGCGCCGGCGACCCGACGCGCTGCCGCTTCGACGGCCCGGCGTCGCCGCGGCTCCCGGACGTCGTCCGCGCGCGCGCCTGCTTCGGGCCGTCGCCGCGCCCGCCGTTGCTGCCGTGGTGCACCCCGCGGGGGTCCTCGCCGCCCACCACGTCGTCGCCCTCCACGGTCCGCGCGCCCACGATCACCGCGTTCACGGGGCTCTCGTCCGCGACGCCGTGCGTGCGCCGGTGCACGTGCGCGTGGTGGTGGTGCGGAACCCCCGCACTGTGATCCATGGCCACCACTGCCGCCTGCTGGCCGCGGTCCGGGCCGCTCCCGGCCGCCTCCGCGACGGGCGACGGCTCCGCAGCGTCCCGGCCGCCCGTGGCGCGCGCCGCCCGCGACTGCCGCCCGGACCCGCCGACCGGCCCTCCGTCCGACCACATCGTCGAGCTCGCGCGCTTGTCCGCGGCGTGCTGCCCGCCGCACGACGCCCCGGGGCTGCCGAGCACGATCGCGCCCATGCGGGACGCCTGCCGCGTGCCCCGCGTGACGCCCCCGCGCGCCCGGCCCGCCCCGTCGCCCCCCGCGAGGTCGGCCTCCGGCGACCACCCGTCGTTGCCGTCCACCACCGGCTCGTCTTCGCCCACAGCCTCGGCCGCGAAGTCCGCCATGGAGCCCACGGCGTCCGGCGGAGCGTCCCCGCCGCTCCCGCCGGCCCAGAGCGCCTTGCCCGGGGTGAAGGCGGCGCGGCGCGTCGAGCCCGCCACCTCCACGACCTCGCCCGCGATCTCGTCGTTGCCGCCGCTGGAGCGGCGTCCGACGCCCTGCCTGGCGGCGCCTGCCGCGAGGGGCCTTCCGCGCCGCGCGGGGGGCGGCGAGGACAGCGCGGGGTGGGGGTCTTCGAGCTGACTCCCCCCCTTGATGTACATGGCCGCCTGGGGGCGCGGCGGGATGTCCGGGACGGGCGTCGCGGGCGCAGCGCCCATCGATCCCTGGCAGGACATCGCGGCCTCGTTCGGGGACGGCCTGTCGTGCCCAGCGGCGTTCTCGACGACCACGGCGTTGTCCACGTGCGGAGTGCCGTCCACGCGCGCGCCGCCGTTGCCGTTGCCGCTCCCGGCGCGGTCCAGCGCCAGCAGCGCCGCGAGGTCGCCGCCCGCCGAGTTCGGCGCCACGCGCTGTCCGCCGTTGCCGCTGCCGTGGCCGATGGCGACGCCAGCGTGCCCGCCCTGGTGCCGGCCCGGCGCGTCCGTGCCAGCCGCGCCCTTCGACGACCCGGGGTGCGACGGCGCGCCCTTGATGAAGACGGCGGCCTGCGGGACGGGGGACTCGTCGATCGGCGCAGACACCCCGGGGGGGGTTGGCCACCGCGGTGGCGCGGACCCCTGCGCTACGGCGGGCGCGGGCGGTGCCGGCACTGCCGCCGCGGTGGCCCCGGCCGGGTGCGCAAATGCGTCGTTGTTGCACGACTGCATCGGCCGCGCGGGGCGGTCCACTTTTGCGCCCGCCGTGCCGGCAGCGCGCTCCGCTGCGTGCGGCGGGCCGCCCTGCGCTCCACCGTCGCCCGCCGCGTCGCCGCGGCCGCCGCCCTGCCCGCTCCGCGCAGACGGCAGCAGGCTGATGTTGTCCCCGGCCTCGTCCTGCGTCCCAGCGCCGGACGCCGCCCCGCGCCGCCCAGGAGACAACTCGACGTCGTTCTGGTCCCCCGGGTCATCCTGCTCCACGTCGTTCTGGTCCCCGGGGTCGTCCTGCTCCACGTCGTTCTGGTCGCGGCCCTCGTCCGGCGCGTTCTCCATCGCAGCGGACGCCTCCCCGTCCCCGTTGCCTGCTGCGCCAGCGGCGTCCCCGACGCCGACCCCCCCGCGCGCCTCGTGCGCCGAGTGCTGCTCCCCCATGGACCGCATGCGCGCGCCGAGCACGGCGCCGACGCCCGCGCCTTCCTGCGGGTCCCCGGACCGCACGCCCGCCGCGGCAGCGCCCACGCCGCCCGACACGGCGCGCGCGCCACGCCGCCCGCCGCGCCGCGCCCGCGCGCGCTCCGGCGCCCCCCGACCGCGAGCGGCAGGTTCGGCGACCGCATCTCGTTCGAACGGCCCCGCCGCGCCCGCACCTCGCTCGCCTGCGCGTGGTCGTCCTCCCGCGAGGCAAGGTCCACCGACACGGCCTCCACGCTGCGGGAGTGCGTGTGCCCGGGCGCCGCCGCCATCAGGTCCTCCTCGGCGTCGAGCCCCACCGCCTGCGCCTCGGCCGGGTGCGGGTGCGCGTCGCCCGTGCGCGGGCCCGTGCGCGCCCGCCCAGCCCCCAGCGCCGCCCGCCGTGCTGCCCGCGGCCCTCCTGCATCATCGCCGACCGCGGCCGCGCCGCCGCAGACCCCAGCGCGCCCGCGGGCGGGTCGCCCTGCACCACCGCCGGCTGAGGGAAGTCATCGTCCATCGCGCCCTCCTCCGGTGGACGCCCCACAGCGACCCACGCCCGCGGGTTGTCGTCCTCCGCGTCCGTCCACACGACCTCCGCGGGCTGCGGCAGCTCGCCCTCGGCCGCCGCGGGCGTCGGCGCCGCGGCGGCGGCGTCCGGCAGCAGCCCCGCCGCGGTGCCATCGGCCGCCGCTGCCGCGTCGTTCGTCCCCCCCGGGGTCGGGTGCGCGGAGCCGGCGGCCTCGCGCGGCTCAGAGGCGTCTGCGTCCGGCGGCGTCCGGCGCTCCGGCGACGACGCGGCCTGCGGACGGTCCTTCGAGTTGGCGTGCTTCAGCGCCGCGCCCTCCTCGCTGCGCGCGGCGTCGGCCTCGAGCGCCGCGGCGGCGAGGCCCCCCAGGCGGTTCACGGCGCCGGCGATGTGCGCGACGCCCGCGCCGGGGGAGCCCGCGGAGCCGGCGTCGTCGCGCGGGCGGCCCTGGCCCTCGGCAGCGTCGTCGACCTCCATCGCCGCGTCGCCGCCGTCGTCCGTCTGCGCCACGGCGTCGGCGGGGCGCGGGGGGTCCCCAGGGCCCTCGAGCTGCTCCGCGTCCGCGTCGGCCTCGGGCGCCGACGCGACGACGACCGCCACGGCGGGCTGCGGCGGATGTGCCGGAACCTGCGGGTGGCCCGAGGCGCCGCACAGCAGCGCGACGCACTCCCCGCCGTCCACGTGCGAGGACTTGCCCTCGAGCATCGCGGCCCCGGGGGTGTGCTCCAGCATCGCCGCGGCCGCGTGCGGCAGCGGCGTGTCCTCCGCGTCGCGCGACGGCATCGCGTCGCTCCCGCCGACCACCACCGCCTCCGCCGCCGCCGCCGGCGCGCGCACGGGCGCCTCCGGGGGCGGCGGGGGGTTCGAGCTCAGCGTGAGCTGGTCGGCCTTGCGCTCGACCTCCCGCACCGCGGCCTGCTGCGCCGACGCCTGCTGCGCAGCGCCCGCGAGCCCAGACCCCTCCGCGGGCTTCGACTGCGACTTCTGCGCCTCCGGCGGGCGCGGCGGCGGCGGCGGCGCGATCAGCATCGCGGCCTGCGGCTTGTTCGCGCCGTCGCCGACGCCCAGCGCGGGCGCGCGCGCTGCCGACGTGGCCTTGCTGCCGTCCGCCTCCGCGCCCTGCTCGCGCTGCGCCGCGGCCGCTGGCTCCTGCACGGGCGGGCTGCGCGACGGCACGGCCTGCACCGCGACGACGGCCCCGTCCGGCGTGATGGCGGCGGAGGAGCCCGCGGCGCGGGGGAGGTGTGAGCTCGGCAGGGACTCGCGCGCGGGGGCGTCCTCGATGGCCGCACGCGACGCGCTGGCCGGCGGGGAGGTGGCTTCGGCCTCGGCGGGGGCGTCCGCGACCTGGGCGCGGCCGCTGGTCGGCGCAGGCGCGGCGTCGGCGTCGGCGGCGCGGCCGAGGCGGTCGCTGCGGTCCTCCTCCATCGCGGCGTCGTTCTTCGCCTTCGGCCCGGGCCCAGAGGCCGCCTGCGGTGCGTGCGGCCGCGGAACAAACTTCGGCAACCAGCGCAGGTGTTGAACGTCAAGCACAGGGGCACGACGTGGCGCGTGCGGCCGCGCTGCGCAAAGCACACTGTTCGGCACGCCCGCGTGGCAGACGCGCGCGCGGCCCGGTCGTCGCTGCTGCGGGGAGGGGGGTTTTGTGTGGAGGTGAGGGGGAATACGCACCGCGTCAGCAGCCACGCCGCGCCCGATCGACGAGTGCCGCGAGCCCGACCCGCCTTGGCCGCCCGCGGCCGCATGCGCCCCGGCCGGCGGCGTGCGGTTGTTGCTCAGGCCCGACGGCCGCGGCGCCCCGTGCTGCGGGCTGCAGCGCCCGCGCGACGTGCCGCCCATCTCCGACGCGTTCGCGGACGCCGCGCCGGCCTGCGACGCCGGCTGCGCCGCCGCGGCCAGCCCCGCGCCGTTGCCTCCGGCGTCGGCGTTCGCGCCCGCGTTCTGCTCGTTGCCGCCGCCGCCGCCGCCCGCTGCGATCGCGCCGCGCTTCCGCGTCCTGGCGCAGATCGACGACACGCCGTGGCGGCGCGCTCCGCCGCCGCCGGACGACGCCGCGCGGCCCGCGCCGCCGCCGGCGCCCGGACCCGGCCGGCGGGCCGCCCGTTTGGCTCACGAGGCTCTGCCCGTGCCAGCGGGGCTCCCCGCCGCGGCCGGGGTCGACGGAGCGCACGGGCGGGCGCGAGGAGCCCCCGCACGCCTCGTCGCCGCCGCCGTTGCCCTCGCCGTGCGCGGGGCGGTGCGCGGAGGCCGACACCATGCTGTGTGCGCGCTGAATCGGGGCCGCCGGGGAGCCCGCCTTGCTCGACGCGGGCCCGTTGCCCTTCGAGGCCTGGTTCCCGAAGGACGCGGCGGCGGTGGCGCCGGCCGGGGGGCCGCTCGCGGCCAGGACGGCGTTGGGCGGGCGCGCTGTAGACACCACCGACTGGGTGCGGTTGCCGCGCCCGGCGCCCCCGCCGCCCTTGCCGCCGAGGTTGTGGTGCGGGAGGCCGTCCCGCCCGCCCTGTGCGTCCGCGCCGCCCTCGGCGGGCGGCGGCGACGCGGAGGAGTCGCGCTCGGCCTCGGGGGGCAGGCCGGCGTTCACCTTGAGCGCTGGGTCGACCTCTCCGTCCTCGCTCCGGACGACTGAGCCCGCGGGGTCGGCCTCGCAGGACTGCGCAGTTGATACTTGGCTCCGGGCGGGCCTCTGCGCGGGCGGAAGCGGCCCGGCGAGCGCGATATGAGGCGACTGGTCGGCGGGAAAGCGTCCTGGCGGTGTGGCGGCGGGGCGCCGCGAACGGGCGGCGTGCGCGGGCGCGCGGTGCGCGCGCCGGGCACGGCCGAGCGCGCAGCGTCTCACCTCTTGGTTCGGGGGGACGACGCGGTGGGACTCCCGGACGGACAAGCCCACCGAGCCCTGTCCAGGGTCCTGGGAGCGGTCCGAGGACATGGAGAGGTCGCTCGTGTGGGCGCCAGAGGCGGCCGTGTCGGCCGTGAGCGCGTTGGACGCGTCCGGCGCGAAGGCCGCGGACGCCATGTTGACTTGCGGGCGAACTTTCCTGCACTGAGGACGTTGGGGCTGGCGCGTGTGCGCGGGAGCACGTTGCGGCCCAGCGCGCGGGACGGTGCGCAGAAGGTCAACTCAGGATGCCCGTGCGCGCGGTGCGGCGTCGCCGCGTGGCGGGGGCAGGGCGCGCGACCGAGTGCGGAGGACGAAGGGCGCACGCACGAACGAGGTGGCGATCTTCCGCGAGCGCGCACCTTCAGCTCGCGTGGTGAACGCCTCAGGAAGCAACGAAGAGCTTTATTTGCGGGGCGAGGCCCGCCGACCGGTCTCCGAACTTTTCGCTCATCGTCTGCAGGCTACGACGTCGCCCCGCGGGGCACACCAGGCCTTGCGGACAGGGCCGCCTGCCGACACACTCGCACGCGTGAAGATCTTCCGGGCGGGAGACGCGCGGCACGGCGCCCTGCTGGCGAAGAAAGGAAGAAAGGCTGCCCACTCGCGCCCCGACCGGTCGCAAAGCGAAATGTACCTTCGTTGCGGCGCCGCGCACGTTCGACGGCGGAGCCTCTGTATCTCTCGAAACACGTGTGCTGCAGCGAGCACGCGCGCGCCCCCAACGGCGCGACGGCGTCACGCTCGCCGCGAGTCTTGGTCAACGGCTGTCATACTCCACCGGCCGGCGCGAAAACGCCGCACCTGCGCAGCCAGACCCCCCCCGCGCCGCCGCGCCCGTCGCCGTGCCGCGCGCGCGGCCAGAGCCACTTCGAGGGCGCACCGCGGACGACGGCGAGGCGAGACACGCGTCGCTCGTGCAGAGTGCGCCGGCTCGGTGGGCCTGCGGGGTCGCGGCATGATACTCGGCTGCACCGCGTCTCTCACGGGAGCTGCTCGCGCGAGGCCGCCGCTGGTGCTCGGCCGGCTCATCATCCAGCCCTGCGCTGCCGCGCGAGCGTGCAGCGGCCCCGCCTGGGCTGCGTGCTTGCACCGCCCGGTCTGCGCCCGACCGCCCCCGTCATCCGCGTTCCGAAGCGCCTCGAGCTTGCCAACGTACTGCTGGGTGCCAGGGGCGCTGAGACGGGGCGGGGGCGCGAGGGAGGGCTCCGTACGGGCCGCCGGGACCAGGAAGCACAGCGGCGCGATGAGCGCGATCAGCGAGATCGAGTTGCCGGAAATGCCGACGCTCCTGACGCAGGAGGAGATCGTGAGGTACGTGGCGCCGGGGCCGCCCTCCTGGCGACCGCACGGGCCCCTGCGCGCCGCAGGCCACCAGCGCCCTTCGCGGCACGCGCACGACCCGCCGCCGCGCGCCCGCGATGCGTCGCAGGAACGCGGTCTACGCCAAAGGCCGCGGCGAGCTCTGCCCCGCGGGCTGCGGCGTCGGCGCCATCAACCTGCGCAAGCTGCGCGCCCACTGCGACAAGTGCTGCCCCGACCTCGTCTCGAGCGAGGACTGGGCGCCCAACATCGACAACCCCGAGGCGATGAAGCGCATCCTCAACGTGCGGCACGCGCCCCCGCCCACGCCGCACCACGCCTTGCACGACGCAGTACCTGCAACACGTCTCCTCCCCCGGAACGCACCGCAGGCCGCCGCCGAGCGCGAGCGGGAGAACTGGGTGACCGTCCTCACGATCACGTTCCGCGAGCGCGACCCCGCGACCGGCGTTCCGCTGCGGCGGTCCACCAAGGAGGTTGCGGCGCGCATGGGGCTGCCCAAGGCCCGCGTCGAGCGCCTGCTGCGCACGGCGATCCGCGCGTGGCCGATGAAGGTCGACCACGACCCCGTCGAGGTGCTGTACGAGGACCCTGACGTCATCGCCCTCAATAAGCCCCCCGGGATCTCCTCGCTGCCGCGGCACCGGCACGAGGGCGGCGCGCTGATGAACCGCGTCATGGGGTACCTCGGCGCCGAGCCGCTGCCCGTGCACCGCCTCGACATGTTCACCTCCGGGGTCGTCGTCATGGGCAAGACCCGCGCTGGCGCCGCCGGTCTGACGGAGCAGTTTGCCCACCGCAGGTGCGCCGACGGCGGCCCGAGAGACGTTCTCGATAGCGTACGGGGCGACTCGGGTCCTGCCGAGCGGCTGGTGGCCCCTGAATCCCGTCTGGCGTTTGTTTGACGATTCTTTCACTCCCCCCCCTTGCAGCTCGCGCAAGGCCTATTTGGCGATCGTGCACGGCGTGCCGGCGTGGCGGGAGACGGAGCTGTCCGCGCCGGTCGGGCGCCACCCGGTCGAGAAGGTAGCGCGGACGACGACGGACGGGAGCGGCGCCGAGGACCGCCCCGCGCAGACGGCCTTCCGCGTGCTGTGCGCCAACGCGGACGCGGACCCGCTGGGCGCCGCGGGCGGCCGCCCCGCGCCGCACTTCACGGGCGACGCCGCGATGCGCGGCGCCGCGCTCGTTGCGTGCTTCCCGCGCACGGGCCGCACGCACCAAATCAGGGTCCACCTGCAACACCTGGGCCACGCGATTGTCGGCGACGACCTCTACGGCGTGATGGGGGACTTCATGCCGCGCCAGGCGCTGCACGCGCACCGGCTCGGGCTGCTCCACCCCGTGACGCAGGCCCCGCTGGACCTGACCGCGAGTCCCCCGGCGGACATGGTGCGCGCCATGGGGGTGTTCGGGCTCGACGCGGGGGCCATCGAGACGGCGCCGCTGCGCGGCGCTGCGGAGTGAGAGCGCGCGGGATTCACACCGGGGAGTCGTATGGTTCCTTCGCGGGTTCCTGAGCGCCTATCGCGCAGCGACACAAAGGGCACTCGGGCCGCCGCAGGGCCCACTCGTAGATGCACGCGTGGTGGAAGACGTGGCCGCAGTAGAGCTGCGACACGACGCAGGACGCGCGCATCGGCGCGAGGCACACCGCGCACCCGAGGCCCTCGCACGCCGATGCCACGCGCGGCGGGACCTGCTCGGGCGCTGCGCAGGGTGCGGCTTCGCGCGAGGTCTCCGCGGGGTCCGTGCGCAGCGTACCGCTGTCGGGCGATTCGCTGGCGGACTCGTACGGCCCGGTGTCGCGCACGGGCGCGGGAGCGTCGGCCACGCACATGCGCGGCAAGACAGCGCGCCCCAGCGCCTTCGGAAGCGAGTCGGCGCGGCTCCTGCGGCCACACAGCATGTGCGCGTAGAGCGTCATCGCCGGGCGGCGTCAGAGCGCAAGAACGGCGGAACCGCGCACGTTGCGCCGCGACGCACTGCGCCGTTCAGAGTTGGGCGTAGAACTCGCCTATTGGAGTCCTCTGGCGCGTTGACGGCTCCAGGCGGCGGGGCTTCTGGCGCGCTGTGCTGCCGCAGCTCGATGGAGGCACGCGTGGCGAGCGCGTGCAGCATCGTCATCCGGTTTGGCACCGGCCAGCGCGGGGCCTTGCAGCGGACGAGGTCGTACGTCCACAGCGCGAGCTGCAGCCAGCGAGCCAGGGGTCGAGGTGTCGGTGCGAGCGCGCGGATCGGAGCCACGCTGCGGTGCGGCGGCCGGCGGGGGGGGGTGGCGCACCGCGACCGCGATCTGGTCCGTCGCTTGCAGCGCCAGGGCGACGACCATGGCGCCGGCGGCCGCGGCAAGCGCGATGAAGATGACGGGCGCGGTCAGGACGATGGCGACGGTCCCGAGCCCCACGCGGACGCAGCACAGGGCCGTGCCCCCCATGGCACGCTGTGAAGAAGCTGGCGCGAAGAAGCGACCGGGCACGAAATACTCCCATACAGCGAGCTGGTTCACCTGCGGAGGGTCCGCGCGTCTCATGGCTCGAGCGGGCGCCGGACGCGGCGTTTCGCGGCGCGCGAGGCACTCTGCCTGGTTGTTTCTTGGGGCGTGTTCGCGCACCATGCGGTCGAAAAGGAGCACGGGCAGGTCGAGCACGGGCGCAGCATTCGGCCTGCGCATCAAGCGCTCGATGTGACCGCGGTTCTCGCCGTGATCGCGCACGTTCGGCTCCTTGTTATCTCAACTCACTGCCTAGCTCCGAGGCTCGCGCGGTCCTTCGCGAACGCTGTTCTCCGCGCCATCAACGGTGCGAGTGACGCACGCTGGCAGCAGAGAGAGGACTCCCACGGCGCCCGGGCCCAGCCTCGCCAGTGGCCCCACCATGTGCCAGCACAAACTGCGCCGATGTCAGGGCCCCCAGCCCGCCGCGCACTCGCTCGTGCGCGCACCGCACGCCACGCCCCCTGCTAGTCCCGCGATCCCCGGGCTCGTTTCGTCCCCGCGACGACGCACCAGACCACCACCGCTGGTTGGCAACACACGTAGCTGACGTTACCAAGGGTGGTCGAGGCGACCGGCAGTGGACCAGGATCGGCGCGCGGCGTTCGGGACGACGCGCCGAACGGTGGCGGCGTGTCGCGCTGGCGTGCGAGCGCGGCGGACGCGGAGGGCGAGTGTGTCGGGCGGCGCACTGAGTGTCGGCAGGGCGCGTGGGAGGCACCCTGTGGGGTCTGATTGCGGCTCGGCGCGACGGCTGGGCCGCGTTGGTGTCGGAACGTCTGGCACTGGACGTGAGGTGATACTGCGAGCGCTGTCGAGCTCGTGGTGCGCTCGTCGCGGATGCAAGGGAGGCTGATACTGCGCCCTGTGCTGTTGTTGCCAGCTGTGTCCGCTGCGTTCCGGCGCCCGCATTCAGCGCGGACCACGTCGAGGATCGAGACGCGCGTGAGCTCACGGTCCGACGTGCGAGGTGAGACCTGCGCCACGGAAGGGCGCTCGGCGGCAAACGCTCTGCGCTCTGCTCCTTCTGTCGACTTTCTGGCAGCCCGGCCCCGCTCAGTTCGACTCTGGCGGTCCATCCCCGTACAAACAGCACGGTGGACTGTGCTGGATCGACGTAGCGCGACATCAAGCCGTGCGCACGCCGCACGCGGGCTGGTCGTTCATGTGCCGGGCCAGCCTGCGCGATGCGCCGCCAACTGCGCCCGATCGCTCTTGTTTTCGCAGCCAGCGCTTCGAACCAGATCTCGTCTGCAAGCGAGGAGCGCTCTGCCGCCATGGGAACCGGGTCCGCAGCCGCGCTCGGCGCACCCCTGTCCCCGGTCACAGTGGACCCGGCGACGTACCCCGCAGCGCGCCGCGACGAGTCCGTCGTCGACCAGCTCCACGGAGTCCAGATCCCGGATCCGTACCGGTGCGAACCAACCACCTGCACGCCGCATCACGCGCGGACCTGCGTACACCTTCTGTCGCCCCGGAGCAGCTGCCACCATCGCCTCGCGCCAGCACGGGCCCCGGCCCGCGAGGACGCACACCGGCCCCGGCCGCGCGCGCGTGCGCAGGTGGCTGGAGGACCCGGACTCGGAAGAGACCAAGGCGTTCGTCGCGGCGCAGAACGAGGTCACCGACGCGCTCCTGGCGGCGTGTCCGTCGCGCGAGGCGTTCAAGCAGCGCATGACGGAGATGTGGGACTACGAGAAGTTCGGCTGCCCGTTCCGCCGCGGGAAGCGCGTGTTCTACTACCACAACAGTGGGCTGCAGGCTCAGTCGGTCCTGTGGATGCAGGACGCGCTCGACGCGCCCGCGAAGGTGCTCCTGGACCCGAACACGCTCTCGGAGGACGGCACCGTCGCGCTGGGCGGCGCGTCGTTCAGCGAGGACGGCACGCATCTGGCGTACAAGCTCAGCTCCGGTGGGTCTGACTGGCAGACGATCCACGTGCTGCGCATCGACGACGCGGGGCAGGTGCGCGCGCGTGCTGGTCGACGCGTGCGTTGCGCGCGTGCTCGAGGCCGGGCCTGGCCGGGACGATGCCGAGCGGGGGGTGTGTTGTGGGGGTGCGTTGCAGCGGCACGACCTGCCCGACAAGCTGACGCACGTCAAGTTCTCGTCGCTGGCGTGGACGCACGACGGGCGCGGGTTCTTCTACTGCCGCTTCCCGAAGCCCAGGGACGAGAATGGGGGGGAGTTGGGGACTGAGACTGACATCAACCTCAACATGGAGCTGTACTACCACGTCCTCGGGACGCCGCAGGACGATGACGTGGTCGTCTGGAAGTGCGCTCCCCGCCACGGCAGCGCGCTCGCACCTGCACTGCACGCGCAAGCAGTTACCGCGCGTGCCTGAATGACATGAAGAAGCAATGCCATGACGCACGACAGGATCGTGGCATGGAGGTCGTCTCGATCGACCACGGCACGGCCCTGTCGCGACCATCGCGTTGTTTCTTGTCGTCGTTCAGGGACGCGCGGCGACTGGTCGCGTGCAGGCCCTTCGACGCCAACTGGCCTCGTGCGGGCGCCGCCCGCCCGATTCGCGGCCGGAGCGTCTTGAACCTCTTTCCGCCAGCGCTGCCGCGACGTTGCTGTCCGCCGATGTCGGCACCCGACCACGACATTGCGTGGCCGGTAGCGAGAAACGGTTCGGGGCTTCCCTTCCCGAAACGCACACGAGGGCCGTCCAGCACGCGCACGCTTGGCAGGGGCAATTCCACCGCTCCGGCGCGGGAACCCGCGGCGCCGCCCATGGATCTTTCATATCGCTCACACCCCCCCTCGCTGCGCGCAGGGACCCGGAGCACCCGTCGTGGATGTGCGGCGCGGAGGTCTCCGACGACGGCCGCTACCTCCTCCTCTCCGTCTCCGTCGGGTGCCAGCCCATGAACCGCCTGTGGTACGCCGACCTCGCGGCCGTCCCGCGCGGCGCCGGCCCGGACGGCCAGGCGCTCTCGCTCCAGCAGGGCGCGCTGCAGATCAAGCCCATCGTCGACGACTTCTCCGCGTCGTGGGACTACGTCGCGAACGAGGGCGCCGCACTCACGCTGCACACAAACCACAACGCGCCGCGGTACCGCCTCGTCCGCGTCGACCTCGACGCGTTCGACGCCGCCGCGGGCCCCGCTGCGTTCGCGGAGGTCGTCCCGCAGCACGAGAAGGACGTGCTCGAGTGGGCGACGGCGCTCCAGGGCGACGCGCTCGTTCTGTGCTGGATGCGCGACGTGAAGAACGCGCTCGAGCTGCGGAGCCTCGCGGACGGGCGCGCGGTCGCGGAGATCCCGCTGCCGGGCATCGGGGCCGTGCAGGGCTTCGCGGGGCGCCGCGAGGACGCGGACTGTTTCTTCAAGTTCGTGTCGTTCACGGAGCCGGGCGCGATCTTCCGGTGCGACGTCGCGGGCGGCGCGCCGAAGACGGAGACGTTCCGGAGCGTCAAGCTGCCCGGCGGGGTCGACCTCGGCACGCTCGAGACCCGCCAGGTCTGCGGAAGTGACCGGAGCTGCGTAGAGCGCTTGCGGCGCGCTGGTGGCCGCGCGCGCTCGAGACAGCGCGCCCACATCGACTTCTTGGCTTCGTTCGCGCTCGCAGGTGTTCTGCAAGTCCAAGGACGGCACGTCGGTCCCGATGTTTGTGGTTCACAAGAAGGGCATGAAACTGGACGGGTCGGCGCCCGCGCTCCTGTACGGCTACGGAGGGTTCAACATATCGCTGACGCCGTCCTTCAGCGTCGCGCGGCTCGTCTTCGCGCTCGGGTACGGCGGCGTGCTGGCCTACGCCAACTGCCGCGGGGGGGGGGAGTACGGCATCGGCTGGCGCGAGGCCGGCTCGGTCCTGAACAAGCAGAACGTGTTCGACGACTTCCAGGCCTGCGCCGAGCACCTCATCGCCGAGAAGCTGACGTCCCCGGCGCGCCTCGCGATCGAGGGGGGGTCCAACGGGGGCCTTTTGGTGGCGGCGTGCTGCAACCAGCGCCCGGACCTGTACGGCTGCGTGATTGGACGCGTCGGCGTCATGGACATGCTGCGCTTCCACAAGGTGCGCCGCGCACGCGCCCGCTCGCGGCGGGCTCCGCTGTAGCCAGAGGCATGTCGCGCCTCGGATGCAGGGGGGGGTGTTTTTAGAGGAACACCCTTCCCCCCGCGGTCGCTGCGCGCAGTTCACTATCGGTCACGCGTGGACCACGGACTTCGGGGACCCCGACAAGGAGGGGGAGTTCCAGTGTCTGCTTCGATACTCCCCCCTGCACAACGTGCGGCGGCCCGAGGGCGGCACGCAGAACTACCCGCCCGTGATCCTCACGACGGGCGACCACGACGACCGCGTCGTGCCCCTGCACAGCCTCAAGCTCATCGCGACGCTGCAGCACGAGCTGTGCATGTCAGGAGAGTCCCCCCAGCGCAACCCCCTTGTCGTGCGCGTCGAGGTGCGCGCCGGGCACGGCGCCGGGAAGCCGACGGCCAAGGTCATCCAGGAGACGGCCGACGTCTACGCCTTCGCGGCGCACGTCATGAACGTGCAGTGGCAGGCATAGGCGGCTCCAGCGCCCTCGTGCAGCACCGCACGACCGCGGCGCCGGCCGCCCGCGGGGCCCAGGCCATATCGCACCAACTGCGATGCGAGCGACTGTGATCGAAGATCGCCACGCAGCAATCACACGGAGGCTGTCGCGGCGCGCCCCCCCCGTCACTTGCGTCGCGCCGAGCACGCCTCCGCGAGCCAGTGGATCCCCTCGTCCAGCCCCTCGCCCGTCAGCGCGTTCGTGTGCATGATTTGCCACGGGTGGCTGCGCAGCAAGTCTGCACAGCAGCGTCCAGGGGAGGAGTGGTCTTCAAACCACACCGCGCACCCCGCAGGCGCAGCACACGCGATGTGCCGGCGCAGCACACGCGATGTGCCGGCGCGGGCCGGGCCCGGCGCGGCGTCCAGGCGCACCTGTGAGCTTCAGACGCTGCGCAATGGTCACTGGCTTCATCGACTTTGGCAGGTCCTTCTTGTTCGCGAACACAAGCACCGGGAGGTCGGGGCGGATGTCCTGCAGCCAGCGCCGCGCGCAGCGCGTCGCCGTCATGCGGGGCGCGTGCGACCGCTAGCAGCACGCGCACGCACGTCGGCGGCGCCCCACGGGCCGCTCGCGCGGCCGCAGCGAGGCTGCGCGGGGCAGCGGCGAGCGGCGAAGTAGCCCGAGGTAGCACGCAGGCGGGCAGGGCGTCGCAGGCGGCGTGGCGCGCGTCGGGCGCGCGGCGTGGGCTTGCCTGGTGCTCAATAAGCTGCTGCAGCTCGTTGCCGACGACGGCGAGGCGGATCTCGTCCGCGGAGTCCACGACGAAGACGACGGCCTCGCAGTCCCGGTAGTACGTTTCCCACAGCGCCCGGTACTTGCCGGCACCTGACATGTCGACGCAAGTGAGCGTGATGCCCGAGGTCGAGAATTCCTCGACCTGCGCGAACTCGAAGGCGCAGGCGCGGTCGCGCGCTCGGGTGGCCGGGGCTCCGCGCGCGGGGCGGCCGCGGGGCGCGTCTGCCGCGAGCGGGCGCCCGCTGGGGACGTGGCACGCACGCAGCGTGTATGCGTGCGCGGAATTGAGGCCGCGTGGAGTCGCAAACGAGCGCGTCTGGGTTGGGGGACGGAGGTGCATCGCTGGCACTCGCGGCGCTGCGGAGCGGCGCCGGAATGCGGCGGCGAGCTCGCGGTGCGGGCGCTCCCGAGGTCGCGGCCCCTGAGGGTGCGTGCATTTCCTGCCGACAGGCGCGCACCTGGAACCCGACCGTGGGCACGACCTCGGCGTTGCGAAGCTTCTCGGGCTTGAGCGACTCGATGATGGTCGTTTTCCCGCTGTTGTCCAGGCCGATGATCAGAACCGACAGCTTTTTGCCCCCAAAGAGCTTGGCTGTCGCCTTGGCCTCCTTCTTGCTCTCCTTCTTCGACAGCTGCCGCCTCACGGACGGCGCCTTCGCGGGGGCCGGGTTCGGGGCTTCCGCCTCCTGCGGTGGCGCCCCGGGCGCGGCCCCCTCCTTGCTGTTCTTCCCGCCCATCTAGCCAGCTCTCCTCTGTATGCCTCCACCTCACGCCAAGCGCCCCTCCAGGTGCCCTAGAATTGCACCTGCGACAGCCGCTGCGGGTAGAAACTTGACGGCGTGCTGTATGAAGAAAGCCGGTCGCGGCGTGGTCCCCGGTGCGCCACGAAGGCCTGCGCTGCACTGCTTGAAATTCTCTCGCGAACGCGTGCGCGCACGACGGCGATTCCCTTCCTCCGTGCGACGGCGATGATGCCGCGGTCCGCCAGCGTGAAGTAGCGCGGCCAGGACGCTGCGCGAAGCAACAGCGCACGCCACGCCCGAGAAAGCCTGAGACTGCCTCTGAGACGGCCGCTCCCGGTAGAAAACGTGATATGAAACCACGTCTCCAACGACCCAGCCTATTCAGGTTCGCCCGCTCCCGCTCCCCCGCACACCGGGCACGCGCACGCATCGCCTCACACCGCGCGGCTGGTCCCTTGCATGGAGAGCCGCCCCCTCGGCATCCTCCTCATCGTCGTCGCGAGCTCTTTCGCCGCGTACACCACAGCAGCACTCCTCGCCTCCCCCTTCGTCGACGAAACACACCCCCTCGCGGCCCTCTTCCCGCCCCGCTACGCCCTCCTCTCGGCAGCCGCCATCACCGGCTCGACGCTCCTCTCACTCTCGCTCGCCGTGACGGGCGCAGCGATCCTCCGGGAGGCCTGGAGCGCGGTCACAGCCCGCCAAGCAGCCTGACGGGCTGTGTGGCGCCCTGTCACGGACCCCGTCCCGCGCACGGACGCCCACGTGTGCGACGTATCCGCGCGCGACGGCGCTGGCGCGCAGAGGACCCATGCTGCGAGCGGGCGCGATGAACCTCCTGCGGGCAGCTAGTGCCCGGACGGCGGGCCGCCGGCACGCCCTCGCCGTTTCCGGCGCCGCACCGCAGGTACGTCGCATGCCTGTCCTCCTGAGCTCGCCGCGCTGCCGGCCGCACGCGCTCACCGGCCGTGGTCGCGCCTGGAAGCCCGCTTCTGCTGAACCGCAGCCGCGGACCGCCGCGCTCGGTGCGGGCGCTCTCCGACGCCGCGCGACCAACGGCGCGCATGCACGCCACGTGCTCCGACGCAGGGATGCGGGGCGCTGCGCTGGGGCGCGTCCACGCCCGCACACAACCGCCCCCTACCACCCAGGTCGCCCCGCCGGCACGTGCGCACCGCGGCCACCGCGGGCTCCGGAGGCTCCGGTCCGGTAAGCAGCACTACGCGCCCCGCCTTGCTCTGCGGCGCAACGCTCGCCACCTGCGACGCGCGCACCGGCAATGCGGCAACTGCGTGTGTTGCGTGGGAACGGTTCCGGCCCGCCTTGCGCTGCGCCATCCACCACGAGCGTCCCCCGGTGTCCGCAGCGTCCTCCGGTGCCCCCGTCCGGCGGCGGCGGCGGCGGCGCGGGGGCCGGCGGCGGCTCCGGGCATCAGGGCGGCGGTGGGGCGCTCGCGACGCTGTGGGGGGCGTACCTCGCGCACCTAGGGACCTCTCCGATCCTGACGAAGAGCGTCACCGCGGCGGTGATCAACGGGCTCGGCGACATGCTGTGCCAGGTGGTCTTCGAGGGCAAGTCGGTCACGCGGGGGACTTTTGACTCGTGGCGGCTGTTCAAGTTCACCCTGCTGGGCGGCGCGCTCGTCGGGCCCGTCCTGCACAACTGGTGCGGTCCCGGGCAGCCAGCGCGCGGCGTCGCGGACTTGGAACGCGATGCCGTGAGGCCCTGGAGCATGCATGTTGTTCTTGTTGTTGCTGTTGCGCGTAGGAGAGGCGCGCGTGCGCTGAGGAGGTCCGGACGAGTGCGCGCGCTGCGCAGGTACCTGACGCTGGCGAACATCGTGAAGGTGCCGGGCACGGCGGGCGTGGTGGCGCGCCTGGTGCTCGACCAGGGGGTGTTTGCTCCGTTTTTCATTTCTACCTTCATCGCGTGCCTGATGGCCATGGACGGCGACCTCGCGAACGTGCCGGCGAAGCTCCGGCAGGACCTCGGCGAGACGGTCGTCACGAACTGGAAGATCTGGCTGCCCTTCCAGTTCCTTAACTTCCGCTTTGTCCCTCAGCAGTTCCAGGTGCTGGCCGCCAACGTCGTCGCGCTCGTCTGGAACGTGTGCCTGAGCTTCATTTCCAACAGGGCCGTCGAGGACCCGGCGGCCGCGGGCGCGAAGAAGGCCTGAGTCGCCGCCAGTCAGAAGATGACGACCTACGAACCCACTTGCATGATGATATGATGATCCTAGGTCGATGCCTGGGTCTCAGGTTGCCATATCTTACCCCGCAGCGGGCACGCGCAGGCTCGCTTGGCACTGTGAGAGCCCACGATCGCCCATGCGCCTTGCGAGCCGTCGTCACAACAAGTGACTCCCCACAGGTCACAGCAGCGCCGCGGCACGGTCAGCCAAGATGCCCGCCATCAGTATCCCCCCGTACGTCACGTTCGAGTCGAACGCGGCCTGGCACTGCGCGGCGTCGTCCAGGTCCGTTTGCACCACCTGCCGCGCCAGGTGCGACCCCGCGGCCACCGCGCCCAGGAAGTACAGCGGTCCGCAGCCCGCCGCGCCGCCCGCGACCGCCAGCAGCAGCGCGTTCCCCGCGGCGAACGCGCCGAGCACTGGCCGCGTATTCTCCCCGAACAAAAGCGCCGTCGATTTCACGCCAGCAGCCACGTCGTCGCGCTTGTCCTGGTGGGCGTAGATGGTGTCGTAAACCATGGTCCAGCACGCGCCCGCGAGGTACAGCGGGACGGCGGCCGCCCAGTCGACCGACCCCGTCGCGGCCGCCCACCCCATCAGCGCGCCCCAGTTGATGGTCAGACCCAGGAAGGCCTGTGGCCACCAGGTCACGCGCTGCAGCGACGCACGCGGCGGGTGCGATGAGCGGCGCGCGAGGATCGCGGAGTGCGCATGCGCGTTCGCGAGCGACTCGGGACTTTGCGTAGCGGGCTTGTGCGGGGTGTGTGTCGCGTGCCTTCATGGCCGGGTAGGTGCCGACGAGCGCCAGGGACGCGCAGCCCATGTACTGCGCTGCGGGCGGGAGCTGCAGGAGGATGCCGAGTCCGGCGAGCAGCTGCGCGCCGAGGAAGGCTGTCGCGTTGAAGGGCGTGACGTCTCCGGCCGCGATCGGGCGGCCGCGTGTCCGGGCGACCTTCTTGTCGAGCTCGCGATCCCACAGGTCGTTCACTGTGCAGCCCGCGCCGCGCAGCAGCACCGACCCTGCGCCGCGAGCGAGGAACGCGATGCGAGACCTCATTTTGTGATCGGCGATTGCCGTCTCATGCGCCCGCGAGGAACGCCGAATCCTCTCGACCCGCTGTGCGAGCAACAGCAGCTCGCTCGGGCGAGGCACGGAGCCCGTCAGGCACCCGTGCACCCAGCGGCCGTCCACCGTCGCCGGCGCAGCACCAACACGCAACTCCGGTGCGTCCGTACCCGCGGCGAACAGAGGCAGCATCTCCCAGCCCGGCGCGAAGAGGAAGTCGTCGCCCCGCGGCATCGCGAGGCAGATGGACCACATACAAGGCCACATCAGGAGCAGCGTTCCCGTAGGTTTGTCCGCCCGCATAAGCCTCAAATACGGCCGCCAGGACTCAGGAGCGACCTCGTTGACCAGGCGGTGCCACAGCCGCGGCCGCGCGGGCGCCTGCCGTGCGGCGTCCGGGTCCGCGGCCGGCGCACGAAGCACCTGCTCGTGCACCGAAATGCCCGCGCTTGTAGAGGCTGACACGCGGCGGGCAGTCGGTCCAAAGACAAGGCTGTCTGGGCCACCCAGCGATGGTTCGTCGTCGCTGCGATGCCTGGCCGGCGTGCGGCGTCTGGGCGCCGCGACAGGCGACCACGGCTGCGTTGGGCGCAAACAGCGTGCATAGGAGAGCGAAGCGGGGCCCCCGGGGGCGGGGCGAGGATCCGGCGCGCACGCCGATGTGACGTTCAACTCATGATCTAAGACGGCGGCCCACGAAGGCTGTGCCAGGACGCGTGAAATCGCGCGTGCGCGCTGCATTGCGTGACGCGCACAAGAGCCGCGTTGCTCCGCCTGCAGCGCCCACGTCCGGACTCTCGAAGCTCGCTCGCGGGCTTGGAACGATAGTCCTATGTGGTGGACTCGATAGGGAACATACACGACGCAGAACTACGCGTGTGAGCTCCGGTGCGTCGCGTGGCGCACTGGACCCAGGCGCCGGGAAACCCTGGCCGTGCGCGCCTGCCACGCCTTGAATTCACGCCCTGTCGCTAGAACGAAGTGCCGCCGCGCGACCGGCGCCCCCACGCATTCATTCGTCGCCCAGCGACCCGAGAACTTCTCAGAAGGTGACGTCCCAGGACTGTTTTCCTCGTTGCATCTACTCGGGCCTTTTCGGCCCGGGTTCGGCGTTGCGGAGCCACTCACGGCACAGGCGCCTCCCCCTCGTTCGTGAGCACTCCGTCCGGGCGGCGAGAGACCCTCGAGAGGCACGTAGGCGGGGAGTTGGCACTGCAATGCTGGCCCGTGTCTCCCGGGGCCTGCGGGCGGCGGCTGCCCCGCAGCTGCGGGCCTTCAGCAGCGTCCCTAGCAAGGACATCAAGGAGGGCGACATCGTGGAGGACGCCATGTCGCACGCCAAGCCCAACCGGCTAGACGTCATTCTTCGGGGCGACGCTCTGGAGGCCTACGTGCTGCACTCCAGGACCGTAGGTGCGCGAGGGGAGCGGCGCGTGCCTCCCCGTGCTTGTTCCATGCACGCGCAGCGCCCCCCTGGCGGGGCGCGGCCGCACAGGGGCGGAAAAGTGGACTCAGACTTGTGGCGAGGTGTTTGCCGGTCCCCGCAGGAGGGTACACGTACGTCGGGGAGGACGAGCTCGGGAACAAGTATTACGAGAAGCCCGAGGAGCAGTGGAGTCGTCACCGGATCGTGCTCTACAAGTGCGCAGCCCCACCGCTCCCTGTCTTCTGTTAGCAACGACGACCCTTTTCCAGCGCCCCTGCACCCGGCCTGCGGGCTCCGGGCGCCGCGCTCTGCGCTCTGCCTCACCGTGGTCGGCCGGGCTGCGTTTGGTGTCGCGGCGGAGGCTGTGTGCGACGCGAGCGCGCCCATGCTGGCTCGCGAGCTCGCCCGGCCCTGCGCCGGCTCGATCCGCCGACCACGCGCACCGTCCCCGACACCCGCGCAGGGACAGCAACGGCTACGACGCAACCCACGTCCCCGTGCCTTGGCACGCGTGGCTGCACCACATGAGAGACCTGCCCCCCACCAAAGACGACTACACACAGCCCGCGTACGGCATCGCGAAGCTGCCATACGACCCCGCGGAGCCCTACGTGCAGAAGGGCAACTGGCACCACGAAGGCAACCGCACCTGGCGCAAGCGGTCGAGCTGGAAGCCTCCCAAGTAACCTCCCCGCACTGGCTCCTCGACCCGCGCTGTAAAACTCCACCCCACTCCCGCCTCGCGCCCTCCCCCACTCCTCACGGTCACGCCGAGGCCCGAGGACGTGCCCTGGCGCGCCGCGAACGCCCCCGAGCAACAAACACCACGCCCCGCTGGCGCTCCGCAACCGTTCACAACACGCACGCCGCCCGCTCGTCCGCCAGCGCAACGCCCGAGCGCCACGCACCGCCGGCGGCCTACACCATCGCCTTCTGCAGCGCCGTGTCCACGTTGGCGTAGCCCAGAATCCCCCTGTCCTTGTGCATCCACACGCGCCGCCCGCCGTCCAGCACCACGGTGCCGCCGCGCTGCAGGATGAGCTCGTCCTCCGCGGGCTTCAGCTTGTCCCAGCGCGCGAGGATGTCGGCCATGTTGAGCAGCCGCAGCGTCGCCAGCTCGAACGGCCGCTGGTAGCCGCGCCCGACGACGTCGAACGCGCCCGCGGGGAACGGGAGCGGGCGCGGGTCGTACGAGTCCCCCTTCCACACCTGCCCGACCCCGCGGTCGCCCAGGTACCCGCGAAACACCTCCGGGAGTGTCCCGGGGGACCCGAGGCCCGCACACATGGCCATCAGGCGCACGTACGGGTTCACGGGCTGCTCGCCGCCGAGCTTGAGGCCTGCGCGACAGCGCGGCGCGGCAGTCTGGGTCAGGCGGCGCCGGACGGGGCCGCGACCCACGCAATTGTGTTTTGGGTCTCGGCACCGAATGCCACGCCCGGCGGGTCGCTTGAGCGAGGCCGTGGCCGTGATCTGTGCGTGCTTTGTGGACGTGGGCCGAGGCGCTGGCTGCAGCGATCGGCCGGGCATGGGAGGGGTGTATTTCGTCATACCTGGCTCAAAGGACATCCTCTTGTACGACGTCGCGTCAGGGTCCATCCACAGCACGTCGTCGGGCAGGCCCGTGAGCTCGCAGAACAGCCGTCCGGACTCCGGCGACCCGATCGCCACCACGACGACCTTCACCTTCGAGTCTGCCTCCATCGCCGCGAGCCTTGGTCGCAGCGCCTGCGCGTACTCCCAGCTGTCGAAGTCCCCCAGGTGCGTCAGGAAGGCGACCAGGCAGCGGCCGGTGCCCACGAGGCTCCGCAGGTCCGCCACCTCCCCGGAGCCGGCGTTCGTCACCATGACATCCCCGAGGGCGTCGGCGTCGAGGGGCGCGTCCGACGGCGCCATCGTCGCGCGGGCGGCGGTCTCCGCCCCTGCGAGAAGAAGAAGGGACCTTCACGAGCTGGGGGCGGCGCGAGGCGGCGCTGCAATGGCGGGAGAACGCCTCGCCGCGTCCGTGCGGTGCTGCTCGCGTTGCGAGGGATGTTGCTCTGTTGCGCTGCAGACGTGCAGCGGTGCGTCGCGGAGCGGAGCAGCGCTTCGTCGGTGACGGAGCTAGCGGTACGTCAGGATTTCGGGGGTCGGCGAGCGGCCTCGCGGTCTGGCTACCGTGCCGGTGAACCCTACCTGCTGCATCGCGCTCAGCCCGCACGACGGACCGAAGCCAGCGCTGGCTGACCGAATGGGCGCGCGCGAAAGGACGGGCCTGGCCTCGGGGAGGCGCCGCGCTGGTCGCAGCCGCGCGCTGAGCGCTGCGTGCGGCAATCATGATGCCTGGGCCTATGATGTCGCCCGGGACGGCGCGTCGAGGACTTTGCCGAGGATGCGGTCGAGCGCTGCCCGGACGGTGGTGTCGTCTGTGACTGGCGAGGGTCGACGTGCGTCTCTGACTCCGCGCAGAGCGGTTGCACCGGGACCCCCCGCGGAGCCTCTCATACCGCGTCCCTGGCGTCCCTACGAGGCCGTGCGTGCACGTCGCGCGCGCAAACGATCCTCACATAGACGGTCGATCACCACATTCATACGGAAGCGGTAGATATCGATTCGAACGTGCGCAAGCAGCGCTGACGTGTGCGCGGGGAGTGGTTCGCCATCAACACGCTCGCTGAGGGGCTGAGAAGGTCGCTTGCGCGCCAGCGAGGGAACGTGACGATCTGAAGCACCGCTTTCGCGTGGCCGCTCAGCGCCATGACGGACGGGTTCGTCAGCCGTCACCACCTGGGGTGCATCCCGTCGGCCCTGCGGCTCCTCCCCGCGGCTTCCGCGGGCCCAACAGGCCCCGATGGCACCGCACTCCGCCATCAAATGATCTTGATCGGCGGCTACGACCCGCAGCAGGTGTGCGCCTCCACCGCCCCGCCTCCCGCCCACATCCCTCCCCAGCCGGTTCCGACTCCGGTTCCTCTCGCGCAAGCCCGCAACCACCATCCATTCAATCCTCACGCAGCTCCGCTATCACACCGCACCGCCGCAGCGCAGCAGATTGCCGCCAGCGCGCACACACGCGCGCGCTCTGTCAACGACGCTTCCTTTCAACAGCCGGCGACCCGCCCCGCGCCGCCACGTCCGGCGCAGGAGTCGGAAAGCCTCAACCTGTTCAACCTGACCACGGCCAATGCGCCGGACGGCACCGTGCGGACCGCGACGCTCGAGCTTGTGTCTGACCTGGCCCACACCGGAGCAGTCGAGTGCCTCGACGCCGCGCTGATCGGCCCGGCGGACGACGTGCTCGTCGTCAGCGGCAGCTCGCGCGGCCGGCTGCACGCGCTGTCCATCGGGGTGTCGTTCGCGCCGGGCGCCGGCCCCGACCAGGGCACGCTGCACTCGTACGACGACGTGGGCGTGCACGCGCACAAGAGCGCCGTCGCGGACGTCAGCATCAACAAGCAGACGCGCCAGGTGCGGCCCAAGGCGCGCGTGCGGACGTGGACGCGAGCGTTCTGTGCCGCTGTGGTGCCGGCGCGGCGGTTGGGGTATCTCGCTGCTTGGCGGCTTGTGTGGTCGCGCCTGACTCGACGTGAGCGCGCGCGCGGTGCAGGTCGCGACGGTCGGCCGGGACGGCGCTGCCCACGTGTACAACGTGGACCCGTCGGGGGGGGGACTGATGCGGGCGACGACGTTCGCGGGGCCCGGGTGCGGGTCCTTCACCGCCGTGCAGTGGGCGGGCCACCACGAGCTTGTGTCGGCGTCCTCTGCGGGCGGCCTGCAGGTTTGGGACACGCGGGAAGGACTCGAACGGAGAATTACATCCCCAGGTGAGGGCCAAAACACCCCTCCCGACCCCTCCTCCCGCGCCGAGCTCGCGGATGCGCGCACAGGGCTCGCAACACGACCGGACAATGCCACACCACCGCTCGTCCACCTACCCCTGCAAACGACGATCCGGAAGCGTCATGCTTTTCCTACAAATTTTTACTACAATTTTTTGCTTGTACCCCTTGTTTGTTTGCACGCGTGAACCGGCGCACGCCTGCCGCTCCGCGCAGACGACTGGCACAACCAGGCGGGCCTCGGCCACATCCGCGACCTGCACGTGCACCCGGCTCGCCCAGCGGAGTGCGCGGCCGCGGGGTCGACGGGTGCGGTGTCGCTGTGGGACCTCCGGTTCGCGCACAAGCCCCTCGCGTGCCCGCCCGACGCCGGCGACGAGGCCACAGCAGTGCGGCTGGCCGGGCGCGCCGGGGGCGGCGGTCTCGGCACGCTGGTGCCCTCGCCGATGATTGCCGCAACGGCGTCGGGGGCGGTGGTGCTCGTCGGGCCGTCAGGGGAGCGAGACGGGCAGCTCGCGGGGTCGGTGCTGGTCGAGGGCGGCGGGCTCGGGTGCGCGGTGCTGGGGCTGGACGTCGGGGAGCCCGGTGCGCTCGGGCAGGACGTGGTAGCAGTCAACGGGGGGGAGTGTCTGCAGTACATGCGGCTGCCCCCCGGAACACCGGGAATGTGACGCGGAACGTGCGGGCGTATCACAGGAGTCGTACGTGCAAGCCGCCTGGCGCGCGCTCGGGGCCGCTGACGCCCCGATCGGCTATGTTTGAGCACAGCGTGTGCGTACTCCACCGCCGTCGTTGCTCTCGGCCACCCTATCTCGGGTCAATTATATGGCCCTCAGTGAGCTCGTCTGCTTCGCTGAAGCTTATTCAGCGCATGTGCGTGTACAGCAGCAGAATGTAATGTCGTTACGAGCTCTGTGTGAGCAGAGCGCCACGCTGTGCGGTGTCAGGGCGCTGGGGGGGGTTCAGGGGGCCGGACTGGCTCGCAGGTGTCGAGCGAGAGGCAGACCTGGTCCCAGACGGCCCCGGTGTCACCGTCGCGTATCTGGAGGCACGCGCGCCGCCCCTCCACCTCTACCGTCCCGAAATTCATGCCGTACTTGATCCCGCAAGGTTCTTCCTTGTACCACTCGCCCTCCACTCCCACCGAGCGCGACCTCACGCGCAGCCCCGCGGAATTGTACATCCACGACGCCTCCCGCTCTCCGTCCGGACCATAACACTCCGAGGGGTCGTGCTCGCCCGCGGTGCTCGTCGTCATGCCGCTCGACATGACCTGGTAGATCGGGCGCCGCAGGTCCGCGGTCCCGAGCAACTCGGCGTACTTCGTGTCGCGGCCAGGCCGCAGGATCTTAAGGTCCCCCTGCATCACCCACGTGGCAAAAAACACCCCCCTTCGACAGCGAATTTCCGCACGGTCTGGCGCAGGATCTGCCTGGCGAGAACATGCGACGCCGCCGCGGGTCCGCGGCGACGGTCTGACGCGGCGCTCACCATGTGGTAGTCTCCAGTAAGCACAGCAACGCAACCCTTGGCGCGCGACAGCTCGTGCAGCAGCTGGTTGCGCGCCACCGCGTAGCAGTCCCAGTCGTCGCCCCCGCACTGTCCCTGGTACCGGTTCTCCCGCCCGTTCGTCCGCACAGGGTCGCTGAGCAGCACCGACCCCGACGCAACAAGAACGAGTTCGGCGTCGGAGCCGTCGAGCACGCGCCGCAGCCACCTGCGCTGCTCGCTCCCGAGCATCTCGCACAGCCCGAACTGGTCGCGTGCGTCGAACTCCTCGTCGTCCGTCCGAATTCTTATCGTGCCGTTTGCAAACACCTCCACAGGCTCTGTGCCGAACGCGGGCGCGGCCGGGTCGCAGGCCAGCGGGTACAGCGGGTCGCTCACGCTGGCGCGCGGGCAGCCCGCGTGCATCTGATCGTCGAGAGCACAGCACGCCCCGCGGCCGAGTTCGCCGCCGTTGACGCACAGGTCCCGGCACCACTCCACCATGCTCGGCACGCCCCCGCCTGGCGGGTTCTCCGCGAGCACGAACTCCGCGCACCACTCGCACCGCGCGGAGCACGGCAGCGGGTCGCGCGAGAACCTCTCGTCCAGCAGCACGACGTCGACCGTTGGCGCGTCTGCGCTCTCCGCATTGAGGCGGATCGCGTCGTAGATGCCGCGGACGCCGCTGCGGCGCGGGCTCCACGGAGACTCGCCGATCGCGTCGAGGTAGAGCTGTTGGAAGTCGTATTTGTGCGGCAGTCGGCGGTCCATGTTGTTGGCGCCGTAGTCGTGGTCGTCCCACGTGCCCGTGAGGAGGCGCGCGCAGAGCTCGGGCTCGCGGCCGAGGGGCGGGAAGTGCGTGCTCCTCGTCTCGTGCCCTGGGCACATGAACTCGAGGAATCGCTGGTAGTCGCGATTGTATAACTGTGCCTGCATCCTTCGCCTTGCATGGCCGAGGTCCCCTGCCCGGCACATGAACGGCGGCCTCGACAGCCACGTGGGCTCGCAGTTGCACTCTGGGTGGTCCGGCAGCACGAGGCAGTTGACGAACGGCATGTCAAGGTATGAAAAGTCCCCCACCCACACCCACGCGTCAGGCTCGGCGCGCATGATCTGGTCCCAGATCGGCTGCGGCCGCAGGTCGTACGCGGTGCAGCTGCCGAACGCCACGCGCTTGACGGTCCTCGGCCACCGCTGCGTCCCGCGCAGCGTGTTTGTTACGGGCCCCGGCGGGGGCCCGCGGCGCGCGTTCTCGCCGGCGAAGAAGAGGGCGAACCCGGCGAGGAAGAGGGCCGCGCAGCCGAGGAACACGGCGCCGCACGTCGGCATGGAGAGGCGCAGATGCTCTGGATGCAACCGTGCGTGGCCAGGCGCGACGACGGGCAGCTCCTGCGCGCGAAGTGAGGGGCAAGCTCCGCCGCGTGAGACTCTTCGGGTTTGAAGGAAGCGATCTGGAGCAAACGAAGCGCATCTGCGGTTCGTGCCATCGTTGCGGGGAGGCTTTGAGGTACCTCAGAGCTGTGCCGGTCCAGCCGTCCCATCTCTATCTCTGTCCGAACCATAGGGGCCTCGACGTGGTCATCGTATAGGTCGGCCCGCTGGCGGCGCGCGGGGCCCGGGGCCTTGCCGCCGCGCGCCATATCCGCACCCGGTGCCCCTCCCCGGTCCCTCGTCCCGGTCACAACATGCGCATTCACGCTGAGTCAGTCCCGGGCTACAGGGGCTGGCCGACGCGCAGACTCGCCGACGTCCCGCGCGCCGAGCGGCCCTGAGCCGGCCGCGGAGAGAACCCCCGTGTCGGGGAGGACCGAGCAAGAGAGGCCTCTGACGCCTCGCTCGGGGCCCCTCGGGCGCTGTTGCGGCGCTGGCGGTAGCCCGTCGCTGCAGTGACTGCGCAGCAGGCCTGACAGGCAGATACAACGCACCGTATAATCGCGTACGCCCTCGAAAGAGCAGCGGTGAGGTGTCGCGCCTCACGCAGCCGGAACGGGGATCTAGGAGGCGACGAAGCGACGCTAGACGCCAGCGCGTGTGCTCGTGGCACCAGGCCGCAGAGTTGACCGAGCGCGTTCCGTGTGACGTCAGGACCGATGGCGGACAACAGGGACGGCGCGGACGCCTCCGGCTCGTCCGTGCTGCCTCCGCACATCCTCGCCGCGATCGTCGGGGACCACAGCAAGGTAGGGGCGCACCACGGCCGTCCTGCGGCGGGCCCGCGCGACGAAACGGCGCCGTGCGTCGCGCCCGCACGCGTGCGCGCCAGTGCCGTCGCCCGCTCCTCACGTCCCCGCTGCGGCCGGCGCTGCGAGGTGCGCAGGAGCAGAAGCAAGACGCGTACAAGAAGTCGCTGTGCAACTGGTGGGACGAGTACAGCCACCGCAAGCGCGACGAGGACCACGAATATGTCGCAGACTCGTTGCTGTTCGACAAGTGAGTCCCCCCGCGCGCTCGACCGCGTTTCGCACGAATCACAGCGCCTCCTCCCCGCGGACGACCCGCTCGACCGCGCGACACGCGGCGCGAGCGGTCGAGCGCAGCGGGGCGAGGGTCGTGCTGGGCAACTGCCTAGCGGACGCTCTCCGCGCCGTTGCCCCGCAGGAACGACCTGCCGCGCATGGCGCCGGCGCCCAAGGAGTGGGAAGAGCGGCAGGCGCGCCTGAAGGAGGGCGGGAAGGGCGGCGCGGCGAAGAGCTCGGAGACTTCGGCACCCTCGAAATGACAGCAGTTGTTGCCGACGCACCGCTTCGGTCGGCGCCTGATGTGAGCGCGGCGAATCATTTGAGGCCCCTTGCAGTCTGCTGTGCGCCCCGCGCCGCGTAAACCGCCACGAACGACCATTACTTGGCACTGGCCGCCGTCTGACAGCCTGGACACCCCGACAGCGGGCCAGCCGGCGCGTGACGAGAGCGCGAGCGCGCGGGCACGCACTCACAGAACCCGTGTGCGCGGAGTTCGGCGGTCAGTCAGCAGCGTCGTTGCGTGAAGAGGACGGGGCGTGCGTCGGCACTTCTTGCGTGCCAGGTTTCACGCGATGTGCGCGGCGGAGGGCGATTTCATCAACAAGCCGTACGACGGCGTGAAGCAAGGGTACGTCTACAAGACAGGGGACCGCGGCGTGGGGTACTACAGGTGCGTCCGCCGCCACAGGCGCCGCCGCAGCACTGCCGGCTCCCGCCCCCACCTGGAAGCTTCCGCCATGCGCCGTACACGCGCCCTCGCCGCCCGGTTCGCGCTCCTCGCGCGAAACGCATACGCTGTCCCAACCATCGAGGTCGACGCGGTCTCGTCTCGCTCCCTTCGCCCCACGCGCGCGGCAGATGCCCGCCCTCTTGCGCCCACGCCGCTTCGCGCCGCCGTGACGCCTCGCACCGCGCAGGGACGACGCTCCGGCGAAGCCCCAGCCTCCCGTGCACGATGACGCTGCCAGGTGAGGCGCGCCCGCTCGCGCGAGGCCCCGCGCACGCCCACCCCCCCCAGCGCACACAAACCACGGGAATGTCGCGCTCAGGCGGCGCGGCGACGCGCTCGAACGCCGCCCAGCCGCTCACCGACGAGGCACGGTGCGCCGCCACGCAGCGACGACGAGGAGGGCGACGTGGACCACGTGGCGGAGCGGCGGCGGCGCGAGGCGGAACGTCTCAAGGCCGAGGACGACGCGCTGGTCCAGGAGGACCCGATCTTCTGGCACCGCATGCCGGAGAACCCCGAGCGCAACCCGACGTACAGGGCGATGAAGGAGCTGCAGGACGAGCTCACTCCGCGGGAGCGCGCGGAGGCCGCGAAGAAGGAAGGCAACACGAAGTTGCAGACGTATTTGCGATCGAAGAACCGGTTCTATTTGAACGAGGCGGTGACCATGTACACGAAGGGCGTGGAGGAGAAGGTCGAGGACGCGCAGCTGAACTGCCTGCTCCTCGCGAACCGCGCGCAGTGCCACCTTTACTTGGGCAACCACCGGCGCTGCGTCGAGGACGCCCGGAGGGCCATCGGGCACGACGCGAAGTACATCAAGGCGTATTTCCGGGCCGCGCGGTCGCTGCTCGCGCTCGGGGAGCTCGAGGAGTGCGAGGCGGTGTGCGCAGCGGGGCTCGATGTTGAGGACGCGCCGGAGCTGCGCGACATCCGTTCGGCGGCGCAGCAGCGCCGGGCCGCCGCAGGTGGGCCGCGCACACGATTTGCACGGACTTGGTCGACGACGCGCGTGCCAGGCCGCCCCTCCGGCGCCGTGCGCGCGCGAAGATCGCTCATTGCGCCATCGCAGGCACTTTCGCGGCCCCTTTCTCTGATTCTTGGCGCGAAGCGCCCGCGCCGCCCGGCTGCCCGCAGCGGAAAAGAAGCGGCGGGAGACAGAGGAGGCCGAGCGCAAGGCGCGACCGGCGCGCGCCCTCGCTGCGCTCCTCGCGCAACGCGGCTATCGCTTCACGCTGCCGCAGTTTGCGGTCGGAGCGACGCGGCGGCCGTGGGCCGAGGACGCCGCGGGTGTGTCGGACCCCCCCGGCCCGCTGGACCCCGCGCAGTGCGTCGTGCACTTCCCGGGGGTGTTTATGTACCCTGAGCGCGGTGCGCAGGACGCCGTGGAGGACATGGAGGAGGGGGTGTCTGTCGGGGCGCACGTGGACGCGATGCTGGACCCCGGGGCGCCGCCCGCGGCGTGGGACCCGGAGCGCGACTACCGGCCGGAGACGGTGGAGGTGTATTACATGGCGTACGCCGGGCGGGAGCTGAGTACCCCCGAGGTGGTCGAGGCGATGCAGGGGCGGTGGCCCGACGCGGCCGGGGAGGCCGAGGCGATGGGTGAGGCCGGGCCGCGGCGGTACGGGAAGCACGCGGCGCGGTGGGTGCGCGTCGACCTCGAGAAGCCCCTGGGGGGTGTGTTGCAGGAGGAGGGGTGTATTGTGCCCGGCGTGCCAGTATTCTTCGTGGTGCGGAAGGGCACGGAGTACCGGGACAAGTTCCTCGATAGCGTCAACGCATGAGCCGGCTGCACGCTTCCGCACGCGAAATCTCCTGGGCCGCTCTTCGCGGGTCGCGTGCGCAGCGCAGCTCGTGCGGCCGGGCGGCACGTCGCTGTGACGACGTGCCGCGGATCGTCGCCGACCCTCTCCTGCGCTCCCGCCCTTCCATCGCGCCGGCGCGGCGCGGGAGCGACCCCTGACAACACCCCAAACCCCTCCCCCTCCCCCCGCCGCCGGTCGCGGGAGCGAGGCACCGCGGACTCGGTGCTGCTGCCGCCTGGACAGGCGGGCGCACACGTGTGCTGGAGCGCGGATAGACGACCGCGGCTGGCGCATGCAGTGGGCTGCCGTGGAGCCTCCGTCGCGCGGCTGAGCGCGCGGCGTGCGTCGCCAGGGCGCAGCAACAGGACGGGTCCGGCGGAGGCACGGCCGCCTCCATCGGCGTGCTGGCGAGCGCGGCCTCGACGCGGCGGGTATAACGCGACGGCAACTGACTCCAGCGACTGACTTGACTTCTACTCCACGAGACGTCTGTCAGGGCGCTGCCGGAGTTCGACGGATCCCGTGCCCTCGAGGTCTCGGCTCGGAGGCGGTCGTGACACTCCCCTTTTGTTCGACAGGGGCGCGCGGCATCGCGCAGGGGCGCCTCTTCCTTGCCGTGGTAATCGAGGGTCCACCAGGGGCTCCGCGAGCCGCAACTTGCGCCTCTCTGCCGCGGCGTCGCTGGACCGCGAAGGCGTGTGCTGGCGGAGCGCGTGGTCTCGCGTCCTTCGAGCGAGCGCACCGTCAGCGAGGCGATTTCCCTGTAGCTCTGAAGCAGTTGGAGGCGCTGCCTACGTCGAGTACCGCGATTCTACGCTGGTTCCAACCCCCAGGTGAGGAAGATCCCGATCGAAGCTGTTCCTCTCGCTCGGACGCTCCGGACAGCGGCCGGCGACCGCGGCGGAAATCTTTGGCGACCCTTTCGCCGCCGTCTCTTTGCGCGTCGTCGGGGACCAATGTGGAGGTCGAGGCGATGTTTGGCCTCGATTTTCGGCCAATACCTGTACTCGGGGGATGGAAATCGCCGGTGTTCCCGCACTGAGACGCCCAGGCGCCTGTCAACGCTGCGAGATCAGCCTAGGTGCCCCTGAATCCGATGCCACGCACTCCCCAGGAAAGGATCTCGCCTCTCGCGCCGCACTTCGTCGTGTCCTTGGATGGAACATATCGTTCTGGCCTAGGTTGGGACCGGAATTGGCCCGAAATCCCCGCTCAACAGATGCCCTTGGCGTCTGATCTCAAGCCCGCGTTGCCCACTACGCGCCGCTCTATCCGACGACTCCGAGGCGTGCGTGCCATCCTTGCAGATGAAGGTTCCTACAGCCATGCGGGCACGCTATCGCTCTCCCGTCCGGGGCGGCCTTGGCGCGTTCGCAGCGGCGCTGATTCTGGTCGCGCTGCTGCTCACGGGAATCGCAGCAGCTGCGGAGACCGCAGCGGAAATCGCATCTTCGCGTCATGCCGGCGCACCGGGCGGCGCGAACACGGACGCAAACGACACCGAGTCGCCAGCGGTCAACGGTCCGGTCAAAGAGACCCACTCCCTCGAGGACACGCCCGCCGGTCCCCTCAAGCGGCGTCGAGCGGTGCGCCACCTCCCGCTCGTTCTACGGCCCGTCTGCGGCCCTCGACTCGCGGGAGCGCCCCACGCGCAGCCATGCCCCACGCGCAGCCATGTTGGCATGTTTCCTGCCAACAGCAGGGGCGCTGCATCGACCCTGCGCCCCCTGCCCGCACGCCATAATGCCACGACGCCCCCTCGCTGTGCCGCAGCTCGCGACGGAGGCGCCCTTGGGGACGTGCAGGGTGCACTGGACGCTGTCCACCTTCCTGGGTGACGGCGACACGTCGCGCAACAGCAACCAGGGCGACAGCATCGACGGGTCCGGCGCCGGAGCTGTCATCGGGAACCAGATCCGGTCCATGACATTCGGTCCCGATGGCGCGCTCTACTGGTCCGAGGTCAACGCGCATGTGGTCCGCAAGGCGACGGTGTCGGGGACAGTGACGACAGTCGCAGGCACGCGCGCCCTGTAGCAGGCCAGCAGGGGCTGCGTAGTCCAGACCACCCGCAATGCCGACGTTCAAAGCGCATTTCGTTCCGAACCGGCACGTTGAGACGCGGGCTCCACATTGTGCTCCTGTGCAGGCGTCAAGTATTCGGGCGGCATCGCGGCGGGAGCGGCGACGACGACTGCGCGTCTGTACGTCCCGCACGGTCTGGCCTTTTCGCGGGACGGCAGGCTGTACATTTCCAACAGGGCCAGCAACGCAGTGATGTTTTTGGCCAGCGACGGCTCAACCGTGCAGTTGGCGGTCGGCGCGACGAACGGGGGCACGCCGAGCACCCAGTCGGGCGCGGGGCTGAATCCTCCGCTGAGCACGGACGGGACAGGGCGCCTCGACGGCCCCGTAGGGATCTGCTTCGACCGTGACGACAGGCTGATGATCGCCGACACGTACAACAGGCGCATCCTGCGCTACGATCCGAGCGCCAACACCCTCGAGGTACATGGGGGGAGGTCGGGGATTGCAGGAGCCGGCGACGGGGCGTTGGGCACCGCGACCGTGTCCACCGTGACTGGGGTGGCGTGCGATCATGCCACAGGCAACACGTATTTCATCGACACCGTCTACGGCAGCACGCCCGGATACGGCTTCCCGGCCTCTTATTCGGTCAACCTCGCGGGCAACCGTCTGCGCGTTTTGGACCAGTTGGGGACCATGACATCCATCGCGGGGCTGAGAACGCACAGGTTACATCAGCACGGCAGCGACGGGTTCGGCGTGCTCGCGGAAATTCCATACGCCGAGGACATCGCTATGCTGAACGGCTACGTCTACGTCTCCGCGGAGAAGCATTACACGCTGCACATGATTCAGACCACAGGCCATGGTGGGCGGGGCGGAACGACGGTCACGATCGCGGGCTGGCCGCGCTACACGGCGCTCACGACCGGCAACGCTTCGGACCCCGCCACCAGGTTGCGGAACAACGGCGGCGTCGCGGTGGACCCTGCGACCGGGGACGTGTACGTCGGCAGCTCACCTGGTGCGCTCATTCAGAAGCTCTCGCCCGCTGCGGGGGCGGAGGCCTGCGTCGACGACATCTTCCCCTCGCGCGCGCCGGGCTGCGATAAGTCCAGGTCGCATGTTGTCAGCCAGGGCGTGGCCTACAGCTGGCCTGGGGGGCACAAGCGCTGTCGCACGGGCCACCCCACCTGCCAGCTGCTCTGGACAACGTACTACAGGGCGGGGACGCCGCCCTTCGTCGATCCCGTGACCATGCAGCCCCTCAGTTCCTATGGGTTGCACGACCCACTGGCGCTGCTGCTGCCCTGGATGCACCAACCACACGAGTCGCCGTACCTCGCGGAGGAGCACTTCTTCGATCAGCGGAAGCCCGGTCCCGCAGCCTCCGGCACGTGGGAGTACTACGGCAGGCAATGCTACAACCATGCCACGACCTCGGGGCGTTGGGTGACGGTCCTCAACTCCAACGCGGACTTCAGGTACCTGAGCGTCCCGGACGGGCACGCCCAGACGAAGCTCTCGCGCGCGACGTTCGAGCTCCGCGCGGGGGAGGTCCCGGCGACGCTCCGGATGTTCTTCGTGTGTCAGGACCAGTGCACCATCTACGTCAACGGCGAGCGCGCCGCCGCGAAATGGTTCACCGACACCAGCACCTGGTCCGACGCCCACTACAACGCCGCGAAGCTGGACAACGTGTGGATCGACCTCGGCACGGACCACGCAGGGGAGGAGGAGTCCATGATCGGGTACCACTGGAGCTGGACGGGGGGCGGCTATTACCGCAAGAACGTGCCGCTGCGAGAGGGCCGGAACACGATCGACGTCGTGCTGTACCAGCACGACGAAGGGCGGTCGTTTGCGTACGCGTTCTGGCCGCTCGACGCCGCGAATTCGTTTCTGAACAACGCGCGGAACTGCATTGGCCCGGCGGAGACCGGCCCGGAGGGCGCGGACATCCTCGACGCGGAGAAACCGGTGATCGCGTCGAGCGACGGCGCGTTCTTCATCGGCGAGCCGACGGACGGCACGCAGGCGCCGAACGCCGGGCGCGTGGCCGTTGCTGCCTACAATACCACGTCAGACGCGTGGGAGACCGTCGCAACCATCACCAGCGACGACACTGCTGCTGGGTCGCGTCTTGGCGCCGACGTCGCTGCGTCGGCGGGATGGGTGGTGGCGGGCGCGCCCGGCCATGCGGGCGGAGCCGGCGCCGTCTTTGTGTTCCGCTCGACGGGGGGAGTCGCCGGGCCGTACATTCAGGTCGAGATCCTGCATCCTTACGCCAGCAGCAGCGACACCAGCTTAGGCGCCGTGGTTGCGATGAGCGAGGACGCCGAGAACCTCATCGTGAGCGCCCCAGAGTCAGCCGCGCTCTATTTTTACGCGCGACAGGCGAGCGAGCAGAGCTTCCGGATAACCACGTTGGACAGGCCGTACATCGGCGGCTCGACGATGCCGGGAAACCTCGCACCAGCCCCGGGCTCAATCGCCATCGACGCGAAGTGGGGCCTGGCGGCCGTGGCCCACCGTGACCTCGCGGGCGGCACCCCAGACCACGTGCTGATCTACCACGTCCGTGATCAGCCCCATCCGGCCATGTGGGAGGTTACGACGGTGATCGACACGAGCAGCACGGCCCAGCTCGATGGGCAGCCAGTGCGCGGCTGCACACACGCGATTCAGCTGCAGTACAAGACGTTGGTGATGGGGTGCCGTGGCGAGACCAGCGGAGTTTCGGGCAACCAGTACGTGGCTGGGACCGTCAAGACGTACAGGATCTTTTCGGATGGGCTGAGACAGGGTCAGGGCACGGATCCGCCGTTCAATGTTGCGGGCCCGGTCTTCTACAGCTTCGCTGACAAGGACGGCACGTCCGGCACGACGTTGCAGCACATTGCGTCGCGGGTGTCCGTCCAAGGCGATCTGTACGGCTCGGCCGTTGCGCTGGCGGACAACGGCGCGACGCTGTACGTTTTGTCGCCGTGGGACGGCCTCGAAATGTTTGAGCTGGTGCACTTGCAGTCCAGTGATCTGTATGGTCCGTCTGCCTGGATCCTCAAGCACACTGTGCCTGCGAAGGAACTCGGCGTGCTGGACGTGGACTACTCGCCCCGGTCCCTGGTTGTCGGCAGGGACGGCCTCATCGGCGTGGCCACCGCGGAGGGCGTGCGCTCATTCCAGTTCGTCTGCAGCAAGGCTGGGCGCGCATGCACGCCTGCGGAGCGCAAATCGTGCCCCGCGGGCACGGCGCGGTGCGTCATGACCGACGCCGGGCACCACTGCGTTCCCGAGGACGGCGCGGCCTCCTGCGCTGACGCGCACGTGGCGGAGACCGTCGCGCGGGGTCTCGGGGCGCAGTATCTGACGATGCACCAGGGCACGATGTATGCCAGCTCGGACCACGACGACCGCGTGTACAGGGTGAAGGATCTGCGGACCGGCGAAGTCGAGACGTTCGTCACCGGGCTTGCAGATCCTGTTGCCGTGGTGGTGCGGGGCGACACAGCCTACGTCGCCGTGTCGCGCGACCACACCATTCGGAGCGTGGATCTGACTCAGAAGGGCCCGCTCACGCAGTCGCAGCTTCCGGTGGTCGTCGGCGCGTCGGCGAACTCGGGCACGGCGCTTGGGTCGGCTGCAGCCTCCCGGCTGTACTGGCCCACCGGTCTGGCGTTCCAGTCCTCGGACGAGCTGCTGATCGCGGACAAGGACAACCACCGCATTCTGCGGCTGACGATGTCCACGTCGACGGTGGAGCTCGTCGCGGGCATCGCGGGGTTCCGGGGCTTCCATGACGGCCCTGCGCTAGAGAGCACGTTCTCGGCGCCGATCGCGCTGGCGTGGGACGCCGCGAACGGTGCGATTCTGGTCGCGGACTACGAGAACGAGCGCATCCGCCGAATCGCTGGCGGGTTCGTCACGACCTTCGCGGGGACCCGCAGAGTAGGCCTTTCGGCGCTGGACGGTTTCCGCACGTGCGCCCGGTTCGCCGTCCGCCCGACGGACGTGAAGGTGGACAGCGTCGGCAACGTGTACGTGGCGGACTCGGCGCATGGCCTCCGCATGGTCAACGCAACGACCGGGAACCTCGTGACGCTCGCCGGCGCCGGGAAGGCCACGCCAGGCGCCGGGGCGTACGTGGACGGACCGGCGTCCGCTGCCCTGTTCTACGCGTACTGGATGGGGCTGTACGTCAACGAGACGGCGTCCGGCGTCGACGCGGTCTACATGGGGGTGTCAGCAGGTGTCGCTTACAAGGGATTCATTCGCCGCGTCGCGCCGTACAAGGGCCCGGATGCACCGCGGGCCGCACGCGTCGGACAGCACTCCGCGTGCGGCACGCCCAGGACCGGGCTGCTGTCGTGCGCGCACTCGCGGCAGTCGTGCAGCGACGTCGGCGGCTGTCCTGACTCGCAGCTGTGTCGCGATCATGAGCTCGGCCACCTCTGCGGGCCCCCGCCGACCGACTTGCAGTGCGCAGCCAACTACACGGTCACTCACGTCGCCGGCCACACCGGCGGCTTGCGGCCGTCGAGCCACTTCAACGTCGCTGCAGACGAGGGGCCAGGGCGCGCCGCGAATCTGCAGAGCGTCTACAGCATCCACGCCTTGCGCGCCGGCGGGACCGTCTTCGTCGGCTCGTGCGACCGCGACTGGGTGAAGCGGCTGAGCGGCCCGGGCCTGGCCACGGTGGACGTCATGGTTGCTGAGACCGACCGCCTCTACATGCACTGCCCTTGGGGCATCGCCGTCGCTGGCAACGACCTGTACGTCAGCAACAAGTACAGCTCGGGGGGTCCCTCGTACGTGCTCACGCGCTACTCCTTCGCGGACATCACGGACCCCGCGAGCAGCGTTACGAAGGCACACATCGGCAGTGCCAGCGGGACGGCGGGCGTGTCGGGGGTGCACACCAGCGTCAAGCTGGAGGCGGCGATGGGCATGGACGTCGACGCCGCGGGGCGGGTGCTGTTCGTTGAGAACAAGGGCAACCGCGTGCGTGTTTACGATCCTGCGACTGGCATCATTTCGAAGCTGGCTGGGACGGGCTACGCGGGACACCGCGACGGCCCGGGCAACCGCGCGTCCTTCGCGCACTTGATCGACATCGCGAACGACCACGTGACCGGCATGACGTACGTGACGGAGCGCATGCCTGTCGCAACAGGGAGCCACTGGGGCGGTGGCGTCCGTCAGGTTGCTCCCGACGGCTTTGTCACGACCATTGCGGCAGCGTCCTCAACTGAAACTGCTCGCGGTGGGTTCGGGATGTGCGCGGTGGTGATGAGGGAGCTGGGAATGGTCGCAGCGCACAATGGTGAGGTGTTCTTCACGACGACGTACGAGGACGATCGGCAGGTGATCTACAGACGCGCCGGAGGGAGCATCGATGTCATCGTCGGCAACGAGGGCACGGCGTTTCCGCTGTCCGAAGTCGGCGGCGGCCCGATGTTCGGCCCAGGTGACATCACGCGACCGTGGAACATCCTCGGGCTGGCGTACGAGCCGAGCTCCGGAAAAGTCGTCTACACCAGCGTCGGGGCAGTGTACGCCGTCGAGCGCACAGGGCATTCCTGCCCCGTGCACGCCCGCCCGCCCTCGCCGGGGTCCCTGTGCGGCACAAAGTACGACCGCGTCGGTTGCGCCGCGGCCTCGTGCCCGTCCGGGACGACGTGCGTCGAGGCGGACGTGGGGCACCACTGCAGGCCTGCGAACACCAGCGCCGCCGCGTGCGACGAGGTCTGGAGCGTCAACACGCAGGCTGGCACTGGCCAGGAGGGGGCCGGAGACGGGTACGGCGTGGCAGCGCCGCTGGCTTCACCCCGAGGGGTCGCTGTGCGGTCGAACGGGGACGTGTTCTTCCCGGTAGGCAACAGGGTCTTCAAGATGGATGCCACGAACGGGTACGTGTCGGCGTATGCGGGAACGGGGGCTACGGGGAGCTCCAGCGGAGTGCAGGTGTCGGCGGCTACATTCTACGAGCTCGGCGCGATGGCTGTGGGGCCGGACGACACGCTCTGGGTCCTCGAGCCCACTGTGTGCAGGCTCAAGTACATCACCTCCACCGGCTGGGTCTGGACGTTGTTCTCTGCCGGTTGCGGACGCGGCAGCAGCGACCCAGAGCCGGGGCACCTCGCGTACCCCACTGACATCGCCACAGGGGGGGCTTCGTCACAGCGCTCACCCGACCCCTCGCTCACCCGGCCTCTGTCACCCGGCCTCTCGTTCGCCGAGGGAGCGAGGGGAGGTACACGCCGCTAGCACCTCGAGAAAGGGCACAGCCACTACAATGCCCAGTCAGTCTCAGTCAGACCAATACCACCGCCCACACAACTACCAGTGGTACCTCGGAGTGCCTACTTGGGGGTCCTGTCGTGTCGCCACAATCTGATGATCGTAGGACCGTGCATTCCCCCAGTACCAGAACTTTCTTGTTTGTTTCATTGTTCTTCGCTGTTCGATGTGTTGCGCGACGCACGCGGGACCGCGTGCGTCGCTGGCCCTGGAGACGTCGACGCCTCCGAGGCTCACCCGCGCCGCGACTTGGCCTTGCGCGGCTTGGGCGCCTTAAACGGCACCGTCTTCTTCTTCTTCGCGCCGTCGTCGCCCCCGCCCCCCCCGCCGTTGTCGCCCCCGCCCCCCCCGCCGTCGTCGCCCCCGCCCCCCCCGCCCCCCCCGCCGTCGTCGCCCCCGCCGCCGTCGTCGCCCTCGGACGGTCCCTGGCTGGCGTCGTCGTCAGCGCCGGGATCATGGAGATAGGCCGGGCGGTGCGCGCCGGCCAGCTCCGCCATGTTCATGGCGGCGTTGCGGTCCCTCGGCACCAACTTCTTGCAGGTGGGGCACCATCGGAGGTCGTGCACGAGGCGAAGAAACTTGCGCGCTCCAGAGGTGCCTTGACTCGCGTCCTGCTGCTTCTCCACGTACGTGTGCACCTCCTCCGTGTCCCCATGGCACTCATGGCAGGCCTTGGTGGTGTGGTGCTCGTTCACGGCCTTGAAGTCCGGATGGAAGGTGAGCTTGGCCTTGCGACGAACCGTTGAGACCGGGGCGGGCAGGCAGCCCCGTCCGGACCCGGAGAACGCCGCGTCGCCGCACACCATGAGGTGAGGCGGGCGCTTGACGCCGTTGTTGCCGCGTCCGGTGCGCGCGCAACACCTCTTCGCACCGCGAAGGTCGCGGCTGATGGCCTTTTGCGACAAACGGTGCACCCTGAAGCGTTCCCGCGCCCACTTGAGCTGCGTGCGCAGCCGCCAGATTTCGTCGTAGATGGTGCCGTAGAGCTCGGCGGCGTCCTCCACGCCCTCCGGCTTCGCCGTGACGAACCTCTCCATCACGTCGTCGAACTTCTTGGCGCGCTCCCTCGCCCGCGCGCGACCCGCGTCGTCCTTGGGGCGCACCCAGACGTCGCGCTCCGGATCGAGCACTTGCCCCTGCCAGGCGCGCGTCCGCAGCGCGCGTCGCCTCTGCCCGCTCTCCGTGCGGTAGCGGGCGGCCGTCAGCGGGGGGCGCGGGATGAACGTGCCGTCCGGCCGCTTGATGACGGCCTGCGAGACGTTCTTCCTGCCGTTGTCCACGCCGACGACGCACTGGTCTTGGAGCGGCGTCCGCGGGCCAGCGACCTTCTGCGCCTCCTTCGGCGGCCCCGTCCCAGTCGCGCACTTCTTCTCGAAGTGGAAGTCGATTCCCGCGCCGTCCGTCGCCACCAGCATGGAGAACTTCCACCCACCGGCCCCGCGCATGCGCCTGCGCTCGCCGTCGCCGGGACCGTGCGCGCGCTCCTTGAAGCGTGACTTCGTCTTCGTCGTCGCGCTCGGCTTCTCCCCCTCGGCCACCTTGCCGCGTGGCACCGTGGTGTCCCTGCGCTTCCGTGCCGGCTTCTTCATCATCCCGAAGACCTTGGGCCACCAGAAGTCGTTCGCACGCTTCTTGAAGGCCTCCCGGCCAGCCACGCTGAATGACCCGGGGTCGTTGTTGGTGCGGCCAAAGTGCTCCTCCCACTCGCTCGTCGCACGGACCCGCTTGTCATCGCGACAGGCGCGAAGCAGTCCATGCAGCACCTCGGTCGTGATGGCGACGTACTGGCGCCGCGCGTGGGGGCGCGGCGCCAGAGTGAAGGACTGCCGCAGCTCGAGCCCCTCCTCCTCGCACGTCTTCAGCAGGAGCGCGTAATAGCGCAGGACCTCCCACGGGTGATCTTCGCGCCACTTCTCACCCCTCACGACGTCCGGTGCCTCCGCCTTGTACGTGTACTCGCCCAAGATGTGCCCGTCGTCGTCGCGCATCGGCAGATGTCCCTCGCGCCACTCCTTCCACTCGCGCGGTCTGAGGGCCTCGCGGTGATCTGCGATCAGCTGCATCATCTCCGGCGTCGGCGCGTTGACGGAACCGGGCTTCATGTCGTCCATCTGCTCCGCCTTCGGGTCCCCGTTGATCTTGCCCACAATGTAGATGAGACGCCGCAAGCGTACTTTACGGTGGTCACCGGGCGCCTTCACCCGCAGCCAGGCGCGGATGACCTTGCGCTGGCGGGCCTTGAAGGTGTTGTCGAGACAAATGCTTGCCAGGAAGGCTCGCGCCAGCTCGTCAGCAGCGCTGTGGAAGGCGAGCGAGTCCCCCAGGATGCGTTCTGCAGCGCACGCATCCAACCCCCCTTCCAGCTTCGCCGGGAACCCCTTGTCGTTCAACGCATCGATGGACGGCAAGAGCCCGTTGGCGAACGACGGGCGGTTCCTTTCCCTCGCGGTGCCCGTCATCGCTTGGTAGAACATCCTGCTCGCCCCGGCGTCTCTCTCGAGGTCGAGAGCCCTGTCCTTGCTGTCCGACTCGCGAAGCAGGGCCAGGAGCAGGGCGTGCTGCACGATGACCTTGGCGCAGTTCGCCCGTCGGCTGACCAGCTGCACGAGCAGGTGCAAATACTCGAAAAACACCTTCCGGAGAACCCCGTCCTTGCGGAACTTGACCGCTCCGGGCAGGCTTTCCTTGATGACGTCGCGCATGACGCTCGTCGACGGCCCTGCGCCCTTGGACTGCTTCGGCCCGGGGATGTGCCCAAGGGGGATAAGAGTACTCTTGTACCCGAGTTTATTGATCTTGTAGCCCGTTGTACCCGTGCGGCGTTTCTTGGTGTTCTTGGGTTCCGCTTTGTTCTCGCTCCGGGACCGGCTGCGGAGCAACGGTGGAGCGCCGGGCGTGCGTCGGGGTGCGTGCGTCGGTCGGGCGGGCGGGCGGTCGGGCGGTCGAACGGCGAGCTGGCCCACGCCGCACGACGCTGCAGCGGGCGCGGCTGGTGCGGAGCTGCTGCGGGTGGCGATGTGTGGCGTCGCTCACCTGTCCGCGCCGCGGGCTTGCGGTGCTCGAGTCGGGGAGGCCGCCGCTCCGGAGCGGGATCCCGCGTCGCCACGGCCTTCGCCGCTGCCTTCGGCACGGCCGCCGCCACGGGGCTCCCTGGACTGCCGGCCCGCGTCTTGCGCGGCGTCGTCTTCGTTCCCCTTGCGGCGCTTCGGTGGGGGCGACGATGACAATGACGGCGTGGCGGACGCGGACGTCGACGGCGACGGTGTGCCGGACGGCGCGGACAACTGCCCTGACGGCTGCTCGTGCAGGGCGGCTTCGATCTCCCTCGCCGATGCATAATGCCCAGGCGGCTTTACAGGCTTGCTCTGGCGGCGAACCCTGCGGAGCATCGGTGGAGCGTCGGCCGTGCGTCGGCCGAAAGGTGTGACAAAAGGCGAGCTGGCCCACGCCGCACGACGCTGCAGCGGGCGCGGCTGGTGCGAAGCTGCTGCGGGTGGCGATGTGTGTCATGATCACCCACCTGTTCGCGGGGGCTGGCGCTGCCGCGTCCGGGCTGCCTCGGGCACGGCCGCCGCCTCGGCGACCACGGCCTCGGCGATCCATGGGCAGTGGCCTGCGCGCCTGCTGGCCGATGTCGCCGAGTCAGCAGACTCGGCGGCTGCCAGCGGCTCCCGCGTGGGCCTGCGGAGCGACGGCGAGGACAGCTCCCGAATGTGATAGATGGGGAGGTGCAGGAGGCTGGGCTCGATGAGGGCGAACGAGTCACGTGCCGCCTCAGCACCGGGAGGGTGGGTGCGAAGGGCATCATCGCAGTGCGGCAGCGGCGCGCGCTTCGGGCAGTCGCCGGAAGGCGCCGCGGGGCTCCTTTCAGATGACGCGTTGGCGCAAGGCGGGGTTCCAGGCCACCGTGCCAGGCCGGCTCACCTTGCAGTTCGCCATGGAGGTGGTGTTTTCCGAGCGCGTCCTGAGGGCTCGTTATGGCCTCCGAGCCAGCTGGCGAGACCTGCGCGATCATCGGGGCGAGGCGAATGGCTCGCGGACATCGCAGAGACGGGCGCGCTGGGCAGGGGGGGGGCCGCAGGACAACTGCGCCGCTCCGCGGGGGCGTGTGAGCGATGCGCGCCACGTTGCGGCCGATCCGCGTAGATATGAAACACTGAAGGAGGGCGCGGAGGAGCGCGAGCGCGATGAGCAGCGTCTGTTGCGGCAGGCCACCACCTCGGCAAGTTCGCGGGGCGCGGCGGCGCCGTCTTCTTTCGCGCATGGGGAAACGGGCGCAGTCGAGACATTCATCGCGATGAAAGCAGCGGGAAACGCGGGATCGGGGCCGCGGGCGCCTCGGGAAGCGCGACCATGGAGTCAAGGGCAGAGCGCCTGGACGGCAGCGCGGGGGCGCGGAGCGCCGGTCGTCCCGCGCGCGCACGGAGATGCCGCATCAATTGTTCGGTCATCATTCGGTTCAGCGCTCAACAGCGCCTCAAGCCGTTGCTTTTGGAAACGGGAAAACGACCCTTCGTGGTGGGCCGCCGGGGGGCTCACCTTGCGGCTAGGCGCGACGGTCTCTGCCCGGGAACGCGACGTCGTCCTCCCGGGCGGTCCGCCGCGAAGCTCTTGACGGCCCGCAGGCGCGGGGGGGGCCGCGGGCAGGGAGGTTGCCGAGCTCCACGGCCGCTGGCGGCCGCGGGCGACGTGGTCGGGCTCGTCCGGGGCGCGGAGGAGCCGCGACGGGTGTCAGTGTGTGCCGTGCGTGCGCAGGTGCGCCCCCCTCGTGCGGCGCGCGGGCGACGCGGCCGGGCTGACAGGCAGACGGTAGGAGCAGACGGTCTGGCCAGGCCGCGGAGGGTCTCGATGGCCCACGCGCGCGCGCCCGCCGACACCCTGCGCAGACGTCGCGGGCGCCCAGCGGGTCGGCCGCGACCTGGCGCGGCCGTGCGTGCGCGAGCGGGACGAGGTCCCGCTCGGGGCAAGTTGCCTGCACATTGCCCTTGGACACCCCGCTGCACACGGCGCGTCTCTCGGCTACGTGAGCGGCGTGTCCCGCAGGACCATGTTTTGATCCGATCCAGCGCGTGGCCAGCACAGCGGTCCCTGACATTGCGCCCCAGTCCGCACGCGTCACAGCGCAGCAGCAGCGCTGCGTCCGCGCCGGCGCGACGACGGGCCCGCTGGGGCGCCGCCGCAGGGGACGGGGGGGGGGACTGGTGCCAGTCCTTGTCGCCGCGTGAGTGCGCGCCCGGGGGTGTCGCCGCGTGCGCGGCGCAGAGACCCCAACTGGGCGCAGCGACAGCTCGGGCGCCCCCCCACCCGCTCGGGGGCCGCGGCCGAGGAGCAACGCGGGTGCCGCGCCCCGCGGCCCGGGCGCGCAGCGCGGGTGCCGCGCCCCGCGGCACGTCGCTGCCCGCCGTCGGCGGTGTGGCAGTCTGGTCCACGTGTGGCGGCGGCAGTGGCAGGCTGCTCTCCGGGTGTCGCACGCGCGGCGCCGCTGCCTGACAGCGACCCTGTCGAGCTGTGTGCGGCGACGCGGAGCACGACGGAGCAGGCGTCCGTGCGCGGTCGCTCCTCGAGGCTGCACGAAACGGCCGTGCGGACGTCGCGGCGCACTTGTGAAATCAGGTCTGAGGAAGCACGTCTGGCTCGTGTCTGCCATCCAGCCCCGCCACCGCGCCGCGCCGCGCGTGCTGACCGGCGCAAGACCGCGACCGCGGCGCCCCGTCGCCACGCATGCACGGCGCGGATGTCGCGCTGACGCCCGCCGCGGAGGGGCGGCGTGCTCGGTCCCGGCGCCAGCAGCTGCAGGGCGGGCAGGCAGCCGCGCTCCCGCGCGTCCCCGACCCCGCGCCGCACCGGAGTGCACGAGGCTCTTGGCACGATCCGAGGGACGGTCCACGCCGCGAACGGCGCGCCTCCGTCGCCGGCGCGCGCGCCCTGGAGCTGCGTCAGTCGGGCATCTGGTCCACCGTCGACCTGACCGGCACCGTGCAGCACGCGCCGCGGCCCCGGCGCGCGATGTTGGGGCCCGAAGGCCGCGCGCGTCCCGCAGTCCCCGCGCGCCACCCGCGCGCCCGCCTGGCCGTCCCCGACGACGCGCGCCTCCGCCGCCTGGCCCGCGCACCGCGGCCCCCCCACCTCCTTCTCCGCGACGCGCGGGCGATCATCACGGACCGATGTCGTCGACGGGCGCGCGCCACTCGAGCACGTGTGCACGAGCGAGCGAGCGCGACGCCGCTGCGTCGCTGCAGGGTGGTGGCATGGCAGAAGCGGACCGCACGGCGCAGTTCGAGGCCGTCGTGCGCCGCCTGACTCCGCTGCTGCACCGATGTGCCGCGAGTGCCCGCGTGACGACGGGCACGGCCTACCTGCTGCTCGTCCACGCCCTCGCATCCAAGGGGGTCGCTCGGGCGCTGTGTGGGGGCCGCGACGCGTGCCTCAAGCGCCACATCTCATCCAAATCTTCGGTAGAAACCATCAGAAAGGTGCGCGAGACTGTCGAGAGGGCGCCTGCGGACAGCACGGCACGCCGCTGCCACCGCACACACGCCCGACGCGCCCCGCTCACGCTGCGGGCGGCCGAGTTCGCGACGTGCAGGCCTGCGCGCGGTACGCCGGGGCGGATATGCCGCCCGAGATCATGGCGGGCATCGGCGATAAGCAGCGGCGCATGCTGAGCGCCGCGGCGAAGCTGGTGGCCACGCTGGCGCTGTTCCGCCTCGCGGGGCAGCAGGTGGACCACAAGCTCGAGCTGGCGGCCTCGCTCGCGACGAAGGATCTTTTGAAGAGGTTCAAGTCACAGCGGGGGGGCTGCGCGAGCTGCCCCCGCTGCACGGTCCGCGGCAGGCTCGGGGAGCTCCTGCCCCGGCTGTGGGGCCACTTGCGACGCAGCGGGGAGGAGGAGGAGGGGGGTGCGCCATTCGCGTTCCTCCCGGAGTTCGTTAAGAGCGTCTCAGACGCCTTCGCGAAGGGGGCCGGAGCCTCCTGGCGCCTCGACCTGGTGCGGCCAGCATCGTGCTCGCCCCCCGGCACGCACCATCGCCGTGGCCTGCGGACCTGTTTCGTCGCCGCCGCACGCGTGCCCTGGCCCGTTGCACCCCGCGACCGCGCCCCGCGGCCATCGTGCGCGCGCAGGAGCAGCTGTCGGGCTGGGTGGGGTCGGTCGTCGAGCGCCCCTCCGTCAGGCACATGCGGAGTTCGTTTGCGACGCACCTCGACGGGCACATCGCTCTCGCGTTCCAGACGGCGTGGCCCTGCGAGGGTGCGCCGGCCCAGGAGCTGCAGCGCGGGCGAGTCGGATCAGCGCGCGGCGCGAAGAGCGGGCGTGCGGCCGCTGCTCCGTCCCTGGCCCGCACCCCCGCTCTGCGTTCCCAGCACAGAGTCCTTCGCAGCAGCAAGCGCGCCGGCGCGGGGGCCGGCGCGTCGGGGCACGCGAGCGCCGACGACAGCATGCAAGACAGCAGCGACAGCGACAGCGACAGCGGGTACGAGGAGGACGACGGCGCGCCGGACGTGCCGCACGTCGAGCGCCTCGCCGCCGCTCTCCGCGACGCCTGGACGAACCGCTGGGAGGAGCGCAAAAGGGCCGCCGCGGCGCAGGAGCGGCCAGGGGTGCAGACGCCCGGCAGCGACGGACGTCCGGCCTTCGCGTCGATCTTCTCCGGGCTCGGGGCGTTCGCGCTGGCGCTGGAGATGGCGGGCATGCGTCTCGTGCAGACCTGCGAGTGCGACGAGGGCAAGCGGCGCGTCCTGGAGCACTGGTGGCCGACGGGCACCACCGGCGTGGACCACGGCTGCTCGGACGTCGGAGGGCTCGTCCTGGCGGAGGGGATCACGTGCGTGGTCATGGGGCCGCCGTGCACGGACCTGTCGAGGTGATCCACGCGTGCACACGCTCGCGCTCGTGCACAACCTGCAGCACGTGTCAGCTCGTGCAACGCCCGCCTCACCTCCCCCCCCCCACCCGGCGCCCCCTCCGCCCCCGCGCTCGCAGTGTCGGGAAGCGAGAGGGGCTCTTCGGTCGGGAGAGCGGGCTCGTCGCGGATGCCTTCGCGGCCATCCAGAGGGCCGCGCAAGGCGGGCACGGCCCGGAGTGGGTCGTCGTGGAGCAGGTGGACGCCGCGCGGAACAGCGGCTCGGCGCTCGGTACGTCGGGGCCCGGTCCCGGTCCGTCGGCCGTGCAGGCGATGGTCGCCGCCCTGCACGCCATGGGCTACGGCAAGGTCTGCACGCGGTGCTGGAGCCCGAACGAGGACGCGGGCATCCCCGTGCGCCGCCACCGCGTGTTCCTGGTCGCGGCCCGCACGCACGACGCGCGCCAGGTCCTGTTCCGGCCCGTGCCGCGCCCCGGCACGAGCGCCACGTCCGGCCCCCCCGCCTTCTTCTTCACGCCCCCGCGCATCGGGCCCGGTGGCGCGGTCGCGTGGGCGGAGCCCGCGGCCCCCGTGCCCCGGAAGAGGAGGGCGGCGCCGGCGGAGGCCTCCCGGCGCGCGGCGATCGCGATCGACCTGTCGTGCGTCCGCGCCGTCCCCAGCGGGGAGGGCGCGCACACGCTGCCGTGCCTGACGGGCTCGAACGGCTGCGTCGCCGTGCTCGACGGCGCGCGGTCGCGCAGCTTCCTGATCTCCCCGGAGATCCGCGAGCGGGCCGCCGGGCTCCCGGCGGGCTTCTCCGCGCGGTGCAACAGCAGGAGCCCTGCGACGGCGAGCGACGCGGCGCGTGTGCGCGCGCTGGGCTCGTGCTCGGGGGTGCTGCCGGTCCTGTACATCGGCGCCGGCATCGTCCACCTGTATCGAGGCCCGGGCTACGCGGGCAGCAACGACCCCCTGCTGGCCCCGCCGCTCGACGGCTCCCTGGACCCGCGCGACTTCTCCCCCGACGGCTGCTTGGACGCGGCGAGCAGGGCGCGGGAGCAGCAGGGGCGGCCGCCGCAGGACGAGGTGCGGCCGCTCTCTTGGACGTTTCCCGCATGGGCCACGTGGTCGGAGGCGGCGCTGGCGGGTGGCGGCGCACCGGGCGAGGACGGCGACGAGAGCGGCGCCGTCGTCGTGCACAGGCGCCTCGCGAAGGGGCTGGCGCCCGGCGGCTGGTTCGGCGGGCAGCCGCTGACGCCGCTGGGCCGCTGGATCACGCTGGCGGAGTCCAACCTCTGCGGCGTGCTGGACCACTCGGATGTCGACAACTGGGGCTCGCAGCTGCGAACGAACTACACCGGCGATCCGGACGCCGCCACCGCGGCGCTGCGCCGGGCGCAGAGGCACATGCGGTCGGACTGAGACCGGGCCCGGGGGCGCGTAGCGAATGTGAAAGGACTGCGTGACCGGGATCTGGCGCCCACGCGCGATGAATGCCGGTGCCGAGGAGTCGCTTTTACGCCCGGCCGCCCCGGATGCCGCGTGTGGGTCAGCGAAGCACAGGCGTGCGGCACCGGTGCCGCGTGAGGCGACGCTGGGAAACATGGCAGGCCGGATGTCTCCGCGACCGGGGCCGCGGCGAGGCCCCACATCCACCCCCTGCAGCGCCCTCCAAGCTGCGAAGCAGGCAGGCGCCCCGTCGTCGCGCGCGCGGCGCCCCTGGCGCCGTCCAGCGCCGCAATGCTGCTCGCCTGGGACCCTGCACCCGCACCAGACCGCGCCGAAACGGCGAGGAGATCCACACCACTGTCGGCGACGTGCGGCGCAACAATGCGGACCGGACAGCGTTCACCGTCCGGCTCCGTTGTGCTGCCTCAACGTCCTGCGAATCCACCTGCCGCCGACGACGCGAGGCCCGCAGTGCGCGCGCGAGCCCCGACACCGGGTGCGGACGACGGCGAACGTGCACTCGCGCCCGCTACGGACCTCACGCGCGTGAGGGGATGGGTGCGCACCGCTGCAGACGCCCGCGGTGTGCAGACGCCAGCACAGGGCGAGGCGCGCCGCTGCGTGATCTCCGGCGCGCATGATGCCCGGTGCGCCACCTCCAGACATCTCCCGGTCATCTACTAGCTCGAGGGCACAGGAACACGCCTCCACTTCAACTGCGGCCGCACTGGCCCATGTTGACCCTGCTGCCCGCCTCCTCCGGCCGCAACCTGCACCGAAGGCCGACGCAAGGGCATGCACGATGTTTCTGCCCATCACGTTAGCCCGGGAAGACGGCCATACGGCATCGAACGCCGCGCTGCGTGCGCCCGCGAGCGAACCAAGGCTGGCGAAGCCGCGCCGCAGAGGGCGGTCGCACCTGGCGGCGTCCTGCGACGCGTACTGGGCAGGGCGCATCCGGAGGCGCGCGGCTACGTGGTTGACGCTCTGCACGCGTACGCGCGTCCCTTCAGCCCGCGAGACCGCCGTGCCGTACGCGGCGCTGCGTCGGTCGCATGCGGGTGCGCACCCTCCCCCCTGCAAGGTGTCACACGCGCACGGTGGGCTCTCGGAGGTCCTGCAGAGCGAGCGCGCGGCCCGGCCTGCTCGCCTGAGGCCCTCGTCGTCGTCCGGGCCGTCCCGACGCCGCGCCGCCGGCAGGTCCTGCCCTTGAACAACACATATATATATATATATATGGGATATATATATATATATATATATATATATATATATATATATATATATCCTGATGACGCAACCAGCACGTACGCACCTCGGTCGCCGAGTTGGCCGCAGATCCGCCGCGCGACCACGGCCCCCCAGCCGCTGCATCACCGCGACGTCCACTGCGCACGCCGATGCCGCCCGCGGACCAGCCCGTCGAACCGCGAAGCAGCAGCCCCGCCGCCAGCGCGCCCTCGCCGACTCGCTCCCCGTCCACGGCACCGCCGTGGGTCGCGTCGAGGCCCGCGCAGCGCGCCCCGCAGCACGCCGTCGGGGGGCTCGCTGCGACGCCCCCACGACCACCGACGCGTCGCCGCCTGACCATGGACCGCGGCCACCGCTCGTGACGACGGAGCCGAAATCGCCCCCCTGCACGCGCGCTCCCGCAGCGACGGAGGCGGAACTTGGTTGGAGGCGGAACACGTGCACGCGGCCGCCGACTCCGCGGGGCCGCGGACGACCGCGCCCTCTTGCGCGAGCTCGTGCCCGCCCGCGCGTGTCCAGCACGAGACGCGCGTGACGGCTGGCGCGCGCGCGGAGCGTCCGGAAGCGTCCAGCCGTCTATGTACTCCAGCAGCATGTAGCCGCGTGCTCACCTGAGCGCCTCGACCTGGAGGCCGCGCCGGACGAGGCCCTGGACGGTGGGGAAGCGCGCGTCGAACCAGCTCTGGACGTACCCCTGGTCGCAGAAGTACTGGAGCTTACGCTTCGACAGCACGGTGTACTGGAAGTTGAGCCGCGCGAAGTCCCACATGCACACGTCCGGGAGCCCCGGGCACACGCTCTGGTGCGCCTTGAGGATCCAGTAGTACTGCGGCTCGCGGTCCTTGTACTCACTCGTGCGCAGCGCGTGCGTCACGCCCTCGAACGCGTCCACGAACGGGCACGCGAAGTCGTACGTCGGGTAGGCCTTGTACCGCGTGCCCGTGCGGTGGTGCGGCACGAGGTTGCACCGGTACGCCACGGGGTCGCGCATGCACCCGTTCTCGCTCTTCATGTCGATCTTCAGCCGCATGCAGCACGACTGCCCCTCCGCGCTCCCCGCCAGCATCTCCCGCCACAGCCGCAAATTCTCCTCCACGCTCTGCCCGCGGCACCGGCTCTCCTTGCACGCGAGCCGCTCCTCGCGCATCACGTCCACCGGCGTCGTGTCGCCGTACATCACCCCGGCGCCGATCAGCCGCCTCGCCGCCTCCTGGAGCCTGTCGAAGTAGTCCGACGTGTACGTGATGCGGTCCCACTCGATGCCCAGCGTCTTGATGTCGCGCAGGATGCTCTCGACGAACTCGTCCTTCTCCTTCGTCGGGTTCGTGTCGTCGAACCGCACGATGAGCCTGCCGTCGTAGATCTTGGCGAAGTAGTGGTTGAGCAGCGCGGCCTTGGCGTGCCCCACGTGCAGGTACCCAGAGGGCTCGGGGGGGAACCGCGTGACCACCTTGCCCGGCGCCGCGCCGGGCAGGTCGAGGTCGAACGTCCCGCCCTCGCCCTTCTTCTTCCCCGTGACCTCCGCCGCGCGTTTCGCGGTCTCGCTGCTCTTGCCTGCGCGCGCGCGGGGAAAGGGGGGGGTGTTTCGGGGGCGTTTCGGGGGCGTTTCGGGGGAGTTTTCGCGGGCGACGCGGCGGCGGCGCAGCGGGCGCCGGTTGGTCGTCGTATGTGTCATACCTGCGCTCTTGAACTCCGCGGCGGCCCTGGCGCACTCCGCGTGGTCGCCGATGAAGCTGAACCAGCGCGCGAGGTGCACCGCGCCGGGCGACGACTTGACCTTGTCCCACATGGGCGTGGTGGCCAGCTGGGACCATATGGCGAGGTCCGCAAGCGTCAGCGCGTGGCCGACGAGGTACGTGCGCGCCGCGAGGCAGTCGGACAGGGCGTGGCACACGGGCTGGAACGTCGGGCCCGCGACGAGGGTCGCGCACACGTCCAGCCACTGTTCGACCTCCACCGCGGTGCGTGCGTCCCCGGGCGCGCCGTAGAGGGCCGGGGCGTCCGCGCGGGCGGCGGCGGTGCGCGCGATGAAGCGGAGCATCATCGGGACTCCCGAAATCTCGAACCTGCGGCCGGGAAGCGCCGACGCCGGGCCGGTTGCGGCGGGAGGTGGCGTGCGCTGGGAGCGCGGTGGCTGTGCGTGGGCGCAGGCCGCGCGGGCGGCGCGGCGGGGCGACGCGGAGGTGCGCTGGGGTCGGAGGGGAGCGGAGGGGGCGCTGGACGGGGGGGGGGTGCGTGGCCGCGGAGTGTGTGCGCGGAGGCAGAAGGAGGTGGGGAGGGCCGCCGTGGTGGCGCGGTGGGGCGCGGCGGGCCGCGCGCCGATGGCGACGGCGTTGGGTGAGTTGTGGTGACGTTGGCCGGACGCGCGCGGGGCGGCGCGGGCGGCCGGGGACGGAGGGGGCGGCGCGCGGGGGGCTGCGGCTGTGCGCGCGGGCCGCGTGCGCACCCGTCGGGGAGAACCATGACGGGCGGGTTGGTCTTCGGGTACTTGGCGTCGCTCTCGACCTTGACGTCGACGCCGGCCATCCGGGCGCCCGCGATGGCGCCCAGGGCGGGCGCCCGCTCCCAGCACCGGATCACCGCCGGGCTCATTGCGCCCAGAACCGTCGACTGCGCGGGCTCAGGGGTTGTGCGGGCGGCGCCGCAGCGGGGCCGGCACTCCGCCGCGCCGGCGGCTCGCCGGCCCGCGGGCCCCTGACCGCGCGCGGTCCGACTTCGTTCACTCCCCTTGTCGACGCAGGACATCGCCGCACAGGCCGAGTTACTCGGGTCCGCGGCCCAGAACGCGTCGTTCATTTCCACATCTCGCGAATCTTTCCGTACGCTTCGACGCGAAACCCCCCCCGCGTCCACGGGAGCCCGTAGGCACCCTTGGTGCTTCCTGCTGCCATTCTGCGAGCGCGCGGGGGCCGAGCGGGCACGAACCGAACACGACCAGATCCCGCGCACGACCAGGAGGCCCGCCGCGGCGCTCGGTCGCGCATCCTCGGACGTGCGGAGGTGACAACGCCGCATCGCTGCCCAGACAACACGACGCGGGCGACCGCCGTGCGCCGCGGCCCTACCGGCGCGACCCCGCGCGGGCATGGACGAGGATGAGCTGGCTCTGCTGGGCACGGGCGGAGGGGGCCCGTCACCCCCGTCTTCCGCCCCAGCAGCGTCCCATGCCCCGGCCAGTCAGCAGCAGCCCGCTAGCGGCGGCCCCGGGCCCGGAGGCGCTCCGCAGCACCCGGGAGCGATGCGTCCAGCGGGCAACCCGTACATTCATCCCGGGCAGCTCGACCACGCGCAGCCCCAGAGGCCTGCCCTGGCCGCTGCCAACCCCGGCGCACCCACGCAGCAGCGCCCGCCGCCGCAGCAGCCGCCGGGCGCGGCCGCGCGACCACCGCAGACGCAGCAGCCGCAGGCGCAGCAGCCGGGCGCGCAGGGCTTCGCGGAGGCCGAGCGGAAGCCCGTGAACAGGCAGCAAGGCGACAGGGAGAGGAGCGCGGCGGACACGCTGGCGAAGATGGTCACTTTGCTCTGCGTCAGTTTGGCGCAGAAACGGCCCGCGCTGAAGGAGCTCGAGCCGCTCATCCCCGGCGTCAAGGCCGGGAGGGTGACGAAGGCTGACCTCGCGGTCAAGCTGCGGGAGCTCTGCCCGGACCTGGGCGACCAGGCCTACCCGGTCCTCGAAAAATACTGCAAAGACTGGGCGCAGCGCAGGAAGGCCCAGATGGCCCAGGCGGCCCCTGCGATGACGGACGACATGAAGGCACAACTGGTGGCCGGCGACGGGCGCCGCTTCGCCGCGAGCGGGTGCGCGCGCCCCCCGCCGCCCCCTCCCTGCGCCCTGCACCGCCGCGCAGCGCACTCGCGGCGAAACCAACCCCCACGAACCCACGCGCCGCCAAACCCTGTGTGCGTGTGCCTCGGTGTTGTTACGCGACGTCGCTGACGGCGCGGCCCGGGATTCTCACCGCCGCGCAGCGCCCCGCGGCCCCACGCGCGCAGGTACCGGCCGCCCAAGGTGTCGGTGCTCGGCGAGGGCGCGCGGAGCGCCGTGGTGGCGCAGATGCGGGACCGCGGCATGGCCGGGGACCCCGCGGTGAGCGCGCGGACGTTCCTGGACAGCGCGGTCGGGCAGCACGTGGGCGGCGTGCTGCAGCGGCTGGTGGACATGTCGCGCGTGCGGCTGGACCTGGACAAGTGGAGGTGGGAGGTGGAGGTGCGCAGCGAGGCGCGGCGGTACGTGGTCAAGGTCGTGAAGGACGAGCGCGAGGCGGCGTCGAAGCTGGTAACGGGACTTAGCGCCAGATCTCCACGTCCTTCGTGTCGAGTCAGAGCACATTCACGCTCGAGTTTGAGTTCTCTTCGCTGACGATGGTGAGCTCGTACACCGTCGTCACGGCCGCCTCGGTGTCGTACAACCAGGACTGGGACCTCGAGGGCGTAGATCCGAGGCGCCTCCACAACGCGCCGCTGCCCGAGATCTGGGTTCCGCTGTCGCGTGCGAGGGGGAACGCACCGGGGCGCACTCACACCCTCAACATCGCGCCCGCGCAGCAGCTCTGGTTGAAGCGCTTCAGGCTCGTAGTGTCGTCGCCGAACAGCCTCATCGGCATCGCGGAGGTCACGCTCACCACGCGAGCCCACGTGACGGGGGGCGTCGCGAACGTGCCGCCCCCGCTCTTGCAGCCGCGCGGCGTTGTGGACGTGCCTGGAGGCGTTCTTGTCGCAGACGCAGCCGGCCACGAGATTCGCAAGCTGATCCCGGACGGGCAGTACGTGCATTCGGCGCCCTACGCCGGAGCCACCTGGGAAGCAGCTCTCGTCGCCGGGGACGTCCGAAGCGTTGCACGGCTGCGCGCGCCCGCGGGGCTCGTACGTGCGGGCGGGACGATCTACGTCGCCGACGCCGGAGCCAACGCCGTGGTCAGGATTGACGGCACCGTGATGGTCGTGGTTGGCGCTCTCAACGGCACTGCGGGCTCGGCCGTCGGCGCGCCGACGCACGCGACCATCGGGCGGCTGAACGCCCCAGAGGCCCTCGCGCTCGACTACGCCGGCACGGGGCTCATCATCGCGGACACAGGCAACCACCGAATTTTGCACTGGAGTCCCACCTCAAACCTTGTAGTTCTCGCCGGGGCGGCTGGAGCGCCGGGCTTCGTCGACGGGGCTGAGAACGTCGCACGCTTGAACATGCCGACTGGGGTGGCGTTCGATCCGTCGTCGAACCGGACGTTCGTGGCCGACAAGGGCAACAACGTAGTGCGTGTGCTGAACGGGACGCACTTGTGGACGTTCGCGGGCTCCGTGGAGGGCGTCGCCGGGTACGCCGACGGGTTCCGCCGGTGCGCGCGCTTCGACGGGCCGCACGGGATCGCGCTTCTCGACGGGGCGCTGCTTGTCACGGAGGAGCGCGGGCGGCGCGTGCGGAGGGCGAATCTCGGCGGCACCGTGTCGACGATCGCGACCCCGGCGCAGCTGGGCCTCGAGGCACCTCCCGCGAACGCGAGCCTGAACGAGCCGTACTCGGGTCCCATGGGTCTGGCGCGAGCGGGCGTTGCGGACATCTTCGTTGCTGTTGGGTCGCGGAGCGAGCTGCGGCGGCTCACGGCGGTGGACGCGTTGCCGGCGAACTGCACGTCGGAGGCGCCGAAGTGGAACTGCTCCGTTGGCTGGGAGGACGAGTGCGCGGAGGGCTCGAGCGGCTGCGACGCGACGGCCGTATGCTTCGACATGCCGCAGGCGCGCTCATACAAGTGCAGCTGCCCGAGTGGGTACACGGTGGACGGGACGCCGGCGGCAGCTGCGGACGACGTCGGGCCGTTCGTGCCGTGCAGCGACGTGAACGAGTGCGCGCACGGGACGCACACGTGCGCCGAAACTCAGAGGTGCACGAATGTCGAGGGCAGTTATTACTGCACTTCGTTCTGCGACGCAATCGCGGGCGTGCCGAGTTCGTTCTGCATCAGTGGAGTCTGAAGCTCGCGGGCTCGGAGGCGAACTTCAGGTCCTGCCGATCAACATTGACGGTCACAAGCTATTTACTATTTATTTACTATTTATTCGCGCACACACTTTGGTGTAGTTCGCTGCGGTGAACACCGTAGCCACACACGGTACTGGAAAGAACTGCGGCGGCGTCACTGTTCAGGCGTTCCGCAACACCCACAAGCGCTTCGCTATTCCCCCTGTTCTTCACGTGGGGATCCCCGCCCTGGCCCTGCTCCACCCCGGCCTGGCGCGGCCTCGTGCGTTTCTCTGCGGTGTCCGCTTCATGCCATCGGCATCACGGTCGCACAATCAGTGCAACAGTATGACGCTGCGGTCAGGTCACTGTTGTCAGGCCTTGGTGGCCGAGCTGCGCGCTCATGTCGGGAGCGTGCGCGCTCCAACTGTAACTCTACTGGCTTACGGTACAGGCTCTGCGTCATCTGCGGAGCCAAGCTCGGGTCCCAGTGCTTACATTTGGGAGCGGTGACATACGGTCTACACGCCAACTGCCTCATCCGCGAATTCTTCTTCTCTGGACGGGCACGAAGTGCGCTGCAACGCCAGTTCTGAAGACCTGGGTTGAAGGTTGAAGCCTCAAGCCACGACAGCTTATCGAGGACCTTCCTCGGACCAAGGTACGCTTCCGACTGTTCGCAGCTACGACTTCAATCGGTTCGTATTCCGCGCAGATGAGTCGCTATGGATGCTTCTCTTGACTCTTGACGGTATTGCCGAGAATATTCACGACGATTTGGCGAACCAAACCTGCATTTGATGGCATGATTACGGAGCTTTCGCCAGCTGGCTAGCTGCTGAGCACATCCCTCGCGTTGCCTTGTCTGGATGTTTTGTTGCGAACTGACTTGTCGAGGCATTGGTCAGACGTTCAAGAGGCTGACGGACTGATCACCCGGCTCCTCAGAACCGAGTCCTTGCTGAGACGCGGGAATTCCAGAGCCCGTAGCCCGCTGAGGGGCATAGCCTCAGAGCGATCAGGGTACGCCCAGAAGGTCGTTGTTTCGAGATCAGGGTACGCCCAGCGGATCTCCTGAGGTTCGCGAGTTGAGCATATGGCTCCTCGGAGCACTGGACAGGCCCGAGTCGTGGTCGCAGTGATGGTGCTGGACAGGCCCTAGTAGCGGGCGCAGCGATGCTGAAAACTCAGCGAAAGGTGCCTGATTCGTGAGAGACGATCAGGTTGATTGCACAGAGTGTGCGTTTTGCGCAGTAAGAGCGCCTATGACGTGAGAATTCGACAATCTTTGCAGAAGACACGCAACCATGTCTGGTTCCGTTGAGCAAGTGGCTCAGACGGCAATGGCCACCACGACGGCGGCTGAGCCTACTTTCAAGGTAAAGATTCCGAAACACCTGACTCTGAAGGAGATTGACCTGTCTACGTTCTCTCAGAACACGATGAAGGGAACGCCGCACACCTTCTATAAGAAGCTGTCGGAGCTGCGTGCTTTTACGGCTCAGTACGACAAGATCGTCAGCTACAACCTTAGGACGGTCGAGGGCGCGGTCGATGGTGAGAAGCTGCGGACCGAAGCCCTGTACAGCTTGACCACGACGGACCACGACGGCAACACGCTACTCGAGAACTTCGTGGACAAGATTTAAGCTGCAGCTGAAAACTGGCACCTTCCGCAACCGCTTGTCGACTGGAGCAAGTTTGACGGCAAGGCCCTTCGTAACTACCTGGCCGGAGCTCGCATGGGCAAGACTTGGGCCGGCACGTTGCGCGATCTTCTGACGGCCGGGCGGTTCAAGTTCCACCTCAAGTACGACGACATCAACTCGTACTCGCTTCGCTTCCAGAACATCTGTCGGCTCATCCAGGAGTCAGAGCTGCCGGACGCGGCGACGTTCACGGACAGCGACACGACGCGTCGCAAGTATGTCGAAGGTCTGCCGCACAGGTACATTCAGACGGTGATCAACTGTCGTGCCGAGACGCTCGACAGGCTTGTCGAGAACTGCATCGAGGCCATCGCCCACCTTCCCCCGGACCTGTACATCACGCCAGGCTCCATCGCAGCGCAGCAGGCCTTCAATGAGCAGCAGCGCTTCATGGTGGGTCGCTCTCGGCAGGACCTCCCGCAAGATGCGACTGGTGGCAGTGACAAAGCAACTAGTGGAGCGGGGAAGGCAAGCACGACTCGCAACGGCAGTGGCAACAACAACAAGGACAACGGCAAGAACAAGAGGCGCAACCTGAGCGACATCAAGTGCTTCAGATGCGATGAGTACGGGCACTATGCCAGCGACTGCACGGCTCCGCCCAAGAAGAAACAGGACACGGCGGGCGGCGAGCACGACACAAGGCGCGGGTTCGGCGTGCGCGCGATGTTCCGAGGTGGGGACGACACGAACGCCAGGACGAACGACGACGACAACAATGTGCGAGACTTCAACGCTATAGATCGGTAGGCACCCTCGGAGATCAGCGAGGTCTCTGGAGGGGTTAGCAGTGCAACAGTATGACGCTGCGGTCAGGTCACTGTTGTCAGGCCTTGGTGGCCGAGCTGCGCGCTCATGTCGGGAGCGTGCGCGCTCCAACTGTAACTCTACTGGCTTACGGTACAGGCTCTGCGTCATCTGCGGAGCCAAGCTCGGGTCCCAGTGCTTACAATCAGCAACCTGATCCGCTGGCGCTGGGGCGCACAAGGACACGAACACCGCATGGTGTCGTTCCTCTGACCCTATTCGAGCGATTCTTCTATCTGTGACCGGATGTTTCGATAGTCTCAGCGCACGCGTCGCCCCTGTCATCACTTCAAGTTGTAGGTCAGCGAATTACCAAGTCGAGCACGTGTGCATGCTCATATGATCGTTGTGGACGCGAGGAAGCTGTCCCGCCCCGTCGACGAGACCCGGCAACGAGTCTCCTGCCTCGCGCAGAAGCCCTCGCACGTCACGCGCGGCCCGCCATGCCGATGCCGTCGCACGCGAGCGTCCACACCCCCCCGGGGCCCTCCTGGCACGAGAACGCCGCCCCCGTCATCGCCCGCGCGACGTGCATGGCCGTGTACGTGTGCAGCGTCGGCTTCGTCGTCGCAATTTCCGACCGCCCCTCCGCCAGGGCCATGAACACCACCAGCTGGTCGGCCAGGTGCACATCCACGCAACTGTCGTGCACCTCGAGGCTCCTCGCAAGCTCCTCCGCGGCCTCCGCGCCCGTGGCCTCCGGCGCAACGCCGCGCTCGCCGGCCCGCGCGGCTCCGAGGACGCACCCGCCCGCCGTCCGCGCGACAATCAAGACACCCCCCCCGTCACCGACAGCGGCTTCCGGGGGCACGTGCTCGGCCCCGACGTCGGTGGGAACGCTCCGTAGCGCGTGTATGCGCTCGCAGAGCGTGCTCTTGGCAGCACGTGCCATGCGTTCTGCGTTGTCCTGCGTCACCACGCCCGCGTGGAATGTGCGGATAGAGAGCGAGGTCACGTCGCCTCGGCGGCCAGGCCCAGCGAGCCGGAGCGCCGGCAGGCGGTTGCCGTGCGCGAGGGGCATCAGCGAGACGTTCACCACGCCGCCCCCGCGCGGGAAAAAGCCCCGCCGGCGCACCTCCATCTCCACGCGCACCCCAAAGTGCTCTCTGAGCGTTGGCAACAGCACCTGCGAGGGCGACACGCGTATCGCGGAAGTGTGCTGTCGCGCGGAACTGGATCGGCCTCCCGGTGCCGCAACCTCGCGCAGCCACAGCGCACTGTCGCGCCCCTAGCGCTGGTTGAGAGATAGGGAGGCCCACCTGCTGCATGTAGCCAACCGGGGGCGCGAGGTCCGCGTCGGTGCCGCCTTGCAGCGTCATCCTCACGCGTGCGTCCGGCGCCCCGACCGCTGGCGATGCAAACACCGCGCAGGGCAGGGCCGCCTGCGCCAGGAGCGTGCAGCTGCCCGCGGTGCCTGTGTCCGCGGTGTAGGCTCCGGCGCGGGGCGGGCCGGCCGAGGAGAGGTCGATCTCGCACGAGCCAACGTGCCCGCCGTTCAGCGTGCCGTTCGTCATGTCTGCGGACACAGAGACGGGAACGGAACCCATGTGATCAATGATAGGCTGCTCTGAGGGGGGGTATTGCGCGAGGACGCATCCTGCACGAGCCGCCGTCACCTGAGATCAGCTTGAGGCCCGTGAGATGCTGCGGGCGCAGCCCCGGCTTCGAACGGTTCGCCCGGATGTTGCTGACATGGACGGCGCGGCCCAGAACAGCGGCGAGCGCCGCGGCCACGCGCAGGATCTGCCCGCCGCCTTCGAGCAGGCTCCCGTCGATCGGGATCGCGCCGGCCTCCGGCGGAAGCGCCGGCGGAAGCGCAGCAGCGAGCGCTGCAGCGTCTGGCGCGGAATCTGCGCCGTGCGGCTCCGTGCGGCGCCCTGCGGCTGGCTGGCTGCCCCCTCGCTTGCGCCGCTTGTTGTGGCGCCTGCCGCGCCCGCGGCGCTGATCCTGCGCGGTTCCGCGTCGGGCCGTGGTGAGGCGACAGGACGTGCATGCTTCTTCAGGGCCGGTGGCTTCCGGACGACGACTACAAGCGAATTGGCGCGACCGAGACATGCGAGAATCCACAGAATGCTCGCATAGAGGTTTCCGGGAGAAACGTTGGGATGCCGCTGTGGCGCGCTGTGATGAAGGGCAAGCACCCAAGGAAATGCGATTGCGCGCAGCAGGGGCGCGTACCGCGTCGTTTCCTTCGCCCCAGCCCATTGTTTGTCGCGGGTTCAAGCTGTCACGGTGAGTGCTGGCTTCTATTCGCTGGCCTGGCGGCCGCTCCAACAGCAGGGGAGCTGGACCAGGTCGCGCGGCGCGACAATGAGTGAGAAAGTGCAAACGAGAATGGTCGCAAACACACCTTGTAGACAACCACATGCCACGACCAGGAAAAATGCGGCCGCGGGCCGCCGTCTCGCGTAGAAATCGCCGCGATCAGTTGGCCTCTTTACTCCTCCCCTGTGGTCAGTTGCACGCTCCCGGCGGCGGATATTTTGCTTGCAAGGCTGATGGCGACGTGCACTGACCGGCACGTCCAGGTCGATCCACCAAGCGTGAGCGTGAGGCTGCAGCAGCGGCGAGGCATCCTGCCAGCTTGCCGTCGCTGAGGCTTCGTCGAATACGCGTCTCAAGCTCGTGATTGTCCCACTCCCGCGTGCTTCCCACAAGTGCGCACCCCTCGACGAAGGTAGACGATGCAGGAGCGAACAGCCGCGCGTTGAGATACTGCATTGGCTGCGCACGGTGCCGTCGGGGGCGCTAGGGGCCGTCCTCGGCCATGATCTGCGCGTCCGAGATCGCGTGAAGCCACGTGTCCGACCATGCTCGACAGTTGGCACGACAACGACGCGGTGGAGGTCACGGTGCACGCGTTCGCGTCCACGTTCCGCCTGGCGCAAGACCCTGCGTCGAAGCACCTCGGCAAGTCGGTCTGGGATGCCTCGATACAGCTCGCGAAGTGGCTGGAGCGCCACCAGCGCAAGGGCGAGCTCTGCCGGCACAAGGTGGAAGGCAAGAGGGCAATCGAGGTGGGTGCGGGAATGGGGTTGGGCGGGATGGCGCTGGCGATGCTGGGCGCGGACGTGGTGCTGACGGACGTCGAGGACGTCCTGCCTCTTCTACGGAGAAACGTGGCCGTCAACCTGCAGGTCCGTCCGTGGCACGCAGAGGCTTGCATCATCGCCGCAGAGGTGCACGCAGCGCCGCTCACTCGGCCCCGCATGGATGCGCGATGGCTGCAGGCCGGCGAGCACGCGGGCGTTCTCGCGGGCCGCGACCCGCAGTGGAGCGGCAAAGTTGGCCAGGTGACAATACACCCCCCCCCAGCATCGGGGCTCACGCAGTCCGCAACACCGCTGCGCGACGCGCCCGCCCGCCTCACGACCACGCTCCGCGCAGGCAGAGGTCGCCCGGCTGGACTGGACCACGTGGCAGCAAGACATCCCCCCCCTGAGTCCCCCCTTTGACATTGTCCTTGCGGCTGACTGCGTGTACCACGAGGACCTCGTCGTCGACCTGTTCCACACCGTCGAGGCCCTGTGCGGCCCCCGGAGCGTCTTCGTGTCCAGCCAGGAGTTCCGGTCGCAGGCGGTGCACGACGCGTTCATGGCGGCATTTGCGCGCGGGTTCTCCATTCGCAAGGTGCCGGCGTCGAAGATGGACCCGGAGCACAGCCACCCGTCGATCGAAGTGTACGTGATGAAGCCGCTGCGGGGGCGGCGGGGGCGCGGGCGGAGCGGGAGTGGGCGCGAGGCGGGTGGGGAGGGGGGGAGTGTAGCTGAGGAAGACCAGGGGAGCGAGCCGGCTGGCTCGCGAGGTGAGGGACCGACATAGCGACAGGGTGGCGGTGAGATGGTTCTCGTGATGCGTGAGGGGCCATGGACGGTGTGGGCCGGCACTGACACCCAGCGGCGCAGAATAGAGCTGACGAGGCTAGCAGGTGCAAGTGCTGCGTTGCACGCCGTTCAGTGAGCGTCGCCGCGTCCCACGGGCATCGTGTTGCCCGCCCTCACGATCTCAGGGGATGTCTCCTCGCAATCACGAACTGACGGTCTTCCGAACCTCTCTCGATATCGTTGGGACCCCAGCGGCCCGCGCCCTGGCCTGTGACCGCAGCGCCTCCGAGGGCACTCGCCGTGGTGGCAGCCCGCCGCTCGAGACCGCCCGCCTCCGGTCGCGTCAGCCCAGCGCATCAGCAAAGCGGGTGCGTCGCTCACCCCGGAGCGGAACAGCAACACCCCCATCGCCTGACACCAAGTCGCTGGTGTTGCCCACACGTCACAGCGCCACCCTGCAGCACGACGCCGGCCTATCTGTTCATCTTCGCGGCGCGCGTGCGCCCAGAGCCGCCCACCCCGTCCCGCTGCCCTTCCACGCACTGCAAGGCCCTGCTACATCGGCACGCGCCGCGAGTCGTGCTCCAGGATCGTCGTCCCCAGCGTCGGGTCCGTCCCCGCCACGCGCGACGCGTCCACCACGAACCGGTCCTCGATGCACGACGCCACCATGCCCTTATGGTACGACGCGCTGTTGCCCCCCAGCGTCGGCTTCCGGACCAGCGTGCTCCGCGTCACTACGCTGTACAGCCCCGCGTGCTCCTCCCCGGCGTCCTCCCCGTCCTTGGTCTCCACGACGGGCGTGACGTGGCACGCCACGATCTCCCACCGCATGTCCGCTGGGGCCGCGCGGGCGGCCCGCAGCGCCTGCAGACCCACGTCGCGGCCCTGCGGCGTCGCGGGCGCGCGCCTGCCGTCCACGCTGATCGGCGCAGCCTCCGCGTACATGTGCGACCCCAGCTGCATCCCCGCCGCGGCGTCGGATCCAAACACAACGCTGTACAGGGTGCTGACGACGAGCGTGGCCTCGAGGCCCGTGAACGGCCCGCTCTGCGGGCCGTAGCGGCGCACGTAGGCGCGGAGCAGGTCGCGGGAGGCCTCCGGGGAGGCTCCGTGGCGCCCTGCAACGAACGGGTGGTTCAGCAGGTCCGCCGCGGACGGCCGGCGCTGCGGATGGCGCTCCAGGCAGCGGACGATGAAGTCGCGCAGGTCCGGGCAGGCCTCGAAGCTGCAGGGGCGCGGGGGGGCCGTCGGCGGAGGTTAGCTGTGGCGGGGTGCGTCAAGTGACGGGTTGAGGGCGGCGGAGGTCAGGCCCGCGCGCACCTCTCCTCCGGAAGCGCGATCGGGCGGTGGCAGACTGCGAACGGCAGGTCCTGTCCGACCGAGTCAGCGATGGGGTTGCACCCCACGGCGCACTCAGCCAAACACACCCCCAGGGCCCAGACGTCCGCGGCGGCGCCGGCGCCCTGCGGGAGGACCGCGGCGGCGCTCCCGACGATCTCCGGCGGCGAGTACGTCGTCGGCATCCCGCGCCGGGGCCGCTCGGCGTCCATGCGTTCGATCAGTCCAGTACCCGACAGGTAGGCCGCGCCCTCGTCCTGACTCAGGAGGATCTTGGAGGGGTCTATGCTCAGGTGCGCGTTGCCCTTGGCGTGCAGGAAGGCCAGGCCCTCGAGGACGTCGGCTGCGGGGCGGGGCCGGAGTTGGATTTGTGGGATGCAGCGCAGAAGGGGATTTCTCGATTGCGCAGCGATCCTCGGCAGCAGGGCGCGCCGTGGGAGCGGGGGCGGACCTGCGACGGTGGAGAGGACGTTGGGGTCGATCGTCGCGACGTCGCCCTCCTCGTCGCCGCCCTGCACGGACGCCAACAGGTCCCCGAGAGTCCCCCCCCTGACGTACGGAAACACCACCGCCACGCGGTTCTCGGCGCGCGCGCGGAACACGCCGTGCACGGGGACGATCCCCGCGGGCGCCGGGTCCTCCATCTGCAGCACCAGCTCCCCGATCAGCCGCCGCCGGTCGTGCGAGACGCTGCCCGTGTCGACGAAGCGCACGCCCACGAACTGCATCAGGCTGGAGCAGAACGCGCGGAACAGGCCCTTGCCGACGCGCACGATCAGCGAGAGGTCGTCCTCCGAGATCGGACGCACCTCGAACTCCCCCTGCGCGGCGCACGCCGGCGGAGAGAGAGAGCGGCGCCGAGTCAGACGCGGGCCGCGCACTAGGCAGCGCGTGCGCGCGCACGGCCGGCTCCGCGCGGGCGCGTTGCGAGGCGTGTGGGCCCGTGCGCGCGGGCTCGGCATCACGCATGCATGCAATGCAATGCTGGCGCGGTCAATTGCTCCGGCGTGCTGCGTGGGGGCACGCGCCGTCGCGTCGGCGCGGCGGGGCGGTTGCAGGGGGCGCCCACCATGTCCACGGCGTCCGGCGCAGACGGCGCCTCGCCCGCCGGGGCGAGCATGAAGCCGTGGCAGCCGTACACAACCCGCCCGTACGGCCGCGAGACGATCAGCGTGCCCGTCGCGACGTCGTGCCTGACCCACTGCGGTACAAGGGGGGCCGCCGCGCTTGTGAGCCTCGCTGCGGACGTCGGTCAGGCCGCGGAAGGGCCGCCCAAGTGGCTTGGTGAGTGAGTGTTCAACGACAGGAGGCGGGCGCGCAAGCGCGAGCCCGCATGGGCGCCGTTGCGCGATTCCGCGCGACCGATACGCGGTTGTGCCGGGGCATGCGTGCGGGAGCGACGCGAAGGCGGGGCGGAGCGCGAAAGCGGCGAACGGGAGCCGGGACCCCAGCAGCGCATCGGTCGCCAACAAGCGCCCGTCGCTGACGCGTCGAAGCGTCTGCGCGCACGCTCCACCGTGGTTCCGGGCCCGAACATCGTCGAAAGCGACTGAGTCGCCAGGAGCTGATGCAGGAGGCTCGCAGGCGGCGCGCTGAGCGCGCAAGGCAGGCTGCACTGTGGTGGGTCCTCGCCTGCGGGTCAGGAAAGTCCTTTTGCGTGGAGAGCACCATCCCGCTTGCACGCAACTCTCTCTGTGGATCACCGAGGCTCCCGCTGAGCCTCCCAACGCCGCCCAGGCGCGGGCCAGCTTGTTCACTTCTGCTGACACCACCACCACGGTCGCGCAGCGCCGGCCTCCGCGTTCCCCAGTACTCCACAACCACGACTCCGCAGCCGGGTACGATGCCCGCAGCGGCCGGTCCAGCAAGCCAACCAGCGCCAATCGAGCCAGGGAGACATTTCGTGAAGTTGACATCAGGTCCGTCGTCCCGCTCTCCTACCGGCCTCGACAGCGCGCGCCGAGGCGGCCCGCGCGCAGTCCAGCACCGCCTTCGACGTAGAAAGCTCCGCGTGCGCTTCTCCTGCTCAGATTGTCCGCGGTGAGGCAGCGTCAGCGGCCAGTCGCTTGCACAGCTACTGCGACCCGCCCTCACGCGCGGCCCGTACGTATTCTAGCTCCGGCCGAGCTACCAGCGGAGCCTGCGTCGCCCACGCGTCGCAGGAGAGGCCCGGGCAGCCCGCGACACCGCGAGCCCGCGAACAGCGGACCAGTGTGGGGACCTTCGAGCACTCGCTGCCTGCGCCCCCGGCAGAATCCCCGCCCGCTTGCTCGCCCTGCGGCAGGGCTAGCTAGAGGCCGGCGCGATGTCGGTGTTCGGGCACTCGGAGGGCCGCACGCCGTGGCACAATCACAGCATGGCTGAGACGGCGCGCAACATCAGGCGCGAGCGGCAGTACATGTACGGCTCGACCCGGGACCATGCGCTGGTCAACGGGCCGGACCTGGACGCAGCCGCGACGGGATCCGGAAAGGCCGGGGGCGCGCGCGATCAGGCGAACCGGGCCAAATACGCAAAGCATTTGCAGTTCCCACGTCCCTGGCGCAAGGACGAGTACAAGTGAGTTCCCCCGACACGCCAACCGATGTACTCAGATACTGAATGGGCACGTCGCGGCCTTTCACCGGCCACAACACGGCCCGTGCGCGCGGATTTCGCCGCCACAGCAACGAGGCCCTGTGCATGTCCGGCGGGGCGCGAACGCGCCGCTCCTCCCAGTTTCTTCGCCCTGAAGTCGCAGACACCCACAAGCACCGCCGCCTCGTCCCCTGTGCGGCGCCTCCGTCCCGCCGTCGCCGCGCCGAGCGGCGCCCCCACACAACACATGCACCTCACTGTGCCCGCGGCACGGCCCGGCGACGCGCCCGCGCAGGTGGGAGACCAAGAGCGACGTCGACCTCGAGAACGTCGCGCTCGCCCAGGCCCGCAGCTCCATGCTCGGCCCCTCCCGGCAGCGCGAACCGCCGCCCAAGCCCACCGACACCGGAGACCCCCTCCGCAGCGCCGCGTTCGTCCAGCTCCACCGCGCCGCGCACTACGACGCCTGGGTCACCGAGGGCGCGCAGGACTTCGCCACGCAGCGCCGTGCAAAACACCCCCCCAAGTTGTCCAGGGCCCCCTACGGCATTGTGGACCCGCAGTTCCTGCAGGGCTCGGGGAGCCTCGGCCTCCCGGCGAACGCGGCGGTGGAGAGCGCGATCGCGGCGCAGCCCAAGGTCGTGCCGCAGAAGCACCGCTCCGCGGCTCCGTTCAGTACGTTCGAGGTGCGTATGTGTGGATGGCGACAGGCGCTGTGGCCGGCAGAGGCGCCGCGCCGCGCGCTCGCGAGGCGTCGCTGCTCGCTCTGTGCGTCCTGCCCTGCGTCCGTCGCGCGAGGCGCGCGTCCTGCGCGCCAGGAATGCCGCTTCGTTGCGCGTCAGCCTCAACGTCGCTCCCCGGCCGCCGGTTCGCGTGCAGGACCTCCCGATGGGGTCCCGCGAGGACGTGGAATTCGAGAGCTTCAAGGCGTGGCAGAAGCAGGGCACGCGCCGCGACGCGTGGAGCCTCGCGCACCCGAAGCTGGTGGAGGGCGCGCGGCCGCTGCGGGGGTCGCAGCCGCGCGCGCAGGCGTCCGCGGCGCGCCCGACCGTCGCGGACGCGCTGCAGTGGACCGTGACGGCGAAACAGACGCTCCGGTCGCACGTGCGGACGCTCCAAGCGCAGGAGAAGGCGCAGGACGTTGCGCTGGCGATGGTGCGCGAGGAGGTCAAGGCGCGGCTGCGCGGGCAGCAGATTCGCGGGGAGGGCGGGGAGGCGCAGGCGAGTCCGGAGCGGCGGCGGCACGGGCGCATTCCGGCGCCGCGGGAGCATCGCATCGTCGGGGCGACGCGCCTGGACCCGGTGGTGGGCGTTGCGAACCCGCGGGAGGGGAAGTGGGTGCGCGGGATCTGGGAGGCGGCCGAGGCGGTGTCGGGCGCGCGGTAGCACGCGGCAAGTGACGATCACACCGGCCATGCGCGCCGAGCGTTGCTGGGGGGTGTCTCGTTGTTGCCTGACTCATGTGCCTCGGTCTCATGCCTGCCCGGGGCGCGCGAGGGCGGACGGCACGCGTGTCTCGGGCCGCAAGGGGTGCCTCTTCGCGACCCGGCTTGTCCGCCTGACAGCGGCTAGCTGCTGACCGCCTTCAACGGTCCCTGCGGACATCGTGATGCGCACCGGGACACGCGTGTGAGCTTGCGCGCGCGGAACGTCAGATCCACGCAGCCAGACGCGGCAGGCACCTCGGCATGTTCGCCTCAGCGCAGGTCTTCCTTTCTATCTCTTTTCTGGGAGCGGGGAGCGCACCGACGCCCCCGCGGCCCGGTCCTTGGCGTAGGTCCAGTGCAGCAGCCCGTAGAACACGAAGGCCAGCGCCCACGGCACCACGCAGCACACGAGCAGCGCGTTTCCGAGCGCCCCTGCGTTCCTGCGATTCATGGCCTCCGTGCTCAGCGCGACCTCCTCGCTCATCCCCTCCTCCGGATGCCGCAGCGTCCCCTCGAACCCGAACGCGTGCTCGGCGAGAAGCCCGACGGCGGGCGCGGCGCACGCAGCCAGCGCGCCCTCGAAGCTCCTGTCGAACGCGTACACGGTCGACCGCAGCCGCGCGGGCACGATCTCGGCGAACATCGGGCTGTTGCACCCGGGGGCGCACCACGAGATCACGAGGCCCATGAGGAACATCACCGTGCCGTACAGCACGTCGTAGGTTTGTATCTGGGCTGCAAAGTCCCCCTGGGGGAGTCCCTTGATGAGCAGCCACGAGAGAGGGAGGCCCATGAAGACGGAGAACTGCGCGCCGAGGATGCGGCCGTGGTTGGGGCTCCACGTCGCGAGGTGGTCGCAGACCCACCCGCCGAGCCCGAGCCCGAGCGCGCAGCCCGTGGCGAAGGCCGCCATCAGAATCGACGCCTGAAGGTCCGTGAAGCCGAGCATTTGCAGCCACAGAGTGAAGAAAATCTGCGGCGGAGCGAACGACGACACAGAGGGTTGGCGCTTCAGGACATGCCACAACGGAGCACGACGTGTTGTTGGCACGACGTCGTGCAACTGCCTGTTGCCGCTGCCCGTCGCTTCGCAGATGCACGCGCGACGGGAGGCGCACCAGCGCGTTCCAGGGCGTGGAGCCCATGATTCCTTGCAGCACGATGATCAGGAACGTCTTCCGTTGCAAAACCCACTTCAGTTCTGCCCAGGAGAATTCCGGGCGACGCACGCCCGCCGCCGCCACCGCCGGCCCCTCCGGCGCCCTCCCGACCGCCGCACCCTTCGTCCCGCCCGTGTGCGCGACGGCCCGCGTCGCGAGTCCCGCGCCGCCGCCTCTGTTTCCGCGTTGGTGCATATTGTCGCCGTCCGTGATCGTCGTGGCGGCCACCGGGCCCAGCGAAGCGTCCTGGGCGCGCCCCGTGAGAGGTTCGGCCTCGTCCGCGTCCGCGGAGAGGGAGCGCCCGCCCGCAAGCGCGCGCGCGAGCGCGACACGCCATGCCGCATGCGCTCGCGCCACGTCGGCGGGGTAGCGCGGGTCCGAGGACGCGGCGAGCGTGAGGGCCCCGACCACGCCCGAGATGATGCCGACGGCGAGGAAACTGAACCGCCACCCCTCCATGCCCGCCACGATCACTCCCCCGACGTTGGTTGCAAACAGACCCCCCCCCATGCCGCCAAACGCCCCGACCATGTACATCCAACCGAACGCCACGCCCCTGCACGCACGTTCCCGGCACACGCAAGCGCGGTCAGCCCCGTCCAACACCAGGCGGGGCCCTGCGCCTGCCGACGGATCAACGCGGCTGTCGCTGACGGAGCAGGGCGGGGCGGCGAGCTGAGGAGGCGCAGGCACGGACCGCTCGGACTCCGGGTACAGGTCGGCGAGGAGCGACTGCGAGGACGGGATCACGGCGGCGAGACCGAGGCCGTTGCAGGCCCAGCAGATCATTGCTGCATGGAAGTCCGAGACGCCGGCGACGATGCACGTGACGGCGCCCCACCAGATGCACCCGAGCCCGATGATGACGCGGCGGTTGACGTAGTCGCCCAGGACGCCGGAGACGGGGGAGGACACGGCTTGAACTATGGCGCGGCAAAACGTCAGAAGCCCTAGGTGTGTAGGCGAGACCTTCAGCGCTGCGCCGACGTATAGATAGACTGCTGGAAGGACCTGCAGCGGGCGCGGGGAGGGGTGGGACGCTTGCGGCGGATATTCGGGGCGCTCGGAGCTCTCAGGGCGTGCGAGGGCTCCGCGCCGCTGTCGCCGGCGCCTGCCGGTGACGGCAGACGACATGGCGCCCGCCGCATGCCGGTGTGCAGTTCGCGCAGGACCGCCGGCCCAGTCGTGCAATTTCCCGCCCGTGCGTCCCCTCGCGGGCAGCAGACTCTGCATCGCACCTGCTCGTCCGCTCGCTCCATAATCATCGCCAAGTTGATGCAGAGCGACGTCAGCTTCCGGATCACTGTCCGCACACCGGCGGCATTGGCCGCCCGCATGGCGCACTCTGCGCCCTTTCGCCCCCCTCACGCCCACTCGTACACCCTCTCCCCTGCTTGCCCTCCCGGTACGCGCCCGCCCGGCAGCCCAACGCGATCGCTACGACGCAGCAAGACGCTACCTCTAGCCCCACAGTCGCCCATCCATCAACTCATGCTTCGGTGACGACCGCGCGACACAACTACGTTCCCTAATTGTCAACCTACACATCGCCGTGCGAGGCTCTTGCCGCAGCGTCGCGAGCGTTGCTTGCGCGCAGGCGGCGGCGCAGCACGGCCCTTGGGCCCTGGCGCGCGCCCCTCCGGCGTCGTCTGTCTGACCGCGCCAGTCCGGCACGAAACTGACTCAGTGCGTCGCCGGACGCTTTTTGCGTGACACGGCGCCGAGAGGCGCAGTTTCGCCGCTCCGTCCCGGCCCCAGACAGCACTCTCGCTCGCGAACGGCAGCAGGACATGTTCTCGCTGCGCTGCGCGATGTCCGCGTCGTGCGCCGCTGTCGTGCGTCGCAGCGTGCAGAGCTGCAGGGCCGCCCCTGCGCCGCTGCGGGCGCGCGCGGCGGCCCGCGGCGTGTCGACGCGCTCGAGCGTGCGCGTGAGGGCGGCCGGGGGGGACCTGAAGGCGGAAATCAAGGAGAGGAACGCGGCCAACCCGGTAGTAGTCTACAGCAAGACGTACTGCCCGTTCTGCACGCGCGTCAAGTCGCTGCTGCAGGAGATGGGCGTGAAGCCCATCGTGATCGAGCTGGACGTGATCCCGGACGGCGACACCGTGCAGGCCACGCTCGCGGGTGAGAACCGGCCCGTGCTTCCTGGGCCGCAAGGCTTGGGGCGTCCGCGTCAGACTGTGTGGCGCGGCAGCGCGACGCGCGAGGGCGCCCCGCGGTTGCCATGCTGCGTGTGGTGCCGTGAGCGAAGTTTCGGGTCCTGAGATGTGCAGGCGTGAGTGGGATGCGCACCGTGCCCCAGGTCTTCATTGGGGGCGAGCTGGTGGGCGGGTGCGACGACACCGTGGCGGCGAAGACGAGCGGCCGGCTCGAAGGGCTCCTCGCGGCCGCCGGAGCGATCTGACCCGCGCCCCCTGTGCGTCGCTAGGCCTCCCCGCAGGAGCCCATCCTCTTCCACGTTGTGCATTTCAGCGGACGAGCGTCAACGAATGCGTCTGTGACGACCCAGTGACGTGTCCTGAGCCCAGCGTGCAGCCGCGAGCAGTACTTCCGCGGCCCGCGCTGCCAGCGCTTCCGCTTAATGCGAACCAACCACCGCAGCTCTTGCCACGTGGCGCAGCGCGCAGGGACGACGGAACCCTCCGCGAGCGCACGCCCTCGCCTGCTGATCGTCTTGCGCGCACGTCCTCTGCCGCTGCCGGGCCGGAACGCGCCTTTCTACCTCGTCGCGCGAGTGGCGGAGTCTCCCGCTGGGCGGCCCGGGGCGACACGAGGGGGCGCGGGCGCGGGAGGGCGGGCAACTTGAACGACCGGGCGAGGCGAAGACCCTCCCGCTCGTCGTTGCCAGCAGCCTCGGTCTGGGAGTCGCCATATGCGCGCGAACTCCCTCTCACTAGTCTTGTAGTGGTCCCCTCTGGTCTGTCCGCGCTTCACACGCGGCGGTTCCAGCTCCCGCACACCGCGCTAGCACCCTTATCCCGCGCGCGCGACGAAACCGGACCGCACCGGCCCAGCACGCCGCGCTCCCGCTGAGACCTGACCCGCATCAAACTCGCGGTCGCGCTCGAGCTCATCAGGCCCGCTCTGCCGCTGCCGCGATGCCCGCTGTGTCTTCGAGTCGCGAGAAGGCCGCTCCGTCCGCGACGGCCCGTCTCGCCGCGAAGAACCTCGACGCGAGGCCGAGAGCGACCACCGACCCCAGGAGCTCCGTCGAGACCGGCGTCGCGAAGCCCCACCCGGGGTCTGCGCGCGTCACCAGCCCAACGCAGCCCTATATGCGCAGGAAAGCGCCAGAGGGCCGCACGTCGGCCCCCCAGCAGTCCGAAAAGCCGCCTGCTAAGGTGCCGCAGCCAACAGCCGAGCCAGCCCCGCGCGCGGGCGCGCGCCGCCGCCTCGCGCAGGACCTCGAGCCCCACAACGGCCACGTGAGCACCCGCCCGCCCCCGAGCGCCCACCCGATCTCCTTTTCGCGGCGGATCCGCCCCGCAAACCACGGTCAAAGCGCCCCCCGTCACTAACTGAACACGTCCAACAGACCGCTGCGGCTGCGCGCCCCCAGCGCGCGCCCCCGCGCGCGCGGCGTAGATCTGGACTGCTCAGACCCGTTCCTGCCCCAACCGCCCCACTCGCGCCAAAAACTCCCCCGCAGGCGCCCCGGGCGGCGTCCGGGTCCATCACCATCCAGTGGACGCCCGGCAAGCGCGGCGCGGGCGCGGGGAGTGCGGCGCGCGAGGCGCAGTTCACCGAGGACGATCTCAACGACGCATCGATCCTCACGGAGTTCGCCGCGGAGGAGTACCGCACCCGCGCGGCGGACATGACCGACGTCTACACCAAGTCGCGTCTCCCGGACTCCGTGCTGCGCGCCGTGGAGAGCCGCGTGATGGCCTTCGTAGAAACGCTCGAGGAGAGCACCGGCGAGCCGATGCTGCCCGAGGTCGCGACTGCGGTCGCGCAGGAGGTGCTTGCCATGAGGGCGTCGCGGGCGGCCTTCATGTCGCGCGCGAACGACGCGGTGCACCTCGCGTCGCAGCTCCGCACGGTCGCAGACGAAGCGCGCGCCCGCGCGGCCAAGGCGGAGGAGGAAATCGCGCGCCTCAAGGGCGACCTCGCCGGCGCAAGATCCGCAGCTGCAACGCGCACGCGCGAGCTCGAGGCCGACGCCGCGCCCCGCGAGTCCATGCTCCAGGTACGCAGCGCTCGAGCCTGCGACGACGCACCGCGACGCGCCGTGAATGCACCCTCCGCACGCCCCGCGCTGCGCAAACGATGCCAGGAGCTGCAAGGCAGCTTGTAACCAGCGCCCGCGACGTGTGCGCCCCGCGCCGCAGGAGCTTCGCGCGCTGCGCGCGGACCTCGCGGTCGCGCGGTCGAAGCTCGCCGAGAAGGACCGCCACGTGGCGAAATCCGACGAGGAGTGTCGCCGGCTGCGGAGGGCGCTCGCTGACGCGGAGCTCGACCTGGCGCGCGCGCCGGAGGGCGGCGCGGCGGCGCTCACCGCCGCCGAGCGCCAGCGCCAGCTCAAGGCCGCCGAGGAGCGCTCGCGGAGCCTCGAGGACAAGGCACGTGCCCCTGCTGCGTTGCTTGTCAGACACAGCGTTTTCTCGGCTGCCCCGCAGTCAAATGGGCCGCAGGCCGCGCGCCGAGCTCGATGCTAGATCTCCCCTGCCAGGCCGCGCGCGGGCCTCGCCGCGTGCGCGTCACGTCCGCGTCCGCGCGGTCCGAACCAGATGTGCGATGTGTTTGCCGTTGCCGCAGATCTCCGAGCTGTCCGCGGCGGTCGCGAGCAAGGACGCGACGATGGGCGAGCTCCACGCGCTCGTCGACGCCCTCCGGAGCGAGCTCTCGGGCCTCCGCCACACGCTTTCGGACGTGCAGGCCGCACGCGACGTTGCGGCGCGCGACGCCCGCGAGGCGCGCTCCGCGCTCGCGGCCCGCAAGCAGGAGGTCGCGGACGCCCAGGCCGTTGCGCAGCGCGCGCAGGCGGCGCTCGCGGCCGTGCAGCAGCAGGTGTCGTTGCTCGAGGGGCACGCGGCGTCGTCCGTCAACTACGCGACGACCACGGGCAAGCGGCTCGAGGAGGCGCAGGCGCGCGCGACGCGCTTCGAGGCGCTCGCGGCGGAGCGCATGACGCTGCTCGAGCAGGCGACGGGCGCGGTGCGGGCCGCGGAGGGCGAGGCAGCGCGGCTGCGGCGCGACGCCGAGGGGTCCCGCCGCGAGGAGGCGCGCGTCGCGGACGAGCTGCGCGTGGCGCGACAGCGCATCGCGGTCCTCGAGGAGCAGGTTGCGAGCGCGGGGTCGCTGCGGTCGCGCAACGCGGAGCTGGAGGTCGAGGTGCGGTCCGCGCTGACCCACATCAAGGCGCTGCAGCGGGACTGCGACGGGCTGGCGGGGCAGGTGCGCGCGCTCGAGAGCGAGAACAGCCGGCTGGCCGCGGACGCGAAGGCCGCGTCGCTCGTCGAGGTGCGCGATCGCTCTTCGACGATCGCGAGCACGCTGCTGTCGGAGATCGGCGCGGGCCGCGCGGCGGGCGAGGCGTCGGCGGAGCGCGCAGCGCTCGCGGAGGAGCGCGCGCGCATTCAGAGCGAGCGCGAGGAGCTCCTCTCGCTGTCGTCGCGCCTCGAGGAGCAGCGCATGCAACTCAAAGAGGTGCTCGGCGCCGCAGCCGCGGACGCACGGGCCGCCGAGCAGCGCGACGCCGCGCGGAGCTCCGTCGCGGACCAGGAGCTCCGCCGGCTGCGCGAGGAGCTCGTCGAGGAGGGCCAGCAGCGCAGCGAGGCCACGATGGAGGCGGCGCGTCTGCGCGGGGAACTCTCTGCGCTGCGCGACACGATCGCGGGGCTCGAGGCCGAGCGCGACGCGGCGGCGGTGGAGGCGCTGCGCGGCGGCGTGGCGTCGGACTCTGCGCGGCGCGAGTCGAAGCGCATGCACGCTGAGGTGGCGGCGGCAGAGGCGGCGCGGGCCGAGGCGGAGAGCGAGGTCGGCGGGCTGCAGCGGTCGCTGCGCGAGGCATACGCGGACGCGGAGGGTCTGCGGGAGGAGATCGCGGCGCTGGAGGCGGAGCGCGACCGGCTGACGCGCGCGGCGGAGGAGGCGCAGCTGGCGGGCGGCGACGAGCTCGCGGGGCGCGTGGCGGAGCTCGAGGGGGAGGTCGCGGCGCTGTCGGACCGTGCGCGGAGCGCGAAGGAGGCGAAGAGGGACGCGGAGGCGCGGGCGACCAAGGCCGAAGGGTACGTACCTGCCTCAACGTCTCACACCTCCCCCCGCCATACTTACACCCCCCACGGGTGTTACTTCTGCCCCGTACGGCAGAGCGCAGCTGCGCGCGTGCGCATCGCACGATGTCGCACTGCGCGTGCGCTTTCCGAATCGCAAGACGCTCACGATCCCATCGGCAGACGGGCATCGTCACGCCCGCTGTCCAGCCCGGCGGCCCCGCGAGCAGCGCTGACCCGCTCGGCCCCTTCCACACGTCGACGCAGGGAAGTCGCGGCGCACCGGGCGCGCGCCGCCGAGTTGGAGTCCCGCATCGAGTCGCTGCAGCACCGTTTGCAGAAAGCAGACCAGGAGATCGGAGCGCTCCGCGCCGCGCGGGACGCGGCCGAGCAGCGCCTCACCGACGCGCAGCGCGCGTCCCAGGACACGGAGCGCACGGCCATGGCCACCACGGCCCGCGGGCAGCAGATCGCGGCCGATCTCGCTGCGGCGGAGGAGCGCGTGCGCCTGCTGGAGGGCGAGCTCGAGACGGCGACGCTCGCGGCCGCGGAGCGCGAGCGCGAGATCGAGGAGGCCAGGGCGGACGTGGAGTGGAAGACCGCGGAGTGCACGGGCCTCCGGGCGAAGATCGAGCACCTGGAGGCGGCGCTGGACGACGCGCGCGCGCGGGAGGCGATCGCGATCCGGCACGCGGACGAGGCCGCGGCGGAGCTCGACCGGGCGCGCAGGGAGGCGGAGATGGCGGCGCGGCGCGCGCAGGAGGACGCTGGCGAGATGGGAGAGGAGGCCATGCAGCGCGTAGCGGAACTCGAGGCCTCCGCCGCGGAGGCGCGCGCGGCGCGCGCGCTCGCGGACCAGGACCTCGAGGAGGCGCGTGCGGAGATCGAGCGGCTCAAGAGCGACCTCGAGGCCGCCGCCGAGACCGCAGCTGCTGCCGCTGCCGCTGCCGCAGCGCCTGCTGCGACCCAGCCGCCCACGGAGCCGGAGCCGGAGGTTGAGCCGGAGGTTGAGCCGGAGCCAGCTGCTCCGGTGCAGGCCACGCCGAAGCTCCAGGACGCCGCGGAGGACGAGGCGGACTTGGAGCCCGCTGCGCCTGTTGCGCCGCTTGCTGACGAGCCGCCGGCACCGGTCGAGGCGGTGCGAGTGCCGGAGGAGTCGGCGCCTGAGCCCACAGTAGAGGAAGCACCGCAGGCTGCAGAGGAGGAGGAGCCGAAGTTGCTGGAGGCGCAGATTGAGCAGGAAGAGCCATTGACAACAACGGAGACGGTCGAGGCCCCCGCACCGAAGGAGCCGGCGGCGGAGGAGGAGCCCCCTGCAGCACCGGTGGCGTCTCCGTCGCCTGTCAGTCAGCCGGCGGAGGAGAAGCCCTCGCCGGAGCGGCCCGCAGCGCCGGCGCCGTCGCCGGCGCGCAAGGTCAACGGAGGTCTCGCGGCGCGGCTGTTCGGCGACGCGAATCCGTTCGGCGCCGCGATGCCGCAGCGCGCGCCGGCGCCGCCCACCGCGAAGCCACCTGCCAAGGCACCCGCCATTGAGCCCGAGGTGACGTGGACGGCCAACCCGCTCGCGGAGGGCCACGACGACGGGTCTGACGTTGACTCCGAGGTGGATAGCGACGAGCACGGGGACATCCTGCCGCCAGGCGTCTCGCCCGCCCTGGTATCGGCGCACCCTGGCCCGCTGAAGCAGACCGGCAGCGAGGTGTCCTCAGGGCAGGGCGATTCCGACCAGCACCGCCCGACGGTCGCGAACATCGAGGCAGAGCTCGCCGCGCCCGCGCGCCCGCCCCCCGCGCGCCCGGCGCCCGCCGCCGCCACCGCCAACACCGGCACGGGGCGCCTGGCGGGCCTGATCTCGATGTTCGAGAACAAGGAGGCGGGGCCGCCGCCGAGCGCCGCGGAGGAGCCGTGGCCGCGCCGGAGCAACTCGCGCACGCTCGCGCCGCCGCCGCAGGCGCCCAAGAGGGAGGAGCCGGAGACTCCCCCCCCGCCGCCGCAGCCCAAGCCCGCCATGACCAAGTCCCCGTCCGGGCGGAGCGACCTCGTTCCCGGGCAGCCGTACATCTCCCCGAAGAGGAGCTTCCGGCACAACAGGGCGCCCGTGGCCGAGAAGAAGCCCGAGGAGCCCGCGCAGGAGTCGCCGGCGCCGTCCGGCGCGACGTTCCAGACTCCGCTGTCCGCCACCCCGGAGAGCGCGATGGGGTCTGCGTTCCACACGCCCGGGAGCGCGCTGAGCGCCGGATCCGCGCAGAGCTTCCCGCAGCTGCCCCCCGGGCCGCTGGCGGAGATGGCAGCACGCACCGGCGGGGCGGGTCTGCAGCCGCCCCTCGGGCCCGGCACGCCTGGGTTCGGCATGCCGACGGGGGCGCGGCGCCCGCTGTCGCCGACGCTCGACGCGGCGGCCGGCCCGCACGGCACGCCCGCGAGCGCCGCTGAGCGGCAGTCGGGCGAAGCGATGCGCTCGGCGGGCGTCTCGGACTTCAGCCCGCACCCGAGCATGGACCTGTCGCCGATGCAGAGCGGCTCGCCGCCGGCACGCGGCGCCGCGACGTCTCCGCGCGGGCAGCCCGAGATCACGGCGGCGGCGCACGCACTGGGGCCCAGCGGGTCGCCGTCGGCGGGCTTCGACCCGGCGCTGCAGGCGGCGAGCCCGAACTTCAGCCCGCACCCGAGCGCGACGATGTCGCCGATGATGATGCCGACGACGCCGATGGTTGCGCCGCAGCCGCAGCGGCAGCCCTCGCTCCTCGCCCAGAGCGCGGGCAGCCTGATGGCGCCAGCGCCGGTGCAGCAGCCGCCCGCGTCCGCCGCAGGGCCGTCCGACAAGGCGAGCGTCGGCGCGAGCCTCGCGGACTGGGCGGGCGGGTCGCCGCCGAAGTCGGGCGCAGCAGGCCCGTCACCACTGGGCAAGAAACCCTCCCTGCGCGACCGCGGTGCGTTCGGCGCGGACCCCGCGTTCGAGAACAAGGACGACGCGTTCTGGGAGCCGACGAACCCGATGCGCATGCAGCAGATGGGCATGCAACCTGGCATGATGCGTCCTGGCATGATGATGCCGCCGGGCATGATGCGCCCGGGGATGATGCCAGGGATGATGCCGATGCAGCCGGGCATGGGCATGCAGATGCGGCCGGGGATGATGCCGATGCAGCCGGGCATGGGCATGCAGATGCGTCCCGGAATGGGCATGCAGTTCCCGCCGGGGGCGCTGGCCCCGCAGAGCGACAAGGCGTCGCGGAAGGAGCGCAAGGAGCGGGAGAAGATGGAGCGGAGGATGGAGAAGGAGAAGAGGAAGTACAAGGACGTGCCGGTCGTCGGGGAGGGTCCCCCGAGGTACCAGGGCGCACAGAAGAACGAGGACGAGGGCAAGAAGAAGAAGGGCCTGCTGTCGCGGCTGCGTTCGAAGCCGAAGAAGGACCCGTCCGACGTGCTCGGGCTTGGGGTGAAGGCCTGAGGGGGGCGGGATCCATGGTGCGGCGTGAGGGGCCGAGGATGACATGAACAACAATGGGACCGCGTCGCTGCAGTGAATGCTTGAGGAATGAGGGAGCACTCGTGCGCGCAGGATCGGCTGTGCTGAGTGAGTTTGTGACCCGAGATAGCCGCGGCGGGCTCGAAAGGGATCGCGAGATCACAAGGCGCTCGCTGGTGGCGGCGGTGTCGGATTTGAGGCATGTTGCTGCAAGATGTATGGACTGTTCGATCGTTGCTGATCTTCGCGGCCTTGATCTTTTCACGGGGTCGCAGGCTGCCGTGTTCGCGGTGGCAGCTGAATCGTAGTAGTTCCTGTGCGATCTTTCTCTTTTTGTGACCTTGGTCTTTTCACGGGGTCACTGGTACTGCTGTTTGAATCTGTAGCCTTCGGATGGCTGTGACGGTGGCGCTTGATCTTGCGCCGACGCTCCCCGCGCGGGGAAGAATCATGCGAATGCGGTAGAGAGGTGTCGCCATGCACCGTGTGGAGGACACGGACTCGCGCAGCCGCAGCTTGGGTCGCGAGCCTGTGCCGCCTCCACGACGGGTCCTGGTGTGCGCCGCCCGCAGGCAGCGCGCCGTTGCCACGCGAGGTGAGGAAGTGCAGCTCACTGCCGACGACGTGAATCTGCTCTCGACTGTTGCTTTCCGAGCTCGGACCCCCCCGCGCGTCGCCGGAGCGGGCTCAGGCGTCGAACGCGCCCTCGTCGATGCGCTTCAGGAGGGCCATGTAGACGTCCGCGGGAACCACCGCCGGGTCGTTGACGGCGAACGGCGCGTAGGGGCGCGGCTTGGCAGCGACCATGTACCTGCTGTTGCGGCAGTAGCACACCTCGGCGTCCGGGCTGAAGTGGTCGGGGTACCAGAAGTGGTGGCACAGCGCGCACGCCTCGCGGATGATGCGCACGAACGCGGCGGCCTGGCTGTGGGGGTCTGCAACGCGCAGGAGGGGGTGTTGCGTTTCAGGCGACGGGGAGTTGCGCGGGTGGTGCCGGCCAGGCGCGTGCGCTCACTCTTGGGCTGGACGTAGGCGCGGCCGCCGGGCCACTCCGAGGTGACCTTGCCGGAGTGCCCCCACATGAGGCGCGACGCAAACGGCGGCCCGTGGACGCTGAGGCCGTCGCGTCCGCGGGGCACGTTCTTCGAGCGGTCGGGCATGGGGTAGATCACGATGCTCGGGCGCGCCGTGCCCTGCGTCTGCACCGGCCACGACCGGATCAGCTCCTGCAAACCAAACGCGAACAACACAGCGATTCAACAACGAGCTTTGGAGCACAAACGAACTAAAGCCGTCGTCGCGCGACCCGCTCGATCCCAACGCAGCACGCTCGCCCTACGTGTCGCACGCAGCGCCGCCACCTCGCGCACCGTCACCCGTGCGGCCTGCAAAAACAGCCCCTGCCCCCCGCGCTCACCTCCATCATGACGTCCACGGCGTCCTCCCACTCCCCGCTCCACGGGTTCCGGATGAGCTCGTACTCGTGCGGGAGCCCGTACACGTGGCGCATGTGCTGCACGCGCTGCTTCGTCTCCACCGTCGCGCCGCGCCCCACGCGCAGGAAGCTCTTCAGGTAGCGGTCGCGCATGCAGTCGAACGTGTACGTCCGCCCGTCCATCCCAGTGATCTCCACCGCGGACGGTGCCGCGTACAGGAAGTCCTGCATCGCCACGCACGCCCAGAAGTCCCCCGCCGTCGCCCCGGGCTTCCCCGCGCCCTTGTGCACCTTGGCCATGCGCGGCGGCTTCAAGTACACGTTCCGGCTCATCAGCATCGTCTTGAGCAGGTCGACCTGCTCGTCCGTGAAGCGGTTGCACCGCCCGAGCTCGAGCCCCCGCGGCGTCACGCGCACGCCCGACGGCCACGTCGGCTGCAGGGCGTGGCGCAGCTGCAGCGCCGCCTGCGAGGCCGACTCGGGCGGCCGCGTGTCGAGCGGCCTCCGCGTCGTGTCTGCGCCCTTGATCGCCCCCGCGGCTGCCGCCGCGGCTCCGCGCTCCGCTGCCGCCGTCGCAACGCACACCCCCTCGGGGGGCTCCGGGGGCGCTGTCTTGGACTGCGGCGTCGCAGACTTCGTCGGACTGTGCGCCGGCGCAGCCGGGGAGAGCGGGCGGGGCGCGGGCGGGGTGCCGTCGCCGCCGTGCGCGGTCTCTGGCGACGGCGTCGCGGAGGGCTTTCGCGGCGAAGGGCGGATCTTCCCGCCGGTCAGGGGCGCCGTGAAGCCGCACATGATGTTCGCGGCGTCCGTGGACGTCGCTGCGCCCGGCAACGAGGCCCTCTTGTCGCTCTGGTCCTCCCCGGCGCTGCGCGGCGCGGTGCGCTTGGGCGCGTCGTCGCCCTGCGTCGCCTTGCGCGGCGTCGGTGCCTTGCGCTTGGGGCTGGGCGATGGGCTGCGCGGTAGGCACGGCCGCGGCGCGCGCTCACGGTCGTCGCCCGCCGGCGCGGGCCTGATGTCGGGAGGGGACTCCCCCCGGGGGTGTGCGCCCCAGCCGAGCTCGCGCAGGATCGGATCCGCCGACAGGCGCGTGCCGGGCTCCTCGCCATTGACGAGCTCCTGGCTGCACACATCCACGACGCGATCCAGGAGGTCGTCGCCCGCCAGGTCGCTGCCGAACGACGGCCAGTCGGTCACCACGGGCGCGGGGTGCGCGCCGGCCACGCCGTAGCACTGCGGCGGCAGCTCGGGGAAGAGCGCGGCGCACGGAGAGTCGCACGAGGCCGCAGGCGCCTGCATCGACGCCAGCAGGCTGTCGAGCGCGCCGGGCGTCCACGCCGCCCCCGGGAAGCTCGGGGCGCGGTTGGCCTCCTGACTGGCGCGCACCAGGGCGAAGGCCGCGGCGTCCCGGACGAAGGAGTCCGGGGCTGCGTAGCCGTAGCCGCGCCCCGCGGCGACGCCGCAGGCGAGGAGCGGCGCGGGCCCGAAGGCGGCGAGCTCGTGCTTGAAGGCCCAAAAGGAGGGGGGGTCGTTGAGGGGGTCGCTCGGACGCGGAGTGCGCGGCGGGACGAGGAACGGCGTGAAGGGCGCGGCCTGCGGTGCCGGTGGGCCGCGAGGCGGGGCCACCTGCGCGAGACGCCGGGCAAGGGCGGGCGATGTGCACGGGGCGCCTTGCAACGTGAATGAATGCGCGGTGTCGAGTGCAAGGGAGACGGCGCTCGGTCGCCTCAGACTTGGCAAATGTAGCGCGTGTTGCGCACCTGGTGGTGAAGGGCGGGGGCCGTCGCGGCGGGGGCCGGCCTCGGGCCGAGGTCTCCAGGCGGCGCGCAGGGGGCTTTGGCGACCGCAGCTCCGGCTCTGCAGGGCGCCGGTGCGGACACGCTCTGCTCAGCGACTGACTACGAAGGTGAGCAGCAGCTGTCGTCGGACGAGCGGGCGTTCTGGCCGTCGCACGGTGCGCGGCGGGCTCCTAACCAGGCAGGTTGCTGTGAGGACACATGCGCACGAGTGGGTTCCCTCTCACCCTTGTTGGGCCACGATCGGAGCCTTCGGGGGCACGAGCGTCGGTGGACCGCCGACTGCGAGCGAGACGCCGGGCGCCGGGGAAGCTGCGGGGGTGGTGCTGTCCTTGAAGATCGGCGCGCTCACCTGGGGCCCGCCCTTGAGCGCTGCCAGCACTGCGGCCTGCGGGGAAGTCGAAGCGTCTTGATCTGAGCTCTTGAGCGCAACGATGCGGGCTCATGCCCGCAGTCGAGCCCCTCGAACGGGCCCAACCGCGTGCCCCAGCGCCCCGGCTCTTCGGGAGCCCTCACGTGACGGCACCGATGCCGTTCCCAGCGGCGGTGCGACGCTCGAAGAGCTGGTCTGGCAAGGTGCAGCGCAGCACGTTCGGTTCGGGTTTCCGTCCCGCACCTGCGGAGCCAGCGGCGCGGCCTTCTGCTGCAGAAGCGCATTGCGAGCCTCGAACGTCAGAGACTGCGAGCGGCTGTGGCTGCGGCTGTCGCTCGGCAGCGTGTCGTCGCACTCCGACGGGCCGTGACCCTCCGAGCTCGCGCTGTCCGACACGCGAGCTGGGCCAGCGGCGCCCGCAGCTGCGTTGCCAACGAGCTGCTGGTCCCGCGGACCGGCTGGCTGCGGCGGGACGGCGCCACCGCCGCCGCTCGACTGCAGTGCTGCGCTGCGCAGCGCTGCGCCAGCTGCCTGGAAGTCGAGGTACTCCTGCTGCGAAACTCCCAGCGCCGACGGAAGCCGCAGACCAGGCTCTACGTCCGTCGCCTGTTGCGCAAGGGGGGGAGGCCCTGCGGCGTGTGTGAAGCGTCCGATGCGCGGCACCTGCTGCACACTGCTGGCATTTGCCGGCGGGCGATTCTGGCCGCCCAGGTACCCCCTCCAGGAAGGTGACGACACGAGAGCCTGCGAAAATGTGAGCAGCGAAGGGAACGTGAGCCGCGGAGGCCCCTGCGGGCGCGGGCGGGGCTATCTAATCTGGCTGCCAGTGGCGACCTGTGAGCAGGTCGACTCCGCGTCACGGCGGCTGCAGTCGCCGGACGGATCGATGACCCGAATTGTGTCGGATCCGTCACGCGAGTTTAATCGGTTCCGAGCGGAGCGGTCGCGCCGGAACGCCCCGGCACCACAACAGACTCGCACCCACGCGCTGGGGCACGAGCTCCCCGCACGCGCGTCGAGGGCGTGTGTGCTTGCCAGAACCGGCCTCAATGGTGCCGCAATTGCGCGCTTTCGAGGTGAAAGACGGCCGGGGGGTGCCGCGCGAGCCGTTTCCCCATTACACACGAGCTCTCCGGCGCCGAGCGTGCATGCGTCGCACCTGGAGCTGCCGAATGTCGAGATCCAGCGAAAACGGCGAGCTCTGATACTGGTGCTTGACGCGCTTCGGGGGATGCGACATATCGCGGCCGTACGAGGGCCCCGGCGGGCCTCGAGCCTGCTGCAAAGCTTCACCTGCAGCGGCCGCGAATGAGGGTCGACACGCCGCGTTTCGGGCCCATGAGCTGCACCAGCGGTGTCACCCAGCGCGTTATGACCCAGGAAGGGGGCAGAGATCTGCTCTGGTCCCGCCCCCGCTGCGTGCAATGGGGAGGGAGCGTGGTAGCTGGCGGCCACCACCCCAGCGGGGCGGGAGTTGTCCGGTGCGTGAAGGAGAGCGCACGCTGTCTCAGTCGCAACGTTATATCTGACCTGGTGGAGAGCGAGTGTCATACCCTCGCGAACCGCGCGGGTGTCCCCGCAATGACGCACGAGGAGGTGCGCGGTTGCGGGCCAGGCCGTGGCCGTTGGGATACGCCCTGCTGGCCGCAACGACGCTTCAGAGCGCCGGCCGCCACCTCGGCCATACGGCCACTCACTTGCGCATCTTCAGCGTCGCATCCAGCGGCCGTCGACGCCACGCGCGGGCACCGAATCCGCAGGGTGCGTCACAGGTGTTCCTGCCCGTCACCGGTTCGCCACGCAACACTCCAACTGCTTCCACGCGTCGCGAGGCACCTGCGCTATAAGGCCGCCAACGTCCCAGCCCGGCCGCGCCCAGACACCACCCCGCGACCCGTCACGCCCCAGACCTCCAGGGGCGCGCGTGCGCCAGCCGTCAGTCAAGGTCCTCGCCCGCGGCCAGGTCGTCGTACGTGCAGTCCGTCACGAACGGCTTGTAGGCGTCCACGAACTGCTGCGTGTCGACCGCCAGCTTGAAGTCCACGTGTCCGCCCCCCATCCAAAAGTACCGCGGGCTGAGGTCCAGGATGCGGTGCGACAGGATCACCGGCACGGGCTGCCGCATCGCGACGGGCACGACGCCGTTCTTCACGTACCCCGTGAGCTCCGCGGAGACCTCCTCGGGCGCCAGCCGCATGTTGAAGTTCTTCTTGCCAACCTTGCGCTGCCCCAGCTCGGCGTACACGAAGTTCCGGAGCTTGTCCGCGTTCATGCGCGCGGCGTACTGCACGATGACGACGTAGTACTTGCTCGCGAGCGGGTCCTTGATGCCGTCGACGGACTGGTGCGCCTTGGTGTTCTCGATGACGATGGACTTGCACAGGTGGCCCAGGGTGTGCGCGCCGAGGCAGTGCTGCCGCCACGCGAGGTCCTTCTCGTAGTAGTAGCTCGGCACCCAGTTCGTCGCGAAGCTCGTCACGCCGCGCCGCTTCAGGTCTGCAGGCGGCGGTGGCGCGGGCGGCGGCGCGGGGGGGGTCGCGAAGGACGACTCAGGTCCCGGCTTGGCAAGCAGAGCAGCGCCGGGGACGGCGTCGAGCTCCGGCGTGAGCGGCAGGGCGGCGCGTCGCGAGGCAACGGCGGGGGATCGCCCAGCATTGCATGCAGCGGCAGCGGACAGGGCTGCGCTCACCCGCGGCGATCCTCTCGTAGACGCCTGCGCCGTCCGGCGGCATATCGACGGTGACGTTGCAGGCCGGGATCTCCACAGCCATGTCCGCCGCGGCCGCAGCCGCCGCAGCCTGCGCCTCCGCGGACGCCGCGGGCGGCATCACGGCGGGCAGCTTCGGCGTCGGCGCTCGGGGCACCGCCTCCATCGGCGCCATGCCAAGCCTGGCCTCCGCCGCGGCGATGCGAGCGAGGATGGCCTCTTGACGCGACGCCAGTTGCTTCTCCGACTTGGCAGACGCCGCGGCGGCGGAGGAGCTGCCGGGCGGGCACAGGCCGCACGTGCAGCGTGGCGGCATCAGGTTGGAGTGGTCCGCGAGCGCGCGCTGCGCTGCCGGGGCCTCAGGCTGCGAGGAGGGGGTTGTGTGAGTGAGTTTGGGGGGGGTGTGCGGGCCGGAGGGGCGAGATCGCCGCGTAGCATGGGAGGGGATCGGGGAGCTGGTGTTTGGTACGGCGGTGCACGGGAGGCGGGTGTTGTGGGCTAGAGAGTCGGCGTGGGGCCTCACCGCACGCTTGGGCGCCGGCGGGTCCGCCTTGGGCGCCGGCGCCGGAACGCGCGCTGTCTCGATGGACACACGCTTGGATTTCTTCGGCTTCTCCGCGGGCGGCGGCGGCGCGGGCGCGCTCTCGGCCTCGGGTTTCGCGACCTGCACTAGCACAAAAAGCGCCACGAGGTCGGCCGGGCGACGACGCGGGGACAGCATCCGCGCACTTCTCGCATGCCCACTACAGTGTGCGACGCGACGCAACTCGCCGCAGCTCCGCAGAGCTCCGCATTCGCGGGCCAGAGTCGCTGCAGAGTGGCTGCTCGGGCAGCCCGCTGCTCCTGGTCGGGGACTCCGAGCACGCCAGTACGCCACCGAGGTCGAGAGATGCCTCCACATCAGCGGGCGACAACCACTACGCGCTGGAATCCCTCGGCAGCACGTTCGCAGGCACGTGGCTTGCCTTGCTCATCTCCTCGACGACGCTATGCGCAGCCCGGACGTTGACGCTCGACGTTCGCACCCTCTGCGGCTCCTTTGTGCCTCTCTGGCCCATGTCCGGAGCCCTGCCGCGCTCGGCCTCCCGCTCAGACGCCTCTGAAGGGCCCTGGGTGAAGTGCAGACGCCCTCGCCGCAGCTCCTCGCCGCAAGCCGCAACGGCACGATCAGACACAGCGCGAGCTCGCAACTGCGCACGCGGCTCGCGCGCAGGCCAAAGCATGCGCGTGCGGCAACGCAGCGGTGCGGCACACTGCTCAGACACCCCCGCTGCATGACACGGTGTCTCCGGCACGCGTCGCGGCCCACATCACGCCCAGGCCACCTCCTACGCACACCCTCGCCCTGCCAGCGCGCAGCCAGTGGCCGTCATCCCTCACACGGCACCCAAGCCAACAGGGCGCACTGCCGCCCTCACCCACCACGACGGATCCGCCTCCGCGGCGCCTCCGCCGCCGGCGCCCCGCCCGCGACGACCGGCGCCCCCGCCCCCTCCGCCACCGCCGCCCCCGCGCCCGCCTCCCCGCCCACCATCGGTGCCGCCGCCGCCACAGCGCTGCCCTCCACCGCCTCGCCCAGGGCGCGGAACTGCGCGATCGCCGCCACGAGCAGCGGCCGGATCGCGTTCGCCTCCATCGACGAGATCGGCAGCGGGATCGCCTTCACCGCCCACGTGCGGTTCAGTTCCTCCTGCACCTCGCGCTCCAGCTTCGACATGCGCACCTGCAGCCGCGCGCACGCGACGCGGCGCGAGGACGTGAGCGCCGAGGCGCTGTACGCGGTGTGCGTCGGCGCCCGGACCCGGAGGACCGGGGGTATCAGGGGGGGGTTTTGGGTTGGCTCGCCTCTCGGATGCTTCGCAGGGTGCTGCGGACTTTGGGGAGGTCCGCGCCGAAGTCCTGCGGGGCGAAGCGCAGGAGGAGGCCCGCGACCTCGATGTAGCGGTGCGGCATGTCCTGCAGGTCGACGCCCTTGCGCTCGGCCTCGAGGACCTTCTCCAGGTTCGCGACGGACATCCACTCCGGGGGCTGGATGCGCGCCTTGTTCTTGCGGCGGAGGCTGAGCGCGACCCAGAGGGGGACCTTGGCGGGCGTGTTGGCGCGCAGGGGCCCGTAGGCGCCGTCGAGGAGGTGCAGCTTGCCCTGCTCCTGCCGGAGGGTGAATTTCGGGAGAATCGAGACCAGCTCCTCCTCGGCGAAGAAGTCGAGCTCCTCGGGCCTGCGGGAGGCCGGGCGCGGTCGGCGCGGTCGCGTGCGGCCCGCCGCGCTGTTTCCGCGGGCGGCAGCAAACGCGCGCGCCCGGCGCTTTCCGGGAACGTGCGGGCGCGAAACCCTAGTGAAACTGAGCGGAATGGCCGAGCGGATCGACGGAAACGGTGCCGCGGGGACGCGGAGGGCCGCGGCGGTCGTTCCGGCGCGTGGTGGGCTGGCTCGCGTGGCATGCACTTCAGGCTTCGCGCGCACTTGAACGGGATGTGCTCGGCCACCAGCCGGCGTTCCGTCGGGACCGGTGTGGTCGCCATGTCCGCCTACGCGCAGCTCGCGCCTAACGGGGCCGTCCGCGCCCTCCCCAGCGCTGCGCGGCAAGAGCGTACGAATGCGCCCCGAGGCGGCAACCCCGTCTCCGCGTCTGCCGTCGACGTCAAGCACGCTCGGCTCGCTGAGATGACGGGCCGAGCTGTGCCTGTCGCTGCGGGCTGTCCTGGCCGCTCACGTCGTCTGTGGCGCACAGGAGCGGGCTCACGGACCGACTGCGTTCACTGCAAGCTTCGCGGCGCTCTAACGTGCAGGGCGCAAGCGTTCGTCTGCGACAAGCGGTCCTCAGAGAGTCTCTCGATAGTGAGCGAGGCTTGCGTGAGCGCGGACCTGAATATCTGGCCTCGAGGCGTCCGTGGCCGGGCACTCGTGGAGGACTGTACCCTGAGTGAGGCCCCCGCGCGTCGCAGAAAAGGGCGCGGCCACCGCGCGTTGCGTCACACGTCGGGCTTGTACACATCTCCGTGCAGCGTCGTAGACTGACACGCGAGGCGGCCGGGTGAGCGACCAACGTCGAGGAGCTCTGAACCATCACATAGCGCCTCGTATTGGATCGCTGAGGGCTCGGGACACCCCTGTTGAGAGCGACGGGCCCAGGAAGATGGCAGAGGCCCGGGCGGCGTTTCGCACGCTCGTGCGCGCCGCGAAGCAAAGTGCGCAGCCTCGAGCCCTAAGAGCACAGGAGTGCCGTTGCGTGCGTGGTGGCGGCCTGTCGTGCCGTGACCGGGCTCGTCAGGCGTCCGTCAGCTCGTCGGCGTGCGAGCGCGACGGTCCTGACCGCGCATCACGGCCCCTCTTGAACCTGTGGGCCGCGTGAGACGTACACTTGCCCCAGCGAGAACTGCCGCCCTGTGCGCTGTCAGCTCGACGATAGCGAGCGGGCGGGGCTGAAATCGCTGGACCTGAAGTGAGACTTGACGCGTTTGTGGCTTTCGTGTCACTGCGCGGCGCTTGGAGCCGCGACCGGCCGCCTGGATGCTCACTGCGCCATCAGCGCCTCGTCCTGGCTCGCAGCGTTCAAGGGCGATCCCTTCATGTACGGCAAAGCGCGGGAGGAAATCTGTTCCAAGTTCCGCGAATCGGCGAGCGTGACCGACCCGACGCAGCAGAAGGCACGCGCCCCGAGCAGCCACGCACCTCCCAGCCCATGCAACGCACCTCGACGCAGATGCGACAAACACCCCTGCCGCGACCAGCGCGACGCGCCACGCCCAGCGCGAGTCCGCCGGCGTGCTCCGCAGGAGATGATCGGGATGGCGTACGAGGCGGCGGTGTTTCTGCAAGAGAGCGTGGTGCAGGTGGGGACGTCGGAGCGCGGGAACCCGGTGATCGGGGCGCCGGCGGGGCGCGAGGCGGAGGGGGGCACGTACAACCTCGTGACGCCGGACGAGGTCGCCGCCCTGGGGAAGCGCAAGCGCAAGGACAAGAAGAAGTGAGGCGGCGCACTGCGTCTGTGACGGACGTTGTTCCAGCGTGGTAGACTGCGCCGCGATCGCGCGTGCGTCGGGCGGATGCCGCGCGGAGCAAGAGTGGTTCACATGCACGTTTCACGCACGTCGGATCGCGTTCACTTCCACACGCAGCCCAGCGTCCCCAGCGACTGCAGCGCGCCGGCGTACGCGCTCGTGAAGCTCTGCGGGACAGGCGGGGCACGTGGCGTTTGAGTACGTGGGCGCGTAGCGAGCCAGGCAGCGCGTTCTCCCGCGCAGCAGCACCCTGATCTTATGCGTCGACAATCACCTGCGCGTTGTAGGCCCACGTGTTCACGAAGCTCGAGAAGTCCGCGGAGCCCGTCAGCGTGGTCGCGACCTGGCCGCAGCTGGACCCGCACAGGCTCTCCGCCTCGCCGTTCGCCGCCGCGGCCACGAACGTCTTCACGCCGGAGAAGTCCACCACCTGGGACGCCCCCTGGAGGGCCCCGAACGCGTTGCCGGCCGTCAGCGCCGCGGCGTGCCCGAGCTCGAGCCCCATGCTGCCGTGCAGCACCGACGATAGCGTCTTGGAGTCGTGGTGGAACTGCTTGTTCACGACAACCTGCCTAACTCCGGCGTCGGCGGCCACGGCGTCGGCACGGCCGAGGCGGACGATGGTCTGCGGGCCGCCGAGCCACGCGCAGCCCTCCGCAGCGCCGACCACGATGAGGTCCGCGAGGGACACCTGCACCTTGTGCTGCGCGTTGAGCTGCGCGCGGATGTCCTGCAGGACGGCGACGGCCTGCGCCACGTCATCGTCGAGGTCCTCGAACTGCACGGAGCCGTTGACGCCGCCGTCGGCGCACGTGGCGGCGGCGGCGCCGCACGTGAAGCCCGCGGCGTCGTAGAAGAGCGCGCGCTGCATGGAGTTGGCCAGCGAGTAGCTCGACCGCTGGCAGCTCAGGAGTGCGTTCTGGACCGCGAGGCGCGCGAGCTGCAGGGCGTCGTCGCCGGCGGGGACTGCGCGGGAAGAGAGAGGGCGCCGGCCGTGTGAGCGGCTCGGGCTGTCAGCTGCGCGGCGTTGTAGCGATTGTGATGCTGTGCGGGGGCGTCACCTGCTTGGCAGTCAGAGCAGTCGGTACCAGCGGCGCAGCCAGCGCCCTCCTGGCAGATGCCGTCCCTTGCGAGCGCGCAGGTGTCGGTGCAGAGCGCGTCGAGGCGCTGCGTGGCGGTGCAGGTGTTGGTCTGCTGCAGGGACTCAAGGTACTGCTTCTTGTAGGCCTCCAGGCTGCCGTACGTGCTCACGAGCACCTGCAGGACGTGGGCACGCGGCGTGCGTTGTGCGGCAGCACAGTCGCGGCGTGGAAGCCATCGATGTACGGGGCGGCGCATGTGCTTGCCGTCCAGGGGCGGCTTGAAGTGGGCGAGGGGGGTGCCGGTGCGCACCTGTGCGGGCACGACGCTCGAGAGCACGCCTTGCTGGCACGAGCTGCACAGGGCTGCGGTGGTGTGCTCGACGACGGGCACGAGGCTGGTCTCGGTGACCTGCTTCACGGTGGTCTTCTGGACCTGCGCGATCTTGGTCTGCGCGGGCACCTCGGTCACCGTGCGCTTCACGACCTCGTACGCAGCGCCGCACTCGGCATAGGATCCGGCCGCGACGGTGATGGAGGCGGCCTCGGCCTCGGCCACGCAGTTCACGGCCTTGACGCTGATCAGGTTCGTGACGCACGGGTCGAGCTGGCTGATGACCAGGCACTGGTCGAACTGCGCCTCGGGCGACACCGTCGCCACCTGGTCGCCCTGCTGCACCTTGACGACGTACGACATCTTGCAGCCGCCGTCGTCCAGGGGCTTGTCCCAGCAGACGTTGACCCCGGAGCTCTCCCACGAGACGACGGAGACGTACGGCACGGGCGAGGGCGGAGTGTACGTGGTCTCCTCGACCTGCAGGGCGCAGCCCGAAGCGATTCCGTGGAAGGCGTGAGACGAGGAGCCCTGGATGCCGCTCGGACGAGCAAGCGACGCCAAGCTGCACTGGCAAGGGGCCTGGGCGAGGCGAAGGCGACCCGCAGTGGCGGGGGAGGCGCGCAGCTAGACTCACCTCGTGGTCGACGCACGCCGTAGTGCTCCACACGCCGTCGCAGAACCTGCGGGAGAACGGAGCCGCGAAAAGTATGTTGTACTGGCGCGCAGTGGAGATCGGGCGCAAGTCAATGGATCGAACGCGTTTGTGCCTGTGAAGCCCTCCACACCACTGTAATCGACGTGCGCAGCGTAGCTGCGCTGGTTTCCGCGACTTTGCGCGAGATCGCAGCCACGAGGGGAGGGTGCAGCTGCGTACCAGGACTTTTGCTCCTCCGTGGTCGTCACGGGCACAGACTTGGTGGTCGTCAGCTGCTTCCAGGACACGTGCGGAACCGTCGGCTGCGAGGCCTCGCAGGTCACGCACTTGACCTCGGACGCCGTCGTCGTCGCCGCAGTTGCCACCACAGGCCGCGCGACCGCGACAGCCATGTTCAGAGAGCCGCTGGATGCGCTCGTGCCGCACGAGCCCGAAGCGTACATCGAGGAGGAACAGGTCGTGGCCGCCCTCACGGAGCTGGACTTGCACGAGGCCGACCCCGGGAAGCACAGCACCTGCGCGCTGCCCTGGTGAGCTCCGCTGAAAAACGACGAGATGAGCCCGAGCCCTTTCATGCTTCGCGGATGGGCAGCCCGGATGGGCGACACGACGGCCAGAAGGACCGCGATGAGCGCGAGCAGCCTCATGTTTTCTCCCTGCAGTTTTGGTCGAACACGAAGCGCGGTTCTCGGCGTCCGTGGCGCCGTGATCGCCGCGGCGCGCAGGCCATGATCGCTTGTTATAAGAAAAGCCCGAATCAAGGCTCAAAGCAGTTGCTGGCAGGCGTGCGGGCGAGAGCGACGGCCAGCAGCAGTTGGAGGCGGCAAAGCCGCGTACGGCGAGCTAGCGCGCTCTCGTCAATCCGGGCGCACGAGAAATCGATCGAATGAGAAAAGTTCTCGACAGTCCAAGCCTGGATCTGGGCGGAGACGGCGGCATCGTGCGGGACACGTCGCCCGAGCGGTTGGTTCAAGGTCGGCGCGTTTCGACGGGGCGTGGGCGCCTCGTATGGCATGGCGTACCTGTTCCGTGTCGAGTCCGAACCCCCGGTGACGAGAGGAAAGTGGCCGCTTGCGCGGAGCGGGCCAGGCATGGAAGCGCGCCAGCTTGCTGCGGCCCTGACAGCTGCGTAGGGTGGTGTCCCCGGCCTGACTCACGCGCGCCGCCGAGCGCGACCATGGACGGCGCCGACCTCTCCGAAAAGCGGTCGGGGAGCTACCGCGGGGGCGATGGCCAGCCGGGAAGGCGAAGACGTCGTGCTTGCCCGCTTTGCTGCTCACGTCGTCAAGAAGTAGGTCGGGTCCGATCCCACCTTGCCGGGGTTCAGGATGTCGTGCGGGTCGAGCGCTCGCTTGATGCTGTGCATCATGTCGAGCTGCGCCCGCCCGAGCTCCTTCTGCACGCGAACGGAGCGGCGCGTCAAGGTTGCTGCATCGAAAGGCAGGGCCAGTCCTACGTCCGCAGAGAGCACCAGCCTCGCGCACGTGGCCCACGTATCGTCCCCACCTCGAGATATCGCAGCTTGCCGAAGCCCAGACCGTGTTCGCCCGTGCAGGTGCCCCCGAGCTCGATTGCCTTGTCCACCATGCCCGCAATGAACGCGTGGGCCTTCTCCATCATCTGCCCGTCCTCCGGGTCCACCATGAGAATCATGTGATAGTTGCCGTCCCCTGCAGCGACAGTGAGAGCCAACGGAGCCATGAGATCGCTTCAAGAGTCCCTTCCAACCCCAAAGAGAGGCGACTGCTACACGAAAGCGCGTGCGGGCAGCAGAAACCGCGGCCGCACCTGCGTGCCCGACCATCGGCGCGCTCAGCCCCAGGCGCTGCAGCTCCTGGTGCGCCGCTGCCACGCTCTGCGCCAGCTTGGACACGGGCACGCAGACGTCCGTCGGGAAGCCTGACAGCCCCGGGTGCGACGCCAGCACCGCCCAGTACGCCGTGTGCCTCGCATGCCACAGCTGTCGCCTGTCGTCAGGGGTCGCAGCCCAGCGGAACCCGCGCGCTCCGTGCGCGCTCACCACCTCGCCCACCAGCTGCGCATGCGCATCCACCTCCTCCTGCGTCGCGCCCTGCGGAGCGCACGCAGCGACGCCAGCGGCCGGTGCGTCAGCCATCGCGTGCAGTTGCGGACGCGTGGCCGTGGCCGTGCGGGTCGAGCTCGGCGTTCAGGCGCACCTCGAATTCGAAAAAGAGCGTCGGGGCGGGTTCGTGCGCGGTCTTCGAGTAGGCGTTCACGCAGCGGATGGAGGCGGCGTCGAGGATTTCGACGCGCGCGATGCGGGCGCCGCACTGCATCGCGTCGGACGCGGCCTCGCACGCGCCCGCCAGGGTGTCGAACGGACACGCAGCAGCCACCACCGCAGCTGGGAGGGGGTGCAGCCGCAGCGCCACCTCTGCAAAACATGCGGACCGGCCCGCGCGAGAAGATGTTTCGATCGAGGAGCACGTCGCCCTTGGTTCGACATAACGGCCAACCGCGTTGCACACCTGTGATGACGCCGAGCGTCCCCTCGCTCCCGACCAGCAGCCGCGTCAGGTCGTACCCCGCGCTGCTCTTCCGCGCGCGCGACCCCGTTCGCACGACCCCCCCGTCCGCCAGCACCGCGGTCAGACCGACAACAGCGTCGCGCATCGTGCCCTTGCTCACGGCGTTCGTCCCCGACGCCCGCGTCGACGCCATGCCGCCGACCGTCGCATCCGCGCCCGGGTCGACCGGGAAGTGCAGCCCCGTGTCGCGCAGGTGCGCGTTCAGCGCCTCCCGCCGCACGCCGGCCTCCACGCGGCAGTCCATGTCCTCCGCGTGCACCTCGAGGATGCGCGTCATGCGCGTGAGGTCCACCGCGACGCCGCCGTACATCGCGCCAACGTGGCCCTCCACGCTCGTGCCTGCGTGAGCACAGAAGCACGCAGCCTCGTCAGACAGACCACACGAGTCAAGTCAAGCGCGCGGCCCCCTCCCTGGCCCACGCGCGCGGGCTTGCCGCAGCCCGTGCTCAGAGCCACAGGGAAGCAGCGGCCGGGACCCACCTGCGCCGAACGGCACGACAGGAGTTCGGGTCTCAGCGCAGAGACGCATGATGGACACCACGTCGTCGGTGCACCTCGGGTACGCCACGAAGTCAGGGTCCATCGCCGCGTGGTAGCTCTGCCCCTGCGTTCCGGGCGAGGCGCGGTGGGCGACATCTGGGCGCGTTCCTGGTCCGACGCGCTGGCGGTTGGGCGCACCATGGTACATGGGATTTGCGCGGGAGCGAGCAGGTTTTCGGGGACCCATGGGTTCGCCGCGACGGAGGAGGGGAGGCGGCTGCGTGGACGCCGCACGAGAGGCGAAAGACGCGTGCGTCCGCGCGCGGACCGCACCTTGCCGTGGGTGTGCCGGTCGCTGGTCGAGTCCGTTGCTCCCTCGGCCCCGCCGCACGCCTCCCTGAGCCGGTCGAGGAGGTCACGGGGGGGCTGCCGATGATAGCGGGAGCGATCCAGAATCAGTCTAGACACGCTGGGAGCCCTCGGGGGAGCACCAGTGCTCCGCGCGCCCTCGACCGCCTCCGTTGCCATCTCACGCTCAGAGGGCGCCGTTTGCGGGGTGCAGACGGCACCACGGGCAACGAGATTCCCGGTGTGGAGGCGTCGAGGCGAGAGACCGGCGCACGCGGCCGCGCGAGCACCCACAAGACGTGCTCGCTGGCCCATCAGCTGGCTCAGAGAACCGCGCAGGGCGCCCATCGTTTTCCCCGAGATCGGCTGCTCCGGGACGAGCAGGTGGCGCCACGGGAGCTGCCGGCGCGCGGAGCCACCTCGATAACGGGGGAGTGCGCGAGCGGCGCGCGGTGGGTGCAATGTCACCCCCGCGGAGTGGCGGCCCCCGCGATGTTCCCAGGCGAGAGACGCGGCTCCCCGGTATGGCATGAGGCATTCGCACGCCCACAGCGCGGCCTCGTGAAACGGTGGCGGCCCGCGCCAGCCCCCACCCCCCTCCCCCCGCTGACAGCCGGCCTCTTTGCCTATCGGCGTCGCTGGCGCGCGACCGAATCACTTCGGCCGCGCACGGCAGCTGCGTCCGTCAATCGCACAGGGCCACCGGCCTCGAAAGGCGTTTCGTCGGCCCACGGCGCGCCTCGCGGTCTCTAAGCGAAGCGCCGTTTCCAGCGGGCCCGTGCACGATCGTGCGACCTATTCGGGACAAGCGCGCAGCCCGCGTGGATTCTTTAGAGTTCGAGGGACGATGTCGGCCGCAGGGAGTCAGCGGCTGACCACCAGGGATGCCCTGAGCTACTTGAGGTGTGCCAGTCGTCCTCCTGAGCCGGCCCCGCGCCCCCGGGGCCCGGCCCGCGCGTGCGCGGCCGCAGCCGCAAGCTCCTGCCCCTGCTCCGCGCGACCCCGGCGCCCCCGTGCACTGGATTACCCCCGAGCGCCCGCCACGTCGCCTCTTTCAGGGACATCAAGGATCGCTTCAGGGACCGGAGGGAGATCTATGACAAGTTCCTGGAGATCATGAAGGAGTTCAAGAGTAATCGCATAGACACCCTCGGGGTCATTGAGCGCGTCAAGGCGAGTGCGGGGCGCTGGAGGCCAAAGTTGCCATGCTCTGGTGCTGCTGGGTCGCCCGCGTGGCGCCGGGCCTCGCCGGGCGCGCCGACGGAGCCGCGCGCCGCGGCGGCGCCTCTGAAATTCGAAGCTCCCCGTGCCTGCGTCCGCAGTTGCTTTTCAAGGGCTACCCGGACCTAATCCTCGGATTCAACACCTTCCTGCCGAAAGGCTACGAGATAAAGGTGGAGGACACGATAGAGCGCCAGCCCGTCGAGTTCGATCAGGCCATCAACTACGTGAACAAGATCAAGCACCGTTTCGCGCGGGACGAGCGCGTGTACAAGGCCTTCCTGGAGATACTCAACACCTATCGCAAGGGCGGGAAGACCATCTCCGCGGTCTACGAGGAGGTATCCCTGCTCTTCAAGGACCACAAGGACCTCCTCGAGGAGTTCGCCTACTTTTTGCCCGACACGCCGCGCATGCATGCTGGTCATGGGAGGGGCAAAGGAGCAACGGCCAGGCTCACGGGCCCGCGAGGCCGCGCCGCCGGTGAGCCACCGCCCGAGCGCCACGAACAGTTCGCAGCCACGCTCCCGCGCGACGCTGCGGCCGCGGAACCGCCGCCGTCGACCCGCACTCCGCGGCTGCGGCTCTTCGGGGAATGACGTCCGCGCGGGGCTGCGACCGGGCGCCCCGGGCCCCGCGACCGCCCTGGACTGCCACAACTTCCCCCCTATTCGCCGTCGCGCGCGCCGCGACCGCCTGGCAACGCCCCGCGAGCCCCCCTCGCGCGGTTGCCTCCAAAAACGCTGAGCTCACACTTCCCGCCCCCCCCGCGCCGGCGCCGCAGGCCGCGACGACCGCGACGACCGCAAGGGCCTCGTCTCGTCCAAGGAGATCCAGTTCTTCGAGAAGGTCAAGAACCGCGTTCGCTCGCGCGAGGTGCGTCCCGGCCCCCCCCGCGACCTCAGCCCCACCTCGCTGCCGCCGCGCTGGCGCCACCCGCGCCCCCGCCCGCCGCACGCGCCCTCGTCCCCGCGCGCGCCCGCCCGCCACCGCCTCCCCGGCCCGCGCGCTCACCCCCCCCGCGCTTGCAGATCTACCAGGAGTTCATCAAGGTGCTGAACTTGTTCGCGAACGACGTCATCAACCGCGACGAGATGCTGTGCCTGATCGACGACGTCCTCCAGCGGTTCCCGGAGCTCCGCCGCGAGTTCTACGACCTGATGGCGCGGTGCGACGGCACGGGGGACCCGAACGACCGGTCGACGCGCGCGGCCCGCGAGCGCTTCCAGATGCGCGAGAAGTACCTCACGCTGCCGATCTCGGAGCTCGACCTGTCGCACTGCGAGCGCTGCACGCCGTCGTACCGCATGCTGCCGGACGACTACCCGCGCATGGTGTGCTCGGGCCGCCCGGAGTGGGCCAAGTCGCCGCTGCTGAACGACACGTGGGTGAACGTCATCTCCGGGTCGGAGGACTACTCGTTCAAGCTGATGCGCAAGAACCAGTACGAGGAGAGCCTCTTCCGCTGCGAGGACGACCGCTACGAGCTCGACCTGGTCCTCGAGCAGAACATGTCGGCGATCCGCGCGATGAAGCCGCTGTACGAGGAGCTCGAGAACATGCCGCAGGAGGACCGCAACGCGTGGAGCCTGCCGAAGGACGCGCTCACGCCGGTGCACCTGCGCATGATCCAGCGCATCTACAACGAGCAGGGGCACGCGGTGCTGGAGCTGCTGTACAAGAACCCGGGCGTGTCGATCCCGGTCATCTACCAGCGCCTGCGGCAGAAGGACCAGGAGTGGCGCGCGGTGATGGACCAGATGATGCCCAACTGGCGCAAGGTCTTTGAGGCCAACTACCACAAGAGCCTCGACCACCGGTCGTTCTACTTCAAGCAGCAGGACAAGAAGAACCTCTCCGGCAAGGCCATGGTCCAGGAGATCCGCGACTCGGCCGAGCGCCGCCACGACCACGTGCTCTCCCTGCAGTACCTCTCCATCGCCTCGCCCTTCAGCCAGCGGCTGCAGCCGGACATCACGCTCGACTACCCGCACCGCGCGCACCTCGACGACGCCTGGCGCATCGTCCACCTCGGCGTCCGCAGCATCGTCAGCAGCCCGGAGATGCAGGCCAAGATCCTGGCCTTCTGGACGGAGTTCCTCGAGCCCTTCTTCCACCTGGGGGAGCGCGGGGGCGACCCGATGGAGGAGGACCCGGAGCTGTACACGATGCTCGAGGAGGCCATGGAGGCCGAGGCGGCCGCGCGCGAGGAGAAGGCGGCGCGGGACGCGGCGGAGGCGCAGGCCAACGGCGGCGCGGCCGAGGGCGGCGAGGGCGGCGAGGGCGGCGAGGGCGAGGGCGAGGACGGCGAGAACGAGAAGGACGGCGAGGGGGCGCGCGAGGACGAGAAGGAGAAGGAGACGACGGGCAAGGACGACGACCGCGACGAGTCGGACATGGAGGACGCCGAGGGCGCGGAGCCCGCGGTGGACTCGGACGAGGAGGAGGAGGAGGACCACGCGAAGTACGCGTGGTGCCGGCCGCTCGCGACGACGCGGCAGCCCGGCGCGGCGCCCGTGCGGCCGGCGGAGGAGTCGAGCGTGCTCTACATGAACTCGTCGCTCTACGTGCTCCTGCGCTACCACTACCACCTGTACGAGCGCATCGCGATCGCGCGGCGGTGCGCGGTGCAGAAGGTGACGCAGCGCGGGCAGGACATGGGCTGGCAGGAGGGCGACCCGCTCCCGGCGGACGCGCAGGAGGTGTACGACAAGTTCCTGCTGCTGGTGGCGCAGCTGCTGACGAACAAGCTGGACCCCAGCGCGTTCGAGGACTCCGCGCGGTCGCTGCTCGGCACGTCGGCGTACATGGTGTTCACGCTCGACAAGCTCGTGCAGAAGACGGTGAAGCACCTCAACACGCTGCAGGCCGACGAGGTGACGCACAAGCTGGTGGCGCTGCACCGGTACGAGCGCCGGCGCGGGGAGGCGGCGTCGGAGCAGGTGTACTACACGAACGCGCACGTCCTGCTCGGCGAGGAGATGTGCTTCCGCGCCGAGCACGTGGCGGCGGAGCGCAAGCTCACCGTGCAGCTGCTCGAGCACGACCACACAGAGGTGCCGACGGGCGTGCTGGACCCGGCGTTCGCCGAGTACCTGGACACGTTCATCGGCGTGGTGGCCGCGGACAAGAGCGGCGCGGCCAGCACGGGGGCGCCGGAGAGCCGGCGCGAGGGCGACGACGGCGACGCCGAGATGGCCGAGGACGACAAGAAGAGCGCCGGCGGCGAGGGCGGCGAGGCCAAGGAGGACGGTTCCGGCAAGGACGCGACGGACGCGGGCAAGGAGCAGGGCGACGCGAACGACGCGGAGGAGGACGAGGCACGCAGCGAGGAGGCGCGGCAGATGGTGCAGCCCTTCCTGAAGCGGTGCCTGGGCGAGAAGCGGAAGCGGACGCCCGAGGAGCTCGACACGGAGGCGCAGCGGATCCTGGACGGCGCGCTGCTGTACAACGGGCTGGAGTGCAAGATGGCGTGCGCCACGTACAAGGTGTCGTACGTGCTGGACACGGAGGACGTGCTCGCGGTGCCGAAGCGCCGCAAGGTGACGGCGGAGCGGGCGAAGGAGCTACAGACGAAGCGGCACACCGCGTTCCGCGCCTGGGTGGAGGGCCGGGTGGCCAGGGTGGGCGCGGTGGCGCCCTCGTGAGGCGCGCGCGCGCACTGCAGAACGAGACCCACTAGGCTCCGCGGAAGTCCTGATGTACGCATGCAGTCTGCAAACACCAGCGATTTGAACATCACAGAAACATTCCCCCCCGCCAGGCGACAGCAGCAGGCCTGCCCGCCTCGGTGCCTAGCACAGACCACGACGACGAGACGCTGAGAGCGGACGCGCTAGCCAGCCGACGTCCACGTGTAACAGAGCACGTCCACGGCCGCCCGTCGCAATTGCTCGCCCGGCCCACGCCACCTGCGCGCGCACCTCCCCAGACACCGTCGCGCCACTCTCACGACGCACACGCGCAAAGTCACTCGCGGACGGCGCAGGGAGCCTCGTCACACGGTCGTCCGCGCCTCTACGCGCCGGTGAAGCTGCACTCCGGGAAGGCGTCCGTGGCCTCCTCGATCGAGTGCTTCCCGGCCTCGTCCTGCCAGAAGTTGATCACCTCCGTCGTCCGGTTGAGCAGCACGACGCGGTCGCGCTCCGAGATCCATGGGCGCGCCTCGAGCGCCGCCTTCAGGTCCTCCCACGCGTCCTTCCGGGGCCAGAAGTAGTACTCCGTCACTGGCGACACCGCGCCGTTGCCCAGCACCTGCGCGGAGCGGGGGGCACGCGCGCGCGGCGTTGCGGGCGCGCGTAGCTGGCGCGATGCGGGCGCGATGCGTGATGCGCGCGGCCCGCGGCGGGTGTCGGCGGTGCATTGTACGCGTCCGTCATGCCCACGCGGGGGCCCGGGCCGTCTGGACGTGCAAAGATTCTCCGCCGCAACGTGAGTCGTTCGTCTCGCAGCCATGTGAAGTGGCTTCCAAAGCGGTGGCTGAGTCGCCTTGACGCCGGGTACAGCTGCTTGTGCGGAGGCGAGGCGGCCGAGCTGCGGGCGCAGGGGAGCCGCACCTGGTCCACACCGACGGCGATGTTCTTGTCCAGCCACAGGAAGGCCAGGCGGAACGAGGGAGCCGCAGCCTCCGCGCCACCCGCGGCCTCGGCGCCGGTAGCCCACGACGCAGTGCTCTCCTCCGCGCGCGTCACAACCGACCTGCGCGACGGAAATCGCGCTCCAGCGCAATGATCAACACAAGTAGACATCGCAGGCGCAGTTCGGCGCGCAATGTGAGCGGAGACGCGCGCAAACAGGCGCCCAAGCGCCCTGTGGTGCGCAGACGAGAGTTGACGCACAGTGGGCGTGGGGCCTTGCCTGAGGGCGCGCGCGGTGCGCACGGGCGCCACGTGGACAGACGCAGCGGCCCGCGCGGTCGGGGCCCGGCAGACCTGCGCGACGGGGTCGGGAGGCCGGGCAGTGATGCGGTGGACCGGGGTGGCAGCCACGAGGCGATGGCGAGGGCAGAAGGGTCTCGAGGAGGCCCGGGTGCCGCGGGGCCGCTCGCAGCGGTACGTGGGCGCGTTTCAGCGGACAGCGGCGGGGTGTGGTGGTGCGGGGCCAGTGCAGCGGTCGGGGCGTCGAGGAGGGAAGAGAAGCGTGCTCGCGCGGGTCCCTGGGGGCGCTCGCGGCGGTGTTTCGACGTTCCAAGGGGCGTGGATGAATACGTAAAAGGCGAACGGGACGGAGTGACGCGCGCTGCCTCAGCGGAAGGCGCGCAAGGGATGGATGAGCGCTCTCGGCGCAGACGCAGTGGCAGCCGCGTGCGTCGCAGTGGCGCCACGAAGGTCGCAATTCGCGACGACAGTGGTCAACGCATTCTGATGGCCGCTTTGCGACACCGATGAGCCGGGTCTGCAGTCAGGTTCGCGGCCTCGAGCGGGAGAGGCATGCTGGAGGAGCTCACCTTGGCCTGCATAGGCGCGGAGATCCGGAGAGAGGTCGCCATCTTTCAACCACCTACGATGAGAGCCCCGAAAGTGGCGCAGGCGCTCCCGGAGCCCTCAACATGGCCCACAGGGTCGCCAAGACGTTGCACAGAGCTGATGTCAGGCCGGCGTGTGCACGCCGGCTCGCCCGCCGCGCGGAGCACCATGCCCGGACGCTCCGCGCAGCCGGCACATCCCCCTCGGCGCCACCCACGTCGGTCCGCACACCACCGCGCCCGCGAACAACAACAACAACAACAACAAGGTTCACATCGGCATACGCGCGGGTGCGACGACCACGGCCGGCCGCGCAGGCGCTCATCGCGCCGCCTGCTGCGCCTGGGGGGCCTTGCCGGAGGACGCGTTCATGTACGACAGGATGGTGTTCCAAATAATGCCCACGCAGTTGATGTAAAGGACGCGGCCCGAGGGGGGCACCATGGCGAAGTTGATCACGTTCGCGGGCGGCCAGATGATGCACCCTGCGCGCATCGCAGAGCTGGCGTGGCGACGGGTCAGACGCGAGCGGCGGCGCGGGGGGTGTGTGTGCAGCGGTTGCGCATGCTCTCACCTGTGCGGAACGTCGGCCAGATGAAGCTGCGCCATTTGTCGTAGATCTCCTGCCCGCGCAGACCTTCGAGGTACCCCATGTACGCGCTGAACGCCGAAAGATACGCCGGGAACAGTGTCACCTGCAACGCATGACGCAACCCCGTTTCGTTTCCCGGATGGGGGTTTGTTGTATCAAGCGCGGTGGCCATGTCGTATCCGGCGCGGTGCAATGTGAGCTGGAGGCACGAGACCCTCATCGAGCCACCGAGCGTCGCGTACTGGCACCGCCCGCGCCCCCCGCTGCGTGCCGCGATCCCTGGCGCAGCCAGGGGCTGCGCGCCGCCGGATCGTCGCCAGCGACGCGGGGCAGCGAGGCGTCGCTCACCTGTCCGAGGAGGGACTTGGAGATCGCGGTCCGGAGCGTCCCTGGCGGCCCGACGTTGACGGCGTCGAGCCACTTGAACCCGAACAGGAAGAAGGGGCCGTGCAGCGTGACGCCGACGAGAGCGAAGCGCGCCGTGCGGTCCAGGTCGAGCGTCTGCGCGGTCCTGCGCAGGGAGTCGAGCGCGCCTTGCAGCGACGAGAGCTTCAAGTCCAGTTTTGGCAACTGTATGTCGGGCAGCTCTATCTTGTCGCCCTTGCGCTTCACGAGCGTGCTGCCCTGCGTGAGCGCGGAGGCGGAAGGGGGCTGTGACGCCGGGCGACGTGCCGCGTGCTGCGGCGCTGCTGAGCCGTGTGGGGGGTGGCAGCTCGGCGGGCGCGCACGCGTGGTGACGAAGGTCGCGACAGACGACGATCGTAGGTGGCATGCCGGCGCGCGGGGGTTTGCGTCACTAGAGCGCAGACACGCGTGCTGGGCCGCGTGTTAGGGCTCCAGCTGGCGCGTGGCGAATGTCCGGCCGCGGGCCACCACGCGCCGTCGCGAAGCACGGACGGGGCACGAGAGACGCTCTCCTGACACGGAGTTTCGTGTCCGCTACCGGGAACTCGCATGGCTGGTCGCGGTCCGGCCAAACTTGCCTTGCGCGTGTGGGCGGTGACCAGCTGCGCCGCGACGTCCCCGACGGCCATCAGAGCGCCGCTCGTCAGCGCCGCTCTTGGAAGCGGGCGACTCAAGAAGCCTCTGACGACCATTCTTCCGCGATTTCCTCCCCGCCTCGATGCTGCGGCCCTGGGCCTGGGGCCTGCGTCCTGCTAGCAAGTCTGCACGGGGCGTTCCTCGCGCGTTCCGGCGCCGGCCCGTCTGGATCTCGATGCAGCCTGCGAGAGCGAGACTCCGCGCGCGCTCGTGGCCAGCTGCGAAAATCTCAGCCTACCACAAGCTGGCAGAGGGCCATGAAAGTGGCGTGTTGCCCGCACACGTCTGCCTCGATGGAAGTTTCACCCCCAGCAGGCGGCCGCGTCGCGGTGCGCCGGCGCCAACTCCACTTGACCACTGACAGCCACAGCTGGGGCCATTCAAAGCCCGCTCCTGCGCGGTCCCCGCGCCGTCATGGCGCCGCAGCCGGCTCCCGCGCGCCACTGTCATGCGCTCGACGAGTGCGTCGCAGCTCGCAGCGCAGAATCGCATCCCCGCGGCCAGGACACTCCATCTCCGCTCCTGCGCTCTTTCCCTCCCCGGCCCCGCGACCAACGGGGAGCCAGGCCCGCGGCGGGCGCGGCCCGTGCGCGTGGAATCGATCCGGGAGGGCAGTGAGCAGCCGCGCCGGCGGGCGCCCCGGCAACGATGGACCTCGACGAGGCAATGCCACCCGACCAACAGGTGCGCCGCCGCGCCGCCGCACCTCAGCGCGCTTCGTCCCCCTCGCAACGCCTCAGACCACGCGCCCGCCGCCCCCACAGAGGGTCTCGCGCCCGCAGTGCGCGCCCGCCGCGCTGCCGGCCTTTGCGCTGTGCAGCACGAAACCGCTCCGCGCGCGTGCGCAGAACCGCCTACTCGCTCCTCGAATGCCACCGTACGGCCTCCTCTGCGCATCACCCTCGCGTTCACTGCCCGGTCCGCGCCTTTCACAGCCTGGCGCGCTCCGTAGCGCATTGCCGCCCAGCAGTGGACAAATCGCCGCTTGGGGCCTCGCGCTCAGCTCCCGCGGGCGCGAGGCCGGTCTCCGCGACGCAGACCGACACCTATCATCATTCCACGTCGCGTTCCGTGCACGCGGGCCCGACCGTCGGCATGCACGCGCCGCTTGCCGCGCAGGTCGTTGTGCAGGGAGGCGCCGGGCACGCTGACGCCGGCCAAGACGACGCCGAGCTGAACGTCGTCGTCCTGCGCCACCTCGAGCGCCTGGGCTTCACGCAGGCCGCGCAAGCGCTGCACGCGGAGGCGGCGCCACGCGGCCTCCTCCCGGCGCGCCTCGACATTCTGGGCGGCTCGCACCCCGTGCCGCTCGCGGACGTCTCGACGCGGTACGCGCACGTCCCCACGGACCTCCTGAGCAAGGTGTTCCGCGCGGCAGGGGCGCAGGCGCGGCCCGCCGGCGGCGACGACACGCAGGTGGCGACGGTGTTGGGGCCCGGGCAGCACGAACGTCGCGCGGATCGGCCGCGGACGGGCGCGCACGCGCTGACGTGGGCGGCGCGGCGGCGGACGGGGCAGACGCGGCCGCGGCGGCCGCTGGAGACGGCGATGTCGGTCCAGCGGCTGGCGCGTGCCATGTACCACCACGGCACCTTCCGGGGCCACATCCAGCCGGCGTACTGCGTGGCGTGCACCCCGGACGGGCGGTACATCATTACAGGTGCGTTGTGCGCGCGGGACCCCCCGATCCGGCCGTCGCGCCCCGCGCCCACCGGCGACGTGTGCAGCGTTGCGGCAGGGACGGGGTGGCGGCTCACGAGTGCGCGCTGTGGGCGGGTGGCGTGCAGGGAGCGACGATACGCGCGTGAAGGTGTGGTGCGCGCGCACGGGGCTTCTGCTGTGCACGTGTCGCGGCCACGTGTCCGAGATCAATGACGTCGCGGTGTCGTGCGACTCTCGGCACTTCGCGTCCGGCGGCGAGGACGGCATCCTGCGCATATGGGCGCTCACGGACGACCTGAAACAGATCGGGACGCAGGCACGTCGTTCTCGTCCACCCTCACTCGGCGCCTGCGTTGCACTCCCCAGCGTCTCTCAGTCAGCCCCATGGCTCGCACCGTGCAGGTGGGGTTCATGATGTTCGACGAGGCGATCACGTTCGTCACGTTCCACCCGACGATCCCCTGGGCCGTCCTGGTGTCGAGCAGCGACGGCACCTTCGTCGTGGCGGACATCGAGGACCTGCGCGCAGGAAAGACCCCCCCCCGCCTGCGCCCCGAGGAACACTTCAGCCCATCGGGCCGCCCGCTCGCGGGCGGCGGCCCGGGCCCTGCGGCCGCGAGCGCGGCCCGCCAGGACCCCCCGCAGGGCGCTGGTGCGGGCCCAAGTGACGAGCCTCGCATCGGTCGGCTGCGCATCCGCCTGGGCCCACGGGGCTCCCGCTTGGCCACGCGGCACGCCGAGGCGCCGCAGCAGCAGGCGCAGGAGGAGCAGCAGCCCAGGCAGGCACCGCAGCTGCAGCAGCGGGACTCCCAGAGGGATGGGGCTGGGGAGGACGACGAAGGAGAGCACAGGCTTGGGGGGGGGGTTCGGTACTGCGCGTGGTCGCCGGACGGCTCGCTGCTGTCGCTTGCGTGCGCGAGTGGCATGGCGTACCTGTTCTCGTGGTCGCCGCGCGACGGTGGAGGCTCGGACGGAATCGGGCGCTGCCTGGCGCCGCAGCCGGTCGCGCTGCTGACGCACGACGCGCACGTGGGGCTCACGCGTTTCAGTCCGGACGGGCAGATGGTGGCCACGGCGACATACGACGGCTGCGTGCACCTGTGGCGGCAGGCCGGCGGCGGCAGCGGGGTGTTTTGGCGCAGGATGCATACGCTGCGATGCGAGCTCGACGCGGAGTGGCTGAAGCAGGTGAGCGCGACCCAACGCACGCAACACGACCGCACAGACTCGCCAGAGCCCTGATGTACCGCTCATCGCGCGCCTGCGAGTGTGCAGCTGTCGCCACATTGCGGCGCGGTCCTCACCGGCCATTGCTGCTGTCGGCGCCGCGCAGGAGCGCCGGCGGCACCGCCGGTACGAGACGCGCCGCGAGGTCCACCAGATCGACTTCTCCGTGGATTCTCGGACCGTCGTCGCGTCGTCCGTGGACAACGCAGTGCGCGTGTGGCAGGTCGCCTCCGGCGCGCAGCTCCACGCCCTGCCCGGCCACGAGTCCGCCGTGCACGTCCTCGAGACCCACCCGGAGCACCCGCACCTGCTGATGACGGCGTCCTACGATGGCAGCGCCGCCCTGTGGGACATCAGCGCGGGGCGGCGCATCGACTTCTTGGACCTGCTGCAGACGCAGCCGGGCGGCGGTATCGACGCGATCCAGGTCCTCGACGGGCACTGGGCGCCCGACGGGGCCGGCTTCGTGCTGACGGACGCGGCTGGCCAGCTGCACTTTTGGGGCGTGGGTGCGGGCCACGCACTGCACCTCTCGCAGTACGATCAGTTCTTTGCGAACGAGGGCAGGGCGCTGCAGATGACGGACAGCGGCGTGGCGCGGTGGTCGCTGCACGAGACCGACACCACGTTCCGGATAGGCGCTGCGGTGCTGCAGGACATCATGCAGACCTCCTACGACGGTGCGTTGACCGCCGCGAGCAGCAGCAGCGGACTCGCTCGCTCTACCCCACTGGCTGCGCGTGCTCGCTGCCCTTCGCACCCACGCCCCGAGTCAGCACGGCAACCTCCGCCCCTTGCATGTTGTTCTGAACCTGATCGCATATCTTGCGCCCCGCACTGGTCGCAGAGCCGTACCAGTCGCTGTACCGGCAGCGCCACCTGCACGCGCGCCTGCCGGCGTCTGAGCGCAACGACGGACCTCTGCGCCCGACGGGATCGGTCACCGAGTGCCCTCCGGTGCTCACAGCAGCCATCTGGCACGCGCAGTACCGCGGGGGCGACGAGCGCGCACAGAATCGCGCGATGAACGGCGCGATGGACCGCCACCTGCAGTACATCGCCCAGGTGCACATGCGCGACGCTGGCGGCGGGGCCGCCCGGCCGGGCCGCGGGGGGCGAGGGGGCCGCGGGGGCCGCGGGCGCGGGCGCGACAGCATCGGCAATGCCGCGCTGCGCGGCCGGCTCCAGAACATGGCCCCCGAGTACTACACGGCAAGTCTCGCGCAGGGAGTGGCGGGGCTTGCCGACCGTGGGCGCCGGCCCGTCAGCACGCGCGCGGACCTGGCCCCGCCCGACGCGATGGCATGCTGGCCGTCGAGCGGCGCGGCTGCGCAGGACGCGGGCTCGCCGGCGCGCGACCCCCGCGGGCGTCATGCTGTCGCGCGCATGCCTGCCAGCCTGCGGTTCGGCCCCGTGGCGGCGGCCGCGGCGGCGCGGGCCGCGAGCGGCGGCGCAGGGGCCGGCGCTGTGCCTAGCGAGCACGCGCCCGTGGCCGTTCCGGCTGCCGACTTGGTGGTGTCGTCAGACAGCGACCAGGACGCGGACCCGGACTTTTCGGACCAGCTGGACGCAGCGCAGGCGCAGGAGGCGGCAGAGGAGCAGCTGGACGACGGAGCGTTTGACTGGAGCGGTGCGCCACGCGATCGTCGCGTCGATGTCGTGTTCCTTGCATGTAGACGGAGGGTGTGTGTCATGATTGACTGATTGGTGTTTGCTGTGTCTTTGCTTGCAGATTGGGACGAGGAGGACGACGACGACGACGAGTACGGCGCGCGAGTCGCGCGGCAGGGTCCCGACAGGGAGACGCGGCGCGCGACGCGGCAGGGCCGCGCCAGCCGCAGGGGCGGCGACCACTTTGTGCGGCGGTCGACGCGGCTGCGCCACGGGGACGGGGAGGACCGCGCGCGGCTCGTCGATCACAGCAGCGAGGATTCGGAAGCCGACGCATGGGTGCGACCCGCTCCACGCGCCAAACCGCACCTGCAACGAAACGCTCTACGAGCGCATCACCGACTGACTCAGAACCCACCGTGCGACCTGTTCCACGCGCGTGCCCCTCCGGGTCGCGGACACGTGCGTCTCGAACGCTTCACCTCCCAACGCGCGCGCCGATGTCCGCTCGTCCTGGTCCGATGCGCAGCCCGACGAGGAGGTGTGGTCCCAGCCGACGGAGACGCGAGCCGAGCGCGCGGCGCGGCGCGCGCAGGCCGCCGCGCGTCGCCCGCCGCCGGCGTCCCCGCGCGCCGCCAAGCGGCCCCGGCGCGAGCCTGAGCGCCTGCGGGAGCGCTCGGATGGTCTGGACCTCCCCAGACCGCTCGAGTGCTACCGCTGGCTCGCGCGCGAGACCCCCGCGGGGCCGATCTACCTTCCCCAGCGCGGCGACCGCGTCCTGTACTTCGCGGAGGGCCACCTGACCATGGCCGACAACTACAAGAGCGGGGCAGGCAGCCTGATGCTTCCCTGGGAGCAGATGGGGCTGCCGCTGCGGGGCCACGCCGCGATCCGCCGCCGCTTGGACCTCAGGCAGCAGGCGCGCGCGGCCGCGGAGGAGGAGGCCGTGCTGCGCGACCTGGACGAGCAGACGGGGATGAGCGAAGGGCGGCGGGCGGCGCGGGGCGGCGCGCGCGGCACGGCGCGTTCGCGGCGCGGCGCGGAGGGCAGCGACGCCGCGGACGACGACGTGCGCGGGATGCTGCCCGTGGAGCGCTGCGAGGTGCTGTCGTGGGAGCCGTTCGTTGCGCGTGGCAAGTTCCGGCGCACTTGGGCCGAGGTGTCGCTCCGCATCGACAACCCTGCGTCGCCCGCACACGGCTGGACGTTCGGCGTGCACGTTCCGCACCCGTCCGAGGGCAGCCCGGACTTCCTCGTCCTCGAGCGGCGCTTCCAGGCGGCGACGGCGCATGCGCTCCACGTGGGCGACTTCGTGACGGCGTATTTCCCGGACCCGCCCGAGGGCAGCACCGACCCGCTCGAGGGCACGTGGTGGGAGGGCGTCGTGGTCGGCCGCCGCGAGGACGATGCCGTGGGCGGCACACCGGAGTCCGCCACGTGGGAGCAGTATCGCGTGGCCTTCAACAATGACGACCCCGAGCTCGTCCGAAAGCAGCGCACCTCGGGCCGGAATCTTCGTGGCGGGTGCGGCGCGCCCCACCCCCCCCTCGCGAGCGACCGCATGGCCCTTGTCCTCGTCTTGCCTTGCGGCAAACACCATGGCTCCACGCCGCGGCGAACACCGCCTCCCCGCGTCGTTCGTTCAGCGCCACAGCGCCGGCGTCCGTCATCCCCTCGCGGCCCCGCCCGTCCCCGCAGGCGCAAGCTCGACATGTACTACGGGCCAGGATGGGACATCAATGACATGTCTCCGTGGGAGCTGTTCCCAGCCGAGCTAGTCGCGGGCGCGGGCGGTGCAGGGCCGTCGTCGCACGGGGCGCAGGACGCCGGGTGCGTCGCGCCCGACCTCGCGGCGGAGCGCCTCCCCGGGATTGACGCCGAGGTGCGCAGGCGGTTGACTCGGGAGCTGGGCAGACTGGTGTCGGGCGAGGTGGAGGGCGCGGCCGTCGCGGACTTCGTGCCGGACCCCAGCACCGTCGGAGCCGGCATCTTCCCTTCCGAGCAGCTGCAAGGGTCGCACGTTCCCTACAACCAGAGTGAGCTGCCCGCCGCACCAGCCCCGCTGTTCGGCCGAGACGCGCCTCAACCCGCACCACGCCCCCGCCGTGTGTCGCGCGTCCCTGTGGAGCGCGGCCCCTGCGCTGCCGTCCCGTCCACGCAGCCCTCTCACCCGCCCGCGCTCTCCGTCGCTGCCACCGGCGTGCAGCCGTCGCGCTGCCGCTCGGGCTGCAGACCATCCACGGCCGCGTCGTCCACGGGTTCTACCGCAGCGTCGCGGCCTTCGTCGACGACGCGAACCGCCTCGCGCGCAACGCAGAGGCCTTCCACGGGCCCTCCTCCACCGTGGCCTCCACGGCGCGCCGCCTGGCGCGCTTCCTCCGCGACCTCGCCCTCAACGACGAGCCCTTTCTGCCCCGCGGGCCCGACTGGCTCGCGGAGGTGCCCGACGATGGCCACGATGAGCATGCTGCTCCCGACCACAGGGAACGCGGGCGCCGCGACGCAGCGGGCGGACGCGGCACGCGTGCTCGCCGTGGCGCGGCTGCCGGTCGCGCTGCATCTGGGAGCGACGCGGACGAGCAGGACGGGTCCTCGGAGCACGAAGAGTGGCGTGTCGACGCCGACGATGGTGGAGCGGGGATCGCGGATACCGAGAGCGAGGAAGGCCCGGATCTCCTCTCTTTCTCGAGTGAAGAGCGCGTGGCGAGGCCGCGCCCGAGACGTGGGCGCCGACAGCGGTCGCCCATCACTGACAGCGAAGCGGAGGACGATGCCAGCGAAGATAGCGAGGACCTTTTCGACGACGACGTGCCGTCGCGGCGCGGAGCCGGACGCGGACGCGGGCGCGGGCGCGGGCGCGGGCGCGGCCGGGCTCGGCGCCGCGCGGACTCTCCTGCGGCGAGGAGTCAAAACGCCGGCCCGCCGCCCTACCGGTCGGCCCGCAGAGCAAGCGGGGCGCACCGTCCGGGGAGGCTGGACGCACTCACTGTGCCTGGAGCGGAGCCTGTCGTCGGCCGCCTGCGGATCCGGCGGCTGCCGGCGCAGCCGCAGTGAAACCACTGCTGCCATGCATGTGATCCTGCGCAAGGACACGGAGCGGAAGGGAGGCGCAACTTGGAAGCGCAAAGCAGTCGCGGCTACGGTGAAGCGTCGCTACACGCGTCGCTAGGCTCGCGAGCAGGGCACCGCACATATTGCTGACGGCAACAGGACTTGCGCGGCTGGGTGTCCGTTGTGTCGTGGGCAGCAGTAGGCGACCCGCCGGGGCTGTCGTGGCGCCGAGGCGTGACAAGCGGCGGTGGTGAACCGTGTCACACGTCGCTCGTCGGAGAGGTTGGTGAGGCAGAGCTGAGTTGAAGCATGGCCCGGGCATGGAATTTTGCAGTGGTGCGACACGGAGAGGGGGGGGGGGCAAGGGCGGGGTGGAAAGCCGGCTGCATTGGGGGCCGTTGGCGTGTTGCTGGGAGACGCCCGTGCATCTGGCGAACGTGGCTCGAGTTGGAAAATGGTGCAGCCATGAGCTGGCAGTGCGCGGATCGAGAGTCAGAAAAAGTTGGAGAACGATTGGTGTGTGGCGTTTGGAGGAAATCGTTGGAGTGATTCTCGACCTGCGTGGCGCAGGTGGGCGAATTGCGAGCACAGGAGCGCGTTGGAGCCGGAAGCAGCGGTGAGGGTCAACGTCAACACAGGCGGGTCATCGTGTGGTCTCTCGTTGGTGCAGTGGAGGGATCGCGAGCAGCGTGCACCGCGTCGGCGGCTGGAAATCAGCGCGCGACTCCGGCCGGTGCGAGTTGAAGTGCGTGAGCATCGTTGCGCTCCGCGTTTGTTGGTGACTGCATCGTCTTCCCGCGCAAGTTGGGGCAACTTGTGTGAGGGGGGAATCGGGGGGAGTAGGTCTACGAGGTCAGAGATCAGAGGGCTTGCCCCATCCAGACGCAAGGCGAGCGTATTGTCGAAGTGCATGGTAATGTCGAAGTGCATGCTCGTGCCGGCGCCGGCAGAGGATGGGAGTTGGCTGAACTGTCTGTACACAGGCCTTCGCCTGGTGGTTGTCCGTTCGGCAGGTTGGCGTGCGTGTGTGGGACGCGCAGAGCAAGCACTACATTGGAAAAGGTCGGCGGTTGCAAGTTTGAAAAATTGCGGGGTGCTTGATGGTGTCCCACACACGGAAACGTTCGGAGATACCGGATGGCGAACTGCAGCGCGAAGCGCTACGAGAGCGGATCGCGCCTCCAACTGCGCTTTGAAGAGGCAGCGACGAGGGGGGGGGGAGGGAGTGACGCCAGGTGGGTTGGAGCGGGTCCGAAGGGCTTCGAACCTATTTGATCGTCCTGGCGTCAACAGAGAGAGCCCGCCCTCGACATTGCTGCGCCCGGAGGTCCGGGCAGTCCTGGGTTCGAGCCTCGCAGAGTGGCCAAGTATGGCTTGGCAAAGGCGGGCCGCAGTGGTGGGGAGCTCGCTGGGGCGCGAGACCGCCGGCATGAGGGGCCGGAGAGGGGCTGGAGGGGGAGGGTAAAGGTTGGGGGGGGTGACTGGAGCGTGTTGGGGACTGTCTGCTGTGCTGCCTGTCCCAGCGTTGCACGTGCTACATTTGTCATGTACGTCGGAGGTGCTTGGTGCCGTGCTGGTGGCAGGTACGGAGGGAGAAGCATTTGCTGGCGTTCTCCAGCACCCGGCCCTCGTGGGTTGTTGGGGGGAGGTTGGGGAAAGCTGCATGGCGTTGCCGGGTCAGTTCAAGTTCTGACACGGCCGCCGGATCGTGTTGGCGTAAGCTGTGATTGCGGGTCGGTGGGGGCTGCAGGGCGAGGCGACCGCGCGTGGAGCTGCGGGACGGCCAGTGCAAATGTGCGCCGCCGGAGCAACTCCGCCGAGAGCGCCTGGGGCAGACGAGGTGTTTCGGGGCACCGGCAAATCGCTCAGTCGTTGATGCAACGATGAATGGTGTAGTCGCGACCACCGCCGCAAGCGGCGGCTGACCAGCATAGTTGGCGTCATTGCCCCGCACGGCACGGCGGGCCGCTCATTGCGGCCCATCGAACCTGCCCCCCCTCTCGGGGGCGCCGCCCCCACGCTTCGAACGCCCCGCGACGCGAATCTGCGAGGCCAGGCGCCTGTCGCGCGCGCGCCCCGTGGGCCGCTGGTCCCAGAACAGGTCCGCCGGGCCCCACGCGACGCCCGTCGACGGCGAGGGCACCGCGGAGGACTCGCACGAGACCACCTGCTGCCAGGCCGCGATGCCCGCGGGCGGGGTCCCGAAGACGCTCGCCAGGACCATCGACCACTTGTCGGCGCCCACCGCCACGAACACCGTCACGTCGCCGCCGTCCGCGGGCTCCGGGAACTCGAGCTTGCGCGTCCCGTCCGGCGCGATCTTCTCCGCGGGCGACCCGTACAGCACGTTGAGGCTCGCGGCGCGGTTCCAGGGCTCGCTGCCCGTGGCATCGAGAATGGCCCCAAACAGGTTGTTGTCGCGCGTCGCGGCGAGCAGGCTGTCGGTGAACTCCTCGACGTCACGCGGCCACCGCGCGCGCCCGGCGTACATGGCGACGGTCTCGGGTCCGCAGTCCGGCGGCGCGGCGAAGGGCAGCACGAGCATCACGTTGGGCTGGTGGGGCTGCCAGATGAGGGACGCCGGGCCGAAGGCCTGCGCGACGAAGGGCTTGCTGCCGACCGAGCCGGCGGCGGAGCGCGCGCTGCGGGCCAGGTCGTGCGTCGAGGTGTCGGAGCGCTCCAGGACGGTGCGCGGGGCGTGGTTGAGTACCCAGCGCTCGGCCTCGATGTTCCACAGCGGCCGGGCGCGGTCGAGGTGGGCGCGGAGCAGCAGACCGCAGCACTCGACGAAGCGCTGGTAGGTTCGGAGCGACTCCGGCGTGCCGGCGTCCGCGTTCGTTGGAGGCTGCACGGGGCAGGTGCGCACGTGCACGTCGCGGATGCGCTGGAACGCCCCGGCGGGCGACTGCGAGAGCAGCTCCTGCCCAGGGCGGATGCCGATGGCGACGCCCGTCGACAGCGCCGTGATGAACGTCTCGCGCGCCACCTCGGGCAGCACCGTCTGCAGAGGAGCCTCGGCCGGGGGGGGCGGCGCTGAGGGGGCACGCGGGGGCCGTATTCGGCGGGGCGGGCGGGGGCCGCGACGTCAGCGTGGCGACGCGCAGGGTGCGGGGCCCGCGCGCGGGCCCCCGGGCGGGGGAGCCGGAGCGTACAGGCAGCCAGGGGCATGAACTACCGCGCGGCTGGCGGCGCGGGTGCGGGCCTCTTGGGCGCCGAGTCGGGCCCGCATGGCCTGCGGCGGGACATCTGGCGCGGCTCGGGCGCGGAGCGAGGCACGCGCGCGCGCGGGGGGAGGTGGCCCGGGCGGGGCAGCGCTGGTTTGCAGGGGAGGGAATGGGCCTGCGCTGTGCGGGGGCAGGGCGGCGCGGGGTGCGCGCGGCGCGTGCGCGCGGCTCGCGCGAGGCTGCGCGCGGGGGCGCGGCGCACTTTGCGTACGGGGGCCTGCATACGCTGAGCAGTGGTGCCTGGTGGGATATGGTTTTTGGCCGAGCGCCTACCTGGACTGTGTCGAACCCAGAAAATTGCCCAAACATCCTCGCGATCCTACGAGCCACCGCGACAGCCGCAACGCCCACGGAGGGGTCGGGCTCGTTGGCCACGACCCAGTTGGCGGGAGAAGGCTCCTCTTTGCGTACGCCACGCTCCGAGGCGGACCGCCGCTGAGATCCTGCCGGGTCGGCGCCCAAATATGATGTGCGAGGACTGCCTCCGGGCGCCTCCGTTCCAGGCGCCGCCTGCCCCCGCTCCATTCTGCCCCGAACGCTCTCGAAGGAGAAGGCACGACCTCCGCAGCGTATCCAGGGCTCGCGGGCTTCTGTTCGAGCCCAGATTGGTTTCGTTTTGATCCAGAGAACCGCGTCCGACCCAAATATACCCGCGTCTAGCCGCCACGACGCGTGTCGGACGGCCTTTGCCTCGTACCCCACCGGCGCCTTGCTCAGCCCGCGGCGGCGCAGCGGCCCCCGGGGCTCCGCCCGCGCCCCCACGCAGCCCCAGGCACCGCTCGGAAGTGACGCAGGTCGCTCGGGGACGGGCTCCCCCCCGGGCGCCCCCTGCGTGAAGCCGCAATCAGACCACCAGCCGCATCTGGCCCGTCTCAGTCCGGGACGCGCAAGCCTTACCACGGGGCCGCACGCATCCGATCCCGCTTCCTCATCGAGTGGAGTGCTGATCCGCGAGAGGCGGGCGCGTCGCATGGCCGGGGGGGCGCCGCTGTGGGCGGCCAAAAGCGGGCAAGGTTCCAGTGGCACATCTACGCGCTCGACCTTCTCGCGGCTCTCAATTGCGCACACGCGGGGCGCACGGCCCGCCGAGCTCTTGCTGCGGCCGCGGAGTCCCGACTTCGCGCGTTTGGGACCGACGGCGACGCGAACGGCGCAAAAAATCGTTGCAGAGATGCAAAAACAGTATTTGGGGCCGCCGCCGCCGCCGAAGCCCGCGAGCCTCGCGCCCCCGGCCGCCCGACGCCTCGCACGCGCCCTCGCCCGGCCGCACCCCGGCCGCACGTGCCCACGCGCCTGCGCAGCAACTTGCCCTAGCGTGTGTTCACAAGCGCTACCGACGCCCCCGCCGCCGCCCCACGGCCGCAGCGTCGCCCCACGCACGCGGCCCGGCTGCGCGCTGCATCCCTCACGGCTTGGGCCCGGAACCCGACGCGCCAGCCGCGCCACCGCCGGCCTCCTCCTTCTCACGCGCCAGCCGCTCCAGCATCGGCTTCAGGGCCGCCTCCTCCAAGATTGTGAACTGCACGACGCCGTCCGCGCCGCGCGTGAGCGTCGCGAGCTCCACCTTCTCCGCCGTCAGCGCCGCGCTGTCCATCGTCTTGGACAGCACGCGCAGCACCAGCGCCGTCGCCTCCTCCACCGACATCTTCTCCTTGTACTCCTGCAACGCACGAGCCGCGGGGCGACCACGTCTCGCCCGCGCGCCGCGGAGAGCCACGGCGGCTGCGCACGCACGCACGCGCGCGCCCATGCATGCCCACACGCACGCAGCGAGCCGCGGCCCCTGTGCGTGCAGCTGGCGCCACGGACGCTGCGCTGCGTGAGCGTGCTCGACGGCCGCCGCCGTCTGCGACGGGCTTGGGGGGGGTTGTTGTTTTGTACCTGCTTGAGCACGTTTTGCGCTGTCTGGTGGTTCGCGCCGATGGCGGTGGCCTTCCACCCAGAGTAGTTGCCGGCGGGGTCGGAGTGGTAGAGCTGGAAGCCGTAGTGCTCGTCCCAGCCGGCGTAGAGCAGCGAGACGCCGAACGGGCGCAGGCCGCCGTACTGCGTGTAGAGCTGCTTGCTGTCGCACAGCGTGCGCACGAGCTGCTCGACGGGCATCGGCTCCTGGTACGCGTACATATACCTGCGCCGCGGCCGGGCGGGGGGCTGCGGTGAGGGGCCCTGCCCCGCCAGAAGGCGCCGTGCGAGCCAACAGAGATTAGGAAACCAAGATGTCCGAGTGCTTGCTTCAGGCAGGGCTGCGACCGGGCGCGCGGAGCGGCGGCGGCGGCGGCGGCGGCGGCGGCAGCGCGCGGCGGAGCGTTCGCGCGGGGCGGTGGTGTGCCGGGGGGGGGCGCTGCGCACCTCTGCGCCATGAGCCGGCACGTGTTGATGAGGATGTTGGCGTCCGACGTGATGCCGGCGACCGCGCAGGCGATGTTCTCGTCGAGCTGGTACATCTTCTCCCGGCGGACGCCGACCGCGTTCGTGTCGAGGAGCTGCGGGGGCGGTCGGCGCCGGGCGGAGGGGGTGTGTCGCGGACGTGGGCGCAGGGCGAGGACGGCAGGCTGGGTTGCGCGCCAGGGTGGATGTCGCCGGAATGATGCTGACATCGAGGGGGCAGTGTGCGGAGCGCCGTGGCAGTGCCCTGCGACGGGGACACTGCGGTCCGTGCGCTCGGGGCGCCGCAGAGAGCGGCGTCCGGGTGGGGCTGAGACGGAGGAGAAGTAAGGGACCGTTTGCAGCGCGTGAGGCTGCCGGGGAAACGAGCGCGAGCGCGTTCCCCGCGGTTGCAAGAGGCCAGGCAGGAGGCCCCTCCTTCGCGCGGGCCCGCGGCGGAAAACGGACGGCTGGGCGCTCGCCGCACAGGGCAGACGTCAGTGCGCGCGTGGCCTCGCCAGTGCCGTCGGCCGCTGGAGCAAAGCATTGCCTTGGACCCGCTCTGGGGAGCACCCAACGTCGCGTTCGGCGCGCGTCCGGCTGGCGGCTCCACACCCCAGATCTCCGCCGCGATGCGACGGAGGCCATCGAGGTCCGCACCTTGGAGGTGATCTTCTTCTCCGCCGCGAGCACCACGCCCCCGTCTGCCAGCACTCCTACGCACGACCCCGCTTGGTTGATCGCCTCGATTGCGTACTCGACCTGGTACAGCCGCCCGTCCGGGCTGAAGATGGTCGTACGCGAGTCATACCTCCTCGACATCGGGACTGACGCCGCGGCGGCGTTTCCAGCCCGCTACGCCCCGCCAAGGCTCCAGAAAGAGCACCCTACGCCGCGCTCACGCTGTGGGATGTCGTTACGGACCGTTGCGGGCGCCGCCGTGCTCTCCGTGATCTGCCGTGGACCGCACAACCTATCTGCGCCGCTCGCGCGCGCCCTGGACGCAATGTGGGAACCTGGGGAGGTTCCGCCTTGCAGGCAGACCATGCGCCAGCGGACGTTGCGGCGCCGACGCGGCTGATTCCTCGCCGCTCCCTCGCTCTCCGTCACTCTGGCGTCCACGTCCCGCCTCGCACGTCATCTTAGGAGCCCACTGTGCGCGGGGACGCGACTGTGCAGGGGGGCCAGGAAGGACGTCGTGCTGTGGGGCTGTGGCTGGCGTTCCGCCGGCACGGCGCGATGCCGCGCAAGGTGGCAGGGGCCTACGATGAGGCCGACATGTACGACTACGACGACGACTACGATGACGATTACGACGACGGGATGGATGCCTACGACGAAGTGCCGCGCCCAATGGTCCCCGTGAAGGCTGCGAAGCCCAAGGTGGGACCCGGCGCAGCCCCCGGGGCCCCTGCGCGGCGACGGCGCTGCGGGCCCCGCGCCGTCGTCTGCGTCGCCGCTGTGTGTGTGTGCTGGGAGGTGTATGCGCCCCTGGCAATCGGCCTTGCGGGCTCACCCGGCGGCGACGATGGGCCGTCCAACGCGTATGAGAACGGGCGCGCGGGCAACGGACCCGCCGTTGATGCGCAGGGAGCGAAGGGCAAGGGCAAGGGAGCGGGTGCCGTGGGCTCCGCGGTTCAGGCGTCGGCCAAGGCAGCCAAGGACGCGGCACCTCCAGCGAAACCAGCCGCTCCCAAGGCACAACCTGCTGTCAGGAACGCGGCGGCCGCCCACATCCCGCCCGAACCGTCTCCTCCGCACTCGGTCGCGGACGAGGTACCTTCCGCTTCACCACCGCCGTCGTCCACGGCCCCGAAAGGCCCCAGGTGAGGCCGCGAACCGCGTCCCGCACGCTCTGGTGGGGTCTATCGCGCGCAGGACGCGCGGGAAACGCTCATTCCGCGCCGCATCTACGCAGATACCCCACGCGGCCATTCGGCGAGTACGTGTTGCCACGCGCCCTGGAGCAGGCGTGCGCCGCCGCGCAGGCGGAGGACGGCGACGACCCCGGCGGCGGCGGGAAGCCGCTCATCCACCTCGTGGTGCTCGGCCACGTGGACGCCGGTGCGCGCGCGACCCGCGCGAGAGTTTGGCGTATTGCTGAGTTGCTTCGTTGCCGCGCGCCGAGCCGCAGCCGCGCTCCGTGGCCGCAGGGAAGTCCACGCTGATGGGGCGGCTCCTGCACGACATCGGCGCGGTGTCGCAGCAGCAGGTCCACAAGAACCGGCGCGCGGCGGAGCAGATGGGCAAGGGGTCGTTTGGGTGGGCGTGGCTGCTGGACGAGCGGCCCGAGGAGCGCGCGCGCGGCGTGACGATCGACGTGGCGATGGCGCGCTTCGAGACGCAGCACCGGCGCGTGGTGCTGCTCGACGCGCCCGGCCACCGGGATTTTGTCCCCAACATGATCACGGGGGCCTCGCAGGCGGACGCGGGGCTGCTGGTGGTGGACGGGTCGCCCGGGGGGTTCGAGGCCGGGTTCACGGAGCCGCAGGTGGGCGGCGCGGGGGGCGGGCAGACGCGGGAGCACGCCCAGCTGGCGCGGTCCCTGGGCGTCGGGCAGCTCGCGGTGGTGGTGACGAAGCTGGACACGTGCGGGTGGGACGCGGGGCGGTTCGAGGAGATCAAGGGGCAGCTGGGAGCGTTCCTGATGGGCCAGTGCGGGTTCAAAGCCTCGGCCCTGCAATGGCTGGCTGCATCAGGTGCGTGTGTGTGCGCTGACGCTGCGCGCGGATGCGTCCCGGCCCGCGCCGCCCGGACGCAGCTGCGCCGTGCCTGTGCTGCCATCGCCTTGACTCGGCGTCGCAGCCCGACTTGTGTCACACAAGCGCCGTCAGGTGCCACGTACTGTGCTCGCACGCCCTCGCGAGAGGGTCCGTACGTCACTCTGCTGACCGGAGCGTTGCTGGGCTCGCAGGTGTCACTGGCGAGAACGTAGCGGCGCCGCCGACAGACGCGCAGATGCTGACGTGGCACAGCGGGCCCACGGTGGTCGGCGCAATCGACGCGTTCCAGCCGCCCCCGCGCGCCGTGTCGGCACCGTTCCGCATGACGGTCCTGGACGGCAGCACCCGCGTGCGAGGCCTCGGCACCACGGCGGGAGGCAAGGTCGAGTGCGGCGCGGTCATGAAGGGCTCGCAAGTGCTGCTGATGCCAGCAGGCCTGCTGTGCAACGTCAAGGGCATCGAACACCACGGAAAGGTGCGCCCCTCCGCGCGCAGCATCGCCGCCGCCGCGCACGCCACGCCCTGTACGAACAGCCCACGGCGGCACCTCACGGCGTTTGCCACCCTGCCGGCCCACGCCTTCATCGGGACCGGGGAGAAATTCCAGCCCCTCCGCCTGGCGCGGAGACGCCAGGTCCACGCGCGCGTCCGTCAGCCCCAGCGCGTCGGTGCGCGCGGCGAACACCCATGCTGCGCCGTCAACACCCCCCCCTTACAGGCGCGCGAGGTGGCGCGAGCCGGCGACTCGTGCGACGTCGGCCTCGGCGACACAGACGCCCTCGCCGTCGGCCGCGGCACCGTCCTCTGCGACCCGGCGTTCCCGGTCCACGTCGCCACCAAGCTCGTTGTCGAGGTGGTGGTCATGGACCCGAAGATGCCCATCATTCCGGGACGCTCGTTCGTGCTGCACGTGCACGCCGCGGCAACGCGCGCCGTCGTATCGCGGATCCTCGCCACCATGGACCCCCGCACAGGTGAGCGGCTGCGTGCGCGCACGTGCACGTCCGCGTGTCCGTGGTGGGGCGGTGTCCGCCTCGTGGCGCGGCGGGGCTGCGGCGGGCGCGGCGGTTCCGGTCGGCGCAGGCGGCGTCGCGCGCGTGTCGTTCACGGCGGAGAAGTGCGATCGGTTGGGTGCAGGCAAGGTGACGAAGAGCAACCCGAGGGCGCTCGCGAAGGGCCATGCGGGCCTCGTGGAGATCTCTGTGCCGGACGGCGTGTGCGTGGACGTGCACTCGGACTGCCGGGCGCTGGGGCGGGTCGCGCTGCGCGACGGTGGGGTGACGAGCGCCGCAGGTCTTGTCTGTAGTGTCTCGAGCGGCCTGTGACGGAGCCCGGGACCGGTGCGCCTGCTCAGCGATGCGCGCTGGCGTGGCTGCCAGCGCGCGGTGCGTGCCCGGAGGTCGTCGCGACGCCCCCGCCACGTTGACTGGCCGAGTCCCCCAGAGGGCGTCGACGACGGTCGTGCTGGCGGCCGCGTGGGCGCCTTTCGGCGCGCGGACGCGATTGCTCGAGCTTAAGTGGAGGCCGGGACACGGCTGACACCGCTCGATTTGCCCCGCAGCTCGCGAAAGTCGCGGCCGTGCCTTTCACCGAACGGCCTTGCAACGGTCAATGGCCCACCGTCGGAGCGAGCAGCGCTCCGGGACGCCTGTATCGGCCAGCTGAATGTGTCGCTGATCCGTTGAGGCCCTGCAACCGGACGTGAGCCCGCGAAGCGCGTCGCTAGCCCGCGAGGAGGAGCTAGGTGCGTCTTCCTCACTCCACAGGGAGGCAGCCGCCCGAATCGCTGCGGCGCCGGTCCTTGCGAAATGCGCCAAGATGCGCTCGCGCATTTCCCGGCTGAGCCGCGAGCGCTTTGGACGCAAAGGCGGGCAGCACCGGTGCGGCCTGCGATGGCGCGCCCTCCGGGCCCGGCCGCCAGGCGCCGCGCAGACCACGTCGTCGCTTCTGTTCTGGCGCGGTCGCCGCCGCGGCGGCATGCCGCTGGGGCCCAACCGACGGTTGTCGCCATCGAACCACCCGCACGAACGACCGCCCCGCATTCCCCCGGCAGACGCCGCCACGACCTCGGCCTGGGGGCACGACATCCCCAATCTTCGTTCTTCCCGTCGCAGGTCCAGTCCTGGCGCTGCCTGCGCCACGCGCGGCAAACTCGGGTGGTTGCTCGCCGAGCTTTCACAGCCCTGGCGCGGCGGCCGCGATGCACCAACCGCACCAGCGCGGCCTTCCCGGCGGCTTCGATGACAGGGTGGAGCCAGAGAGACTCGAGCCGCCACCTCCGATCCCGCTCCTCCCGCGCACGCTCGCCTCGGAGGCCCTGGCGTGTCATTCGGTGCAACTCGGGCCCTGGCTGTACACCGCGCAGAACGCCGGCGACGTCGGCTGCACCGCCGCACGCAACGGCTCAACCAGCCTGTGCGTCGAGGTCCGCGAACGCGGCCAGCTGTGGCTCCTCAAGGTCCCAACCGACCACATCCTGCTGGCGCAGGCCAGCGACCAACAGGCGCGCGCCCCGCCCCGGAACCGCGCCGCCCCGGCCGCCCCGCGCCCGCCCGCACGGCGCCCGCGCACCCGCGGCCGCACGGCGCGTCGGCTGCCTCTTGACGCTGCGCGCGCCCCCCGCCGCCTGCGACGCAGAGCCTCACCGCCCTCGAGCTGACGCTGTGCTCTCCGGTGCTGGAGCTGAAGCGCATGGGCGGCCACGGGAGCGCTGGCGCGGCCATGCCGGCGGGCCGGAAGGCCGTGAGCACCATCAGCCACAAGCGCCTGCGCCTCCTTACGCACTCGACGCACGCGGACGTCGCCGCGTGGTGCGCGCGCGTCCTGCCGCACGTCGTATACCAGCGCCAAGCCGCCGGCCCGGAGGCCAGTTCCGCCGCCGACTGCGACCAGCTGCCCACCCTGCAGCAAAGCATTGCTACGGTGCTTGGATCGGGCGCCGGGTACCATGGGGACTGGTCTGCGAGCAGCCCGCTGCCGTCGTGGGCGGGCACGCGCACGCGCAGCGCGGCCGGGCGCGCGCGGCAGAGCGGGGCGGACTGCGCGGGTAGCGCGGGGCTCCTCCTGCTGGCATCGACCATCGGCGACAGCGGCACCGTGGCCGACGGCGGCCGCGGTGTGGACCGGGCGCCGGCGCAGCCGTCGCGGAAGCGCAGGGCCGCGGCGATGGACCACGGCGTCGCAGTGCGCACCGCCGCGCAGAAGCTCCAGGAGGGCGGCCCGCATGCGTCGCCGCGGCGCTCCGGCGGGCGCACGACGGGCGGCCCGGGGTCCGACCGCTCCACGGTGGACGTCGGAGACGCGCACGACTCGTCGCAGGTCCCTGCGTACCTGCAGCAGGCCCTGCCGGGCCTCGCGCCGTTCCACGCCCTGTCGCCGTCGCCGGCACCGTCGCAGCTCCTCGTGGACTTCGTACGCGGGTTCTGCGACAGCGGCGCGGGCTCCCTCGCGGGGCTGCAGGCCGCGGGCCTCATGGCGCTGCTCGCGCCGATGGCCGTCATGTCCCCCATCGTGGAGGCAGCTCTGCGCAACGCATCCCAGCAGGACGACACAAACACGGGCGCGCCCGACCACGAAAACCGGCCCGAGGGCGTCTGAGGAAGCCCCGGAGGCCCGCGACGCGCAGGAACTATGATCCCTGCGCCCACATGAATACCCCCCTCCCCCCCAACCCCCCGCTCCCTCGGACCCGAATGCAACGACCTGATTCGCCTGCGTCCATCCGGCGAGCATGCAAGCGAGCCTCCTGAAAGCAGCAGTCCGCGCGCACCTGCGCCCAAACTCACGGCCCGCCCTGACCAAGATTTCCCCCGCCACTCCCCACCCCGCGCCACCGCCCACTGCATGCTGTGTGCCACCGCGTCCCCGCCCACTCCGCGAACCCCCCCACGCCCTCGACGAGCTCAGTGCCGCCTCGCCTCACTCCCCCCTCCCAAACGCCATCCGCGTCCTGCACCCCAGCGCCGCGCGTCGCCGCGCCGCAGCGCCCGTGTCTGAGGACTCGGGGGTGCGGCGCGGCGCGGACATGCATGAACGTGTGCAGCAACTGCCTCCAAGGGGTCGAGCACCCCCCCTGCATGACTGTGTCGGCACCGCACGACCCACCCGGGCGTCGACGTGTGCGTGTCGTGATACACCCCGCATCGCCATGAGCCCACGCCACCGGCGATCGAAATGATCAGCCCTGGAACCGCCGTGATCCCGCTGTTGAGCACGCAGCGAGCGGTCGAAATGCACTCCTTTGCTCCCAACCTGTACACAACCCCAGCTGCACACAACCCCCTAAGAGAATTTGCTGACCCCGGCTACCTCCCTGCCCGCTGATCTCGGGACAGACCCATCGCGTTCTCAGCCTTGAGATGCAGGCCACCCCCCTCCCCTAGAACGAGCCACAAAGCTGGCCAGAGACATATTCCGCCCACCCCCCCCTGACCCCCCCTTCCCCGACCCTTGAGTTCCCGACCCTGAGTGAGATACATGCCATCGCCCCGATGGCCGCGAACAACGCAACGGAGCCCCCCCTCTCGGTCCACGGTGACGGACGCACGTTCAACGGACGTAGCGTGAAGTCGCGCTCCCCCCGCCCCTAGAACCGGCAGTAGTCCCCCCTTGAGAACTCGTTCCGCGTCCGCGTCGGCCTCGTGTCCGCGGACGCCCCCTTGCATGCCCTGCCTGCGTACAATAACACAACACAGCAACATTGCAAACATGCATCATCTTCGCCGCCAAGCCACTCCGCTGGACCCCGCACAAGCCGCGTGCCACCTCCTGGTCAACTCCGACCTTCGCCTAGCCCCGCTGTGTGTGCATCTGCCTCACGCCCACGCACAAGACCATGACTCCCCCCCATCACACCACACCCCTCCTAGCCTGGGCACCCCCCGCCCCCTCCTCATCCTGCGCGCCGCTCGCAGCTATCCGACGCCGATCGCCAGATACCAAAACCAACCCCTCAACTAGAGCGCTCGAGTTGCCGCGATGCGTCGCGGGATGTGAGGACTCCCCTCCGTCATTCGGAGCCCCCGTGAGCACACCGCGCACTAGCACTGCCTTACGTCGGCTGGACTCTGGACGCGCTGCTGGACCGAGGCACAAGCATCCTTGCGGGGAGTCTCACCTGGAGGACCTCACCGTATGGGTGCCTGTAGGTCGGCGAACAACAAACACTAGCACGACCTCTACCCTGCGAGCTCACGAGACCCACGATCAAACCATATCGGCGCCAGGTGGGGGCCTCGGAGCGCGCAATTGCCACTTATGCGCAGCAGCTAGGATTCGCAATGGCAACAGTTCTGTGTCATGGTCTGACTCATGAGGGAAGGCGGGACTCGGTCGCGCACGTTGTCCGCTCTCACACGCGACTGATCACACGCGACTGATCACAACATCATTGGCATGCTGTCGAGTACGGACCACACGCAGGAGCTCCCATGGCGCTGCACCCCACCCCTGACAACCACCACGCGGACCCGCTGCTCAACGTGTGCTTCCAGGAGCGGCCCGGGTAGCGGGTGACGTGAGGGGCTGTCACCTGACATGCGTGATGTCTTGCGTACGTCTTGCCTGGGCATGCCGGCATGCCCACCACCCTGCGCAGGGTCGCCGGCCGACGACATCGGGACGCGTGGTGGGGCTTGCCGACGAGTACCCGCACGCCCGCGGGGCTCGTCACTCATCGAAGACTTCACTCGAGCTGCGTGTGCAGGTGCTGGGACCCCGACACCTGTTGCTGCAGCTTGCTCATCTTGCGTGCGGGTACTCCACCGCGTCGTTGCTCTCGGCCACCCCTTTCCTGGTTAGTACTTTGCTGACCTACAAGCACCCTCGCCGCGAGGACGCTTGAGCGACCGAAATGGTACGGCAGGCGAGACTCACACAGCAGACAGGGTAGACAATGTGAGCAGTCATGCATGTCGTACACACACCTGCACGACGGTGAGACAATGCGGGGATCGTTCAGGAAGCGCACAGCGTGCTGCGTGAGTCTCTGAACGACCCCAGGTGACGACGGGCCTTTATGCCTCGGTCCAGCAGCACGTCCAGAGTCCAACCGACATGAGTCAGTGTGCCAGTCCCCCCGGGGGTGTGTACCCACGCTGCCACCGCGCCGCCGTAGGGGCACGGCTGCAGCAGGCCTTCACGAACTTCGTGGGATTGTCGGGCTGGGTGGAGTACGCCTCGGAGAGAACAAGCGCGGACCATTACTGGCGCATGGGGGCGCGTAGCACTTTCGGTACGGGTCCATATCCCGCCTACCCCATGCGAGGCCGTCGCCCGCATTCCTGGCGTGCCGGTATCGCGGTCAGGCCAGTTGGGCACCGGTCATGTGCGTGGTCGCTACGGTGGGAAACGTTCGGCACAACGCTTGACCAAGCAGGACAGCACAGTGGTTAACGTGACCTCCGGTGTGACGCGTTTGTCACACTGCGTGTTCAATACATCACAGCAGCCGGCCCAGGAGCCGGGGAAGTTGCCGCCGATCTCGCAGTGCGAAAACAAAACAGGAAGTCCACTGTATCCCATACCCCTCTCCGTCGGCGTCTCGCCCGCGTCCGCGGCGCCAACCGCTCATTCCTCCGCCACAGCTACCGCGTCCTCGCCATCAGCGCCGGTGCCGTCCTTCGCAGGCCCTGACACCAGCACTGTAAGCGCTGTCAGGTACTGGTCCTCCATGTGACTGCTCAGCGCACTCCCGTCCATCAACCGCGACAGAATCTCCAACTCCTCGTTCAGCAGCTTCTGCGCTCGGCGCAAGCATGAAAGCACAGACAGAAAGTCATGCTTTCAATCGACAAGTTGTGGCGAGCGAAACAGCAGCCCTGGCATTGCAGCACGGCTCCAGCGCGCGCACGACCCCGCGCACCTCGACCATGGTCTTCTTCCGGGACCCGTCGTCCTCGTCCGCGCTCACCAGCCGCTGCACGAGCCCAGGCGCGTCGTCCACCATTGCCTGCAAGTCCTGCACCACCGCGGGCAGTATCGCGCCAGCCTCCTTGCCCTCGAACACCTCCTTGACTGGCCCGTCCACCTCCACCTTGCCGCCGTCGCCAGCGATCGCGACGCGCCGCCCCACGTGGCTGTAGCCCATCAGGCGAGGCACTGTGCACACAATGTCGCGCTCGTTGGTGATGCGCCACCCGTCCGGCACGCGCTCGTCGAAATTCTGCGCAAAGACAATGTTCCCAACGCGCGGGGAACCGAAGTTGTACATCCTAATGTCGGGCCGCGCCACGCCTGCCGTCTCCCATGGCCGCCCTGCCAGGTCGTACGCACACAGCGTCGCCAGCGCGCCGCCGAGCGAGTGCCCTGCGCGTCAAGGATCCCCGCGACCAGGGCGTCACGACTTCCCCCGACTTTGGGCGGTGGCGCGCACCGCCCGGAACATGCAACCGCCGTACCCTGCATGGTGTGTGCGACGCGCTCGCAGGGCCAGGGTCCGCGAGGGGGCAGGGCGGCGCGCGGCGTGGGGCTCACCCGTTACGAGAATGGTCCACTGCTGATCCCCCGGCACGTCCGGCCACTGTTGCGGCGAAATGATCTGGTCAACCAAGGCCGTCACCTTGCCCCGCACCGACAAATAGGCCTCGGCGAACCCGCCGTGCACGCAGGGATCTTGCCCTACCATGTCGGCGGCCTGCGCGATCGCCGGCCGCATCTTCGCGTCCTTGTTCGTGATCGTGCCGTCGTCGTCCAGCACCACCGGCGACAGCATGGCGTCGGTCAGGAGGTCCTTCCACTCCGTCTGCTCCGTGCCGCGGAACGACACGACCACCTGGCGGTGCACCTCGTCGCAGTAGATCCACAGCTGCGTCCCGGTCTTGTCGTTGTCCACGAACGCAATGGGCTTGTAGTCCAGGGGGACGATCAGGTCCTTCGAGATCGCCTCGGCCAGCGCCGCCCACGCGTCGTCGCTCTCCCCGTCGTCCTGGCTGCCCGCGAGGCCCTCCTTCAGGAACTGCGGCGTCAGCGACTGCTGCACCCGCTCCAGCGCCCCCGAGATGCGGCTGCCCGACCTGTCCTCGCCGAGCTTGAACGGCATCACGCGCACCTCCATCGTCAGCGTCCCCGCGTCCCCTGCAGCGCACGGAAGAATCAACCGCGCCGATCCAGCACCACCCGGGCCCTCACGCACAACAACACCACCCCGTCCCCCCGTTCCACGTGCAGCGAGCGCCTCGCGGGGGGGGCGCGCACCGTCGGGGCCGCGTAGCTTGAGCTCCAGGGGCTGCCACCCGCCCGGCTCGACCGCGGAGAGCGGCAGGATCGTGTCACCGATGAGATCGTCCTCGGACATCAGGTCGTAGTCGTTGCAGCGCACGCGGATGCGGTCTGCGTCGCGCGGGACGTACAGGACGAGGCGCTCGCCCTTCCATTCCGGGTCGAGCGTCCTCATCTGCGTCTTGGTCTCCGCGACGCTGTCGCCGACGCTCATGCGCAGGTACGGGTCGCTGCTGCCGGTGATGTCGCGCGCGGCGAGGCCCTGGCCCTTGATGTTGCGGACCTGGAGGATGCTGCTGTACGCCGCGGCGACGAACGGGCGCGAGAAGTAGGTCACCGCGGTGCTGTTGGCCACCGTCTGCCGCATCGCCATCGCCCTGCAGAGGGTTGCGCGCCCAGGAGGTGGGGCGCCGGTCCACGCTCATCGCGCAGACAGCGGATGCGGAGGACGCGCGAGGTTCGTGATGGGCCGCGCGGGGGCGGGGCTGGCGGTCGCGGGGCACCGCGAGGCTGGTGAGAGTTTGGCAGCAGCGCACGGTCGGGGCTCACCCAGTCGGATCGTTGTAGGCATCGAAGGCGCATTTCGCGAGGAGTACGGCGGCAGTGACGTCGAATTCGGGGAGCGGCCCCTCGCGCCCGGTGCGATCGGGGACGAAGTCCACGGCGCCGGTCTGCTGCTCCCCGTCCTCGCCCTTCTTGAACCAAGAAATCGGGTTGAACGCGCGCACAACACACACGCGACGTCCAGAGACCCCGCACGGCACCAACGGCGCCGCAGCGTTGCGGGACCCGTCGCGGCGAGGCCTGCTGTACCCGGGACGTTGCCCGCTGCCCGCCGCCAGGGCTGGCCGCGACGGGCACGGCGCAGTGACGCACTGCATCCTATGTGAGCAAGGAATGCGCGTTGTAGCCAGACGGGCGGGGGTGAGGCCGATTCGTCGGCCGACCGCTGCCTGGCCCTGAGTGCTCCCTCTAGCAGCGGGGTCGCGGTGCGCGGGGCCACGTGGTCGGCAGCACCTGGCACGTCTTGCGCGCGCGTGGCAAGCACGTGCCCAAGAGGCCCCGGGTCGCCCGGCCTGAGGCCGCCTCCGCGGGCACCATCATGTCAGGGGGGGGTTCCGAACACACCACGGGGTGTATTCGATGTCCCACTAACGCGCACCGCGGTCGCCGTCGCCTTCCGGCCGATCAGGCGCGCCGCGATGCCACCGCCGAAACAGAGCACTGGCACCACCAACCCACGTCCCGTCACAACGCCGCACAAACGTCACCGCATCGCCCTGAACTGCGTGTTCACCTCCTGCGACACCTCCTTCACCCGCTCTAGCACGCGCTCCTTGTCGCCCTCGCCCAGTTTGCCCCCCCACTTGCCCAGGAACTTGTCCGGGTGCCACCGTAGGCTCAGGAGCTTGAAGGCGGCCTTCTTGGGGTTCGCGGCCCCGCCGTCCCCGCCGGACAGCATCGCCGCGACGCCCTCGACCATGCCGTCGTGCTTCGGCGGCCACGGAATGTCGTCGTACGCGAGAGACCCCCCCTGGCTCGCATCACCCCCCCACTCCTTCTCGAAGAGCGCCCACGCGAGCTCGTGCCGCTCCCAGCGGCTCCCGCGCGGCAGCCGCGCGTCCGCCTGGTCCGCCGCCCGCTCGCGACGCGCGCGGCCCTGCGCAGCACCAAAAACACCCCTGACTCAGTGGCACACCACGCACTCCTCGGTACGTCGCAGCCAAGGACGCGCCAGCTCCGGGACGGCGGTGCCACGGCGGCGCAGGCTCTCACCTTGCCGTCCGGGGGCGCGGGCCGCGCGCCGTGCCCCTGCCGCTGCTGCTGCTCCTGTTGCTGTTGCCCCATGCCGTACATCTCCCGCATCTTCTGTTCCAGCCTGCGCTTGATCTCCTCGCGGTGCCGCTCCACCTCCTCCTCCTCCGGACTCAGCGCCGGCTTCGCCTCTGCGACGGGAGGGAGCAGGCCCGGTCCCTTGTGAGTGCCCCTCGCTCTCAGGTGGTCCGTTTCCATCCGCAGGCACGCTCCGTGCGCGGCTCCGTGCAGGAACGAGCCGGCGCGCGGCCGAACGAGGGGGGCGTGCGTCGCGGAGGCGCACGGCAACGTGGTTTGTGCTGCCGTATGAACGGTTGCGAGAACACCGCGGTGGGGTCTGCGACGCACCTGCTTCCGGGATGCACGCTCTCTCTGGAACTGGGGGGCGAGGTCGGCGGGGCGCCTGCCCGCCCGGCGCCCTCGCCTGGACCTGCACCGGGGCGCCCGTGGCCCAAGGCATTCCAGGGCACGCTGCGCTCGGATTTGCGCCCCCGTGCAGCGCCCTGCGGTCCATGTCCGTGTAGTACGTCTCATCCTTGCGCCCGTGCTGCATCCCGTCGACGCCGCTCGCCCACCTGGCCAGAAACAGGCGCGGGGCGAAGGTGCGTGCGTGCTGGAGAAAAGCACCCGCCAGCGCTCGACTGTGGCTACCTGTCAGACTGTGTTTTGTCCCGACGCAGGCCTCTAGCCATGAAGGTCGACGAATGCAACATAGCAGCCGCGCCGATGGCCTGAAAGGGCCGTACAGCGAGGTAGGAATCTGGAGTCCAATTGACCATGACTCGATGCCGCTTCCTTGCCGCGCTGCGTCGCCCACGGGCGGCCAGTACCGCTCTCCGGCGCGTATATGATCTCGGAGGACGAGCTGGTGCACGGGAGTCACGAGAACCGGACCGCTGGGCGAAGCATTCGCCTGTCCTGAGCACACGGTGGACCCAGAGCCGCTCCAGCAGCGCCTGGAAACGTCTGCACGCCCCACACTTCGGCGCCCAGGGACGCACGTGCCATAAATATGTTGCTACGTCCACGATAGCGGGCCCAACGCCGCTCTGAACGCTGCGCGCTTGAGCAGTGCAATGTCAGCTCGCGAGGCAGTGCCGCGGCCCGACGCCGCGTCGGCGCCGGGCTCCCAGCTCGCCTCCCGGCACTCCGCCCAGTCGATGGAGCGGCAGGCCTCCGGAAACGTCCCGGGAGCGGAGCGCGACCCCAGGAGCGGCGGCGCGGCCTCCTCCTCAGGCACCAGCCTCAGCATTCCCGTGCTGGGCTCCGAGCGCGCAGGCCCGGCCTCGCACGCCTCCCGCGGGCCCAGCGCGGCGGACCTGTCGCGCCTGCCCTCGGCGAAGTCGTCGCGGGCCGAGGCCCTGAGCGCCATCCTCGCTCGAGCGACTCCGCGCTCTGACCATAGCAGCGACCGGCCTGCGCTGTCCGTGCCGGCCGCCCGGGGCTCCGTCGGCCAGGAGGGCGTATGGGCTCCCAGTCTCGACACAGCGCCGGCGGCGGCAGCGCGCGGGGCGCGGCTGTCGGCGCCAGTCGGCGCCCCATCCGCCCCAGCAACTGCAGTGCCACGTGCAGCTCCCTCCGGCGCACAGGACCTCGCCGCGCCCGCGTCTCTCGCGGACACCTCGCAGCACCGACCCAAGCTCATCGCGTCGCGCAAGCCGTTGCTGTCCCTCGGTTCGACGGCGGCGTCGTCACACGCCGAACAGCCCGTGCAGGAAACCCAGCCTGCTGCCGCCGCACCGGCCCCCGCGGCGCCGCAGTCGCCCGCGGCGCAGCCACAGCCGCAGCCGCGGTCCCCCGCGACCAGCCCACGGCTCATGGCGAAGAAGGTGGTGAAGTCGCTGCCGCCGTCGCCGACGCCGTCCCACACGGCGCGAAGCGCGCAGCAGGCGCCGGGCGCGGCGCCCCCACGCGAGCCGAGCACGGCGACGTCGCGCTCGCAGGCGGAGCGGCCGCGTTGGCGGCCGCCGTCGCCTCCGCCGCCGCCGCCGATGCCGGAGCGAGCCCCGCTGCCGCCGCGGCCCCAGGGGCCCTGGGACGCGTCGCCGCACATGCTGGGGCTGACCGTACACGCCGTCGAACGCCTCCCGCTCGACGAGCAGCTCGTGCTCATGCGGCCCGTGGTCCGGTGAGTGCTGGCCACATGACTGCTGCGAATGGTGCATTTGGCGTGCTATCAAGTCCCACCCGTCGTGCCGCAGACCTGAAGCCGCTCGTCCTTGCGCGCGTCGTGGCCCCGCAGGATCCACATCGTGGACTCCCAGACAGGGAAGTATTTGCGCCGCAAGAGCCTCGACAGCGGCGTGCCGCCCGAGGCGCAGGGGCAGCCGGTGCACGCGGTCATGGCGACGGACCTCGACGCGGGCGGCGTGTCGTACCCTGTGCGCCACACGCACGCCGCGCAGACGGCCCCGCAGAGCCTGCAGCGGTACCGCAACGGCGCGACGCTGCAGGCGGTCTACGAGGAGCAGATGCTGTTCCACAACGCGCTGAACGACCTCCTGGACGTCGGCGCGGTGCTGCTTTTCGAGGTCCTCCAGCCCCCCGTGTCGCTCGGGCACTACAAGGACAGCAAGCGCGCTTTCCGCGCAGTTGGCGGCGATGGCGTCCCCGTCGCGTGGGGGTTCCTCAAGATCCGGAGCAAGTCCGGCGCGCCGCATCTCCTCGAGTGAGTGCCCGCGCCGAGGCCGCCTCGCTGTACGCGCCCGCCACAGCACGCGGCCTCCACTTTGCTGCCTCGTTCGTGTCTGCTGCTGTGCCACCGAGCGCCCGGTGCGACCCGAGCTCGCGGTCGCCTGAGACGGGACTGTTCTGGTCCGCGAGGGGAGAACTCGGGAACCGCCCGCCCGCCCACGTGTTCCGCGCCCCTCCCTCCTTCCCCTGCAGTCGCGGCACGGTGCAGCTGTTCGCGCCGACAGCGCGGGCCGCGGACCACGCGGAGGCTGCGCGCGTCAAGGGCGCTCTGCGGCACCTCTGGGCCGCGTACCGCAACTTCGTCGACCACGAGACGTCCAAGGCCCCCGGGAGGCACTCGAAGCAGCTCGGGACGCTGCGGCTGTCGGTATTCGCGGTGGAACGCCGGCTGCCGAAGACCGTTGTCGCGAGGCGCGGCGTGATCGCGCGGCCCGAGATGATCGTGGGCGCGGGGGCCGGGTACGAGATCGGCGAAGGCGCAGCGACGATGCAAGGCTCCACCGGGACGCCGTCAGGGCGCGAGTCGGCGGTTTCGGGGGTGCCGGCGCGGATCCAGCTCGGATGCGGGATACCTGAGCTCGAGCGTGGGCCCGGGAAGGCGTGCGAGGTGCCCACGGGGCTGATGCATGCGCTGCGGCCCAGTGCGCAGACGCAGGGCGTGATGGCGTGCCGCATGTCGCGGACGGGGCGGCTCGTGGCGGTGGCGACGGCGTCGGCGCCGGTGATGGCGCTGGACGTGTACCGCGTCGCCACGGGCGAGGTCGTCGCGTCGTTCCGGGGCCATCACGCGACGGTGTACGACGTCGAGTGGTCGTACGACGACCACCAGGTAATGACGGCGTCCGCGGACTACGCCGCGAAGGTCTGGGACGTCGGCCCGCACGAGCTGCTGCCGCACCGCGGGGACGTGCCTCTCGCGGAGCGTCTTTCCCTGCAGCACCCGTGTTTTGTGTACGCGGCGGTGTTCATGCCCCGCCAGGTCGCGGGGGTGGCGATCGGCGTCACGGGGGGCTTCGACGGGTGCCTGCGCGTGTGGGACCTATCGAACGGCGTCCAGCTGCAGTCCCTCCGCGCGCACGCGGACCACGTGAACGCCATTGCCTGCGGGTGGTACGGGCGGCGCATGTTCAGCGCGGACGGCGGCGGAATCGTGTCGGAACTCGCGTTCGACGAGCGCGCAATCACGGAGCCGCCGGACGCCCGCTACCAGTGCCTCGTGGTCACGCGGCAGTGCGCGGACCTCTCGGGAGAGCCCATTGTGTGCCTGCGCATCATGCCGGACAACGTGGGCCTTCTGGCGCTGACGAAGACCAGCAGGCTGGTGAAGATGTCGATCGGCGAGACGCGCACCTTCACAGTCGCCCGCGAGTACCTCGGCGCGGCGTGCTCCACGCTGCCGCTGCGGTTTGACGTCAGTCCCGACGGCAGGTACATCGCCGCCGGTCTCGAGGTTGGGGGGGGAGTGATGATCTGGGAAGTGGACTCCGGCGACGGCGCGCACGTTCCCGCGCTCGGGCACGGCAAGGCGCCCGTGCTGCACGTGTCGTGGTCGCCAACGGACCAGGTGGTGACGACGTGTACCATGACCTCAGGGCACCAGGCGCGGGTGTGGGCCGCGTGGCCCGGGCAGGAGCAGCTGCCTGCGCAGTGGGTCGCTGCGCCGGAGGGCCGCACGCCCATGAGGCCGGGCGCGCGGAAGCGGTGGCGGGTGGCAGGCAGCGCGGCGGTGCTGGCGGGCGGGAGGCGCGGCGACGCCGCGGCGGCGCTGGACAAGGCGTCGGAGGACCTGCCCGAGAGGCTGACGCCGGAGGACGTCGCGAGGATGCTGCAGGCGGTGCGGGTCGCGATCCGCAGCAAGCCGTGGTACGATGCTGAGTTGGAGAAGAAGGCTGCGGAACAAAGCCATTGGCCGGTTTAGATGTGGAGGTTGTAGGCCTTGCGATGGATGTGAAGGTGCGGCGGATGAAGCGTGGGATTCCGACGCGGAGACGCAAGCAGACGCCTGTAGCCAGCAATCAAGTTGAATCAAACAGACGGGCGCGAGCTGTGAGGGCGTGCGCAAGGCTGCATGTTCGCTGCGGGAACGTGATGTATTGAACATGCAGTGTGACAAACGTGTCACACCGGAGGTCACGATAACCAAGGAAAGGGGTGGCCGAGCAACGACGCGGTGGAGTGTGTCAACCAGGCGCACGCCCACGTGCAGGAACATCACCATCGCAGTAGATAAGCACTAGACGACAAGAGTGTGTCCGTTCGCCCTAGCGCGGCCCAGGTCGTGCCAGCTGGGCGACATGTCGACCACGCACCACGTGTCCGCGAGTGCCTCGAAGGGATCACATGTCTTCAGTGTTGCCCTCCTGCACTCGTATGCTCTACTAGCTTTCGCGCGGGTGCCGGGCGCACCCGCGTCGTTCAGGGGGGGCAGCGGCCACTCTCGCTCGCCCCGCCACAGACCCTCCAGTCGTTACCAACTCCACAGCCCCCCCGGCGCACCACCCGCGCCGCGGGACCACCTTCGGCCTGGACGCGCTCTCCAGCCGCCGCGCGCCCCGCATGTGCCCCCCAGACCTCCGCCACGCAGTTGCGTCCCCGCGGAGCTCGCAGGCGGGCCGTCCAGGCCGGCCCGCGCGCCGCGCCACGCCGGGTCTTCACCAGTACGTGAAGCGCGCGATCCACCCGTCGGGGTTGGACCGCATGATGCCCTTGCGGACCTCGTCGTAGATGAAGATGATCATCGACCACGGCATGCCGGGGAACCAGTGCAGGATGAAGAGCGGGCGCGTGGAGAAGATGACGTTGAACACCGGCACGTAGACGAGGATGACGCCGAGGATCGTCTCGAAGACGAGCCCGAAGTTCATGAAGCGGTTGTGCATGCCCTGCTCGAAGATGGACAGCTTGCGCGTCTTCGCGATCAGCAGGTCGGCCCACTGCACGACGATGATGCTGATGAAGTAGGCCGTCTGCGCGTACTTGAGCGCGTCGAACTGGTACTCCTGGTTGGGGAAGAGCTGCTGCCGGCCGTTCCACCAGTAGAACGCGCCGTAGGGCGCGCGCGCGGGGATCTGGTCCGGCGGGCCGCGGCCGGGGAAGCCCCAGTCGGCGCGGCTGGGGATGATGTTGTTGTTCGCGTCGTTGCAGTAGGCCTTGAAGAAGCGGTCGTCCGTGGTGGTGATGGGCGAGTCCGGCGTGGCCACGTCCGGGAACGGCTGCGGGAGCAGGTCGCGGAAGTTCCAGTACCAGCGGCACGTGCGCGAGCACACCGCCTCGTTCGCCGACCAGCGCGACCCGTCGTACAGGCCCTCGACGCGGTTGTCCAGGAGGCGCACGTTGGAGAAGAACCCGCGGAAGCCCACCGCGGTGTGCTCGACGAACGGGTCCGGGTGCACGGCGTCGCCCGGCGGCACGGGGCACCCGCCGTCGCACACCGTGTAGTCGATCGGCGCGCCCAGGCCCGGCGTGAGCGTCACGCCGAACCCGCCGTCGCCGCTGCACGCGTACCCGCAGTCGTCGACGTGGCCGTTCTCCGACGTGAGGCACAGCAGCGACTGGTCCTGCCACAGCGTGCCGGTGCCCACCAGGATGCGCGGCGCGTAGCCGTAGTCGTTGAGCACGACCATGTAGGTGAAGAAGCCCGCGAGCGCCTGCATGACGCCGATCTGGAGGTACGCGAAGCACATGAGCCGGCTGTTCACCAGGCGGTCCGTCGCGGCGTTGCGCGGCGGCCGGTTCATGATGTCGGCCTCCTTGGTCTCGTGCGCCAGGGAGATGGCGGGGATCATGTCCGTGCCGAGGTCGACGCACAGGATGAGCACCGTGCTCAGCGCGAGCGGGATGTTGATCGTGATGAAGAGCAGGAAGGGCCCGATCTCCGGGATGTTGGACGTGAGCGTGTAGGCGATCGACTTCTTCAGGTTGTCAAAGATGAGCCGGCCCTCCTCGACGCCGTTCACGATGGACGCGAAGTTGTCGTCGATCAGGATCATGTCCGCGGCCTCCTTCGACACGTCCTTCCCGGCGATGCCCATCGCGATGCCGATGTTGCCCTTCTTCAGCGCCGGCGCGTCGTTCACGCCGTCGCCCGTGACGGCGACGATCGAGCCGAGGCGCTGCGCGTTCTCGACGATGAGCAGCTTGTGCGCGGGCGACACGCGCGCCCACACGATCTGCTCGTGCGCCAGCGCCCAGTCCCACTTGGCCGTCTGCTGCTCCTCGGGGAGCTCCATCCACTCGCGGATGTCGTCGCCCTTGACGACGATCGCGCGGTCCTCGTCCCAGAGCTCCTGGTCGATGATGCCCACCTGCTTCGCGATCGCGTGCGCGGTGATCGGGTGGTCGCCCGTGACCATGAAGACGCGGATGCGGGCGCGCTTGCACTTCGCCACCGCCTCCGGGACGCCCTCGCGCGGCGGGTCGATGAGCGAGAACAGGCCCGCGAAGGTCAGGTCGTCCGTGCGGAAGTTGTTCTTCGGCTTCGACTCGTACTGGAAGTTGTAGTCGTGCTCCTTCATCTCGCGGTAGGCAAAGCCCAGCACGCGCTCCCCCAGGCCGCCGAGCGACTCGTACGCGTGCGTGAACTGCTCCAGCCACGCCTCCGTCAGCTTCTCCTCCTTGCCGTTCACGTTGATCTTGTCGCACATCTTGATCACGCGCTCCGGCGCGCCCTTGAGCACGAGCAGCGGGTGCCTCACGTTGGGGTCCTCCTGCTTGTGGATCGACAGCTGCCACTTGTTCGTCGAGTTGAACTTGATCTCGAACATCTTCGGGTTCGCCGCGCGGAACTCCTCGACGTCGCGCAGCAGCTGGATCGCCTTGACGAGCCCGGACTCGGACGCGTCGCCCGTGGTGTTGAGGCCCAGGAGGTTGAAGTTGGGCGACTTCTCCTCCGCGGCGAGGTCGATGCCGCTGCCGGAGTCGCCCTTCTCCTTCAGGATGAAGCTCGAGTTGTTGCACAGCGCGCAGACCTTGTGCAGCATCGCGAAGGTCGGGTCGCTCGGGTTGAACACGGGCTCGTCCATGTGCGTCCCGGCCTTGAGCGCGGCGTCGAGCTGCGGCTTGTTGCGCGCGGCGGGCGTGCGGAAGATCTTGCCGTTGTACCAGCAGTGCTGCACGGTCATGCGGTTCTGCGTCAGCGTGCCCGTCTTGTCCGAGGCAATCACCGACGTCGACCCGAGCGTCTCGACGGCCTGCAGGTTCTTCACCAGGACGTTCTTCGCGAACATGCGCTTCGCCGTGAGCGCGAGCGCGACGGTCACCGTCGCGAGGAGGCCCTCGGGGACGTTCGCGACGATGATGCCGATGCCAAACACCACGGCCGAGACGGGCTCCTGGCCGATGGCGAAGGAGATGACCACGAAGACGACGCCGAGCGTGATGGCGATGATCGAGATGAGGAGGATGAAGAGCGAGATCTCGCGCGCGATGGGCGTCTGCTCGTTGCCCGTGTCGGTCGTGAGGCCGGCAATCTGACCCATCGCCGTGTTGTCGCCCGTGCCGATCACGACGCCCTTCGCGGACCCGGCGTTGATGATCGTCGTGTAGAAGATGAGGTTGTTCGCCTCGAGAGGGGTCGTCAGGAGCTTGCCTGCGGGCGCGGCGGGTGAAACGAGGGCTCGGGTGAGCAACAGGGGCGAGTGCGGGGCGGGCGCGGGGCGTGCGGGCGCGGGGAGGGTGCGGGGGGGCGGTGGCGAGCGGCGTGGGCCGCGTGGGGCGGAGGGGGGCGCGTGTTCGCGCGTGGGGGCGAGGGGCGCACCGTCGTGGCCCATCGTGAGGTTCACGCCGCGGTCCACGGGCTCGGACTCTCCAGTCAGCGACGCGTTGTCGACCTGCGAGCGGGAATGGAAGCACCGGGGCGGTCGGGCGGGGCTCGCGGACGCGCCGCGACGCCGGGTCGGGAGATCGTCGGCTGCGCAGCGAACGTGCGCCGCGGCGCGCGTGCCTGCCCGCACTGGGCCGGAAGCGCGCGCGTGACGACATGGACAACCGGAATGCATGGCACGGGACCGCGCGGTCCGCGCTCGCGCGCCCCAGCGCGCCGGCGCCGGCCCTCGGCCCAAGCATCCAAAGCAATGCGGGCCCGGTGCGGCCGCGGCAGGGGGCCAGCGGCGCCGCGGGTGCGTGTGCGGGCGGGGCGCACCTTGATGTCGGTGCCGCCGACGATGCGGATGTCCGCGGGGACCTGGTCGCCGTCGCTGATCTCGACGAGGTCGCCCGGGACCAGGTGCACCGAGTCGATGACCTGCTTGTTGCCGTCGCGGATGACCGTGCACTTCTTTGGGATCATGGACTTGAAGCCCTCCATGATGGCCTCGGACTTGGCCTCTTGGAAGAAGGAGAAGACGGCCGTGATGACGACGACGGTGATGAGCACCACGCCCAGGTACAGGTTGGTCGGGTCTGAGCCGTCGATACCGAACGAGATGAAACATAGCAGCCCGCCCACGATGAGGAGCAGGGAGAAGAAGTTCGTGAACTGCAGCCCGAGCTTCACGAACCAGGGCAGCGTCTTGGGCGGCGTCAATTGATTGAGGCCGTACTGCTGCTCCTGCTCCTGCACCCGCGCGCTCGTGAGACCCTTCTTGGGGTCGCACTGGTAGAATTCAAACACCTTCTCGGGCGTCCATTCCTGCTGCGTGTACTGGAGGTCCCTGCGACGCAGGGACGGAGCACCGGAGAGAGCATGAGCGCGGTGCGCGGGCACGCCCGCGGCAGCACGCGCAATGCGGCCGGCACACGAATGGACTCATTTCGCGACTCCCGTTTCCGCGCGCCGTACGCGCCCCCGCGCGAGGGATCACGCCGACACGACGGGGGGGCACGGAGGCGACGCGCGCGGCACGTCCGCGTGGCCCGCGTCAAGCACTGTCACTCACTTCCTGAGCCCAGCGGCGCGCTCCTCCTTCGCCGACTTGCTCTCCTTCGTCTTCTTCTCCTTCTTCGGCTTCGTGCTGCTATCAGCAGCAGGCTGCTTGCTACTGCCGCCGGCGTCGGCCATCCCGGCAACACCCAGTGTCCAGCACCGTGTGAGTGCACCAACACGGATGATGCCGACCCCACGCCGCGGGCGCCCAATGCCGCCCTGGCCCGCCGCGCGCAGACCCCCACACGCTCAGGTCAGCCTCCCAACGCACTCCCACGCTCCCGTCCCGAGCATAATGCACCACGGAAAACGGGGACACGGCGCACTCGTGAGCTGGTGGCGGAAGCGGGGCTCTAGGCGCGGCCGAACGAGCGCGAGACCCACGCTAAAGTGCCCAGTGCACAGGGCCTCCCGTTCGCTCCAGCGAGTCCGCATCCGAGCTACTTTTGCGGACGATACGCATGGATGCCGCTGACGTCGTCCGAAATTCCCCTCCCCAGAGCGCGCCATTGCCGGAACTGGGCCGCGCGGAGCCCCAACGTTGCTAAGCACAGGCGCAGGGCATCCAGCGCCGCGTGCAGACGCGACGCCCTGGCGGCCCTCGGCGCGCAACTGCTCCCCGCGTCGATATCACCCGTCCCGGACAGCACCGTGAACCGCGATAACGGCGGAGGTGATCGCACGCGTCCTCCGACTTTCCCCCCGCACAGCACCTCGCGCGATCGCGACGCCCTCGCACGGTCGATGCCTTCGATTCTCCCCCGACCAGCCACAACACCGACACAAGATCAGTGTTCCGACGCTTCCATGCGCCGGGGACGCACCCCACCCGCACCCGCTGCGCATGCCCTAGCGCCCCTTCCACAACATCGGCGCCTGCGTCCTCCTGCCCCGCTCGCGCAGGGCGCGACGCGACGTACCAGCAGCAGGGGGACCCGGACGTCCGGCGGCGCCTCGACCCGCTCGCCGCGGACATCCTGCGGGAGGACTCGGAGCGGGAGCGCGTGCGCGCGACGCAGCAGTTGCTCGACGACATGATCGGGCTCGAGTGACCGGGCGGCGCGGAACTGTGCGCGCGGCGCCCACGCAGGGGTCCCCGCCGCGCCCGTGGGGGCTGGGGGGTCGTCGTCGGGGCCGCCTGTTGTTCACACACACAGCCAATGAAGGGGCGGGGGGGTTGTGCGGTGGGGGCGTCGGAGCACGGCCGCGAGGGCGACCGTGAGGACGCTGTGAAGGCAGGCGGCTGAAGCCACGCGGCGGTGCAGGACGAGGCGGTCCGAGCGTGGCGGTGCGGTGCTGCAGCAGAGCTGCAGCTGCGCGGTTCGCGGTGTTGCTGCCCGCGCGTGACACGCCCGAGCCACGCCTTCGAAGCGACATGTTGCACAGCTCGCGGCAGCCGGCGGCGTGCAATACACGCTGTCAGTCACACGTGTCAGCCCTGGTCTTCGTCGTCCGGGGCGAGGTACGCGCAGCAGAAGCTGCTTGCGCCCGCGAGCACGAACGACGCGTTGTTGGGTGACCAGGACACCTGCGTCGCCTTGAGTCCCCCCAGCGGCACGTGCACGCAGGACGCCCCGTGCTGGGACCACAGATACACCCTGCGCGGCACACAGCGAGGCACTGCGGCGTGTGAGGCGAGCAGGCGACGCGTGGGGACGACGCGCGGCGGCGGCTGAGGCAGGGAGTCGATGCAAGGACTTGTAAGAAGAGCAGAAGTGGTTGCGTGACTTTGATGTTGTGACGATAGCACACCCGCATTTCGTTTCGTGCGCGGGTGGTCAATTACTACTTCATGTTGTGGACGACGACCACGCGGCGCGGAGCAGTGGGTTTGCGCGCGGGTCAGCTTGCCTCGGTCCGCCGGACGTGATGGCGAGCTGCGCCACGTCGCCGCCCGACCACGCCACGTCCGTGACGGCGGCCGCCAGCACCAGCACCGCCGTCAGCGCCATGCCGTGCGTGTCCCACACCCACAGCGCCCGCGGCATCGTCGCGGACGTGCTCGCCACCCACCGCCCGCACGGACTGAACGCCACGCGCGACACCCCCCGGGGGGCCTCGGGGGACTCATCCGGCACAGGACGGCTGGGGATCTCTGCTGGAAGACCCCTCACCTCGAACCGCGAACGCTCCCCCTCCGGACCTGCCAACGGACCCGACACGCACGCACACATCAGCCGCTCGCGCGTCGTCGACGCCCCACGTGCAACACCCCCACGAGCGCACGCACAATCCGACAGCGTGCAAGATGCCGGAGTGCGTGCGTGCCGCGGCCGAGGCCCGCACCTGCTTCCACGGCCTCCTCGTACACGACGCAGTTCATGGGCCCGTCGACGAGCCCCGGGTGGTCGAGCTCCGCGAGCGGTCGCCACGTGACGTTGGACAGCATGCGCAGGGTGTCGTCGTACGACCCCGCCGCGAGCACGTGCCCCGACGGCGACCACGTCGCGCACCCCGCCCGCACCCCCAGGCCCTCGTGGTACGCTTCGAAGGTCGCCACGTGCGAGCCGTTGAGCGCCAGCACCACCACCTGCACGCCAGCACGCGGGCGCCGCTGTGGTCGCGGCGCGCGCGGCGGAGTGCCAGCCGCGACCGTGCTTGCCGCGGAAGGCGAGCGCGGGCAAGTCGAGAGCCGGGGCTGCAGCGGAGACGGGAAACCAAGACTCCTGGAGCACAAAGGACCTTGGTTGCGTTTCTTACCTTGTACTGCAGCTCCGAGTCCCAGCAGGCGATGTACGCGCCGTCCGGCGATATCGCGAGGCCCGCGAGGTCCGTCGTGTCCACGCTGAAGCGCCCCAGCAGCTCCCAGGACCCACACGCGTACAGCCGCACGTAGTCCTTGCAGGCGCGGCGCTCTGGCACGGCCATGTACCTGCCGTCGGGCGAGAAGGCGACGCCGCTCGCGCCGGTCTTCGGCGACGGAATGTGCACGAACTCCTTGGTCCGGAGGTTCCACACTGCCAGGCGGAGGTTGAAGTCGGCGCACGTGATGACGTGGCGGCCGTCGGGGCCCCAGCGGGCCTCGCGGACGCCCGCGGGCCCCTCCGCGATCGTGCACGTAAACTCCGGCTGGTCGACGGACCAGACCTGCACCGTGGCGCGCTTGAACAGGCCGCAGAGGACGTACGCCGAGTCGCACGACCACTCTATGTGTTCTACCTTGTCGATGCAGGAGTACAGCTGGAGGACCTGCACGCGCGCGATGAGGTCAGGTGCTGTTGCGGCCGGCGGGGCGGCAGCGCGGGCCACGCAGGGACGGAGCGGGCGGCCGCGGCGAAGGCACCGAGGAGCACTCAGAGGGGCGTCGCGCCGGCGTGGCGCGGCCAGGAGCGGCGAACGCATGGGACGGTGTTCGCGTGAGGTGGAGGAAGTGATGGAGGGCCGAGCGGGGGCGCGAGGACGCGCGCAAGGGCCGGAAATGCTCTTCCCGCGCTGGGCGTGGCACGAACGCAGCCAGCCTCTCCAGGCCGGGCCCGCGCGGGCCCGTGCGGTGCGCACGCGAGTTCGGTCGGGAGTTCGTGGGTGTCGGGCGCCAGTTCGCGCACCTGCAGCGTCTCTGCGTCCCGGATGACGAGCCGGTAGTCGACGACGCAGGCCACGCAGCGCCCGTCGGGCGAGTGCGCGGGCGCGGGGCCCGTGCACTTGTACGCCTCCGAGAAATCCATCGCGCCCGTGCTACCTGCGCGGCCACCTCGCTACCGGCGGGCAGGGCCAGGCTCTGCGTCGGCAGCCAGGCCGACGGAGCCCCGCAAAGCACTCAGAAGGCGAACGCCGAAGGTTTACTCCTCAGGGCTTGAGCGACGCCGTCCTAGTGCCCACTGCAACCACCTTCGAAAGTCCGGCGACCGGGCACGTGTGCGACCCCATATCTGCCCGCGAGCGGGCCCTGACTGCCCTGGGGCCTCTGCCGCTGCGCGCAAGCCGGGGGCGTCTGCCGGGCTCGGCGCGGCCCATCGAGGGCGCGCGCTCCGCATGCGGGCCACATTCCCTTGAGTGGAGGGATCCCGCGCGCGAGCCGCGGAGCGTACGAAGCAGCGCACACGATGGGCGACGACTTTGTGCTCCCTGAGAAGTGGAGCGAGGATGTCAAGGATGAGAACGGCAACCCAATGAGCAAGAGGTGCGCGACGACGACGTTGCGGACGACCTCCGCGCTGCGTCACCTCGCGCGTGCTCGCGCTGCGGCGTGCCTTGAGCGTAGGTGTGCTGTGTCGCTGCCGGCGCGCACACGCGCCGCCGGTTCCCCGCGCGTCCGCTGCAGCGAGTTCAAGAAGCGACAGAAGGCCGCGAAGGCGGCCGCGGAGAAGGCGGAGAAGAAGGCACGTCCCCGGCGCAGTCGAGCTCCCTGCTGCTTCTTTCATCCCTCTGTGCCCGACATCCAAGGCGTGAAACCGAGCGCGCCGCCGCATACCGGCACGCACATTCACATCCTCGTGCGCCTGCCCGCGCGATCGTGGCCCAGTGCGCGCTCTGCACAGTCGCGCCTGGCACTGCAGCAGCCGGCGCTGGGCGCGCCGGCGCCGTGTCCCGCTCCGGCTCGCGCGCTCGATGCGGCATCGGCAGGAACTGCGAAGCTCGACTCGTCTCCGCGCCGCGAGCTCCCGCGTTGCGACTGTGCGCGTTCTCTGGTGCTGTGGCGTGCAGGCAGCGCAGGCGGCCAAGGCTGCTGCGCAACCGGCGAAGAAGAAGGCCGCTGGGGACGAGGACGAGGACCTGGACCCCACGCAGTACTTCGAGAACCGCAAGAAGTGGATCGGCGGCGTTCGCGAGAAGGGCGGCAACCCATACCCGCACAAGTTCCACGTAAGACTCCCAACCGAGTCTCCCACGCCGCGCGAAGAGTCTCCCTTTTCCGCCCGCACCGCCCCGCGCGCGCGCACCGCCCCGCGCGCACGCGCCGCGCGAAGAAAATCAATACACCCCCCGCCCCCCTCTTTCTTCTGCAGGTGTCGATGCGTCTGCCCGAGTACGTGGCCAAGTACACCGACTCGGTCGAGGCCGGGCAGGTCGTCGAGGGCGAGACCGTGTCGCTCGCGGGCCGCGTGTCCTCGAAGCGCGCGTCCGGGTCGAAGCTCATCTTCTACGACCTCCGCGGGGAGGGCGCGAAGCTGCAGGTGATGGCCGACCTGCAGCGCTTCGACGACGGGGGCGCGGCGGAGGGCAAGGAGGAGCGCTTCGGCGCGCTGCACGCGTCCGTGAAGCGCGGGGACATCATCGGCGTCGTCGGCGTGCCCGGGAAGTCCAAGCGCGGGGAGCTGTCGGTCTTCCCGGTCACGGTGCAGGTGCTGTCGCCGTGCCTGCACATGCCGCCGAGCCTGCACTTCGGGCTCAAGGAGAAGGAGACGCGGTACCGCCAGCGGTACCTGGACCTCATCATGAACCACAACCGCGTCCGGGACATCTTCCAGACGCGCGCCAAGATCATCCAGAAGATCCGATCCTTCCTCGACGAGCGGGGCTTCCTCGAAGTGGAGACGCCGATGATGAACATGATCCCCGGCGGCGCCACCGCGCGCCCCTTCGTGACCTACCACAACGAGCTCGACATCCAGATGGTCCGCGCCCCCACACCGCCGCCGCCGCCCGCCGCCGCCGCGCCGCCCGCCCGCCGCCCCCCGACGCGCGCTCGTCCGCGCGCTCGTGTGCGCAGTACATGCGGATCGCGCCGGAGCTGTATTTGAAGGAGCTGGTCGTCGGCGGGCTCGACCGCGTGTACGAGATTGGGCGGCAGTTCCGCAACGAGGGGATCGACATGACGCACAACCCCGAGTTCACGACGTGCGAGTTCTACATGGCCTACGCCGACTACAACGACCTGATGGACATGACGGAGAAGCTCGTCTCGGAGATGGTGCTGGAGACCAAGGGGGGGTATATTGTGGAGTACCACGCCGAGGGGCCCGACGCCGACCCCGTCGTGATCGACTTCACGCCGCCGTGGAAGCGCATGTCCATGTGCGAGGCGCTCGAGGTGCGCTCCCGCCCCGCCCCGCGCGCCGCGGCCCCGCGCTGCGTGTCTGCTGACTGCGTGCTCAAGTGGCGTCGTGCTCGCTCGCTGCGCGGTGCGCAGAAGGCGCTGGGCGTCGAGCTCCCGAAGGACATGGAGTCGGAGGAGACGCGCGCGTTCCTGGAGGCGGAGGTCAAGAAGCGCGGGCTGGAGTGCCCGCCGCCGCTGTCGACGGCGCGCCTGCTCGACAAGCTGGTCGGCGAGTACCTCGAGGAGCAGTGCATCAACCCGACCTTCATCTGCGACCACCCGCAGATCATGTCCCCGCTCGCCAAGTGGCACCGCACGCTCCCAGGCATGACGGAGCGCTTCGAGCTCTTCGTGAACAAAAAGGAGGTCTGCAACGCCTACACCGAGCTGAACGACCCCATCCGGCAGCGGGAGCTCTTCGCGCAGCAGGCCGCGGCGAAGGCGGACGGCGACGACGAAGCGATGGGCGTGGACGATGGTTTCTGCACTGCGCTGGAGTACGGGCTGCCGCCGACGGGCGGGTGGGGCATGGGCGTGGACCGCATGACGATGTTCCTCACGGACCAGCAGAACATCCAGGAGGTGCTGCTGTTCCCGGCGATGAAGCCGCAGGTCGCGAAGCCTGCCGCGAGCGGCATGTCGGTCGACGGCGCGTGAGCGCGAGCGTGCGTGCGGGGCCTGGGCGCGCGCCCGGGGTGCTGGACTCGCGGCGATGTGATGCGACGATGACTGCCTGCCGTGGCCGACTCCCTGCGGCAGGGAAGTGCGGGTGCATCAAATTCCACTTGTGCATCAAATTCCTTGTACGATTACATTTTCGCGCCTAGTGGCCCTCGAACCCGACGATCGTGAACACGGGCGTGTCGCCGAGCTTGGCGCGCCCCCCGAGGTCCGGCAGCTCGATCACCGCGGCCACCTCGACCACGTTGGCGCCCACGCGCTTCACCAGGTTGATCCCGGCGCCCATCGTGCCGCCCGTGGCGATCAGGTCGTCGACCAGGAGCACGTTCGCGCCCTCCTTGACGTGGCCCACGTGCATCTCGATCCTGCGCGGGGCGGGGGCGGCGGAGCAGGCTGGGTTTGTTGGCCGGCCACGCCTGGAACGTGGCACAGGAATGCCTCGGATGTTGTGTGGGGGTGTACCGGTCGGTGCCGTACTCGAGCTGGTAGTCCTCGCCGATCGTCTCCCCGGGGAGCTTCTTGGGTTTCCGCAGGGGCACGAACGCGCACCCGAGGGCCAGGGCGACGGGGGGACCGAAAATGAAGCCTCTGGCCTCGAACCCGCACACCACGTCGATCTTCTTGTCCTTGTAGCGCTCGACCATCATGTCGACGGTGTGCTGGAAGGCCTTGGGGTCCAGCAGGAGCGTCGTCACGTCCTTGAACTGGATGCCTGCGACGAAGAACAAACAAAAGGAAAGACGAGCACATTACGTCCTCCCTTGACGAGGGTGCCGTGCAGGAACGCCGCCCGCGTGGCTCCGAGAATGGCGCGGAGATGCGCGGTGGTACGAGGTCGCGGAGCAGCCGCTTCGGAGGTGGGCGGTGCCTTCAACAGCCACCCCGTGCAGAGCCCCGCGCAGCGCGTCTGGCGCCACCGAACGCCGCGCTGGGCCCTAATCGGTGCGCCTCGCTTCGCAAACATGCGCACGAGCGGCACCGGCGCTGGCTCTCATCCGGGGCCCGCGCGGAAGAGGCATCGGACAGCAACTTGTGCCGCGGTTGCAACAGGCACGGCGCGAGTTCGGGCCGACGAGTCGATTTGCGCGCGAATCTGCGCCATCGTCGCCCTCTAAAGGCGGTGGGGAGCGAGCATGCATGCAATCTGCGCTGAAACACAGCGGCGGCTGCTCGCACGGCGCAAGTGGTCTGGTTGCGGCACAGGGGCGCGTGCGCCGCCGCACCTGGCTTGGGCCAGTCCGGGATGTTGCGGATAGACTTCGCCACATAGGCGATGCGGTCGTCGGCCATGGTGGCGGTCGCGACGACGGGTCTAAGCGCTGCGGACGCAAGAGGGCTGCCACGGGCGGCTCTGCGGGGCGAGTGCAGCGGCTGCCGAGGTTGGAGGTCACGAATGAGAGCAGGCTTCCCAGCGAGGATCATCAATCGGTGTACGGCTTCCGTATATGCCGCAGATCGCGCGACTCCGCGGCCCCTCGTGCCGCCCGCGGCGCGTGCAGCTGTCAGTCTGGGGGCGCACTCGTGTCAGACTCCGCTGGTATCGGCGCGGACTGTACCCGACGGCCAGCCGCCTAGATAGGACGCTTGCGCACAGGTCAGACTCGCGGTCTTGGTGGTTCGCGGGCACCCGCAGCCAGGAAATCACATGCACACTAACACACAGCTCGTTTCGCCGCGAAGCGAGGCGCCGCGGCCGCAGCGAGCCACGCCCGAGGCGCGGCGTCACTCGTACGTGGCCACCTGAGTCAGGACGCGCAGGGTCTGACTCCATCCATGTGGCACGCGCTGCACGTCGCCCAGGCGCGCCTCCGCCCCGTCCACGCTGCGCACCGCTCCCGAGCAGCCGTCCAGGTCCCAGCCGAGCGCGCCGCGCACCGTGCACCGCCTGCGCGTCTCGTCGGCGGAGGAACACATCTTGAGCTCCAAAACGAAGTCCGCCATATTTATACCACCGTTCATCTTTTCGCCGTTGTCGCCCGGCACCGGTTTCCTCTCGTCGCCCTCCTCCGCCTCCGTCTCGCCGCGCGAGCCCCCCAGCTCCCCGCGTTCGATCCTCCGCGACACCTCCACAGGCCACTTCGCGCACCGCACCGCGACCGTGTCGTCACCGCGCGCGATGTTGAACGACACCTCCTCGCACATCGGCACGGGGCACTCCGGCCCGTGCACGCTGCTCACTCGCACGCGCATCGTCATCACCTCGGACTCCCCCCCCTTGCCCGCTCCCCCGGACGTCTTCCGCTTCTTCCGCGGCGCCGCCCTGTACGTTCCGCGCGTCTCCATCGCCGACGTCTCCCACGTCGCCGTCACCACGACCGCGTCCCAGCGCTCGAACGGCGGCACCGGCACGCCCAGCTCCCGCATCACCACCCGCATCAAGTCGTCCGCCCGCGCCCGGCATATCAGCGACGCAAACGCGTCCATCGGCGTCTTCTGCAGGTTCACGATCACCAGGGAGCCCCCCGCGCGCGCCGTCATCACCGGTATGTCGTTCGCGGGCGCTATTTGCAGGGACGTGCCCAGCGTGATGGAGAGGTCCGCCCGCTGCGCGCGCGCCTCGGATTCGTCGAGCTCGTCGTCCGGGAGCGGCTGGTCCCAGTCGAGGACGTGGTCGCGCAGGCGCCCCCTGCAGCCCTCGCTGCGGCGCACCACGAACAGATGCGATCAGGTGAGAAACAGAAACACGCCGCGCGTGATGGCCAGGCGGCTGCGAGTGAGATCGTGCACGCGCCACACCTTGCGCAGCTGCGGCCCGTGCCACGGAACCCCACGGTGCCCACGTCGAAGTCGCGGTAGTACATGCGCTCGCACTTTGGGCAGCGTTCGCTGAACACGTTGCCGTGCAGCTCCGCGAGCCTCGCCCGGTCCACGCCCGACCTGAGGTGCATGCCGTCCACGTTCTGGCTCACGAGGTAGTCCAGTTTCCCCGCGCGCATGAGGCCCAGGAGCGCCATGTGCGTCAATGAGGGTTTGGCAAACTCGAACGTCACGGCGCATTTCGGCAGCGGCTTGCCCTGCTGCTGGAGGGTCCAGATGCCGTTCGGACCGCGGAAGTCCGGGATGCCGCACGCCGTCGAGATGCCGGCTCCTGCGTTCGTTCGTTCCGACACGGCGCAATGCAGCTGGGCTATACCGGCTCCGCAGCCCGGGAGACCGCATGCATGAGCGGCTCCGGTGCTGCAAATCAGGCGGAGCTTTCGTTGCGAGGCATCGAGCTTGCCTGTGAACGCGACGGTGCTGCGTGATTCCCGAATGAGCCGGGCCACTTCCTTGGCATGGGCCTCCAGCTCTTCCTGGGACTCAATTGTCTCCGGAGCACCAAGCTGCCCGCCGAGATCGTCTCGCCATGACAGTCGCTCAGCGTAGCCCAGACTCATCGCTTCCCCACGACCCCGCTCAGCTCATCCCTGGACCCCTAACTCCAGTTGTCGAGCCCGCCCGCTGCGTTCGCTAGCGCTGCGAGGAACAACGGCAGACCAGCGGCATACCGAGCGAGAGGTCTTCGCACCCGTGGCGAAATTGCGACTATTCAGGCTCGGCTGGCGCCGTAACAGGTCTGGAAGACTGGCGAGGTTTGTCCCCACGCTGTGTGTCAGGAATTGAGCCACGTCCCCCCACACCGGACCCTGCGAGGGCGCACGACGCGCTGTCGGCAGCACAGTCTCGCTGTCGCGCCCGCTACCTCGTGGGAGTTCGGGCGACGGGGCTCTGCGTCCACCAGATGTGTGCACGCGCCTCAGCTCTCCACGGGACCACCCCTGGCCGGTTGAGACGCCCGCTCAACAGCCGCACATCGCGAAGTTCTCGGCGTCCGCGCGGTTTCGGTCGCCAGCGCTGCGTGTGCAGGTCGTCAGAGCGCGGCAACGGCAGCGGTGCAGAGGAGCAGTTCGGTTTGTCGTGCACCACGTTCATAATTGATGACCTGGTATTCGCCGATGGCAGCACTGTCATGTGTCAGCTCGGAGGCGGCGGTCCACAGACGCTCTTCGGGTGGCAGGTGCGCGCACGTCCACCCACCACCCTCTGCGCTGCTTCGACGTCGTCGCGTCTTCTCAACGCACGATCGGTGCAGAGCTCAATCTGGACACGCCCCTTTCTGGCGTGCGGCTCGCAGGTCGCAACGGGGCAAACGCGGCCGGTGGGCCTCGCGGCTGGGGTTGGCGACGACATTCCCGACAGCTGCATTTCGTGGTTACAGGGCGCGGGGTGCGACCTCGCGGGGCTCCAGCACATCAGCAACATGAAGACCCCTCGCGCGTGGCAGGTACCGGGCCCTGCTCTCGAAACCGCCCATCAGCACGCCGCAAGTCCTGGTGCCCGCGCGCAACGCAATGCGGCACTCGTTCCACGCCCGCGTCAGCGATTCGACGTGCGTCCGTCGGTGCAGATCACGGAGTGGGACGGGTTCAGGACGCAGATCTGGCGCACGCCCGCCTGCGCCGAGCTGTACCGCATGCTGCGCCCCAAAGTCAGCGACATTCCGCGGCGGCTCCTGGGGGCCAAGTGGTTCCACCTCGGCATCAACCCCGACCGTCCGGACCACGCGTACCTCGCAGAGCTGCGCGCCGCGACGCGGGACACGGGCGGCGGGCGGTTCTCGATCGAGCCGTTTGTGGGGGCGTCGCGGCCGCTGACCCCCCCGGAGCTGTCGGCGCTCGTCAGGGCGGCGGACGTGGTGTCGCCGAACCTCGCGGAGGCGCGCAGCATGCTCGGGGACGACCGCGCCACGCCGCAGGGGGCCCTGGAGGTCCTCGGCGACGCCGGCGCCAGCGTGGCGGTGATCCGCTGCGGGGCGGACGGCGCGTACGCGGCGGACTTCACGACGAACGAGGCGTACTTCTGTCCGCCCTACGCGCACACCAAGGTCAAGGACGTCACCGGCTGCGGCAACAGTTTCATGGGCGCTTTCCTAGCGGGCTTCTCAGGTACGCAGATGACGCGGAATGCTCGGATCGGATCTCTCAGGCCGCTGACGCCGCTGCTGTTCCAGCGCAGAGAGCGGCGCTGACTCGGCGGGTCCGCTGCTGCGCTGCAGGGGAGGCTAAGGAGGTGGCGGGCATGCCGAAGTCCGGGATGGCCCGCGGGCTCGTGTGGGGGCACTCCGCGGCGTCCTTCATGGCGGAGTGCTACGGCGTGCCGGAGGGCACTCCGAGGGAGCTCCACGGGGCGGCGGTGTCGCGCGTGGAGTCCTTGTTGGTGGGCGACGTGCTGGAAGAGGTGACCGCCCTGGCGTGACGGGCCCCGACGCGGGTGCGCGTCGTCGGCGGTGCGGGCGGCCCTCGCGCGTCGAGTATATATGCAGCGAACGACGCGAGATGCCGCGCTTGCGCCGGAGCGAGGACCCGACCGGAACGAGGACCTGAAGCCCGGATCTGTGCCGCTTGCTGATGACCTGAGGCAGCGAGCGCATGTTTGGAGGGCGATGGGGGCCCCGGCTGAGGTCCTTCAGGCGTCTCCGGCATCCTTGGTGATCTCTTCCAGGAGAGCAAGCACAAGAGCGACAAGAAGTCCAAGGATGCCGGAGACGCCTGAAGGACCTCAGCCGGGGCCCCCATCGCCCTCCAAACATGCGCTCGCTGCCTCAGGTCATCAGCAAGCGGCACAGATCCGGGCTTCAGGTCCTCGTTTACAAAATGTCAGATACATATGAATAAATATATATTGGTCGTGGGCGACCTGTGATGAACATCTGCCGCCTGCACGGCCCGTCACGCCCCCCCCTTTGACGCCTCGAGCGCGCCGTCCCGCTCCCCCGCTCGCGTCGCCTCGCCCCCCGCAGCCACGCCGTCCGCGAACTCCCCCGCCTCAATCCCCGCACACGCGCTGGCTGCAAACGTGTGCAGCGCCATGTCGTTGAAGGCAGACGCCGGCTCGTAGCCCTCGTCCGGCACCGCGACCTCCGTGACGAGGCCCCGGTCCACGCTCGCGAGCATTCTCGCGGGGCGGAACCGCCCCTCGCTGCGCCACGTGGGTGACGCCCACCGCTCCGCGTACGTAGAGAAGCGGTTCCCGAGCACAGCGACGCACGGCAGCTGCTGCGGCGTCCAGTTCGCGCGCAGGAGGTTGTCGCAGAGCTCCGCCTCGCAGTGCGCCAGGTAGAACAGCGTGACGGGCGGGACTGACGCAGGGAGGCCGTCGTGTCCCCCCGGGGGTGTCGCGGCCCGCGCGCCGCGTTCGTTCGCGTGCGTGACGGCGCAGTTCAGCGTCTGGAGGACGACGAGGTCGGCGGCGGTGAAGACCGGGTCGAAGACCTCGAGTGCGACGGTGCGGCGGTCGTGCGCGGCTGCGTTGACCCTCTGCTTGCATGCTCCTTCCGCCGCGTCTCGGAGCAGCAGCGCGAAGGCAAGTTGGTGACGTGAGACCTGCAGAGCGAGGGGGGTCGCGTCGCGGTGAGACCGCGAGGAGCATGGCCCGTGCCGCGCGCGCGGGGCGGCGAACGTATGCATGAGGACACAGAACGGGGCCAGAGTCGCCGCCGGAGATATGAAACGCATATGTAACGGCACTTGCACGCACACGAGCCGTCGCAGCGGACCTGCGAGTCGCACGGCGATCCGAGGCCGTACGCAACGACGCGGCGCACCCGCGCCAAGAGCGATGGCGCGGCCGCACCGCGCTGCTCCTCGACGCGCTGCCCAGGCCCGTGCGCCCCAGTGCCACCCAGAGCTCGCAGCACGCCTCCGTAGAACACGTGGTCGCGCACGCGAGCGACGGCGTCAACGACCTTCCGCGTCGCTTCTCTGGCTTCCTCGGCATCGCCGTCGCGCGGGTCAGCGCGTAGGGGCGCCGCGCTGAGCTCGCTCGAGACGGAAACTGCTACGGCGCCCCCTGCACCGCCGCCGCGAAAGCCGTCCTCGCGTCGCCTCCTGCGAGTCTTCCGCGAGACGACGACCGTGAAGCCCCCATCCTCCTGCGGCGCGCGTGCGCGGCGAAGTGGTCGAAGGTGAGCGCACGCGCGCGCAACGCCTTTCAGTCTGTGCCGTCGTCTCCTGCGCGGCCTCGACGCAAGGACGGCCAGCTACGCGTCGGACTTGCGACTCACCATACCGACAATAATGGCCAGAAGTCTCAATTCTTCATCGTCGCACTCAACTGCGCGCCAGCCCTGCTATGGCAGCGACAGATGGTCGCGCGGTCCAATATCGCGCGAAATAGCGCACCAACCGAGAACGGACGAGGCACGCGCCAGCACGTCTCCACGTGCGGCATGCTCCCCGGCCGCGAGCCCGATGCACTGCGCCCCGGGCCAGCGCGGGGGATGTCGTGCATCGACGCGGGCGCGCAGGGGACCGCCCACCGACGGTTCGACGCGGCGCCGGGCGATGTCCTCGCGCCCACGCGCGCCGAACGCACAGTGGTCACAGGGCGCGAGGCAAGACGTTCGAGCTGCGGACTGGGCGCATCACCTCATCCTCCAGAGTGGTTTTGTGGAAGTGGGGCTCTAGTTCCATGCTGCGTCGTTGCGGTCTCTCCACGCGCATCGCCAGCCGACCGCTGACTCAGTCGCGTGCCTCGCGTCGCTCCGTTGCGGTCTACGCGGCCATGAAGGTGAGCGCTGCGCGCGTGGCTGCCCTTCCAGTGGGGCCCGTGCCTCGCCGAATCCCGCAGTTTTCTCGCCAAACTCGCACGGAACCTCCAATCTTAAGAGAAGTACGTCACATCGCGTCTCGAAGTCCTCGGGAATCGGGCGCCTGTATGCCGCTGCGAGTGAGGAAACTTGGCTGGTGCTGATCGGCGTCGGGCTGGGCTGGCGCACGCGACACCGAGGCACTCATCCGTTCGGCTGCAGCTCGCGAACAAGAAGATCGTTGTCACGGGCGCCAACCAGGGCATCGGCCTCGAGTTCGTGCGCCAGCTGGTCGCCAAGGGCAACACAGTGCGCTGCCCTCCCGCCGCCGCGCCCAGCACGCCACGGCGCACCACAGCAAGCATCCTCTCAGCGAGCACAGCCGAGCCGCTCAACGCAGCAAGCCGCATCGCGCTTGATCAGCGCTGAAACACCCCGTGAGGTGATCGCACACACGTTGCATGATTCGGCCGCGTCGCAGGTCATCGCGACGGCACGGAACCCCGCGGCCGCCAAGGACCTGCGTGCCCTCGCTGACGCCAACGCCGGCCAGGTCCACATCACCACGCTGGACCAGTCAGACCCCGCAAACATTGCTGCGTGGGCCAAGGAGGTCGCGGGAGTCGCGCCTGCCGTGGACCTCGTGCTCAACAACGCGGGCATCTACGGCCCAAAGAGCAAGGCCTTCGGGGACTACACGAAGGAGGACATGCTCGAGGTTTTCAACGTCAACGCCGTGGGGCCTTTCCTCATTGCCCAGGAGATGGTCAAGAGCGGCCTGCTGCCGAAGGGTGAGCCTCCCCGCGCCGACCAGCGAGCGTGCTACGCCGAAATGGCCCACGGCGCCGCGAGCCGGCCCGGGGGCCTCGGTGCTGCAGTCGGACTCGTTGCTCAGGGGGGGGGGGTATTCTTCCCCCCCAGACGGCGCTGTAGCCCGCGCGATAGCGTGCGTGCCCGTCCGCGGTCGCACAGGCCCCTGGTGCGCTGCGCGTGTTGCCGAGACGGCTGAGACTGCGTCGTTCTGGTTTGGTGCAGGCTCCGTGATTGGCAACATGTCGAGTAAGGTGGGGTCGGTGGCGGACAACGGGAGCGGCGGCGGGTACGCGTACCGCGCGAGCAAGTCGGCGCAGAACATTATTTCGAAGAGCATGTCGCTGGACCTCGCGGGCGCGGGCATCACCACGGTCATGTTGCACCCGGGCTACGTGCGCACCAACATGACGGGCGGAAACGGCCTCATCGACGTGGACGAGTGCGTGTCGGGCCTGATCTCGGTCCTGGAGTCGGACCGCGAGCTCAACGGGCGCTGGTACGACTTCGCCGGGAAGGAGATCCCGTGGTGAGGACGCGTAATCACGGCGCGGTGTAATCACAGCTGACTCGGTCACAGCTGCTGAACCCGTCGGTATCATAACGATGGGGGGTCGACATGACTCGCCACCTGGTCGGATGATCTTTTCAGGTCCCGAAGCCTTATGGCTGACGACGCGAAGAACGTACACCTCACCTCACCTCAGCCCGCGCCTGCGCGCGAAGCCTACGTGTCTCTCGGGCGCTTCCGGCCGCGCCCGGGGGCTACAGCGTCAGCGGCGCGCTCGCGCACGCGCACGTCGACGCGCATGACCCTCCCCGACACCGCGCCGCGGACCTCGTCGAGCACGACCGCGCCGGCGATGAGCTCCTCCGCCGTGGGCAGCGCCGCGGCTCCGGTGACGGGGACGCGCGCGAGAGATTCGAGCCGCGTCGTTATGGCGTCGCTGCAGTGCTGACACCCCGAAATGGGCTCCCAGGAATTCTCGGCGGACGTGTAGCCGGTCCACTTGACGAGCACCTCCTGAACAGGGCGCTGCGAGCCGCGAGCGCGCAGCCCGCAGACCCGTTCGACCGTGAAGTGCTCAGACCCGTCGATGACCTCGGGGGTCGGAGGCCGCGGAGCGCTGCGGGGGCTTGCGGCGCCGGAGGTCTTGCCAGCCAGGTCGCGCTGGAGGTCCTCGAGCGCTCGGAGCAGCCTGCACTGCTGCACAGCGCGGCTGTGGTGCCCCCAAAACTCCTCTTGAACTGTTTTCAGGTTCTCAGGCCGAGTCAAAAACAGGGCGACGTCGTCCTGGTGGCGCGAGACGTACGCGTCCGCGCCATCGTCCAGGTCCGCGAGGTCCTGCAGCGCGTGCAGAAGCGAGAAGGCCGCAGGGCGGCGCGCCTGCGCGACGCGGCGCACGAGATGCCGTGCCACCGCCACGGGCTTCGCGACGTCCTTGCACGACGCCGCGTACTCGCGCGTCGCGGGCCTGGTGTGCGCGGTGCGCGCGCGGGCCAGGTGCTTCGCGGCGGACGCCTGCGCGCCCTTCATGGCAGCTGCGGGGGGCGGTCCGCTGCGGCGACGCATTGCGTCTGCTGACAACACCTCGTTCGGCGGCGGGCGGAACCGGTGGCCGCAATCCTCGTTCGGACACTCGCGCTGCGCCCTAGCGCAGACGGCTGAGCATTCCGGGCACGTCTTTTCCTGCTGATTCTGTACGGCGACGGCGGTGAACAGCGCTGTGTGATCGCTGCGGCTTGGACAACTGTTGCGTGCGTGTGACAGCAGGAGGTGACCGCGAGGGAGCCTGGGGACGGCGGCCTGACGTGTTGTCTCGCACCTGGTTCGGGTCTCGGGTCGCCGCAGCGAGCGCTCGCCCGCCTCGCAGTTGCATAGATGCGGACGCCATGGGAGACGGTGCTTGGCGCTCCTGTGCGTTCATTGAGCCTTCGATGTGCCGCCGACGAGCCTATTTGCTACCGGTGTGACGTATCAGGACCTCTCGACCGGAAGTGTTGCACTGCGTGCGGCGTGCGAGGCGAGATTGCGCCTGCCTAGTTGGTCTGTCACGAGCACCGTGTGGCTCGAGGATCAGCGGACGATTTGGGCTTTTATTACGCCTTATCGCTGAAAAATGTGACTGTGCTTCGGAGACGCCGCTAGAATGACCGCAAAACGCATCGATGCGTCCCCTGTGGTCGCACAAGCCTCTGCAAGTTGACCAGGACCACGCTCGACAGGCGGGGGGGCGGAACGAGCGCACGGCTGTCGAACTGGGCTCGAAGCATCACGCCTGCGCCCATTGGGGGCACGTGGCAAGGGGGGGGTCAATGCACAGAACCGTACGTCGTCACCGCTGCAACGTCCCCAGGTACAACAACGCCTCTCCCGCCCGACAAATCCTCGCCTCCTCCTCCAGCATCCTCGGCGTCGCAAGCGCTCCCAGCCGCAGCGCCGCGCGGAGTCACATCAACTACACTCCCCCCTGCCCGTCCCCTTGTCAGTTGGTGGCCTTCAAGGCCTCTGAGACCGTCATGAGGCCCGGCAGGATCCCTTCGAGGCCCACGGCGCCGGTCCCCGGCCCCGGGTGCACGACGCGGACGCTCAGGTCGCCCACGCACCCGTACACCGCCTGCGTCGTGTCCATCGCCATCTTCTTCAGGTTGACGTCAGTCATGCTGCCCTCGACCTCCAGCTTCTTCCTGAGGTGCTCCAGCGCCTGGTCCTGCTGCATGCGCTGCACCGCTATCTCCCGCTCGATCTCCAGCTTCCGCGCGGCGTACTTCAGCTCGTTGTCGTGCACCTTCAGCGCGTGTGCGTTGTCCAGCTCCTGCAGCGCACGCGCGCACGAAGCGGCGCACCAACGTCGCGTCGCGCGCGCCACACCACGCGGACGCAGCTCCGCGCGCGGGACCGACGAGCCTGTCCGACCAACGCTCCCCGAACAAGCACAGGCCGGCAGCGTCGGGTGCCGCCCACATGCAGTCTGTCGCGCACCTGCATCGCGATGCGGCGCTCCTCTTCCATCAGCGCCTCCCTCTGCTGCTGCTCTTCGAGGCGCTGCTGCGCCTCGTGCACCTTCCGGGCGCGCGTGGCGTCGGCGCGTGCCTTGGCGGTGCGCAGGTCCGACGCGATCCTCGCGCCGTCGATCTCCTCCTGCGTGGCCATCCGGCGCTTGTCCGCCTCCTCGCGGATGCGCTCCCGGTAGTCAGACTGCAGGTTCTCGAACAGGGACCGCGACAGAATCGTCACGTCCGTCACCTGCGCGCACCGGGACGTCGGAGGGACGTGTTCGAATTTCTTCCTCTTTCGGCGGGCGTGCCGGCGCAGCAGGCAGCGAGCTGCACTGGATGGACCCGCCCTGGCCCTGCGCCCCGGTCTGTGGGAGGCAAGGCACTTCACTCGTGCTTGCGGCAGGGCGACCCGGTGCGCGGGGGCGCGTCGTCGCAGGTTGAGCGGGTGCTCGCGGGTGTGCGTGCGACGGACCTCGACGGTTTCGAGCCAGACCCCCCAGCCGCGCACCACCTCGAGCATTTTGCTCCTGCACGAGTCCCGGATGAGCTCGCGCTTGGCGATGACGTCGCGGATGGTCTTGGAAGCGACCTGCATTGCACCGGGAGAGACTCCTCAGTTATCAGAGCGCCATTCTGCGCGGCAGTCCGTGGAATCCTACGCCGCGCCGACCCGGAACCCGCCGAGTGCTGCGTGAAAGTAGTTGGCAAGTGCTGCGCGGGGGTGCGGGCGGCCGAGGCTCAGGCGGCGGCGCACGGACGCACCTCGGCTCGAATGATGCTCTCCGCCATGTTGGTGAGGTTCTGGTTGGCCGTGCGGAGGCCCGCGGGGCTCATTCCGTCCAGGGAGCGGTACGCACGAAACGGCCCGTCGCCTTCCCGAAACACCGTCCACATCACGAAGCCCGCCACCTCGATGCCCTGCATCTCAGCCGTGACCTGCTGGGCGCGGAAGGACACCTTGTGGATGCTGGACGAGAACTTCACGACGTTGTCCGTGAGGCCGGCCACGTAGCGCATGCCGACGCCGGCCCGCACTTGGCCTCCGTCGCGGATGACCAGCAGCCACTCGTTCGGCGACGCCACGTGGACGAAGTGCTTGCAGTAGAAGAAGACGCCCGCGCCCGCTGCCGCCGCCAGCGCGCCCACGGCCACGAACGCGAAGAGCAGCGTCCACGGGAACCCGCTGACGGACGCCGCCACCGCAGCGGCTGCAGCCTTCGGAGCCGCCTGCGAGAAGACCGCCATCGCGGAGAAACCAGGACGCGACGTGGCCAGGTGACCTGGGCCGCAGCGGTGCCAGTTGCCTTCAGAGCGCTCGGGGAGCCGCTAGACTCGTGTCTTGGCGGCCAGCCTCACAGCGTCGACGCCGTGCAGTCGTATCTGGGCCACGCGGCGACTTCTCGGGCCCTTGAGACCGCGCCTGACGCACTTGTCTCTGGACCGACTCAATTGGAGAAGACACTCTCCGAGGTCGTTTTTGGCGCCCGCCGGCGCGCACAGCGTCCACTGCGCCCGCTGGCCCCCGGTCCAGCATCGAAGCGACGCGCTGGGAGGACGCACGGTGCACGTCACGCGCTGCGCGCCCACCACCTGGCGCGCGTAGGCTCCGCCCTCAGGAGCTCAACTGCTCGGCCACACGCGGCCGGTCCGAGCCCCGCAGCGCTGCAAGCGTGCACTCATCGAAGATGGTGACGCCTGTCAAGCGTCCCGCCGAGGTGAGCGCCACACGCGTCGAGACGGGCCCCTTTCCCGGCAGCATGCTCCCTCCCAGCACTTGAAGCGGGCGGCGCCCCCGACTCGCACCGCGCCGCCCCTGCCCGTTCTCGATGCGCACCGGGATCTCGATGCATCAGGGACACCGCGGGGGGCAATGTATGGACGCGGGCGCGCCGGAGCGCGCCGGGTAGCGGCGTCCCGCCCAGCTCGGAGCAGGCAGCCCGCGCCAGGTCGCGGTTCTCGTCCGCGCCGCGCCGCACGGCGTTTTCCCGCCGCGCACCGGCCAGATATTTGAATGATACGCCACGCCGCGGTAGCGCGCGGCGTGGCATGCCGCTTGCGACGCCGCGCGCCGGCCCCTCGACACCTCGGCTGCTCTTCGCTCTGCGCCTCCGCAGCTGGCGGCCGACCGCCCCCACCGCAGCCGCTCCCGCGGCGCCAAGGCCCTGAAGCGGGAGCCAGGCATCGCGGAGGCGTCGGTCGCGCCCCCGGAGCCGCAGCTCGACGCCGACGAGCAGGAGCTGGCGGACCGCCGCCTGGCGCTGCAGCTGCACAACGAAATGATGGAGCGGCAGGAGAAGGTCGTCGACCGAGGCCAGGAGTACATCGACGTGGACTGGCAGGAGATCATCGGCGACTACCCGACGGTGGGCGGCGGGGCCTCGTATGCCAAGCGCGTGGGCGAGGAGGACGAGCTGGACGTCGTGTGGGACCCCGCGCTCCTCGAGAAGCACACCGCGGACTGGGAACGCATCATCATGACGGTGCGCCGCCGCCCCGCGGCCCCACGCGCCGCCAGCGCCGGCGCCAGCGCGCGCTTTGTGCAACCGCCGCCAAAGCGCGCACAGCCCCCGCACGCGCGGCCCCGACGCGCAGCGCGCGTTTTCGGCCTCTTGGTGACTCTGCCTTGCGGCTGGCTGTCTGCGCGTGTGCAGGATTTCGCGGTGTACGACGCCGAGGGCATGCTGGCGCCGCTCGAGCTCGTGCCCATGATCAAGAGCGAGCCGAACAACGTGCTCTTCCTGTCCGGCGCCATCCAGCGCGCGCGCGGCGAGGACGACTTCTACGGGCACGGCTTCGAGTGCGGCGAGGCCACGGACGGCGCCGGCGAGGTACGCGCCCCGCACGCGAACCAAACCACACGCGACTCACAACCAATCGAGAATCCACGTCTCCCGCCCACCCTCTCGAAACACACCAAACCGCTCCCCGCCCCCCCTGCAGGCCGGCGCGTCCGACGCCGGCGCGGGCCCGAGCGGCAGCGGCGGCATCGCGACGCGCATCTTCACCACGCCGATCCGCGAGTGGACCGTCGAGATCGGGATCGACCGCATCTACATCATCGCGCGCACCAACTGCGCCTGGTACCAGCTCAGCCGGCCGCTCCCGGAGTACGCGCGCATCATGGACGTCCCGGTCAAGGTCGCGCGCATCGGGAAGAAGCTCCTCGGCCTCGTGTGCGAGGCCCGCCGCGCGAGCTCCGTGTCCCTGCGTGCCGCGCGCGACGTCATTGCCGCGGAGAAGCCCGCGTCGTCGCTGCGCGTGTCGCCGGAGCCGGTCGTCGTCGAGCGCTTCCTCGTCGTGCACGGCGCGATCATCGCCGCGATCTTCTACTCGTACCCCGTCGAGGAGGTCCAGCGCTGCGCGCTGGTGAAGGAGCTGATCAACAGCATGAAGTACTGCCGGCACCACAAGGTGTTCGCGCGGCGCGGGGGGTACGACCCCGGGCTGACGGTGGAGAACCCGATGAAGCGGTGCCGCGGGGACGCGCGGCCGAAGCTCGCGCCGATGGAGGCGACCGCGACGCTGCTGGTGCGCAAGATCTGGCAGTCCTACTTCGACCGGCGCGCCAAGTACGACGCGAAGGGCAAGGCCGACATCGACCCGTACACGGGCAAGCGCTTCCTGTCCGCGAACGACCGCGCGGAGATCGAGCGCGGCGTGCACCCGTTCACCGGCAAGCCGTTTGCGTCCGACGCCGAGAAGCAGGAGCTGCTGTCAGGCACCGTGGACCGCCCCGCGGACGACGAGGACGGCGACGCGGGCGCGCCGGACGCCGAGGACGAGGACGGCGGCGACCTCGTGGAGCCGATGTTCGTCGCCGACCGCGCGCGCGCCAACAAGGGCGTGGCCTTCGTGGGCGAGGGCGAGGACATGGCGACGCGCGCGGGGACGCGGCGGGCGTACCGCGAGGCCACGCTGGGCGACGGCAAGGGCGCGGCGGCGCGGGTGAAGTGCGGGACGGCGGTGCGGTGCTGGGTGCGCGGGGAGGACGCGGACGGGCACGAGGAGTGGGAGGTCGTGCTGGGGCTCGTGCAGTGCATGTGGGCGCAAGCGCGGAGCGGGAAGGGGTCGCGTGGGCGCGCCGCGGCGGCCGCGGACGGCGACTTGCACATGGCGCAGCTGCGCGTGCTGCTGCCGGGCGCCGCGACGGTGCTGGGCGACACCGCGTCGTCGTTCGAGCTCTTCCTCGGGCAGGACACGGTCACCGTGTGCATGGTGCGCCGCCGCCGCTGTCGTGCTTGGCAGGGACGCTGACTGATGCCAGATCACGGGTCGTTCGTCTATCAACATATATGAAACGATGTGTCATGTTCGTTCGCGCGCTCACGGTCCGGCCCGCGGTGCACGCGCTCGCAGGACGACGGCACGGAGCGGCTCGACGTCGAGTGGGGCGACGGCCTCATCGGCGTGCGCCACCGCAAGCACCACAACGCCACGATGGAGCGCATGCAAGACGAGGCGCGCGAGCGGATCGCCGCGGGGCAGGAGCCGACGTACTACGTGTCGCGCGAGTACGTCGCGTCCGAGGGCATGTTCCGGGACCTCCCCGAGGACGTCGAGATGCGCCTGGGGGAGTATTGCGAGGCTGACGTGGTGCAGCCCATCACCGAGCTGTGGGAGGCGGCCCCGCGCACGCCCGGCCGCGCCGCCTTCACCGTCGTGCGCCCCAACGGCAAGCGCCAGGTCGTGCAGGAGGGGGACTTCGTCTACCTCGAGGTCGACGCCTTCGAGCCGCTCGAGTCGGCCAAGGACACCCGACAGCGGGCGTCGTACCCGCCACCCCCCCCGCCGGGCCAGGACGCCAAGGGCGCCGCCGCGAAGCCCCCTGCGCGCGAGCCGGCCAAGAAGGAGAAGAAGCCGAAGAAGGCGCCCGCGAAGAAGAAGGCCCCCGCGGCCCCCAAGGCCGCAAAGCCCAAGGCGGAGGCGACGCCGGCCCCCGCGCGGCCCCCGCGCGCGGCGCGGCCGGAGTCGCTGCGCGAGGAGGACACGGACACGTCCGGCGAGGGCTCCTCGGACGGCTCGCCCGGCCTGACGCGCGCCGGGCGGAAGCACCGCGCCCGCAAGGCGGCGGACCCCGACAGTGCCATGGACCTCGACGACGCGCCGCGGCGGCGCGCGGGCCCGCGGCGGCCGTTGGCGCGCAAGGACCTGCTCGAGAAGGGCTCGAACGAGGGCGTGCGGGCGTGGAACGTGGGCCGCGTGGACAAGGTGACGTTCGGCGGCGTGGCGGCGGGGTCCGGGGGGAAGAAGCTCGTGGCGCGGCTGACGGTGACGCGGCTGCTGCGGCCGGAGGACGTGGAGCACGACCTGGCGTACAAGATGGCGTACAACGAGCTGCTGTGGAGCGACGAGACCGCGGAGCTGGACCCGGAGGAGGTGCTGGGGGTGTGCTACGTGACCCCCCCGGACCGCGTGCCCGCGGAGCGGCACCCGGACCTGTTCGTGTGCGCGAAGAAGCACGTGAGCACGACGCTGGTCGCGGGCACGGGGCCCGGGACGGGCAAGCCGGCGAGGTACGAGCACGACTTGACGGAGGTGCCGGAACTCCCCCCCGTGGAGTTCATCGACGCGAAGGAGTGCCTGGTCCGGCCGGAGGACGTCCCCGCGGCGCAGCGGCTCAAGACGCTCGACATCTTCGCCGGCTGCGGCGGCCTGTCCGCGGGCTTCGACGCGTCGGGCGCCACGGAGACCAAGTGGGCGATCGAGTACGAGCGGTCGGCGGCCAAGGCCTTCGAGCGCAACTACCCGGACGCGACGATGTTCGCGGAGAACTGCAACGTCGTGCTGCTGCGCGCGATGGAGAAGGCCGGGTGCATGGACGAGTGCCACGCGCCGGAGCCCAACCGCAAGGCGGCGGAGGGGTTCCCGGCCGAGCTGGTCGACAAGCTGCCCAAGCCCGGGGAGGTGGACTTCGTGTGCGGCGGCCCGCCGTGCCAGGGGTACTCCGGGATGAACCGGTTCAACAAGGGGAACTGGTCGATGGTGCAGAACTCCATGATCATGTCCTACCTGTCCTACTGCGACTTCTACCGCCCGCGGTACTTCCTCCTCGAGAACGTGCGCAACTTCGTGACGCACAACAAGTCGCGCACCTTCCGCATGGTGCTGCGCACGCTCCTCGACATGGGCTACCAGGTCCGCTTCGGCGTGCTCAACGCGGGCAACTTCGGCGTCGCGCAGAGCCGCAAGCGCACCTTCATCTGGGCCTCGATGCCCCAGGAGCGCCTCCCGGACTGGCCCGCGCCCAAGCACGCGTTCCGGTCGCCGCAGCTCAAGATCACGCTCGGCCCCGACGGCGAGAGCTACTGCGCCATCCCCGACGTCCAGGGCGCGCCGTACCGCGCGGTGACGGTCCGCGACACCATCGGCGACCTGCCGCCCGTCGGCAACGGGCACAGCGACCCCGAGGACGCCGGGATGGACTACGGCGGGCCGCCCGTGAGCGACTTCCAGGCGGCGATCCGCGGGGAGTGTCCGCGGCTGTACGACCACGTGTCCAAGCAGATGAACGACCTGAACTACACGCGGTGCCGGCTTATCCCGAAGAACATGCCCGGCGCGGACTGGCGCGCGCTCGAGGTGTGGGCGGGGCGCGTGTCCGAGGACACGTGCGTCGACGAGGAGAAGAACAAGCACCCGATGGGGACCATCGTGCCGTGGTGCCTCGCGAACGACACGCGCCACCGCCACAACCAGTGGCGCGGGCTCTTCGGCCGCCTGGACTACTACGGCCACTTCCCCACCGCCGTGACGGACCCGCAGCCCATGGGCAAGGTCGGGCAGGTCTTCCACCCGGAGCAGGACCGCATCATCACCGTGCGCGAGTGCGCGCGCTCGCAGGGCTTCCCGGACACGTTCCGGTTCTACGGCGACGTGCACTCGCGGCACCGCCAGATCGGGAACGCCGTGCCCGTGCCGCTGGCGCGCTCGCTGGGCGAGCAGCTCTGCCGCGCGCTGACGCGCCGGAACTAGGCGCGGCCGCGCGAGGGCGGCGTGTAGGAGCGATAGCATGAGACGACGACACGTAGAGCGAGCGCGGACGACGGAGGTGGTGGCATGGTGGGTGTTTGCATGTGTCCGGCGCTGTGAGGAACGAGCGACGACGCGTAGAGGACGGGACGGACTGTGCGCGTCACCATGCGGAATGTGGGCCTCGGGGCACGCGCGGCGCCGTGCCGGAGTCCTCTCGGGGGACCCCCCCCGCGCTGCAACAGGCCCACGTGGGAAGCACGCGTGACGGCGTTCCAGCGTGTTTCAGCGGGGCGGACGTGCGTGCGCGACGGCGCGCGCCGCGTGGCCGCGCAGGCTTGGGCTGCGCGGGCCCGGCGTGTCCGCGGCGTGCTGAGTGACGCGCGGAGTGGCATCTCGCGCGCGCTCGGCGGGCTCACGCTCACGCTCGCTTACAGCTGCAGCACCTTGAAGGCCTGGATCTGCTCCTCGCCGCAGGCGCCCACGACGGTGACGGCGATGTCCTTGCCGTCGTCGAACGCCTCCTTGATCTCGCGCGCCAGCTTGTCGAGCGTGTCCGTGCCGCCGGGCAGGTTGAGGTCGTCCTTGGTCTCGCCGTTCTCCATGAGCAGCGAGAGCGTGCCGTCCTCCTCGACGTTGAGCACCTGGTACTCGTTGCGCGCCACGTTGGGCACGTCCATGTTGTCACCAGAGCCGTACGTCTCCTCAATCTTCTTGCCGGTGAAGATGTCCACGCCCACGAACATGCACTTCGCGGCGCCGTGCTTGCCGGTCTTCGCCGTCGACACGTCGGAGACCTTCACGGGGCGGCCCTTGAGCATCGCGAAGGCACCCTGCAGGAGGTGGGTGTGCGTGGGCGAGGGGCTGTGAGCGCGAAGCGGGGCGCGCGCACGCGGGACGTCGGGATTCGGCCGTGGGGGTAGTGTGGGGGGAGGTGCGGGATCGGCAGGCGCCGGCGACGGCCGCGCTGTCGTGGGAGCCGTCGACAGCTGCTGCGTGGGCCGCGTCGGTCGGAGCAGGAGGCGGGACGGCGCGGTGGCGCGACGTGGAATTCGTCTCTCGTGTGCCACGCGCGGGAAATCGAAAGCGTGGAGCGCGGCAGCGCCGGTCGGGCGTGCTTTGCTTGCGAGGCCGAGCGTGGCGCCCGAGAGGCGGCCGAGCCGTCGCGGCGCCCGCCCGAAATCCACCGTGGCCACCGTGGGCACGGCGCCCTGCCGCGGCGGGCCCTCGTCGCCCGAGTGGGCCAGGCCGAGCGGGCAAGACAATTTCGCGGCCACTGCTGCAGCGGGCGAAATACGTGCGCTCAACGGGGGGGCGGCACGAAGAACCGCGGAATTCTATCGCAAAGGAGCCGGGGCGCACGGCCTGCGGCCCCGTCGTCGCGCATTCTAGGGGCAGGGGACTGGGCTGCGGCGCGGCATCGAGCACCGTGAATGTGCGCCGGCGCGCCCCCGCGACGGCCGAGCGCGCACGCGAGGAGTGGCACGCTATCAGGATGTCCGAGCTCGGGGGCCGGTGCGCGCTGTGCCCGCGCACAGAGACGGGCTCACCTTGCGCACAGTCCCAGCCTGCTGCGGGATGGTGTGCGACGCCCCGGCGTCGGCGGACTCGAACTGCAAATCGACCTCGTCAGACATCTTGTAACCGTGCCGTCAGAAAGGGACCGAACCGCGCCCCTCGCGGCCCCCTTCTGCTGGCCGGATGGCCTGGCAGCGGGGCGTCGGGCGCCCGTGCGTCTCACCCGCGAATTGACCACCGCGGAGGCGAAAGCGCGCCCCGCCGCCTCGCCGCCACACCAGCAACATCGCCCCCGTGCCGCAGCGGAAGCCAACTGCACCTCACGCGCCGCGCCGCGCCGCGAGCCCCCTGCATGTGCAGGCCACACCCAGCGCCGCCGAGCCCGCGCCCGCCGCCGCGGTCCCCGCCCCGGGCCGCCCGAGCCTCCGCGGGCCCTACGCGCCGCCACCGGCCGCCTGCGCCGCCCCGCTCGACCGCGCCGACACCCCACGTGTGCATCACATCACGTCCCATGTGCTATCAGGGCCCCGCGTGGCCCCCGGGGCCGCGGCCCGCAGCTCCCTAGAGCTCGCCGAGCTTGATGAAGTCCGAGTCCTGCTCCACCGTGATCGCGCGAATGCCGTTGTTGTCGCACGTGTCCGTGCCGCGCGCCCCCGCCGCCGGCACCGGGAACTGGTCGATGACCGTCCGGGCGTAGTCGCGCACGCCGCAGTTCGTGTCTCGCGACGTGGGGTTCAGGGGGTCCACCTGCGAGCAGCGCGCGGGCGGGCGCAGCGGCGTGGGTCCGTGCACTGGCGCTACGCGACGCGCACAGCGGCCCGCGCGCGGCGGTTCGGGCGGCAGGGGGCACGTCGGGAGGGGGGCGGGGACGCACCAGCACCCGCCAGGGGAAGAGGCGCCAGTTGCCGCCCGTGCACGCGAGCGTGCCAACCTGCGTCTGCGTGTTGTCGGTCGACAGCACCTCGCAGTCCTCCGGCAGGTTGTACACCTTCCACTCGATGTTCCGCGCCGTCGCGCCGACGTGCGTCTGGACGTGGCGCTTGTAGAAGTCGCCGAAGAACCTGCGGGCGCAGTCGTGTGGGTGCGCAGGAGGCGCGTTGGCGGCGCGTGGCGTGCGCCGCGGGGTGCCTGGGCCGGCTGTTCGGGATGAGGGCAGAGGGCGCATGCTGGAGGGACGGGCGTTGTGGCGCGGGTCGCGTCCGCAGGGCCGTGCGGGCGCGCTGGGTGCTGGAGGGGCAGGGGGACGCACCGGTCCGGCATTGCGAGGTACTCGCGCTGGCGGATGACGGTCGCGGCTTCGAGGAAACCGACGTAGGTGAACGCGAGGCAGATGTACAGGATGATAACGGCGATGAAGAGCAGCAGCCAGTTCTTGTAGCTGATGGTGAAGCACAGAGGCTGGTCGTACCACTTGTCCGAGGCCGGCGCCGACTTCTGCGCGCACGAAAGAGCCAAGAGGGACGCGGCAGATGAGATCCGTCCGCACGAGACGCATGGCGGGGCGCGGGCGCCCCGGCGTCGACGTGGTGGCCTGGGCGGTGTGAAGCAGGGTCGCGGCCGCGGTGCGTCACCCGGGAGCCGCGGGGCCCGGACGCGCCGGGCGTGCGGTCGCTCGGGGGCAATGCAGGGCCGGCGTGACGTTCACGTCGGCACGCGCGGTGCTGGAGCGCAGGGGGGCTGCGAGCCGGCACAGGCAGTGTGATACGTGCCGCGCGCGACGCCCGCTCCGCGGCCACGGACGCGGGCCGCGCCCGGCTGGCGGAGACGGGGACTGCGAGCGCTGGGCGCGGCGCTGGGCGCCCGGCGAGGCGCGGGCGCTACCACAGCGCGCATGAAAAAGCAAGTGCGGGGCCGGCCTCGCCGGGGCCGGCGCGGCGAGATCTGCCTGCGCGCCCGACGTTGCCGGACGGGACGTTGCGCTGCGAGCCACGGCGCCGCGGAAATGCGCCGCAGCATCGGCGTCGAGCCCGCTGGGCGACCAGGTTCGGGTCGGAGCTCGGGCGCAGGCCGCGACGGGCCGCCTGCGGCGCCCCAGCGCGCGTTCGCGGCGAGGCAGCGGAGATTCCAGGGGAATTGCATCCACGTCCGCGGCGACTAACGGGACGGGGCGCCCAGGAAACGGCGCAGGCCGCGAGGGAGCATCGAGGGAGCACGAACGGGAAGCGCCACTCACGTCGTCGCCGACGGCCTTGTACTTGCCCGCCATTCCGGGTCCGCTACGCTGTTTTCTCGACACCCGCGCCGCGAGAAAACGTGCCCGCGCCCGCGCGCGGCGCCGGCAATGGCACCAGGGCTGCAGAGTTGACTCCAGGGACGACAGACTGCGTCCGACACCCCCGCCGACAGTCCTCCACCCCACGCCCCGCACGAGCAACGACCTGGCTCCCAGGCCACGCCGTTTCCGGCGCATCCACGCCCCGCAGCGCCGCGCTTTTCAACATCACCGCAGTCGGCGCCAGGCACGCCTCATCACCCGTGGTTCGACATCCCAACGGCCCGCCACCAGCGTCCCGCCCCCGCCCGTGTCCTGCGCCACGCAGCCCGCCAGACACGGCCTTCGCGGGGACAAACAAACACCAATCCCCCTCTCACAATCTCTTTTCGTGGTAGTCCTCCCCCGGCCCCGCCCGCCGCGGACCGCCCCGCCGCGCCGCCCGCCCCGCCGGCCCCTCAGCCTCCGGCCCGAACGCCCCCGCCGTCTGCAGGCTCAGCACCATCACCGCCCCAGCCAGAGTCAGACTCGCCGCGAACAAATAATTCGCGTTTCCGATGCCCATCTCCTCCCACCTGCGCGCCGCGGACACACCAGCGAGTCTCGACACAGCACGCAGCGCATCGCCCGCGCGCAGCGCACGCAGCGTCGCACGGCGTCGGGCACTCACGCGTATTGCGCTGCCGCCGCAAGCATCACCGCCCACGCCATCGCCGCGCCCGCGAACGCCGCCATCGGCACGCGCCGCGGCGCCGCGGCCATCGCGGGCCCCAGCGCCGCCAAGAACAGCGCGAGGTCCGCCAAACACGTCCCCGGCCCCGCCACCGCCGCCGCGCCCGCCGCCACCACCACCGCCACCAGCGGAGTCGAGCGCCCGTACCGCACCGTCGCCGCCAGCGACACCGCGACGGGGAACGCCGCAGTAAGCGTCCCGAACCACCGAGCGTCCCGCGCCCACAGCAGCGCCGACGCGTACCACCCGAGCGACAGGACCGGGTCGACCGTCGCCAGCGCGGGTGCCGCAGAGCCCGTCCAGGACGCCAGCGCGCCGCCCGCGACCCCCGCGGCGAGCCCGGACGCTGCGACGGACCCCGCGAGCGCCGCCCGCGCCTCGCCCGCGTACATCGCCGCCAGCGCGGGCAGCGGAGCGGCGAGCGCGGCGGTGGTGACCAGGCCACCCTGCACGACGAGCGCCCCCGCGGACGCGCTCGCGAAGAGGACCGCGCCGAGGTTGGCGTCGGGCTGCGAGAGCACCGCCGCGCCCGTGACGGCGCCGGCGGACGCAGCGAGCGACGGAAGCCCCGTGTGCGCTGAGAAGCCTGCGAGCGCACACGCGGCGACGGTCGGGAGCGGGAGGACGCCGGTGGACGAGCCGAGGACGTTCCGGGCGAGGCGCGTCGCGGAGGCGCAGAAGAGGACGAGCAGCGCGGCGGAGACCATCCACATAGCGCGCGCCGTGTGGTCGGTCCACGTGTGGAGGTGCGCGGGGCCGCACAGGGTCTGCGCGGCGGACACGACGTGCGCGATGGCCGCCGGCCCGACGTACGCCGCCGTGGCGCCGGGGTCGTGGCCCAGCTTCGAGAGCAGCGCGCCCTCGCGGACCCTGCGGGAGGCGCGGCAACAGAAAGGGGGGGGCGGGCGCGTCGAGCGGGGTCGATGCGGGACGATTCAGTCCTGCGCTGGTGGAGAACATCCATGCGCATCGTGTCGGAGGGGTCGGGAGCGGCGTGGCGCCGCGTCGGGCCCCGGCGGGGCTGTGATGAGTTGTGCCGCACCTGTGCGGCGTGCTCGCGGCGCTCGTCATCCAGGGCGACTCCGTGAGCAGGATCCGGCCCGTACGACCGAGAAGTCCGTGATCCGCGATCGCAAACACGCCCGCACCCACCAGCGCGGCCCCCAGGGCCTGGAGCGCAGCGCTCCGCCGGCCCTCCGCGGTCGCCATGGCTGCGCTAGCGCACTAGATCCCCGCAGTCCGACGCGACACTCAGACCATGGTACGGTGCAGCACGTGGGGCGACCCAGGCAGTCAATCCCGACGACGTGAAGCAGCTCTCAATGATCAATCAACCAGATGTCTGTTCCCCTGCCTATCTAGCAACACTTCTGGGAATATGCTCGCGGAAGAAAGAGAGTGGGATCGCACGGCGACAGTGGCGCCATTGGCACCGCAGCGGAAGTCTCGGGCCGCGAGTAGAACGACCGGGAGCCTCGCAGGGAGTCCAAAGGTAGAAGCGGTGGCTGAAGCGCGCTGCGAGGCGCGCGCGGGGTCGTGTGGCGGCGCGCCGGGCTACGGAGCGCAGTCAGAGCTCGCAGGAGCCAGGTTGCCTGGCGCCGACGCGTCGGGAAGCGAGGCGTTTGAGTTGGGCAGGCACAGCTCGCAGGGAGCGCGTCGCTCGCCCTGGCCGCCGCCCGGCAGCCGCGCCAGGATGGACCGCATCCTGCGCGCTTCGTACGGTGATAGGAATCAGCGAGACGAGAACAGGCGGCGCCATGTCCCCGACAGCGCCGCAGCGCTCGCTGCCATCGAGGTGAGCCTTCAGCAGGCCGTGGGCCGGCGCAGCGTGCCTCCCTCGCGCCCCGGCGACGCGACCCTGTCCGCAACACTCCAGAGCGACCTCGCGTGCTGCAGACTTCGCACCCGCGGCCCGCCGCCGGACGCATCGGCAGCTCTGAGCACACACGGCTTTTTCCTGCGCCCAGGCCCGCTACGAAGCCGCGCATGCGAGCTGCGCCTCCGCATCACCACGTCTCACGGTCGCGTGCGTTTGCGATGCTCGCAGCGCGTCAAGGAGCGCAAGGCGGCTCTGGCGGGCAACGCGTTCCCGGAACCGCCACCCGTCAACCCCGTCTACCGCCCCCCTTTCTGGAATAGCAAGGTCTACGGGCCCCCGAAGGGCGACTGGGACCGTAAACACGAAGTCCGGGTCGCGTACGAGCGCCCGTTCCCGCCCGAGGCGCCCAGCGGGGAGATTCGAGCTCCGCGGAAGGCGTTCGTTGGACCTCCGCGGGTGGCTGCGGGCGGGGCCGTGCCTGGCCTTGACCCGCCGAAGCCTAGACACGCCGAGCGGCAGGGCGCGCCGCCGCACGCGCCGCCCGAGCCGGCCAGGGGCGCCGCGCGACGCGGCCCTCACCACGCGCACGGAGCCGCGCCGGCCCCGCCGCCCTACGTCAAGGACCTGCGGAAGCTCCAGGTACGCCGGGGCGAGCGCGCCCCGTCCTGCGCGCTCCCGCACCTGCCCGCAGGACCGCGCTGCCAGCGTCACAAACGCCCTCATTGCGGTGTGGGAGTTGCCGCGCTCCAGGCCTGACGTGGCCGCTTTTGCCGCCCCGCGCGACGCAGGCCGCGGTGGCGCCGCTGGAGGAGAAGATGCGCAAGCAGGTCAAGGCCCGCACGGGCATCCACCAGAGGCCCGAGGACATCCTGGTGCGCGCGTTCTGCAAGGCCACGGGCCGGGAGGGGGTGTCCGCGGGGGACCCGCGGTTCCGCGTGACGACTGCGGAGTTCCGGCGCGCGTGGCGGTACCTCGGCGTCGAGGTGACCGAGGACGCGGCCGCGGCGATGTTCAACCACCACGGACAGGACCCCTCAGGGCGCATGCCGGTCGCCGTCTTCAGCGACGCGCTCCTGGTCGGCGCGGCGCGGCTCCTCGGCCGCCTCGACAGCGTCATGCCGGGGCCCTACCGACGGGGGGGGGACTTGAGCCACCGCGGCGCCATCAAGTACCCCCAGTGCCGCAAACCAGTGTTCCCGCCGACGACGTGGGACCCGAAGGACGCGGAGCCGTCGCTCCGGGCGCCGGACGTGCGGCTGGAGCTGGAGTGGGTGCACGGGTACGAGGGGAAGCGCAACACGTGTCCAAACGTGTTCTACCTTGCGTCGGGCGAGGTGGCCTTCAACGCGGCGGCGCTGGGCGTGGTGTACGACCCGCGCTCGCACACGCAGCGGTTCTTCACCGGGCACGACGACGACGTCACGTCGATCGCGGTGCACCCGGACGGCGCCACCGTCGCCACGGGCCAGGTGGGCGCCGAGCCCGTGGTCAAGGTGTGGGACTCCAAGACGATGCGCGAGCTCGCGACGCTCAAGCACGCGTACGGCAACCGCGGCATCACGTCCCTGGCGTTCAGCCCGGACGGCGAGCTGCTCGCGACGGTCTCCACGGACAACCCTCACACTTTGGGAATCTGGGACTGGCGGCGCGGGAAGCTGTTGACGGAGCGCAAGACCGCGCCCGGCGCGCCGCCGTCGACGTACGGCGTGGTGTGGTGTCCCGCGGAGGGCGTGTCGCGGCCGGGCCCCGTGGCGCGGAAGGCGGCCGCGGCGGGGCTGATGGAGCACACCCCCCCCGCGTACCGGCTGGCCACGTACGGCGTCAACAGCCTGAAGATCTTCGAGCTGTCGCGACAGGGCGCGGGGAAGAACGCGCCGCTCGACTTCACGCGGGGCGAGGCCGGGGTGTTCGGGAAGGTCAAGACGCACACCATCACGGCCGCGGCGTTCCTGCGCACGGGGGAGCTCGTGACCGGGAACGGGAACGGGCGGATCTGCACGTGGCGCGGCGCGAACTGCGTGGCCGCGGCGCCCGCGCACGACATCGGCCCCGAGACGCACCGCCCGGACGGGAAGCTCGCGCGGTTCGGGGTGCGCGCGCTGGTGGTGCGCCGCGACGGCACGCTGCTCTCCGGGGGCGCCGACGGCGTCGTGCGCGCGTGGGACGTCTCGACGGGGGCCCTCGGGAAGTGCCTGTGGAAGCTGCCGCTTCTGCCAGACGCGCAGCAGACCGGCGCGGTGCCCTCGCCGATCCGCGCGCTGGACGCGTCGCCCGACGGGAGCCACACGTTCGTCGCCGGCACGTGGCGGTGCGAGGTCTGGGAGGTCGACAAGGACCCCGAGGTGCTCGTGATGGGCCACCAGGCCGACCTGTACGGCGTCGCGACGCACCCGACGGACCCGCGCGTGTTCGCGACGTTCCAGGAGTCGGACCGGGTGCTGGTGTGGGACGCCGAGGGGCGCCGCGTGGCGCGGGCGTTCGCGATGGGGCAGGGGAACCGCACGCGGTCCGGGGCGTTCTCGCCCGACGGGCGGCTGCTGGCCGTCGGGCTCAAGAACGGCGGCGTGAAGGTGCTGACGGTGGCGGGGCGCCGCGCGGAGCAGGTGTTCTGGGCCAAGACGTTTGAGAGCGCGGTGGACGTGCTGGCGTGGTCGCCGGACGGCACGCTGCTGGCGGCGGGCTCGCACGACCAGGCGATCGACGTGTTCCGCCTCGCGGAGGTCGCGCCGGGGGCGTGGGAGGGGAAGCGCACGGTGCGGTGCGTGGGGCACTCGTCCACGATCACGCACATGGATTTCTCCGTGGACGGGACGCTGCTGATGAGCAACGACCAGGCGTACGAGCTGCTGTACTTCGACGTGCGCACGGGGCGGCAGGTCGCGACCAACCAGCGCGACACAGCATGGAGGACGTACACGGGCGTCTTGGGGTTCCCCGTGATGGGGATCTGGCCGCCGGACTCGGACGGCACGGACATCAACGCGCTGGACCGCGCGCCGTCGGGGCGGTTCCTGGCCACGTCGGACGACTCGGGCTTCGTCAAGTTGTTCAACTGGCCGGCAGTGTACAAGAGGGCGGAGCACGAGGCGTACGCGGGGCACGCGAGCCACGTGATGGACGTGCGGTGGGCGTGCGACGAGTCCCGCGTGTTCAGCGCGGGCGGCAAGGACCTGTGCGCGATGCAGTGGCGGGTCATGCCCCGAAAGCCCGCGGTGGCGCAGTATCAAGTGCGGGCGCCGTGGGGCGACAGATAGACCGCTCAAGTATGTGATACGGCATGAAGAGAGCGCGCCGGTGGCCGACAGGGCGCGCGGTGCGATGTACGCAGGCTGACAGAGCGGTGCAGGGGCTGTTACGGTGCGAGTGGGCATGACGCAGGGGGGCAGCGAGCGCCGTCTCACGGCGTTCAGTGAGAGCCGCATCGCGTGGTGCGCGGTGACGTCGCTGCTGCTGGCGACGGACCAGCTTGGACACCTGACAGGTGGTGGATTCTACGTTCAGAGCTGTGTGCGAGCGTTGTGGTGCGTTCAGGAATGTCAGCCGCGGCAGGAGTGAAGCGCAGGCTCGCCCGGTTCGCTCGCAGCAGTGGTGGCAGGCAGCCTGGGAGGTGTCCGGCATGGTGCTCTCAAAGTAGCGACTCTGAGTCGTCGAATTGTCACGCCTCCGGGGGACTTCGGAGCACACATCACACTGCGCCGCTGCGATGGCGTGCGGCAGCTCGATCTTTCCAGGCCTTGACGAGCGAGGCGCAGCAACGTCGCCACGTGCGTGCTCCGCTGCAGCGCCACGCCACTGCCTTGCAATGATGACCTCGTCGTTTCTCGGGATTCACGATATCACGCGCGTCCCGTGCCCTCCGTTCACGAAAAGGGGATGTTCCGCTTGTACATGGGCAGCTTGATGCCCCGCGACTCCCTGCGGTTGCGCATTCCCGGCACTGCATTTGGCGACACGTTCTCGCTGTTCTCCGACTCGTTCGGCGTCCGCGCGACCCTCTCGTTCGGCGCCGACTGCCGGAACCCGGCGATGAAGCTGCGGATGTCGTCCGTCGCGGCCTTGAACTCATCGATGGCGTTCTGCGTGCCGGCCATCGACATCCGATTCGCGTGCTTCGACATCCCCGGGACGAACGACGCTCGCCGCGCCTTCGCCGCGCTCACGCCCGACGACGTCCCCGGGCGCTGCGGCAACCCGCCAACCGATCCGCGCCGCGCACGTGCCCCCGAGACCTGCGGCGGTGGCCCGGGCCCAACGTTGGGCTGCAACCCCGCCGTCGACCCGCGCTTCGCCCGCATCATCGCCGGCGCGGTCTCGTACGTCCCTGCCGCGACGAAGTCCGAGGCCCCGAGCGCCCCCGGCTGCGGCGGCCGCCGCGCCTGCGCCCCTGCCGCTGCCACGGGCGGCGGACCCATCGTCGAGCACCCCACCGCGGACGAGCGCCGCGCGCGCGCGCCTGCAGCGGCCGGCGACGCCACGGTCGGCGAGGCCTCTTGCGACGAGTACACGGGCTCGTTCGAGAACCGCACCGTGTGGCCGTGCGCTGTCCCGCTGGGCGACGCGGCCTGCGCCTTGGCGCGGTGGCTCGAGGCCTCGGCGCTCCCGGACAGCTCCTCGGGGTTCTCGAGCACCTCGCGCACGCACCGCACCAGCGCGGACGCCACCATGGTGTGCGCGCGCCACTCCTTGAACTCGGCCAGCGAGAACGGCACGCCCGACCCCTTCGTGACCTTGTCGACCACCTCCTTGGCCTCGCGCTCCTCGTACCCGATCTCCATCAGCCCCATGAGGATCTCCCGCGCCGGCAGCATCCCCTTCGACCCCTTGTCGTGTTTCGCAAACACTGACTCCACGTCCTCGAGGAGGCGCCGCGTGACCGTCTCGCGCTCGTCGCGGGCCTTGACCATGTGCAGCAGCGCGTCGATCTCGTTCTGCCCCGCCCCCGGGTACAGCAGCGCCAGCAGCTGCCGGAAGGTGATGAAGCCGTTGTCGTTCGGGTCCATGGTGTGGAACAGCGACGCCGCCTGGCGCGAGAGGTGCGGCGCGCGCTTCGAGAGAAACGACTTGAAGTCCGGGAGCGACATGTGTCCGCGGTGCGTCCGGTCCGCCTCGTCGAACAGCTGCTGTATTTTCCGCACCGAGGACTGGCGGACGATGCCGAGCCGGAACACGTCGTGCCCGCCCATGGCGTTCATCGCCGCGGAGCCCCTGACCCACATGTACTCCTCCTTGCCGATTCCTTGCAGTTTCGCCGGCGTGGACGCCATCATGTGGTCCCCCGGGCGCGCCCCCGCCGTCACGTCCTTGCGGATGTCGCGGTCGACCATGTCGTCGACGCTGGAGACCGCCGGCTGGTCCGCCATCGCCTGCTTGTCCACGATGGCCAGGCCGGCCAGCCCCGCGGCGGCGTCGCCCACGAGCTGGTGCGCGGGGTGAAGGAACGCCTCCAGGCCGTGCGCGGCGATGTCTCTGAGCCGCTGGATGATGACCTCGGGCTTGTAGCGCTCCTGGCCGACGTTGAAGATCTCTTGCAGGATTCGTTCCTGCGCGGGGCGCGGGCGGTGCGTGTGTGGGCGGGTGGCAGGAGGTTTGGCCGGCTGGCGGCGCACACGCGCGCTCGCGTCCGCCGCACGGGCGCTCCTGCGGGCCCCTGCTGTCATGCGGGTGCGCGGGCGCATCGGCGAGGCTCCTGTGCCGCGTGGGGACGACGGAGCAGGGACTCGAGGGCAATGTTGCGCAGGATCGCACCTCGCGCTTCGAGAAGGGGGTCTCGGCATCTCGGAGGAGAGCGAAGAAATCCTCGTGAGCAAGGAGCCCCGAGGTGCGATCAGCGGACTCCGTTAGAATCCCCGCAGCGGTCGCCAGGGCGGTTTCCTGCAAGACAGAGACTTCGCCATGCAAGTTCTCCCGGTGCACGCAGCCAACGCGCTTACGAGGTCATCCGGGCGCAAGCTCACTTCTAACACGACGCAGCGGTGCGGACGAGCCCCGAGCAGAAGGCTTGCTGCGACGCAGGGGCGTGGACTTGAGACAGGAAGGCAGCCCCCGAACAGCAAAGGCGAGGTGGGTGGCGCCCCGTTCGGCCCGATAGATTGGAGCGTTTTGCTGGTCGGAGGGCGTGCGTGTCGGAGTCCCGCTGCGCGGGCGCACCCACGCGCGGTGCGGGGGATGCGTGGTAGCTGGCGGGAGGGATAGCGAACCTTTCTCCGCCTGATCTCCTCGCGCGCCCTGACGCCCACGGAGACCTTCGACTGCGCGTCGTACAGCTTCTTCGCGTTCCTGCGCAGCACGAGCCGGCCGCACGACCGTTTCGCGCCCGCTCGTGATGCCTGGTCGTTGACACGAGCCTCGTGGGAAAAGCGGACCGCACGCGCGGGCGCGCCGCTCCGGAACCACGCCGACACGCACGCAGCGCTGCGGACAGGCGGCGCTGGCGCGGATTTCCGCCGCCAGCCCCGTGGCAGGCGATGCGGCCTGCAAGAGGAGTGGGCTCACTTCACGGCGCTGAGCTCGTCCGGGTCGACGCTGTTGTCCTCGGCGGTGATTTCCGCGAGCAGTGCGTTGAGCTGCGCCTCCAGGCTCGCGCCCTTCTTCGTGTTCGCCGGCGCAGTGACGGGGCGATCGCCCCCCGCCTGGCTGGTCGCCATCATCCCACCCCGTGCCGACGTCCAGTCGAACTCAAACCTCAATCTAACCGGAACGGCAGTACACTTGACCTACTACCTTCCGACGGCGCGCAACCCCGCGCCGTCCAAGAGACACTCGGGCCCGGCAGAGCTCACTGAGCTCAGCTCTTGATCACTGAGCCTCACTCGCGCGGCTGCGAACGCCCATGAAAACCTCAACTAAGGCGGCTCACGCGTTCGCCCGATCGACGAGATGTACCTTGACGCAACTCCACTGCCTCCGCCGCGCCGAACGGGCGCACTTGAAGCCCACAGCAGCGCCAGAACACCGACGGTGACCTATTGATTACTATTTATTTCATATTTCACTATTATACTTGATAGAGGTAGACAGGACCCGACTCGATCGCTGCTGGCGGGCAGCCGGGCGACCGCGGCAGACTCCGCCGCCGCGACGTGCGTCACCGGGCGCGGGGGAGCGCCGGCGCAGCGTCGCGAGCTGTTCTGCGCCGCCCTCTGCTGCAGCCGTGTGGGCCAACCACGGAGGCGAACCAAAGCGCTCAGCGCGGGCCTCTGTTTCGGTCGAGATCCGGCAGGGATCGACGCATGGCGGGCAACGCGAGTCCACCACTTCGTCACACCGGGGCCAGGCGCACTGCGCTGGCAGCGACGTAGCAGCAACATCGCAGCGCGCCGTGAGCCCGTCGAGGGAGGGAGAGCGGCCCCCGTTCGCGTGTTCGACGGGCCGCGCCCAGGCGTGTGAGGGGGGGTGTGTGCAAGATAGGGGAGGGGTCGGGCGGGGCAGTCGGGGCGTGCGGGTGATGAGGAATGCTCGCACGGAGGTGAGGGGCGACCCCGGTCGTGGAGAGGGGGTTGAAGGCGGCGAACCCTCCGTGGCCCCACCATGGGGCGCCACGTCAGGACAACGTCCGTGCGTCGAGTCGAGGGGGGGTGAGGGGGTGGTGGCAGTCAGGCTGGGCAAGGACGAGGAGAGGCAGCGAGTGGGCAGCACGCTCGTGGCAACGGCGGTAGATGTCGCTGCTGCTTGGACGCTGGCGGCTGCTGTGCAGCGATGTCGTCAACGCCACGTCTAGCGGCTGCTGTCCCGCCTGGGCGGTCCGGTCACTGCGGCCCCGGTCTTTCGCGCCCACGGTGCCGGGCGATCGCTAGGCGGCCACGTAAGCAAGCTCGCGGCACCCCACGAGACGGGTGAGAAGCGCCGTGGCGCGCTCGCGCCGACGTGCAGTGGTGGGAAGAGACGAGCAAAACGCTCGCAGGGCTACTTGCGAGTGGTGTTGGCGGCTGGGCCAACGGCCCGGATGCGGTGCGCCGTCTGTGTGGGGGGAATGAGTTCGCACCGGGCGGCCGGGGGCGGCGCAGGGAGTGTGTTGTTGCTGTGCCGAGTGTCAGTTGGGGATTTTTGAGTGCTCGCGACACCCAGGCCAATGAGTGCGACCAGTGCTGCTGACGGCGCGGGACCGGTATCGCTCAGGCAGGGATCGTGTGAGGGTCTTGTGCGAAGGTAAGAGGGCGCGCTGTGTTGGGGGAGGGGGAGTTCGTGCGAAGTCAGCTGTCAGCGTGATGTGCGAGGGGGAGGGGAGTTCATGCTCGCTGACAGCAGGGTCGACCCCGGGATTCTTCGGGCGACAGGGGGGGGATCTGGGCAACGGTGGCTGCAGTTGGATGAGTGTGCGGTACTAAGCGCCATCCGTACGGGGGGGAGCTAGTCGATGAGCGAGCCCGAGCCATCTCGGGTGGACGGCAGCTCGGCCGCGCTGGGGGAAAGGCGGCGACGACGGAAAAAGCGTGGCGCGGGCTTGCCGGTGCAGGCAGTCGCCGCTGTGTGCAAGCGGCGTCGGTGTGAACATGACGAGAGTCCGGGACTCGCGCAGCCAGAGAGTTTTGACAGCAACGGACGCAGCCGCCGAGGTGACTGCCGTGGCGGAGCGCCGTCGTGCTCTCATCGTTGGTCAGACATCTCTGCAGGTCGCCGGGTCTCTCGTCGGGGAAGTGGGGGGGTTGAGGGGGGGTCTGGGCGAGTGGGTGGGGACAGTGTGCACGGCCGCCGGGCCTGGAACAGACCGGGGCGGGGAGGGGGGTCAGGGGTGGAAAAGATGCCGACGCGCGATGCGCACGCGATGTTCGGGCGTTGCGTTCAGCGGGGTGGGATCGGTTCAGGCGGTGGCGCTCAGCTCTCAGGGTCGGGACGGAAGCTCGGCCCGGCCTGATCGAATGAGCCGCCCTCCTGCGGCGGCTGCGGCGGCTGCTGCGGCTGCTGCGGGTGCTGTGGCGTGCCGCTGGCGGCGGCAGCGGCAACGTACGGGTCGCCGATGCCGCCCACGTAGCCCGGGAACGGCCCGCCGTACAGTCCGCCCTGGGCGCCGTACATCCCCGCGGGTCCAGGCACGGCGCCGCTCGCAGCCAGCGCGTCATAGCTCGCCATGTCGACGCCGCCAGCAGCCCCGGCGCCGGCCGCGCCCACGGTGCGGGCGATGGCGGCGCCCACTTGGATCGGGAGGACGGGGAACGTCACCGTGCCGGCGAGGGCGGGGTTGTCGCGCCGCCAGAGCTCGAAGTAGTGCAAGATCAGCACTTGTGCCTTGAGGAGCGCGTCGCTGTCACCGCGGAGCTCGACGGCGCGGAACTGCGCCGCGGGGGATTCCTGTGCGTGGATGCGCACGAAGCAGCCCGTCGCGCGGATGCGCTTCGCGTTGTTGCCCCCCGCGCCGATCAGCGCCCCTGCGGCGGCCATCGGCACTTCGAAGTCGAGGCCGTCCGGCGCGATCTGGACCGCGGGCGCCGCCTTGCCGCCGCCGGCAAGCACCGGGCCGCGCGCGGCCGCCAGCGAGCCGAACGAGGCGTTGTGCGGCGGGACCGACGACATGTGCGGGGCCAACCCGCTGGCGGGGGAGCCCGGAAGGCCGACGTGCGGCGGTGGGACGCCGTACGCCGCGTTCGGGGCCAGCGCGCCGGTCTGGGAGGCGATCAGGCTGTTGATGTGCATGATGGCCATCGCGCGCACGGCGTTGTCGTCTCGCACGGGCGACGCGCGCAGCTTGCCCACGACGGCCTCGAACGCTGCAGGGGGCGCGGTGGCGGGCGCGCGGCGCGTTCGATGCGGCGGCGCGGCGCGCGCGGGGGCGTCGCACGGCTATGCAGCGGCGGTGCGGGGGCGCGGGCGGGGCCGAGGCGGGCGGATTCCGCGTTTTCTGAAGGAGTGGTGGTGGAGGGCGCACACCTCGGGCAGCCGCGTCGCGGGGCCCGAAGATGGCGACCATGCGGTCGACGGGCAGCGCGCAGGCGGGGAGGTCGTTGCCGTGGAACACGCGGATCTGCGTGTCGGTCTCCTCGCGCAGCCGCGTGATCTCTTCGCCCCCGCGGCCAATGAGGGTCCCCGCCTGGGAGTTGTGGACCAATGTCTTCACCTCAAGCAGCGCTCCGGGCTCGCGCGTCCGCTCGTCGGCCTCCAGCCACTGCGAGCCACGGGGTGCGCGGCGTGCGCATGTCAGCGGGCGCGCGCACAGCGGGGGCGGCGCATGGGTGCCCCCTGAGAGGTAAACGGCTCGCCGGACGTAATCCGTGAAGGAATCGCCGGTGCGGGCCGGCACGACGGCAGCCGTACTAGCGAGGCGTCGGAAGGCGGCGAGAAAGGCCGCCGCGGGGGCGGGTGGGGGAGGCAAGCGCTGCCGTGCCCCACAGGCACGTGTGTGGCCGCGAGCTGCGCGGGGGCGGCCCGCAGAGGCGCGTTGCGGGTCGCATCATGTAGGCATGGGTGCTGCGCGGACTCACGTTTGAAAAAACTCGCATCATCGCCTCTTTGGCGGGGCAGATCGGGCTTGTGGGGTCTGGATCCTCGCTCGATATGCACACGACGCGCTCGGGGCAGCCCGGGATGTTGTCCGTGACCCGTATCTTGGCGCCAGTGGTATTCCGGAGCTCCTCGATGACGCTGCCGCCTTTTCCGATCACCGCGCCGACCCTCGCCGTGGGAATGACCAGCCTCAGCACACACTCGACCACCTCGCCCGCTCCGGGCTCGGCTTGGAGCTCCGACGCGCCAAGCTCGTCCTGCGAGACAGAGAGGCCCTCGTCTTGCCCCGCCGCAGCCTCGCCTGCCGCGGCACCATGCCCCTCGGAGCCCATTAGAAATGGCGTTGGAGGCTTTCCGTGTGCCCCGCTGGCGCCTCGATTCCGGCAGCGCGGGCTCCCTCCGGCCAGAGAGAAACGGAGTCGACTCGCAAGCGGGGCCGGGGACGCTCAAAATCCCCAGCGGCGTGGGCGTTTCCGCCAGACACGGGGCCGGCACGATTCGACCGCCGCTACCGGGGCCACCGCGCGCCAAAGACCCCGTCGCGAGCTTGTGTGGCTGCGTAGACTTAACATGACCGCGGCGGCGGCGGCCCCTGTACGCCGCAACGCGCCCACCGGCAGAACGCGCGCAGGGGGACCTGGCCTGACCCTGCCTGGCATCTGGGGCTGCGGTGCAGGGCGGCCCACGCCCCGCGACGGGCCCATGTAGGCCGCGTCGCCGCGCCCGCGCCCGCAAATCGCTTCTTCACCCAGGAGCGGCGTTGTTGAGACCAGGCACGGCCTCGCGCAACCTCCGTTCCCCGTGCTCGGAGGGAGCCAACATGATCGTGGCCCCCACCGCCAGCGCGCGGCCCGCGGCCGGCCGCGTCGCCAGCGTGAAGGCGCCGTCTGCACGCCGCGTCGCCCCCGCGCGTCAGCAAGGTGCGTCCCGGGAGAACGCGCCCTCGACACCGCCTGCGCTCGGCTCCCCTCGCAGCCCCTCGTCGTGCGACCTGCCGCGAATTCGGGCACGCCTCGAGCTCGAGGCGGCCCGTTCGAGCGGCCTCGGCCGCTCGACGCGCAGTCAACACCCACCGCGGGTCCCGATGCTGCGGGGCCCCTGCTCTTTGCTCGAGCCGTCCGCGCGTGCCCGCCGACGCTTTGGCGACCCGTCCCGGCCGTTTTCCCGGCTCGACAACTGCGAGAAATCCCGATCCTGCCCGCTTCGATCCTCTCTCCGCGGCCGCAGCGCACCTCGCGCGCAACTGTTGCCCGCTTCGCACCGTGTCGCGCCCTCCCGGCGCGCACGCCGCACGCCCAGCCCGCACGCCCCTCCAACCACCTTCTCCACGACCTCGCCCGGCTCCAAGATGCACAGATCGCCCGTTCTCGCGCCCACCCGGGCCGTGTTTGCGCCTAGAGCGCCCATCCTATTACCCTGAGCATCCCCGGCCCGCGTGCCACGCGCCGGCCCCGTCCGACGCACGCAGCCGCGGCCCCGCCTTTGCACGGGATCCAGCTCTCCGCGCGCGCGCCTTCGGCCCGTGCGCCGGCGCGCGGGCCTCCCCACGAGCCCACGTCCCCTCGCGGACAAGGGTCGCCGCGTGCGTGCCATTTCCGCCCGATTTCCGCGCCCCCTGCCCCCGCGCCGCGTGGCCCCGCGCTCGGACCGTGCGCTGCGCGCAGCAATCAGCGCATCGCACCGCGACGCGCCGCGCTACCCGCCCCCCAGGGCATCGCGTCCGCTCACCCGCGCCCTGGCTCCCCCTCCGCCGCCTCGCAGCCCGCGACCTGCGCGCGCGCTCGTCGAATGACCCCATCGACACCCTCAAGGCCGAGAACGAGCTCATCAAGAAGACCCTCGAGGAGGTGCGCCCCGGCGCCGCGCCACCCCCGCGCCGTGCTCCTGCGCCCCCGTCCGCGCCGGCGCCGCCGTCGGGCGCCGCCCCGCGTTCCCCGCATCGCCACGCGTGCCGTCCGCGCGTGCGCCGCCGCCCGTGTCGCATCGCCCGCGCGAGCCGACACATCGACGACGAACCCCCATGCCGTCCGTGCGTGCGCCCGCCCGCGCGCCCCGCGATCCGGCTCCCACCCGCCCGCCCCGCGCCCCGCCGTCCGCAGGCGCGCAGCTCCGTGAAGGTCCTGGAGCAGGAGGTCGGGGACTCGGTGGCCATCGCGGCGGAGAACCTGAACGCGTCGGATGCCGCGCCGGAGGACATCTGGGCGCCGTCGCGGTCCAAGGGCCCGCTGACGCCGATGAAGGACGCGTACGGGCAGATCGAGCCGGTGCCGGGGCACGACGGGACGGAGTGCATCAAGTGGGACGACACGCTCTGGTCGCACGCGGGCCACTTCCGGTACCGCTGGGACGTGTACAAGGGCGTGCGGCACGGGATCGAGGCGAACGAGGGCGGGTTCGAGAAGTTCTCGCGCGCGTACGAGTTCTACGGGCTGAACCGCGGCACGCACGAGGGCAAGACGGGCCTGTGGTACCGGGAGTGGGCGCCCGGCGCCAAGGCGGTGGCGCTGATCGGCGAGTTCAACAACTGGGAGCCGCGCGACACGGACTGGGCGTTCAAGAACGAGTTCGGCACGTGGGAGCTCTTCCTGCCGGACAACCCCGACGGGACGCCGCAGGTGTGGCACCGGTGCAAGGTCAAGGCGCGCGTCGAGCAGTGCTCGGGCGCGTGGGTGGACCGCATCCCGGCGTACATCAAGTGGGCGACGCAGGACGACGGCGAGATCCTCTTCAACGGCGTGCACTGGGAGCCCTCGGAGGAGGGCAAGCCGGGCGAGGCGGACCCGGACAAGAAGTACGTCTTTGCGCACCCGCGCCCGGAGAAGCCGCGCTCGCTGCGCATCTACGAGTGCCACGTCGGCATGTCGTCCGAGGAGCCCAAGGTCAACTCGTACACGGAGTTCCGCGAGAACGTCCTCCCGCGCATCCGCAAGCTTGGGTACAACGCCATCCAGATCATGGCCATCCAGGAGCACGCCTACTACGGGTCGTTCGGGTACCACGTGACGAACTTCTTCGCGCCGTCGTCGCGGTGCGGGACGCCCGAGGAGCTCAAGGCGCTCATCGACGAGGCGCACAAGTACGGCATCACGGTGCTGATGGACATTGTGCACTCGCACGCGTCGAAGAACGAGAACGACGGGCTGAGCAACTGGGACGGCACGGACCACTTCTACTTCCACTCGGGCGGCCGCGGGTACCACTGGGTGTGGGACTCGCGCTGCTTCAACTACTCGAACTGGGAGACGCTGCGCTTCCTGCTCTCCAACGCGCGGTACTGGATGGAGGAGTTCAAGTTCGACGGGTTCCGGTTCGACGGCGTGACGTCGATGCTGTACACGCACCACGGCCTCGGCGTCGGCTTCACGGGCAACTACGACGAGTACTTCGGCATGGCGACGGACGGCGACGCCGTGGTGTACCTGATGCTGGTCAACACGATGGTCAAGGGGCTGTACCCGAACGCGGTGACGGTCGGCGAGGACGTGTCGGGCATGCCGAGCTTCTGCCGGCCGTGGCAGGAGGGCGGCGTCGGGTTCGACTACCGCCTGAACATGGCGGCGCCCGACATGTGGATCGAGACGATGCAGACGGACGACTGGAACTGGGGCATGGGCCACATCACCTTCACGCTCACCAACCGCCGGTACGCCGAGGCCGTCGTCGGGTACGCCGAGTCGCACGACCAGGCGCTCGTCGGCGACAAGACGCTGGCCTTTTGGCTGATGGACGCCGACATGTACGACTACATGGCGGCGCCCGGGTTCGGCGACTCGAGCCCCGCGGTCGACCGCGGCCTCGCGCTGCACAAGATGATCCGCATGATCACCATGTGCCTCGGCGGCGAGGGCTACCTCAACTTCATGGGCAACGAGTTCGGCCACCCCGAGTGGATCGACTTCCCGCGCGTGTCCTTCACGGACCCGTCGACGGGCAAGTTCGTGCCGGGCAACGGCGGGTCGTTCCACCTGTGCCGCCGCCGGTGGGACCTCGTCGACGCGGGCTACCTCAAGTACCAGTTCTTCAACAACTGGGACCGCGCGATGCAGCACCTCGACAAGGCGTTCGGGTTCATGACCGCGCCGCACACGTGGATCTCGCGCAAGGACGAGGGCGACAAGATGGTCGTCATCGAGCGCGGCGACCTCGTGTTCGTCTTCAACTTCCACCCCGTCAACAGCTACACCGACTACCGCGTGGGCTGCTTCCACGAGGGGCCGTACAAGATGGTGCTCTCGACGGACGAGGAGGTCTTCGGCGGGTTCCAGAACGTCACCGCCGCCAACGGGCCGGAGTTCCACACCATGTCGGGCGACTACGACAACCGCCCCAACTCGTTCCAGGTGTACGCGCCCTCGCGGACGTGCACCGTGTACGCGCCGGCCGAGTGGGTCGACGCCAAGGACTCGGTGCCGGGCCTGTACGTCAAGGGCCTCGGACCCTACCCGGCCATCCCGTAAGCGAGCCGCGCCTGCGCCTCGCTGCTGCCCCGCCAACCCCCCCGCCCTTCTTTCTGTTAGTTGGATAGCCGCCCCGAACTCGGGCCGTGTAAATCTACCCCGGAAACTCCGGCGCGGGTCCCGCAACGCGCGCGGCGAGCGGCGACGCTGACTGCGCGGCGTCAGGCGTGCGTGTGTGTGCGTGCGGGGGGGCCGCACCGGCGGCTGGTCGCGGCGCGGCCGTGCCTGCGTTGGCGCGTGACCGCCCCCCCCGCGCGCATGTTGCGGTGGCAGATCTGTGGAGGCGAGGACGGGGCAAAAGGCGGATGAGCGAGTACAATCACCTATGGACCGCGCTCTCCGGCATTCGAGGATCCTCGACTGCCCTGGGGCCCTTGCATCGACAGCAGCCCCCTTAGTTGAAGGCGCCCCCCTAGTTGGGGGCCCAGTCGAGAGCAAGAGGTCCGTACGTCACTCGAGATTCCCAGGTTGTCCCCAACCCCAGTACTAATCGAGCCCAACGGCGCTTGACTTCCGAGTTCTGATGGGATCGGGTATATTCGCCGTGGTATGAACGTACGAGATGGAGCTGCAGGGTATCGATCCCCGTACCTCTCGCATGCTAAGCGAGCGCTCTACCATTTGAGCTACAGCCCCCTGGTAGACAAGTCTGGACACTTCAGCCCAGCTCGCTGCTGTCTGCCTGAATTTCGACCCTTTCACAACTACATGTGAAGTTTCACGCGCAAACTGCGCCATTGATGTCTAAAATGACGTGTTGACCCACAGTTGGACGACGCCGCTCAACGCCCGCGTGCCCGCTGGGAACCGCGCCGCGAACTCCCTGCCACCGCGACGGGGTCCCTCGGATGTGCGCGTGGACGAGGGGTGCAGCGCCTCGATCAAGCTTGCGCGGCGGACGACGGCCTGGTCCCGGGCCAGCCCTTGCTGCCCTCGTTTGCGCAAGGCACTGCGACAATCGCACCCGCGGCTCCCCGCTCGCTAGATGCCACGAAAACCATGCCACAGCGTCGCTTCCGGCCCGCGGAACCCCGTGTGTTGGTCGCCCGAGGCCGGTGTGAAGGCAACTCCGTGCCGAACGAGGTCGCTCCGAGGGCGGCGTCGCTGCGCAGGCCGGCCAGAGGCCGAAGAGGCCGGTTCAGAACGCGAACTGCCGTTCCGGGCCGTCCGCGCGCGGCCTCGGGCCCCGGCGTGGGGCCTCACGCGGCAAACCAACCCGTCGGGCGGGCTCGACGGAAGGGCCTCGCGGGGCTCATGCGCGCCGCTGCGCGCCTGCATTTCGCGTTCCGGGCGAGCATAGGACACGTAGAGAGTAGTCACCATGCCGAAGAAATCCCCTGCTGCGAAGAAGAGCGTGCCTAAGACGAAAAAGGAGAAGGATCCGAATGCCCCGAAGCGGCCGCTCACCGCGTACTTCCTCTTCTGCGCCGACCACAGGAAGAAGGTCCAGGAGGAGAACAAGGACCTGAAGGTCAGCGGCCACGCAGCGCCCCGCAGCCCTCCAACCGCTGCCAGACCTTGCCACCGGGGCCCTCCCGCCGCCGCGCGCGCCGCGCGCGGGCCCAGGGCGCCTGCGCTCCCGCGCGTGGGGTAGTGCTCGGCCGTACCATGCCACGGCCCGCCGTAGAGCGCGCGGGTGTCCTGCACGGCGGCGCCCCCGCGCAAGAGGCAGCAAGGGAGGCGGTGCGTGCGTCTCCGGGCCGAATGTCCGACCCCCTGCCCGCGCGGTGGACGGTGCAGGTCACGGAGATCTCCAAGAAGCTGTCGGAGCTGTGGAACAAGCTGACGGACGCGGAGAAGAAGAAGTACCAGGACCTGCACGCCAAGAACAAGGCGAAATATGACAAGGAAATGGAGGCGTACAACAAGAACAAAGACCAGTGAGCGGCGGGACGCGCCGCGCGCCCGCGCAGGCGGCGCCCCGGGCCGCGCGCGCGTCGAACGCCGCGTCTCCTCCCTCCCAGGGCGTTTGAGGCCGGGGGCCCGCGCCTGGGCCCGCTCCGTGCGTGCGCGCGCGCGCGGACCGCCGCCGCGCGCTCGTCGAGTTCTCCCCGTCCTGGTCGCGAACGTCGAGTCCGGTTGGGCGCGCGGGCGCGGCTGGCGGACCTCCCCCTGAAACAGGGCGGGCTGCTCAGCGCGGGTGCGGCGCGGGCCGCCTCGACGGCGGCGTGCCGCGGCGGCAACGCTGCCGCGCGCAGAGAGCGTCTCGCGCTCTGTGCGCCGCATTGTGACTCTCCCGTCCGCCCACCGCGGCCCCCACGGGCCCCGTCTGTTGTCACCCACACCGACCGCGCCCGTGACGGCGCGCTGCGCGCGCGACCGCGGGCGCGACCGCGACCCCGTGCATGTCCAGTACTCGTACGCCCCCGCGGGCCGCTCGCGCACGACGCAACCGCAGCCCCTGCGCCGGGCTGCGACGTCCTTGGCCCCACCACAACTGACACGCCCGCGCAACGGCCGCCCGTCCGCGGCCCTCCGACCGCGCCCCGCGCCCGCCGCGCCTCCCTCGCCGTGCCCACACGCCACGGCGCCACAGCGCACGCGCCGCCGCCGCCCCGCGCCCAACGGCCGCCCGTGGAAACAGCGACCAAACACGAGGCGCCCGTCTTCCGCTCCGGTGTCCTGCGCGCGGGCCTGCGCCGCTCCCGGCCACCCCGCGCGAGCCGGTCGATCCGACCCGCATCATTCGTCACACACACGTGGCGTGTCTGTATATCTAGGTACAACTGTATGTATGTACATCTATTATCTACTCGACGGCCCCGCGCCGCCGCCCTTCAGCACCCACACGCGCCCCTGGCTCGCGCGCTCCTGCATGCGCGCCGTGCTCCGCAGACACTCCCGGAACAGGACGGGGTTGGCCGCGGCCTCCGGGTTGTCCTTGAACGCGGCGACAACGTCGTCCGACGCCGCCGCGCCGCCCCGGCGCCGCAGGAAGCTCGTGATCGACGCGGCGATCCTCCGTGCCACCGCGGTCTGGTCCGCGCCGCCGCTGCTGGCCCGCCCCGCGGCCCCGGGGGCCGACGCCCGCCGCGGAGCAGCGCTCGGGGCCGGCGCCGCCGGCTGCCCGCGGCTGCTGCGCATGCGCGCGAGCAGGGTCGCGGACGACGCCGCGCCGCCCGCCGCAGCAGCCGCCGCCGGGGCACGCCCGCCGAAACGGGGCCGGGGGCCGCTGCCCTCCCTGCCGGTCCAGGTGGGGGTGTTCACCGGCAGCGCGGCGCACTCACGCGCACTCTCCCTGCACCACGAGCCTGATCGGAGCGGCGTCGGCGACCGAGCGGACAGGGGGCGGGAGGCGCGAACTGACACGAGGTTGGCGACGACAAATGGGCAGGGGCTTGCCTGATGGCCCGCGCGGCGCGCTCGGCGACGCGCGTGGCCTCGTTGTGCACGACCGTGCTCTCGCGCTCTCCAAGCCCTTCGACGGCGTTGTGGTCCAGAGCCCCGCTCAGCGCGCCTTGCCCCTCAAACAGCTGCTGCAGGACCGACGCGTTATCGCCCGCTCCCGCGTCCCCATCACTCCCCCCCTCCTGCCCGTCGTGTTCGTCTCCCTCGTCTGTGCCCTCGTTGGCCGTGGTGCCCGCCCCGCTGCTCCGCCGCCGGCCCCGCTGGCCGCCCGCCGCGCGGCCGCGTGCCTTTGGGGCCGCGCGCGCCGTCGCGTCCTCCGCGGTGATGCGCCCGGGAACGCCGCCGAGCGCAGTGTCGGTGTCCTTGCCGCCCTGGCGCGGACCGAGGCGGAACAGGTCCGCCATCGACTTGCCGCGGAAGGACCGTCGGTGGCGCGGGTCGCGCAGGACCTTGTTCGTGAGATACTCCTTGTATACCTGCCGCTGATATATCTTCTCCTCGATGGTGCCGGACGTGATCAGGCGGTAGATCGTCACCTGCGGACACGACCCGCGCGGGGGGCGAGTGTACAGGAAGACACGCGCGTACGAGCAAACACATCATAGTAAATTCATATGAGCAGATGTGCAATTGTAGATAGCACCCAGTCTGGTTGCACGTCGGAAGGCCGCCGCACCTGCCGCGTCTGGCCGACACGCCACGCGCGCTCCCGCGCCTGAGCATCCGTGCTCGGGTTCCAGTCCGGGTCGTACAGCAGGATGCGGTCGGCGCCCGTCAGGTTGACGCCGAGGCCGCCCACGCGCGTCGTGAGCAGGAACGCGAACACGCTCTCGTCGCGGTTGAACGACTCGACGAGCTTCGCGCGGAGGCCGACCGCGGTGCTGCACGGGCAGGGGCGCGCGCGTCGCCGTGAGGAGCCGCGACGGTGGGGGGCGCGCTGCAGGAACAGCCCTTGTGCTCAACAGCTACCATCGCACGACGTATATCAAAAGAATATGGGCCGCAGCGTGGAAAGTGCCGAGAAGTCGCCGCGCGCTCCCCCAGCCGCACCAGGCGGCCCGGCCGCGCGCCGCGCAGCACACCCGCCGGGCACGCAAGGAGAACCGCGGGCGGGCGCCGCGTCCGCACCTTCCGTCCATCCTGTGGTACCTGAACCCGCCGGCCTGCACGCACAGCTCTATGATGTCGAGCATCTGCTGCGTCTGCGTGAACACCAAACAGCGGTGCCCCTGCTGCTTCCACATCCCCAGGACCTTCTCCGCGACGCGCAGCTTCCCGGACCGCTCCGGGAGGCCGTATCCCTCGGACCCGCCCATCTGCACTCTCTGGAGCAGATCTGGGTGGTTGCAGATCTTCTTGAGAATGTCGATCCCCGCGAGCGCGTTCCGGCTGCCGTCCACGATCTCCTGCACCTCCTTCGTCGCCAAGTACGCGCGGTACGCGTCCTCCTGGAGCTTGGTCAGGGGGCAGAAGAGCACCTGCTCGGTCTTGCCCGGCAGCTGCAGCCGCACGTCGGCCTTGCGTCGCCGGAGGAGGTACGGCGAGATGATGTCGCGCAGGACGACTGCGCAGCGGTACGCCGTCGCGAGCTGCACGCGGGACGCCCCGGCGTACCCGCCCACCTGGATGGGCGCCGCGAACTCGCGCAGGAACACGGGGAGCGTCCCGAGCTTGCCCGGGAAGCAGAAGTCGAACAGCGACCAGATCTCCGTCAGCGAGTTCTGGATCGGCGAGCCGGACATGACGATGCGGTGCACGGTGCGCAGCTGCTTGCAGGTCAACGTGACGTCCGCGTCCGGGTTCCGGATCTTGTGGCCCTCGTCGAGGACGACGTACCCCCACGGCACCTCGAGGAGCTTCTCGCGCGACGCCTTGAGCTGCTCGTACGTCGTCACCAGCACGCCGGAGTCGGCCCCCGTCACCACGTCGACCAGCTCCTCCTTGGTCGCGAACTCGGCCTTCCGCCGCCCCTTGCGCATCATGTCGTGCAGCACGACCACGCGGAAGAGCGGGTACCACTCGTGCAGCTCGCGCATCCACTGCCGGAGCACCGTCGCCGGGCACACGATCAGCGACGGGCGGAACAGCCCCGAGTGGTGCAGCGCCCCGAGAAAGGCCGCGAGCTGGACCGTCTTGCCGAGGCCCATCTCGTCGCCGAGGATGCCGCCCGCGCGCTGCGAGTGCAGCTCCCACAGCCACTTCACGCCCGTCCTCTGGTAATCGAACAGCCGGTTGTACACCACCCCGGGGACTCTCAAACCCCCCTCCAGCTCCACGTCCTGCGCCGCGCCGTCGCCGCCCCCCTCCGCCTCCGCCTTCTCGAGCTTCTGCAGCGCGACGCTGCAACGTGCGATGAAGTCCTGCTCGTCGGCGTCGTCGCCCCCGAAAATGTCCTCCGCGCCGTCGCTGTCGCTCTGCCCCTCGGAGCTGTCCTCGTCCTCGCTGTCCTCGTCGAGCAGCGCCCGCGCCGCCGCTTCGCTGTCGCTGCTGGCCGCGGGACCGGCGGGCTCCGGCTCGGCGCGCGTGGCGGCGACACCTGCAGTGCCGCCGCCCCCCTCGGCTCCGCCCCCGCCCTCGGGCATCTGCGACGTACGCGCACGCGTGACGGACGCTCATTGAGGTCGGGCGGCGGATCCGGCCGACATCGCAGCCCCGCAGGCCCTCGATGGACGCGTGCGAGCCAGGGAAGCACGAGAAGCAGATACATATTCAGTCAGATATGGAAAAGGCGACGTTGCATGTCGATTCGGAACGCGAGCGCTCACCTGGACCGGTCCGGGCATCGGTCTCTTCGCCGCGTCCCTCAGCAGCGCCTTGTTCACGGACCCGCGCTTCCGCTTCCGCTCCTCGTCGATCACCGGCCTCGCCGCGCGCGTCCTGTCCGGGTGGAAGTGACGCCCCGACACGCGTCGTACCGCAGACCCCCCCCCGCTCTCATACAAGGCCTCGGCCGCGTCCTTCGCGTCGCCGAGCCGCACCCGCGGCACCGTCAGCGGATTCACGTACCCCTCGCGCTCCTGCCCGCGAACCCGCTCCGCCATCGCCGCGAGCATTCCCCTGCCCCGCGCCTGCACCGCCGCCGGCCGCGCGCCGCCCCCGCCCGCCGCCCCCGCGCCCCCGATCGCCGCGAACGGCGTCGCCTCGCCCATCCGGATCCTCCGGTCCCGCTCCGTCTCCACCATCGCGCCGCCAGACGCGCCCCCGCCGCCCACAACCTCCTCGTCATCCTCCGCGTCCATCAACCGCGCCTTCCGCTTCCGCGCCTTGCCCCCCGGCCCCGCCCTCGCCGCCACCTTCTTCGCCTCCTTCGGCGCCTCCACGGGCACTCCGAGAGCCTCCGCGAGCGACCTCTCTTCCTGTTGCAGGTCGCGCAATCGCTCCTTCGCTAGCCGCGCCTGCAGCGCCGACGCGCCGCCTTCGTCCTCGCCCGCGCCGCCCATGTCGTCGAGGATGTCGCGCTGCGTCCGGATCTCGCGCCGGATGTCGCGCAGGCGCGCCGTGCGCTCCGCGGTGGGGCTGGGGGGTTCCTGGGCCGACGGCCCGGCGCCGTCCTCGTCCGCGACGACGTCCTCGCCATCACCCTCCTCGCCGACCTGCCGCTCCTCCTGGGCAATGACGTCGGCCTCGACCTGCGGCGCGCGGCGCGCGGTTGTGTGCTCCAGGTGACGCACCAGCAGCCGTACGTGCGTCGTCCGTGCGCGTGTGAACGCATGATGGCCACGAAACGACAGCTTAATGGCTGCAGCTGCCTTTGCGACGCGTGAGAATGCACGGCGCGGCAGGATTGCCCCGCGGCGGACGCTTCGCGCAGGGTGCGCAGCGGGGCAGGAAGCAGGCCTGGCACAGCGCGTGCACTGATCCGGGCGAGCCCCTGCTGCTTTGGGCGCACAGAACAGCCAGTGGTGATAGGTCCGACCGATCGGCGCGGGGGGTTCGTGGCTCTGCTGGACGTGCCGCGGCGCCGTGTCTGTGTGGGCAGTGGAAGGGGCCGCTGTAGCGCTGACCTGGGCAGCAGACACCTCCCTTACGCCCAGGTCGATGAGGAGCTGCTCTTCGTAGTCCTCCTCGTCCATGGCTGCGCCGCTCGCCACCGCTCGACGGTCAACGTGGCAGCTGAGACACCATAGTTGGCCTGTACCGCGACACTTGGGAGATCACGAATCACCACGAGGCGCCCCTCGCGCACGGCTGAGCGGTTCTGACGCCTCCCGCGCCCCGGCGGCCCCGTGTCCCGCGGCGCTCCCCCCTGGGATGTGTTGTCTCACGCCCCACGCCACCCGCCCGCTCGCCCTCCAAGGGCCAGAAACCGCGCACGGCAGCGCACGGCAGCGCACGGTCGAGCACCGAGCACGCACTCGAGAGACCGCTCGCAGTGGTACCGTCGAACAGTCCGGAAGGCGGTGCGAGTTCAGTCCGCCTTGGTGTCTCCCTCGTGCTGCGCCGAGTATGGCGCTCCGCCGGATTGGCCGCGGGGGGGCCGGGTTGCTGTGTTGCTGAACGTATGAGCTAGCGCCCGAGGGGGCACGGAGGGAGCTCGCGTCGCATGGCCGCGCTTCCTGGCCTCGTGCCGCGCGGGCGCCCGCGGCTCACGGGCGCGCAGCTCTGCGTGATCGACGAGGACGACGCTGCGGGTTCACCGCGCTCGCTGGACGGGCAGCTGGTGTGCGAGGTGTCCGCGGCGCAGTGCAAGGCGTGCGGGGCGGTCGAGCGCTCCTCGAGCGAGGAGAGGCAGCGCGCCGCGGTCCGACAGCCCGACGTGTGGCGCACGGGCGCGTCCCCGTTGAACCTGGTGCACCGTCATCCGCATGTGTGGGCGACGGAGTGGCCGACAGTGTTCACGGGGCACGGGAGCGACGGCCCCCTGGACTGGGTGCCACCCACCGGCGCCGGGGGCGTCCAGTGCTCCCGCTGCCGGCGCCTCGCAGGGATCCTGCGCATCCGCATCCTCGCGAAATCCCACAGCGCCCGCGAGCCGTCGCGCGCAAGGCGCCAGGCAGGCGGCACACAACCACCTGACCCAGCGCCACATGCATCGTGGCACGCCGGCGCCGACCGCGGCCAGCATCGCCGCGCGCACGTCGTCGCGGACGTCTGGCTCGACCTCCCCGTCCTCAAGATGCATCCGAGCGTCGTCCAGCTCCCACCGGGCCGCGAACGCCTGCCGCGCACCGTGGAACGCGGCACCCACCTCCACGTCTGGGGCGCCGGACACCCAGTGTCCTACCTCCTCCCCCTGCACCTCTCGCACTCCGTCTGGACCGGCTCCTACACGCTCTTCGACGCCGCCGCCGAGCGCATGCGCCGATTGGGATCCGCGCAGCCCTCGCCGCCAGGGCCCGCGCCCCCGCCGGCGCAGCCCGCGGCCCCGGCTGCGAAAGGCCGGCACCACCGCTGGCGCAGCACGGAGGCCGCGCCGCGCGACGGCTCTCTGCCGCGGCAGCCCGACGAGGGGGGGGAGTATTCACATTCCCGGGGGACGTCCGGGTGGAACACCCCCGCGCAGACGCCCAGCACGTCCGTGCCCGCGACGCCGGAGCGCCCCGCCGCGCCGCCTGCGGGCCCGCACGCGCCGCGCCCGCCCGCTGCCCGCGGCACGCTCTTGTCGTCGATCGGGAGCATGCTGACGTGGCCGGCGCACCGCGCGGAGGAGGCTGCGAAGCGGGCGGCGGCGGAGGCGGCGGCGGCGGCGGCGTCGCGGCGGACGTCGACGGACCCTGCGGCGGGCACGGGGTTCCGGGCGCTGCGGGAGCTGTGCTTGGTGCGGCAGAGTGTGGCCGAGGCGAACCTGCGCGCTGTGCAGATGGCGGGCAAGGTGCGGCGGAGGATGGCGGCGATGGAGCGGCAGGTGGCGCTGCGGCGACGGCAGGCGGCGGCGAGGGACCGCAGGTGCGCGCGCATGCCCGCGCGCTGCGACACGCCTCCCGTTTCCAGTTGGTGATTTTGAGTCATGGAAATCCCGACTGCGTGGACTTGGTATCTCATATCTGCTCGTGTTCCGCCTGGTTCGCGGCGGCTGCCATCCAGACGGACGCCCTGGCTCGCACACGGTGCGCCCGTCGACCTCTCCGCAGGCTCAAGGTGCGCGCGGAGCTCACAGCGGCGCGTGCGGACGTGGACCGGCTCGAACACCTGCTGTCGGACCAGGGCCGGGAGGCTGCGTCGACGCCCGTGCGGCGGAGGTCGTCCGCGAGCGGGCCGGACGCACTCGAGATCGAGAGGATGCAGTCGCGGCTGCAAGGCGCCGTCGTCGCGCTGCACGAGGACGGCGCGGGGCAGGAGCGCCGGGCGCGGGCGACGGTGGCGCGCACGCGCGTGCTGCTGCTGTGCGACCTGGCACTGGCGTTGCGCATCGGGCCGATGCCGATCGAGAAGGACCAGGCGTCGTCGTCGCAGTGCCTGGACGACCTCGAGCGGTCGTGGTGGGCGGGGCTGCCGCCGATGGCCGCAGCAGGGGGGCGCCCGCAGCGCCCGCCGACGACGTCGCTCGCCGTCAGCGGCATCGACCTACAGGGGCTCCTGACGTCCAAGGTAAGGCCACTCGAACCCCTGGCTGGCGACCGACCCGCGATGGTTCCTTTTTGCGTTGTTGTCGCCAATAACAACGTGCGTTGCGCGGCGGCCCCTCGCGCTGCAGGACGGAGAGTCGTTCGCGGGCGAGGCCGACGCGGACTCCAAGGCGCAGCTAACGTCGGGGCTGTGGCTGCTGGCGCTTGGCGTCACGCAAGCGGCAAGTCTGCTCAGTACGCCGCTCCTGCACCCCGTGCGCCTCGCGCCGGGCGTGGCGATCATCTGCGCCGGCGACAGCGTGGCAGCGAACCCGGGCCCTGGCCCGTCCGCCCAGGCGCCACGTCAGCCCACTTCAACACCCCCCCCAACTGCCCCAGGGTCGTTACAAGCCGGACTCTCGCTCCTGTCCGGGGCGCTGGGCGGCATCGGCGCGCCCGAGAGCGAGGCCCCGGAGAGCTCCTCGCCTGGCCCGGTGCCCCCCGCGACGCTCGCGTACTTCCCCTCGCCGGAGGACGAGCGCGCCCCTCCGCAAGCGACGCTGGGCGAGCTCGTGCTGGCGGCGCCCGACACGGCGCATCAGCGGGACGCGCTCGTGCGCGGGCTCGCGCTGCTCGACGAGAACGTGCAGCTCCTGCTGCGCGTGGCCGGCGCTGGGAAGCCCTGCGAGCCCGGGCTGGCATATGCCGCTTTGGCGAACCTGCACAGGCTGTTTCTTGCGGCAGCGCGGCCGTTGCAGCGGCAGCGGCGCGCGGAGGAAGCCAAGGGGCTGCCGGCGAGCGTGCGGACGGCGAAGAGCGCCGGCGCGGGGCCGCCGTTGCGCCCTGGGGGGAGTGCGCGACAGTGGGGGGGGACTCTGCAGTACAACCCGAACGCCAAGGTGCGGCGGGACTACGGAGGCGTTCCGGCGGGGCGTGCGGGCGGCGCAGGGTCGGGGGCGGGGAGCGGGTCGGGCAAGGAGGCGGCGTGGGTCAAGCGCGCCCTGTCAGGCAGGGCCTGACGTCAGCAGCTCCGCTCTCATCAGGCCTGGGGGCTGAGTGCGAGCCGCTATGAGGAAGGGGAGCAGGGAGTGCCGGCGCGCGTGCGGCGGCGCTTCCGGGGGTGCGGTGGAGGCCCCGCGACAGATAGGGGTCCACTGCAGAGTCGTTGTTGTTCATGATGATTGATATGGAACACGTGTCTTTTGTGAAGACCGCGTCGATCGTGAGAAGTGGCTCTCCAAGCCCAGGGCCTCGACCTCCACCGGCACCCCCGGCCGTCCCTGTCCCGGCCCGTTGACCGCACCCAGCCCCTCGTCACACGCCGCGTCCTCACCGCCGGCCCCGCCCGCGCCCCCCGCGCCCCGCCAGACTCAGCGGCGTCCCGCGCCCCATGCCCCGCCCCCCGCGCCCGCCCTTGGCCTGCATCGCCATCATTTGTTGCACCATGAAGTTCTGCTGCTGCTGCGGCGTCATCAGCGTCTGACTGTACTGCTTGGCCTGCTCCGCCAGCCAGGCGTCCACGCGAACCATGTGCGCGTTCATCGCGTCGAACCGCGCGTCGATGTCGTCCCCCGCCCCCTCGATCAACGCGTTGCCCTCTTTGCTCAACCCCTGGAACGCCTTCACGAACATCTGCCGCTGCTCCTCCGTCTGCATGCTCTGCAGCAGCTGCGCGACCTGCACACACCCGGCGCCCGAAGCCGCGCGGGCCGTCAGAGGGGGGGTGAATCAACCACGTGCGCGCAGGAAGGGCGAGGGCTGCGCCGGGGCTCGCACGTTGCTCTTGTGCAGCATGGCCTTCTGGTAGATGAGAGCTTGCCGCTGCATCGCGTCGCTGAGCCACTGCTTCCCGTCCCCGTCCCCGTCCTCCAGGTTCTTGGCCCGAGTGTACATCAGCATGTTCTGCTGCCGGTTGACCTTGACCGTCGCCTCCTTCATCTCCAGCTCCTTCGGGTCCATGTTCGGCTCCACCTTGTCGTGCACCAGGTCCTCCTCCTGCACGCACCGCCCCCCCACGAGAGCCAACTGTCACCACAGGAACGCACTTGCGGGACGCACGTGCTCCGCGAGCGCGCAACTTGGTGCATGAGCCGCGCAGCGCGCAGCAAGGTCCATGAGCAGCCTACGCAGGGCCCTGGGCGGGAGGCGCACCGCGAAGAAGGCGGAGAAGCGAACCAGAAAGATGGGGTCGTCTTTGAACTTTTCTTGCAGCTTGCTGAGGTACTTGAGCCCGAACTCCCCCTGGATGCCCTGCGACTCGAAGATCTTGCGCTGCGCCGCGTCGATCACGTCGTCCACGGGCGCCTTCTTGTCCCTCGTGACCTTGCGGCACTCCTCCAGAAACTCGGGCCTGTGGAACAAGTCCTCGCTCGCCTCGAAGAACCGCACCAGCTCGTCCTTCGTCAGCTCGCCGGACTCCTTCAGCGGGCCCTGCACCGAACGACCGCCCCGGCGCCGCGCCGGTCGCACGGGACGCACTGCCAGGCTGCTCCCGGGCGCGTCGCCGGCGCACAATCGTCGCGCGAGGCTCTCAAGGCACATGCTCGGATGAGAACAAAGGTAGCGCGCGCACGACCTCGCGCGCAGGCGCGGTCTGCCGTCGTGGCGCGTCGCTTCGAGGGAGCGGCACGCACTTGGTCATCCTCCAGCAGCCCTAGCACCGAGTTGAATGCGGAGGAGAGGTCCTGCAGCCACGAACCCATCTTCCCGCTTCCCTACCGTCCCGCCGCCTGCGTGGCACAGCGGACACGCGGCCGTTGAGGCACCCAACCATCTCCCCCTCTGGATGCAGCTATCGTCGTCAGGAGGGACGTGGACGGATCGAAAGCGGCTACCGGATGTCGACACAATCTACAGGGTTCCTTCACGCATGGTGCGTGGAAGTGACAGTCACGGTGCTCGCGCCGCGGCCACCACCTAGGGCACTAGGGCTAGGCCCGCAATGGGGCCCTGCAGCCCGCGTCCATGACGTAGCGCTGCCACGGCGGTGCGACAGGATCACTGGCACGCCGCAGGGCTGCCGAAGATCGCATATCGCGGCGTCTGTGCCGCGTGGCCCCCGTGACAACTCGGTGCACCCGCGTTCCGCAGCCAGAGATGGCCGCGAGAGGCGGGCGCGCGCTCGCGAGGCTCCCAGCGCACAGCGTGGGCAGCTGTGCGTATCGCGCAGCGCCTGCGGGATCGCGTGGCTCTACCTGGCAGCTTCGAGGCTCGAGGCTGCACCTGCCTAATAATAAGAGCTCAGCCCACCACTGTCCACGCAGCCTACGTATCGCGCGTATGCAACGCCCAGCGACCACTCGACCTCACCGCCGAATACATGACGGGCGCTGGCGGGAGAGCTGATGGCCGGCCGCCACGACAGGGGGCCCTGCTGAGGAGTGTCGGGGCCTTTGGCTCGGGATGTACTGGCTGGCGGTGTCGAGGTGCGGAAGTGCATGACCGCGATGCGTTGGGGGGGCCATGGGCGCGCGGCGCGGTCGGTGCGGCCCGACGAAGGCGTGCTCGCTCGCTCTGCACTGGCTGAGTGGCTGGCGGGTTTGGGCCCCGGGCGCCGGCCCAGAGAGCGAGAGAGACGCACGGCCGGCCGCTCATCGCCAGGCGGCCTTGATGTGCCGCATGTCAACGGTACAGGGGCGAGGGCAGGCGGCCGTCGGGTGCCACCAGGCTGCACAACGCCGCGTGACGGCGCGGTGATCCGCCGAGAGAGGATGCTCGGCACAGCGATGGCGCACTGAGAGGTTGCGGCTGCGTTGAACGCGACTGGCGGGGTGCCCTGGTGGCGAGCCGGCTCACACGAGACGTGAGACCACCTGCGTTCCTGAACAGCGCCCGTCGACGTCATCCCGGGCCGGGTGCGACGTTCCTGTCCCGCGTATGCATCAGTGTGTTAGTGAGGGGAACGCGCCGCGCTCCTATTCGCCCGCACGCCTTCCAGGCGCACCGAGGGCTGCACGCCCTCCTGCACATCACAGAAGCTGTGCCGGCCCGTTCGCACCGCGACGCGCACGCCGACGCCGGCCAGCTGTTCAGGAACATGTTGCCATGGAGGAGGGTCGGAGCCGATGGTGGGTGGGCCCCGGAAAGAGGAGAAACCAGCGGGCACGATGACCGGGAGCGCCCTGACCTCGCGTTAGACGGCGAAGAGCTCGTCGCCGTTGGCGAAGAGCGCCGTGAAGCCCACGAACATCGAGAACGCAACCAGCGCTGTTCGGTTCTTGTGCGCCTTCTCCGGGCTCGTCAGCTCGTCCATGACTGCCTCCCTGGCCCTCTTGCAGGCCTTCTTGATGCCGTCCATGCTGACAACAGCCATGATGTCGGCGTCCCGAGCTCCAGTCAGCGGCTGCGGCGCTCCCGCGGTGGACACGGCCCTTGAGCGCGTGCGTGGACGCCCGGAACGGTTCCTGGGGAGTCGTGGAGGGTATGAGGGCGTGTGCGCGGCGAGGAGGGACCGGGGCGCTTGATGGCGCACGGGGCGGCGTGCACATGTAGACGGGGAGGTGGCCGCCCGGCTGGACATCTGCGTTCGAGGCGGGTGTGCGGCCGCGCTGAGCTGCCGGCTGCTGTGCACGGGCAGTGCCGCACGCGGCCGTGAGGGGCCCGGCGAGGCGGGCGGTAATTGCGCGAGGATCATCACGACGCGAACCACCAGCGGGGGCGTTTCACAGGCCGTATCAAAACTTTGGCTGGTGTGTGGAGCTTGTTGACAGCCTGCACTAGGTCGTGGGTTCCCCGGCCAGCGACAGCCGTTCGCGGGAGGCGCATTCGCCGCGGTGCCGCGACGAGACCATGTTCGACGACGAGCTTCTCAAGTACCTCAAGGAGGCGACCGCCCGGCTCCAGGTACGCGCAAGGCAGCCGTGAGACGCACCGTCCATCCTTCACCAGAGCCCAACGGCCCGCTCGGGCGTCTTCGTCGCCGCGCAGGAGCTCGACGATGAAGCAGAGATCGACACGCTGGTGGGGAACGTGCTGGAGGAGCTCGGCGACGACCTGCCGGCCGCGTGCTCGGACCCAGTGGCCTCGCGCATCATGGAGAAGTTCCTGCGACACCTCCCCGCGACGCGCCTGGACGAGTTCGTGGCAGGTGCGCGTCGAGCACGAGTGCCGCTGCCTCGCCCGCGGGCCCGACGCGCCTCGGCGGGCGCCGGCGGGCTTGCGCCGTGCTTCTTACAACGCCCACTGTGCCTGCTCTGTTGTGATCGATGCGCAGGTCTGGGGGACGAGGGGGTCGTGGGGATGTCGACGGATCGGTTCGGATCGCACGTGCTCGAGAAGGTGCTGGACGCCGCGGCGTGGCACGGCGCGGCGCGCATGGAGACGTCGCTGCGCCGCATGGTGGCTGCGGTGTGCAGCCGCCTTGAGGAGGTCATTCCGCACCCGTCAGGTACGACGGCGCTGTGCGGAGGTGCTCGTGGCCTGGCGGCCGCGCGTGGCCGGGCTCGGCGGGCGGAGTTGCGGCCGTCGTTGGCCGCTGCCGTCTCTCGAAGCTCGGGTTGCATCGGCATTCGATGGATCTGGACTGCGTTTCCGCCGAAACACCCAACAGCCCCCTTATCTCAGCACGTCTGCGGCGCTGCGAGCCCGCCGCCGATCCAGCCCCCGTGCGCACAGTACCGCACGCCTGTGCGACAGCGCGTCGCCCGCCCAACGCCCCCGCAGGCTCCCACGTCGCCCGCAAGCTCGTCTCCTGCTGCGCGGGCCGCGATCTGCAAAAGGAGGCCGCCGCCGCCAAGACCTCCGCGCGCCCGCCCGCCGCGACGGTGAGTCCAGCCCCGCAGCACGCGCCGCCGCTGTTCACGCCGCAGCCCCGCGCCCCACGCTCACCAGCGCGGCGCCGGTGCTCCTGACGCGCAGCGCCCGCCGCAGCTGCCGGGCCCGCTTCTGGACCTCGCGAAGGCCATCGTCGCGCTCATCAACGACCAGCCGATGCAGTGGACGGAGGACATGGCGCTGCACGTCTACGTGTCGCCGTTCCTGCAGCTGCTGCTGCGTGCGCTGCAAACGGAGCCCGGCGTGCTCCTGCTGATGACGCCGCTGCTCCTGGGCGCCTCGCCCTTCGATGCGGAGACGGGGGAGCTGCGCGGGGCCGGCGAGCTGCTCGCGGGCGTGGACGAAGCGTTCCCGAAATTCGTCATGGAGCACAGGACCGGTGCGTCTCCCGCCCGGACGGACGCGCGGGCGACGGCGCACCGCGGCGCGCGATTCCGACCGCCCAGACGCACTGTCTCCCCTGCGTGCTGCTCGCTCCATCTCGTGCGGCCGGCCGCGGATGCGCACGTGCCCTGGGGCCAGGAGTTGATGTGGGGGGTGTTTTTGGTGTCTGTCCTGGCGCGCAGGGAGCCACTTCGTCGAGGCGTTGCTGGGGACGTGTCCGACGGAGGTTCACGAGGAGTTCGTCGCGCGGTTCATGGCGGGGCGGTGGGAGCCGCTCAGCGCGCATCCGACGGCGAACTTCGCGGTGCAGGCCGCGATCGCGACGGCGCGGACGCCGCAGCAGGTCGAGGGCATGGCCGCGGAGCTCTGCGATCACTTCCCGGCCCTCATGCGCGGCAGCCGCGCCGGCGTCGTCGCGGCGCTGGTCGCCGGGAGCCAGCGCCACGCCGCTGCCTGCAAACAGGTGGCCAAGGCGCTGTCCAGCGCCACGATGGAGCTCGGACGGCTGTCGAGCAGCAGCGAGATGGTCCCGTGGATGCTGTTCATGGGGCACAAGGTGCGCCACGCCCACGCTGCGCCATGCCGCGTGTTTCAACATGTCAGGCGATGGCGAGCGTGGCGTCTGATCGCGGTCGCGTTGGCGCGCGCTGCAGGGACCAGTTGCGTCGGTCGCGGAGACGCTCGGGGAGATGCCCAAGGGCGAGCGCCACAAGGGGAAGAAGAAAAAGAAGGACAGTGAGAAGAGAGGTGCCGACTACCGGTGAGTCCCCCCCCTGGGATGCTGGAGCTCGACCGCCCCTGCGCGCTCGCAACACGGCGCTCGCACGTTCGATCCGACCGCGCTCGTGGCGCCGCATCAACACCACGACGAAGCAACGCGGCAACAGATATGCTTTCCCATCTTGTGTGCCCATCAACACCCCTCGGACCTCATCTCTCCGCGGCACCCGCAGGCCGCCGCGCCGGAAGCTCTCCGTCCTGGGCTGCGCGATCCTGTGCTCCGTCCTCCGCTTCCCGAGCAAGCGCTGCAAGAAGTGGCTGGAGTCCTTTGTGTCGCTCAACAAAGACGACCTGCTGGCCATGGCCGCGGACGCCGGGGGCTGCCGCGTCATCGAAGCGTTCCTCGAGGGCGAGGCCGGCGAGGAGGCCAAGGCGGGCGTGCTCGCCGCGCTGCGCGGCCGGCTGTCGTACTTCGTGAAGTTGGGCCCCGGGGGGAGTAAGTTTGTGGAGCGGTGCTACCAGCTGTCCTCCGTGGACGGCAAGGAGGCGATCGCGCGGGAGCTGCTGGACGACGAGGCCGCGGTCAGGCGGCTGAAGTGGGGCGCGATCCTCCTCGCGCACTGCGACGTGTATGGGTTGCAGCGCTCGGAGAAACAGTGGCGCGAAAAGGCGTCGCGCGTGGACGCGGTGGCGGCGGAGTTCGAGGAGGTGTTCGGGGCAAAGCACGGCGACGCGGAGGACGCGGGCGAGGAGCCCGGGGCAGCGCAGAACGGGAGCCATAATAAGAGGAAGAAGGCAAAAGGTAACGCGACGAAGGATGGCGGCGAGGGCGGCGATGGAGCGGACGCTCGCGCGAGGGCGCTGGGCGGCGCGGCCGTGGACGACATCATGCGGCTGCTTGGGGCGGGGGGCGACGCTGGCGAGGTGCCTGTGGAGCGCACAGTGGCGGGGGCGAGCGGCAAGGTGGGTGGGAAAGCTTGCGTGGTAGCGCCGCGGACTTCGTGTGCTGAGATGGCGCTGCGCAGACGTTTGGCTGCGCCTGTTTGCCGGATCCCGTCGCCGCGCCCTGTGCGCACCGCGTTGTTGGTTTCAGGGCTGTCGCGTCCGGCGTGTCTCGTCATGGTGGAGCGTTGCTCGTGTCGCGTGGTGCGCAGGCTACGGAGGGCGTCGACGACGACATGGCGGACCTGGTGGCGGGCCTGACGGCGCAGGGTGGTGGTGGTGCGGGGGGGGTGAGGGAAAGAAGAAGAACAAGAAGCGGCGTAGGCAGGAGGAGGCCGCGGCGAAGGAGCAGCGCAAGGAGAAGAGCAAGGACAAGAAGTCCAAGAAGAAGAAGTCGTAGCTGCGGCGCCACACGCACGGCAAAGTGAACCACTGCGTGTGCACATCGCTCACGACGCGCATCACTCCTCGCCCGGCAACACCCGTTCGCGTGTTCCGGGTTCACAGCGTCTCGAGCGCGTCTCCCCCCATCTGCACGGGCCGCCTGAATGTCCAATACATATCGTCTCTCACTGCGCGCCCTGCCCGAAGAACTCCGCCACCTGCTGGTCGGGGAGGTCCAGGTAGATCGACACGGCGGTCCCGACCACTGGCCGCGCGGGCATGCCGGACCGCGGCTTGGCCTCCTCCTGCAGCACCGCGCGCACGTGCCCCTGCTGCTCGAGCGCGTTCAGGAGCGTCGCGATGCTGTCCATCTTCTCCATGAACCGCTTCTCCGACATCGGGAAGGAGCGCTGCTCGAGGTGGACCCACATGACGTTGAGAACGACGTACGTCTTGCCCCACGGCGCGTCGCGCCGCGCGAACGAGAGGTCGTACGTCCGGCCGTACTTGGCCTTGACCAGCGACACGAGCTCCTCCGCCGACAGCGGGTCCGTCTGCATCTCCGCGTCGTCCAGGCTGCGGGAGAAAAAAGGAGAAAGCAGCGCGAGCGCGCCGTGGGCGTCGTGGCGCGCGGATTCGAGGGCACTGCGCCGGAGATCGGCTCCAGTTCGACACCGTGCGTTTCTCGCCGCTGCGACGTGCGTTGCGGGGCGGCGGGGCGGCGTGCGGTGGCGCACCTCGCGCCCGTGGTCGCGGCGATCGCCTCGTTGAGCGAGCTGGAGATGAGGCTGTCGTCCGCGTCCTCGAATGACCTGGCCACCTGGGGCTCCTCCGCGGCCGCGTTCGCGCTGCTCAGGGCCTCGTCCCACTCGCCCGACGCGCGCACCTCGTCCTCCCGCTTCTTCAGCTCGCTGTACATCTCGTTCGCGTCGTCCTGGCGCGCCTGCGGAGGGCAGAGAGGGTGTTGGAGCGTGTGTGTGATCAGCAGCGCGCGCTCTCGACTGATCAATCGAGGCGGAGGAACCGAGGCCGCTCGACTGGGCAGCGAAAACCCAACTCTGCGCCGCGCGGCGCCTGTCGGTCGGATCCGCGAGACACGCCAGCGAGGCCCGAGATCTCATGCCCGAAAGGGCCCCGCGCGGCACTAGCGCCCGGTTCCGCACCCCGCCGCGCGGCGCAGCGCGCATCGCTGCAGAGCCACGCAGGGCACTGCAGCGGGGCCAGGGCGCATAGAGGCGCCCGCGGGGCGTCCACGCGCATCAGCGACGCAGCCTCGACCCCCGCCGCCCAGACGCCGCGGCTCGCGGGCCAGCGGCGGCCCGCCGCGCGCGCGCGCAGTGCGTGCGCCCTACGCTGGGCTACAGGCGCGGCGTGGCGCGCGCTGGGCGGCCGTGCAGAAAAGCTGCGCGCGTGCACGCTGCGTACGCGTGCAGAGATGCCGGGTGGGGCCGTCGGGGCTGCGCGAACGTCGTGGGCCGCGTGACGCACCGCGGACTCGGCCTCAGAGGGCAGCTGACGCAAGCGCCATTGCCGGCTGCTCCTGGGCGCCCAGTTGTTGAAATCCAACTCCCGCTGCAGCTTCTCCCAGAACCCTGCGCGCGGATTTCGGACGCGGAGGCGTGGTCGGGGCGGAATTCGGCAAAAAGGGTCTGCCGTGCGCGCACATCGCGCTGCGTGCGCACCCCTTGCGACGACGCGAGAACGCGCCCTGCGGTTCGCAGCCGCGCCGCACACGCGGCCGGACGGCCGGCGGGCCGTGTGGGCGTTCATGTCGCGGTCCGTGCGCGCGCGCGGTGACGCTGCGCCGCGTGCCAAGGGCTTCCGGTGCTGCGAGTTGCGTCGAACACTGCCGGTCGCGACGGAGGGCAGGCGGCTTCCCAGAGGTCGTGGGCAACTGCGCGCGGGCGCGCGAGCGCGCTCCGCTCGTACCCTGCGCCCCACGCGCAGCGCGCGTGGCAGACGAGGCCCAGCCCGACGTGGGTCGGTCGGCGATAGTCGCGCCGGCGATATTCGGCGCGCGCGCCGCGGTCAGCGCGCGTGGTTTCGGCGTATACCACTCAGACAGCATGAGCGCGCATTCCGGCGACAGCGACGAGTGGAGCATGGCGGAGGACGCACCGGAGGTTGTGGAGGCCGCGGACGCGGACCGGCGCTCGCAGGAGGCGGATGAAGACATGGCGCTGGCGGACCAGACGCTGAGGAACGACCAGCGCCTGCCGAGCCACGCCGCGGAGCAGGAGCCGGTCCCGCTGCCCGGGATTCCTGTTGGAGGGCCAGCGCCCGACGTGGTGCTCGACATTGACGGGGTCAGCGTATCTGCGCACCTGACGGTGCTCAGCCTGCACTTCAAGGTGAGGAGACGTGCGCCCGTGTGCGGGGCTCGCGCGCAAACGGCGGCTGCGAGGGCATAAGGAGGCCGTGTGCAGGAGCTCCGCAGCGGTTCCTGGGGCCGTGTTCGTCGGATTCGCCACGCTATCCCTGGACGTGAGCTTGAGTTGTCGCGGAAATTCTCGCCCGGGCGATCCATGCGGCCGCGGACGACGAGCGCGGGCGCTGTCTTGCCGGTGACCGAGCAGGCTCGCGCGCCGCTTCCGTCGTTCAGGCCAGCCGCGCCGACGTTCGGATCCCAGCTCGCCCTGATCTGTCGGGGCGCGTTCCATTGCCCTGCAGGCCATCTCCGACGCGAACGACAACAGCAGCAGCTTCATCTGCCACTGGGTCGATGGCCCCCAGCGCAAACTGAAGGTCATCCTGCCGGAGAACGGCACCGGCACCGAGCACGCCATCATGGTGCTCAGTGCCGCGTACGACTCCGACGACCTCATGGACTACATCAAGGCGCAGCCCACGGTGCCTGCGCTTCTGGTACGCTGCAACCGCCGGCGCGCCGCCGACGCGAACGCCCGTCCGGACCACGTATAAACCGTCTCGCTCTCATTACGCGCCGCCCAACGCCGATCTGCGTCGCGCCTCGACGTCTGCAGGACGCCGCGTGCTCCCTGGGCACCTTTGCTGCACACATGGGCGCGCCGGGGCTCGCCGCGAAGATCGACCGCAAGTCCGCGCGCCGGTTCAGTGCTCTCGCGACCCAGGACCTGCGGTGCGTCGCGGCGGACGACTCCGGCGCCCCGGGCGCGCCTATCACCGCCGTGTGCCGCCTGGCGTCGGCAGTCGTCAACGCGCAGCTTCCGGCGCTGCGCGACGCCCTCCTCGCGCGCGGCGCCGACTGGATCACCGCGGCGCTCGCCGCGGCCGACACGGGCGCCGTCGACGCCGTCCGTGACGCGGTCCGCGCGGCTGCACAGTGCGACGACTACGAGGTGCGGTCCGCGGTGACGGAGCTGTGCGTCGAGGGCCTCGTGCGGTCCGTGCGGCGCGGAGACGGCGCGGGCGGAGCCGCCGCGAGCATGCAGCAGGCGACGCAGACGGCGCAGGCTGCGCCGGAGGCACCGGCGGCGCGTGCGGAGCAAGCGCAGGCGGTGTTCGAGCGCGGGCTGCGTTCGCTGCTGCAGGGCGCGAACGAGCACATGCCGGCGATCGCGCAGCACCTGGAGCGCGCCGCCGGGGACGTCGAGCGCGCCCTGGAGACCGCGCGTGCGTCGGTGCAGCGCGACGTGGCGGGCGCGGCGGCGGCAGCGGGCGACGCGTCCGGCGAGGCGGTCGCATCGGCCGTGCGCGCGCTCGTCCGCGGGCTGGCGGACGCGGCCCGGGCGGGGGCCCGCGCGGCCGCCGAGGCCGCGCCAGGCGACCGCGAGGCGAGCCCGCCCGGCGCGCGGCACTACCGCGCCTCGGTCGCGACGTTCGACTTTGTCGCGCGGATCGTGAATGCCGCGCGGACCCTCCGCGACGCGTCGGGGCGCCCGCAGTTTTCGCGCATCATCATCACGGCGAAGGAGAGCGTGACGGTCGACTGGATCGAGGTCTCGCTGCGCTCGGCGTGCATCTTCGACGTGCACAGGGCTGCCGTGCCCGTGCGCGCCGCGGCGCCGAGCAGCGAGCCCGAGGCCGAGGCCGCACTGCCGCACGTCCATATCGTGTCGTCGCGCTCCGCGCTGCCGCCGGCGGTGCGCAGGGGCGCGCTCGTGGTGAACTACGACGCGCCCGACGCGGTCGAGGAGTACGTGCAGCTCACGGACGGCGCCGCGGCCGCGGTGACGTTCACGGCCACGACGCGCGATGAGGCGGTGCTCGCGGACCTTCAGGCCTCGCTGCGGCAGCAGGGGGCGAGTGTCGGCGCGCTGACGCCCGCGATGTCGTACCATGCGCTCCAGGAGGCGCTCGGCAGGGCGCCGCGCTCTGCCTCGACGCGGCGCACGCGTGTGTGCCGCGACGCGCCCGGCGGGCAGCAGGCGCGGGGCAGGGCGCCGGCGCGCAGCAACGTCGAGGGGGACGTCACACGGCTGATCGAGCAGGGCGCACGTGAGCTGCGCAACGCATACGAGCACCTCGGGGTCGACATCGGGCCTCTGTTGCAGGTTGTCGAGTCGCCGCAGGTGAGCAACGTCATCGGGGCGTTCGAGCGGATGATCTCCGGCGCGGCGGGGTCGCAGCGCACGTGAGGGGGACAGGACCGCTGCGGGTGGCGTGGCTGCCGTTGCAGGGTGTGTGAGAGACCTGCTGACGCAGCTTGAGCTTTTTTCCTTCGTTCCTGCGGGTGGAGCGGACTGGAAACATGACCGGCCTGCGGCTGACTGATCTGGAGAGTTCGCTGGGGTGCTTTGTCTGACTGACTCGCGAGTACAAAGTATAGCTCGCAAGATGTCTCTTGTGGTGCTTTCTTTTACACAACGATGCGCCTTCCGTGGCGCTCAACGAGTCTCTCACACGCGCCAAGCTAGAGTCGTCCCGATGCGGACTCTCCGCCCGTGTCGCCGAATCTTCCCGACCGCCCACGCGCCACGCCGCCTGCCCGCGCAGGCGGCCAGCGCGCAGCGGCCCCCGGTGCCGCCGAGCGCCACTCTCCGGCCGCGCTCACAGCTCCTGCTCCGTCCTGCGCGCGACGAGCGCGCCGACGACCGCGCCTGCGAGCGCCGCGGCGGCCATCTTGACCTGCGGCAAAAACGCCCGCCACGCAGGCACCGACGTCTTCGGGTCCGGCGTCATGCGGAGGTAGCCCTTGCCGGAGGGCACGTCGAGGATCTTGAACCCCTTGTCGAACTTCTTCCTCGCGTCCTCGTTCGACACGGTCGGGAGGACCATGCACGACGCCCCCGGGGTCCAATTGACGGGCGTGGCGACGGAGTGGTCGTCCGTCATCTGGAGGGAGTCGATGACGCGGAGGACCTCGGCGAAGGAGCGGCCCGTCGACGCCGGGTACAGCAGCTGCGCGCGCAGCTTCTTGTCCTTGATGATGAACACGGCGCGCGCCGTCAGCTTGTTGCCCTTGCCGTCGAGCTCGAGCGGGTCGAACATGGAGTAGGCGTGCGCGATCTTGCCGCCCTCGTCCGCGATGATCGGGTACGACACCTTGCTGCCCTTGGCGAAGCGAGACGCCTCGATGTCCTGGATCCAGCCCTGCAAGGGAGGAACGAGACAGGAAAGCAGGTTCGTGGGTGAGCGCCAAGATCATATGTCTCAGACTCGAGCCTGAAGTCGAGAAATGCCCGCATCCCAGGTCATGGCTGCCGCCCGGGAAGGTACTACGCCGTCGGCCCGTGCGCGCCGGGTCTGGCGGGGGCTGCGCGGCGAGCGTGCGCACCTTGTGCGACTCGACGGTGTCGATGGACAGGGCGTAGCACGACACGCTGCGCTTCTCGAACTCAGGGAGCAGCGACGCGACGGTGCCGAGCTCCGTGGTGCACACGGGCGTGTAGTCGGCCGGGTGCGAGAACAGGACGACCCACTTGCCCGCGATGTCCGCGTGCCTGCAGCGTCGGGGAAGGCACTAGGTTGTAGGGGGAGCGTGTGCGGCTGTGAGGCGGTGGTTGTACGACAGGACGCCGCGAGCAAGAAGCTGCTTCGAGGAGGGCGAGAGAAGGGATTGCGGTTGTCCAAGTGGGACGCCGAGCGCGGCAAGCAGCGTCCGGCGAGCCAGGTGGTTGGCCCCACACAAAGTCTGTGCGGCGCGCAAAGGTCGGACGTGGAGAGTAACTGCGCGTCCACCACAGTCACCATGATACCAAACATCAATCAGGGACGCAGGAGTCGCGGTATAGGGTGCTGTTCCGCGCAGGCGAGGACCAGGCGAGCTAGGTGGCTGTGGCCGAGCGTCGCGCGCAACGACGCGGCGCTAGGCAAGCGCATCACGCGCAGGACTTCATCGTGTGCCTGATCGATCGGGCCAGCGCGAGCAGACGCGGCACAGAACGCGGATCGACGCAGGCAGGGGGCCCAGCGAGGTCGCGGCGGTTGAGGCAGCACTCGGGGGCCCTGAGGCGGCGCAGGGCCCGCGGGTGGATGCCACGGCTGCGAGGGCCCGTCACTCACCAGTTCACGGGGCCCTGCGAGGACTGGGCCGAGAAGTCCGGGACGACATCGCCGAGCTTGACCATCCTGAGGGAAGGCGCTCTGTGTTTGGTTCGCGAGGGTACCCGACGGGATGCCTGCCAGAGGGACGAGCTGGAGAAGTGACAAGTAGTGACGGGCTGGGGCGCCGAGCAGCCGGAAGGCCGCGACGCGTGGTGATCGAACCCCCCCTCGGGGGGGGGGGAGGCTCCACGTCAGGGGGGTCTCCGGCAACGCCCCTGACACGCAACGCTCCCAGGCACCCAGCCAACCCCTTGGTTTGGCACCACTCCTCCTCGTGCACCAGGACCTAGCGGACACGTCACAAGCACGTAGCGCGAGGCCCTAGCCCGTCGCACACAGCCGCAGCCTGGCCGAGTGCTCCCTCGCGCGCTGCGCACGCAGGCCCGCGGAGCAACGCGTCACGCGCGGCCCAGGCTCCGCTCCAGGTCCCCGGTCGTGCGCGGCATCCGCGACAGCTCCTTGTGCACGATCCTGCGCACCTCCCTGCACGAAAGCACGCGTGCAACGCGACACGGCGCTCAGCGTGCGGCCACGCAGCGCGCATGAGGGGTGCCGAAGAGTTCACGGGACGAGATCGCTGCGGGGAGGCGAGCGAGGAAACACGGTCAAGTCGTTCATGCGTCAGGAGAAGGAGGGGGGTGTTGGCGCACTTGAGCACGGACGGGAACTGCATGTGCCCGGCTCCAGTTTCCGCGAATTTGCGGTCCAGCAAGTCCACCGCCGCGCAAAACACCTCCCCCAGACCCCCCTCCGTCTCCGCAGCCAGCGCTGCGAGGGCCTTCCCCGCTGCGTCCAGCGGGAGCTTCCTGCCCCGGCGACGCTGCCCGGCCGCCTCCCTGCACACAGCCCACAACACCGCGCAGCACCATCGACGTGCTGCTACTTCGTCTTGTGTTGCCGTTCCAGCGCAGCACGTGCAGGCAACGCCACGACCGCGCCGCCCAAGCACGCCCGCATCTGCACGGCACCGCTGCACGCGCACCTCGCCCCCATGATCTCCGCCAGCATCGCCGTGACGTTCACCGTCGCCGCAGCAAAGGGGTACCCGTCCTCGGGGCCGCCGCTGAGCTGGCCGCCCCCGCCGTGGCGGTCCCGGAACCGCAGCTTGTCGTACAGCAGCGGGCGCTCCTTCGCCAGGTACAGGATGAGGTCGAGGGACAGCAGGCCAGTGCTGCGGAAGTCGCGCGTCGGGTCATCGCCCTGATACCCCAGCTCGCGCCACTTCGAGGACCGCACGGAGCTGCCGCTTGGCTGCAGACGCACACGTGCGGGATCGCGCGGGTTGGGACGCGGAGCGGCCCGCCGCCTGGCCGCGCGTGACACATGACAGACACTGCATCAGCAACAGCGTCTTTGTTTGCCTGACTCCCCCGGGGGGGTCGGACCCGCCCTGCGGCGGACTCGCGGCGCGGGAGCAAGTGGCGGGACGCGACGCGTGGCATGTGGGGGCAGGGTAGAGTGGCTATCGGGGTTCGAAACGACATACCGGTTCGTCGTCAGGAAAGGAGGCCGCCCACAGCGACTTGAGCAGGACGCGGTGTTCGGGATTTTCCTTGTCGTAGCTCGTCTCCGCTCGCACGCGCATTCGCGTCACGACGTGCGCCTCGGCCTCCGTGAGGCGGTGTCTACGCCAGGGGGGCGGCAGCAGGCAGCCCACCAGCGGAGTCAGGCGCAGGACGAGCCCGGCGCAAGCCGCCAGCACGTGTCGCAGGAAGTCTGCGAAGCAGGTTGGTCGCCTCGCGTGGGAATCTCACCCCTGTGCCCTCGGCACGGCGCAGTAGGGATGAGGCTCTGCGTGGGGCGCCTCGTTGCCTCCCAAGGTTCGATTCGGCTCAGACGACGCGGCGAGGGTCGCCTCTCACCTATGGCTTTGTTGCAGTGCAGGACAGAGACGACGCCGTGCCCTCTCGGGGACGCGGGCACTGATGGAGCATCTGTGCGCTGGTCGGTGTCTAGCAGCGGCTCGTGCGTGTCCGAAGGGGCGGTTCGGTTGCTCCGGAACGGCCACATGATGGAGCTGTTGGCGGTTGGTCCCGCCGTCGCGGCCCGATCACCGCCCCGCTCCGCCCCTGGGCGTGACGCGCCCCCAACGAGGGCAGGGCAGCAGCCTTGCGTCGATCGTGCAGGGGCGCTCCAGAGCCGCGTCCGACGTAATCGCACGTCTATGAGTTGGAGTTCTCGCGCCCGGGCAAGCGTGCGTGAAAGTCTGCCTGCGCGCCGCGCCGTGCGTGGTCAAATCGCACTGGGTATCATGCGTGGACAATTGAATATGATCCCTCGACTCAGGCTGAACAGCTCCCCCCCATCGTCGGATCGCCACATTGCCGTCGCCGTCGGGGCAGCGCCCGCCGTCTCCACCGTTCCCGGGCCGTATCGTAGCGCCTCTAGTGGTACATTTGGCGTTCGTGAGATCCGAGAGAGACGCGTAGTAGGGCGGGAAAGCAACACATTGTTCTGAAACGCCGCAGGGTCGGTCCGGGAGGCCGTTGAGGTGGAATCTGGGTGCACGATGGGGGAGCTGGAGCTCAAGCTAGACTTCGAGCACTTCCCAGGGCGGTCGTTCACGCTGCTCCTGTTCAAGGACGTCTCCAATGCCAGGTGAAGCCTCGTGCCGCAATGCCAGGCAGCTCACGCGTCGACAGCGACCAAGCGCCTGCTATTCCAACCGCACATTGCGCAAGAACCGGTCATCGAATTCTCCGCCGCGGAGTCTTGCCTCTGGCCCCGGCGCGCCGCCACCAAGCATCACCCTCTCACCGCTCAACCACGCGCAGTGAGCTCGACGCTGCGATCAAGTCGGGGTCGCTGAAGACGGAGATGGCCATCATGAACGCGGCGATGATCGGAGACGCGTTCGTCGCGCACCTCGCCGCCTTCCAGGCGCTCGTTGCCAGCAGCCGAGAGAAGCTGCGGACGCGCACGCTGCACGCCGAGGTTGTTTTCTACATCGCCGCATCGAAGCAGGTACCACACAGTGCACGCTCCCTCCTGCGACCGCCGCAGCGACGGCATCGCGTTCGCTGCCCACGGGCCACGGCAGCCTGCGGTCTCACACAGGGAGCTCGGCGGCTCCGCGCGCGCAGATATCCGAGAGCTTCAGGCGGTTCGGCGTGTCCGACAAGGCCAAGCACGTCCTCGTCGGCATCTTCGACGCCTCGCCGGATGCCGTGAAGGCCGCGAAAGACGCGGTGAAGGGCACGCAAGTGTCTGTGGACCAGCTCCCGACGCTGATGGACCGCGACGCCCTCGTCAAGCACCACGGCATCGAGGATGCCGAGCAGGAGCTCTCGAGCCTCGTCGAGTGCGTCGTCGGGCGTGTGGGCGGCAGGGTCACCGCGTGACGCTCTCGCAGCATGCGCAACGTCGCCTCAGCGGCGCAGCCAGCCAATTTTTTCTTTCTGCACGCGGTCCACGGACGGGTTCCACTCATCAGCACCACGACGGCTCGTCCATGGCGATCTCCAGGCGCGCGATACGCTATGACCATGTCCTGTGACTGGTATTCTCTGCCGATCGACGTCACGCACCGGCGTGCGAGCACTTCGTCCATCACTGGCGTCAACGCAGGGGCTGCTTGATAGGCTGCCTCGCGGCCGAGCCGTACGCCGTCGCGAGGTGCTGTCCCATCAGAAAGGCACTGGTGCTTCAAATTGAAAGAACTCGAATATTAGTTTTACAAACTGTCGCCTTGGCCTTCCCGCGAGGCTACGCCTGGCGCGACGCCGCACGACCTCGCGTGCTAGCACACCGCGCCCTCTCTCCTCTTGGCGCGAACCCCCAGCAGCCCCACTGGCGCAGTGGGTCAGACAAAGCGCTGCCTGTCCTGTTGCGAGCCGCTGCGCTCCGCGCATGGAGCCGGGTCCGCTCGCACACGCCAGGTCTATCCCGTCGCGACCGCACGCGCACTCCGTCACGCAGCGGCCTCAGCGGGCTGCCCGAGGCCGTTGGCGTTGATCTGCGCCATGCGTAGCGGCCCCGCGAGATACTCCTTGATGCCGGGGAGCTGCGCGATGCGCTCGTGGTGCGCGATGAGCGCGGGGTAGTTGGCGCGGAGCTCGTCGCCGGCGATGTGCAGGTGGATGTCCACGATCTCCCACAGCTGCAGGTCGGCGATGGTGAGGCCCGTGCCGACGCAGAAGCCGTCGCCGCCGTTGTTCTTCCTCAGCAGGCCGTCGAGGTACGCGAAGTGCGCGCCGTAGTTCTTCTCCTCGGTCGTCGCGGGGTCCACGTGCCGCGTCTTGTACGCCGCGAGCGCCTCGGCGTCCAGCTTGTCGACGTAGATCAGCATGGCGTACGGCGCACGGATCGACTGCGCGCACGGCACGCGCGCGCCCGAAATCGCGTAGCTCGCTCGGCAGCCGCGACGGCACGCAGATTCAGTTCGCTTCCACGCAGACGGGCACGTCCTGCGCTGCCGTGGGCTGCGCCGCGTTCGTCGTGCCACGCGCGCGCGCGCGTGGCGCTGCATGCCAAGCGCGTGCGCACCTCGACGCCGTCCAGCCACATGTCCACCAGCGCCATCTGCATCAGCGAGCCGTCGCCGTACAAGCCGTGCTTGCGCGCGATGTGGCGGCAGATGGTGTTGCTCTGGACCAGGTCCACCTCGTCGTCGACGTACCGCGGGCACTGCGCGAACGGGTACGCGTCGCGGTCCCCCTTGAGTGCCGGCTTGTCGAGGGGCGCCATCTTCCACCCCAGGTCTTTCGAGGCCAGCGCGAGCTTGAAGACCTCCGTCCTGCCGCGGAAGCCGTCGTCGCCGCCGAAGTAGAAGATCGTCGGCGTCGCCGAGGCGCGCACGCGCAGCGAGGAGGACCCTGCGAGCCCGCGAACACGCGTCAAGCCCGCCGATGAGACAAGGAGCAATGATGCGCGGGCGACGGAGAAGCGACACAGGCTCGAAACGGCAACAGCTGCTGGTACTTGTGCTTGCAGTGCGAATGAAGCAGAAGCGCTTGGCTGGCTGGGCCGGAGATGACGGGGCGGGGTATCGAGCACAGTCTGGAAGGAGAGCCTGATCAGGCCTTAATCGAGGTATTCTGCGGCGATTTTCACCCCAGCACGATACTTCGGACACGAATGGTGAAATCGCGCCCGGTAACAAGGGGGTGTAATGCCTTACGTTGCGCCTGGCGATGGGACCGCCTCTGCACGCGCAGTGCGGCCGCGCGGGGGGCGCCGAACACGCTGCTGGCCATTGCACCGACGCGCTTGATATGCCTCGTATCGCAGGGCAATTCCGCGGGCAGCGCGGGGTCATGAATTCCGCGCAGTGGCGCGTCAGCAGGCTCTCACACCCCCCATGACCCCCCTGGGAGTCGCGTGGGCACGCGCAGCCTCGCTGCAGGCACAGCTGTCGCGACACGGCGCTCAGGCCGTCGCAGCGCCCGGACGAACCGCGTCACGACGTGCTAAGAGTCTTTGTCTCACGATATGCAAGCAGTCACTCGGGGGGCTGTCCGAGGCCGTTCGCGTTGATCTGTTTCAGCCGCTGCGGCCCCGCGAGGTACTCCTTGATGCCTGGAAGCTCAGCGATGCGCGCGTGGTGGCCCAATAGTCCCGGATAGTGCTGCAGCGTCATCCACACAACACAGCAGGCAGTTGGCACAAACGCACTCAGGTCGACGCGGCTACCGGCGCGCACGCCGCCCCGCCTCGGCACAGTGACGGGCGCGGCTGCTACGCGCGTCGCACGCACTCTGCCCCCCGCACCTGCTTCAAGTCGTCCCCAACAATGTTCTTGTGAATGTCGCAAATCTCCCACAGCTCGATGTCCGCGATCGAGAGCCTGTCGCCCACGCAGAAGGCCTGCGCTCCGCCGTTCCGCGCGAGCAGGTCCTCGAGGTACGCGAAGTGCGCTCCGTTGTTGCGCTCCCCCACCGTCGCGGGGTCCAGGTGCTTCTTGCGGTAGGCCGCCAGCGCCGCGCTCTCGAGGCTGTCCGCGTAGATCAGTGACGAGTACGCGCCCCGCAGCGCCTGCACCAACACAGCGGCGCCGCGCGCCAGGTCGTGCGCGAGCACCGCATCCTGCGTCGCATGCGCGCGCGTCGCGACACACGCGCACATGCGCGCGCTCCGCGTGGTCGGTCGGGGCGCGCACCTCGACGCCGTCCAGCCACATGTCGACAAGCGCGGCCTGCGCGCGCGAGCCGTCGCCGTAGAGGCTGTACTTGCGTGCAATGTGGCGGCAAATGGCGTTGCTTTGGACCATGTCAACTTCGTCGTCGACGAACCGCGGGCACTGCGCGAACGGGTACTTCGAGTGCGGCCCGCGGTCCGCCTTCATCTCCTTGTAGTTCGCCGCGTGGACCTCGAACGGCGTGCCCTGCGAGGCGAGAGCAAGCTTGAAGACCTCCGCGCGGCCCCGGAAACCCTCCTCGCCGCGAAAGTAGTAGATGATGGGATTCTTCGACATCGTTGACGCCGATCCTGCGGCGCGGGGAAGGCGAAACACGCGGGGGGTCTTCGGAATGCGCAGCGGTGCGAGAAAAGTCGTTGCGAGACGCGCATTGCGAATGCGGGATTCGGGACGGTTTTCCGAATGTATATGCAGGTAACGTACGGGCGGTGCACGCGTGCGCTGCGTTGTACGAGGGATGCGGTTCCCCAGGGGACGCACGTTCGGCTGCGGTGCTGCAGTGCAGTAGGCTCCACGCCCTGGTAGCGTTCCCCACGGAGCCCCTCGCGAGTGTTCGAAGCATCGCAGCCTTTCTACACAGCAGCCAGGGTGCGGCGCGGTGAAGGCGAGCCCGGAAATCTGCCTGTGGGGGAGTTTCGCGGGGTGGAGGTGTCTGGCGGACGTCCGTGGCGACACTGTCGTCATCGCGCACGCGCCCGTCGGCCCAAGTGCGCGCTCGCTCGCGCGGCCGCGACACAAGCTCGCCTGCGCCGATCCGTCCACCGCAGTTCGCAGCGGCCGGGCGCGCGAATTCCGTGTCGTAGAGACGCCTCTTAGCAGCAGGTACCCGAATACACCCGCGCGCAATCCCGCGTCTTTCGCAGCCTAGGATCGTGCAGGCTCCGCGCGTGCGACACAGGGGCCGCTCTTGATTCATCGGCCCGCCCCTGCGCTGCGCGGCACACGCGCTGGTCGCGTCTAGCTCGAGGCAGCCTGGCCGAGGGATGCAGTGCTCGCCCACGCACGCGGGCTGCCGCTCGCGCCACCTGGCGCAGCTGCTCCCAGCTGGCTCGCGACCCCGCCCCCTCGGAGCGCGTTCCGCGCCGATCCGGCTGAGCCACGGCCACGGCAAAGTGCGATGCGCCTCACCTCACAGTGCGCGGCGTCGGGTAGCGCCCTCACACGTCTCGTGCGGGGCGTGCTCGACCCAGAGGCCCGCGCACAACGCGTTCTGGCGGCCGTCGGACCCGCGCAGCGTCCTCGGGCGACGGCGATGTGGGTGCGCCGCGGAACCTCTGGGCCGTGCCGCGGCGGAAGTCGTGGTCAGCGACGAAGAAACGGACGCGCAGGTGCGCCCGCACGCCTGAACGACTCCCCGCGAACCGCGCGCGCGGGGGCCTGGCGTCGCGCGGACCTGCCGTGCCCCCGGTGACAAGGCGGGGCTCAGCGCGCTTCCGTGCCGCCTCCGCCACGGGCCCTGTCGTGCCTGCATCGATCCCGCCGCGCTGTCTCGTTGCCACGAAGCCTGTTTGCATGGATGCGATGCACTTTCACGCGCGACCGACGCGGCACGCGGCACCCTGGTGAACCACTGCTTCAACGCGCTCGCGCCCTCGCAGAGCTCCGGCGGGACGTGCTCGAATCACGACCACCACCACCACCACGATCACGGCCACGGCCACGCGCACGGGCACAGCCACGGCGCGGCGGCCGTTGAGGCCACGGACACCTGCTGCGGGCACGACCACCACGCCCACCATCACGACCATCACGACCACGCGCACAGCCACGGCGCAGAGGACGCGTGCGGCGTCACGCACTCGCACGACGGCCACGGCCACTCGGACTGCTGCGGGCACAGCCATTTCGGCGCCACGGACACGCCGTGGAGCCGCCTCGTCACGCGCGCCCTCAAGCCCACGGGCATCCTGGCGGTCTGCGAGCGCCTCTCGCACGGCCTGACGCCGCCCCTCGTCGCAGGCGGCCTGCTCGCGGCGTCGACGGTGCTCGGCATGAGCGCCGGCGCCCTCGACGGCTCCCTCGCCACCGCGGCCGCCGTCACCGGCGCTGCCGCGTTCTACGGGTGCTGGGCGATCGTCGGCACGCCCGCCGCGGTCGACGCGATCTACGGCATCGGCGAGGGCCGCACGGACGTGCACGTCCTCATGACGCTCGCCGCCGTCGGCACTGTGTTCATGGACTGCGCCAACGAGGGCGCGCTGTTGCTGGTGCTGTTCGCGCTCGCGCACGCCCTCGAGGACTCGATCACGGGGCGCGCACAGGGCGACCTGTCCGAGCTGCTGCGCAGCACGCCGCCGCAGGCCACGCGCGTGACGGTCGGCGCGGACGGCAGCCCGGACATGGCGACTGCGGTGGTCGTGGACACGCAGGACATCGCGGTGGGCGACACGTGCCTGGTCCGCGCGGGCGAGAACGTCCCCGTGGACGGCCGCGTCGTGTTCGGGCAGGCGTCGGTCACGAGCGCGCACGTGACGGGCGAAGCGGCGCCGCGGACGGCGCGCCCGGGCACCGAGGTGTCCGCGGGGTCCACGAACGAGGACGGCGTGCTGCTGATCGAGGCCACGCGGCTCGCGAGCGACTCCACGCCCGCGCGCATCGCGCGGATGACCGAGCAGGCGCAGGGGCGCCGCCCGAAGGTCGAGCGGTGGATCGACGGCTTCGGCGCCAACTACAGCCGCGTGGTGCTGTTCCTGACCGTCGCGATCGCCGTGGCCGAGCCGCTCTTCGGCGTGCCGTGGCTGAACACCCCCGCGGCCGCGGCGGGCGCGGTCGGCGCGGGGGCGGCCACGAAGGGCAGCATCTACCGCGCGCTCGGCTTCCTGGCCGCCGCGGCGCCGTGCGCGCTGACGGTCGCGACGCTGCCGTACGCGGCGTCGATCTCGCTGCTCGCGAAGCGCGGCGTGCTCATCAAGGGCGGCGAGGTGCGCGCGCAACACGACGCCTTGTTCTGCCCGCGCGCCTCCTGCCACCCCGTGCACATGCCGCCCCGCGCCCGCACAGCTCAGCGCCCCCCCGCGGCTCCACGTACGCGCAGGTGCTGGACGCGCTGTGTGACGTCACGGACGTGGCGCTCGACAAGACGGGAACCATCACCACCGGTCGCCTGGAGTGCACGTCGTTCCAGGAGGTCCCCCTCGGCCCCACGCACGCCGCGACGCTCTCCCTGGGCTCCGCGTGGTCGGCAGCGGTCGCCCTCGCGCGCTTCTCGAACCACCCGGCCTCGCTCGCCATCGCGGCGCGCGGCATCGAGGCCGGCCCGCCCGAGCCCCTCGGGAGCGGCGACGTGGCCGTCGACAGCACCCTCACGGCCTCGCTCGACGAAGTCCGCACCGTCCCGGGCGCCGGCATCGAGGGCGGGATCTGCATCCGCCCGGGCGACGACGTGAAAGCCTCCCTGGGGTCCCTCACGTGGGCGGCGTCGAAACTCGGCCCGGACGCCGCCGCGGCGCTGCACGCGTGGAGCGAGAACCGCCCCGCGCCGGGCCTGCGGTCGGTCCTCGTGCTCGAGCGCGCGGGCCACGCGCCGCAGGCCTACGTCGTCGACTTTGAGGACGAGGTCCCGCGCGGCGCGACGGACGACGTGGCCGCGCTCGAGCGGCTGGGCCTGGACATCTGCATGCTGTCTGGCGACCGCGAGGCGTCGGTCGCGGGCGTGGCGCGGCGCGTGGCGATCCGGCGCGTCAAAGGCGCCATGTCGCCCGAGGACAAGCTGGGCGAGGTGGCGGCGCTGCAGGGCGAGGGGCGGCGCGTGCTGATGGTCGGGGACGGGATCAACGACGCGCCTGCGCTGGCGACGGCGTCCGTGGGCGCGGCCGTCGCGGAGACGCCCAACACGGCGGCGACGGCGGCGTCGGACGTGGTGCTGCTGCGGCGCGGGGGGGTCTCGCGGCTGCCGGCGCTGGTGCAGGCGGCGCGGCGGTGCCGGCGGCTCGTGCAGACGAACGTCGGGATCGCGATGGTGTCGATTTTGGTGGCGGCGGTCCCCGCGGTGGCGGGCTTTGTGCCGCTCTGGCTGGCGGTGCTGCTGCACGAGGGCGCGACGGTGCTCGTCGCGCTAAACAGCTTGCGCGCACTCTCGCTGGACTAGACTGTGACGCACGGTTGGCGCGGTCGGCGTGTCCGTCAATTCTCTCGCGCAGAGAGGTGCTGAAGTGACTGTCCGCGCCAAGCAAGGCGGAGCAGCGTGCTGTTGAAGCGCTCGCGAGCGCAAGGTTCTCGCGCGACGGGTCGTGCGTGAACGTCGCGGCGTGGCTGGACGTGGAAGAGCAGCGCTGGGGGCCCTGGCGGGCCCCAGCGTGCGCAGTCTGCATGCAGCTGGGGCGGCAGGGGCGTGGGGCGCGCGGTGCGTCGTTCGGGGCCGCCAGCAGGGCGCCGGCGCGGTGGGAGAAGAGTGTGTGGGGAAGGGTCACAGAGCAGCCGCCGTCTCCTGGCGCTCCTCTGCTTAGTTGCGGCCCCCCCGGTAGCCGCGGGTGCCCTTCTGGGTGTCGACGCCCGGCAGCGTGGACATGCCCATCTCGCGCAGCATGTCCAGCGTGTCCCTGTCCACCTCGATGTTGTCCACCTGGACCGCCGAGGTCTCGGGCAGGAAGTCCAGCCTGCGCTCGCGCTCCTCCTCCTGCAGGTGCGGGGCAGCGCGGGGGGCGCACGCCGCGGTTTCGCGAACTCGACCGAACGCGGCCGAGGAAAGTTGCGGGCGGGGGGCGCGTGCGCGGCGGCAGGGCTCGCGCGGGGCCCGCACGGGCCTCGGCGGACCGGGCGGCGCCACAGCGTTGCGCGCGCCTCGCGGCCGCCCTGGCAGGCCTCGCCCCACGCGCGGCGACCAAAACACGAATTTCGGCCGCCCCGCGCAGCGAACGCTCGCCCGGACGCATCGCGGCGGGCTGCAGGGCGTGCTCCAGGCCCGGCAGGCTCTCCGCGAGGCCGCCCGGCCTCCACGGGGGCTGCAGCGCCGGCCCGTGTCGACCACAACGGCACAGGGGGGCGGGGGGCGCGGGTGGGCGCGCAGCCACGCACCTGCAGCTTCAGAGAGATGCCACGAACCGGCCCGCGCTGGATGCGCTTCATCAGGTGCGTGGTGAAGCCGGCGATCTTGTTGCGCAGCCGCTTGGTCTGGATCACCGCGACCTCATCGATCACGCGCTTGTTCGTGTCGAAGTCGAGCGTGAGCTTGTTGTAGTACCGCTCGATGAGTTGGCGGCTGTACCGCTTGGTCGTCTTCGTGCGCACCCTGCCCATCGTGGATGCTTCTTTCTCGCTGCCACGGACGGGGAAAGAGGGCGGGCCGGCCGCTGGCGGCGCCCCGTGAGGCGCGGGCGGCGAGGGGCGTTGGCCACGGGCCCGGTGCCTCACGCCCCCGCGGGCCCCTCTCGCCTCCGTGTGCCTCTTAGGTGGGCCGCAGCGATCGCTGCGGCGAACGAACTCAGCAATCCTCACACGAGGACCCTATATCCGGGCTGGGAGAGGCGGTCGGGTGCGCGTCGCGCGCACCGGCGACAGCAGCAGCAGAAGTGCCCCAGGGGAGCCGACGCGAACCCGGACCGCGCAGAGGGACGCGCGTCGAGCAACCGCCCCCGCGGCCGCAGTCCCTCGCGGCCCGGGGGGCGTCGGCGAGGCACGGACGCCCCCCCCCCCCACAACGCTGTGTTGTCCATTTCTGTATCGCGGCACATTGCCACGGGGAACGCGCTCCAGCCCGCCACGTCACTCCAGCCTGGGACGCCGCTGCTCGCCGCGAGCGCTGGACGCGATCACGGCGCAGCCCGCGCATCAGAGACGATCGCACGCCACAAGCAGTGGGCAACACACACTGGCGTGCCAGCGGCTACGAATCCGCGGCGCCGCGCTGAGCCTCGCGGCCCCGCACGCCCGTTGAGCGGCCCGCTGCTCGCCACGCAAAACCCTCTCTACCAGTCCCTCACAACACTCCCCCAGAGGTCTTTCCTTCTCGTTGGCCTCAACTACCGCTTCTAGTGCCGCTCACGCGCCCGAGCCGTTCACGTGCCCACCCGCGCGCTCTGCGCCTCCTTCGGCTTCGCGGCCTGCGCCGCCGCCGCCGCCGCCCGCGACGCCACCTCGCTCGCGCGCTGCTTGCGGTACTCCATCGCCGCCTGCAGCGCCTTGTTCGCCCGCCGCGCGCCCGGGCCCTTGGCCTCCTGCCCCGCCATCAGCTTCGCGCGCGCGGCCTCGAGCCCGTCGCCCGGCCTCACCGCGGCCGGCGCGCTGCCAGCCCCCCCCTCCGGGCTCTGTGCGCGCTCCTCCGCCGCTGCCATGTCGCGCAGCGTCTTCTCGACCTGGCGCAGCGGCGAGTCCGCGTCGTCGTCCTCGTCGTGCGAGGCGACCGACTCCCACGGCGCGGCGGTGTCCGAGGCGGCCGGCGGCGTGGGGCGCGCGGCGGCGGCCGCAGCGGCCTCCGAGGCGGTGCTCGGGCCCTCGTCGATCGACCCGGTGAGCTGCGCGCCGTTCTTGGCCGCGCCCGCGCGGTACTTGAGCGCCGCCGTCATCCGGAGCTTCGCGGCGGCGGCGGAGGACGCCGACGACGGCACCGAGTTGATGTTGGTGGGCACCGTGCTCATGCCCGAGCCGCCCGTGATGTTCGGGACGCCGCGGCTGGCGCCGGCGCCCGCGGCGGGCCGCGCGGCGTTGATGTTGTTGATCGAGGCCTGCGCCTCGGCGTCGGTCGGGCGCGCGGACCCGATGCGGTTGCGCAGCGAGGGCGTGCTGGAGAGCACGTGCTCGCGGATGACGAGGTACTTCTTGTACCGCGCGATGAGCCACTGGATCCCCGTGTGCTCCACATCTGCACGCAGCGAAACGCAGAGCCCCCTCGTCAGAACAACAACAACAAGTGATTGCGAAACACAAAACGCCCCCCCCGCCTCTCCGCGACGGCGCGAGCGCGACGCCACGCGGCCAGACACGGGCGTCGCAGCAGCGTCTCGGCGCGCGGGCCGTCGTGCGCACCTGCCAGGCGCGGCTTGCGGCCGTGCTGCGTGACGAAGGCGCTCGTCCAGGGCTTGAGCTCCTCCTGCAGCGCGCGGTACTCGCGCAGCATCCCCGTGTACTCGTCGACCACCGCCGACACCGTCGGGCGGTCCTGCTTCTTCGCCGCGCCCCCGCGCCGCACCGGCCCCACGCCGCCCCCGCCCCCGCCGCGCCCGCCGCCGCCCACCGCCATCGTCATCACGCCGCCCCGCGGCCCCGCGACCGCGCCGCTCGCGTCCACGAGCGACGCGGACGGCCCGACCGCCGCGGCCATCACCTTGGCGTTCGACGGCCGCCCGCGGCCCCACGCCGGCACCGAGTCGTACTCCTCCCTGTAGTGCAACTCAATGGCCTTTAGCACGCGCGCCGCGGCGTGGCGCTTGCGCTGGGCCGCCGCGATGGCCTCGCGGTGCGCGGTGCTCTTCGGCTTGCCCGCGAGCGCCGCGGAGACCTTCCTGCGCGCCTCCGGCGCCAGCGTTTTGCCGGCCTTGAGCTTGCTGAGCTTCGTGCGCACTTTCTGCGGTGGCGGCGGGCGTCGGGCGCGTTGGGACGCCGGCGGCGGGCTGGGCGCGGGTGCGGCTAGGCGCTGGCGCGGCGGCGCGGCCCGAGCGCCGCGGGGCCCGCTGGGCAGCGACGCTGGGTCGTGTCGGCGGTGCTGGCAGCACGACGGTCGCGGCGCGAGAGCGGCGCGGCGCGGCGGCCGACGGCGCGTGTGGGCCCGGGCGGACGCGGGCATGCGCTGTGCGCGGCGGCTGGGGCGCGGAGGCCCGGACGGCGGGCGCGGGGGCGGCGGGCGCGCGCGGGAGCGGCAGGCGCGGACCTGGCTGACGGGGCGGCCTGTTCGCGCGGCCGCAATCTTCGCCTTGTGCTCCTCGGACAGCGACCGGCCCTTGTTCCAGGGCGTGCGACCCTTCAGCTTCTCCTGCGGCCGCGGATCGAGCGCAATTGGCTGCGTTTCAGCGACGGATAGACAACCGAGGCACTCCATGGTGCGCGCATCATACGTTGCAGGCCCCGGCGTGCCGCCAGCGCGGCCTTCCCGGGCGGTGTGCGACCATGAGCGGCGCCGCAGCGCGCCATCGGAGGCGGAACGTCCCGCGCTGCGTCGCCGTCGCCGTCGGCAACGGCAGAAATCTCCGCCGGCCCGAATGCGCATCGCGCGCCGCGCGAGCGGGCTCGATGCGCGTGGGGCCGCGCGGGGCCGCGAGCCGAGATACTGGGGCGCGCGGAAAGTGGATCATCGGGCCGTTCCGGGCGCGGGCGGCGACGGACCGCGCGAGGGAACGTGGGGGCGGCGCGGGCCTGTGCACGGGAGGTCGCACGCGCTGGGGCGGCGGCGCGGGGCCGCGTCGGGGAGGCGGTGGCTGGCGGGGGCGCGGGCGGGCCCGGGGCGCCCTGCGCCGGGGCATCAACGTTGGGCGCGGGCGGATCGCGGCGCGGGGCGGACCTTGACGCGGTGGCGCAGCTCAGGGTCCTTCCAGCGCCGGCGCTGCGCTCTCGCGATTTTCTTCTTGGCCTCGTCCGACATACCGGTGGTAACTACGTCCGGGAGGTCCTCGATGGGGGCGCTGACGTCGGCCTCGAGCGGCGGAGAGAGCACGCTGGCCAGCTCATCCTGGGCGGGCCCGAGCGCGCACGGCGTGGCGATGCGGCGCTCGAGTCCGCGCACTATGATTGTAGAGGGCAGCACAAGCAGCCGCTCGGCGGTAGGACACACGCGCGGCGTCGACGCGAACGCGGCGCGCGAGAGGGTCGCCGTGTGCCGGGCGAACATCGCGCTGCGACGTCGATGCGGCTTGAACGGCGAGCGGGAACGCCACTGAAGTGTCTTCGCTGATCGTAGGAGCGCCAATTACTGTCGTCCGCGCGCGCGCGTCGCCCCGATGAGCCGCGGCGACCCGAGCCCGAGCTTCGGGGGGGCTCTCGTGCGCGTGCGGCAGGCCGGTCAACGCGCGGAGTCGGCGGAAGGCGGCGCCATTCAACAATTCACTGTAATGTCCGCGGAAATCCGCGCAGGCGTCCCGGTCTACGTCGACAGCTCGTCGGGGTGCGCTCGAGGGAATCTAGATGCAGCTGCCGCACGGCGCCCCACGCGAGGTCCCGTCGCGCACGGACGCTCCCCGCGCGCGCGAGGCCTCTCCCGCGACTGCGCTTCCCGCCCGCCTGCCCACGGACGCGTTTCTCCCCCCAGTTGCGTCCACTCCGAGGCCGGGGTCGTCTCCAGCAACCTGCCGCCGCGAGGTTCCTGCAGGGTCGACTCGGACCGTGAGTCGCTTCGGCAGCACCGGGCATCGCTCCTGCGACGGAATGCGACGCGAAAGGCGGCCGCGGCGCACGTTCGACGACAGCAGGCATTCAGGTTCGTTGGGGCGCACGAACGCCGCGCTGCCGACGCGAACACGGGACGATGCCGCGCGCACGGGCGACCACGACGGCCTCCAGTTCGATCCGGTGCTTTGCATGGCGCGGCGGGAGGCGGAGGAGGCCGCGGAGGCCCAGCGGGCGTACGCCTCGGCGGAGCAGGCGTGGCGGGGGGGCGGGGCGCGGCAGGGCGGCGCGCGCGACGAGCGTCCGGCCGAGGACGACGGATACGAGCCGGACGGGGACGCGGGGATCCCCGCCTCGGCGCGCAAAGGCGGGCCAGGTGCAATACCCCCCCCCTCCTCTTGTTGGACGACCATCCGAAACAGCTCCCACCATCCGCCCTCGCCGGGCGCCGGCGCGCCGGAGCCACCGCGAACCGGCCGCGGCCGTCCATCTGCGCAGATCTCGCGGCGTGGCGCGCGCACGAGTCGCGCTGGCGGTCCTTCGAGGCGCAGTTGAAGCAAGGGGCGCGCGGCGACAGCGACGGCGACGGAGCGGCGGGCGACGCGGACGCGCCGGCGCCCAGCCTACGCGAGGCGGACGTGCCGTGGCCGCCGGACCCGGAGCACGTCCTGGCGGCGGCGGCGCGGATGCACGGGGCGGGCGGCAGCGCCACAACGGCCCGCGCCGCGCAGCAGCACGCCCTGCGCGCCGCGTACCTGCGCGTCTCCCTGCGCTGGCATCCGGACGCGTGGAGCCGCGTGCTGCGGCGGTTCGCGGAGCCGGACGCCGCCCGCGTGATGGCCCGCGTGCAGGACATCAGCAAGGCCGTGAACGCGGAGTGGGCGGCGCGGGTGCGGGTCCCGGCGTGACGCGCGGCGCCTTGCGAGCTGCTGTGACGTCGAGCGCGCTGTCACAGGCGCGGCGGCGCCGTCAGCCCACGTAGTTGAGCACGGCGAGGTGCAGCAGGGCGTTGGCGACGGCGAAGTCGGCGTACGCGCGCTCGCTCGACACGCTGGGGAAGAAGGAGCGGTTGACGGGGTCGATCTGCATCCGCAGGCACAGCGTCACCGAGAACATCGCCAGCGAGCCCAGGAAAGCTGCAGGGGCGGCCGAGGGGACGGGTCTCGCGTGGGATGCAGGGCGGCCCGGGGTGCCGCGCGGGGCGGGGGCGGAGCGGCTGCTGCGCCTGAGCGGGGCGCGCGGCGCGGTTTGCGGGGGCGACCGGCGCAGCGCACGGGCGGGGCGTTGCGCGGCGGCCCCCGACCGCAACGCGGAGGTCGGCGCGCTCGACCGGCATGCGGACGATGTGGTCGCGGCCAGCGCGCGCTCGCGTCGCCGTCGGCCGCCTGGAAGCGCGCCGGGGGGCCGGTGCGTGCTTGCTCGGGCGTCTGGGCCGCTCACCGGCTAGGAACGAGTTGAACGGGAACGTCCCGTACAGCAGCATGTAGAGGAAGAGGATAGCCGCGGTTCCCAGCTCGAAGCCGACGAAGGCGTCCACCATCCGGACCTTGAGGGGCGTCTTCTGGTACTCAATGAGCCCCTCCTTGACGATCCACGTCAGCTGGCCCACGACGTCCTTCGGCTCGGCCTTCGCGCTCATCGCGACGGTCTTCGCGAGTCCGGCGCCGCCGTCGCAACCTCCCAAGCGCGCCCCCCGCGCCCCGCACAGCCGTCTGAAAACCCCCTGTGCAAGCCCACACTACGAACGCGCCCGGGGCTACGTGGGTGACTCAGTGACCCGACGGGGCGATCCGCACGCTTCTGTCCGCGCGAGCGGCGCCGCGCGCTCAAGTCCCGCGGGCAGCCCCCCGGGGACACAGGGCCCTGTGGCGGGAGGGGCCTCCGAGACAACGGGCCGGGGCCAGCTGAGACCCGCCCGGGCCTTTGTTGATCGGAGCACGCGCCGCGCAGCCGCGTTTCGCGCCCGGCTGGCACGATCTTCCGGGCACGGTCCACCTGCGCTGCACGTACCCGTGCGAGAGAGGTGCTGGCAGACGGCCTCGGGCCTGTGGCCGGAGCAGGGCCCGCCGCGTCGTTCTCGCGCCCATGGGGCGGACGGAGATCTGAGCTCCTGTCCGACATGACGCACGGGCACGGGCTCGCCCGGCCCGCGCGCTGCCCGCGCGCTCCCCCCTCGGTGGACGTTAGGGCGCGGGCTGCTGGACCGCACGCTGCGCGCGGGGCGAAGATCGGCACGCGTCGTGCTGGGCAAGGGATCTCCCAGCCCCACCCCGGGGCGATGCGCTGTCGCGCGGAGCCCCCTCGCCCGCTGGCCAGCGCGGCCTCCCTCCCGCTCGACGGGCGGCGCATCGCGGTGACGTCCCCGCGGCAGTACGCGGTGCGCTTCCCCACGCCCCTGCCGCGCCTCGCGCGCCCCCTCGATCCCGCTCCCCGGCCGCCGGCGCGCTCAGGCGGCAAGTGCCGCGCCATGGCGTGTGTGCAGGGCGGGCTCTCGCAGCGTCTCGTGGACGCCGGCGCGCGCCCCATCTGGACGCCGACCATCGAGATCCGCGGGCTCACCGAGCGCGGCGCGGTCGAGGAGCTCGACGGCGGCGCGCGGGCGCTGCTGAGCGGGGCGTACACGCACGTCCTGTTCAGTTCCAAGAACGGCGTCTACGCGCTGATGGCGCACCTGGAGGACCTCTGCGGGACGCCGGAGGCGGCCGCGCGGGCGCTGTCGGCGTCCGCGTCCGTGTGGGCGCTCGGCGCGGACGGCGAGGTGGCGCGAGCGCTGGGCGTGGAGCCGTGCGAGGTGCCCCCCGAGGCGTCGACGCAGGGGCTGGTGCGGGAGCTGGTGGCGCGCGGCGAGGCGGACGGGGCGCGGGCGCTCGTGCCGGTGCGTGCGCGCGCGACAAAACTGCGCGCCCTGCGGAGAAACAAACAACAGCACGGCGCTGACCGAATCGCGTTCTGCGGCGCACGCGGCGCAGGTGCCGACGGTGGCCGGGGGGCTGCGGGAGCCGCCGGTGGTGCCGCGGTTCATGGCGGCGCTCGAGGCGGCGGGCGTGCACGCGCACAGGGTCCCGGCGTACGAGACGGTGCTGGCGGACGCGGGCGACTGCGCGGTGGAGCTGAGGATGCTCGAGGAGGGCGACGTCGCCGCGGTCGTGTTCACGTCCACCGCCGAGGCCCAGGTACCGTGCCCGCAGACGGGCGTGTCCCTTCTGCTGGGATGGAATGCTGCAGACGCCGGGCTCGCGGCATGCGTGGCCGCAAGCAAGCGCGCACACGTGCGCGCGCGCGCGTGCAGGGGCTCGCGGCTCACTTTGGGGGCGCCGCGGCTGCGGCGCGCGCGCTGGAGCGGGGCGGGGTCGTGATCGCGGCGCACGGACCGTACACTGCGCGTGGGGTGCGCGAAACGCTGGGCCTGGACGTTCCGGTGGTCGGCGTGGACTACAGCAGCTTTCAGGGGGTGACGGACGCGCTGTGCGCGCACTTCGCCCCGCCGTCGTGAGCCTGGCGCTCGTCAGGGACGCCTGGCGCACGCACGCGTGCTCGTCGGGGCCCGCGGAGAGAGAGGGGCCGGCCAAGAGGGGCGGTGCGGTGCTGTGTGCGGGCCGCGTGCGATGCGGTGCGGACGTCGCCGGGGCGGCCTGCGCATGGCGCCGCCTCGCACGGCGGTGCGCGTGGAGGCGCGCCAGGGCGGGAGCGGCGGGTGCGCGCGAGACCCGGTGTCGGCGGTCGTGCACCGCGACCGACTCTATGTAAATATTACGGATTGCGTCGTAATCTTCAAACGCTGATCCGAAAGGCGTGAAATTGCCCCGGCGTGGCAGCGAGCTGGGCTGAACTGCCCAGACTTGTCTACCAGGGGGCTGTAGCTCAAATGGTAGAGCGCTCGCTTAGCATGCGAGAGGTACGGGGATCGATACCCTGCAGCTCCATCTCGTACGTTCATACCACGGCGAATATACCCGATCCCATCAGAACTCGGAAGTCAAGCGCCGTTGGGCTCGATTAGTACTGGGGTTGGGGACAACCTGGGAATCTCGAGTGACGTACGGACCTCTTGCTCTCGACTGGGCCTCCAGCTAGGGGGGCGCCTTCAACTAAGGGGGCTGCTGTCGATTGCAAGGGCACCGGGGCAATCGAGGAACCTCGAATGCCGGAGAGCGCGGTGAATTGGTAACGTCCTGGCTTGTTACGCTGGCCTCCTTTCGCTCGCGTCACCCCCGTCATTTTGCCGCTGCTGTGTGCGCGCCCGAATGCCCCGCTCCCGCCGTGCCAGCTCGTCTGAGGACAGCCATCGCGGCGACTCCAGCGACGCCGCATGCGCATGGACTCGGTGCGCGTCGCCTCACAGTGCGGCCATCGCCATGACGACCCCTACGGTCGCCTCCGCATGGTGCGCAGTACGCATCCTCTCCTCACCCACCGCACGCGGCCCTCCTCCGGCCCGTGCACCTTGACCACGTGCGTGGGCAGGATGTCGAGCCAGTTGGCCATCAGCTCGCTGCACCCCGTGACGTCGACCTCGCGCAGGCTCGCGGCCCACAGCGGGACGTAGCGGATGTTGGAGTCGCGTACGCACAGCGTCCTGATGTTCCAGCCGTAGGGGCGATAGCCCTCGTGCAAGAACGTGTGCTCGACGTTGCGCGCGTCGCGCGTCTGCAGGGCGCACGACGGTGCGGGTGGCTCCGAGCCCACGTCAACGCCGCCCGCCCCCCACGCGAGGAGCTGGCTCGTCCTGTGCGTTGGGCCCGGCCAGAGCGGCGCGTCGCGCAGGCGGGGGTCCACGATCAGCGACCTCAGAGCCGCCAATCCCCGCGGCAGCTCCGTCCGGCGACTCGTCTTGCACGACCGCAGTTCGAGGTCCGTCAGGGTCCTCCTCGTCTCTGCGCTCCACGTGCTCTGCTCCACGAGGTCGCACGCGCGCAAGCTCAGCTTGCGCAGCGCCGGCATCACGCCGACCTGCCCCTCGACGTTGGCGATCTCGAAGGCCTCCAGCTCGAGCTCCGCCAGTCGCGCGGAACTGCTCGGCGGCAGCCAGTCGTCGGGGAGTCGGCTTCCGTGCAGGGGGCACAGAGGCCGGCTGCCGCGCGAGAGCGACAGGCTCCGCAGCGCGCGCAGCCCCGGCGGCACCTCGCGTACGTTGCAGTCCGTCAGCCGCAGGACCTCCAGCCGCCCGCGGGACGTCTCCGGCAGCCACGCCTCCGCGTCCAGGAACCGGCACCCGCGCAGCTCCAGCTCCTCCAGGGCCCGCATGTCCGCCGGCAGCGCGCGCAGCCCGTACGAGGGGTCCGTCACGCGCAGCTTCCGCAACCGCCCGGTGTCGGCCGCGACGACGAACCGCTCCCACAGAACGCTGGCCTGCCCCAGCGCCAGCTCCTCCAGCAGCGGCAGGGGCGGCACGACGCACCGCGGGTCCTGCGCGTGCGAGAGCGCGAAGCCCCACACCTCGAGCGCGCGCAGCGCCGTGCCGGCCGGCACGCGCTTGAAGGCTGTGGCGTCCGCGCGCAGCACCTGCAGCGCCCCCCGCGAGCTGTCCGGCAGCCAGTCGTCCGCGTCGAGGCGGTAGCACCGCGACACCGTCAGCGTCGCCAGCGATCGCAGCCCCGGAGGCAGGCGGCGGATGCGGGTGTGGTCAACGTCGAGGACCCGCAGCGCCCCCCGCGAGCTCTCCGGGAGCCACTCGTCCGCGTCCAGCAGCATGCAGTTGGACACCGTCAGCTCCCGCAGCGCCGCGAGCCCCGCCGGGACGCGCCGCAGCCGCGTGCCAGGGGCCTCGAGCACGCGCAGCGTGCCGCGCACGCTTGACGGCAGCCAGGAATCCTCGCACTCGACCCAGTCCGCCCGCACGCCCCGCAGCGACACCTCCCGCAGCCCCGTCATGCCCGCGGTGATGGGCGGGGGGGGATCGGGATCGGCGTCGACGCCGACGTAGGGCGAGGGGGCGACGCGCACCACCGACTCCTCAAGCGCCGGGTCCGCTCCCACCGCGCAGTACACCCGCCACTCCCCGCACCCCGTCGCGTTCCACCCCACCAGTGCCCGCGTCGCCGGCGCCCCGCCGTGCGCGTGCAGCTTCGTCGCGACGCCCTTGCCGGTGACGGTGTCCTCGCTGCACCAGCGGCACGCGCCCGCGCCGTCCAGGGACTCGAGCACGCGCCGCATGTATGCCGACGACGTCGACGCCAGCGCCACGCGGTCGCGGGCGTCGAGGTGCGCGCGGACGACGGTCGAGAGCGGGCCGTCGCCGCCGCCCGAGATGAGATCTTCGAGGAGCAGCGTGGGCGGGACCCTGCGTGGCCGTCGGGGGCGGGATGCGTGGGCGCGCGTCGCGAGGCGCGTGGCGTCGTCGTGGCGCCGGTGCGTACGTACCTAGGTGTGCCCGCCGCGGCGCTCCTCCCGACCTCGGCGCTCATGGCGTCGGCGCGAGAGGAGTGGTACCTGCAGGAGCGAGAACGATGGGGGCTCGCGTCACGCGCGTCGCCCGGCTCGGTCCAAGGATGCGGCGCCAGGCGACGGGCGTGGGCGCGTGTGTCGACGGCACTCCGACCCGTATTGTGTGTCGACATCGTCACCACTTCGATGTCGACGAAACGAGCGGCAATGTCGAGCTTTCCTGTCCAGACATGCGACGCACGCGAGGGCTTTGTGCTGCTGGTGGGCGCTCCGTCGTCGTTGCAGCCACGCGGGCGCTCACGCGCGCCCAGGCAAGCATGGCGCGTCATGCACGCGAAGGACGCACTCGTTCGTCTCCGCACGTCCCACCGCAGCCCGTTCCCGCGCCGAACAGCGCCCCCGGGAGCCGCGTTGGCTGGTCAGGCCCCTGGTGATGGCGCCTGGGGGCGGACCGCCGAACGGAGCAGAGACGTCGGCCGTGCGGCGAACTGCCCCTGCGTGCGAGCGCCCGCCCCGGGCGGAGAGAGGCCCCGAAGTAAGGGTGGGACGTTTCATGCTCATCACTGACCTGACTAGACTTGCCTGCTTTGTGGTCAGGCGGGGGTGGTTTTGTGTCGTGCCGCGGCGTGGCGGGCGGCGCGCGCAGAGCGGGAGCGGCTCCGGCGTCCCTGCTGCCGCGGCGGGTCGCGCGGCGGCTTGGGCGAGACGAACGTGCGTTTGCGCGACGGTGATGATGAGCGGCGCATGCGTGGCGCCGGGATGGCGGTGAGGCTGCGCGTTGCCGCACGCGCGCGCCTGCCTGCGCGGACGGCGCTAGCGGAGCACGTCGCGGCGCGCGAGCGACCTGGGCGTGCGGCGCGCAATCACAAAAAGTGTCGCGCAGGGTGGCCGGGGCGCGCGTCATCGGTTCGAAGGGCGTTGTGCAGGGGCGCAACAAGACGTGGACGCGCGCGCAGTGACGGAGTCAGACTCACGGTGACTGAGCTGAGGTGACTGAACTGAGGTCACTCACACCCCGCGCCGCGCGCGGACAGCGCGGTCACCACGACGCAGGTGCCTCAGCACGGCCGTGAAGAGGCCGTTCGCGTGCCACGCGGGGCGGCCCCTGCGCGCGTCGATGAAGGCCACAAGGACCACGCCCTTCGCGTCGCCGAGCCCCTCGTCCTCGCGCTCATTGCTGTCGCTCGCCCGGTCCATGTACAGAAGGAGGTTGGTTGGCGGGCGCGTGTCGGGCCCGGACGGGTCGAAGGTGACCGGGATGCGCTCCCATCCACACACGTTCTCTGTCGCCGCCTGCACGCGCCAGCCCACGAAGCCGTCGTGCTGCACGCCCCACAGGACCCTCTCCAGACGCGCATCGTCCAGCATGTAACCCTTGACGTACGCCTTCTGCGTCTTGTCACGCCCCCCCTGCGAGTTGGTCGTGATGAACCCCAGCGCGTTCATCTCGGCCAGAGCGCCGTGCGCCGCCTGCTCGATCTGGCTGTAGCCGGGTGGTTCGATCAGGCTCCCGGCGCGAATCTCCCTCGCGCGCTTCTGGCCCAGGGCGCTCAGGCTCGACATGGTCTGCGCCAAACATGGACCGCGCAGAGATGTTGCGACACACGCCAGCATGGCCACTCGGCGCAGGCAACGGCGCAGTCGGGACATACGTCGCGATGCGAGGAGCGGGAACGCGCGGGATCAGGGCCGCGGGCGGGCGCCCCGGGACGCGCGAGCATGGATTCGATGGGGGCAATGCACGACGGCGGCCCGGGGGCGCAGGGCGCGCTGGTGGTCCCGCACGCGCGCGCACGGACGCCACACAATTATCTTTCGCGGTCCGGGTGGCGCGGTGCGGCTGCCTCGCGGGCCTGCTGCGCGGGTCGCTCACTGTGGTGGGTCCTCGCTCCACGGACGTACCGCACGAAGATTGGCCCGATCGGTCCCGGGAAGAACGAAATGCAATCTATCCGGCCGCCTGCGCGCCGCAACGTCGCGCGCGATCCTCGAGCGCGCGGGGGGGTCTCGCTGGCGTTTGAGGCCGACAGCGGCGCGATGTGACCCGGCAGGCCGCGGGGGGCGCGCGGCCGCGGCGCGCCTGGGGCGACGGACCGGAGTCGAGCGCCCGACCTGGCCGACGCGTCGTCCGCCGCGACGCAAGCCGAGGAGGCGGTTCGATCCCCACGTTCGTGTTGTTGTACAACACGAACGTTGTTGTGGTTCGATCCCCGTGATCGTGTCGCGCGGGGTGCTCGTCGCGTCGCGCGGGCCGCCACGCGTCCATCCGCAAGGGGGGATCGGCAGGCCGCGGCGGCGCGCGGGCCCGTTGTTCGGGTGGCCTTCGGGCGCGCGACGCTCCAGTCGCCCACCACCATGCGCCGTGGGAGGGCCGCGCGACCGTGCCGCGGTGGCAGCGCGTAGCTTGAGCTCCGCGGCTGCGCGGCGAGGCGGCGTGCCCGGCACGCAGCACCCGGACGACCCCGCCGCGCGCAGCACGTGCGCCCACCTGTGTTGACACCTGCCTCTTCGACGCACATCCGCCCGGAGGCGGTCTCTGGAGACGCGCGCGGTCGCGGATCTCAACCTCGCTCATATCCTGCGCAAAAGAGTCCCCGTTTGCGATCGTGCGGGTCCAGTGTGCGCCGGGGGCCGAGAAGAAGGGGCTGCACGTCGCCACTGCGGGGCATGTGTGGGCGCACGGCGCGTTTCCTACAAGTTACGAACAGTACAACATGTATGCATGACGTTCTGCCGGAGAACGGCGAGGGCGGGGCTGTCGGCCAGCCGCGGTGGACGCAAACAAACACGCGCGGCCATCGCGGTCACCTGCTGCAGCGCGCCTGGGCGGGCGCTGGTGCGGGGACCGGCCGACCCCACCTATCCGCACGGGGCCGGTGTGCAGCCGGGGTCGCGCGCGGCACGCAGGCCCTGCGCGCGCCCGCTGGTGGGACTGCGTAGCAGCCTGGCCAGCAGCCCCGTCGCGGGAGCCACCATGTCGCGGACCACCCTCATGGCCACGGATGCGGCGCAAGTTGCTGAAGCGCTGTCTCCGCGCCCCCTTGGTGCCGGATCCGGGGGCGTGGGGCCTCAGTCCCCCAGCCTGGAGGCGTTGCACGTGTCACGCCGCGGGCCGGGCCGGGGGCCCCGTCACGCTATTTCGGCGCCGCACAGCCCGATCAGTGCGAGTCCCCGTCCACGCGGTGCAAGCTGTCGGGACGTCAGTCCTTGCGTTGGCGTGAATCCCGACTCGTCCCTCCTTTTGCGCGGCACCGGTCCGCTGCGTGCGTCGCGCCGGCGTGGCGGTGAGGCTGCGCGCCCACGCACGCGCGCGCATGCCTGCGCGGACGGCGCTGGCGGAGCACGCCGCGGCGTGCGAGCGACCTGGGCGGCGCGGCGGCGGGCGTTCGGCGTGCGGCGCGCAAGCACAAAAAGTGTTGCGCACGCGTCGCACGGACCGCGCTGGAGCTGCGGTCGCGGCAGCAGGGCGCGCACACGTAGAGTCAGCTGCCGCAGGGCGGGCGAGGGCAGCGGGCGGCGGGCGGGTCGGCGGGAGCAGCAACAAGCTGGGGGACCCACAAATACGTCCATAAGGACCAAGCACCCGATGTGGGGGTCGAACCCACGACCACAAGGTTAAGAGCCTTGCGCTCTACCAACTGAGCTAACCGGGCAGGGCTAGCATGCAGCATCGGTGTCGCAGCGTTCGCCGCGCTTGCATTTTCTTAACACACGACCAAATTTCGATGTACGCAGAACAGTTTGCGTACAACAGTGCGCAGCGCAACTTATATACGCCGCAGGCACCGCGTAGGCGCACTTTCCGAAACATGACGTTTCTTCCAGGGCGTGGCATGCGATGCGAGCTGGCCACCTTTCACCCGTCGCCGGGACCGCGGTCGTGGGGAAAGCCGCCACAGCCGCGCGCACCTTCTCTGCTCGTCGCGCCACAGCGCTCCTGCGGCACCCAGGAACCCACGCAGCGGGCCGGCGCGGACACGGAGCACGTTTGCAACGTTGCGTCAACGCTGTCTCAAGTTGCACAAGTGCCCTGCGGCAGCTGCCTCGGCGTGATGGCACCCTCCGTCGCGCGCCTGCCGCTCCTGCGGGCGCTCCTGCGGCACCCACGCAACAGCGCGTCCTGCGCCCCGCACCACGTCTCACACCCCACGTCCTGGTCTAGCTAGGACAACCAGTACAACCGCGGCTCGGAGTCACCGCACGCGCCCTAGAGCAGCCACCGCTCACGCGTTCCGGTCCCGCAGCGCCCGGCGCGGCGGGCCCGCCCCGTCCCCCGGCGCGAGCAGCGTGGGCGTCTTGGGGCTCTGCAGCTGCCCGCCCGCCGCCAGCGCCGCCAGCTGCCGGAGGCTGATCGCCCGCCCGTCCACCGCGAGCTCCTGCGCGTCGCCGTCGTCGGCGTCGCCGACGACGGACGAGATGGCGCTGCCGTCCCCCGCCAGGTCCATGTCGCGCACGCGCCCGGCGAACGACACGCGCTGCGAGGAGGCCGCCGCGGGGCCGGGGCTGTCGACGCTGTGGCACAGGTTGGCCACCACCGCCGCCATCGGGGCCGAGTCCGGGGCGCGCTTGCCCAGCACGGGCGTCACCATCATCGACACGGGCCGCGCGGCCGCCTGCACGCCCGTCGCCGCCAGGCTGAACGTGCTCGCCACCACGGGGGGCGGAGGGACCTCGGCGCGCGTCGGGTCGAACAGCGGGTTCGTGAACGCCGCCGCGCTCGTGCGCTCTGCCGCGGCGTCCGAGACGGCGGCGGCGCCTCCGCCGGCCTCCTGGATGCTCGGCAGCGCGCGCGCCGACGCCAGCCCCCCCGCGACGGAGCTGTGCGCGCTGTCCGCGGGCGCGGCGGCCGCCATGCGCGACGGCCCGCCCCTGCTGCTGCCGCGCGCCGCCGCCGCCGCCGCAGTCGCCGCCGCTGTGGCCGCCGCCGCCGCAGTCGTCGCCGGCGTCGTGCCCACGGACAGGCCCGGCGTGAAGGGCAGGCCGGGGCTCATCAGGCTGTTGGCCTCGTCCTGCAGGTTGATGAAGTGCGGCGCCGAGTACACCGTGTCCGACGACGACGACGACGGCGCCGCCGCCGGCGGCCTGTCCGACGCCGTCGCGCGCTGCGCGGTCCGCCCGCGCTGCGCCGCGAGGCCCGCCCGCCCGCCGTGAGCTCCGCGCGCAGCGCCTCGGCCTCGGCGCCCAGGGCGCTGTTCTGCTCCCGGAGCGCCGCGCGGCGCGCCTGAGCTCCGCGGCCTCGCCCGCGCGCCCCGCGACCCCGGCCTCCGCGGCGCGCTCCGCCTCGGCCAGCCGCGACACCAGCCCCCAGCACTTGGCCTCCACCTGCGCCACGCGCGCCCGCAGCGCCTCGCTCTCCGCCGCGGCCTCCTCGAGCCGCCGCGCGAGGCCCTCGGCGCGCAGCGCCTCGCTCGACAGCGCGCGCCGCGCCTCGGCCAGCGCCCGCCCCTGCGCCGCGCCCCGCTCCACCTGCGCCGCCAGCGCCCGCTCCGCGCGGTCGAGCTGCTCCTTCATCTGCCCCGCGGTCGCGTCGCGCCCCGACGCCGCGCGCCGCAGCTGCTCGAGCTCCCGCGCCTGCCGCGACGCCTTGGACTGCAGCCGCGCCGCCTGCCCCAGCGCCGCCTCGGCCTTCTGCCGCAGGGCGCGGTCCGACGCCGCGTGGCCGTCGACCTGCGCCTGGAGCGCGCGCTTGTCCTGCTGCAGCCCCGCGAACCGCACGCGGAGGTCCCGCACCGAGGCCTCGGCCTTGCTCGCCGCCGCCCGCGCGTCCGCCAGCGCCGCCTCCTTGCGCGCCAGCGCGTCCCGCAGCGACGCGACGTCCGCCTGCAGGCCCTCGCGCGCGCCGCGCGCCGCCTGCGCCTCGGCGTGCTTGCGGTCCAGCCGCGCCGTCAGGTCGCGCACCGCGCCCTCGGCCGCCACCACGCGCGCCTCCAGCTTGCCCAGCCGCGCCGTGCCGCCCGCCGCGCGCGCCGCGCCGCCCATCTGCGCGCTCGCCACCTCCGCGTGCCGCTCCCGCAGCTCCCGCTCCGCCGCGTCCGCCCGCGCCCGCTCCGCGCGCAGCTCCCGCTCCAGCGCCGCCGCCGCCGCACGGTGTCCCCCCTTGCCGCCCTTGCCGTCCTCCGCCTCGCCGCCGCCCCCGCACGCCGGCGGCAGGCCGAGCGCGGCCATCAGCTCGTCCGCGAGCTCCGCGACCGCGTCCTCGGAGCCCCGCTGCATCGCCTCGGCCAGGCCCGACGCGCACGACCGCGCCCGCGCGTACGCCCCCCGCGACACCTGCAGCTCCGCCGCCGCCTCGCCCGCCGCCTGCGCCGCCGCCTGCGCCGCCGCGGCCTCCTCGCGCGCCACCCGCGCCTCCTGCTCCGCCACGTGCCGCGCCGCCGCCGCGTCCTGCGCCCCGCACCGCGCCTCGCCCAGCTCCCCGCGCACCGCCTCCAGCTCCGCCTGCAGCGCCGCCACCTCGTCCGCCGCCGCCGTCCGCCGCAGCTCCGCCACGCCCAGCGCCTCCTGCGCGTCCGACAGCTGCTTCTGCAGCCGCCCGCGCGCCAGCACCTCCTCGCGCCGCGTCGCCGCCTCGGCGCGCGGCGACGCCACCCCGCCGGACCTCCGCGCCTCCTCCGCCGTCGCCCGCGCCGCCGCGAGCGCCTCCTCCGCCGCCTCCGCGCGCCCGCGCTCGCCCGCCAGCCCCGCGCGCGCCGACGCCAGCTCCGCGTCCATCGCCTCCATGCGGTCCGTCACCGCGCCCAGCTCCGCGCGCACCGCCTCGAGCTCCGCCGCGAGGCCGTCCCCGCGGTCGCGCTCCGCCCGCACGGAGCCCTGCAGCTCCGCGACCTGCTCCCGCGCCCCGGCGAGCTCCGCGGCCAGCCGCTCGGCGCGCGCCGCGCGTTGCCCGCCACGTCCGCGCACACCGCCTCCAGCCGCTGCCCCGCCTCCGCGAGCTCCGCGGCCAGCCGCTCGGCGCACGCGCGCTCCGCCGCCGCCGCCGCGTCGCCGTCCGCCACGCGCCGCTCCAGCGCCGCCACCTGCTCCGCGGCCTCCGCCCGCGCCGCGCCCGCGCTCACCGCCGCGCCCGCCGCCGCGCGCGCCTCGCGCCTCCTCCAGACGCGCGACGCCCGCCCTGGCCCCCTCGAGCTCCCGCCGGGCCTCCGCGGCCTCGGACGCCGCCGCCCGAGGCGCGGCGCGCTCAGGCGCCCGCCTCGCCCACCGCGACGGCCATCTGCCTCCGCGCGGCGCCCAGCTCCTCCCCGGCGCGCGCCGCGTCCGCCCGCGCGGCCTCGGCGTCCGCCTCCGCGCCCGCCAGCCTGGCCTGCAGCGCCCCGCCTCCGCGGCGCCGTCCCGCTCGAGCGCCGCGCGCTCGTCCTCGCGCGCCCGCGTCGCCGCGCGGAGCTCCTCGGTCGCGGCGTCGAGCTCGGCCGTCAGAGCGGCCACCCGCCGCTCGTGCGCGTCCACGGCCGCGCGCTCCGCCGCCCTGCGCCTCGCGCACCTCCGCGCGCAGCGCCTCGGCGTGCCGCGCCCGCTCCGCATCGCTGCCGTGCGCCGCCTCGAGCTCCGCGGCGAGCGACGCCGCGCGCGCGCGCTGCTCGATCTCCGCCCGCTCCGCGGTCGCCAGGCTCGCCTCCAGCTCCCCCACGCGCTCCGCCTGCGACCGCGCCTCCTTCTGTGCGGCCGCCAGGCTCGCCTCCAGCTCCGCCACGCGCGACGTGCGCTCGCTCCCCGCCCGCTCCGCGGTCGCCAGACTCGCCTCCAGCTCCCCCACGCGCTCCGCCTGCGACCGCGCCTCCTCGTGTGCTGCCTCCAGCGCGCCCTCCAGCTCCTGCAGCTCCGCGACGCGCGACGTGCGCTCGCTCTCCGCCCGCTCAGCGGTCGCCAGGCTCGCCTCCAGCTCCGCCACGCGCTCCGCCTGCGACCGCGCATCCATGTGTGCCGCCTGCAGACTTGCCTCCAGCTCCGCCACGCGCGACGTGCGCTCGCTCCCCGCCCGCTCCGCGGCGGCCAGCGCGCCCTCCAGCTCCTGCACGCGCTCCGCTTGCGACCGCGCCTCCTTGTGTGCCGCCTGCAGACTTGCCTCCAGCTCCTGCAGCCTCGCCACACGCTCGCTCTCCGCCTGCTCCGCGGTCGCCAGGCTCGCCTCCAGCTCCGCCAAGCGCGACGTGCGCTCGATCCCCGCCCGCTCCGCGGTCGCCAGGCTCGCCTCCAGCTCCGCCACGCGCTCCGCCTGCGACCGCGCGTCCTCGTGTGCCGCCTGCAGACTTGCCTCCAGCTCCGCCACGCGCGATGTGCGCTCGCTCTCCGCCCGCTCCGCGGCGGCCAGCGCGCCCTGCAGCTCCTGCACGCGCGACGTGCGCTCGCTCCCCGCCCGCTCCGCGGTCGCCAGGCTCGCCTCCAGCTCCCCCACGCGCTCCGCCTGCGACCGCGCCTCCTTCTGTGCGGCCTCCAGCTGCCCCTGCAGCTTCGCCACACGCTCGCTCCCCGCCCGCTCCGCGGCGGCCAGGCTCGCCTCCAGCTCCCCCACGCGCTCCGCCTGCGACCGCGCCTCCTCGTGCGCTGCCTGCAGCCTCGCATCGCGCTCGCTCTCGGCCACCTCGGCGCCGCGCGACGCCGCGCGCAGCTGCTCCTCGAGCTCCCCCACGCGCGCCTCCAGCTCCGCCCGGCGCCCCTCGGCGCGCTCCGCGCTCCCCCGCGCCGCCTCCAGCTCCTCCGCGGCCTCCTCCGCGCGCCGCGACGCCTCCGTCGCCGCCCGCGCGAGGCCCTCGCAGACCTCCTGCAGCTCCCCGCGCGCCGCCCGGGCCTCGGTCAGCTCCGCGTGCAGCCGCGCCATCTCGTCCTGCGCCGCCGACACCTCCCGCGAGGCCTCCGTGCACGCCGCGGACAGCGCCGCCGCGCGCGCGCCCCTGCGGAGCACGACGCCGCCGCGGCGTCCGCCCGCGCCTCGGCCCGCCGCAGCTGCGCGCGCAGCCCGCCTCGCGCTCCGCGCCGCCCTCCCGCGTCACCGCAGCTCCGCGGCGAGCGCCGCGCGGTCCGCGTCCGCGCGCGACGCGGCCGCCTGCAGCGCCGCCGCCGCCGCCTCGGCCGCGCCTCCGCGCCGCTCACGTGCTCCCCGCAGCGACGCCCGCCAGCGCCGCCAGCGCCCGTTGGCCTCCGCGACCGTCTCGGCCTCCCGCGACGCGGCGTCCGAGCCCGCCGCGAGCGCCAGCGCGACGCGCTCGACCTCGGCGCGCAGCGCATCGCACCGCTGCCGGCTCGCGCGCAGGTCGGCCTCCACCGCCCGCCGCTCGCCGTCCGCCGCCCGCAGCTGCCGGGCGTACGACGCGGCGTCGGCCGCGAGCTCCCGCTCGCGCGCGCGGGGCGACGCGAGCGCCGCCTGCGCCGCGGCTCGCGCGCCACGGCCGCATCGGCGCGCGCCCGTCCGCCGCCGCCGCCCGCGCCCGCCCACCGCCGTCGCGGCGCACACCGCGGCGTCGCGCTCGCGGCGCGCGTCCTCGACGAGCGCCTCCGCGCGCGCGCGCAGGTCGACCGAGGCCTGCGCGGACGCCTCGCGCACCGCGGCCACCCGCGCCAGCGCCTCGCCCAGCTGGCCCTCCAGCTCGACGACGCGCGCGGCGAGGGCGCCGACGGCGGCCTTCGCGCTCGCCAGCTCCTCTTCCGCGGCGCCGTCGCTGCCGCGGGGCTCCGCGGGCGCCAGCGTCACGTCGCACGGGTGCACCTGCGCGGCGTCGCCGCGGCGGCCCGCACCTCCGCGGCCGCCGCGCTCGCCGTGGCCAGCCGCTCGCGGAGCTCCTCCGCCGACGCCTCCGCCGCGTGCCTCGCCGCCTCCGCGCCCGCCAGCGCCGCCTGCGACCGCGCCAGGTGCCCCTGCAGCTCCTGCGCGCTCCGCGCCGCCTGCGCCGCGCCGTGCAGCTCCTGCTGCAGCGCCACCACGCGCGCCTCGAGGAACAGGATGTACTCGCGCGCGTGCTGCAGCGCCGCTCCGCTCGCGGGGCTGCCCACGGGCCCGCCGGGCATCGGCAGCTCCGCGGCCCCCGCGCCGCCGCCCACGCTCCCCGCCGCCCTCCCGGGCGACGCCACGACCAGCTGCGACGACGCCGGCGTCGCCGGCGACGACGGCGCCTCGGTCGACGCGGTCGCCGCGGTCGCCGCGGGCGACGCGGGCGCCGTCGCCACCGCGCGGCCCCCGAGCGCCACCTGCCGCTTCAGCGCCTCGCAGCGCGCGCTCGTCTTCGACAGCGCCCGGCCGGCGCGGTCCAGCTCCTTCTTCAGCGCCGCGCGCGCCTCCTTCGCCGCCGCCAGCTCCCCGTCGCGCGCCTCGAGGTCCCTGTGGAGCCGCCGCACCACGTGCTCGACCTCCTGGCGCAGGCGGTCCGCGCGCCCGGCCTGCTCCTCCGCCGCGGCCGCGCGCTCCTCCGCCGCCCCCGCGCGCGCCGCCCGCGCGCGCTCCCCGAGCGCCCTGGCGCGCGCGGCGGCCTCGGCCGCCGACGCCGCGAGCTCCCGCCCGCGCGCCTCGTGCTGCTGGGCGTCCGCGCGCAGGGCCTCGAGCTCCGCCTGGAACCGCCGCGCCTCCGCGCGCACCAGGCCGAGGTCGGCCTCGAGCAGGCCCGCCTGGTCGCGGAGGTCCTCGCACTCGGCCTCCGCGCCGCGGGCGCGCGCCTCCGCGGCCTCCGCGCCGCGCTCCCTCTCGCGCAGCGACGCCTCGAGCTCCCGGACCCTGCAAAACGAGCAGGGGGTCGAGGCGTCGGCTCTCGTGCGACGCAACGTCGCGACGACGACCGACGTCAAAGGAGATAGGCGGCCTGGGGGCTCAGCGTCGGTTTGGTCTTTCCATGTCGTCTACAGGTCGCGTCGCGCAAGGCGCGGCCTCGCCGGCGGGCCGGGGACCCCCGCGCGGCGCTACGGGCGGAGTACCTCCCCTCAAGATTTGGCTAAGCGGTCAGCAGAGCGGCGCGTGGCGGCCGGCCTCAGCTTGAAAACTAACGTTCTGTCTCGCGGACGAGATCATCACCGGGGACGAGATCGTCACCACGCGCGGGCGCGCGGGGGGCGCCGCCGGCACCGCGCCGGCACCGCGCCGGCAACGCCGTTCAAAGATAAGATCAAGTGATTTGGCAGGCGCCCGCACGGGGCGGCGCGCCGCATCATCGCCCCGGATCGGCAGCGGCGCGTACAGCGCGGCTCGCACCTGTCGCCGACCGCGCCCGCCTCGGCGCGCAGCGCCTCGAGCGCGCCCCCTGCCTCCTCGCGCTCGCGTCGGAGCCCCGCCGCCTCGCCCTCGAGCGCCGCGAGCTTCTCGCGCGCCTCCGCGCACGCGCGCTCCGCCGCGTCCGCGCGCCCGCCCGCCGTCCGCGCCTCCTCGCGCGCCGCCTCCACCTCCCGTGCAGCGCCGCGCCGCCTGCGCCGCCTCCACCTCCCGCTCCAGCGCCGCCAGCCGCTCCGCGACGGCCCGGCCGTCCTCCGCCGCCCCGTCCTCCGCCGCGTCCGCCCGCGCCTCCGCCGCCGCCACCTCGGCCCGCAGCGCCGCCAACTCCGCCTCCACATCCCTCTGCTGCAGGTCCCTCAACCCAAGCTCGCTCAGCAGCGCGGCGACCTCGTCCTCGCCCGCGTGGCCCGCGGTGTGGCGCGCGGCGCCGTCCCCGCCAGCGCGCGCGCCGCCGACCGCGCGCACGCCCAGCCGGGACACCTCGTGAGCCACGGGCGTGGCCCTCCGACGCGCGGCGCGCGCGCGGGGCCCCCTCCCGCCGGGCGCCGTGCGCCGCGAGCGCCTCCGCCTCCTCCTCGAGCGCGGCGCACCGCGCCCGCCACTTGTCCACCTCGCCCGCGAGCGCCCGCAGCGCCTCCACCTGCTCCCGCAGCGTCCCGTCCGCCAGCGCCGCCGCCGCGCCGCGGTCGCGCAGCTCCGCGCGCAGGGCCTCGCTGGCCGCGCGCTCCTCGGCGAGCAACCCGCGCAGGGCCGCCGCGTCCTCCTGCGCGCGCCGGGAGTCCTCCGCCGCCTGACGCAGGTCGTCCATGTCCGCCAGCGCCGCGCCCAGCTCGCGCTCGATCTCGCGGGCCTTCGCGGCGTGCGCGGCGCGCACCTCGTCCTCGCGCCGCCGCGCCAGCCGCACCTCCTCCTCCTTCACGTTGACCTCGACCTGCGGCGCGGGGCGGAGGATCATCATAGTCATAATTCGGCTCGAACGGCCCGGAACTCGAGAATTCGTGTCTGCAGAGCTGCCAAGCATCCACGACCACGACCACGACCGTCCCACGGGCATCCCCGCGCGCGCCCACCGAGCGCCGCGCGACGACCGGCCGACCCACCCCACCCACAATCAACACCCCCAATCAACACCCCCCATCAACACCCCCGCGCACCTTGAGCAGCTCGATCCTCTCGCGCGCGTGTGCCGCAGCCTCCTCCGCGGCCTGCTTGTCCGCCCGCAGCGCGTCCGCGTCGCCCACGGCCCCGCGCAGGAGCCCCTCGAGCTCGCGCACGCGGTCGCCCGCGCTCTGCTGCCCGCCCTGCGCGTCCCGCGCACGCTCCTGCGCCAGCGTCGCGCTCATCTCGGACCGGTCGAGGCGGCCGCGGAGCTCCGACGCCTCGACGCGCGCGGCGGTGAGCTCCTCGCGCGCGCGGGCCAGGTCGGCGTCGCTCGCGGAGAGCCGGCCGCGGAGCTGCGCGACCTCCTCCGCGAGTGCCGCCGCGCGCTGCTCTGCGGCGTCGGCCGCGCCCTTGAGCGCGCCCACGGCGTCGCGGTACTCGTCGCGCTCCTGCTTGATGTTGCCCACGACGCGGGCGTAGTCGCGCTGGGCCTCGTCGCGCCTGCGAGAGCCGCACCGGGGCCCGCGCGGTCGGTCGGTTGCGCCCTGGCGGCGGAGGGGCGAGGGGCCGTGCGCGCGCGCGACGCGGCGCCAGGAGCGCTGGAGCGGTGCGCTCCGTCGCGGGAGAGATCCGGGCATGCGAGCGAGCGCGCGGGAAGGGGGCGGCGGGTCGCGCGCGCGTCGGAACGCGCGCCCGGGCTTTGAGCGGGAGCCTTGCCTGTGTTTCTCCGACTCGAGCAGCTTGCGCAGGTCGTCCACGCACTGCCGCTCGTGCTTGAGCTGGGTCCTCGTGCGCTCGAGGTCCGTCGTGCGCTCGTTCAGCAGCTTCTTGGCCTTCTCGTACTTGCGGGCGAGCAGGGACGGCCCAGAGGCGGTGCCGCGCTCGTCCTCATGGTCCTCCGCGAGCGCCCAGCTGGGCTCGCTGTCGCCGGCGTGCGCCACGGCCCGGTTGGCGCGAGCGGCCGGGCGCAGGACGCGCTCGTTGCGCGCGCGCGCGTCCATCGTGGCGGGCCCGCTGGGGACAGCTACGATGGCGCTTCAAACGGTGCCGCGCGTGCTCCGCGCCTGTGCCGCGAGGCGCGCGCTCGTCGCCGCGGTGCGGCGGCTCAAGTCTTGATTGTCCGGAGAAGGGGCGCGACCGACCTGAATACGCCCCCTGTACCCGGAGAGGGCGATTCTCGCACAGCTGGAAGTCGTGGGGCTGTCCCGGCCGCGCAGAGGCGTCAACGACACCTCCGACGACCCGCGGCGTCGGAGGAGATGTAAAGTCCCCGCGCGGCGATCGACCCGCCCCTTTGACCGCCGACACGGCCCGGATTGCCCGACCGACGTCAGGAAGAGGCCTTCACGCGCGCGGACCGCGGCGGTGCGGCGCCCCGCGGACACGAGGACGGCGCGCACCGCACGGGAGCCACACAACGCCTCGCGAGGACCACGCAACCGCGCCGTCTGGGACAGTTCCTGCGCAGAATCGCGTCGAAGTGCTGCGCGTCTTGGCCCTCCATCGAGCGTCAGGTTCCGCCCGGGTCGACCGCGACGCATGAACGCGTGCGCGCTGGGACGGCGAGGGGCCCCGGACACTCGCCTCGGCGGGCGCCGGGGCCCTCCTGCGCAGCGTGCGAGGGCCACGCGAGAGAGAGCTGCTGCGTCCACACTGCGCTGTCCGCCGGTGCGTGCAGCCTCCCCGCCGCGCCTGCCGCCCTCGCGCGCAGCACAGCGATCCGGTGAACCCGTGCGCTCGCTGGGAGGCCGTCGTACGCGCGCGTCACGCGGCGCCGCTGACGTATCTGTGGGCCCGGGGCACGTCGCGGCCCGGCCCTGCTTCGCGGGGGCGCCGGGAGGGCTGCAAACGTGCCACGTTGCAAGCCTCTTAGGTCACACGGCCGTGGGCCCTGTCTTCCGCGCAGGTCACGTGCGGGCAGCGGCAGGGAAGCACCACCAAGCGCAGGCTGGACGACGGTGGGGGTCTGCCGCCCGTCGCGGGCGGCGGCGGCGGGGGGGGCGGCGGGGGCGATGGGTGGGACTTTGGGAAGCTGATGAAGAACATGCTGCTGAACGGAGGGCTCATTTTCGGGCTGTACGTGTTGTCGGGGGGCGGGGGCGGGGGCGGAGGTGCGCGTCGCTCGCTCGTCGATCGTGACGGACGCCCGGCGGCACGAGCTCGCCTCGCTCGAGCCCGCGTACGCTCGTGCGGCCGCTCTGTCGGAGGAGAAGCCGCGTGAGCAGACCTCCGCACCGCGCGCAGCCTGCGCCGTGAAGTTGACCGAGCGTGGTGGTTTGCCGACGATGACGCGCAGGGGGCGGGTGGGGCGGCGGCGGCGGAGGCGGGGGCGGGGGCGGGGGGGGCTGGGGGGAGTCGTCGACGCCGGACATGGGGCCCGGGTGGGACGGCGACGACGGCGACGGGCGGCGGCACCCGCGGGGGAAGCGCAGGCACCGCGGCTCGATGTCCGCCGCGGAGACCGTCGGCGGCGCGACGGGCTCGAGCTCCGCGTCGCTCCACGCCCGCACGGCGTGACGGCGGGCCCGCGGCGTGCTGACGCTGCGCGACGCGTGCGTGCCTGCCGCCGACGCGCGCTCGCGGCTCGGAGCGCCATGCCGCTGTGAGCCGAGCTCGCCCGCTCGAGGGACAAAGCTGCCGCCGCGCTTGTCACGTCCTGCGAGGGGGCGCCGATCCGGCCGGGACGCTGTGAACGCATGACGGCAAGCTGCGCGCCCGGCGAATCGCGTGCGGGTCGCGCGCCCCAGCCGGCGCCCGCGCGAGCGTCGCAGGAGTCGCGGGCTTGGTCTTGGCTGCCGCGCTGCGCTGGCGATGCCCGAAGGCGGCCTGGGGGGGGGGGGTTGAAGGGTAGTTGCACTTCTGTCTCCATGTGGCGCGTGTAGCAGGGCTTTTTGCGCCCGCAGCACCGTGGCGTGGGTCTCACTGTTGCGACAGGCAATTGGCGTCGGTGGAACAACATGGCGTGCAACGTGACGGCTTCCCTGGGCGTTGCCCGGGCCCCTGTGGCCACTGCCGCGGCCACCCGCGCCGCGGCGCCCTCGTTCGCCGGCGCGAAGGTGTCCTTGACTTCGGTTGCTTCGAGGGTGCGTGCCTGCTCGACGTCGCGCGGCCGCACCGGAGCGTCCTCCGCGCGGTCGTTCCCTCACCTGCCCCGGCCTGGCTCGCTGTGGGGCCGAAGCGGCGTTTCGAGTGATTTTCGTCGACGCACAATAACCGATATGGGAGATTCGCGGCGGCGTGTCGAACGACGCCGTCCCCTCGCGCCCAGGCCCAGATCCCTCCCACACTACCACAGCCAGCTGGATAATCACCGCCACGCCAGCGCTCTCCCCCAGCGCGCAGCGGCGCAACGCACGCACACAGCCGCGCACGCAGCGCCGCCGCCAAGCACGACCTCCTCCTCCTCACCCGCGTCCTCCGCCCGCGCCCTTGCCCGCAGGCGGGCGCGCCCGTCGCCGCTGCCCCGCTGCGCGCCGTCCGCGGCGCCCGCGCGGCCGCCCGCCGCTCCTCGACGCGCGTCATGGCTGCCGCCGGCGGCATGAACTGCCTGATCGTCAACACGAAGGGCGGCGGCCACGCCTTCATCGGGCTGTACCTGGCGCGCGCCCTGATGGCCAAGGGCCACAAGGTGACGCTCATGAACGACGGCGACGAGGCGAAGCTGTCCTCGAAGGGCTGCTACGCGCAGTACCCGGCCCTGGCCGGTGAGCGCCCCGTCGCCGCGCGCAGCGCGCGCCTCCGCGCCACCTGCGACCGCTGCCTGCTCCGGCGCCGTCTGGGCGCGCGACCGGCGCCGATCGCGCCGCGTCGACGCGCGTGCGCGCTCCCACACGCGCGCGCGCTGCCGTGCCCGCAGGCGAGGGCGCCACGGTGTGCTGGGGCAACCCCACGGACCCCTCCACGTACCCGGCGGGGGACTTCGACGTCGTGTACGACAACAACGGCAAGGACATCGACACCTGCAAGCCCCTCATCGACACCTACAAGGTCCGCCCCGCGCCGCCTCCCCCGCCGCCTCCGACGCCCGCCACGCCGCGCGCGAGCCCACGCCGCGCCGCGTCGCCGGCGTCCCGCTGCGCAGGGCAAGGTGCAGCACTACGTGTTCGTGTCGTCGGCGGGCATGCTCAAGGCGAGCGACGTCACGCCGAACCTCACCGAGGACGACCCGCGCAACGAGAAGGCGCACTACTTCGTTGAGGAGTACCTGAAGGACGAGGGCCTGCCGTACACCGTGATGCGCCCGCACTACATCTACGGCGAGCACACCGTCAAGGACTGCGAGCAGTGGTTCATGGACCGCATCCTCCGCGACCGCCCCGTGCCGATCCCCGCGCCGGGCACGCAGCTCACGTCCATCTCGCACGTCGAGGACGTGGCCGAGATGCTCGCGCTCGTGCCGGGCTGCGAGGCCGCCAAGGGCGAGATCTTCCAGCTGTGCGGCGACAAGGCCATCACCTTCGACGGCCTCGTGCAGTGCATCGCCGAGGCCGCGGGCAAGACGCCCAAGATCGTGCACTACGACCACGCCGCGGCCGGCCTGGCCAAGGGCGAGGGCATCCCGTTCCGCACGGGGCACTTCTTCTCGTCGAACGGCAAGGCGCACGTGAAGCTGGGCTTCAAGGGCAAGCACACCTTCTCGGGCGACGTCAAGGACCGCATCGCCTCCTACATCGCGTCCGGGCGCCTCGACAAGGACGTGGACTTCAGCGCGGACGACAAGATCATCGCGAACGCGTAGACCGGGCGACGGGCGCCGCCGTGTCGGTGCGCGGGGACAGCGTTGTGAAACGGAACAGAATCGATGACGCACAATGTGCGTGCGTGCGCCGGGGTAGGAGCACGTGGCGAGGGACGATCCTGGTGGCCGCGGCATGGCAGCGGGCGGGCGAAGCAGGCGTCGTGTCAGACTCGTGCAGGCGCGATCGCGGGGGGTGTTGCCGCTGCTGAGTCTTCCTCCCGCGGTCGCTTTTGCCGGCGGCTGTGACGCGCATGTCGCACTCCCGAGACCCGTGACAACTTCAGAGTGGCACGTCTCGTGTCCTGCATCGAATCGAGCCCCGCACACGCTCTGGGCGCGCGCCCCACGAGCGCTCAGCTGCGGCTCCCAGTGCGCTGGAGGGTCCATCCCGGAGCGAGTTGCTGGGCCGTCCCTGCCGACCACCATCGAGCTGGTAGGATGATCGGCATTATATCGTCCGCGGTGAACTACATCACCGGCCGGACGCAGAGCTCTGCTCCACGGGTCGTTTCCCTCCTGCCCTCCGCAACGGAGATCGTCGACGCCGTGGGCGCAACCGAATACCTCGTAGGAGTGTCGCACGAATGCAACTATCCCGCGGAAGTCGCGAAGCTGCCGCACCTGACGAGGTGAGCGCGCTTCGATCTCTCATGCCCCACCGGTGCCGGGTCGCACAGCGAGGCGCAGCACACATCCGCTCCCGACCCCCTTCCTCACGTTCCCGTCCCCGGGCCGATCGCAGCGCCGAAAATAAGTTCGAGAGCAGCCAGCAGATGAACGACGCGGTCGTGGCCTTCATCGGCGACGGCAAGTCGCTGTACGCGCTCGACACGCACCTCCTGCAGAAGCTCCGCCCCACGCACATCGTCACGCAGTCCCTCTGCGCCGTCTGCGCCGTCTCCGTGGACCTGGTCCGCGCGGCCTGTGCCAGCATGAACCCGAAACCAGTGATCCTCGATCTCAACCCCCGGGGACTCGACGACGTCGTGGAGGACATGCTGCGCGTCGGCAGGGAGCTCGGGCTGGCCGAGGTGGCGGAGTTCCAGGCGAAGGCCATGCTGGAGCGCGTGCAGCGCGTCGTGAGGGTCGCGGACGAGGCGGTGGCGGCGGCGGGGGGGGAACGGCCTTCCGTGGCGTTCCTCGAGTGGACCGCGCCGGTGTACATCGGCGGCCACTGGACGCCGCAGCTGATCCACATGGCGGGAGGGTCGCACCCGCTCAATCCGCCCAAGGGGCCCGGTCAGGTGAGCTTCACACATGCGCACGCACAGGTCGGCGGGGCCGCGGAGATGTGCGGCGAGTGGCCCGCGGGGCGGACTGAGTGCGTGGCGCGCGCCGGCCCCGCTGCAGGCCGCTGGGAAGTCGACGGCGGTGGAGGGCAGCAAGGTTGCAGGGCTGGACCCGGACTGGATCATCGTGTGCCCTTGTGGGCTCAACATTCCCTCGGCGTTGAGGGAGATGAAGGACCTGGAGGCGCAGGAGTGGTGGCGGGGGCTGTCCGCGGTGCAGGAGGGCCGCCTCGTGGTCGTGGACGGCGACCAGATGTTCAACCGCCCCGGCCCGCGCCTCGTGGACGCGCTCGAGTGGCTGGTGGCGCTGCTGCACGGGGGCGAGTCCAACGACGCCCTCGCGCTGTGCCCCGGGACCTTCCCGTGGAAGCAGGTCCTCCCGCGGCTCTCGACGGCCCTGGAGGAGCCGGACGAGGGCGACTGACCGCGGAACTGCGCTGTGAGCCGTACAGTCGACGCGCGCGGCTCGCGCGCACGCGGGACTGAGCTGGAAGCGGAGCGCGCTCACACGACGCTCGCGCCGGGCGCAGACGAGCTCCCGCTCCCTCCCGCTCACCCGCCGTCGATGCCGAGCATGCGCAGGTCGTCCGCGAGGTCGTGGCGGTCCGACACGATCGCGCCCTGCACGCCTAGCTGCTGCAGCACCGCGCGGGCGTCGTCCGCGCTGCCCTCGACCTCGAGGTACGCGAGGACGCCGGCGAGCGCGGGCGGGGCGACGCCAAGCCGCGACGCCGCGGCCTGGATGAGCTGGTGCGGGATCTCGAAGCGGTTGGTGTGGAGGAGCGGCATGCCGGCTGCGTGCACGAGGGAGCGCGCGACGTCGACGGCGCGCGACGCGGCGCGCTCCGGGAGCAGCACGACGCACGACGGGCTGCCACGCGCGCGGTAGCAGTCGCCGTTGATCCGCAGCAGCACCCGCGGCTCCTGCACCGCACCCGCAGAAGACACGTGGCTGTTCATTCGGAGAATCACGATTGCGAGCGCGCTGCAACATCATGACGACGACCGAGGCGCTGCCACGTCGTCGGCCGTGCCGCGAACGTGCGCGGGACCTGCGCTGCCCCCTTGAGACGCAAACACGCATCGTCCGCCGCACATCCGCGAGCGCGCGTCGTCCCGCGCTCCGCCGCTTCGCCCGCGCGGCGCGTGCACTCACCTCGGGCGTGGCGAACCCGGCCTCGATCGCCGGCAGCGGCACGGGCATCAGCGCCTGCTCCGACGTCAGCTCCCGGGGCGCGGGGCGCCAGTTCGCGGGCTGGTCGGCCGCCGCGGGCGAGTAGTCGTGCACGTGCGACCAGAAGTTGTGCAGCGGGTCGAGACCGCATCGGTTCATCGTGGTGCGCAGGGCGCCGAACTCGGCGTCCGCGCAGCCGATGCGCAGCCGGCGGGAGGTCTCGATGATGGGCCGGGAGCGGCAGTGCAGGAGAATCGTGCACTCCTGGCAGTCCCGGGTGCGCAGCTGGCGGCACACGGTGACGAGCGTGCACCCGACGCAGTCGCGGATGAAGACGGAGCCGGACGTGGGGCCGATGTAGAAGCGGCAGTCCACGCAGCCGTCGATCGTGACGGAGTCGACGTGGTCGAGCAGGAACACGGCGCTCTCCGTGCAGTTGTCAATCACGAATTGCTGGCCCTGCAGGACAGGCGGGCAAGGGGGGAAGGCTGGCGGATGACGGGCGCGGTGACGCTGCGGGCGGGTGCCGTGCGAGGGCGTGCGGCGGCGCGGGTGCCGGGCGTGGGGGCGCGGAGGGATGGAACGCGCCTTGACCTGGCCCGGCATGCGCACGCATTCCTCGCCCGTGCGCCCGATGAACATGAAGTCCTCCTTCTTGAATGCTTCCTTCTGCCGCATGAGCCCCGCGGGCATGGCGCCGATGCCCCCAGAGGGCGGGCCGGGCGCTTGCTTGCCAGACTGCACCTTCTGCAGGGCGACGTGCGCGTCACGGGGGGTGATTCGCGCGACACGCGACGTCGAGCGCACAGCACGTTGTCGATGCTCGTGGCGGCGGGCAGGAACGGCGCGAGGACGCCGTCGCGGCTCGTCCACGTGGCCAGAGGCGACTGTGTCCCGCCAGTCCGCAGGATGTCCTCCTCCGGTTCTCGCCTCGCTGCCGCCCAGGAGCGCAATGCGACCCAGCGATGCACGCATCAGCTCTCCACGCGACGCACCTCTGCCTTGCGCTGCTTCTGCGGACGCTGTTTCGCGGGCACCGGGGCCTCCACGGGCGGTGCCTTCGCTCGGGGTGGCGCTGCTTCCGCCGCGGCGACGTCCGTGAACTCCATCCCGTCGACGTCGATATCGACCATGCCCTGGCGGGCGCCCGCGGCCTCGGAAGGCCCATCGATCCTGCGCGTCACAGGCCGAGCGCTGTTTTCAACACCTGCAGGTCTCGCAGCCGACAGCGTCATGCAAGGCGCGGCCCCGCGCATTCTGGCCCCACCGCCCGCATGACACACCACGGCGCCGCGTCTCCGTCCCGCCGTGACCGTCGCAGGCGGCTCGCGCCGTCCGTGGCAACCGAGGCGCCCCCGGCGACCACGCGCAGCGCGCTCCACAGCGCTCTCGACGCGCCGACGAACGAACGGTTCAGCTCGCACCTGTACGCCGCTAGGGGGTCCTCGACGGGCGCCTCTTTCGACCCGAAACACCCCATGATCCGCCCCCGCGCCTGTTGCGCGCCGCCAGCAGCACACCGCTCTCGCCCGCCCCAGCCGCGGTCGCCGCACCAGCCGACCCGTCCCCGGCCTCAAGCGTCCCAGACGCACGCGCTCGGCGGGACGACCCCGGGAGCGACGCCCGCGACCGCTCGAGGGCGCCGCACACACAAGTACAGGAACAACACGCCGTATCGGCGACGGACGGAGGCCTCGCGCGACCTCCTCGTGCGTCCAGGCACAGGGAGCGCCCGCGGCAGGCCGTGGCCGGGCCCCTTGGAGCGCGGCGGGTCGGCGGGCCGACAGGAGGAGGACATTCCCCTGGAGGTGTTGCGCGGGGGAGACTGACGGTGCGGCGCGGCGCCGTGGGCCGTTGCGGGCCCGGAACGCGCGCAGACGGCATTGTTGCTGGAGTTCCAGTGCGAGCGCGGGGGGCGCGGAGGTCGTCACTCGCTCTATTGTTCGGCTCGCGCGACGAGGCGGTTGTGCAGTGCGGCAGGGCAGCGTCGCGCGTGGTGCCGGGACGCAGCTTGCCCTGCTGCGCGTGGCACGGGCCGGCCCAGTTGGCGTGCTGGCGAGTCGCAGCGGCAGCAACCCACTAGCGCGCGCACCGGGTCGCCAGAGCGCGTTGGAGGGACCGCGCTTCGAGCTCGCAGTGCCCGCGTTAGTCAGCTTGCGGGCAGCGGTGCGTGCGATGAGCTGAGTGGATAGAGTTTCCATAGCGTTGGAATCGACAACATGCCCGCGAAGCACCCCGGTGTGCGCGGCGCGAGTCGCAAGGATGCCGAACACTCGAGGCGGGCGTTCGCGCGCTCCGGGGCACGAGACTGCCGCGTCTATCGCGCACAGGGAGGCTTGGTTTCTGTTCAGCGACCGCGGACGACCCACGAGAACGCTCACGCCAGGTGCGGGCCCACGCGGCGCTGCCTCTGGAGGCCGCCTCCCAAAACCTTGCCTCCTCCGCGCCAGCGTGCTGCGCGGTCGTGCGGCCGCTGCGTGCGCGCCACGGGCCGCGACCGCGACCTCCCCTCGGCGCACGCGAGCCCACAGCGGCCATCGGCCGCGCGGCACGCTCCACAACGCCTCCCTAATAGCAGCGCGGCATCAGAAGATACTAAACCCCGATATACCGCCATGCCCGGATCCAGCGGCGCGCGTCGCCGCCGCCTGGCCCGAGGCCGCACCCGGCCATACGCTGAGCACCTGTTTGACGACCCTCGGTGCCTCTGCTGGTTCGCGGACCTCCCACGAAGGCATCCCATCACATCCGTTGCCACCACGCCTTGCACAGGGCCGGAGCCGCCTCTCCGGTCACCGCGCCCGCCCCTGTATAGCCGTGCGGCTCTCCCGGCGGCGCCCCGTCTGCGCGTTCGGTCGCGACGCGACGCGAATTCACGGGCCCCCATGCCGTGCTTATGCAGGGAGCGCGCGTCGCCAGCGCGGCCACTGCGCGCGGCGTTCCACTCCGCTGGCCGCCTGGACATGGGGGCGTTCGACGACGCCGCCCCAGCGCGCCGCATGGACCAGCGCGCGACGGACGGCGCCTCGAGGGTCGCAGAGACCGTCGCGGGCCCCGCCAAGCGCGTCCTGGGCGAGGTGTCGGTGTCTGCGCCGATCGACGTGGTCTGGGCGGTCCTCACCGACTACGAGCGCCTCCCGGAGGTCGTCCCGAACCTCGCGGAGTGCCGCAGGGTGCGCGGCCTGCCCAGCCCAGGCCCGGGCATGAGGCGGCTGCTCCTGCGGCAGGTCGGCAGCAGCGTGTCGCCGTTCTGGCGGCTCGAGGCCGGCGCTACGCTCGAGCTCCTCGAGCAGCGCACCAAGAACGGCGGCCGGCGGATTGACTTCAAGATGGTGGACGGAGACTTCCGGCGATTCGAAGGGAGCTGGGTGCTGGAGACCGACCCCACCGCGGCCCCGGGGCTGTCCACGCGGCTGCGGTACCAGGCGGTCGTCGAGCCGCTCCTCACGCTCCCGTCGCAGCTCGTGCAGCGCGTCGTCGCCGCGGGGCTGCCGGCGAACCTCGTTGCCGTCGCGCGGCACGCCGAGGGCATCGCGGAGCAGAACGCGTCGGTGCCGGGCCCCGCGGGCGCGGCGATGCGGGACGAGGAGGCGCTGATCAAGGGCGAGCGGCCGCGCGGCGCGCGGCGGCTCGCGCAGGCGTCCCCGCGGCCGTGGGAGTCGGAGGGGGGCCCGCTGCAGCGCAGGCGGGCGCCGGCGGGGCGCGTCGGGCTCAACGTGGACGAGGCCGGCGGCGCGGGCAGCCGGCAGGTGTTTGCGCCGAGCTTCTACCTCGGCACGTCCTCCGTCGAGATCCCGAGCATGCCGCCGGCGCCGGACAGCGTCGACGCCGCGCCGTCGTCGGCGTCGGCCGACGAGGACCTCTCCGACGCGGACGCGGACGCGTGGGGGTTCGCGGACTCCGTGCCGTCAGTCTCCGGCCTCGCGGACGCGTCCGCGACGGTGCCGGGCGGCCGCGAGCTCGGCAGGCGCGACCTGGAGGGCGCGGAGGTGCACATGCGCCGCCTGGACGACGACAGCAACATCTGCGTGCGGCTCGTCGCGGCGGTGCCCGTGCGCGCCGACCCGAACCGCCTCTGGGCCACGCTCACCGACTACGACGCGCTGCCGGGGGTCCTGCCGAACCTGGTGTCGTCGCAGGCGCTGGCGGCGCAGAGCGGCCGGGCGCCGTCGGGCGGGCACGTGCGGCTGCGACAGGTGGTCCGGAAGGCCATGTCGTACGTGCAGCTGCACGGGGAGGCCATCATGGACGTCGTCGAGGTGGCGCCGGGCGAGGAGGTTCGATTTCGATCAGTCAAGGGATCCCCGTACGTGGTGCAAGGGAAGTTCGTGATTCGCGAGGGCAACAAGATCGGGCGCTTCCTGGGGCTCGCGGGCGGGCCCGTGTCCGTCCTGCGCTGCGCCGTGGAGATCCGCATCCCCCGTTCCATCCGCTCGATGATCCTGGAACCCTTTCTCGAGCAGACTGTGTTCGAAGACATTCCGGCCAACCTGTGCGCGCTGAAACGCGCCGTCGAGGCCGCCGCGCGCGAGGTCAAGGGCGCGACGGTCGAGGAGGGCGGCGACGCGGCGCCCGACGCCCCGCCTCAGCGCGCGACGCTCGCGGAGATGCGCGGCTGCCTGCATGTGCTGGAGCGCGAGCTGCGGCGCGAGTTCGGCGGGGCGGCGGCCGGAGGCGCGCCGCGCATGCCGACGCGCGCGGAGCTGCGCGCGGCGGGGCGCACGGACATCGAGCGGGCGCTCGCGGCGCACGGCGGCTCCGACGCGGTGGCGCGGGAGCTCGGATGGCAGACCAAGGGCCGCCGGCGCAAGCCCCCCGGGTACTGGGACGACCTGGAGAACGTGCGCGCGGAGATCGAGGGGTTCGTGCGGCTGTACGAGCTCGAGGAGGGCTGCATGCCGCCCAAGACGGCGTTCCTGAACCACGGGCGATACGACATTGCGCGTGCCATCGAGAAGTGGGGCGGTGTCCAGGAGGTGGCGTCGGCGCTGGGGCTGGGGACGGCGTCGAGCCGGCGGTCGGGGTCGTCGAGCGCGTGGAACAAGCACGTGCGCAGCGTGGCCGCGGAGACCGGGCTGTCGGGCCAGAACGGGCTGTTCCAGGTGGCGGCGGCCAGCTACGACTCCCTGAGCAGCCTCGACCTGGACGACGAGGTGGAGCGGAGCTTCGCGGCGCAGGAGGTCATCGGGGAGGCTGTAGAGGAGGACGAGGAGGAGGAGTGCGACAGGGAGGTGGCGCGGCGCGTCGCGGCGGCCAAGCTGTCGCAGCAGGCGGTGAACGGCGCGCACCGGAGGGGTGTGCCGCAGCGCCGGGCGCCCTCGGGCGCGCCGCCGGGGCGGAGGTCGGCGTCGAGCAAGCGCATCGACTGGCGGAAGGACCTGCGCGGCATCTGACGCTGCCGCTTTTCCCGCGGGGATTTTGCTCGGCCTCACAGGGGCCGCCGCGCAGTCAAATTTGCTCGCGCCGCGCGCGCGTCCGCGCTGTTTTCTGAGATAGTTTCTAGTAACCACGGTAGGCTCGCGCTCTGACTTGCTCCCGCATGCATGTTGAGACCTGAGGCACATGGACGCATGCGGCCGAACGAACTCGCGGGTCATTGCGTGTGACTCAAACGTTGAGAGGAGACACCTGCAACAACCAGTCAGCTCGCCGCCGTGATCCACCATTCACTGTCTCCAGTGCGTCGTGCACTGCCACACCGCGGCGCACGGCAGCCACAGGAGGCAGGCCACCGACGCGAGCGCGTTCTTCTGCGACGGCGTCGCTGCCACCCGGTCCACGACTTTCAGATGGCACGCACACACAGCAAGGGCAGCACACGCCACCAGGAGGCCGTGCAGCGTCACCCCGCCCCGCGCGGCTATCGGGCCGATCATCGCTGCCATCGTGAGCGCGCAGGACATCGTGCCCTGCGCCGCGTAGCCCCCGCAGGCTCCTGTCTGACCCTCGCTTCTGGGAACATGCTTTGTCGACTGGTTTTGAATTTCCGGCGCCCGATTTGCTGCGGCGGAGCTCGCCACGAGCCCCGCCGCGACTACGCCGCCCCACACCGCCCACTCCACCGTCGCGCCGTGCAGCAGGGCGACGAACAAGCACGTGGCAACCACGCCGCGCACGCCCCCACCCGCCGGCAAGTAGACGCGCGCTAGCAGGAACCGGTGCACGGACGCGTGGAACGTGCGCCACAGCTCCCTCCAAGACGACACGCAGGAGAGGTAGTGCCCCGAGACATCCTGCACAACCGGCGTCCCGCCCAGCCGCGCCAACCCCGCCTGGACGTCGAACATCGCCCCTGACTGCCACCAGAGCACCTGAGCCAGCATGTGGGCCGCGGACCACAGCACGACGCCCCGCCCGATGATGCCGACGGCCGCACGTGCGCCGGTGTCGGGCACGTGTGCCTCTGGGTTGCAAAGCGCAACCCTCAACAAGCCCCGGGCTGGCCCGCGCGTGGCGACGCACGCAACGCCGCGGGCCAGGCCCGCGAGGATCAAGGCTCCTCCGCCGTCGCGGGTCGGGGCGCTGCGCGCCGGCGTAGCAGCGGCGTGATGCACGAGATCGTCGTGTCTGGTGCTGCCGCCCCCCGTCCGCACGCGTCGTCGCGCCCAGTCTGAGTACGGGACGAGGGGCCCCACGAGGTAGGTGGGGCAGTACAGCATGTAGGACGAGTAGGACGAGCACGACTGCGCGCCCCGGAGTCGGTTCTTCCTGCCCCGTTCGCTGTTTGTTTTGCGAGGCCCGTTCCCGCGCTCATCTTGCGCCCGATCCAGGCGAAACAGCCCGTAATCGATACAACGCATGGCCGTGTATCTGTACGTGGCTCCAGCCGTGAAGCCGTCCCCCGCGAGCCCTCGGAAATAGGAATCTAAAACGACCGCTGCCTTCGCGGCGCCACGGCTGCGGGACCAGACGCCGGCCGCGAACGCCGCCCAGCTCCACGTCCAGCCACGGATGCGGGCAGCGGCGAGCAGAGCCGCCACGTGCGCAGCCCAGAAGCCAGCGATCCACTTGCGAGAAGAACTTGACGCGGTGTGGGACTCTAGGCGGCGCGCGACCGCCCGCACGCCCACGCCGTTCAGCACGACGGCGAGCAGCACGACGAGGCCGAACGCGCCGTGCAGCGCGAGGGCGTGCAGCACCCCGACGGCGGCGGTGAGACGGCGGTGTTGCCTGGCGCTGCTGGCGCGGTGGTTGATGGCGAGGGCGGCGCAACCGAACGCGAGCTCGATCCAGAGGGCGCCCCTGAACCACTCGAAGATCCGGAGGGACGAATCGAGGTCCACCGCGCAAGGTTGCACCATGGCCCCACCGACGGGCATCGATTGCACCAGCACAGGCCTCGAGGTGATGCCGCGACGACGGGGACGGCGCTCGAGGGGGCCCGGGAGCGGTGCCTGCCCGAATGTCGGAATGTATCCTGATCGACAGGGCCGCTGACGGCGGCCGGAGCGCAGCGCTTCGCGCGCGCGGCCCGAGAGAGGGGTCGTCAGCTGGCCCGACGAGTCGAACCGGGGCGTCGATTCCCGCGTCGTTGGGCCCGCGCGGATCCGCGGGCGGGCATTCCCGGGACAACCAGTTCGAGGGGAGCGATTTCGGCCCGACGATTCCTCTCGCTGCGGTCAGGAATCGGCGGCGGCGCGATCTTGCCTGCCCTCTCTCCTGGCGGGTGCCGAACACTCTGGGGCCGAGTTCCTGCGTCGTACGCATCCGGCCCGGCAAGCCCGAGTCAAAGGCGAGGCAGAGAAGCGCTTCGTTCCGCGTTGAGACCCGCTCCGTGCAGTCCCGCGCACCATGTCTTCAACCACGCCCGCAGCCCGGGCGCCGCTGTCCTTCGCGGACAGCTCTGAGCAGGTCGCACAGGTGCGCAGCCGCGGCCCGCCTGCATTCCATCTGACGAACCGCAGCGAGGCAACGCACGCATCGAACAGCGCCGCTGCCGCACCGCCGCGACGTGGTGAGCTGGCAAAAGCAACATCGCCTCTGTTGTGAGCGCTGCCGCGGGGCACCCGGCCCACGAGCCGCGCCCGCGCAATGCGCGGCGCGGACGCACGAGACAGCCCATCCACGTTCCGCTGCTCGCGCGCACTCGCGTCCCTCGCCGCGCGCCGTCCGCGGCTGCGTGCCCCAGCGCACTCCATTCAAGCCGCGCCGCGCGCCATCCCAGCACTCCCCCGCCCTCTGCGGCCGCGCAACGGCCTCACCCGACGCCGAGCGGCCTGCCGTGACCGCAGGCCCGCCTGAACCAGCTCGAGAAGGAGGTCAGCGACTCCCGCTCGCAGATCGATGCGCTCCGCAAGCAGGTGAGCGTCCCGCGTCGCTGCGGCGATGCCGGCCCGCAACAACGCCCCCGCGCGTCGAGTCTGCGGCCGTATGGCGCGAATAACGCGACGGAAGCGCGGCGTTCGGCCCCTCCGCCGCGCTGCGGCCGACCAACCAATCCCAGCGCACGCGGCACGGTCGCGCCGACGCGACGCCGGCGGCCCGCGCGGCCCGCGCGCCCGCGCCGGGCTACGTCCCAGGCCGCCCGCCTCCGCCGTCCCCGCCTCGCGCCCCCCTGCGCGCGAGCACCGCGGGTGGCGCGCTCACGGCCCAGCGGTGGAGTCCCGCGGCGCAGGTGACGGACACCAGCGCGGAGCTCACGAAGGCGCGCGAGCAGAACTCCGAGCTGCAGAAGAAGCTCCTCAAGAACACGTCGTCGCGCATCACGGGCATCTTCTCGCGCACGTACGCCCTGCTGTCCCCTGTTGCGCCGCCAGCGCGCGCGCCCACGCAGCCTCACGCCCTCCGATCGCCGCGCTCGCTCGCGTCCCCGCCTCCTCTGCCCGCCCGCAACCCACCGCGGCCACCCGCTCCCGCCTCGCGTCCCCGGCCGCCCGCAACCGCCACCCCGGCCTCCAACCACACACCACGCTCGCCCCGCGAGACTCTAAACCATATCTCTTCGTCCCCCGATCCCCCTGTTCTCCTCTGTTCTTCCCCCACACCGCTCCGACCCGCCCCGCCCCCCGCAGCAAGACCCGCGAGGAGGGCGCGTCCCCCAGCTCGGCGACGTCGGAGTCCGGCCGGCTGACGGAGATCCTGCGCATCAAGGAGGAGGAGCTCGAGAATCTCCGATCCGACGTGCGCCTGCGGGACCAGGAGCTGGACATCGTCCGCACGCAGCTCCGGCAGCGCTCGGATGCGCTCGGGCGCGCGGAGATCGACGCCCGCACGCGCGGCGCCGAGGTCGCGCGCCTGTCGCGCGCCCTGGAGGTCCGGGAGCTGGAGCTCAAGCGCGTGCAGAGCAAGGGAGGGTACGAGGTGCCCGCGGAGGTGGCGGAGCTGCAGGGGCGGCTGCGGGCGCTGGAGGCGGAGTTCGCGGCGGCGAAGACGGCGCTGGCGGAGCGCGACGCGGCGCTGGCGGCGGCGCAGGAGGAGGGCGAGCTGGCGCGGGCGGAGCTGGCGCGCAAGGGCGATGCCGGCGGGGCGCGCGCGGCGGAGGTCGCGGCGCTGCGGGCGGAGCTGGAGCGGCTGACGAGCTCGAGCCAGGCGCGCGAGGGGAGCGCGGCGGAGGTGACGATCATGATGAGCCGCGCCGTGAAGGAGGCGGCCGAGGCGCGCACGCGGGCGGCCGCGGCGCGCTCGGAGCGCGACGTCGCCGTGCGGGACCTCGGCAAGGTCCGCGCGGAGCTCGAGGCGCTCAAGAAGTGCGTGTCCCCCCCCCGCTCCGAGCCGCCGCGCGGAGAGGGCACACGTGTGCAGGCGAGTTGACCTCGGTGCGCCGCCCCCCTCCCGCGTCGCTCGCAGGTCGCACGACGAGAACAAGCGGCGCATGAACACGCTCCTCGCGGACGCCGGGGCGCTCAAGGCGCGCGAGCGCGAGGCGCGGGCGCGCGCGGACGACCTGGACGCCACGCTGACGCGGCTGCGCGACTCGGCCGCGAAGGGCACGGACATGGCCGGCGCGCTGCGCAAGCAGGTCGTCGAGCTCACGTCGCAGCTGCAGTCCCGCGACGCCGAGGTCAAGTCGCTGCGCATGGCCATGGCGGAGGCCGGCGGCGCCGTGGACGACCTCCAGCGCGCGCGCGACGCCATCGACGAGCGCGCGTCGCGCGTGACGTACCTGGAGCGGTGCCTCGCGCAGGCCCAGGACGACGCAGCGCGCGCCATGGACGAGGCCAAGCGCCTGCGCGGCATCGAGCGGGCGGCGCGCGAGCGGCAGGAGCACGTCGAGGAGCTCACGGGGAAGCTGGCGGAGGCGCGCCGGCGGCACCAGGCGGAGGTCGCGGAGCTGCGCACGGCGCTGCGGGCGCGCGCGGCGGAGGTGCAGTCCGCGGAGGCCGACCGCGAGGCGCTGCGCAAGCGCGTGCAGGAGTCGGAGGACGCACTGGACGAGGCGGCGTCGCGGCAGAAGGCGATGGCGCAGGACGTGAAGGCGGCGGAGCGCGCGGCGGAGGCGTGGCAGGGGCGCTGCGAGGCGCTGCGCGGGGAGACGGAGGGGGCGCGCGCCGAGGCCGAGGCGGCGCGGGTGCGCGCGCAGGAGGTGGTGGTGCTCCTCGACGAGCGCACGCGCGAGCACGAGTCCGCGCGGGCCGAGCTCGCGCGCCTGCAGGCCGACATCGAGAGCGGCGCGCTGCGGTATGACAGCGCGGTGGCCGACCGGGAGACGCTGGAGCAGGAGCTGTCCAAGCTGCGGGCGCGCGTGGCGCAGCTGGAGGCCGAGGTGGACGCGAAGGACGACCGCATCGCGTCGCTCGACGCGGAGCTCAAGGAGCTGTCGGACGCCGGCGCGCTGTCGTCGCAGCACGTGCGCGACATGTCGGCGCAGCTGGCGGCGGCGGAGAAGGCGCTGGCGGCGCGCGAGGGCGAGCTCGAGGGCGCGCGCGCGGACCTCGAGACGGCGATGCGCGAGGGCGCGGCGTCGCAGCAGCGCGCGCACGAGGCCGACGCGCGCCTCGCCAGCCTGCGCGAGGAGATGGCGCGCATGAAGCAGCACGACCGCGACCTGCACAACGAGTACTTCGACCTGCAGCGGCGCCTCGCGGACGCGCAGGACCGCGAGGACGCGCTCAGCGCGCAGCTGGCGTGCATGGAGGCCGACCTGAGCAAGGGGCGCGTGGCGCTGCAGGAGGCGGAGCTCAAGATGGAGGCGGCGCGCATGGAGGCCGAGGACGCGAAGGCGGAGGCCGGCGCGGGGCGGGCCGCGACGGACGTGGAGGCGCGCGCGCGGAAGGCCGCGGAGGAGGCGGCGGCGGCGCACGAGGAGGCGGCGTCGCGGCTGGAGACGCAGGTGGCCACCTTGACGAGCTCGCTCGAGTCGCTCAACGCGAAGCTGAGCGACACGCTCGGCTCGAACGCGACGCTCGAGGCGCGCGTCGCGGAGCTCGAGGACGTCTCGCGGCGCCTGGCGGAGGCCGAGGCGCGGCTGCGGGAGAGCCAGGCGGACGCCAAGGACCGGGAGGTGCGCCTGTCGGTGGTGACGGCGGAGAAGACGGCGCTGGCGCAGCAGCTGGAGAGCACGGACGCGCGGCTGGCGGGGGCGCGGCGGGCGGCGGACGCGGCGGAGGAGCGGGCCAAGGGGCTGGCGGCGGACCTGGAGGAGGCGCAGCGCGGCGGGCGGGAGCGCGGCGCGGAGATGGCGCGGCTGGAGGCGGCGCTCCAGGCGCGCGACGAGGAGTACGAGCGCGCGCTGGCGGAGATGCAGGCGCTGCGGTCGGGGCGCAACGGCGAGGAGCAGGGGTCGCTGGCCATGCGCGAGCACCTGCGGCTGGAGCTCAAGGAGAAGGACGCGGAGCTCGCGGAGCTGCGCGCGCTCGTCGAGACGCGCGACGGGGAGATGCGCGCGCTGCAGGGCCTGGTGGAGGCGCTGCAGGAGGAGCTGCAGCAGAGCGCGCAGCAGATCGACGACACGTGCGAGGAGCTGCAGCGGCGCGACGACGAGATCGCGCGCCTCCGCGACGTCGCGGACGAGGCCATGGCCGAGGCCGAGTGCATGCGCCGCCGCGCCGAGGAGAGCACCGGTGCGCGCGCCACGCGACCGAGCCCGCCTGCAGGTGCACCGCGCACATTGCTGACCGCGTCCACGCCCTCCCTCGTGCCCCCCGCAGTCCCCCGGAGCCCCCGCGTCATCCTTGACACCCCCAAGGGACTGGCGCAGACCCCCGGGATCCGCACGCGCGCGTGGGACGCCATGCAGTCCGCGGCCCTGGCGCGCGCCGCCCGCGTGCACGTCGGGTCGTGCGTGGTCTTCATGGGCGCCGCGCTCGAGCTCCAGCAGCGCATCGCGTCGGCGGACGGCGCGCGCATCCGCGCCGTGGAGGCCCGCGCGCACGCCGAGCGCACGCTCGACCTCCTGCGGCAGGAGATCGCCGAGTGCGAGGGCGCGCTGCAGTACCACGAGGACCAGCAGGCGCGCGCGGCGGGCGAGCAGGGGCAGCCGCGCCTGGACGCGAAGCTGAAGCTCGGGCCGCGCGTGGTGGCGCTGGTGGACGACTGCATCCGCCTGCGCGGCCGCCTGGTCGAGCTGGACGAGCAGCGCGCGGAGGCGGCGCGGGAGCTGCAGCGCGCGGCGGCGCGGGGCGCGCAGATGGAGCAGGCGCTGCGGCAGGCTGGCGCGGAGGCGCCCCCCGGGGCGTCGAACGTGACGGGGCGGCAGCTGGTGCAGGAGCTGCTGACGCCCGCGGCGATGGACCAGGACTACGGGAACGTGTCGCCCTACGTGGCGGGCGGGGCTGGCGGTGCGTGCCCGACCCAACATGCAGGCCCCCCTGTGTGCGTGGACGGACGGACGGCGGAGAGCCCCCGTGTCTGTCGAGCCCGCGCGGCGTCGCCCGGACGAGCGCTCACGCATCGCCTGCACCTCGTTGCTCGCAGGGTCGCGGTCCGCGGCGCAGGACGACGCGCTGGTGGGCGTGGGCAGCCCCTACAAGGAGAACCTGGGCCCCGCCGCGCAGCTGCCCCTGAGCGCGCGCATGGCCGTGCCCTCGGCGCACCGCCACCGCAAGCAGCAGAAGAGCGGCCGCTGGCTCGCGCGCCTCGCCGCGCCGCTCGCCGCCGTTGCGCTGGGCGGTGCCGGCGTGGCCATTGGCGCCAACACGCGCTCCGGGAGCTCCAACGCCGAGAGGTGCGCCGCGCACCGCGTGTCTGCGGCGGTCGGTGCCGCGCGCATGACTCGCTTTCCGTTGGCAACTCCTCATTCCACTGACCTCACGACGATGACGTGTTGATGTGTGGGGTGCTCTTGCAGGGCGGACGACCGGCAGCGCCGGGTGAACATGCAGAACCTGCCGACGGCGGTGGACCTGCGGCGCGAGAGCTACAGCGTCAAGGGGAGCAAGCAGTCGCCCATGTTCGGATGACGCGCGCACGCGAGTTGCAGGTGTGCGCAAGCGGCGGCGCGCGCCCGGGGCGGGTGCGGCGGTCGGGCTGGAGCGGTCAGACGCTCCGCGTTGTCCGTCGCACAGGTGGAGAACCAATCAGAGATGTGAATCCGTCAATTACTCTCGTGTCCCGCCGGGCCGCGGGGCTCCGGCGACGCAGTGCTTCCTTCGGCCGTGCACGTGCCTGCCGCCCGGGCGCGCGGGGCAACGGCGGCCGCGCTGCGGAGCACTGCGGGGGGCGGTGGTCTGCTGCTGACAAGGCAGCCGGGGGGCCGCCTGCGGCGTCATGGGGCGGCGGCTGTCCACCACGCGGCATTCAGAGCTTTCGCGGCGAGGTAGCGGCGAAGGCCCGTACGGAAGGAGAGAACGCGAAGCTTGCGCAGGCCCTGCGCGAGCCTTGCTAGGATGTCTGCGCTCACGGAGAGCGCGGTGGAGCCGGGCCCGGGGTGGGCGGGCGCGCGGTGGTCGCTTGGCGACGCAACGAAGGAGGGGAAGGGGGCGTATGGCAGGAAGCGCAGCGGGCGGCAAGGGCGGAAACGGGAGCGCGGGCCTGAGGAGGCGGGGATGAGCCCAGCGGCATTGGCGGGCGCCATCACCGCCGCGGGCCTCGCAGGGGTGTGGAGCGTAGCACGCGGGGTGCAGAAGGTGAGGAACAATGCCCGGCCGCCTGTGCGCGCCTCCCAGGCTCGCTGCGGGATCCAGAAGGCAGCACCAACTGACCGCATCCTACACGACCGATGAAGGCCGCACGACGTCGACGAGACGCTCGCGCGGCCCGCGTAATCGCCGGTTCGGCGCTCGGGCACGACGCGATTCGCCGCTCCCGGGCATTGCGGTCGGGAATGCGCGCGCACGAGCCGATCGGCACCCGCGACAGCCAGCCGTCCGCCCGTTTCGCGAGCTCCATCCCGAATTCCGCAAACGCCATGGCCGTATTACGCAGCCAGCCGCACGGCGCTCGCACATTCTCCCGATCGGCGCCCTCGCCGCGGCAGATGTCGCGACCTTCACATCATGCGATGTGCCGCGGCACGAGTGCGGTCTCGCAGGCGCACCGCCGCCGCACAGGACGCTCTTGTGCGTTTCCGGGCGACGGAGCTGAACGTTGGTTCAGGCCGTGCGCTGCACTGCGCGTGTCCCGCGTTACAGCACCCAACCACTTTGGCGCCCAATGCCACGCCCGCGCGCGCCCGCGTCTCCCCACGCGCCCGCGGTGCCCCGCGCCCCCGCCCCCGCGCAGGTCCTGCACGGCTACCGCGTGAACCGCCTCCGCAAGATGCTCCTCGAGGTCTCCCCGGTCCTGGACCAGGCGTGCGGCGACGCGTGGTGGGTCGACTTCGGGAGCCTCCTCGGCATCTACCGCGACGGCGACCTGATCCCGTACGACAACGACGTCGACATCTGCGTCCTCAACCCGGACTGGGAGGCCCTCTACGAAACCCTCCAAACCGCCCTGGAGCCCGAGTACCGCGTACGTAGCGCACGACCCCTGCACAGTCGCGCACAACGCTTTCCACAGTCGCGCACGACGCCCCTCCACAGTCGCGCACGGCCGCGCGCCCACGGCGCGAACCCGCGCGGGGCGCGACGGCTCCGTCCGCGTGTACCCGCACACACACCGACACACCCACACGCGTGCCCCCCCTGGCGCTCCAGGTGCGATGGACGACGCCATCGGAGGACCCGACGGTGCGGTGGATCCGCGTGCTGTCGCCGATGTGCATGATCGACATCTACGGCGCGCACTGCGACGTCGGCGCGACCGCGGCCGGCCGCGGCGCCACTGTGCACGTTGAGCTCGGGCACGGCGACCAGAACGACATGGCCGCCGACATGGTGCTGCCGACGCGGCGCATGGACTTCCGTGGCGTCCAGATCGGCGTGCCGTCCCAAGTCGAAGAGCTCCTGCGGTATCGTTACGGCGACACGTGGATGATCCCCATCTACATGGACAAGGGCCGCGACGAAGTGGAGGGGAACAAGGCCTACGCGCGCGTCCTGCGCTTCGTCGGACGGTTCGGCCTGAAGTTCTGACGCGGGGGGCTGGCGAGGCGCGCGGCCGGTGGGTGCGGTGCGGTGCGGTGACGCAGGAGGGCGCCCGCGGCGGTCCCGGGGAGGCGCGACTGGTGCGCGGTCGATTTTGCTTGAGCCTGTATTGTGCGAGACTCGTATGCCATTTCACAGACGGCGACGCAGCTTGCGCGTGGCATTCGACACCTGCTACGCTGATGTTGTTGAAGGTCGATAGGACGGCCTGTTGTGAACCGATTCATTCGACGGCACGCGCGTTCCCTGCTGAGTGGCGCTCGTGGCATGCAACGGCTGACGCGACGTCCGCGCGCGTCTGCTCGGGGCCGCCACCAGTCGAGATATCCCCAGTGGTGTTGGGGCCTTCCAGAGCCCCTGCTGCCCCCGTGCCGTTGACGCCGCGACGGCCTCGCGCGCAAGCACAGATGCCTCTCAAAGGCAGTTGAGATCGAGTGCTTGCGCTCTGGGACCGTTGCATCGCCGTAGCGCGCCTGACGCGGACTGCCGGGCCGGCCCGATGCACAGGACCTGCGCTGACCACTGGTAACAGCACCCACCAGCTCCGCGCGGCGGGAGCGCACGCGGAGGCTGCGTGATGGGACGGCCGCTGCCAGCGACCGTCGAAGGCGACTGCAGCGGCAACGGCCTGCCGCATGAGGTGTGCTCCTGCCCGCACACACCGCGCTGCGGCCGCACGGCCTGCACGGCCGTCCTCGCGGCCCAAGGCGCTGCACGATCGATTGCGGCAGATTGTACGTACCAGAGACGCCGAAGTCGGCGGACTTCGGTCGTGCACTGCACTCAGTGACAGCACACGCGGCCCTCTGGCGCCTGCTACGAACGAACATCGTTCGTTTGCTACCCCGCAGGCCGCGCAGGTCAGGCAGCAGCTCGCCGCCCACCTGCGCACATACTCGAATATATACGACGCACGCTCGTTGTGGGTGTTCGGCCAGCGCGTACACCCGCGTCCGGACATTCATGTGGGCGTTCCTCAGTGGGACGACCCACCCCCTCGGACGGGGCGGTTCTGGAGCATAGACGAGGCGGAGATCCACCAGCAGGGCGGCGCGCGCGGGGCGAAGCTCGAGCTCAGGCTAGGCGGCGTGTGGGAGGGGGCCGCGCTGGTCGTCTACAACCCCCGCGGGTTCATGAGGCTCGACTCCGGCCTGGGGACGCAGCAGAACATCTCGGCCCTGCTCAGCGAGGAGGGCCCGGACTGGGGCATCACGGACGCGGACCGCATCGCTTGGGCGGGAAGCCTGGCCACCACGCCGGCGTCGCTGGTGCGCGGGCGCGTGCGCCCCCCCGGGTACGTGGGGCCCGCGGTCGAGATCCGGCACGAGGTGCGGGACATCGGGCTGGACCAAATATACGTGTAATACTTGCGGGACAGTGCGCGGGTGGTCAATTACTACTCTGTGAAGTCATGTGTGCGCGATGCGCGTCGACGTGTCAACCATTTCGGTCGCTCAAGCATCCTCGCGTTACAACAAGGGTGCTAGCTTGTCCTTGTTCGCCGCTGCTCAGGCGCGCCCGTCCGGCCGCGCGCCCGCGAGCCCCTCTGCTGCACGCACGGCCACGTGGCACAGCGCGCCGACCATCCCCTCTCGACTCCCCCACTCCCCCCCCGGCTCCATGTTGGCGCGAAACCGCTCCCCGCCCGCCAGGTACAACAGCGCGCCGAGCACCACGAGGCCTTCCCACACCTCGCGCTGCGCGGGCGTGAGGGCATCCACCGCGGCCCTCGCGTCCGTCCCCGCGGCGTGCGCGGCCGCGTTGCGCCCCTGCAGCTCGCGCACCGCCACCACTGCGTGCTCCCACACCGCGCGGGCGTGCACGGGCACGCGCGGCCACGACACGCGCACGACGGCGCAGAGCGCGCGGGCCGCGCCCACCTGCGTGCCCGCGTCCAGCGCGTGGAGCCACCCCAGCAACAACGGCATCAGACGCGCGAAGTGGGCTACCGTCACGAGGCCGGTCAGCTGCACCATGGGCACGAGGGAGTGCAGGAGCGGCACGCGGCGGTACGGGTCGTGCGAGTGCCGCTCGCCCTCCGCGAGAAGCGTCGCCATGACCTTCCCGTGCACCAGCGACCTGCGGGCACAGCGCGGCGCCGGACGGGACGCGATCGAGCTCTCTCTCCGTACGATCGGCACAGGCGTGCGTGAACACGGAGCGTCCCGCCCCCGTCGCGTCGCACCTGGGGTCGTCGGCGCCGCCCAGCGCTGCAGCGAGCGCGACGCAGCATGGCGCGCACACGGGCCACACGCGCGCCTCGCAGCCCGTCGCCAGCCGCAGCGCCTGCTGCAGCACCACGCCCTGGTGCGGCCGCAAGTCGCTCGGCAGCCCCTTGACCGCCACGTGGTGCAGGGCCGCCAACCCCAGCCCCTGCACGACGGGACTGGAGTCCTGCAGGCACGCCAGGACCGGATATATCGCGCGGGGCACGACCTCCGACAGGCCTGCGCCCACGCACATCCGCACCAGCGCCGCGAGCTGCCGCGCCGACACTGCGCGTGCCAGCGTCTCCGCGGGGCCTGGCACGTGCGGCAGGGCGCCGCCGCCTGGCTGCTGCTGCATGGCGGTCGGGGCGCGCATGAGCGTCGCGGCGAGCGGCCCGAGCGCGTACTGTGCGCACGCGGGGGCCGCGGGGGCCGAGCGGGGCCCCACGACGGACCCAGCCGCCAACAGACACGCGTCCGCGGCTTCAGCGCCCGGGGCGTCGATCCACGGCGCCGGCATGCCGTCGTCGGCGGCGTGGGCTGCGGCGGCGAGGATCGCGGAGCGCAGCGCGGAGAGCTGGACCTCCGGGGAGGCCGGAGTCGAGGTTTCAAGGTCTGACGGGTCGATCTCGACGATGGTTGCCTCGGCCAGCGGCTGGTCGACGCCGCGAGGGAGGCGCGTGTCGGAGGAGGCTGCGGGCACGCGCGGCACGGCGCGGCGTCGGGCGGCGGCGGCCCACCCGCGCAGCAGGAGCGTGCAGGCGCGCAGGGAGGTGTGCGCGACACTGCGGTGGGCATCCGCTGCAGCGGACGCGTCCCAGTCGTTCGGGCGGTCGGCGTAGTCGCCGAACACGTCGGGCGTGATGCCTGCGGGGAAGCGGAGCGAGTCGGCGGATGCATGAGGATGGAGCGTGTGTGCGCTGCGGGCGACGCAGGCAACGGGCCGGCGTGCGCTCAAGGCGTCTTATCGCCCGATGGAGGCTGCACTTGAGATCACGTTTGCGACGCTGCGGACCACTGACCTGCCGTGACTGCCGTGGAGAGGGCCTGCAAAGCCCCGAGCACAGCGGCCGAGTCCTCCTGGAGCAGGGAAACGACCGTCGTCAAGCACCGTTTGTCCGACAGGGACTGGCTCGATTCATCGTCCTCCCGCGCGAGCAGACGCACGACGTCTTGCGCCGGCTGCGCCCCGCTGGATCGGACCGCCGAAGGCGCGCTCCGGCCCCACTCTGATGCCGCGCTCAGGGCCGCACGCAGCTCTCGCGCCGCCGCCGAGCTGCCCATCGTGCCCTGCAGGTCAGCGCTCCGGCCCGGGGTCCCGACGGCCGACAAGCGCGGTCGCGGCGGGCGGTAGAGTCCCCCGAGTGCTTCTGCTCGCACCTAAGACCCCTCCCGCGTGCTCCCTGCGGCTTCTTGGGAGCTGCGCATTGCCTGAGTGAGGCAGTCAATGCGGGAGTGGCATCGACGCGATTCGATTTCTCAGCCCGACCGACGCCTGGATTCCGTAAGGTGGCTGTTGCCGCCGTTGACTGTGACGGTGCTCCGGGGTCCCCTTGCGTTGGTTCTGAACTGGCCCCGCAGGTCCGCGTGTTACGACCGTGCACTGAAGCAGCCTGGACCCAAGCGTCGTCGGGAAAAGAGGCGGAGCTGTCCCAGCGACGCATCAGGTGCCGGCAGCGCAGCAGGTCACAGCCGGGGCCGCCGCGCCGCGCGGTGGACGGACGGATCGGGCTGCTGCAGACGATCGTCCCGAATGAATCGATGAGGGGCGGGCATGGTCCGATTCAAGAACAGATACTTCCTCTTCGAGCTCATTTGGCAGGATGGCACCGCACCCAGCGACTTCGACGCTGCGGCCCTGTGGCAGACGCTGCGGGACTCTCTCGCCGAGAACTTCGGCGACGCGAGCTTAGGCGCGGCACTGCAGAGCCTCCAGGCAAGCTCGCACGACGGCTCGACGTGGCAGTGTCACCTGATGCGCCTGCCGCCATCACCCTCGCGATTCAGCCCACGGGGTCCGATCGAGACGGGCACCCCCGCGGCTCAGACGGCTGCTCTCCGCACTCGGCGCGCGCGCAGGTGAAGATATACGACCCGAAGGTCAACCTGGCCATCGTGCGGTGTTCGCGCGACGAGCACCAGCACCTGTGGTGCGCGGCGACGCTGCTGACGACGGCGGGGGCGCTGCGGCGGCGCGTGGCGCTGCGCATGGTGCGTCTGTCGGGCGTGCTGCGGCCGGCGCAGGAAGCAGCCCTCAGGGCAGGGTTGAGTTCAATTGGCAAACTCAAAGTCTCCGAGGACAGAAAGGAAGCGATGCGGCAGGACTGGCAGCAGCGGGTGCTGGCGCTGCAGGTGTAGGCGGCGCTGCGCGCGCCTGAGCGCATCAGAGCGCGTGCGCGGATGCTGGTGCAGCTGTCTCAGGTAGCACACGTGCTGTAGCGCACTCTTTGAAAGGAACATCATTTCGGGTGGAAGCACATCATGCTGCTCGGTTCTGCAGCACGCCGCCTGTCAGAGCGATTTCAATCACGGGTCGATGCCAACAACAAACGGCGGCGCATCAACTACCAACAACAACACACCACGGGCGCCTGCCTGGCGCCATACAGCCACTCGAGCCGCTCCGAGACGCCTTCGCACGGCCGCTCGCACGACGATCGCACCTCACATTGTTGTTCTACGCGCTTGACGCAAAGCAGCCACGACCGCTGCGGTCGCAGCGACCCTCTGCGCGACGGCACGCCGTCAGCAGAAGCGGATCGGCACCACCTCCGCCGCGCGGTGCTCCTCCTCCGCGTTCCGCTGCCGCCGCCGCGCCGCCTCCCGCTCCAGGTACCGCCGCGTGATGTCCTCCATCAGCGGGTGCTCCGCAGCGACGTCCCCGAACTCGTCGCGGTAGTTGCTCCCGTCGAAGCACCAGCCCGCCGGCAGCGGCTCGTCGCGCGCCTCCACAGCGAGCATCGCGCGCTCGTCGGCGGTGAGCGACGCCGCACCGGCCGCGAAGCCCCCTGCGAGGCGGTCGGGCAGCCGCTCCGGCGGGGGCGGCGCCATCTGCGTCACGATCCGCTCGCACGTCGACCGCCGCAGCCCCTGCCCCCACATGACAAGCTCTCCGCCGCACGCGCTCGTTGGCGCCGCGCCCGTCGCGACCAAGTACGCGCCGAGGTTGGCGCCGACCGTCGCGGAGACCGTCACGGGGCCGGAACCGATGTCCACGCCCGTGTCCGCGCGCAGCAGCGGTGCGTCCGACGTCCCCGCGCTGGCGGTGCCCTCGGACCGGCCCGCGTCCATGTCGCCCGCGTCCGGCCACGCGGGGACGACGAACGTGCCGCAGATGCCGGCCAGGCGCTCCCGCGCGCATCCGCCCTCGTCCAACTCCGTCAGCGGCGGCGCCGCGGTCGCGTCCGCGCGCGCAAGGGCTGCAGCGCGACGCAGGGCGGCCTCTGCGTTGCGCAGGTCGATCGAGCCGTCAAACCTCACCCTGTGGGCGACCCAGTCGCCAACGACGCCCCGGCACGCCCCGCGCGGCGCCGTGCGAACGACCCCTCCCGCAACCGCGGCGTCAGCGAGCGCGAGGGCTCGCTCCGGCGGCCCTGGCCGCGTGCGGCGCAGCAGGCGTGCCGCGCCCGCCGCCAGCGACGCGCCGCCGCGAACGACGGACGCGCCCGGGACGAGCTCCGTCGCGAGCGCGATCGCCGCGTCGCCAGCGCGCCCCGGGGCGCCGCTGCTCCCGGCCCCGAGCACCACGACGTGATCGACAAGGCCCGGCCGAAGCAGCGCCACCGCCGCGGGCGACGGCTGCCGGCGCGGGGGGCACTCGACGGCGTCGTCGGCGCGCAGACAGACTGTGACGGTCCCGAGCTGCCACTGCACGCCCGTGAGAGCCTCGCGCAGTGCGGCCAGAGTCACCTCCATGCTGTCAGAGCCCACTGCAGACACCAGCACGTGGGACGGCGGCGGACCGTCGGCCTCGCTGACGGCGTCGTTGCGCTGGACTGCGGCGCGCACCGCGGGCACGACGCGCGAGAGCAGGAAGTGCCGCGGCAGCGTTTCGAGCGGGGAGGAGTCGGCGGCTGTGTCCTCGGCGGCGAGCAGGTCGCGCGACGCCTGCGTCCACGCGGCGCTCGTGCGGGTCATCCGCACGACGGTGTCCGCGACGTCCGCGGCCCGGCAGCCCGGCGCGCCAATGACGAGGTCGACCAGCGGCTGCAAGGGGGGGGACTCTGGTCCCGAGTCAGGCTCGGCGAGCTCGAGCGCGTCCATGTGCCGCAGGAGCTCCGCGAGGCGCTCGTGCGACACCGCCGGACCGTGCTGCCCGGCGTCCGCCCCGCGCACCGCAGCAGCGTGCAGGCGCGCAAGCGTCCCACTGCCCGCCTCCACGCCCTGCCCGTCCTCCGCCGGCGCCGTGGACTGCAGGAACGGAATGCCCTGTCCGCCGCAGCGGATGTCCCAGTCCGGCACCACGTCGTGCCGCATGCGCTTCCTCGCGTAACTGCTCATCGCGCCCAGCGCTATCTTTACGGTGCGGCCGGCGGCGACCGCGTCCACAATCGGCAGCCCGCACCCGCGCGGGTCCGTCGTGCGAAGCGTCACCGTCGGGCCGACCGCGAACGCCGCGTCGTCGTCCTCGGCGCTGCCCCAGTCCACGTGCACCGCCTCCACCGCCGAGGGGTGCAGCGGGAGCACCATCGGCGCCGAGGACACCGTCCGCTCGGGCTCGAACAGCAGGCCCTCGCGGTAGCAGTGCAGCCGCCCGGGCACTGCCGGAACCTCGCGCGCGTCGAACAGCAACACGCAGGGCTCGCCGTAGTTGAACGCAGGCTCCCCGAAGGCCGCCAGCGCGCCGTCCGCGTGCGGAGCCGCCTCGGACCCCTCCTCCCCGCTGTCCTCGCTGTCCCGCGCCCGCGGCCCGCGCGCGCTGCCCTGGCGGTGCGCGCTCGGGCGGTCCCGCGCCGTCCTCTTCTCTACGACACTGCGCAGCTTCTCCTCGGCGCGTGCCGCCCACGGGTGCACGTCCCAGGCCGCGAGGGGCGGGATCTGCTCTGTGACGTTCAGCACGACGCACGCCCCGGCCGCGTCCGGGTCCGCGACCAGCAGGAAGGTGTCGCCGTACACGAGCGCCACGTCTGCGCTTCCGGGGCCGATGTCGGCCGCAGGGACGCGCGTCTCCACGCGCAGCACGCGCATGCGGCCGTCGGCCGCGCACGCCGGCGCGACCTCGACGCGGTTCGCGTGGTCGGACGCCCACAGCGCGATCCGGAGCCCCGCTGCCGCGTTGCGTGCCACGTCCGCCGGAACGCCGAGGTCCTGCGCCCGCGCGACGGCAGCGGCGGCCGCCGCGTCGCGCGCCGCCCGTGCGGCTTGTTTCCCCGCGTCCGGACCGTCCCCGCCGTCCTGCGCGGTGCGTGCGTACGCCGCCAGGGCCGCCTGTGCGCCGGCAACGACGCCGGCGTACAGCGCCGCGACGCGCGACGCCCTCGCTGCGGCGCCGCCCAGGCTTGGCGCGACCCTCTGCGCCCACTGCGCCTCCTCAAAGTCCATCGTGGGGTCGTCCAGCGCCCACGCCGCCTCGCACGCCGCGTCCACGCACGCCGCGTGCCGGCAGCCCCGCACGCCGTCGCCGGGGTACGGCTGGCTCAGAAGGTACGTCCGCGCGACCCGGAGCGCGGAGTGCGGGTCCGCGGCCTCCGCGACGAAGTGCGTGCACGGCCCCCCGTCCGCCGTGCCCTGCGACGCGACGGTGACCTCCCCAGAGGACTTGGCCTTGGGGTCCGCGGCCCGCGGCCCGAACAGCACCTTCGGGGCCATCGTCACGCTGCGCCGGACACCCGCGGGCAGCCGCAGCACCCCGAACTGGAAGTAGCTCGCCAGCGGCTCCGCCACGTCCGCCTCCGTGAGGGCTCCGCGCTGCGACGGCGCACACCCCGCGAGCGCACCGCACATGCCCGCCCAGCACCGGTCCAGCGCCGCGGCGCGCTCCTCGACGAACGCGCGCACCGCGTGCGCGTCCATCCGGCAGTACTCCTCCCACAACGCCCCCGACACGTCCACCACGTCAAACAGCATCGTCAGGAACCCGGGCCGGCCCACACCGTCCAGGCCGTACGCCGCGACGAGCGGCCACTTCTCCGCCTCCATCGGCGAGCCGGGCCCGAGCGCCGTCGAGCCGTCCGGGCGCTGCTGCGGCACGGGCGTGAGCGTGAGGCCCAGGCGCCGCATCCCGCGCAGCGCGTGCACCAGCGCCCCGACCTTCGCGATCTCGAGGGCGTCGGGGTCGTCCTCCTCCTCGGCGGTCGGGCAGTGTACGACGAGGGAGGCGTCGAGGCCCGCGAGGAGCGGCCAGAGGCGCCCGTGGGCCGCCGAGGTGCAGTAGAGGTCCAGGCCGGAAGGACGGACGAGAACAAACATGTCCTCGAAGGCGGCGGGGACGCTCGTGGCGTCGAGCACCTCCCGGCCGCTCGCACCCTGCGGGGCGGGGGGTCGGATCGAGGCGTGGGGCGCGGGCCTGCGCTGGGTCGCGCGGACGGCGCCGGGCGGCGTGAGTGCTGCTTCGAGCTGGCAGGCCGCGACGGCGAGCGCCTGTGGTGCCGCGAGTGGCTGCGGTGCTGGAGGCCGTGGTCGCGGCGCGCTGAGCGAGTGGGTCGAGGCGCCCCCGGTGGCCGCGGGCCCGGGCCAGGGACGTTGCGCGGATCGACGTGGCGGGCCTGCTGCCCCCCCGCGGCGCAATGCGGCGGACGTGGGCCCAGGCGGCGCGTCACGCACCTGGAAGAGGTAGGCGATGGCTTGGTGCGATCCCGCGTTGTCGCACCCGTCCACGCCGGGGACCAACAGAAGCGCATCCAGGTCGAGCTCTCGCACGACGCTCTGGAGGCGCCGCAGCCGCAGGGCTACGGACTCCCTTGTAGCCTCGATCGCCATCGCGGCCGTCGCGTATCGAGGGGGCGAGTGCGCGCTGCCTGCTGCCGCGGGTTCGGATGCAACAGGTGGGCAGCTAGAGCGCGCGCAGCGCGGACCAGCAGGACCTGCCGGGCTCTATGCGCCCGGGCGGCACCCGGACGACTGCGGGCTAGGCGCTGCCCGAGGGCCGGCACCAGCGGCGCTCTGCCGCGGGAGCCGCAGGTGTGCGGAGTGCCGGTGGTCGGGCGGTGCACCAGGCGCGCGAGCGTCACGCCGCAAGCAGGCTTTCGTTGCGGCCGACTATCTCGGCGAGCTCCACTGTAGTTGCAGCGTCCTGTGGCGGCAGTTCGAGGCCGGTCCGCGCCGGGCGGAGCGACTTTGGGGGGCTTGGCGCGCGACTCCTCCCGCGGCCCGCACTGCAGGGCCTCGTCGGGGCTTGTAGGCACGCCCGTCGGCGGCCTGCGGCAAGCTTGGAATTCATCTGGGCGGTTCCCGGTGCGCATTTGGCTCGCACGTCCTTTGCGAGAGCGGGCGGAGCGACTCAGCTGCTTGCCTCGAGAGCAGCCCGCGGAGCCCTCGAACTCGACCCCCCGCCCCGGCGCTGCCGCCACGGCGTGGTCCCTGCCCGGCACATCGCGGCACAGCCACGTTTCGCCGTCAACGTCGAGCGCACGACGCGCTGAGAGGCGGCACCTCGGTGCAGTCCGCACTGTGCGAGCGCGCCGGATCCTGCGGAGACGCGGATGCGAAAGTAGCGTCAGGTACCGGTCAACATGGAGAAGTACCGCAAAGGGAAGGTCCTGGGCCAGGGCAGCTTCGGCAGGGCGATCCTGGTGACCAACATACATAATGGCAAACAGTACGTCATGAAGGAGATCGACGTGTCGCGCATGCCGCGCTCAGAGAAAGAGGCGTCCATGCTCGAAGTCAGGCTGCTCCAGGTGCGCCAAAGGAACGCCTCACGGGGCGGCGCGAGCACGTCATGCGCTCCACGGCGCAAACAGGCCCTGGGCTCGCTTCCGCGGGCCGGGGTGCACTTTGCGCGCGTAGCGGCGCGGCGGCTGACCTGTTCTACTGCACGCAGCGCGAGTAGGCCGCCGGCCCAGCCCCTCCTGGCCTCACCGGCAGGGTAGAGCCCTCGTGCACTGGCCCGACCGCACGGCGCGCTGCGCGGCGGCGATCGCGCAGCTCGCGGTCACGAGCGAAGGCCTCAGTCCAGGGGCCGCTTCCTCGCGCGCACGCTTGCCAACGCGGCACGCAGGTGCGCCGCAACGCCGTCGTCGCTCCTCCCGTGCACTCGCAGTCGCTCCGGCACCCGAACGTGGTGAACTGCACCGAGTCCTTCCTGTCGGCGGGGAAGCTGTGCATCGTGATGGAGTGGTGCCAGGAGGGCGACCTGTACGCCATCCTCAAGAAGCGGCGCGGGGCGCTGCTGCCTGAGGAGACCATCCTGGACTGGTTCGTCCAGATATGCCTGGCGATCAAGCACGTGCACGACCGCAAGATCCTCCACCGGGACCTCAAGACGCAGAACATCTTCGTGTCCACGGGCGGGCTGCTCAAGCTCGGCGACTTCGGCGTGAGCAAGGTCCTGTCGGGCACCAACGTCTTCACCAAGACGTCCGTCGGGACGCCCTACTACCTCTCCCCGGAGATCTGCAAGAACCAGCAGTACAACCACAAGTCCGACATCTGGTCCCTCGGCTGCGTCCTGTACGAGATCACCACCCTCAAACACGCCTTCGACGCCCAGTCGCTCCAGGTGCGGCCCGCCCGCGCCCGCGTCGCCCCGCACGCCGGACCCCCCCTCCCGCACCGTCTGACCCTCCGCCCGCGCCCCTCGCTGCGCAGATGCTCGTGCACAAGATCGTGCAGGGGAAGTACCCGGCGCCGCCGTCCAAGTACTCCAAGCCGCTGCGGGACCTCATCGGGTCCATGATCCAGACGGACCCCAGGAAGCGCCCCGCGATCAACGAGATCCTCCAGGCGAGGCCCGCGCAGCTCGCAAGCACGCACGCATGCCCTGCCACCGAGTGCGCCCGCGTCACGCGAGCCCACCCGCCGCCGCGCCGGCCCGTCTGCCTCGATCTGCGCGTGCCCGCGCGTCCCAGCCGACCCGCTCGGCAGCAAGGACGACGGTGTACTTCCGCGTCGGAACACTTCATACTTCGTACAACAACAACAACTTCCTCGCTCGTGCGCGTCCGTTCGTCGCAGCGGCCGATCATCAAGGAGCGCATCGGGAACTTCCTCTCCCAGACCTTCATCGCCGACGAGTTCTCGCACACCGTCATCCACGCCAAGCCCGCGCCGGGCGAGATCGTCCCGCGCGCCCCCGCGGCGCGGCGCTCCCCGTGCCCGTCCCCGAAGGAGCCCGCCACGCCGAGCCAGTCCCGTCCGTCCTCGCGCGTCCCCTCGCGCGCCCCGTCCCCGACCCCCTCAGCGGGGGGACGCTCCAGGACCCCCCCCCTGCAATCCGCGGCGTCAGGGGGGGTGTCGGCCCCGAGCAGCGTGTTCGCCGCCGCGGGCGGCCGCAGCGGCGTGCCCGTAGTGGGGTCGCGCGCGACGCCGGACCCCGCCCGCGCGGCCGCGAGCACGGCCATGTCGGCAGCGGCGCGTGCTCGCCAGCAGAAGCAGGAGCAGGAGCTGAAGCGGCTGGCCGAGGAGAAGCAGCGGCGGGAGCGCGAGCTGCAGGAGGCGCAGGCGCGCATCGAGGAGGAGCGGAAGCGCATCGAGGCCGCGAGGCAGGCGCGCGAGGCTGAGCAGGCCGCCGCGCAGCAGAGGTGCGCCCGCACGCCCCGGTCGCTGGTTTTGCCGTCGTCGCTGCGTCTCGTCCAGGCACTTCGATCCCCGCGGCCGGTCGTCCTTCGCATCCGGCGTTGACGTGCCGTGACGCTGCGCGACGGCATCGCCGTGCAGGGAGCGCGAGCGGCAGGCAGCGATCGCGGCGGACCGGCAGCGGCGCGCGGAGGAGGAGGCCGAGGCGCGGGCGCGGCGCGAGGCGGAGGCGCTGGAGGCCCGGCGGCGCGCGGAGGAGGAGCGGGCGCAGGAGGAGGCCTTCTCGAAGATCAAGCGGGAGCGGGAGAGCGAGCTGATGCGGCTGGAGGCGGAGCGGCGGAAGATCGAGTACGAGATGCAGCAGTACGCGCAGGACCGGCAGGCGCGCGTGGAGGCCGAGAAGCGCCGCCTGCAGCAGGAGGTGCGCGTGCATGCATGCCTGCGGGGCACTCTGCTGCTGTTGCGCTGGCCCGCTGCGGCGCGTGCCGTGCCGACGGTGTGGGGAGGGACGCGCCTTGTTGCGGGATGCTTCGTTGCGGCGGCGGCGCGCTCACGGCGGCGGCGTGCGCGGGCTTGCTTCGCAGGAGGCGCGGCGGCGGCGCGCGGTGGAGGAGGAGCGGCGGCGCGCGGTGATCGAGGAGCGGCAGCGCAAGGCGCACGAGGTCGAGGAGGCGCGGAAGGCCGAGGTGGAGCGCCGGAAGGCGGAGGAGAAGCAGAAGCGCGAGGAGCAGCGCGCGCAGATGATGGCGGCGAAGAAGGACTGGGAGGAGCGGCAGAAGGAGGCGGCGCGGAACCGGGCGCGCGTCAAGCAGCAGGAGGAGGGCGTCGAGGTGATGCTGCCGCGCCGCAGCGGGCCGCGGCGGCCGCGGCCGGAGTGGCAGGGTCCGCTGGACGACCCCGCGGCGGCAGAGCGGCCGCCGTCGCCGCCGAGCGGGGCGGGGCCGCTCGCTGGGCCCGCGCGGCAGGCCATGGAGCAGCGCACGCCGTCGCAGCGGCAGCGGTGGGGCCAGCCGGCGGACCCGTCGGTGCTGCCGGTGTCGGGGGCGTCGGCGATGGCGGTCGGGCCGACGCCGGGCGCGGCGATGACCCCGGAGGACCGCCGGCGCATCTACCTGGAGCAGCAGGAGGCGGCGCTGCGCAACAAGCAGCGGCACAGGGAGGCGGAGCGACAGGCGGCGGAGATGTGGGGCATCGGAGGTGCCGCGGGCGCGGGCGCGGGCGCGGGCGCGGGCGGGGACGACACGTCGTCGGCCCGCGCGCACGCCGCGATCTCGGACGAGGAGCGGCGGCGGCTGTTCATGGAGCAGCGCGAGGCTGCGCGTCGGAACCGCGAGGTGCGTCGTTCGCTGCAGCCCCGGTGTGGCGGGACACTGGCTCGGGGGGAGGCGTCGACGGGGCTCCAGCGCGACACGGAGAATCAGCGGACGTACACGCCTGATGCGACTCCCCGCTTGGTATCGACCCGGCGCCACACATGCTCATTTCGTGTAGTTGTTTCGTCTGTGTGTGCAGAGGGCCAAGGAGCAGGACAGGTACCCCGGCGCGGCGGGTCCGCGGCGGTCGTCGCACTCCCCGCAGCCCGGCGCGTCGCCCCCCCGGCGCAGCAGCCGCACGGACCCCGACGGCGACGGCCTGACGCCCATGGAGCGCAAGCAGCGGCGCATCGAGGAGGAGAACCGCCGCCGCGAGGAGGAGCTGCTCGAGTTCCAGCGGCGGCACCACCGCGAGATGCGCGCGCAGGCCATCAAGAACCGCCAGCAGATCATGGGCGACATCGGCCCCGCCGGCAACGGCGCGGGCGACGTGCAGGTGCCCATTGGCGGGGAGCCGACGCTGGCGGTGCCGGGCGGCGGCAAGGTGCAGGCGCCGACGGGGCAGACGTTCACGATGTCGCGGGGCGGGCAGGCGTTCCAGATCGACCTGAACCCGAGCAGCAACGCGCCGCCGCCTGCGAACGATGCGGGGGGCGAGGACAGCAGCGCGGAGATCACGGACTACGACACGGGGGAGTTCGCGGCGATGGTGCGGGCGATGCACGAGGCGTACAACGACGAGCGGCCGTCGGAGTACCACGACGAGTCTGGCGCGGAGAGCGGGTGGGAAGACAAGCGCCCGAGTCAGCAAGACCCCTCCCTGACGCCGTACGCCGACGGGTACGGGTACGGCGAGGGCCCGGGGGGCGAGGAGGAGTCGCTCGCGGCGCGCGTGGAGGCGCTGCGGATGTTCTTGGAGGAGCAGCTCGGGTTCGACCGGTTCCTGCGCGCGTACCGCCGCATGGAGAACATGGCCCCCGACGAGGACGAGATGAAGGCGCTGGAGGACCTGAAGAGCGTCCTCGGCGAGGACAACCTCTGCCACCTGCGCCACATCCACCAACTGATCTCGTGCGAGGCCGCGCTGAACGCCCACGGCGAGTGAGCGCGCACGCTCCCGCCTGCATTCTGCACGCCGATTTTGTGACACCGATGACGCGGACACGACGCGGTCACTGGGAGCAACGTCAAAGCTGGTGCCGCTCGGGTCGCTGCTAGGCCCGGCCGCCACGTCGGGGGGGGTGACCCCCACCGTCAGGGGAGGTGTCCTCGACTGAGCGTGAGAGCCGATCGGGGCGCCCCGCCGCGCCGGTCGCATACACTGGGGACGGTCCGGAGACACCGCCACGACCGCGCTCGTCCGCAGCCAACGGCACCGCGCGTCGGCCGGACACACGCGAGCGAGGAAGAGCAGGGTCGTCCCTCCGTGCGTTTGCGGGCTAGCAACGGGTGTCTGCGTGCGCAGGTGCGTGATGTTTGTGTTGATGGCAGTGCGGCGCTGCGTATGTGCGTCCGGGACGCGCCTGCGTGCGGCACCGCGGGCGATGCAGCGCAACCTTGGTTGCTTACCGCGCTGCCGCGTGCGGGTGCCGCGCTCGAGGCGCATGTCAAGCGTGGCGCTACGACGTTCAGTATCGGAGGAGCACGGCTCGATGTCGGCAGCGCGTCGCTGTCGTCGCGCAACATGGTCGCGGCCCCAGTGGATGTGACCCTCCGTGGGCGCGCAGGAGGCGGCGCACGGGCGCGGGAGCGCGGCACGGCAGCTTGGAGCGATCACATCATCATGCCACGGGGACGGCGAAGCGACAGGGGCGCGTCCAAGCGCTCGAAACGCGCACGGCCCCAGCAGCATCAGCTGGAGGACATTCAGTGCGGGCGGGACGGTCCCCTGGCCAGCGTCATCCGTGCGCTGCCGCGCAGGTCGCGCATCGTGCTGGCGGCGACGTCGTCGGCGATGATGGCGGCGGTGCTGGAGAGCTGCGACGGCGCGAGGTGGCGATCGGGGGACGCACGCAGCCGTCGTGCGGAGCGGCGGGTGGGGCGGACGGTGGCGCGGCGGCTGGAGGGGCGGGTGTCGGAGGGGACGAGGTCGGAGGTCGGGTGGGCGACGGGGCGCGGGGAGTGGGTGGTGAATCACCGCGCAGGCACGTGCGACGTGGGCGTGCCGTCTGCGGTGGTGCGCGTGGAGGCGAGAGATCGGGATCTCGCACGGGCCCTGGTCCGGACGGATGCCGGCCGGCGTGAGCTGGCGTCGGCGCCGGCGGTGACGGCGGAGATGACAGGCCTGCGGTACCTGGACGTGGCAGTGTACGGGCTGGACATGGAGCGCGTGTGGGGGCGGGAGTGGCTGCCCGCGGGCGTGGCGGCGGGCATCAGGGAGCTGAGGGTGCGCGGGACGAGGCTGAAGCGCGTGCCGGAGGGCATGGTCTCACTCGAGGTCCTGGACGTCAGCGATTGCAACCAGCTGGAGGGCGAGACGTTCCTGCCGGCGTCGAGCGCTGGGCGGGTGCGGGTGCTGACGGCCAACTACAGCAGCCTGCGGACGGTGCCTGAGGGGATGTGCGCGCTGGAGGAGCTCAGTGTGCGCGAGTGCTGGAGCCTGGACGAGGCGTGCCTGCCGGCGTCGTCCACGGCGGCGCTGCGGGTACTGCGCGCCGGCTGCAGCGCGCTGCGCAGGCTGCCCGCGGGCATGCGGGCGCTGCGGGAGCTCCACGTGGGCGGGTGTGTGGGGCTGCAGCCCGAGCTTGCGCTGACGGGCGCTGCGGAGCTGCGGGTGCTGGATGCTCGGAACACGGGGATGCGGGCGGTGCCGGAGGGGCTGGCGGCGCTGGAGGAGCTCGACGTCCAGGCTTGCGAGTCACTGGACGTGAGCTCGCTGCGCAACGCTCCCCCGGTGCGCGTGCTGGAAGTGAACAGCGCTGGGCTGCGGAGGGTGCCGGAGGAGCTGACGGCGCTGGAGGAGCTGAGCATGGTCGGCTTCCCGGGAGAGATCACGGAGGGCTTCTTCCCGGCGCGGACCTGTGCGAGGCTACGTGTCCTCAGTGTCAGATGGTGCCCTGCCGTGAGGAGGGTGCCGGAGGGGCTGACGGCGCTGGAGGAGCTCGACGTGAGTGGCTGCAAGCAGCTGGATGTCGAGGCGTTCCTGCCCGCGTCGTATGCTGCGAGGCTGCGGGTGCTGAGAGCCTCGTATAGCAACGTGCGGAAGCTGCCGAGGGGCATGGACGCGCTGGAGGAGCTGGCGGTGGAGATGTGCAAAGAGCTGGACTGGGAGGACGCGGCGGAGGTGCTGGGCGGTACTGCGAGGCTGCGGGTGCTCAATGCACGCTTTAGCGACATGCAGAGGCTGCCGGGGGGACTGCTCGCGCTGGAGGAGCTGAACGTGGAGGAGTGCGACCAGCTGGACTGGGATGACGCGGCGGAGGTGCTGGGCGGCGCTGCGGGGCTGCGAGTGCTGAAGGCAAGCTATAGCGACATGCGGAGGCTGCCTGGGGGACTGCACGCGCTGGAGGAGCTGTTCGTCAGCGGGTGCAAGCATCTGACGGGGACGCTGGAGCAGAGCGTCGCGGGCCGTCTGCGTCGGTGGAACGTCGAGGGGAGCGGGCTGGTGCTGCCGGCGGGGATGAAGGAGACGTGTTTCGGGTGAGGTGGACGCGGATCTGCTCAAGGATGCCGACGGCCCGTGTGACGCCCCGCATCATGGTCGCCCGCGTCGCGTCTGGCCCCGCTCTCCTCTCCTGCCCCCCCCGTCCGGGCGCCCTTGCGGCATACATTGCCCCCGGGCCTGCTGTTGTTGCTGCAAAGCTCCCGTGTCGGTGCCTCCGACGCTGCGTCCGCTGACACGTCGATCATCCCTGAGGTCTGTGCACACATGTAGGCGCGCGTGCTGTTGCCCGGGGCGGGTGAGTGCGCGACCGCCTGCTGCGTCCTGCGCGGACACGCCAGAACCACTGCGGCGTCTGGGCGCCTACATCGCAGCACATCAACATGCACGCGAACGCAACCGCGCGCCCCACCAGCACCGCGCACCTCGTACGCTCGTGCGCTTGCCCTGAGTGGCACCCGCAGCGTGTCGTGTCAATGACGCGCCCTGGTGGCGGGGCTGTGCAGGCGATACCGTCGAGCGTGGTGCCGTCCCTGGTCCGGACGCCGGGTGGCGCGCACGGGTCCCGTTGGCGACGGCATTGGGCCTGGGATGCGTGGACGCGCCATTGTGCCACGTCACACGTCGACGGCGAACAGGGCCGATAGCGTGGGGCGGGCGGGCGCTGACAGCCGACGACAGCAGCCTGCGGCGGTTTCCGAGGACATGGATGCGCTGGGAGAGCTCGAGCTTGCGCTTGGACGAGCTGTGCCTCAGCGCGTCGTCCGCAGCTGCGGTGCTGCATCATGCGCGCACCGAGTTGCCGCCGTGCGTCTGACGCGAGCGCGACGGTCCTCGCGCCGCCATGTCGATCGAGGGGCGCGGACGTCGCGGGCCGACAGCTGCTGGCGCGGCAGGGATCGCTGCGCACCGCTGCGGTGTCGCGACGGACATGGGTGTCGGGGTGGGGGGAGTGTCACGGTGCGGGGGCAGGCGGTCCGGGATGTGCGCAGGCGTGCGTGTATGGGCGAGGCGATGCTGACGTCGCTCCGCGGAGGCGGCGCGACCCGAGGTCGCAGCTGAGGCGCCAGTTGCAGGCTGGTTCACGCGGGTGCGGAGGGGTGCTGCGCGATGACTGTGTCGCCGGCGTGCGGGCACGGGTAGGTCGACTGGCTGCCGGCGCCGAAAGGAGCGCTGCTTCCGCGGGTGGACCGGGGTGGCGGTGCGCGCATGCGGCGGGGGTGTTGACGGGAAGCGGGTCGGGTTGTGGGCGTGCGCGCGGAGCTGGGTGCCTGCAGCGTGCCTGATGGGTGGATAAACGCCCCAGCAGGCGCCGGGGACGGGCGGACGAGCGTTGGGGGCGAGCTGTTGCATGTGCGCCGCACGCGCTGAGGCTTGCCGCCGTGCGCGTCGCGAATCCGACGGTCCTGGCGTCGCGGTGCACGTTCAGTGATGACAGCATCGCGATCCGACCCCTCCGGCGGGGTCAGCGTCGCAACGGGCGCTCGGCGTGGCGCGGGTGCGACGACCGGCCGGGCTCGATCGAGACCCGTGGGGTGATTTGAGACTGACCAGTGGGCCCTGCACATGGGAGCTCGCCCCGCGCCGTCTGTAAGAAAGGCGGGTCGCCACGGCGGCTCGGCTCTCGCTCATCGTACGTTCATACCACGGCGAATATACCCGATCCCATCAGAACTCGGAAGTCAAGCGCCGTTGGGCTCGATTAGTACTGGGGTTGGGGACAACCTGGGAATCTCGAGTGACGTACGGTCATGCCGAACAGTCTGCTCCCATCCAACTAGGGGGGCTGCACTGCACGCGCTCGCCGCACGCGCTCTAGCTAGGGGGGCTGCGCCGTGGGTGCGACAGATACACATATCAAAATGTGCAAAACTCGTATATCAGAAGCCGACTGTCTTTCAACTAGGGGGGCTGTCGGCGGGCCTCCCCGGGGCCCGCAGTCGAGAATCAATTTCTAAACGTGCGCTTCCTCGACTGGGTGAGTCGGCCAGCCTTGTGCGTTTTCGGCCGCCCGCGGGCAGAGCCCCCCACTTTGTGGGGTTATTTCAGACTGACCAGTGGGCCCTGCACATGGGAGCTCGCCCCGCGCCGTACGTAGAGGAGAGTCTGCGGACGGCCTCTAGTCACGGTGGACCGGCTGCGGCCAGACACACCGGTGAGTGGTAGTCGGGCGTGGTCTGCCGAGGGCTGGTACGGGAGCACCCGGACAGCTTCGGCACCCACGGTCGTCTCAACGAAAGGGCTGCGCTGCTGCTTTGGCGGTGGTTGCAGCTGCTGGTGAGGAGCTTGTATTACTACACGGTGTGCAAGCCTACCTTGAGCCAGTAGCTAGTACGGTCGGCTTCGGTCCCCGAGGGGATGGAAGGCGACTCGGCTAGCGCTGTCGATCGGCCTGCGGGAGAGCCGGTCCGCAGTCTTCAGACTGCGGGCGGTGCCTCCGGATCGCTGGTTCGGTCGGGATGGATATCAGCGGAGCCTCGTGGCTAGTGTCGGCTGGGCGTGCG